TGAGCTGCCGATCCATCATCCCACCCATTGGGAACAGGTTCCAGGCTTATTCCCAGATACCACACAGCTGCTGCCAATGGCAGTCCCTGGAGAGACAAATGCCACTTCTGGCTCACAAGTGGCCCGCCTCGGTAGATCGTTTGCACAGATCGCAGCAGAGGCAGACAGTTCCAGTGAGTACATCCCTGGCAACCTTCAGTCTGATGTTGACCTTATTCATAGTGGACGATGATGAAGGTGATAGCTTTGCGGTTAGTCATCATTGCGCCATGTTGCGGGAGTGCATTGTACGTCTTCAGCGTGAGCTCAACCTCACTGAGGATATGCACGTTGCGAACCTCAATGCCAGCTCGACCATGTTCCAAATGGGGTACATTCTGAGGGACATTCATGGCGAGGCGTATCGCAGCAACTGAACTAGTGTCTTTGAGCATTCTGGTGTTAGCAATATATGACCGCTATGTAACAGCTTGTATACCAGTACAAAATGGATACATTCACTTCTGCATCACTAAGCTCTAAAGCCCATCGCTCCTCCAGTGTACTCTTCAGATGGGCGGACTGCGCTCGCCATCACCAAGGCATGTTGTTGCCAGCAATTGGCCCATCGCCAAAGGACCTGAGTGAAAGCTTCACTGCATGGGAATATCGCTCCGCCAGCAAAGGGCCCACTGCCAAGGGTCAGAGGGTTGGCCATCGCCAAGCCGTGTTTTCGCCACCAATTGGCCCTTCGCCATGAGTGCTGGTGAGTGATGGGCCCACCGGCAAAGGTCAGAGGATTGGCGATCACCAGAGCACGTCATCACCACCAATGCGCCCGGAAACTGCAGGGCTGTATGTGACAATGGGCCCATTGGTGGCGATGACATATCCTGGTGATCGTCAACCCACTGGCCTTTGGCGGTGGGCCGATTGCTGGCGATAACATGCTCTGGCGTTGGCCAACCCTCTGACCTTTGGCGGTGGGCTGATTGCTGGCGGAAACATGTCCTGGCGATGACCTATCCCATGGGTGCTTGCAGTAAGGCCCTCACTGAGGGTGCTTTGGTGATGGGCCGACTGCTGGCAATAACATGCTCTGGCAATCGTCAACCCTCTAACATTTGGCGGTGGGCCCATCCTTCAGGTTACACTCTGGGCGATCGGCCCACTGCTCATTCGTCATACTCTGGCGGTGGGCCGATTGCTCAGACAAACATGCTCTGGCCATGGCCAACCCTCTGACCTTTGGCGGTGGGCCGATTGCTGGCGGAAACATGTCCTGGCGATGACCTATCCCATGGGTGCTTGCAGTAAGGCCCTCACTGAGGGTGCTTTGGCGATGAGCCGATTGCTGGCGATAACGTGCTCTGGCAATCGTCAACCCTCTAACCTTTGGCGATGGGCCCATCCTTCAGGTTACACTCTGGGCGATCGGCCCACTGCTCATTCGTCATACTCTGGTGGTGGGCCGATTGCTCAGACAAACATGCTCTGGCCATGGCCAACACTCTGACCTTTGGCGGTGGGCCCATCCGTCATCTCATTCGTCATACTCTGGCGGTGGGCCGATTGCTCAGACAAACATGCTCTAGCCATGGCCAACACTCTGACCTTTGGCGGTGGGCCCATCCGTCATCTTACACTCGTGGCGATGGGCCCACTGCTCATTGATCATACTTTGGCAGTGGGCCCATCGATGGCGATAACATGCTCTGGCGTCGGCCCACCCTCTGACCTGTGGCGGTGGGCCCATTGCTTAACGGTTACAACACTGTAATATGCCCTGCTAGTGGGCTGAGCACTGGGAGAAGAACACTAGCGGTGGGCCCACTGCTAGTATCCCACACATGAAAGATATGGGCCCACTGCTGGTAGAGGTCAACATGGTGACAATGGGCCGACATCCACTGGCTGTCCAGTTCATGACAATGTCAGGGTAAATGGGAGTTCAGTTCAGGTAACATGACTGAAAGGTGTGACTCTGGAAAGTTCAATACTCTTGAACTCCTACATCGTGAATTTTGGTGGCCCGGCATGTATGCATTTGTCAACAATTATGTCAAATGCTGTGCCGCCTGTCAACAGATGAAACTGAATACTCACCCAACTTGTATTCCTTTGGAACCAATCCTCGCAGACCCACATGCATTACCATTTTCCTGTTGCACCACAGATTTTATCACCGACCTCCCCATTTCCAACGGCTTTGATTCGATTATGGTCGTAGTAGACCATGACCTTATGAAGGGGGTGATTCTTACACCCTGCCTCAAAACGATCACAGCTGAAGGGACAGCCAAGATTTTTCACGACAAAGTTTACTCGCGATTCGGATTACCTGACCGAATCATCTCGGATAGAGGACCTCAATACGCATCCAAAGTCTTCCAAGAGTTAAATTGACTACTCCAGATTAGATCATCGATAAGCACAGCTTATCACCCTCAGACGGACGGAGAAACAGAACGAGTCAACCAGGAGCTGGAAATCTATCTTCGACTCTATTGCGGAAACAACCCTGAAACATGGGCAGATCGCCTGCCAGACCTCGAGTTTTGTCATAACACGAGGGAACACTCGGCACAGAAGATGAGCCCATTCCGCATTATGATGGGATACGAACCATGTGGACTCCCTTCCGTATTCCCAACCACGAACATTCCATCGGTCGAATCCAGGCTTGACATGTTGCAGAAGATAAGACTAGAAGCACTAGCCATGCACGAGTTAGCCCCGACAACAGATGGCGGAGCGAGTCAGACAAGGGTCGCCGAAGTTTACACCAGGACAGAAGGTCTGGCTAGACTCGAGGAACCTGAAGGTCAACTACGCCTCGCGCAAGATAGCTCCAAAGCATGAGGGGCCATTTGAAATCGTGGAAGTCATCGGACCAGCCAACTATCATCTCAAACTCCCGAAGACCTGGCAAGTTCATTCCGTATTTCACGCCGCCCTTCTATCCCCTTATCGCGAAAATGACATACATGGTCCGAATTACGTGAACCCACCACCTGATGTCGTGGATAACGAAGAAGAGTACGAGGTCGAAGCCATCCTGAATCACAAGGCATATCGAGGTCACCTAAGGTACTTAGTCAAGTGAAAGGGATATTCGTCGGCAGAGAACTCGTGGGAGCCTGCCCACAATTTACAGAATGCAAAGCAAACCCTTGATGCATATAAAAGGACCAGGGGAATCAAGTAGAGGACAAGGAAACTGGAATGACTACCACAACAGCCTTTCTCATTATCTTCCTAATTGTCCTCCACTGCACAACCCTCACTTTCCTTTGGATCGTCCACAGAATCCTTATCAGATGACTCGTTGAACATACACTCTTCACACGAGACAACTCACACGCTAACAGCTGGGATGATCAGAACGATGCTTGGAACTGACCGGGCAGTTCTTATCTCCATGGGAATACTCTTTATCGCCCAATGGACTTTCATCTATTTGATTATCACCCGCATCCACGACATTCTATTTCACATCACAGATAACCACGATCCCCTTAATGACCGAAAGGTATAAAAGGAGGAGAGGGCGACGTATCATCAATGCCCGTCTCTGCTATTGACGACCTTGTTCACAACATACTCGCTGAAGTCGTTTCCACAATTATGAGCATCCTCGCATCGCCTACACTTGTCAATGGAGTACCCTCCCGAACACAGACACCCTTCATCCGCACTTCCTCGCCTTCACCTTCAATCGAACTCAGTCATGCATCGGACGAACAAGAATTTGCCACGCATCTAATCTCTGCCATCCGCATCACCGTCGACTTCACAGACATTCTAGTTGCCCTGAGGAATCGCCCGCAAGATCGACAAGCGGTGGTTTCTATGCAGCGAGCATTAGAAATGGTCGAGTGGATGCAGATGGCCAGACAAGAGCTCATCACAGCAGACGAAAGGATGAGTAGAGCCCGAACCAGAGTCGACCAAGTCTGGTCTCTGATGCATAGTACAGTCACTCGCACAGCGCAGGAGATATGGAGGGAGCATGGGGACGAAGACATCGGACACATCCTCAGATACACCACTAATGGGAGACCCACATCCACTCCTCGCTCATCACCCGAACCAATTCCTGTTCGACCTCGCCCTCCTCGTTCACATGTACCTACTGGTCAATCTCCACTATTGCGACCCTCCTTCTCACACGCATCAACTTCTTCACATCGTAGTCATCCCTATGGATGTACGCATGAACAAGGACCACAAACCGGCCGGCGGACATGCTACAGATGTGGAGGTGATCATTATGTTCAGGACTGCCCCCCACAATGATGAAGACTACAATATTTCTTGTGGGACAAGAAACGTTAGACAGGAGCTGATGTTACAATGCTCCTCAGTTATGGCACGTCTTTTCTTTTTCCTTTCTTCGTTCCCTTTACTTTACCAGACCACGTGATCCAACACGTGACTCATTGGAGCGCAACCTCCGATTCTCTACCAGATGCCCAGAACCCCTAGTCTAGGGTTACACTGGATCCAACTCCGGACCTTCTTCTTTTCACACATGCAAGACGTGCATGTATGCCTCATCTTTACCTCGTTCTGATACACAACTTGTTATCCCCATTAGTACTGATTATCTCTCACGATCTTACTCAGCTTTCTCATACATATTACTTCCTCGCTATTACCTTGCCCAGACATTGTTTCACCTTATCTAGCCAATGAACGATCCCGTATTACTGCGTAGTACTGCGGATACCTTTTGTATAAGTAGACGACCTCGTCGAGCTGGATCCCCATCTCGACCTGGTTACCATTAAACCAGCTTTTCACTTACCTTTGACTGAGATTGACCATTAGTAGCAGACAGCTACTGCGAGTCATAAGAACAAACTCTGATCGACCTTCAGTGCAAAGACATCACCAGAAGTGTCTCTTAAACGGACTTGTGTCTTAGACTAAGACCTTGTCTTGTGACGACTTGACTTGACGCTCGTGTTTCGCTGCCGCGTAACACCGCAAGCCTGAAATGTATTTACTCCCGCGCAATGCTCTCGGTGAGTGGCCATGCTGCGTGCATGCCTCGGAGTGCTGACAAACCCACACGATTGACAAAGCCACCATCCGAATTCCTCGCACAAGTGTTCCCGTGGATCGAGCAAGAGCAGGCTGCCCTCAAGACACGCATTCAAGACAACCTGTTGGCTCAGGACTACGCCCTTTGCCACTTCCTCCGGCTCATGCTGTGGTTGCGCCGGGTGCTGCTGCAGGACGCGGCGATCCTGTGCACAATGCAGCCCTCTGCCCCCGTGTTTGCATTTGCACCCTTCAACACTCCCGCCTTTCATACCTTCGCCAGCCAGGCAATGCCCGCCATCCGGGAAGCCGAGGAGCAGGCCCGCATGGCCTATCAGAATCTCCCTGAGCACCTGATATGCAGCCTGCGTGGTGCCACCACCGATGTGCTCATGGAGCAAAAGAGGCAGCACGAAGAGAGCAACAGGCAGATGTCCGACATGTCGGAGCGAATTCTCAAGATGGAGGGCATCATCGGCATGCTCCTGAACTCCAGGTCCACTCGAAGGTCCAAGATAAGTATGCACCGGTTTTCCGTCATCACACGTGCAGTGCTGACAACAATGTGATTGTCAATGACAGCTTTCGTGCCTCCCAAGCAAAGTCTGGCGGCCCCGGTGACAGCCCCTGCACCAGTGCCTGCAGCAGCAGCCCCGCCAGTCATCACAATCAACTTCCACGGCGGTGACGGGCCTGTAAGCACTTCCGCAGTGCCTTCGGTCTCCACATCAGTCAGTGCAGTAGCGAACAGTGCAGCATCGTCCGACTCAACTGCCATGTTGGATGGCTCCAGTCGCCATGTTGCTGCTGTGCCTGCACTGCCATCAGTGTTGGGGATGGTAGCACCTTCTGTGGCACCCGCTCGTGCAGATCCGCGCTCGGCCAGGCGGGATGAGCTCCGGCAGAAGTATGGTGAAGTCGTCTTCCAGAAGCATGAGCCATGGGTTTGGAAGCAGGGTGAGCTTCTTCCATGCTATCAGTACCAGCTGGTGAATGCGATCGTGGATGTCTGGACAGAGTGGATGGATGGGCTCGGTGGACATATCTCAGTGCGTGAACTGACAGAGAAGTGGGGCAACTGCTGGTGTCTCAATGATGCGGGACTCAAGACCGAAGGCGGGCACCGCAAAAAGATCATTGACCCCATCACGGAGCTTTTGCAGAAGCCGCGCTGGTCGATCCAGCTGGTGCTTCGGTTCTTCAACGAGAAGTATGGCCACTACAGGGCGCGCTCATTTGCTGACTACCTCACCAAGCATGGGGGTGCGGGTCACTGCGAGGTGCTCCAAGTTGCGACACACTATCCGTAGTGCGACGTGAAGCCAACTTCATATTCTGGTTAATTTTTCAGTCTTTGTCTTCTTGTCGCTTCATGCTATATGGTACTGATGGCTCCATGTCCTAATTTATGGTACTGCTTCACCTGTGTATATGAAACACAATTTAATGTACATGTTTTGGAAACCTCAATGAGGGCCCAGAATTTTTGGTTTTGCATGACCGAGAGGAGCAGATGCACCCACTCAGTAGTGCTGCCAGCTCCACTGCATCATTGCCATCGTCATCGTGTCCTTGCGGTCTACCGCTGTTTGAACCCCGCATGGAAACTTGTTGCGGATTTACAATTTGCAGGCCACACCCACCCTGAGATTCACGATCATGTTGACTGTATGTGCTGGGGGGGGCAGGTCAATACAAAATATATTTTGTGCATGTCACCACATTGACGGGTCGGCATGCCGCGCGCGCGGTAGACAGGTAGTCGGTGTATACACCGCAACTCAAAGTTCGGGCGTGCAAGAATGCCGCACACGCAAGCAAGTGCAGTGTTGCTGCTGCTGCTGCTGCTGCGCGCTCGATGTGCAAGGCCCACCGCATCTCGGGCGGTGGACCTGGCGCGTGGTGAAAGCACGTCCGAGTAGTTTGAGTTGGGCGGTCGGAGGGCATCACGCAGGCACCGCGCGGCATGCCAGCCGACAGCGAGCGGCGAGCTCGTCGTCGGACTTGGCGCCTCGCGTTCTTTCTCGGTCTCGGTTTCGCGAAGGGGCCGCGACGACATGGCACTGCACACCGTGCGCCACGCGATGCAGCGACGACCGACGCGTGAACGCGCCACGCGTGCAGAGAGGCGGCTGGCGGCGAATTGAGATTGGCAACTGTTGCTGGATCCGGCATCTACTGCCTGAACGGGCGGCACGGCATACACGGCGTGTTAAGGTCACCAGCGGCATATACCGAGGGGCACCGGCCCGCGCGTGGGAAGGTACCACGGGTCGGTCACCGGCCAAGCGCGGTGACCACCACAGCCCAGGGACATCCAAACATTTCGCCCATCTATTATCGGGAGCTCAGGCTAGTCCAGACATATGCAGGTGTTTGGTGCTGCATTGGCTGAGTGCGTATCATTACATACAATTCGTAGCACCTGGATGTTGTACGATCTTCCGCATCAGGAAACTATCCCTGGAGATACTGTAGCCTGGCAGAAAACATGCACAACAACACTCTGCAGTAAAGGTATGTCCATTCAAATGTAAGTAATTATAGTGTGGCAACGCCAAGAATGGTGTATAGGAACTCTGGGGTCAGGTTTGCATGGCAGCAAATATGGATGGGTGTATGAGGAAATGGATGATAGATATCTGGGGGTGCAACATCCCACGAAGGTACAATCAATAGAGAACTCAAGACATTTGTCTGATGGAACCTGCACACGCAAGGACAAGCAAGTAGCTGAGGCTAAAGGACTGAAAAGCAACATGCAGCAGATATGACAAAGACCAATCCAACATAGGTAGAGGTTTACATGTTGTATCAACTGGTATGAAACATATGTTCGGGAGCGTGACGTCCCGAGGCACGATTGATGGAGAACTCAAAGACATTTGTATGATGGAACCTGCAAGGGCGGAGCTTCGCTGTGTCTGATGCGTATCGCCAGGACCTCCGACCAATCTCTTCAACAGACACGTGTCTTGCCACGCCGGGATGGTAGAGCCTAACAGCTTCATTCGAAGTTTCATCAGTCAGGTCGGTCTTCGAGCTCCTCGTCGCAGCGAATAAGCCCGCCACACATCAGTGCTGCGGGATTGGCGTGTTTGCTATCAGCCATTGCAGGAACATACACACTGTCGTGTGACAGTGTTGTCAGGTGTCCACGCTGGACACACGGTTCGCAAGCACGACGTATGAGTGAGAGAAGTGCGGGAACGCAGGTTCACCTCGGCATCTCATACACAACGCTCCCTGTAAAAGGCCGTAGTAAATGCCTACAACGTGATCACACCGACAGTGCAGGATTGCTCACTTCACCGCAGGTGCGATCTTGAGACCGTTCGGCCCAGCAAGCTCCAGTAAGAAAAGCAAGGATGCAGAATAGCGCCTAAGAGAAGCAAAGCAAACAAAGTTCTTGTCCGACCCAGCCAAGAAAGAGCTCTATTCTAGAACAGCGAGCAGTCTCGGCGACTCGAAGCCGGACCAGAAGAGTATCGCATGGTCGACGACCACCTGACCGCTGCAGAGAATGCGGCCAAGAAGTATCGTGGACAACGAGAGGAAGATGATGCATGGTGCACGCGAGCAGGAAAAGCTGAGAGGTGGCAGACTGGACAAGAGCGGGGACAGCTGGCCGGAAAAGGAAGGAATGACCACAACGGGCATGTGACTGGCGCGCCTGGGTGAGCCTGCTTGGCACGAGAAACTTCCGCTCCCTCCCGCCATGCCCACCTTGCGCAGAGGCGCTCCTCCTCCTCCCTCTGACCTCTACGCCGCCATCCCACAGAGCCCGCAGATGCAAGTCTCTCCTCGCTCCTCTTCCCGCTCTACTCAGCCTCACGCCGCCCACCACCCTTCTCAATCCAACCACAACAACCACCGCGACCCCTCTGCCCCTCAGCCGATCCCACCAAACAACTTCGTATCTCAACGTTCCGACACCGCGTACAGCGTCGCAACAGGCGCAATCGGCGGTGGCTATGGCCCATACTCATATAACCCATCCTCGGTCACCAACGGTGCGTCTCGCTTCAGCGCCGCACCCTCAGAGGCATCCGTCACCACCGGGGACAAGACCAATAGCCATTTGATGTCCGCCTCCGTGGCGCCGTACCCCTACCTCTGGGACAACAAAGACTCGGACGTCGACGACCCTCTCCACGATCCAGACCCTGTCCGCGACGCCAAGGAGGCGCGCACATGCACCATCTTCTCCGCACGCGGCTGGCTGAATCTCTCCGCGCTCACGATCACCGTGCTCGCGCTGCTCACGCTCTTCGCGGGGTACCCCATCATCAGGTACTACGCATATCCCCCGCCATACACGCCCGGGTTCAACATCGGCGGGATCAACTCGTCCGGCCAGATTCCTAACCTGCCGGGCCTGCCGACGCTGATCGACAAGGACACGCCCCGGGATGCGTACTCGCACGTCGCCTCGGACGGGTCGACGTACAGCCTCATGTTCAGCGACGAGTTCGAGACGGACGGGCGCACGTTTTGGCCCGGCGATGACCCGTACTGGGAAGCGGTGGACCTCGACTATTGGCCCACGGCCGATCTCGAATGGTATTCTCCAGATGTGAGTGCTTGTGAATTTCTTTTTTTTTCGTTTTTCTGCCCCTGTCGATGGCGGGGCGTTGGAGGAAGGGTGGGACTCAGCCAATCTGGGCGCGTGGCATGACGCCTTCCGAGGTGCAGAGTGCGGTCAGCTATGCTTTTGCTTTTGACATCTATACGCTTCCTATCTGCTTCCCAAATGTCTGGCCCCATTGGAGTATCGCGCGAGCACAGACCGTACCTCCATTCTCGAAGTGTCTTGGGCACGCTTCGCGAGGAATATTCTATTGGGGATGCACGTCGCAGCACTTATCGCGGCTTTCGCTGAGGCACCTTGTCGCCACCTATTGTGTCGCACGTCCGGAGTTTTGTGGTTTACGCGGTATCCGCCGAACTGAGGACGATGTGTCGTCTCAGACCTTTCTGACGTTGTCGAGTTTTGCGGCTTTTGATTTCGTCATGCTTCTCTGATCACGGGCGCTCGACATTTTCCGTTCTTTGCCCGCAGTGTTCCAATGACTCTCGGCAAAGCATGCGCTATCATCCCGCATTCGGGCATTCTCAACAGCAGGCTACGCGTTGTGCGCTTTATCGGACGTCTAGCTGAGCACGGGCCGTGCTGCTTCACACGGTAGTGGCACTTGGTGACAGACGACTCTTGGAGCTGCTGAGGGCCGCAGTTTTGTGGGAACAGGCAGTTGATTATTTCCTGCTTTGCTGTGTTCTCGTCTGGCTTTGGATTTGCTTTGGAACATTTGGATCTTTGTACCTGGTGCTTTCGGCATTTTCCTAATTTTGGTTCGAGTGTTCCCTCCGATTCTCGCTGACGCACGCACGCTTCAGGCGATCACGACGGCGAACGGGAAACTGGTGATCACGATTAGCGAGGTGGAGAACCACAGCAAGAACTTCCGGAGCGGGATGCTGCAGTCGTGGAACAAGATCTGCTTCACGACGGGGTACATCGAGATGTCGATATCGCTGCCGGGGGCGCCGACCGCGCCGGGGTTCTGGCCGGCGGCGTGGACGATGGGGAACCTCGGGCGGGCGGGGTACGGGGCGACGACGGAGGGGATGTGGCCGTACACGTATGCGGCGTGCGACGTCGGCACGTTCCCGAACCAGACGAGCCAGTCGGGGGTGCCCGCGGCGGCGGCGACGGGCGGACCAGGGGGCGGGCCGATCAGCTACCAACCTGGACAGAAACTGTCGGCGTGCTCGTGCCCTGGGAGCGACCACCCGGGTCCGTCTGTGAACGTCGGGCGCGGTGTGCCTGAGGTAGACGTCATCGAGGCGCAAATTGACCCGGTCGGGTTCAGGGCGGAGGCATCGCAGAGCATGCAGGTCGCGCCGTACAACTCCCAGTACGAGTTTGCGAACGACTCGACGTCGACGCCGATATACAACGAGACGGGCACGTTCTTCAACAGCTACAAGGGCGGGATCTACCAGCAGGCGGTGTCCGCGGTAACGTATATCAACGGGAGCAACTACAATGATGCCGGGTATGCGAAGTATGCGTACGAGTGGTACTCTAATCCAGACAACCGCGAGGCAGGGTACATAACGTGGTTTGCGGACGGGCAGCAGACGTGGAAGGTCACGCCCGCGACCCTCGGCCCGGACAGCATCACACAGATTAGCGGGCGCCTCATTCCTGAGGAGCCGATGGTACGCCATTCTGTCTGCATTGTGTGCTTGCTCGTCGCTTACCCCCATATCGCAGTATATGGTGCTCAACCTGGGAATGGCGCGTGAGTGATGTTCGCTTCTTGCTGCGGTTGGCGTCGCTGACGTCTCTGTCGGCAGCATCCTTCGAGGCGCAGGACTTCGAGCACTTGGTGTTCCCCTCACAGATGTTCATAGATTACGTGCGGGTATACCAGCGCTCGGACGTCTCGAATGGGCTCACTTGCGACCCGCCGCGGTACCCCACTGCGGACTACATCGAACGGTGTGGCCCTTTCTTCTACCGTGCTGAACAGCTCATTCATTCTGTGCTCCTCTAGACATCTGAACGCGTACACGAACCCGAACCTTACGACCTGGGCGCAGGCGGGCTACCAGTTCCCGCTGAACTCCAAATACAACGGCTGTAGCTGAGGGGCGGCCCCGACGCCGCTTTCCCCCTCTCGCCGTGCCGCGGGCGGGTCGTGCACCGACCAGCACTCATCTACCGCACTCCACATCTAAGTGCCCGCCCTCCCTGACTTGTATGACTACCCACGACGCACATGCACACGCGGACAAGCACAAACGCACATTCACCATCCGGACAGTTCTCTTTTCGAAGCTACGATATACTCTTCATCTAGTACGCGCTGGCGCTGCGGTCCACACCAGACTTGTACCCCTTCCGTGCCTCACCCCGCTGCCTTACCCTATGCGTGCCCGGTATTCCCCCATCCATGTACCCCGAACCCCCGTTCTTGTACTCCCCGTTCTTGTATCCGCACCCCAACCCCCCTTGTCTAGTTGTACCAAAATGGTGTGTCGTGGACGCTGGTGTCTTTTTATTGGTTTCTATTGGCTGTTTGTTGCGTAGGTAGTGTTCATGATACAAATGTGCCGCGTTCGTGTTAGCGGAAGAACGTTGTCTTCGTGCTGTTGCACGTACATCCGCTTCATTCCGGGGACGGAGGCATGCACACGTCACGAAAAAACTTTTTACATGTACTACTACCACACGCGCGCGCGGAATCGAGTGAATTGGGTGCATACTAGTCGCCAGAATGTGCACGCAGCAAGCATGCGGCGGTTGTCCGTCGTCTGAGAGTTGAACGCATAAATTAAGTTATGTGAGTTCCATGGGTATAGAATCTATCATCATCTATAGACCCAATGTCCGGACGGGAACGAGGGAACGAGCGTATCAACCCACGACCCCCCTCGCAGCGTCCCTCCGCAGCTCAGCGTTCACCACCTTCACACCTTCGACGCCCAGCGCGCCGGCGATCGGCCGCGCGGCGCCGAGGAGCCAGCAGAAGAGCGTGCCCACCACCCCGCGCAGGCCGACCGTCTCCACCGCGTCGAGCACGCCCGCGTACCACACGGGCCTGTGTGCCTGCAGCGCGTCCGCGTCGACGATCGGGAACGGCGCGCGGCCCTTCGTCTTGGAGGCGTCCGCGTGAGCGCCCGTGAGCAGCGCAGACGCGGCGCGCAGGCCCGCGGTGAACCCGTCCTCGTGGAAGCCGTAGTTCATCCACCCGCCCGCGTAGGAGATGCCGCGCGTCCGCTGGATCGAGGGGATCTCTTGTTGGGCGCGGATGGTCTGTCGTGGGAATGCATAGCGGTGGGTGCGATGGTCAGTACGCGCGGGGGCGCTGCATGGCGGAGACTGACCTTGGTGCTCAGTACTGGATGGTCGAAGCTGAACTGGCCTACGACCTTTGCGGGGTCGGGTTCGAATGGCGGGTTGACTGTAACGAGGACGAGCCCGTGGCGCTCCATCGGGAGACGCTGCAGTACATTCATCCAGACTGGAGAAATTGCTGGTAAGCGGCAATTTCTCGAGACGTGTGATGAGGTATTCAATACACACATGTGCTGTGTAGAGACACGATCAGCGAGGCACGGCAGGTGGGAGGGTCCAAAGTATACGTACATAGATACATTGGTGGCGTTCGGCTTCCCCTGCCCAGGGCTATCTGCCCCTGGCTTGGTCAGGTAGTTCCAACATGACCACAAGTCGCGACGCGGCGGCATAAACTGTAGAAACAGTCAGAGTCGCATCAACGAGTTAGAACGGACGCCCGGCACCCATCTATTGCTTGAAACACACCACAAACGCAGGTGTGCAATGGGCATGGATGCTGGGCGCACGCGCTCATCATACACAGTGAAACCAAACTTACCCTCTCATCGCAATGCAAGACGACCTTGTTTGGCGTCCACTCAACGGAGCCCAATATCCGTTCCTCATCAGCGGTCACGCCGCCGCCATTACGGAGGATCTGAAGTGATTCGTTCGAGTGACAAGCAAGGATGACGTGGTCGTACAAGACGCGCTCGCCAGCGGCCGTTGTGAGCTCTACCTGATATGGCGATCCTGACTCTGTGCGGTCCGACGGAACGGAGCTCACGGAGCGCACGGGCGTGGAGAGATGGAAGTGCGCAGCAGGTAGGGAGGAGAGGATGTGATCAACATACATCCGGCTGTATCAGGCAGAAGTGAGTCAAGGTGGCCGAAAGACAGGGTGAGCGCCTGTCAATGCACTGATCCGATGGCGGATCAAAGGGCGGTGCTTACCTTCCGCCTTCGAAGGTAAACCAAGTTGCCTGCTTTGTGATAGACAAGAGATGATGATTTTGAAAGAATCGGATCTGTAATTGAGAGGGTCATATTGAACCTTACACGCGTTGATCCGGGATATAAGTAGGACCCACGAGAGTGCGAGCGGGAAAGTCAAGTGCGCATTTGTCTGGCGGGGTACTCCAAATGGCGGCGGTCAGTGGCTATGTATGCATAACTTCAGTCCATCAAGACACTGAACAGAAACGACAAACTGCGGCTCACGATAAGATAGTTGTCTTTGAAAAAGTCTGAGTAGCCTTCCCGCCGTATGTACTCTCCAACGGTTATTTCGTCCCTATCTATGGGCTCGGGCTCCATGAGGAGTTTCGGTGCACAGGCGTTGAAACGGACGATGTCATATAACATACGCCACATTCGCGGGTCGAACACTCGGAAAGACTGACAGAAGAATGACCGAAGGCAGCTGCTGGCCCACATAAATGCACCCCCGTCTCGTGTCACCGTGAAGGACATAAGAGTGGAGATGATGCGTTCACGTAGCGACGGATATTGCTGAAGGAAGCGCACGAAATTAGGGTACATGATCGGGTTGAAAACAATCTGGAAATTGCGAGAAGTTCAGCGGATCTCTCTCTATAAAATGGCGAGGATGGCTGAGACACACGAATGCGCTGGCGGGTCACGGAAATGAGCTTCCAACGACCTACAGTAAGTCAAGTTATTGTGCTCACGTATCCACTCTTGCGGGTTCCTTTCCAGGCTGGACGAATGTTGCCGTGTTGACATGACCACCGGGACGTGAGCCTGCCTCGTATAGATGCACTTCGTGGTGTGTGTACTCGTTCAGCAGCTATCCAGGACGACCGGCGTCCCAACGAGACGAGACGAGTATACGGAAAGTAATTCAAATTCAGCTGTTCCTTGGGAGGGCAGGAATTAACGCACCCAAGTGGCGGCAAGACCAGACACACCAGAACCAACGATAGCGACCTTCATCCCTTTAGATCGTGAGACTAGTGAAAAGAGTGGGTATGTCAAAAGTGGGTCGCATCTTGGAATTGCTAGGCCCTTTTTACAGAGGCTCGCGGAACTCGTGGCGTTCGCGGGACGCTTCCGACCCGACCATCGATCGCCTTTCTGTCAACCGTATCGTGGACACCTAGAAGCCTAGCCACTCTGATATGAACATTTCTTTGTGGAAGATTTAGTGATGCCGCGGAATGATGCAGTGAGAAACGATGTGCGGCCGCACAGCCTTGAACGCTCTTGCAGTAATATTGTGAGAGTATTGCATCGTATATGCGCGGTGTGCAGTCAAAACATGTACAGAGCACAGATGGCTCGTACTATACGTACGTGACTGAGCATGCCGCTACGACCCCGAGAACTGCCAATGTGTTCTCCCGAAGGATCAGTCACGATATGTCGTCTTCGTATGACGGTCACTTCGTACAAAAAATAAACCCCGCGCACTTTTTAAACTTCGGCGCTCAAGCAGCTGCCGGAACCCTCGGGGAGTGCCCGGCGCTCTTCCCACCGTTTGTCGAGCATGTCCCGCCGCCGCCGAGGCCTCCCGCCCCTTCTGCTCAACGTTTCCAAAGCTTTGCATGTCATACACGACAGTGACCTCCCCTTAGAGGATGGTTTCCTCACATTTGGCAGTACATGTGTATTTATTACCTTAATACTATCATTCCAGTCAGAAAGAAATTATTCATAAAATCCACCTCGCCAAGCGCGCTGAGAGCAACAGCCTACGGAGTGTCCTGCTCATCCGTGGATGGCGGTAGGCGTGAGGTTGGATAGACCTAATTTGGATGCCGAGGGATTTCACCATCATTGCCGCAGGCTCATATTCCTTTCCGGGAGATTTCCCTGGAGGATCTCTCCGAAAAGTGCGCGGAACACATTTCGTGCGCGGGGGAGTTGTTTTCCCTGCCAAAAATTCCGTGCGCCCGGGATTTATTTTTTGTACAAACTGACCGTCGTACGTTCGGTGGTGCTTGGAATCGATCTTAGTCGCGTTCGCCATGTGCGTGAGCACTAACATCGACAGTTAGAACACGATTTAGCGCAATCACTCAACGTGCGCTAGTACTTATACAATGTGTACCATCGGGCGCAGTCATTTTTTCAATTGTTGGCCTTGAATCGCCGTATACCTTGGCGTACGGTGGGCTAACACCGTTGCTGGTCTTTGTGAATTCTGAATAAGAGTGCTTCTCACCTTGGATTTAATAGGTTTGTAATAAAACCTGGGATGAAGGACAAGCGGCGACTCATTCAGAAGAAACATATGGAGACAGAAAGCTCAAGGAGACAAGCCGAATCATTCAGGTATACCGTTACCGACCACGATCGAGATCTCAGATCCTTGTACGAGTGCCTCTTCTGAGCATCATCTTGCAATTGAACTTTGAAGCGTTGAAGCTGGGCCTGCAGCTAATTTTTATACATTATGGAGTCACTAACGAGGACACAAATCGTCGTGCATTGTGTGGTTCTTCGGGTGTCTGACACTTGATGATTGCAGCCATTTCCATGCCAGGAATGGCCGCCGTGTACTATGTAGAACCAGTAGGAAATGTGCACAGTAAAAATCATCAGTCAGTCAAGTCATCCGCCGAATGGTATGGACTCGATCTCTGATCCTTTTCATGTTGAAGTTTGTTTTTTCCCCTTTATTTACCCCGGCACCGTAAACGCGATAAATGGCCGATCGCGGCCAGGCGGCAGGCCGGGCTTACCTAAACCATCCCCCCGCCTTGGACAATGACGGGCGTTCTCTCTGTTCGACCGTTTCTCCTCTCAGTCACTCCGCGTATGCCGCGTATGATCTATTAGGCCAGTCCTTGCCTGTCTGTCCCATGCAGCACAGTTCTGCATCCCTCCTGGACACCCCACACTATTTCCTCCATCCTTCGAGTCTGTTACATCGGGCTGTACGCGAGTTCTTCACCCAATCACCATACAACTGCGGCAGTCGAGCTGGGCGAGCTCGAGTGCACGGAGGGCATCGACATCAAGTGGGACTGCAGCACAGCACACGGAGGGCATCGACATCGAGTGGGACCGCAGCCAGGGTGGCGAAATCGCCTGGAGGCGCGTCGAGCATCGCGCACGCGTACCCGCTCACGCTCGGGCTCGTCCTCCATGCGCTCACAGACGGGCTTGCGCTCGGGGCATCCGCGCTTTCGTCCGGCGCGAACGTCTCGGCGGTGCCCTCGTGGCTCTCACTCGTAGTGTTTGTCGAAGGGTACGCGACTCTGTCTGGCCCCTCTGTCGCGCGTGTGGGCTGATTGGTATGTGCAGCTCTGACTGCGTTGGCCCTGACTACATCGCTCTTGGCCACAGCGCTCCCCCGTGCACAGTGCAAGATGCACCTGGCGGTGTTCAGCGCGGCGACGCCCGTCGGGGTGCTCGTGTCGTTCGTGTTCCTCTCGTTCCTCGGCGTGCACAGCGAAGGCCGCTGGCCCGGGATCGTGTTGCTCATTCTGTAAGTACCCACGTGCGACTTTGGAAGCTCCAACTTCTGAGCTAAAGTGTCTCGCAGGGAGGCACGTTCTTGTACGTCGCGACCATCGTCCAGCCCGTGCGGGGCTCCTCTGATGGTCTGGGCACGAAGATTCGGACACTCTTGATCGTGCTGGGGATGTTTATCCCGTTTGCTGTAGGTGCCATCCTTGGGCACGGGCATGGATGTTGACGTAGGACGTTGGTTGACGTAGGACGTTCCACGGATCGGATATATCGGTATTGTATTTTATACTGGCAATTCTGTAATTTACCCCTCCGTCCCATCTCATCACACAACAGGTCTCAGTCCGAAATAAATGCGCACTCAGCAATCGACAGGATCCTCCCAAAAAAGATCGAGCATCCCTCGACTCACCTAGCGGTGCCGTGCGTGCATGCATAAGAGCCGGCCAAAAGTGTCCGCGCATGTGGAGCTCGGCGCGTCTGTCGAGGCGGTCGTCGGGAGCAGTGTGAGCATGTCCGCGGCGGCCTGGCAGTGTCGATCGTCTTGCCCCCCGCCCAGCGCGATCACGAAGTCGGCGTAGTCAACGAACGCCCCGTCAGCGGCGATTGACACCGACGGAAAGATGTATTGGGGTGTGTGCATATATGCACCCAGACTATATCCCTTGTGTATTCGCTGTATTTTACTGTACAGATATCAGTAGCACCTCGGAGTTGGTGCAGTCAGTTGTACTTCGAGTGACGTTCAATTTAATTCAAACCGGTTGTTTGTGCTGCCACCTGCTGCCTCATGCCGCCCGAAATTTACTAATCTCTCACGCACGGGCCCAGAATTTTACAAAATTTACTCGCATAGGGTAAATTAAAGTACGCTGCTACTTTCCCCTGCCATATTCCACTTTTCTCTACTTTTTCCACCAAACCATCCAAAGCTAACGGCCCAACGCATTCGAGCACATCACACGTACTCCAAGGAGAGCGCGCATGTCTACTTTGGTGGCATTCAATTGTAAGCAACTGCGCCTCGGGCTACGAGTAGAAGAGGATAGAAATTAGTTAGCTACCTAGGAGCCTGTTCAGCTCCTTATATACTGTAAACTAAAAGACTAGAAACTACCAGACCATTCTCGAGACATTGTCCTTACTAATCCTAACCCTACGGACCTTTCCCGGACCTTTCCGTAGATGCCGGATTGCTAATCCGCACACCTTCAACATCAATGCATGGATACATGAATCCAGCTGCGGTACGCGTCTTGTTTACATGTCGTGTTTACGTGTCGTGTTTACGTGTCTGTCACGTGAGCGTTGGTGTCTCCATGCTTAACATCTCCCATGCGGCCTCAACTTGAATCTGTTGGGATTGTCTGCAAGCAGATTTCTTGGTGAGTAAGTCTCTGAGGCCGTCTCTCCCCTGTTTCTCCTGTGTTGGATGCTTGCAGGCCTGGTGGAGTTGAAGGAGTCCTATGTCCTCCACCAAGGCTCTGCCGAAAATCCGTCTGATTGCAATTTTCTTTGCTCTGGCTTCTCAAGTGCTGCGATGGCTACATTACTAATGCTGTTAAGGACCCTCCTCTGCCTGCACTGCCTTCCCTATCAACCTCGCTGCCTCTGCACATGACACCCCTCAACATGGTCAGCTCCGAAGCTGCCTGGACCCGGTGCTGCACCCCGATCTTGGCCCACATTTCCTGAGAGGCACCCAGCAGACAGACTGTATGCTGGCGGTCCTGCAAGAACTCCCTCCGGTGCCTCGTTCACTTCCAAATTGAACGAATGCCCACCATCACCTTCTACACCGCCAACGTGCGCAGAGCTTCAAATGAGATCGCGCCCCAAATATTGGCTGAGATAAGCAATCACGTTGAGTGTGCATGGTTGCAATGCATTGTTTGTGTGGAACTCAACATCTGATTGTCATAACACCCATCTCGTTACAACATGGCCTCCAGCCTGCTCTGATGTACTGAAGTCTCTCGCAACAACATATCCATGGCCAACGTGACTTTGCGCCTTCAAGCTTCAAGGCTTTCAACTGTCACACCTCGTGATAGACTGTCACCGCAAGCCAACACCACAACTTAAACTGAACTTAAACCCGAACTTGATGCTGCACATCTTAACTCCTCCCTCAAGGCCCCATCGTGGATGCAAGGATGTTGACTTTCATACTTTAGGCCTCAAATGTACATTTACAGTTTACCATGGAAGGGATATGGTACGTCCTTTAGCATGTTGGTTTGAAGGTGGCCCCCATACCTGTCCTTGCCGATATTGCTGCACGACTGACTCTCCATGCTCAATGCTCATAGCAACCAATGCGGTATAGTAACTGGTGGCTGTGTAGGTCTGATCCCACTTGAAACTCATGCTGCTGACTGACCATCTTACAGAAACTCTCTGTGGCACAGTATACGGCTCGTAAGAGACCTGATTTTGTACTTGCTTAAGTGTCATTGCACGGTAAGTCATTTCCCACTGTACACAACTCTCGCTCATGCACCTGTCACTAACTTTCAGGTGCCCCGCACCCTCCTGGGGCCTCTACAACTTCAACGTGCAGATAGCTGCTGCAAATCTCACTTAGCCTGTGTGAAGAGTAAGTATGTCTGTGCTGGCACCATTCATGTACTCTCTATAAGGTATGCTGCTCTCACTGAACCTCCTGCCTGTACAACTAATGAACCTCAAGCAGAGAACAATGCGCTGGTCTGGTGTGTACGTGGCGTGCATGGAGGAGATCAAGCCACACTTTCCGGTTCTCCTTGTGCTTTTACTGTGAAACTGCGCAATCAACATAGCAAGCTTTGCAGTACTCGCGTTGGGGCAGCTCGTCTAGGACATTCTGCTTGTGGCACTTGAGTACTCGATGTCGGAGAGTGGTGTGCACGGTGCGGTGTTCACTTGTATCGTGACTGCGCTGCTCACAGTGTACTACGTGGACTGTGGCAGAGTGAGGTGTGGAAGCCGGAAGTGGGATACGGAACATGTAGGCAATGGACCTGCACTGTTCCCTTCGGTGGTGCAAGTGGGAGTCAGGACGTGGCAGGAGTAGAAGAGTGCGGGACAGTGCAAACAATTGATATCACGTTTGCACCCCGTAGATTAGCCCCGCATGTTTTCATAGTGCATCAATATAATTTATTTCCTATTTTATGCAATTTGATGAGAGCCAGAACAAGGCTGCTGACAAGTTCAATACATGTGGAATAAGAACATCCTATGATATGGGCTACCAGCCGGGTTCAACACAGCAAGCCCACATTGTGGGGATATGTATCTGTCCCCACTGTGAGCTGAGATACGATGACATCTGAATGCAACATCATTTGGAGAACAAAGAGATATCGGAAGAATAGGTGTGTGGCATAAGCGCATCACATGGTTTCCATGTGTGTGCAAGTTGGCGGTGTAGTTCGGAGTCTTCCGCGACCTCTACAGGCAAGCATAGCTTCGTTTCATTCCTTGCACCTAAGAGTGTCCCCACATTCAGCGGGCTGCATTCGACAATGCTCATGAAGTTTGCACTCCAGCTCGCACTCAACACGGGCGTTATTGTCGCCTGGGCACTCCTCGTCCGGCACATGAACTCCAGCACCTTCCCCCAGCCCCATGGAGAAGTCCAATGATGACAACGGTGCTCCCGCATTCAACTCCTCCTCCGCATCCCTCTTTGTAGATGTCGCCTTCATCTTCACCGTGCTCATGCAGTTCATCTTCTCCGAGCGCACAACCTCCGTCTGCATGTGGAGTGCTACTGCCATGTACTTCCCGGTGAGGCCCTCTCAACTGCGATCATCTGCCGCTGCACTCAGGGCTGCTTCAGTGTAGCATTTATATCGTGGAACTGCATGTCTCTAACTACATACACCTCCGTGCTCACCCAGACCAGAGCATGCATGCACGGGCCATGTCAAGGACAGTGTCATTGCGGTGCCGCCCCCACCCACGTATGAGAATGACAACAACATCACGTTGCTACTCGGAGGATGAGCCAGGTTGTGGAGTCTCCACAGGTGCAGGAGATGCAGGGGGTTCATACAGATGGGAACAGGCTTGTGAGCCCGTTCATGGTGTCACCACAGGAGCAGGAGGCTCGGGAGGTTCATGCAGATGGGGACAGGCCCGTGAGTGCCCCGTACAGTAAATAATGACCTTTTGACAAGGTGAGCCCACCGCTGCCCATGCAGCCTGCATGATCACAGACTCACACTCACGAACTCACACTCACGGACTCACACTCACGGACTCACACTCACGGACTCACACTCACAGTGTTGTCAGGATCATGGTCACCGTCATGGCTTGCACCAAGCCAGTGCTCCCCCCGGACCGAAGAAATAGGTAAATAATACATTAAAAGCAATATATGTTGCCTCGTATGTCTTTTCGGTTTGACGTGTGACGTACCGAATGCAAAAACCCTTCAAATCTGAAACCAGATCTCACTGGTGTTCACGATCGTGGAAGCAAATATGCAAATGCCAATCCTATCTGAAAGGGTCTCGGGTGGACAAGGGAGTGGTTATGAGCTCTGTCCTCACCTCCTTCTCTGCTTATTGACTTCAGCCCAGCGATGGGGAGGACCAAGGCCTCGAAGGCGGTAATCGCAGGTACGAAGGCGACACCACCAAAGCAGAGACGTTCTAAGAAAGCATCCACGGCTGTGGTGAGGAGTCTCGACACTCTCCAAGAGACAAAGGAAGCTGGAAAAAGACAGTTCAAGCATGCTCAGAGCACCCGCAGGAACTACGATGGAACGGTCACTCGCATGCGAAAATGGGCAGCCGAGTACGGGCCATCGGAAGGCCAGGACGTCGACATATCACACGTGCAGGCAGTCAGGGATTCGGCCGAAGGTGCAGTCGGTGTCGACCCGGAATTCAGGCTGGCGTTCACTGGCCACCTGAAGAAGTGCTCGGGAGATGCACTGGCACTGTACATCACTTTCAAGTGCCTTCATGAAGGACTGGGCACGTCGACTGCCACCAGGGCACATGCTGCTATCAAGAAATATTGGGAGGAACTGTATGTACACACCATGCATGCTGTCAGATTGCTTCCACTCACCACAAGTCTTGGACATCTTGCAGTGATGGCGATGTCTATCGAGGAAGATGGCACTTTGACGAACACGCTCAGCGCTGGGCTGGCAATCCGGTAATGTGCGCCGAAGTGCAAAATATACTCGATGCGGTCAATAACAAATATGGTGCGGATGGTGGTGAGCGAACTCACTCGGCGGCGATGCAATATGAGTATCTCGACCAGGTTATCAAGTGGTCTGAGAGTGTGTGTCCAGAGATCAGTGTGCACATACCACCCGTGGACGTGGAGAGCCGGCACGTCACAACCAAGCACCTGTTGTTCAGGGCATTTGCAACTACGGGATGGACAATCTGGTCGAGGTATGTACTTCTCCCAGTCATGGCGTAGGCTTCCTTACATTGCGCTCACACTGCACATGCTCCATCTGTCATCAGAAACTTTGAGACAGTGGCCTTGAAGTGCAAACACTACATCCTGAATGCGCAGGGCCCCAATTCATCCAGCAAACCATTCTTCAAGTTGGAGCTCGTTGACCGGAAGGGCTGGCGGAGAAAGAATCTGAAGGATAGAAGCGGGTCCGTCGAACATGACCTCCAGGGTGAGCCGATCTGCTTTTGAGGGCTGCTGCGCGATTTTCTGATTGCTCGAGTGCGCCAACTTCAAGGCAACACTTATCACATCTATGACCAGCCCACGCTTCCATCCGCAAATGCATACCGTCATCTCCCCGCTTGGATCCAGTACCTGGAGGCCTTTCATTATGGCCGGCCGCTACATGATGACGACTACCTGTTTCCGACTATCAGCACAAATGGCATGATTCAGCCTCACCTGCCAGTCTCGCACGATACGATTCAGCAGTGGCTGAATGAGTTTACAAAGGAAGCCGGTGTAGCCCAGCTGGTCCGCGGTGAGTTCACGACACACTGCTTCCGACATGGTGGTACACAGTATCGCTTCATGTTTGCTGCGCCGGGTGATCGCTGGACCCTGGCAAGGGTACGGTGGTGGGGCAGATGGGCGAAAGGGGAGCATGTGAGTCTTTGTGCATGGCACATGTAGCGTCATTCAGCAGAGACTGACATCGCCCTGCACAGTGCGATATGTTGAACAGATATCTACTTGACGAGCTGTATATGTACGAAGAAAGTCATGCAGACACACTTCATTCTGCAGTGAGAGCGGAGGGACTGAGCTTCCTTCAGGATGACATGTCCGCCATATCTGATGGATGCTTCCGTGAGAGTCTGCTGTCGATACGCCAGGACCTGGGCAGCGCGGTGAGTACTGCCATGTCGACATTCTTCGCCAGGCAGTCACAGTCGGCGGTGTCTACTCCCACTGATCAGTCGGGTATGTGCTGGCCCTTTCTTGAACTGGAAGTAGCACATGCTCACCTTTGGACCCCGCATCAGAGCTGTCCCCTTCGGTTGTACAACAATTCCCGCCATACATGTGCCCCCTTGTGCCCATCCCCATCCCTGTCTCTCCTAGGACACGATCAACAATTGCGACATCGAGGCCGTCCGCTGTTCATCTGGTGTGGATGGAGCACCATCTGATCTTCCCCAATCAAGCACCCATGCCAACGTTGATCGCTGCTACACGAGCACGGCCCTCTTCACTGCCGCCACCAAATGTGTGCGTCTTGAATGTCCCAATACCACGCGAGGGTCGACGCCTAAAGTCCGAGTCTTGGCGTGATATTGTGGAGCTCTGGGAAACTGGCATCCCCGAGCAAGGGGTTCTCCCACTGAAGGACTGGCCGAAGGCATGGTTGACAGGCGCAAACAAGCCCCGCTTTGCATTGAAGCATCACCAATGCAGGGTGATCGCAGAGGAGTACTTGGTGAGGTGAGTGTCTGTGTGCTCACCATCATCCAAGTCGCCGGCGGGTGTTGATCGATGGCTCGCAGCGGCGCGCAAGGTTCAGGCGCGATGATGCTGCATTCCTCCAGGCTTACCCCAAAGCCGTGAAAGGACACACGGCGCTGCTCGGTGCCATCAATCGTGCTCGTGCAGGGAGGGGCGAGCTTGTCGAGCGAAAGAGCAAGAACGGGAGCCTATCCCGCCATCACCGATGACTGTGGGCACCCTGGTGACAGGCATCTCGTGCTCGAGATGTGCTCTTGCGACATTACGGTATATTTTTCCACCTGGCTTCGACTCCGCATCTCATTGTCCACTCACTTCAATGCTGCACGAGGATCTGGTAAATAGAAGAACTAATATTAATCAGTACTCTACTTTGCTACCTAGGCTAGTACTCTACTACTCTACACCTCGACTGTCCAAACAAATGTTTGCTGTTTTGTATTGGGTCCTCTTCATGCTCTGCTGCATCCCGTGAAAGGAGATGAGAACTCACCCGGCAAAGGACGTGGAGTGCACGATGACGGTGATGGGGGGCGATGGCAAAAAGGGCACCGCAAGCGATGAGGGATGATGGAGGACCGAATGCGATGCAGCAGAGGAAGACATGGGGCATCGAAAGGGGTGAGCCTGGAGGGAGGGAACACGCTGCAACTGGCAATGAGGACAGGACGCCGCAGGGTGTGAACGATGGAGAGGTGGAGCGTCATGATGATCTTTGTGGCAGGACGATGAACGAGAGGATGCCGCCGCCGCCCTCGCTGCTGGCCCGCCCACAAGTACATACCGTATTCCGGTGCTTGTGCTGCGACGCGGTGCGACGACGATGGCGGGGTGTCTCTCGTTGGCCGAGGGAGGACGGGGGGGCTGGGGATCGAGGAGATCGAGGGGCGATCAGCCGGAGTTGCCATATCGGGCAACCGCTTAGGTCAGCCACGCCAGCAGGTGGTAAATTCCTTGGAGTAAGTACATACATTGCGACATGGACGGAATAGTTTAGCGCTCACGCTGCCGGTATACTTACGTAATCACGTAGCTACTGCTGCCGGACGTTCGTACAACGCACCTCAGTCACTCGTTTGCTACCGCACCGGGACTGAGGTGATTACTCTCTTTTTACTTAGTTCTCACTTTACTGACCTACAGTAGCATACTGCTCCTTTGTCCCTGCTACAGGTTGGTACTAATATAGTCACTCGTTTGCTACCGCACCGGGACTGAGCATACTGCTCCTTTGTCCCTGCTACAGATCCATCAGACATCCGTTGGACGTCTTTCCACCTCGCCGCGCACGAGGGCTCCGGGAACAAAATTATTTACCTTAGGTCGAAAAACTCAAGTAAGGGCTCCGAGGACACCCCTCCCTCCCCTCCCTCTTTCCAAAAAAGGATTTGCATGATTACATAAACCAATGCAATATCGGGCACGATAGTCTCTACGTCAGTTCCGCATGCATTTGTTGGGTCTGTAAGCTATCATTCCAGTGTTTTCTGCACATATCTGGTCACAGAACCAGTCAGACTGTGGAGCTTCAGGCATCATCCATACACCCCACCGACACAGTGGAAGGTAACGTAGAAGTGAGCTTGCGAAGGTTGCTGATCAACTGCTCTGCAGAAACAAGAGGTGAGAGGGAATTCGCGCGTGATGACAGGGGTAGGAGGACGAGAGGGCCAGCAAATCCATCAACATCAATTCGCTACATAGCAGTACTCAGGTTATCATCCCGCAACCCAACTATGACGGGCGGTGAAGAAACAGGTACCGGTGCAATATCTGCAAGTTTTTGCACTGGTCATATCTTCGCAGGCCTCGGGATGGATGGTGTAACAGTGACTGGTCGAGAAGTAAAAAAGGCGGTGAGTTTCTGGTTCCTACCTCTGATGTTCACCCTGCACGACAAGTTTTGCTTGTGGGCATTACTCGTGGCACGATGGTCCCAATTTTCAGATCCTCCGGTTAATCTCTCTGTTATAGATGGAACAAAAGTGAGATGTCTCCACAGGTTCCTGATCAAAAATTTCAGACATCATTCTCGAATAGGAGATAGTACTTTACTTCTGCACTCTTGTTCTTGTCCTTTTTGCGAGGCATTCCAATCGCACCTGCACGGATGAAAGTCGCAGAGACTCGGGGGAAATGGACGAGTTCATGGCCATATACTGTGAGAATGGTGTTCACAAGGTGATCTGCAGTCCGAAATTCAAGAGTCTATCAGCAGGAGGTTGTCTCAACCATCGTTGAAGTGCACTGAACTACAGAGATGCAATTTGGGTAACTCGGGAACTGTCTCAGAGCATATGGCAGCATTAGTACCATAACCCAACTAAGGACCCTGGGCTACCCCCTCCCTCCCTAACCTCCAGTCTCGGAATTTTCCGGCTGAGTCCTCGTGTCGCCGTGTACTCGCAACAGGTTATGAGCCCCGGCTCTAACTGAATCTGACAGGATCGCATACATCGAGAACTCAATCGCTCCCCATCACCTTCTTTTCCCACCAACTGCTTCACTCATTTACACAGCTGTCACACAATGTCCCTCTACCCACCGGTACCTCAGGTCAAACCGAAGGCTGAGTCAAACCGCCTCTATGATGTCCTGTTCCTCGAAAGCAATGGCAGCAACTTTCAGATGTGGAAGTACCGCATGACCACCATCTTCCGGCTGTGTGGTCTATATGCGCTCATTGATGGCACTGAGACTGACCTTGGAGCAGCAGATTCCACCAAGAAGGCGGACTGGGATTTTCGTAACAGTGAGGCACTCGCGCAGATCACGTTGACGCTCAAGGATGAGCCGCTCAACGGTGTGATGTACTCGATGACAGTGCAGGATGCTTGGGAGAAGTTGAATAAGCACTATGAGGGCAGAGGCAAGCAGACCTTAGCCTACCTCATCAGTGACCTCTTCCGCAGCACACTCAGTAATGAGTCGCCGCTTGAGCCGCAGCTCAACACAATGCAGCAGAAGGCTCACATCCTCGAGACACTCGGTCTTGCCCTTGACGACACGCTCATTGCTATCGCTATGACAATCTCTCTTCCTCCCTCCTATTCTACCCTTCGTACCATCCTCATGGCCTCTGACTCCAAGCTCACTGTAGAGAAAGTCGTAAATGAGGTCCTTAGTGAGGAGAAGCGACGCGGTGAGATGACCGCAGCATCTGCACTCATTGTGAAGCATGCCAACTTCAAGGCAAAGTTGAAGGGGAAGGACAAGGACAGGAAGAAGAAAGGCAAGTGTGCTTTCTGTGGCTTCCCTGGTCACACGAAGGACGAGTGTCGGAAGTTCAAAGCCAGCCAGGCCGAGGGCACCGCTGCGAAGGGCGATAAGAAGGCTGAGAAGGCTGCCGAGACAAAGGAGTCTGCGAAGATCGCCAGTGTAAGCCAGGTGGATTCTGAGACACTCTGTCTCTTCATCGCGGAGGAGTTGGCACATGGCGATGACCTTCTCCATCGCTGGATTGTCAATTCTGGAGCTTCCTCCCACATGACATTCCATCGTGAGTGGTTCATCAACTACCGCACCCTCGCTATGCCCAAGCGCGTCTACCTCGGAGATGAGCACTTCATTCTTGCTGTCGGTATCGGTCAGGTCACACTCCATGCAGCAGTCGACCATGGCTCAATGAACACTGGCATTGTGCAAGAAGTCCTCCATGTTCCAGACCTAAATGGCAACCTCCTCTCTGTCTCACAGTTTGATCATAACAGCTATGATGTCCGGTTCACGGATGGTACGTGTCGCATCAGCAATGCCCAGGGCCAACTTAACGCTATCGGGTACATGCGAAGGAACCTCTACATCCTCGATGTGACCACACACCTCCCGGAATGAACCTACATCTCGCGAGCAGACAACCTTCCTCCTCCCTACAATGACTCCACTAATGGTCCGATGCTCCATGCCTTTGTTGCAAGAGAGATGACCTCCAGTGCGAGCACTGATGTCTGGCATCGTCACCTCAGCCACATCTCTGTGGGCTCTGTGCTGAAGATGGTGCAGAAGAGAATGGTCAAGGGCATGTCGATCATTGGCGAGAAGGTGAGCGAGGCCATCTGCAAGCCTTGCCTCCATGGCAAGCAGACACGTCAGCAAATTCTGAAGGAGTCGGATGTCAAGAACCCACGCGTTCTCCACCGGACCTATTCCGATGTCTGCGGTCCCATGCAGACCCAGACCAGATCAGGTCACTGCTATTTCATCACATTCATCGACGGTCACACACACAAACTTGTTGCCAACCTTATGAAGATGAAGGATGAAGCCCTCTCACAATTGAAAGCCTTCATTGAGCGTGCCGAGGTCAAGACCGGGCAGCATGCAAACATCCTGCAGACTGATGGTGGCGGAGAGTACGAGTCGAAGGAATTTGATGCGTATCTCAAGGCAAAGGGCATCCACCACGAGAAGACAAATGCCTACACTCCACAGGAGAATGGCGTCTCAGAGCGGATGAACCGTACTGTCGAGGAGATGGCCCGGTGCATGCTAAATGATGCCAGGCTGCCGAATGCATACTGGGGTGATGCCATACTACATGCGGTAAATATCCTCAACTCCATTCCAACTCGCGTGCTCCCGGATGGCCTCACGCCATATGAAGCCCACACCGGAAACAAGCTGAGTGTTGCACACCTCCGCATTTTTGGCTGCAAGGTCTATGTCCACATACCAAAGGAGAAGCATCAGAAACTTGACTCGAAAATGCTCGAGTGCACGCACCTGGGGTTCACCGAAAACTGCAAGGCTTACCGGCTAGTTCACAGACCTACTGGGCGCATCATCGAATCCCGCGATGTCTACTTCGACGAAGGATCCGAAGTCGAACCGAGTCATGTCACAATTGATGTCACACCTGCGCAGCCAGCACCTGATGTGCGACCACTGCTGCAGTTGCAACCGCTGCTGGCACTGCACCCACCGAGGCCAACTGTTGAAGATGTTCCTGATGAGGATGAGGATGCACCAGCACTCCTCAACATTGATGATGACAGTGATGATGAGGACGATGATGAGGACGATGATGAGGACGATGAGGACGATGATGCACCACTGCCGGAACCCCACTACCAGCACCGGCAGCAAGCGCCACGTGCTGCACAGTCACCGCCACCAGTATCAGTACCGGCAGCGGCACTGGTACCAGAACTGCGCCGTTCTGGTCGAACATGCACGGCACCGGTAGTGGCTGATGATGACCGCTATTTTGTGTCCTCTTACACACGAAAACTGAAGGACCAGGACAATGCCGGTGGAGTGGGTGCTGCTGCTGGACCGGCAGAGGGCGCTGCCGGAGTAGGCGATGAAAATGCAGAAAATGTGCGCAAAGCCGCAAACTGGGATGAACTGCAAACCTATGAGGAGGCGATGTCACGCCCTGATGCTGCACGCTGGAAGGCTGCATGCACAGAGGAGCTGCATGCATTTGTCAAAGCAGAACTCTATGACGAAGTGGAGCGCCCGCGCAACCGTAAGGTTGTTGACTGCAAGTGGGTTTTTAAGATCAAGCGTGGACCGGATGGCGAAATCGAGAAGTACAAGGCCCGACTTGTTGCCAAGGGCTTCACACAGGTCGAGGGCCTTGACTTCAATGAAACTTTCGCACCTGTTGCAAAGTTCACTTCCATTCGCACACTGCTCGCTCTCACCGCCAAGCTCGACCTTGAGATCCATCAGATGGATGTCAAGTCGGCATTCCTGAACGGTGATCTTGATGAGGAGATCTACATGAACATCCCACCGAGTTTCCGCAAGGACAACAAGCTCATCTGGAGACTCAACAAAGCCCTCTATGGTCTTAAGCAGGCTGGGCATAAGTGGTACAAGAAAATCTGTGCTGAGTTCGAGGCGCTCGGGTTCACCCGCTGCAACTCGGACCACAGCGTGTTCTACAAGAACGACAATGGTACACTCCTTATCATTGCAATCTACATTGATGACATGCTCATCCTCTCCGACAACCCCACCGCTGTCAACACTCTCAAGGATGATCTCAAGTCTCGCTTCGAGATGACCGACCTTGGTGAAGCACGATGGCTTCTCGGCATGGAAATCACCCGTGATTGTCCCCGCCGTATCCTTGAGCTCTCATAACACCAATATGCCGAGAAGGCTCTCGCGCAGCATGGTATGGCTGACTGTCACCCGGTCAGCACCCCTATGGCACAGAACCAGAAGCTCATCAAGCTCTCGGAGGCAGAGATTGACCCGAAGCCTTACCAGAGCGCGCTTGGCTCCCTCATGTATGCCATGCTCGGCACTCGTCCCGACCTTGCTTTTGCAGTGGGCGCATTGAGCCAGCATGCTGCAAAGCCCAGCAAGGAGCACTGGAATGCTCTCATGTGGGTATATCGCTACCTGCGTGGGACAGCAGAAAAAAGGCTCGTCTACCAGACTACTACCAGGGAGAAGGAACTCCTTCTCGGGTACGTTGATGCGGATTGGGCGGCTGATGTCAATGACCGTCGATCAGTCACAGGTTTTGTCTTCCATATCTCGGAAGGCGCTGTCAGCTGGTCTTCAAAGAAGCAGTCCCCAACAGTGCAATCCAGTACATCAGGAAAACCCCACTTTCTCTTACAGACTTATTTAGACTTTTGGGTCTGACAACCCTTATTTAAGGCTATAAGTGTTCAAATAAGTCGAATTTCAGACACTCAGAGAATATGCCTTAGGCCCTTTTTGTCCTTATGTCCTTAAATAAGGACCATAAGTCCATTTAAGTTATTTAAGTGCCCTTTTAAGGAAAAGTTGGGTTTTCCTGATGTACTGAAGCTGAGTACATGGCTGGTGCTCATGGTACAAAGGAGGCAATCTGGCTCCACGCTTTCCTCTCGGAGATTGGACAGGTTTTGAAGGGTCCTACTTCCCTACTCATTGATAACCAGTCCGCAATTGTGCTCACCAAGAATGCCGCTTTCCATGACCGCACCAAGCACATCGCCATGCGCTACCACTTCATCCGCGAGAAGTATGACTCTGGAGAAATCCAGCCTGAGTACGTTCCTACTGGAAATCAGGTTGCCGATATCTTGACGAAGGCGCTTCCTCGTGAGAAGCTTAAGAAGTTCAAGGCGGAGATGGGCTTGGCTTAGGTATTTTTTTCATTCTCTATTCTCTGTTCCCTGTCACCCTGAGTGGGCATGTTGAAGTACATACATTGCGACATGGACGGAATAGTTTAGCGCTCACGCTGCCAGTATACTTACATAATCACATAGCTACTGCTGCCGGACGTTCATACGATGCACCTCAGTCACTCGTTTGCTACCGCACCGGGACTGAGGTGATTGACCCCATTCAGCAAAAATCTCCCTGAATCTGGACAAGCCGACTAGTGACGCGTGCCCAGATTCTCCACAAGCCAATGTGGGCCGATGAGACCCTCATATGCCCATTGCTTGGATGGGCCATCTGTGGTGTACATCTTTACCTCTGGTCGGCCCATTTATTGACTCTGTTCGCACATACACAAGAAGGTTGGATGGGCCCAGGCAGCATCGTTAGAAAACTTTCGGTTCGGCCCACTCAGAGGCCTGCAGAAGTAAGGCCTCAGATCTTCTACTTGGCCGACAGTTGTTGATACAGGCATACATGCCTGTAGGCAAAGTTGCACATCGACATAATTGACCAGGCCCATGGACAAGGCAAATGATCGAGTGTTCTCGTGTCGGCCAATCCTTGGCTGTATTCGGTACTTTACTCTGGGCCCACCGTCAAGCGTGTACATTGAGTTTTCATGTTGGCCGATCCTTGGCTGTGTCTTATACTTTACACACGGCCGTAGCATTCTGTACCCATGATTTTCATGTCAGCCCATCCCTGGCTGTATTCGATAGATTAGACTCGCTTTGATGCATTAGACTCGGCCCACCGTCAGGCGTGTACCTCGAGTTTTTGTGTCGGCCGATCCTTGGCTGTATTCGATAGACTCGGCCCACCGTAAGGCGTGTACCTAGAGTTCTCCTGTCGGCCTATGTATGACTGTATCCCACATTCTAGACTCGGCCCACCGTCAAGCGTGTACCTCGAGTTTTTGTGTCGGCCGATCCTTGGCTGTATTCGATAGACTCGGCCCACCGTCAGGCATGTACCTAGAGTTCTCCTGTCGGCCCATGTGTGACTGTATCCCACATTCTAGACTCGGCCGCCGCATCGGCGTAGCATTCCATACCCAAGATGTTCATGCCGGCCCATCCCTGGCTGTATTCGATACATTAGACTCGGCCCACCGTCAGGCGTGTACGTTGAGTTTTCGTGTCGGCCGATCCTTGGCTGTATTCAGTACTTTACTCTCGGCCCACTGTCAAGCGGTCGGCAAATCAGTGTACCTGGTGTTCTCATGTCCGCCCACCCTCTGTGCACCAATGACACAAACGCTTGAAGAGGTCAACCCTGGTCTTTAGCATGAGGCCATGCCAGGCGGAACTTCCTCGTCTGCTGTGTTCCTTGAGGAACGTTCTTGAGTCTCAGTTGGTTCGGAGTACTCCGGCATAGTACCATGGTTCCGCTGTCCTGAACTCCGTGCTGCATGCATGCTACATATGACAAGACGCAGGGCACAGTACTTTTTTCAACAAAGTTCCACTGCGGCCGACGCAGTGGAATTCTGGGCCACTATTTGATGGCAGAAAAATGGCAAGGCTTGCTGAAATGGCCTAATACTATCAGTGACCTGGATATGCCACCATTGGATGTCAGGAATTTTTCTGGCATTTGGTGCACTCCATCAAGTGCCTGAAAGTTTCGTAGATGTTTTTGAACCTAAAACATTGTAAAAGTTTCAGGATTAAATGGGGCCAAGTCAACTCCTAGTAAAGTAGGGATTGCAGGACGGTGGCGTTATTTCATCAGCGGCCAGATCAGTACAAGGTCAGGATTACTGGCTGCGGCATTCCCAGCTACAGCCTTCACAACAAGCCAGGCTAATTGGTCTGACAATTAGTCCATTTCGCCCAGGTCGCACTTCGGCACATCTCCAAATTGTTGGACACATCTCAGAAAAATCCGAAAGAATAGTCTGCAGGTGTGTTATGTCCGAGATAAAAATCCACTAAGATGCCACACACAACATTCGGTAACCACAGCATGTGGTAGGAACAGAATATTATGGCACCTCAGGTCTCAGGCCTGCAATTCGTGACGCGCTACCAGTTCACATGAATGGTCTGGCGACGTCCGGTACTTCAGGTGTAGCATTGTGCACGTACACCACAATACTCACCTGCAAAGTCTGAATAACGCGGCTGAAGTCCCAAAGGCTCGTCATGTGTTGTGGGGCTGCATGTGTTGCATCCACTATCTTACACCCAGTTAATGATATCGGCCACGGCATCAACCATCCATCACGCCGGAGCATGAGGCTGTACCAAATTCTTTCATGTCGGCACAACCGTGGCTGTATGCCCAGCCCACCATCAAGGTGTCGCCATATTGCGACCTCGGCCACCCATGAGGGACCAAATTGTGTCGACTAGTGCAATCTCTCAAGTTACCCTGTATTACCAGCTTCATTTGTCGCCCAAACCCTAGCACCTCAATTTGAACAGCATAAATCTGGATCTGAAGGATTCTTTACAGGCTTTTTGTTCATATTTCGTGCCCTCAGCCTCGATCGCTCTACTGACAGTGGAGTTGCTCATCCGGGGGCGCTCTCAACGGACACCACCTTGTAAAGATATCTAACACAGTGTTCATAAAGAATGAGATACTTCGCTGAACAAGCACAGTTGTGTCACTTTTCACACAGCAAAACTGACACGGGAGAACCAACATCTTCCAATTGTTGTGTAAATCACGAAAACTGCTCACCAACAAGTCATAAATTCCATCCACAACACCCGTGCTGCAGCCTGGAGCCAAGCCCTACAGTTACGAGCCCAGTTGACAATCTAGGGCACAGCAAATAACTCAGCTATGCCCGGGCTAGTCAGATATTTCAGGCGACCCATGCCTATGGGCCCAGTCAAAGACCACTGCAGATTGCTATGCCTGTGGGCCCAGTTGAAGAACAGGGACATCCCAGAATCTCATGGGCCCAGTCAATGAACTCAGCGATGGTGCACTATGGGAAAAACCTCTAGTACTAGGAGGCTATCGGCCTATTCCAGAATCTGCAGTATGGGATCTCGATCAGCCGAAATAGGCTTGTCCAGAATCTGGGCACGCGTCACCAATCTGTTGGTCCAGATTCTGGTGGGTTCTTAGCTGTTCTTTGCTGAACGGTGTGGGTGATTACTCCACAAGGTGCATTCCACCTTTTTTCCTGAGAAAAAACCTGGGGAAAATGACAAAGTAAGTCTCCGGGAAATATCTGGGAAAAACTGAGAGAAAACAATAGTGTAAATCCTGGGGAAAAACCGAGACCCAGAAAAAGCAACAGATTTCTTGGAGAAAAAACCTTTGTTTCCAAATTGGGATTTCTGCAAGAGATATGTGGGAGATTCCCAAGATAATTCCCGGGGATATGTTTTTCCCGCCACATTCGGGTGCTGGGCTGAGGGAAATTTCCCCGGGAATTATCTTGCGAATCTCCCACATACCTCTTGCAGAAATCCCAATTTGGAAACAAAGGTTTTTTCTCCGAGAAATCTGTTGCTTTTTCTGGGTCTCGGTTTTTCCCCAGGATTTACACTATTGTTTTCTCTCAGTTTTTCTCAGATATTTCCCAGAGACTTACTTTGTCGTTTTCTCCAGGTTTTTCCCCAGGAAAAAAGGTGGAATGCACCTTGTGCTCTCTTTTTACTTAGTTCTCACTTTACTGACCTACAGTAGCATACTGCTCCTTTGTCCCTGCTACAGATCCATCAGACATCCGTTGGACGTCTTTCCACCTCGCCGCGTACTCGCAACATTTCATTGATACACGCCCGCCTGGGCAGAAGACGCCACCTGCATCAATCACCGCCTTCTGCACCGCCACAGTTGGCACTACTCGAATTGGACAACTATCAGTAGACACAGCATATTCGTACAGTAAGTACCTGCTAAATTGCCTATACATCAGGGAAAAATCACTTCGCTCGACAGACCTAGGTAGGCTCGCTAGCACAGATAGTTGGATAGACAAGTCCCCGTGTCGTTAGTGCTCGATAGTTGCCAGTGTAGTCCCGATAGCACTCGATAGTCACCGCGTACATTCAGGGAGCGCTATCGAGTGCAAGAAAACTCGCATCAAATACTCCGTAGTACTGATATCTCACGTAGTTCACATGTAATAGATGGTCATTCGACATCCTCAGGTGATCATGAAGTAATACAACATTCATTCGAAGAACGTATTGTAGTAGGTACTGATCAGTCATCCTCGCCCTCACTGTCGGTATCTCTAGTGCACCCTGCCAACTCCTTCTGCGCGTCCTCGATCACCGTCGCCGAGATGTGACCTGTCGGCTTGTCCTCGTCACCAACACCTGTTGCACGGCTGCGAAGAACAACCATGAGAGACTGCTGTGAAGTTAAATATTGGTACTCACCGGGCGCGATCATGCCACTTCTTGCAGATGTTGCGGACCACACCAGGCGACGGTTCTGCCCACTTCGCGATATCTGCAACATGATTGACATACCGACGCTCGTTGTCACCTTCACGGAATGCGACCGAGACTTGGATCCCCGTTGACCATTCTTCAATGACATGTTCAATCTGATTACGCAGTGTCAGAAATTGTCTGAGATACATGCGAAGCACTCACACCCGTCAACAGAAGTGCAAGCATTGGCAAGTGAATGGGATCAAAATATTTTCTATATTTCACGCCATACGATGTCTTCATCTGAAAAAAGCATTCCTTGATGAGTTTGAAAACAAGAGGATTGTGTAGGAAGCCATTTCGTGTCCCGGCTTCTAAATCATAAGTCTATGACAGATTGAGAACAGGACGAGACTCCAGTGCAAACGAGTGAATGAACACACCTTGTAATGGAACGTTGATTCCTCCATGAGACCACGGTAAAGTTTGATATTCTTTCGGCGTGCGCTGGAGGTATCAGTCACAATAAATCCGTATGCCGCAGGTATGTGTTTTCGAGTTTCCTCCACCATATCACCACGTGCATTGGACTTGCGGCTCACAATCTGAAAACCCGTGCTGATCAGCTTGTGAAAATTGGAAGAGGAGAAGGAGAAGATGCACGATAGTTGTCATTCTATCGGTAAGCTTCCATCTCCATGCGCGTGGCATACTTCTGTCCAAAGATCATGGGCCCATGAAGCCGCTGTCTCCGCACTCGGGTAGGCCTGTACTCCTATGATGTGACATTCAAAGTGGTGAGTAGCATCTAATAAAAGGAATTTAACATCATCCTTATAATCGGAAGCCTTCGGGCAACCACTGGGAGGCTCGTCATTCGCGAACTCGGCATGTTTCAGCGGTGTCACAACTTTAGCCATATCTGAGGAGTCCTTCGATAGCGGTGAGCATTCAGGAACTGCAGTGTGGGCATTCAGCGTAGGGGTATTGTGTGATTCCGCAATCTCCACGTCCGCTGAAGTGTCGGGTGCTGTCAGTCAGCGCCTGGCCCGTGCTTGATCATCATCATCACTAATTGTAGTGACGATGTTTCCTCGGCAGACCAAATTCCCAGATGCTGCAATTGTTGAGTCAGTCAATGCAGTCAGAAGTAAATGAACAAAAATTTTCGCACGCTGCCTCTGAGGCTGTGTGACAGCAGTGGCGTCTGATGCTGTGGCCACGCGAGAAGAACCTTGACGGCGCAGGTATGAGCGGGAACCCCGAGTGCGGTCGTGCATTGCAGAAGTGGTGCTGATGGCCATCGCTGTACCCCTCTTCAGCTGTAGTTGAATGCGAATAAGTATTAGTTAGCATCAGTCACAGAGCGTCGCGACGTACCGAAGACCCAATGCTCAAGATGCCTGAGACTTGCCCAGGCTCATCCTCATCTTCACTTTCGTGTGGTATACCCTCGTATTCTGCTTCTGTTGGCTCCCGTGTGGCTGTTTGAGTCTGCTTACCCTTCTTCACCTGTTTCTGCAACTTGGCCACTTTTTTGCGAAGCTGATCGAGTTCGTTCTGATCCTTACGTGCTTGTTGTTCATCTGGTATGAGGTATGTCAGTAGCATCAAACAAGGTGTCGTGAGGCCGGACTGAGAAGCTTACTCATTTCTTGTTGCTTCTGGGAGACTTTCCGAGTTTGTTTCTCACCAGCGGTTGCCGCTGTCCGTGCATTCTTCTTGTGAGGTCTTGACCTTGTTTCAGACTCTGAGCTGCTTTGCTCAGAGCCTGGGTTGTTTTCTGAAGGAGGTGACTTGCGTTTAGGCATGGTGAGGGTCAGAGGGAGACTTGGATTTGGGTAAGCAGCCAGCATGTTAAACTTAGAACCCACACGCCGCAATAAATGTGGCGGCCATGTGCCACGACAACTTGAACTTCATGTTCTGCTCCTTCCTGTGAATTGTACCCTCGCATTGCCAACCTACCTTTAACATCACAAACATGCCTCAATTTACCTGCTCATTTTGCCACCAAACCAAGCCAACACTCCAGGGCTTACGCTCGCATATCTCCCAGAAAAGATCATGTCGACTAGTTTTTCTTCGCAAGGTCGCAAAGGGCCGTGCTATTCCAGGGGAAGATGTTGAAGCTGCACATCAAGACGGGCCTCCTGCCAGTGAAGAAGATGGAGGTGATACCAGAGATGAAAATGATGTGATGTTAGATGACCCGGATGTTGATTCAGAAGCAATGGTGCTGCCGGACCCGATGGAGAGAGCTGAAACTGGAGATCCTGGGCCAGGGTCAAGTCTGTTGGAAGAGGAACCTCCTGTACAACAGAATGCCCGGCGTGCAACTGTTGAGGACGTGGAAGATGAGGAGTTTGGTGGCTTACCAAAGCATCCATAGATCGAAGACTTTCCTGCCGAATTTGATATGGCATCTGTCATTCACGAGGCAAAGACACCATTTGAAGTGCTGCAGGATGAGAAGAAAGCTGCAGCAAAAGATTCCTGGGACCCCTTTGCCAGTCGAGAGGAATGGGAGCTGGCGCAGTGGTTGATGACTGCCGGCCTCAGTCAGACCGCTATTGATGACTACCTAAAGTTACCTCTGGTGCGTATGTCAGTGCACAAGTTCCTCCACACACTGACGTGGGAACTCAGGTCCAGGAACATGCGAACCTGTCATTCCATAACAAAAGAGCCTTTTACCAGAAGGTTGATGCACTCCCTCAAGGACCGTCCTGGTCATGTGAGCTCTGGGAGGTTACGGGAAATAAATTAGATGAAAAGGGAAATACTTGCATCAAGACACTGGAGCTATGGAAGTGTGATCCTGTCGAATGTGTCAAGGAATTGATTGGAAATCCTGCATTTAAAGATGTGATGTGATACGCACCGGAGAAGATATTTGCGGATGAAGAAGGAAACACAAGAATTTACGATGAAACTTGGACAGGTCAATGGTGGTGGGATCTTCAGGTGTGAGACCTTTTAATTAAATAATATATGAGGCTTACATGCATCTGCAGAAATGTCTACCTCATGGTGCCACAATTGCACCTCTTATTCTCTCCTCGGACAAGACACAGTTGTCAAATTTCAGTGGTGATAAGTCTGCATGGCCCGTGTACCTTTCTATTGGAAATATCGAGAAGTCCACTCGGCGCCAACCATCTTCACATGCAACTGTGCTGATTGGTTACCTTCCTGTGACAAAGCTTGAATGCTTTTCTAAGGCACGCAGATCCCTCGAGGGTGTACGTCTGTTCCACGCCTGTATGCAGTCACTCTTGGAACCCTTGATCAAGGCAGGAAAAGAGGGTGTTGACATGGTCTGTGCAGATGGATGCATGCAACATGTGTATCCAATTCTCGCAGCTTACATTGCCGATCATCCAGAGCAGTGCCTTGTCTCTGGCTGCCAGGAGAACTACTGCCCGAAGTGCACTGTAGATCCAAATCGATGAGGGGAACCACTCCATTCACTCATGCGAGATCCTGAAGAAATAGAGCAAATTCTGTCAGAAACTGCTGAAGGCGACAAACCGGAGAAATTTGAGAAATTGGGCCTCAAACTTGTGGATCCATTCTGGAGAGAGTTGCCTCACTGCAACATATTTGCCTGCATTACACCAGACATTCTCCACCAGCTACACAAGGGCGTCTTCAAGGATCATCTCGTGAACTGGGCTACCATGTGCATAAATGACATGCAGAAAGACATCAAGAATAAGGACCAGGAAGAGGAGATTGATCGTCGCTTCAAGGCCATGACAACTCACCCAGATTTGTGTCACTTCAAAAAGGGAATTTCCTTGATCTCACAGTGGACAGGTGCAGAATACAAGAATATGGAGAAGGTTTTCCTTGGTGTCATTATGGGAAGTGTCGACTCTGCCGTTCTTCATGCCGTTCGTGCCGTCCTCGATTTCATTTATTACGCTCATTTCGAGGTGCACACCGAAGATTCCATTACAAAGCTCGAAACTGCCTGGAAGGCCTTCCATGTGAACAAGCATGTTTTTGTTGACAAGGACATTAGACAAGACTTCAACATCCCAAAGGCACATTCAGCGGAACACTATGGATGGTCCATTCGCAGTCTCGGAACAGTTGATGGTTTCAATACAGAAAACTCAGAACGTCTCCACATCGACTTTGCAAAGCGAGCATACCGTGCAACAAATAAGAAGGCATATCTCCAGCAGATGACCACCTGGCTCACATGCCAAGAGGCTGTCCACAAGTTTGATGCCTATTTGCAGTGGGCTGAACTGCCACGACTTAAACCTCAGAACCAAAATTCCCAGAACTCGCCTTCCATCTTTGTCAGTTATGAAAGATAATCTTTTCTATCAATAAGTAGCAAATTTTTATAAGAATTGCTACTTTTAAGTAGACTTATTTGTAGGTGCATAGATTAACTCAGGATAATCGTAATATAATCTTTCAGATAATCTTTCAGATAATCTTCTGGATAATCTGAGAATAATCTGAAGATTAGCAATAAAATACAATTTTAACTTTGACACTAGCCAGGATTGAACCCTGGACCTTAGGTTGATTTTATAGAATATAATTCCAAGTGACACTTTAGACCACTTGACCATTAGGCCATACATCACAACTATCTTATATTAAATTAGACATCTTTTTCTTGAAAAAGACTTAGCCAAATTCTGTCTATTAGAAAAGAGTAAGTAAAAGACACTTGACTTTTATCATAGATAGACAAGACTTATAAAAAAACATTACTCTGAGTCTTATAGTCTTTTCTAATGCTTGCAGCCTTCATATAATGTACAATATGTAATTAATAGAATATATGTTTTTACAGTTACTTCAGCAAAACAGAACTTTGCTATACAATTAGAAGATAGCTATAAAGATCTTGTATACATAAGTGCTCAGTCTATAATATAATAGACTCTAGAGTATAAGCCTAAAATGAACAAATAAAATACTGTCTCTCAATAACTTGTTATATATTATAGATGACTATATTAAGATACTCTATAGTACTGCATGATAGTTTACAAAAACTGTAAGCTGTAGAACAAGACTATAATAGGATGCAGAGTACTGTTTGTCTATAAGTCTTGTCTATCTATGATAAAAGTCAAGTGTCTTTTACTTACTCTTTTCTAATAGACAGAATTTGGCTAAGTCTTTTTCAAGAAAAAGATGTCTAATTTAATATAAGATAGTTGTGATATATGGCCTAATGGTCAAGTGGTCTAAAGTGTCACTTGGAATTATATTCTATAAAATCAACCTAAGGTCCAGGGTTCAATCCTGGCTAGTGTCAAAGTTAAAATTGTATTTTATTGCTAATCTTCAGATTATTCTCAGATTATCCAGAAGATTATCCTCAGATTATCTGGAAGATTATATTAAGATTATCCTAAATTAATCTATGCACCTACAGATAAGTCTACTTAAAAGTAGCAATTCTCATGAAAATTTGCTACTTATTGATAGAAAAGATTATCTTTCATAACTGACATCACTGCGCCTTCAAATCTTCCTTACGAAATTGCCAAGCAACCCGGCTTTCCTAACACACCTGTTTACTCTCTAGTCGAGGATTTTGGATGCACAAGATTTGTGCAAAATCTGGAGAATTTCTTGCACAAACACTCACTTAACCAGCAAGTCCCTATTGCAGCTCAAGGTGTTCATGGTCGAACACAGTTTGCAGTCTACAAACGCGTGCAAATCAGTCTTTCAGTGGCACGACAAGTCTCACGTACTCCAACAAAGGATACTATCAGGGCGACACCACCAGTACCCATGAGGGGATTGCATATAGTGTATGGCATGGGTATCGCCAACCCACATGGGTTGTAAGTATGGGTATCTATGGGTATGGGTGTGGGTCAGCAGTGAGTAACCCATGGAAACCTATGGGCCATCTTATGGGTTTGTTATAAACATAGGGTTCCAGAAGTGTGGTGGTGGTGTAACTGTACGGTACCTTTATTAGGTAATTCAAACTTGGTATCACACACAGCTCAGAAGCAGGCCTATGTGTCATATTGATATATCAAACCACGGAAAGCTCAACTCAGGTTCGATATATCAGCAGTAGTAGCTACAGCTTACCAGTGTTGATACATCAGACCGGCATGTATGACAAATCAAACGATCCTTCCCTATTGGGAATACTTGGACTGCCCGGCTCTCCGGCTCTCCGGGCCCTACGATTTCAGCACTTCTTTCCCCCTGATCTGATCTAGCAGATCGGAGATTGTAGATATTCTCGGGGGCGCATCCTGCCTCTTTCCATAATAGACCGCATCCTCTGATCGTGCGTCATATCCCGCTGCTCCCTTCTATTCTGCTTACTTATCCCGCCGCTCCCTTCTGCTTACTCCTCCGTGTGGCTGTGCCCTTAACTTTGGTGTACTGTAAGTACCTTCAAGAACTTGTCCTGGTGTGTGCAGTTGGTTCTCCCATTTATTCTTTTCAGTGTTCTTCTTCACTCGAGTACTGTAGGTATCACCAATGTTCAGTTTGGGGTTTGCCACATCGGGTATTCTGTGTTGTACACTACAATGTTGTTGAATTGATTACTATCTTATGTATATGACAGCTATCGTGGTTTGACATATCAGACAGTGCGTAGGTACCGCATTCTTGTTGTAATTGTCACAGTCTGATATATCAGGGTCTGCGGAATTTTGCTAAGTCAGACTGTTCAACTCGCCGAAGCCACCTTTTCCCAATGAAGTTTGAAGTCACGCAGATCTCAGCTAATCAGCTATTAGAATGAATTTTATTGCTTGTTCAGAACACCATGAACCCGACAAAGTTGTACTTTTAAGCACTAATGGCTAACTACCAATGGTACGCAAACTGAAAACGGCGACGACAGATGCAGAAGAAAAAAACAAAAATGTTCTCGTGAAATAACGCGGACCACCTCCTCCCCATCGATCTACCTGTCCACCCACAATTCACCTATTTTCTTTTTTTCCTCGGAGGCCCACTAAGAGATGTGCACAGGTCAGCTTTGTAAATGTTACGAATGTCGCTTGGACCTACCTGCATTGCCTACCTGCAGACCTCTTCCCTCCGCGAGCTGGTACCTCAGTGTCCTGTCCTGTGGCGACAATCGGTTGCTGCTTCCTACTACGCGACCAATAGACATCGGCCTGTTTCGGTGCAACATGTGTCCAGGCTGGGCGACTTGATCTCGTAGCTGATGGACCCTCAGAAGCTGCAGGCGAAGCCTCCGTCGCCACAGGAATCTCACGAACATGTTGCTTTTGAGGCACTCAGCGGCATCCACGGGTTGAAGAACTCACACTTGTAAGTGCAGACAAGGACACATCCACTGGCTCTGGGCAAACCAGGACCGATGGAGCAGGGACACCGGAGGCTGAAGATCTAGGCGGAGATGGCATGGAGGCGGAAGGTGCACGCACAGAGGATATGGGCATGGAGGGTCCAGATGGGGTGAGTGTAAGCGAAGGTGCAGAAGGAGATGAGATTAATGGAGAGGGCGTGGAATGAGAGGGGGCAGGCAACGAGGGCACAGATGGAGAGGGTGCGGGTGGTGAGGGCACATGCGGAGAGAGCGCCGATGGAGAGAGCGCCGACGGAGACCGTGCAGATGGAACAGACACGGATGGAGACGGAGAGCTGGTGTGCATGTTGGATGACAATGCACGAAGAGGAACTCCCGGTGACATCTCAGAGCCACTGTCTAGTGAAAATGGCACTGCCGCATGCACGGAAGATGTCAAGTTGAATGCACCTGTCAATTTGTTTGCATCATCCCGTTGCATGCGCAGCAATGCGTCGTCGAGGGACAGCAGCTGGAGATCTAGGTCGAACTGGAATGGAGCCAGCAGAACGTCGAACTGCCACAGAGCAGGGGCCGGTTCCCATGTCACAGTGGCGTTTGCGGAGACAGGTGGACAGACATGGGAAGGTGAAGGGCCGGGGACGGCGGGAGCAGGGTTTGATCGTCCGGAGGTTCCAGAATCCGAATCATGGGCAGCAGTGTAGTGGACACTTGTGAGAGCACTGCTGTCATCCGATGGCATTGGTGATGGTGGAAGCTGCACTGGTCCCCTAGGACTGACGTCGGAGAGCAGGTCATGCTCTCCTTCGTCATCGGAGGGCAAGGGCCTGGACGATGTGCTTGAGGATGGCCCGGCTTGAGGTTCCTCAGTGCTTGGTTCACCCTCCATCCTATAGCGAAGGGCATCGAGGTCGAGCACCGTCACATCTTCGGTCAGCGTTGAACTGCCTGCGGGTGACGTAACAAGTGCCCGCCTACAACGGACCTCAAGGGCTGAAACTCGAATAAGTGAACATTGAAGATGAGGGAAAAGGATATTTACTCGCAATACACTGATGTCAGGAAATGCCCAAATGGTTCCATGTAGTGTGCTTCGAAGTCGTGCATGGTATCGCAAAATTTGATGGTATTGGGACTGTCCCCGACGTGATATCTGATGCTATCATTAGCATGACTGCACGAGCACAAGGAGCAAATTTACATACGCCATTGATCTGAGGTTCCCGCCATCTACTGGGCTAGGTCCTCCTCCGAAAACAGAAAATTTCCACCCGGTCTTTCGAGCCAAGGCACCGAAAAACTGCTCTATTGCAGATGGTATGCAATCCAGCATTCTGCAAACTTGCATGAGGCAGGCGGTATGGAGAAGCCCGAATGTACGACTTACTTTTGGTATTCCACCGGAGAGCATTCACCCTGAGCGTGTGCATCCTCAATCTGCAGAGCATCGGCCTCACGCGCCGCCTTCTCTTGCTCCATGGCCGCCAGAATCTCTGCCTTGACTTCTGGCGTCTCCTTGTCGTATGCTGCCTGCGTTCGACGCCTGATGACATGCAATGACTCGCCTTTCTTGATCTTCTTTTCCTTGATCTCTGCCTTGACAGAAGCTTGCACCTTCTCTACATAATACTTGCGGGAGTATGCCTCCACCTCCTGCAGAAGGCGCTTGGACTGAACGGCATCCTTCGAGATGAAATTCTTGAGGATGGTGGTTGCGGTCTTGTCTGCTGAGCATCCCTTAGGCTTGTGGTTATTGTACCAATTGTAGAGTTGCTAATATCCATGTGAGAATTGTTCGAACTGAGTATAAGTGCAACTTACCTTCTGTCGGCGAGCAATAGCATCTGTCAGCACATGGTCCTGCTCTGTGGTCAGCTGAGCCATTGGGTCGATATCTGGAAATAGGCGGATACGCTCTGGGAACTGTGTGCTCCAGTCCGTGTACAAGACTCGGAAGAAGCTTTGCAGCTTCTTGCACTTTTGGTGGTCGAGAAATCGTGGAAGCTGCTCGTTTAGCCAGTCTAATTCTGTATCGTTGGCCCAAGGCAGCGGAGCCATCACGAAGAGCTGTGATCAGCACAGAGAGAAGGCTGAGAAGTCAAAAAGTGACGTACTGGGACATGCGCTTGATGCTCGTGTGCGAGGTGAGGCTGAACCCTGTGAGGTTAATTGACACTGACATGGATGTGTTTGATGGGTGAGTGTACAAGGCGGTCAAAAATGAAGTTTAATTGATGTACCCAGGCCTCATGTGGTGCCATGACGGAGGTATCAAATGTGATGCCTCTATTGGGCTCAGATACATACTCACTGGCAGTCCCGATGGAGGTGTTGAGTACAATGCCTTGATTGGGCTCGGATACGCACAACTCAGAGCCGCTTGGGCAGTAACTTATATAGCAGCCTGGACTTATCAGTTTCGGCAGTCCTCCACTCACCTCTCTCTCTCTCTCTCTCTCTCTCTCTCTCTCTCTCGTAAGTGAAATGTTCATTTCGCTGCAATCGCCTCCGGTAGCCCAGGGCTTTTCTGCCCAGACTCCCGGGCATGATTGGGCGTCCATCCAGCTCGCGCTGGAATATACCCTGGCCTGGGTTACCGCGGTCGAAAATGGTACGTACTTCGAGCATTGCACGCTGAATTACGCTGACTGCCTTCCAGAGGACTTCTGCCAGTGCAATTATCCGAGGCCTGGTAAGTCACAGTATCGACAACTTCCACAGCGTTACTGACCTGCCGCCAACAGGAGACCCAGAAGTGCTCGATGACCTTGGAATGTGCATCGGAGACATGTGTCTGGATGAGCCAGTTGGTGATAATGGCGAGTTCGTGGGTGAAATGGACTTCAAGCAACAGGATTTGAGTCCTGGTGCTGACACTGCTCTTGTTGATGACCCCGCCGCCCCCGCCATCGCTGCTGCCCCCGCCATTATCCCTGCTCCCGTCACTGCTGCTGCTCCGGCTGCACTGGCCGTTGTTGGTCCAGTTGTCACAGGTCCCGGGCCTATTGCGCAGGCCCCTGCTGGCCCTGCCGCTGGTGCTCCTGCTATTGCTGCCATCGCTGCAGTCCCTCCTGCAGGTCCAGGAGGTTTTGAGATCCCCCCCAGCTTTGCCGCAGCACTGGGCATTGAGCTCCCACGTCCTGCTCAGCCTAACGACCACGCTCCATTTTACTGCGTGACACATGGATGCGTTGTGGGCGTCTTCAATGACTGGGATGTACAAATGTAACATTGCCATTCAGCGGTGACTTATCGACTCTTCAGGAGCGTTGTAGCTGCGTACATACATGGCATTCCCGGCGCCTTCTGCAAAAATTATCCGTCGTACTTCTCTGCGCTCAGCGCATTCAATGTTGCCCATACACAGGGCATGGTGCAAGTGTTGTGATGAATGCCGGGGATGTTTGCATGGTAGGCCTGTCTTTGTTGTCATTGTTTCTGTGCTCTCGTATGTGTGCCGCATCGTTCTGATTTCTTGGTTGCACCAATGTGCACCTATCTGCTTACTCTTGCGTAGTACTAACACAGTATTTACGTTCTCGCCAATGTCTTTCTTCCTACACCCCCCCTCTCGCGCTCACTCATGGACAAATGCGATACTTATACGTGATGTTGTCAAAATGCATGCCTTGTTCCCAGAATAACCGTGTGAGCATTGAAGAAAACTTATAACACAAAAGCTGTCAGTCGTTTTTGTGCACTTAACCGTTACGATGGGGCGTCGGGCTAAGTATTTCACGCATGACGCCAAAAAGTGGGCCGTTCAGAATCAAAAGCATGATTATAATCACACAGCGAGGTAGGCAATGAATATTATAATATCACGCAGAACGCTCACCGTGATCAGAACAGAGGTCGCATTACACGAAGCTGACAAAACCAAAAATGGTACATTGTGCGCCAGGGACACTATACAACGCCATTCACCGAATCACTCCTGAACACACCACCGCTCTTCATGGAGTATGCACAGCGAGACTTTCCGCTAAAATTCCGACCTGTCATCGCTCAAACTCCTGACCTCGGACTATGGACTCACCCTTACGCCTTTCGACCCCCCAACCACACATGGTCCTCTAAAGTCTTGCAGCAGATGGTCATCCAAATCCACGGGTTCCAGTGGAACCAGTTGGTTACACAGGGACAGGAGCGCTATTACGAGACTTGGCAAGAGGACAGTGGATGGGATGCCAAAGCAGGTCTGGCACGAGAGGAGGTCAGCGCCCGCATGGCAGTGTGGCAGTGTAGTTTTGAAGCTGCGCGAGGTGACACGATAGGAGACTTGTACTTGGAATGGGGCGCCAAGATCATCTGCTGCCTCACTAAGGAGCTAGATGTCAGATTGGGGGGTCTATCTGTGTACGATGAGGCTCACCGCAATGTAGATTTACCATTCCAACGTCTAAACATGCGTTAGAGTAGATGGGGAATATATTGTAGCAGGGGGGCAACAAACTTACAGTCCAGAGCACCATGTTAATCTTGAGGGACAAGGAGCCAGAGGTGTGAGCGTCTGCCAGAGTGAATCGCACTTCGGCGTCACGAGTGGCTGTATGTAAATGTGCTCGAACACCCTCACACACGGCTTTCATCATCCAAAAAAATATTCAGATGTTCGCAAGGGTTCTCGTACGTCCTATACTAAAATGTCGATGTTGTATTTCTATTGTGCTCGAGCGCAAACTGTCGAACTGAGCCACTTGGCCGAAATTTCAGTAGGATGCTTATTCGTTCACTCATTGGTTCTTGGCTAATGCACGTGAGAGGCTCGTCACACCACTCAGCAGAGTTTAAACCTTCCCTGAGGTACTATATGAACCCGTCCTTCCTTGAACATGCTCTCTCTTTACGACCACTTTGACCGGTGTTCGGCGCTGCTCAGTACCCACTTGCCAGGCCGCTTGTAGCCGCGATGTAGTAGACCGACACTCCATTGGGGGCCCGCCTCATGGCCGTAATGAGGGATGCTCAGGCACCTTCCCCCCTTCGGAGGTATATTGTGACTGCCCTCTCACGGTGAAAGGTGGGGATACCTGGCATGGGGAAGTGTTGCGAAAACTCGTCATTTATGCTTTGTGTTATGTCTATCTTTCCTTGTCGTTGTCTCGGTGAGTGTTTTTTTCTCTCTCCTTTGTCGCCAGACGACACCTGATCAAAATTTTTAGTGACTCCGTTGGTGAGGTACGTCGTCTTCATCTGCACTTGTGGGTGCCCCTCCCTATGGTGGTGCAGGGTCAGTCGTGTGGTGTTGCGTCGCTGCCGCTCGAGTCGAAGGTATGTCATTGCTCTGCAGGTTGTCTTAGGTATGTTGATCATGGTTGGCATGGTAGCCTTGTGCTGATATTTTGTTCGGCTCTGCTGGTGTCTGTCTATCTTTCCTTGTCATTGTCTGGGTGAGTGTTCTTTCTTCTTCGTCGCCGGATGACGCCTGACGGAAAATTTTAGTGACTCGGTCGGTAAGGTACATCGTCTTTGTACCTGTGCCTGTGGGTGCCCCTCCCTATGGTGATGTAGGGTTGGTCGTGCAGTGTTGCATCACTGCGGCTCAAGTCGAAGGTATGTCATCGCTTTGCAGGTTGTCTCGGATATGTTGATCACAGTGTAGGGTCGGTCGTGTGGTGTAGGGGTCAGTCGTGCGATGTTGCGTCGCTGCCACTCGAGTCGAAGGTATGTTGTCGCTTTGCAGGTTACCTCGAGTATGTTGATCATAGTTGGCATGGCAGACTCATGCCGACATTTTGTTCAGCTCTGAAGGTCATGATTCGTGGCGTGTGGTGGGGTTAGTCTATGGGATGACGTGTCACTGTTCTGATGTAGTTAGTATCATTGTGACTGTTGGTCACTGTATCGGGATGATGGCGGCGTCAGTGCGATGTACTTTTGGTGTTGCGGTGCATGAGTGGGCATAGAGTTTGGCATTTCTTTGTGAATGATGAGGAGATGTGCTTGCTAGTGCGGTGTTTGAAGGCCTGCCAGATGGTTGGAGTGATTGGTGGATGTGCTGTGGGTGTTGGCGCAGGTCGGTGGTCAGTGTTTTTGCTGACTTCCGCTGTAGAGTGCACTGGAGGCGGTTTGCTTGATGTTACGTTGCCTAGTCGAATGTAATCGTCGTCCCAATAATTTTTGTAGTGTGAAATTGTCTCCGAAAGGATGCATCTGCTATATGATATGCGAGTGATGAGCTGTGCGGGTCGCACAATCTATGCATTGATGAAGCTTATTGGACATATCTAACAGCTTCATTCAATTTGATAGGTGATATTCGCCGTGGTTCGAACATTGTAGATCGCTAAGCTTGCGAGCGGTGCGAGTCACACAGTCTGCGCATAGACGAAGCTTATTGGACATATCTGACAGCTTCGTTCAATTTGATAGGTGATATTCACTGTCGTTCGAACGTTGTAGATCGCTCTTGCGAGCTATGTGCGGCGTTGTTGCAGGTATGCAGGGAGTATGCCAAAATTCCGCATCATAATGGCTGACATTGAATTCCAAATTAGTACTTTCTCAGTGCAGCATCAAGAATCGGATGCAAGCGAACAAGTGCAATTCACCACCAGTGTATGATATATCAAGATGTTCGGTCGGTACTTAGCATTTCATCTTTAGGAAAATTCCCATTCAGTTTGCAGTCGCCCCTGACAACGCATGCTATGTTCGACTTTTTTTCGTGTCAGCTGCATGGTGTTCATGATGGTGTGATTTTTTTTTCCTGTGCCTTCCTCCCACCCGCACTCATTTACCTGCCTGAAGGCTCACCGATAAAATGAAACCATGGGCACGACTGAAGTCCATCTGCTCTGCAGCAGTCTCCATTATGGCCAGGAAGAAACGTACTGCCAACTTTGAGCAGTACACTGTCTTAGATGTCGGTGCCGACGGCACAAAGAGTTACACTCACTACCTGGGTCCGCCTCAGTGCGACATCGTGCGGCACACGGAATATGTATCTGGAGGCAACAAAGTCACCGCTCGGACGTCGTTCTACAGTACTCCCACCACAGATGCAGGCGGACAAAGCATGCCATCGTTTGATTTGTCAGAGCTCTGCGGTCCTGCGGGTTCTGAGGTTGCGAATGAGGATGTTGATCTTTTCGACCTGGATGCAGAGTATCTGGAGGACATGGAAAAGTTGTCTGGACAAACACCCCATCGACGCGGTGCAGGGGTAAGTCTTCTCCAAAATTTTGGAAGTAATTGTCGCTTAGTAGTGCGCAGGATCATCCTCTCCGGGAATGGGTTCCGGAGATCGACAACTACCTCGCCGAGATGTTGCATCTCGAGGGGCGTTGTGGCTTCAATTCCGGGCGCTGCAAGTTTTGCGAGGAAGGACCGGCCATGATTCACTGCCAAGATTGCTTCGAAATCGCCATTTATTGCCGCACATGCGCTGTAAACTTCCATCGACTCAATCCTTTCCATCGTATGCAGGTTAGTACAGTATTATCATCTTCTGACATGGTGATCTTATATGTGATTCTGTTGCAGAGATGGTGTGGCTCTCACTTCCAGCCTGTCTCGTTAAAGGACCTTGGGTTACGAATCCAACTGGGCCACCATGCTGGACAGCCATGCCGTCTGCCTGTGCAAGCCACCGGTGATGATTTCTTGATTCTCGATGTTACTGGTATACATGCAGTGGGACTGGATTTTTGTGGTTGTGAGACGGCTGAGGTCCATACCGTACAACTTCTCCGCACACGACTATTCCCTGCCACCTCAACAAACCCCAAGACGGCGGCGACTTTTGGACTCTGTCGATATGCCCACCTCCTAACCACGCAGTCGAAGACGTCTGGCTATGAGTTTTATCAGAGCCTTGCCCAGCTGACTGATAATACCAGTGTGCAGACCCCCAAGGTACGTGATGACTGTCAAGCTCCAACTTTATGTGTCACTGACGAAGTATAGGATCGATATCCCGCCTTCATGCGTATCATGCGCATGTGGAGGCATCTCAAGATGCTGAAGCGAGCAGGTCGGGGCCACGATCCTGGAGGTGTACGTGCAACCAAACCTGGAGCATGCGCAGTTCTTTGCCCGGCCTGTCCACACCCTGGAAAGAATTTGCCTCCTGACTGGGAGGAAGCCCCAGAAGATCAAAGGTGAGCTTGGTATATAGATTTCGACCGAATCGCACCAAGAAATAATGCACGGCGATAGGTGGCTATACCGGCTTTTCATCAGGCTCGACGCGAACTTTCACCTCAAACGTAAGAAGGTGTCTTCAGACACCATCGACCCTGGGCTCAATCACGGTTACGCGTACTTCGTGGAGGAGAAGACCTACAAGGATTATCTGACCACATACAATTCTCTCGTGACAGAAGAGTCAAGCACTTGCAACAACCATGATGCAGTCAAGTTGGCCAATATGAAAGGCTCAGTCGCCGGTACAGTGGCAAGTGGTGTTGATGCAGTTACATGCACACGCCATGACATGAGACTGCCATGCAGTGTCGGTGACCTCCAAAAAGGAGAGTGGTAAGCTTATGTTTATGATTGTTCACGCTCTTGTACTGATCAGTGTGGGATAGTTATGTAAATATGGATTACATGTTCTTTTCGACTCTAGGCATCGATGCTCCGCACGATGTCATCATCTCCTACAATATCGCATGTCAATGGTCCAAAAACTTGCGGAAACGACACCTTATATACGAATCATGTCTGTTCCAGATGGAGGATCACGAGTTCATCTTCCTTGTGCTGAAGTTCCATATCCACACCCATCAACAGTCATGTCAAGACAGTTACTCATTCCACAAGACCCCGCATGTCGCTGAGACAGACGGTAAGGGTGTTGAGCGGCCGTGGTCGGACTCAAATATGTACTCCTCAAGCACGAAGGAGATGGGCCCTGGTTTGTGGCGTGATTTCCTCGACGATGCGTTTGCGGACTATAACTGGAGGAAAATATGTGGAATGCGTGAGTAATCAAAACGAGGATTCTGTACCTGTAGGCTAATGATGTTGAAGCTACTCTGTTTCTTCGGAGGATGAAAGCTGTGTTGCCAGAGTGCAATGATCAGGTCTTTGCATTCGCAGAACTCAACAATGCCATGGCACAGGAGGATCGAGATGTGTGGAGAGCTGCTCTAGAGACATGGGAGAAGGACCCATCGAAACCCAACCCGTTTGTCGTGACTCATCCAAGTACGTGCTCGCCTTCATATTACAAAATGTTCAGCTGATATTCCACATCAATACAGCCATAACTCAAGCAGCTGTGCACCTGCAGCTAGCCAACGAGGAGGCTGCAGAATTGGAGAAGGGCAAGCAATGTGGCATGCTGCATGAGTTGGTTTGGACAGGACACAGCAGGCCTCGGAGCACGCTCCACAGATCTCCAATGGGACAAGATCATCGAGCGGCACAATGGTCTTTGTCGCAAGATAGAGGCTTGGGCGGAGATCCAGCAGCTGTATATGCCTAGCACCGTCACATTGCGTGCATGAGCTGTCGCTACAGCTGTCAAGGAGGTCCTCGCGCAAGACATGGTGCTCTATTTGCCATCGGAGTTGCCCTCGGGTACCCTTTGTGACCCTCGTGTTCAGAGGTATGAATTGCGTTTGAGGACTGCTCAAGCATACGATGCGCTAGATGAACTCCGGCGACATCTTCGCGTGCATGCTCACTTGTACAAGTTCAAAGACCGCTTTGTCCATGGGCAACGGTATCTCACTCGTGCGAAGACGGTTATCGCGCGTGTGCAGGACAAGATCAACGCTGACGCAGCGCGTTATCACCGTGCCTATTCCGCCATCAACTCGTGGGCTACCTTACTCCACGAGCCTTTGATGCCCAACGACTTGGGACCGCTGCAAGGTGAAGACGTACACGGAATGACGGATGGGATGTTGGGTGAAACTCAGAGCCAGAAGACATTGTCTTGGATATGGCGGAGACATGGCGTAGGGAGCAGCAGCGTGACGGACAACACCGTCCATGAAGGTTGGATATTAATTTATTTCGCGTTTCTCACTTCTTGAATGCTCACGAAAACTGCTAGAGCTCCACGTTGAATGGTGCAATGCCCGTGCTCGAGCCTATCGCTGGATGGAGGAATGCCGCCAATTGCCAGAGGAGATGCGCAGAGTCATCTCATTTTACGGTTGGATTGCGCGGTGGTGGCTGGAGCTGATAGACACGATCCCTGCGCGATCACGCGAACACCTGGAAGGCACCACCACATACGCTTACCACCAGGCAGACATCCGACTGTCCATGAGGGAACACTGCAGATCGGTATGGCATTGTGTACCTGCCTGGCTGCAGGCGGGAGGAGACGTCAGCATAGATGCTGATTCAGTTGAGCCTACGATTCAGGAACCCCCTCCAATGAACGATTCTGCTTCCACGTCGGCAGGTCTTTCGACTTCCGTTCCTACTCCTGCGCATTAGGCGATCATCATGCAGGTCCACTTCGCAATGGTTCACATGTCGGTTCGCTAGTGACTGGTTCAGTAACTCTACAAGCTTGTCATTGATTTATGGACATTGATATTCTCCTACGAGAGCAGTATGAAAAAATATTTGTTTTTGCTTTCTACACTGAAGTGAGTCCTAAAAGGAAACCTATAGCACAAAAGAATACACAGTGAATTCTATGAATAAATTTCCAACCAGAGGGGAAGGCACAGGCACGACAGGGCGCGACAGGAAGGTGGGATTTTGCCGCTCGATCGGGAATAGATCTGGGGGATCTAACGAAGCTACCAAAATAGCGATGAGATTGGCGGCACCAGAGACCCACAAGGAAGGGCCGGGAGCGGTGTCAGGAGAGGGGGAGCACCGCACACAAGAGACTTATAGGAACCACTGTATGATATATCAGAGCTTGTAGTAACTATCACTGTCAATATATCAGTCCCAACTTCTTATGACCACATCTGATATATCAGTATGCCAGGGACAGGTGTCAGAAGACCCATCTCATTACCCCAAAAGCATGGCAGGTGATGGCACAAAGACTTGCATACTGCTATTGTACTATGACTCCCACACTGCAACCCATGGGATACCCATGATGGGTCTTGACCCATACAGACCCATAGCTGACCCATACCCAACCCATGAAAAACCCATACCCATGTGATGGGTATGGGTTTTCCATGGGTATGGGTGTGGGTATACCTTGTCAGACCCATGGAATACCCATACCAGACACTAATTGCATAAGGCAGTTCCAGGGCATTTTGACACAGTGATTGCACGAGAACATCCCCCCAATCCCTTGGACCAGAAGCAAAATAAATCACTTGAAGGCAAGTTTTTTATTTACCTTTCTGTACTGCCTGAGTGTACTGACATAGTTCCAAGGTTTATGTGTTGCTCGAGTCCGTGCAATTTTCAGGGTTCCTGAAGAATACGACAGACAATTCAAGGACCCTTTGGCCTATGTTGAATGGTTTACACCTTTTCGCTCACTGGTCTCAGATATTGGCATGTACAAGATTTCATATTCTCACCGAAATAATGCCCGCCGGAGTTCAATCGTTCCGGTCACACAGATTGTACGGAGTTGTCACTTGATACCACACTGGGGACGATCAGTGGTGCCATCATGGACATCTGCAGAGGTTCTGGACCAGGCTACATCATTTTATGTGAATCCATACCTACGGCATGATGATTTCTTAATGTTCCGTTACTTAGAAGAATTAAATACATAGATTTGTGGTTATGTCTAACCACACTTCCCTAGTACTCACTGACATGACTGGGGAAGTTCAGATGTACATCTCCTAGCATTAGAGTGCATTCAGTACCTTTGAAGGCTGTAACAATGATACAAGATTCACTGAAGCTCTCTAGGCAATCTTGGACCAGATAGACTGGTAAGACTGCTCTCTATTACTAATGAGGTCTATCTATCACCTAGTCAGAGCTATCGAGACTAGGGAGACTAGGGAGACCATAGTGGTGTCTAGGGTGAATTGGGTTTTTCCTGATGTACTTAAGGTACACATTGTACGAATTTTCTTGCGCACATTCCAGCTTTTACAGAGTAAGGCGTGGAAGACCTTAACTACTAACCATGCAGAGACTTGAATGGGTCCACTGAGTAAGTAATTTGTCTAGAAGTTGACGCTACTAGCAGGTACGAGGGGGAACGTGCTGCGAGCTGCACCAGCTCAGCCAGTGCTCAGCCGCCGTCGCGCAGTAAGGTACAGTATATGCAAGTATGTACTTCTGATGCTAGGTTTGCCTCGCCGGGAGGTGCGCCTTCGGAGTGGACGGCCCGACGGCCCGACTGACCGAGGGCCAGGCAATAGTATTCGCCCCAATCTTTCTCGGCCGTGAAGAACAAACACATCGTCATGCAACATTCATTCTTTGCTGCCAGCCCCGACCATCGTGCCCCTCGCTCATGCTCCGCAGAGTTATCTTCTCTCGTCGGACGCTGGCGGTGGTCTCTGGCGCGACCGCTGTCGCCGCTGGCGGTGGATACTACTACCTGAACTCCGGGCCTTCGTATCCGCCATCGACCAAGCAGACTCGCCGGCCCCCGCCGCCATGGACACCCCCGTCGAGAGAGAGTATGCTGAATGCGCTTAGATCGTCTTCGGAGAAGCAAGGCGATGAGTATCCTGACGAATTTGATCTTCTTATCGTCGGTGGAGGAGCTACCGGAGCTGGTGTTGCGGTAGATGCTGCTAGTCGCGGTTTGAGGGTAGCCTTGGTGGAGAGGGACGACTTCAGCGCAGGTGGGTACACCCGAAAATAAGGGCACAGATCCGTCTGTGTCTTGCCTTGCTGTGCACGAATACCAGAAGTGGGAGCCTAGTAACGCATGGTCTCCTGGGGTTTGATAGATAAAGTCTGAGACAGCCCGTGGGCTCCGAGAGGCATACCTCTGCTATTGGAGACCTCAGAGGTATGTATCGGTGGGGGGAGTTTCAGTTCGTCTAACATGCATGCGTTGAGCACAGTCCTGGATCGCGACCCTTATTCGAAGGTTCTACATACTGTGCCTCTTCGGTGGACTACAGCTCAGATGTGCTCACAACCGTAACATTCATAGGTACTTCCTCGAAATCCACTAAGCTGGTGCACGGAGGTGTCCGGTACCTGCAGAAGGCGGTCATGGAACTAGATTACGAGCAGTACAAGCTTGTGAGGGAGGCGCTCCATGAACGTCGCATCTTCTTGCAGACTGCACCATATCTCTCGGCTATGCTTCCGATCATGCTGCCTATTTACAAGTGCGTAGATATTTTGAGAGCAGATCTCATCGTATTGATCTCCTGCCGGGGATATTATTCAGGTATTGGCAAGTTCCCTATTATTGGGTAGGTTGTAAGATGTACGATGTTTTGGCTGGGAAAGAAAACATGGAATCGTCTTACTTAATGAGTAAGGGGAAAGCATTGGAAACTTTCCCGATGCTGAAAGGAGATGGTCTTGTCGGTGCATTGGTGTATTACGATGGTGAGCTATTATTTACTTAATTTCTAATGCACCTAACGTTGTGTAGGACAACACAATGACTCGCGCATGAATATCGCACTCATTATGACTGCGGTCCAGCAAGGGGCGATAGTCACGAACCACGTCGAAGTCACATCTCTCCACAAGGATGCAACTGGTTCGGGTAAACTACATGGTGCTCGCGTTAAGGACGTGCTTACGGGTAAGGAATGGGATGTTCGTGCGAAGGTATGGATCTTACTTTTTTGTAAATTTCGTCTCACTGAGCAGAACATAACAGGGTGTAATTAACGCGACTGGGCCGTTCTCTGACGCTCTGCTCACAATGGACAACCCCGAGCACAAACCAATTGTTCAACCGTCTTCTGGTATTCATATCACGCTTCCGAACTACTACTCTCCGCGTAAAATGGGACTGCTAGACCCCGCGACCTCTGACGGGCGTGTGATCTTCTTCCTCCCCTGGCAGGGCAACACGATCGCCGGTACCACGGACACTCCTGCAGAGGTCGAGACCGAACCGAGGGCCCCGGAGGAGGAGATACGGTGGGTCCTGGAGGAGGTGCGGCACTACCTCAGTCCTGACATCAAAGTTCGGCGAGGCGACGTGCTCAGCGCGTGGGCTGGCCTTCGACCCTTGGTGCGCAACCCGAACGCAGCAAGCACCGAAGGCCTCGTGCGGAATCATATGATCCACGTATCGGACAGCGGATTGTTGACCATCGCCGGTGGAAAATGGACCACGTACAGGGCGATGGCTGAGGAAACCGTCGACAAGGCTGTTGAAGTCTTTGGATTGAAGCCCAAGAACGGATGCATCACCGAGAGGCTCAGGCTTGTCGGAAGCGACGGCTGGAGCAGGAATATGTTCATCGGTCTTATTCAACGAGTTAGGCATTTTTAATTCGTCCTTTGACAATTCTGATGCATCTCTGGCTCGTAGTATGGCCTTGATACAGAAGTTGCAAAGCATCTGTCGGACAATTATGGTGATCGCGCCTGGACGGTTTGCTCACTTGCTCATCCTACCGGGTTATCATGGCCGATTCATGGAATCAATCTCAGCCCTGGATATCCTTGTGCGCGTTGAATGCCTGCTCGCTACGCAAAGCACTGACTCAGGGAATTCATGTTTGGCTCCACCAGACATCGAAGCGGAAGTACGCTACGCCGTGCGCCACGAGTATGCCTTGACCGCGGTAGATGTCATTGCGCGCCGCTGCCGTCTGGCCTTCCTGAACGCGCAGGCCGCCCTGGACGCCCTCCCGCGAGTCGTGGATATCATGGCCGAGGAGCTCAAGTGGTCTCACAAAGAGAAGGAGGAGCAGATCAAGAACGCGACCAAGTTCCTTGCGAGCATGGGCCTCCAGCCCAGCGCTGTACCGTTCTCGAAAGCGGAGGCCCACGGCCTCCGGGAACATGTAGAGGGCTTCCTCGGCCTTGGTGCGAACAGCGAGCCTAGACGGCGTGCGGCGCGTGAGATGGTATACTCCCGGGCGCAGTTCGAGACGGGGGAGATTGAGACGCTCCAAGAGGCGTTCGAGAGCCGCGCGAAGGCTGCGAACCCCTCTCAGGAGCCGGAGTGCATCGCACAAACGGATGTGATTGAGCTCATCAGGGACCTGCCTGGCTATGAGGGCGTGAAGATGAAGGACTACGATTACGTGCTTGAAGAGGCTGGCTTTACGAAGACGCAGGACATCGATTTCGACGAATTTGTTGAGGTGCGTCTTTTACAGCGGCTACGATGCATAGGTATGAGAGCGACTCATTACCTGCATCAACTTGTAGATCTGCGGAGGGTTGCGCGAAGTCTTATTCGCCCCCCTCTCCACAACAGCGATCAAGTCCGACAGGCGCTTCATTCCAGTGGAAAAAAGTGGCGGTGGGGTTTGAGTGCATACCTCGTTCCATCAGGCAGTATCTTCAAATATGTTGTCATAGCTTATATCACTTTACAACCATCCATCTCAATTATCCTTGCGGCCGCGTAGAGTGGAATTACTGACGTGATGCCTAGTCTGCAGACAGGTGCGCACCCGCACACACCTCGCAGCGTATCTCAGTCTATTTGTCGTCTTCACATCTTGTGTCTAACCATACGTCCCCACCGATGATTTAGCTAGGAGCTAGTGGTACACTCACGCGCGACGATAACGGTGCGCCCCCTTAGATAGCCGACGCTCTTACCATTGCCCACCCACCCATCGACACTGAACGTGACAGAGATGTCTGACAGTACTCAAATATTGGGAGGCCTCAAACGCCCAGGATCGTTGACATGCTTTACCCCTAGGACGCCCATACCGTGCACCGAATGGCCTGGGCATTGCTCTACCACTCTGTCCATTGCATCGTCTGAAACCTAGAAGCAACAATATTACTTAACGTTGGCGACTGGCGGTGACGAGGGAGGAGGCGTGCAACAGGGAAGCCGGAATTGTAATATTCAGCAACGCCCGAAGAATTTCGCACTAGCAATGCCGGTGCTTGCAAATACCTGCCCAGCAGATTTTCGCACCAGCAATGCCTGTGCCAATACATGTCCATTATCCAGGCAGAATTTTACTCCAGCAATACCGGAGTGTTCACTGCCTCCTCTATACAAAAGACCATGCCAACGCAATTGATTACAGTGCATCAAATATTCACTCCATGCAAGCAGAGATCAAAATTCCACTCTCAGGCTAGTGTGACTGGGGGAGGAGGTGGTGGTATATTCCGGACCCCTCCAAGCTAATGAGTCTATGCATCCCCTCTGATTCCCTCACGAAGAACCCGACCACAAGTCCGGACTACTGGATGACTGCACTCCTATGTATAGAGTGTGCTATCCTGAGGCACGAAGGTTGAAGCTTTGAAGCAGAGTGTCAGTCTGCCCACGGGAGACTAGCTAGAGTGCGCGACATGCTGTCGTCGGCTGTGTCAGAACCAGCCTTCATTTTCTTGGTCTCATATACCTACCCCTCTGCAGCTGGTAGACATAGTACTATCGTAATAGGTAAGCTCCGGCGTAACATGCGTGCAGGATCAATGGAAACAGAGTGAACCTTCAAGCTTTCAAGGTTGTTCAGGCACAGTCCCTCCTTGCAAGCTTGTCGTGCTCCCAACTCCTTCGCATATACGCAAGTCTGGTTAGTCAATACTTGGCAGGGAAAAACTTACTGACATATAGTAACTGGGCTCTGAAGCGGGACACGCTGCAAGGGTTGCAGCCCAGAAGCCTAGGTGGCGGTCATCATTTGGCATGCATCGACGCAACGCATCGATATTCGAGAGCGCCAGCTTTGAGAATAACGTGCAGGTGTGAGCGACAGCGGAGCGTTGACTCGGACGCACCACGCCGCCGCCACATTTCCCCCCACTGCGCCTCGATGGCAGCTCGTAACTCGTAGACTGCCACGACCTTGCAGCCGCAGGATCGCCCCATTTGCGCTTCGATTGAGGAACGGCGCGAGGACTTTCAGGCCTGGAATGTACACCCTTGAATATGGTCGGGAATGTTGTTGACTCGGCAGACGTTGCGCATTAATTGCCATTGCTCAAGTCTGACGAGGAGATGCGTGCGCAAGGCAGGAGAGGGAAAATTTGCTGCAGATGTTCGTACGACAACATGTTTTGGAGAGCGCTGGAGCCGTGCGGAACTCTTGAAAACATCCAATTGATGCATTTTCTTCTTTTTCGCGAACGGCAAAACGAAAAGCAGTGAACATGATGCAGCAATCCAAACACGCGACGCGTCAAGGACGGTCACGTGCGCTATACACTTGAACTCAAGCTTGACTCGGTGTTGTTGTTGTTCTCCTCTCAGCGTCCACGTCCTGCTCTGCATACCTCGACTTCGTGAACGTCTACCATCCTCACCCCAAAAATATAAAGCATCACCGTCTGCTTGCTCACCGGTGTCTGGGCCATATTGCAATTCGGGACCTCCCTACTACCCAGACGTCGAGCTACACAAGCCCAGTCTTTCGATCGCTTTCTTGTGTCAGATGTCAACAAGCAAATCTAATGCGAAGGGGCGCGCCACGTCTGCACCAATATCTGGAGTGTACAAGCCAGATTCCATTCGAGTATAGCTTATTCATCACTGTTATTGTTGTGCTCGTCTGAGTTCCACTCTCCCACAGGACGTAGCAGAGTCATTAAACATAACGAGTTTTTCAGACGCAGTAGCGTCTTCGCTTGCTAGCGATGTTGAGTATAGGGTTCATCAGGTGTTGGAGGTGTGTAACTCTACAATCCAATCCACCATCAACATGTCTACATTATTCCCGATTTTCAACAGGAAGCTGCGCGCTTCATGCGTCATGCCAGACGCACTACTTTAACGACCTCTGACGTGGATCATGCCCTGCGTGTGCTAAACATTGAACCTCTCTATGGCCATTCACCTCACAACCCTCCTGTGTTTCGGCGTGCACCGCCATTCCCGCAATTACCGGCTGCGGGATCTGTATATTTTGTCGAGGACGAAGAGATTGACTTCGATCGTGTGCTCCGCGAAGAGAAACTCACACTTCCGAAGGGCGTAAGTTGGACAGCGCACTGGCTCGCCGTTGAAGGCGTACAGCCACTGATTCCAGAAAATCCACCTGCCATCCCGAAAGATACTGATCAGGACTTCGTTATGGCTAAATCTACATCATCACCATTGCGGCCAGGAACTGTATTCCCACCGTCTCCTCCATCCTCAGATCGGCCCTCCCCGATGCACACCGTAACGAAGCAGCAACAACAGCTTGTGAAGCACGTTTTGTCACGGGAGCTGCAGCTGTATTATACTCGCCTTACGTCTGCACTCCTCCCACCCTCCGCTTCGGATTATGCGAAGCGCACGGCTGCACTGGCCAGCTTGCGACACGACGCAGGGTTGCAAGCACTACTGCCGTACCTTGTCCGGTGGGTGGGAGAAGGTGCCGTCAGCGCGCTGAAAGGAGGCGTGCAGAGCGAGACCGACGGCCGAGTTCTGGAGGTCCTCCTTGATGTGATCGGCGCCCTCCTCGATAACTCAACGTTGTTTGTGGAACCATATGTGAGTGAGACAATCATAACGAGCCACCTAAGCCTTAACTCACCTTTCCATAGCTGCACCAACTCCTTCCGCCAATACTTTCGATTTTACTTCACTCTGCGCTACCTCCGTCACATGCCGCGGAACTTCGCACATCCGCCTCGCAGATACTTTCGCACCTTCTTACTCACTACTCAACAACATACCCATCTCTACCTCCCAGAATTATGAAGACTTTGCTTCTGGCGTTAATCTCCCCAGGCAAAAGTAGAGGCACACGCGAAGGCGCGATACGCGGGCTCATGGGTGTGGGTAAAGAGGCCGTCAGAAAAGGCCTCGTCGATGGGGGTGGCGCGAAAGTGGTAGGGAGTGAATGTTTTGAGGGGGAGTCAAGCCCGGTTGTGGAATGTGCCTTGGTTGGAATGGGTTTTCATTTCTGTGCACATTGATTCTCACGCTCTCTTTTAGGACGCACTCAAGATGCTGCATCCTCCCTCAACTATGTCCACGCCTTTGGACGCATCTTCCGAGACTGACGTGAGGGCCGTCACGCAGTTGCGTGAGGTGCTGGGTGACTTCTTCGCAAACAAATTGGTCGACGATTCTGAGTGGGCCAGGGGTATATTGTCTGCTGATCAAAAAAGTTAGGAGAGTTTTCCGGTACCTTCCCTGGGTCGCTTTCAGCTGAAGCTTGTAGATTGGTTATTGCATGTATTTGTTCTGCTTCAGATGCGCTATCGACGGGAATTTAGTCTGTATTTCTGTCTGCCTGCAAGTCCTAGTGCCAGTCCCTGGTCATCAACTCGACGTGTTACTTCTCGTCGGGTATCCTGGGCTTCTGTGTGAGCTGTTGGTACTATTGCAGTCGCTGAACTTCTGCCGCCGCTACTTGCCGTTGTGCCTCTGATGATACTCCGGCAATTGTCGGACTTGGCAGGTCTCGAGGGGGTATCCAAAGCAGGTTGTTGAGAACATAGTGAGAGGTATGCAGATGAGGCGAAGCACAGTCCCAATTTTTACCATGGGGCCCCAGAGATCTGGCATTGTCCAGACCCACAGAGGCAACATATACCCAAGTTTCTCAAATCCATTGGGTAGGTGTCATAGGATTCGCCGAAACTATGTGCTCGTCATCCATGCTTCTACATCAGGCGCTAGAAACGGTGAATCGGTCAAGCGCGGGTATGGTGTCGCCTCATACGCAGATCTATTGAGAAAGCGGCCTACATATCCCATCCATCGTCTCTTTATCAAGGAGGTGTTCACAGGAGAGATGATGATCACCCACAATTTCAGCAAGCTCGAGTGCATCAACATGAGTATCTCGTCGTCTCTACGTATATCATAGGTTTTGTCCATCCCCATCTTGAGCAGTAAGTAGCTCACGCACTGGCAAAAAGTGTTGGCCTCCTCGCAACTGGTTAAAGTTGTTAAAAATGACGGCTACCGAAGCTAAGTTCAAGGGTATCCCACGCAGCCATCCTTTTCCTGAGGAGAAAGTGGGCTGGAGAGGGTGCGTCATTCGCGTTCATCTGCTTTACTAATGCGTTTTTGAGTCGGTATACTCACAGGTATGTTGAATGGGAGGACAAACCAGACAGGAAAGCTCCCGCTACTCAGATTCTCAATACGAAGCACTTCATGCCTCCGCCGGGTACGTTAGATACTAACTCAAAATTCCTCCTACTGCATGTCCATGTTTTTGTTACACTAGAATTCCAGCTTGTCCCGCTCCCAGACACCAACCCGATATTGATTGGCCACCGCTGGAAAGAGTATCACGAAGCGCTGGGTCTGAAGAGTATCGTCGCCCAGAGCTGGGCCACAGTCTGTATAGAGAAGCCGGGCATGATACACATTCTCGACTTCCCGTACAACGGAGAGATACCGCGCGAGCCCTTGTTGGCGGGCAAGATTACTGACAACCAGTATCACTTGTAAGTTACAAGATACGTGGCATGCAGGATTCTGTTGACCGTCAATGTCGGACAGTGTTCGAAATCACAGAAGGATTCCAGACATTGATGAAGATGCCTTCGAGCTGGAGGTCGGCGGGCTTGTTCGCAGGCCCGTGGAGTTCGTCATGAAAGAACTCAAGGATCCGTCCAAATTCCTGTACGCATCACTTCTTACCTTCTACCTCAGCCAACTTTCGCTCAATTCCTAGGTAGTGTGAAGTGACGATCACTTTGCAATGTAGCGGAATCCGCCGTATTGAACAGATCAATCAATATCCTGGTGACGGAGACGAGCTGATCAACGCAGTATCTAATTCATATACTTGAATTTATATGACTCTGACGAGACCTTGTCGTAAGCCTTGGGGAGAAGGCGCTATGTAGGTTCGTGTTTCTGCAATGATCACTTCAACTGAGGAACAAATCGTACTAGTGGTACGGCAGTCTACCGTGGTATTTCAGTCAAGAATATCCTAGATCGGGCGTGCGACGGTGTCTTGCCCGAAGCCAAGCACATTAAATTCATCAGCGCTGACACATACTTCAAGTGAGTTAATCATTCCACCAATGAGTTGTGTCTTCCTGATACCCATGGCGATCCAGGAAGAACAATGTCTATCACTATGCTGTCTCTATTCCCTACCGCAAAGTCAAGCAAGACCAGGAGGTATTACTCGCTTGGGAGATGAATGGTGTGGCTCTGCCGAAGATACACGGTTTCCCGCTGCGTGCTGTCGTGCCGGGTGTTATTGGCGCCAGAAGCACCAAGTGGTTGTATAAGGTCAATGCACTCGCAGAGGCCAGTATGGGGCCTGTTCAGCGGCAGGAATACCCTTACTACCCTTCCCAGGTAGGTCCGTGCGTGTGTCTAGTGTGCTATTTACTTCGAGTAAAGAATTGGATAGTTCGGCAAGCATAACGTCAAGTGCTCAAATGGATTCTCAATTCAGAACATGCCCGTTTCGTAGGTGACTTGTGCAATGAGAGGATCTGATGCTCGCTGACTTGTTCTTGAATGCAATCAGGAGCGCAATCATGTTCCTGCTCGACAAACAGGTCATCATCCACGAGGGCAGCATCGAATTTCGCGGCTGGGCGTACAGCGGAGGCGGCGGTAACTGGGTAGAGAGAGTAGACGTCTCACCGGACGGGTACTAATCCTTGTTTTCTTGATCCTTATTCTGTTCCTTCTCATGGCACTTCCTGCAGAGGCTATGTCTGGTATTCCGTTGAACTTGGTGATATGACTGAGAAGGTGAAGTCTTCGGAACATGTCGAGGTGGCTTACTTACTGATGTTGTCTTGATTCATAGCACTACTGGACATGGCAGCTGTGGAAGATCCGGCTGCCAGTCGATGCCTCGAGTTCAAGTTGTGCGTGCGCACATGGGACTCTTCCTGCAACACAGAACCAACCTTTGTTCGCTCCGCCTGGAAGTGAGCTATAAGCGATTTATGCATCAACATTTCGACCTTCTCATATCTTACCTAACCACATCTGGGATTTACACGTCACTTCGTCGTCTCATCGTATCAAGATCTACAGCGTCAATAAGTCGAAGCCCGCTACCGCGGCACGGTTGCGCGTTGGGTATGGAGTCATTCACGCCGGTCACCAGGCCGCTGGAGTTCAGTCTGGAAGGATGAGTCCTTGAGCGTTATCCAGAGAACCGCAGGAGTGACGATCGGCGCGGTGTTGTTCATTTCTTTCCATGTCCTCACTGCAAATCATAGGGTGTACAACATGTAGCATTATGAAACAGACAGGGAACAGTACGTTAGAACGAGAGATGGACGACAACGAGAAGTCAACGACGACAGCAAAGCGTTACGAAGCATAACTGTATCCTGTATATGTTCTATGGAGCTTGTGCTCCCTGGGTTTCTGGACTGTGCTCCTCTGCAATTTTCATGACCTCCATTAGCAATGTCTGCTGCTCCGGGCTAAGGGAAGTTGTCGCGACTTGGTACATATGACCGTTCTTCATCTGGAATGCTAGGGGAATATACAGGGTTAGCCGAGTCATCAACAAGAAACTGAACGTACTTGTCAAAGCCTGTTTGAAGGAGAGATAGGGATCTGCATTGTCCAGCGGACTAATGTAGCCAAGCTCTTCATCGATGTCGGAATCGTCAGAGATTTCGGACACATCTTCACCAGCCGCCTCCTTTTCGGATCTCTCGCGTAAGCGTGCACCCTAGGACAGGAGTCAGCAGATGACCAGTGGCATGTGCACAGAGATCCCTTACCTCGTTCGCAAGCATTTCCAAATAAGCCGAGTCTTCATCCCAAACATCATCTGGATAACGTGTAGGCCAAGTAAACGGGTCCTATGAGGACGAAATAGAGCGTACCATCGGTTTCGTTCATGTTGAGTAATCTCGAGTCATCACTATCGTCGTCGTCATCATCAGCTGAGAATGCTTCCTGCAGCTCTTGGCGCGCTGAAAGAAGTGTCACAAATAATCGGCAATCATCCATTCGCCCATTCAGCTTACCCGCAATGGCCCGAGGAAGCTCCCTGAAGAGATGCAGAGCACCCGATACAATACCAGGCCAGCCCTCCTTGACCAAGTCCGGGATAGCACTCGGGTCCATTTCCAGCAGCGCACACAGGGCCATGATGCTGAGCTTCTTGTCATGTACACGAGGAAGACCCTTCTCGTTGTTGATTGCTGCAAACCACTTGTCGAAAAACACACGGGAGATCCCAGGGCGGTGGCTCTCCATCAGATGCAAAGCAGCAGCAGGGTTATAAAGCACGGTGTTGATGAGGACTTCCAGATTCGCAAGACGGAGAGCAGTAGTTTGCGATTTGTCGAAGATGCTGAAAGATGTGGCAATGATTGTTTGCAGGGCCTAGAGAGGTGGTCATCGGTATGGAACGGAAAAGGAGGTTGGGGTTCTTACATCGTCGATGGAACCCCTCAAGTTCAGCATCATAGACTCGATCAGCTTGCAACCGTTTACTGCATCATTTTCACCCAAGTGATCACTTGTGATGGATGTTGTGTAAACATCGAGGACCATCTGCCTGTAGTCGGGGCGGGCCTTGAAAACATCGATGCCGAAAGATACGAAGTTATCCAAGGAGGGTAGCATCTCTGGAATGCCAGCGCTCAACGGATGTGAGACATCTAAGAGCGGGTGCGACTTACCGTCAAGGAAATCGATGGCTTCAGCCTTGAACGTCTTGTAAGTGAGCTCAAACACCGGCCACATGCTCGGAGAAACGCTGCGTAGTTTGTAGGTGAAGCTGTCGACCAGCTCGTACATGTTGTCGAACAAGTCTATGCAAAAGATAACCCATGAACATCCCTCCTTGAAGCCGGAAGAGTATGTTTCTCCACTTACCGAGTAACTTATTCTCGAGAGTGAGTACAATGATAGGAATAATGATCTCCTGTACCTGTGCGAGGATTTCAGGGGAGGAGTCCACTGCATCAACAACCTGACATCTAGTTAGCATCAAATGAATCAAATCTTAGGAACATGCAGCAACTCACAGTACCAATCGTCTTGGCCACACCCATAGCGGCGAACGTCTTGTCCTCGTCAGGCTCGCGATCCATCAAGCTGTCAAGATCCACGTCTGAAGCATTGACGCTATCCGAGACTATACTCTCTCGTGCCAAGCGCGTATATGTCTCGCACTACTAATCTGTAAGCATGGGACTCGTGCATAGACGATGAGACATACAAGACGTGTGGCGAGCTCAGCTGCAACAGGCAACAGCTCCGTGTGATATTGTTCCACCATGTTCTCCATGCAGTGGTTGAGGATGTCCAAGTCTGTCTCGTCCGACAGTTTCAAGAGAGCTGAGCAGACAAAATTCTTCAGTATCCAAGATGTGGTGCTATCAATGCTGGACTGACTGTGGATAACCTTGCCAACCTCGGGAGCTACGGCAGATCTCACTGGAAGGACAGTAAGCGAGCTACTACAATGATTGTCCGACCAACGCACCAGACTCGTGAACAGTCACCATCTCGGTTAAAGCCAACACGGCCTGAACACGAACTGGGAGTTCTGAATCATCCAGGCAAGCCGCAAGGGCTGTAAAATGCGAGCGGAGGTACTGTGGAGGTGCTTAACGTTTTAAGTTAACAAGCAGGATATTCAAGATGCCACACCTCATCATTCGAGAAATGCAGACCAGCTTTTGTCACTGTTCCAAGAACTTCGCAAGCCTGTACGACGAACTGTGAGAATATGATGACATGCATTTGGCATGAGACATACGATTGCCCTCATGTACGGCTCGCTACTCGCGAACTCCGGCAGTACATGCTGGATCATAAATTGCTCCATGCTGTTCTTGACATCAGGGTGACGCATGATGAATGGACCCAGTCCAGCGGTCATGTTCAGTGCACCGAAACGCTGAGGAGGAGCAGGCTTCCTGCATGAAGAACATCAACGTCGGGACAAAACCACAGTTCCGCAATACTTACGACTGCAGGACCGAGTTGATGAAACTGAGGATAGGCAAGAACGTTGTCTTCGTCCTATTACTCACCAGGGAGAACAAGAATGATGTCGCAGCCGATACAGGACTGTCGAATATTTCATATTCATCTGACCATATGGAAGAGAAAATTTAAGAAGACGATGTCTGATTATGGCGGAACCTGAAATACGCACCGACGGAAGTGCGAACATAGTCGATTGGATCGGTCTCCCATAGCTCTTTCTTCACAGGCGTGAAAGACATCTGCGGGAACACGTAGGACGAAACAAGATTTTGGAAATGAGGCTTGAGCAGAGCCCACGTCGACTTCGGCTTAACACTGTCGTGCGCTATTCAATCGAGACTCCCAATACTTTCTTTGAGTCATTATAGACGTACCACTCAGTGAAGAACGTGAAGATTTGATATTGGCACTTCTTCGAAAGCCACACTTGGCCGGAGACATACAGTTCAACCTGGCGGAGATAGATCTTGAAAATCTCTGGAGCGAAACTTGTCACGAAATGCTGCGCGAACTGCCCGTAAGCCTGCTGCAGCGAGCTCGGCAGCTGCGAGGGGTTGCCAAAGCGGTGGAACAGGCGGCCAAGGACGCCGTAAGCCCATTTCTTCGCCTTCCACCACTCACTTCGCTCGCGCTCTTCTTCATCTTCGGGGACTGCTCCGGCGGGGATCTGCAGGTTAACTACCTGGAACAACACGCGACCCCAGGGGACTAAGCTTTCTGCGCTCTGGTGATGTGAGCTCAGATGCAAGACGATACTGGTCTTATATGTTTTGAGGATGAGGTGAAGCATCAGTGGAATTTCTTGATTCGCATTCGCAGGTGGTGTAGAAAGGAGCCGCGTGGCTATGTCGACTAGCGTAGGGAAAAGCTGAGCCACTAAATTGGCCATAGTTGTAGTAGATTGACGAAAGCTGCAAACAAGGTTACTTGATTGTAATGAAGGTGCAGTGAGAGAATCCCTCACCGGAATGCCCGAACCATTTCGAGTGCGGCCACACATCCTGCAACAACTTCTCGTATGTCGCCACTTGCAAGCAGTATCTTCACGTCGTCTGTAAGGGTAGGCCACTTTTCGGGATAATCATGGGCGACAATATTCTTCAAAGTTGTGGCGAGCTGAACAGTGATACTCCTAGATGGAGACGACGCAAGAAGGGGTAAAAGCGACCCCTTCAGTACTTGTCGGTCAGAAGGAGGGATCGGAACTTGGTCCGAACGTTCAGGAGCAGATTGAATGAAGTAGGAAGTAAAGACGCGATTTTTGAGATAGACAACTCCGGCCTGTCGAGTAGCGCTACAAAACAGTTCTACATGAATGAAACGCGTGAAAACGCGTCGGACACGTACAGATCAACACCGTCGTTCCCTATGATCTGGAGGAGGGCAGCGAGCATGCCCTCCTGTGCACCGATCTGCCAACGGTGACATCAGACTAAGATGACCCCGTCTGACACCTAAGGCGGCTGTGAGACGCACCTTGCGGATCTGGAGCTCTGCGGCCTTTTGGACATTTGGATCGGGATTGTACGTGCTCGCAAAGAGGTTGGATAAACTTTGAAGGTCCATCTGGATCGCGGGTTAGCATCTTCAAACAGGCAGTACAGACAAGGAAGTACCGTTCCAACGTCTTATGAAGCAGGATGGGGGTATATGAGAGGACCGAAGGAAGGAAAGAGGTCGATTTTTTCTTCGCGCACAAAGCGTGTGGCAAGTCGCGTGCAACGCGTTCACTTATCAACTCTTATTTCAGCAGTATTTTGATCGTATCACCGGCGCCAAAGTGGCTGCAACACAAATTGGATCGCTTGCACTAAATGATATCCGGAAGACTAATACAGTGTAACGGCACCACTTTGCACACCATATAGCCTTTACTAGGTTTTCGGAGCTCACACGATATGCTGCCCAAATCTGAGGAGACATAAAGTTTCTAAGATGCCTTAGGATGTATCTACCAATTTTTGCGACATTTTATTCGGGACGGGAGAGGAACATACAGCCCTCGGATTGAGCAAGGTCAGAACTGCACGAACTGCACGACTTTGCACACCCGTGGGAACCGTCCGTCAGCCTGCTCCCAGCGCGGCGCGAGTGAGAAGCGCCCGCTTCACGACGCGTCGGGACTACTTCACGAGCCATAAATCTTTCCTACAGGACGCAGTTCTGCTCTAATCCCTTCTTAGCAAGTGAACAAGATGTTCAGAAACATGTCAGCCTTCTGTATAAAACAGTGTTTTTGTGTGAGAGGACCATCATTTTGTAGCATTTACTGTACAGAAGTGTTACTCGGCTAGTTCTTGCATTTTGGCCGATCTCAAAATTTCCTGCCTGTGCAATTCTGGCCCATTCACCTCAGAAATTTGCACAGTGAAGGATCTAATAAACTACTAGATACACAAAAAAAAGCAGGACAGTCAAGTCAGAATTGAGAGTGTGCCTGGCAGGTGTGCAAAGTGATGGGGGTGTGCAAAGTGGTGCCGTTACACTGTACTGCACGCTCTCCATGTACGAGTGCTCACGATGTTTGGTATCGCACGATGCTCAGAGGGGACAACGATGCAAAACAATACATTGTGGGGAAATTCAAGGTGTATACCTAAGTCAAGGTGCTGTCAAAAGATAAATCCATGTGCCAAAAATCAGGTTCACAATAAATCCGAGGATGACACCGATTTGCATGCGCCTCCTACGTGCTATACTTAGTATCTCATATGACAAAGCACAGCTCATCACCTACGAGAAGATGCTGCTGCCCATCACTTCGTGCTCAACCCCATTGTCCCAGAAAACGGCCGGCTTAGGAGGGCGAAAGTAGAAGAACGGGATAAGGGGGAAGAAGAACCCGATGCCAATGCCGTTCAACATCGCGGATGACGCGTTAGCAGACTGCGAGGCAGTCCCGCCGTCCATAGATTCTATCCACCTTTCTTCGAGCGCTCGAGCGTGCTCGTCAACTAGAGCGTCACCGGTACACACTAGACATAAAAAACAAGAGAATCAAATAGGCTTACATTCTTCATCGTCTTCAAATTCCTGGTCCAAATAATCCACTGCAGAATGTGCATGGAACTGCAGCCGGAAATTGGCGATATCTTGTGCTGAGAAACCAGCAGCCGCCAGCCGATCGAACCCTCGCAACGGCTTGAGTTGAGCGGTCTAGAAGCAGTAAACAATGCGAATCAATTCTCAGAACTCCAGAAGCAAGGTGCACACTGCACGAACCTGGATCTTACTCTCCTCTTCCGCTTCTTCTTCGTCTGCTATTGGCGGGCCAACAGAACAGTGCAACCAGGTAGAAGCAGCGGGGCTTGGCTCAAGTGATACAACATTCGGCTGGCCTCCAGACGCAGCTCGACGTTGTCGCTCCTCTAGAACAACGATTCTGGTGTACAACAGGGCGCTGTCCGTAAGAAGTTGACCTGACAGAATCAACTTAAGACGACGTTTTTCTAGCTGTGGTCTGGAAGCGCGGATCTGTGAAGACCGTTCAAAATCAATTAGAACTGAAGCTCAGACTGGAAATGAGACGTGCATTCGTCTTGACGTCGCGGACCGTGTCTTTCTCTGCAACAGCTAGCATGAGGTCAGGAATACCTTCGGTGAATCGAATGGTCAGATCCTTCGACAGAGCCTTTGCCTCTGGCTCATTAGCCGGCTCTACAGCACGCTGCTTTCCCTTAGCTTTCTCGCTGAGACCCATCAGGATACCAGTTCTAAGATGGGTGGTTTGCAGATAAATGGGTTGGCCAAAGTCGGGCTTGAGAAGAAATTATGCAGGAAGACAGAAGCGTTTAGTACAAGTTTGGTAACATCTGATTCTAATCTTGTTCTAACCCTTCAACAACGCCTCAACAACATTTTGTTACCCCCGGCCTTCAAATCGATCGATTTGTCAGCACCCGATCTGAGTCTCACCTCCACTGGCGGCAGTACTCCGCCGGCGACTCCGAAGCAGTGACCTCCCTCTTGCACTCATTCCACTTCATCGACCTGTTTTCTATCCAGCATGCCTCGCGCGGAAGGTACACTATCCTATTCATACTCGGTACAATACATGGACTGACTATGACACAGTTGGAACCCCGAAGTATCTCGCCAACAAGATGAAGGCAAAAGGTCTTCAGCGTTTGCGGTGGTACTGCCAAGTCTGCCAAAAACAATGCCGGGACGAGAACGGATTCAAGTGCCATGCGCAGTCCGAGGCTCATCTGCGCCAGATGCTCGTCGTGGGCGAGAATGCCGGGCGTCACATCGCCGACTTCTCCTCAGAGTTCCAGCATGACTTCGTCCAGCTTCTCTCGCGGCGGTTCGGCACTAAGCGTGTGAAGGCGAACAATGTGTATCAGGAGTACATCCAGGATCGGAGCCACCTGCACATGAATGCGACTCGCTGGGTTACCCTGACGGAGTTTGTGAAACATCTGGGTCGGATTGGCGTGGCGAGGGTGGACGAAACGGAGAAAGGGTGGTTTATTGCGTGGATAGATAACAGTCCGAAGGCTTTAGCGAAACAAGTGCGTTTCAACCCCGTCTCATGCGACCTGATAATCAGCTCACGAATTTATTAACTTCCAGGAGGCTTCGTTGAAGAAAGAGCGGGCGACTACCTCGGATGAGCAGCGGGAACGCATGCTCATCAACGAACAGATTGAGCGCGCCGCAGCTTCAACTTCTGCCGAGCCATCGCCTCCTCCTGCAGAGGAAGGTTTGAAGCGGGATGAGAGCACCGAGAAGGTCGTCTTGTCTTTGGCACCCAAAGTCACTCCAAAAACATCCTCCTCATCAGGCTTGACAATTAAGCTCAAACCGCTGAATCGAGCCAATCCTCTGAAGCCCGCAAACCCTCCCAAGCGGCCGAATGTGCTCAAAGCGACTGCTACGCCCACACCTGAGGTAGAGAAAGTGGCTGGAAAGAAGAGGGAAGCTCCTATGAGTGCCTCTGAGCGGTTGATGTTTGAAGATCAAGAGAAGAAGCGGAGGCGTATGGAGAGAGAAGCGGTGGCTTAGACTTGTCTCCCTGGGACTCTGCTAGGTGTATTTCTCATTGTTTCCCTATCATTATACTACTGGTTCCTGTGCAGAATAAGCGAACGTGACCTTTTGTTTTCTAGAAGTGAACTTGGACGCGCCGCCACGCGCCACTAAACATCAACAACCGCGCTTTAGAAATTGGAAAGCGACGCATCTGTGGGTTGATATAAAAGAGGGTCGTCCTAGTGTCCTTTACCTCGGATTTGCTCCACAGAATTCCACGTTCGAACCGCTTCTCAGAATGCGACATGTAGACCTCCCTCACATCATCACCTCCTTTCCGCCTCCGCCTCCGCCTCCCATCCTCTCTCGCCCTTCGACGGATCCAGACTTTTACACGGATTCCTGGAGCATCAACGAACCGCTCGACGGGCCGCGCAGCATGGATACTGCAGATCTTCCTTCCACCTCCCTGTGGCGTCCCATTTCTCCCGGATTCCCAACAGCTCCAGGAGCGCACATTGACACGGACTTGTGGACTGGGATTGAGCCATTCATTGGGCCACAGACCAGCCCAGTCAGGATGCCCACATTCTCGATATCGGACGCCACACCTGCTCGTCATAGCGTGCAGCGAGTTGAGGACGGATCCTACATAGCATTTGCCGTCGATGATGACATGATTGCCGAGTCTGAGCTCGCGGATTCGGTGTTGGCGTCGCCTTTGGGTGCTTTGGGGCCTCGCCGTTATGTCGGCCTCGTCGAACAATCATGCCTGTACAATGTCGACGGCAAGTGGATCGAAGTCCTTGATGTTTACTTTGTTTGCCACGGGCCCCCTCCTGTGGCCGGTGCGGAGAACCACTACTTGTTGATTGGTCCATTTAACAGGCATATCTCGCCTGAGACCGCTCTCGAAACCGAACAGATGGTACCGTGGGTAGATTGTGTTCAATGCGCTACCCTCGGAATACGACTGGTCGTAGAGTCATTTCACGAGTCCGGGCTGAAATTCAAGTTGAGGGACGAGAGCTTCTTCATGTTCGAGAAACAAGCGGCAGAACACCTGGTTGATTTGAAGAACACGCTTGCTAACGGCCTGCAGTCTGAGGAGACGAACAATACCCGAAAGCTCATGCTCTCAGATTATGCCGTTCCCGCCACGATCTGGCGCGACGTCCGGTTTCCAGACCAGAAGGACGTTCCTTCGCACGGTGATAATTTCCTGTACATGTATGTCTTGCTGCTGCATGGTACCACATAGATGCTCACTTTCTTCCCTTTCAAACAGGGGGACGGAACGTATTGAGAGTAAAGATGAAGAGCACGACGAATGCCCGGAGTGAGAGCTTTGCGGTGCTTCCCTGGGAAAGGACTATCCTTCCCAGAGAGCGGCGGCGGAAGATTATTAACGTATGGCACATTTCGTTACATTGCATGTGTTGCATAAATCGCCTTATACCAATAGCCTCCGTATGACCAACTGAACCCAGAAACGTGGGCGGTGCGCTATCAATAACAAATGATCAGAGGGAAGAGGGAAGAGAACGAACCACGCTGCACAAGTTCAGCGCTCAGCCTTGCCGCCGTACACCAGCGCCACGACCCCTCCCTCTTGCCTTTGTGCCCCTTTTCGCAGCTGGGGGACTGCTGGCACCATCGTCTTCTCTTGTTCTTATCCCCCTTCCCTTGAATGCCGAGTCGCGCCCCCTGTCCGTCTCTCTGTCCATAGGTCTCCAATCTCTGAATTTTCTACGGGACGCCTTGCTTCCCATTTCCAAATACTCTTCTCTCGTGACCACACACTGAAAGAATTCGGGTTTGCTTGCGAATCCGACCGCCGATCGGTACGCCTCTGTCATTGGGCTTTGTCAACGTTTAGGTCAGCCATTAGGATCAACATGGCACAACTCTTCATGCGACGTACTCATTTGTCGTGTGTACCGCCACTTCACATTCAACGGGTGCGAGGGACCGCAACTCATTCGTTCTGTAGCATCGGCTCTAATCAGCACAAATCTACCGCCGGCGTCCGAGTGGCACCCATACAATCTTTCCTGGAAGCCAGGTATATTGGTATTTCCACCTATCAGACCGATGTGGGCCCAAAACATTCCTCGTAGGTCTTCTGGCAGAAGATTAATGGAACTTGCCACCGCAGTAGCAAGACCGCACTGGTTTAGACCTGTAGATAGGAGTTACATGAGACACATTTGCCAGAAATCTATTTTTGTCTCACCAATGTTGTCTGGGCGGAAGATAACTTCTGGGACGGTGAATCGTTCATTGTTCATGTACATAACCTGAGAGTTGTCGTCCAGCTGTTCTCCCGCCCTTCGTATACGGCCTGGCCGATGAACAGAGAAATCTGGGAGAATATATTCTTGCACAATTTCATTGTTCCTTGAATTTGCGCTGTACCGGACGTTAGAAACGGTGGTCCTCACAACAAGCCGGGCAGGAACATACTGCGTGATCTCCAAGTCCCTTCTAAAATTTATCGACACGTAGCAACAAGATTCCTTGATGTCGTTCATGATATATGTCTCATCCATCATGTTCCACTGGCGAAACGATGCAAGCTCTTTCAATTGGTTCGTCAACAACTTTCCGCCAACATCAATCCTTGGACAGAGTCAGCCAACCTCCACGGCAGATGATGAACACGAAGATACCGTTTCACAGCATTCCATAGAACTGAACCGTTCATGATGGGGACAACATGGGTAAAACTGAAGCCAGAGTCAACGATGATCATGCATTCAGGTGGTTCAAGGCTCGGCCCTGCGAACAGAGTGCCATGGGGTATAAGCGACGCAGCTGTAGGAAAGTCATCAGCCGTTATTATCGCACTGTGGATATCGACGACCTACGAGTGCAGCGATAATATGATTTAAATTCGTACTCCTCAAAGACAAACTGATCATATACTTCTTGAATGTTGGGCAAGTTGAAATACGGCTCTGTTATCAGAAGCGATGACTCTGTCGTGTCCACCTGCGCCGTTCAATCACCGCCATGTTGACGACACGAAGTATAAAAGACTGACTTCTAGACAATCACTCGAGAACATACCGTCCCACACTGCCTTCTGCGCGTCCCAGTCCACTAGAAATCCCTAGATGACTGTGAAGACATTTCTCTGTCCTGAATTTCGTTCTTGCAAAGGACGGACATACCTTCTCAAACGGAAGGTGGAAATGCAGCGAAGAATAATCCTGGCATTTCTCAAATTCATGGCCGAAATATGCAGTCTTGTTCCCCTTTGAACTGATGATTGCATTCGGAATGATTCTGCTGATCTGCGTGAGTGGTGTATATCTGTCCAGGTGGATTGCCTATCTTACCTCGGTTGACCTCCATGATCACCCAATACGCCCGCCTTAATTGTTCCTGCGCCATTCTCCACGATGACCACATGAGGCAGCTTCATTGCGACCCGACGATCGTAGGATAGGCACTGTGGAATGAGAGAAGTTTCGACGAGTCCGTGGTCGATGTGGTCTATTCTGGTTCGCGGAGAGGTCCACTGAACCCAAACAGGGCGCATCTAGATCATTACACTCTCTCAGAGTCCACGTTCACGCTCAAGCCCAACGACTCGGCCTCGGATCTCTGCAGACCTCATGACAAGCTCTCTCTGGTGAGTCTCTAGGCCGACGGAGATACCTCCTGAATGCGCCTGAATATGTACAAACGCAGGCTCGGAACTGACTGCGCAGTAACATACCGAATCCACATCATAACTCTCGTTGGCAGCTCAGGGTGCCCGAAGCTCCTTTACACGCATCTCCGTGCCTTTTAACTACGACTGTTCCGTCGTAAGCGGCATCGCATTCTCGGGGAAACTGTGTGGTGCGCTCCATATTGTCCATCTGCCAGCATACCTACAGTTAGGTAAGAGCGGCCGACTGTTCGCAATTTGAACCTTCTTTGTCCGGGCTGTGTTTTCCCCCCAGTTTCTATTCTGATGTGACGTCTATGTCCAGTACATCCGCGTTGACGTGAAAGAACCGATGTGTGTCGGCTTCTGGTGCCTTGAACATCCCCGATATGCTCTGTGCGTTACACCGTCTGATACTTAAATGTTGCGTTGTCACTCATTGGGCGCATTAAGCATCATGTGTAGCAACCGGGACGAGTACCTGTCTCGACCCACGTCAGAAGCCCACTTTCATTCTTTCGAGAGCAGCGGAACTACCGACCCTGAGGGAGGTCTCGTCCTATCAGGCCGAGATTTGTTGGCTGGTGGGACGTGGGCAGGGATTGGCCGTACCGGCAGAATCGCATTCCTGTAAGCCATGCGTACTCTTGGGGTCGAGATTGATATTGAAATCTGGCGATACAGCACCAATATCACAGAAAGCCCAAAGACATACAACTCTTCCCGAGGCGACCTTACGTCTTCTTTCCTTTTGCATAGGTTCCCTGGTAGAACTCTGGAGGATGAAGTACACGCCATTGTCTCCCGGAATGGTGTCTTCGCAGGATTCAATCTCCTCCTGTCCACTCCCCTCTACACTCCAGACGCCGATGGCAAACGAACGCTCTCACTAGAGGCTGCTTTTGTCACCAATTCTGGTGGAGCTGGCACAATCACGGCTCGCCATCTATCAGATGAAGAGCGACGCTGCGGTGGAATGTCGAACGGTATTGATCGTCACGGCGCGTCAGAATGGACGAAGGTCAAGCACGGAACACGAAGCATGCAGGACGTCTTGGATTCTATTACAGAAGATACTACAGAATCCGAGATTGTTGAACATTTATTCGGGATTTTGACGTGGGTATTTCTTGTTATCATCCCGCGGTGTGCGCGGACACGTTCTAACGTTCGATGGATGGTACCGGAAGTTGGAAGTGCAATCCTTCTCCCTTGGATCGCTCCGAGTTGCGGAACACGATACAGGTGGAGCCTTTGGTGGTCGCGTCACCGGACAGCGCACATTGCGAGTATTACGGCACCCGTTTGTCTACCGTTATCCTCATTGGCAGAAACGGGAGCGTGTTGTTCGTCGAGCGCGATGTGTGGGCATTGGATGCTGAGGGTAGACCTGTCAGAGCTGATGCAGAGAAGCAGCGTGTTTTCCGCTTCCAAATCGAAGAATGCCCTCCATAGCGGTAGGGCAATGAGTTACCATCACGTCTACACAGGATATGTGTCATAATGTACAATAATGTGGTAATACTACACCAGAGGACAGGAGAAAGCAGAGAGGGGAGAATGTACGTGATTTCATAAATACATCATCGATACCTGAAAAAATATGCCAAAAATACATCGTCCAAGATTGTCTGCGACAAGCCCAACGCACCGACCTCATGACGCGGGGTACAAGAGGAGCAACTACTTTCAACCCATATGATACGACTTTTGATAAGTACCATGCTGGCCTTGCGGTACGGAAAAATACGAGTCGTATCCACTCGATGTGGACATCGTTGGCCACTCCTGCATGGCGTTACCCATGCTGGAATGGCTTGACGTAGAGATAGGGGACAGAATTTCAGTCTCCGTTGGAGTGGGTAGGGCGTCATACGAAGAGCCGGAAACAGCTCCAGGGCTGTTCCCACTGTCAAATCAAAACGTTGTCAGCCGACCTGTCACTGTTACGAGAGCAGAACGAACTGCATTAAATCATCCAGCTCCATGATGCGCCTTAGGATAATACATTGATGGTGCGTATTGTGCTCTGGAAGTTGCCTGAGGATGCCCAAGGCGCTACGCAGCTGGTTCGTCAACGCGATGAGGGGAAGGCCCGCAGCAGGATTGGTCAGACAAGAGCAGGAAGGCTGCATCGACTCAGACTCGACCGTCATGCTCCGTGAATAGGGTTGCTGGCCGTACTGGTCGCAGTGCGAGGTGGTAGCAGCGTCCGAGTGGCGGTGATCCCCGTATGTCACCGCCGAAGTAGAAGACGTATAGCACAAGTCATCTGTCGGAGACTGCTGGCGGTCGCGAGAAAAGGTCTGTGGAAGGAGATGTCCAGTATTGGGGTAGGCTGAGCTAGACGATGGAGGCAATCGGTAAAATTGCTGGTGCGACGGGTTCACGGTCTGCTCGGCTTTGACGAGCGTGGACGTGGACGAAGCAACGCTGCTCGCGTGTACACGCTCGTCGACCCCGTCCGGTCTCATTTTTTGGTACTGCGGCTGGCCACGTTTGGAGGACCGTGAATGCCACTTCTCATTCGCGTCACCCTCGCAGAAGCTCGGCTCAGCCCAGCGAGGATGCGGTTTGCCTGCATCATTTACCTCAGCGAACAACACCTAGACAGTAGCGTTCGACTTTACCTCGGAGCTCTCGCACCAAGCTCTCCAGCTCTGCGATCCTATTACGTAGACGAGTGGTCTCGTCGACGTTCGGGTCATCTCTGCCCAAGGAAGATCTATCAGGTCACTCAAAAGTGCATGAAAAACAGATGCACCTACCGTAAAGCAGGATCGTCGACTTCGTACACGCATAAACCAGTCTAAGTGACCGGCCACGCTCAACTCGGTGTCTACGGAGATAGGCAGACGTGTCCTTACCAAACCGAGCTGGATACATCTTTGGCATGGCCGCTTCCTGTCGCACTGTAGTATTTAGAGTGGTCCAGTGAGCTCATCGGGCCATGTGAAATGGCCATGAATGGGTGTTCACCTTCCGCTTGGAGGTATGACAATTTAGGCATGACTGCGTCGTCCTGTTCCTGCGCCTATGTGCAGCTCATTGAAGCCGTGTTCGTGTTACTGAAGTGAGATATGGAGTTCACCTTTTGCGATGGTCACCGTCGAATTCCAGGTCAAAGTCCATGACTTCGCCCTTGAACTGGAGAGGCTCCATTGGGGGGGCCAAGTCAGAGGTCATTGTTATGGTGGTGGATCAGGGGAAAGTGAGATCGACTGTAGTACGTACTTATGCCTAGGCAAGCGCCATGTTCTAAACGCCTGACATGGGCAATAAGGACTGTTCTGGATAAACGTCCCGAAATTAGGCTGGAGCGAAAACCGTAATGCCCGAATGCATAGAAGTGCTCGTTCGTCCCTGACGGAGCCTGACGCAGACGGTCATTGTTCCTTCTAGGCGGGACAATTCTGGGCTGCCGGCACGTTTCGCAGATGCGTGACACAACGTGCGAAAACAACGCCTTTAGCGTCGAAGATTGATAAGATTATACTCTCGAATAAAGCTGCGAATCCGCGCACGTAATACTGCTATCGGGGCGAGTCTCCTAATATCTGGAAATCTCTGTTTACGTGCCGAGGTTCTGTGCGCAACGTAGTCTAAACTACCACCGTCCGGGGCTATGGCCGCCGTCAGTAATGCAATCGCTCAGAATCGCCTCCGTACTAGTTCACCGCCCGGTGTCAGGATAGCACCAACCAGAGCGCTTGCAGCAGCGGTTGGCAGCGATATTTGTGCTCAGGATTGAATTGCAATCCTTCATCCCATCAGGCTGCGTGCGTGATGACTTGCCTGACGAGATTACGCGGTGAAGAGTTGGGGAGGGACGAGTCAAATGACTCCGCACAGATCCACGTTGTCTGGGATGTTTCCACTGCAAGCACAGCTTGCCATTGAGTGCAGCACGCAATCAACCATTCGCGTTCGCATCCTCGAGATTCAGCCTACTCGAGGCTCTTCCGTATCCCGAACGACCCAGGCTAACTCGTCTGGAAACGGTGTCGCACGCGCTCTTCTCTTTGTCCTTGGCTCTTATTCTAGACCTTATCTTAGAACATAAACGAAAAACTCACCCATGTCTCAATCAATACATACCCCGTCCCTCTCACCTGAAGGTCCACCATAATGTGTCCGGGGAGGAGCCGAAGGCTCTGGTGTCACCGTGCCTGACTTCCCGGCTCCGTCAGGGCACCAGTCGATGCGTGTATGTTACAGCGAAGCAATTCAAAGCCAATAAGTGTACGTAGCGACGGTGCAAGACATGTATGAGAACATGGTGCTTGCGTTCCGAGTGGCTTCCGGCCTTGCAGCAGCGAGCAGGCAAAGTGTTTAAGGATTGTCCAGGGACAGATGAGTTGGAGGGAGCCACAAAATGATGCGCCGGAGACCTTTGATCCCCACACAGTGCGAAAACAGACCCTGGATTATTCAGCGTTCATCAGCCTGTATTTGCACATATTGGCTGAAAGATGCCCAGGCATACTGATCCCAGATGGCACGAAGAATAGGATCTTCGACAACGTATTGAATAGAATAGGGCGTGTTGACTGCTAGACTGTTCCGATAGGACTTGAATAAGCTGATTTTGGAAAGTAGACTTCTCCGCCCGCGTCCGTACTCTATATTTTTGTCGTGACCGCAGCTAAAGGGAAAAAAAGGTTGACCAATCGCATGAAGACGGAGGCGCATGGACAGAAAGGGTGTCTCCTCCCGATACCGCTTCATGTGGGCCGGGAATATAGCACAATCACGGGAAAGTTGCGATCGACGTTTAAAGGTATCAGCTTTCGGAGATTAAGCCCAACTAGCGTCCCCGGGGCACGGCTACACACCACGACACTGAGGATGAATCCAGGTTGAGGTGACTCACAACAACGGACCAATTCAGGCTGCAACGCAATCTTCGGCAAGCTGACCATGAGAAGGACCTGAGCTGCCAGTGATTGGTCGACATATTCTGTTCGCAGGCTGCTTGATAGGACGCGTCGTCTCATGCATCGAAGCGGGCGGGGTTTCTGAATCCAGTACGTGACATTCGCAATCAATGATCACAGCCCACTCACCTGACTCTTGAAATCCAGGGACAGAAGAGTGGCATATCTGTCCACCAGAAACCTGAATGAAGCTCCAGAATGGTACTCACCGGTAAGGTATCCGAGAGAAAAGGCCGCGATGTTGATGGCGTTCTTCGCATTCATAGGCAACGAGTGTCGAGTCACGCACGAACCACACACCCTCGGGGGGTGCCGTGTGCCTTTGGGCGCTGCCCCGAATGATCATCTCTGTAGGGCGCAGGGACCAGGGTGAAAACTGTTTGGCGACTTCAAAACATCAATACTGAGGCACTGGTACGTTTTCCAACCTTTTTCGATGCTGTAGACTGTCTATTGCATTGATTGAAAGATACGTGCTTCTGCGACCTTCACGTTGATCGGCGTGACATCGACCTTCATCATCTCAACAACATCATCCCGCGATCGTGTCCAACTCCCCAACACCTGTGCAAGGGGCTTGGCAGCTGCGTTCGGATCCAGAGATGCAGTGACTACAATCTTCTTCCGTCTTCTCGTCGGATGGGTAGGTAACCATTTTACCGGCATGGGTCCCTCTGTTCGGCATGTTATCTATGCGATCGGGTGAGACTTTGACGACAATCTAGACTATAATTTCGTCCGACACTCTGCCTCACAGCGCAGAGGTGGCTAGCCACCCACTTCGATGGGAACAGGAAAGAGAAAAGAGTGGTAGGCTCATTCATCACATCTGTCTGGGAAATTAACGGGCTCTACTATGTATGGCTAGAATAAGCAGTTCGACGTCGACTGATTCTTGAGGCCCAAGCATCTGTTAGTCATTGTCCGTAACTGACGCTCCTGTACTGACTCAGGCGTGCACCAACCCGTTTTGCACTTCTCTATGCAAGAAGACTTCTGACCTACTTACTGCACAGGGTCGGTACATCATTGATCCGTCTCCACCATCGGATATACCGCTTTTTCTCCAGTATCCTATTTGTGGGTTTTTTTCTATCACGTACCAGTCTGCCAATGCCCGCGCTGATCCCTGTTGATCAATAGGGTATGTTTCGCATGAAGCATCGCGTCGATAGATGTGACCTTCATACATTTACAGATGTTCTTAGGTAGAAATTCCCTTCCTAAGAACACCGTGACTTCGGTTATATCCTTTGACAGCTGCAACCACTAGCTCTGGGCTCAGTCGTCAAACCTACTCCGTCACGCATTCGCGCGTGTGCTCTTCATGCCAGCTTTGAGGTCTTCAGCAGCAGTAGGACAGACGAGGACCCTCGAGCTGCGTTGGATCTATCCTGATCTATCAGACTCTTGCTATGCGTCTGCCCATGTGCGATCGGCGTACAGTCCAGAATACGGGTCATCCTTGATCACGGGGAACACCTGGCTCCCGTTGAGCCGAAGGCAAAGAAGGCCCCCCTCTGTGGATACTCATGTTGGTGGCACAGCCTTGAGAAAAAGGAACCTCACGACTTTTTCTGGTGGATCTTTCTGTGCTCGTCCGAGGTCGGGTTCACCCTTCGGATTTTGCCTGTGCTACTCCTGAATTCGTAATGTTCCATTGTGACCTGGCATGATCCCTTACGTTGTTCCCCGTCCCAGGCTGATTGAATGGTACCGAAGTCTGTCCATCTCGATCTGTCTAGTGCGGAGTTCATGTCACCCGCGCCTGGCCCACATAGGTTCCCGCTGGAGAAACGCCCAGACCTAATGGTTCTCTCTTTCAGTTCATCCGAGGCGCAGTCCCATCCAAGCCCATGTTTCGAAGAGGTTACGGTACCCGAGTCTCCGAGAGGAGAGCCATGGCTCCAGTCGACAATTGCGTCGACGGTGTTCCATCCGCTTTCTACTGAGTCCGGCGCGAAGGTAGCGGTGTGTGCGAGTCTCGCACGGAGTTCTGATAGCAGCGCGGCGTAACTACTGTGTGAATTGATAATCGTCAAAAGGTTCTCATGTTTATTCGGAAACGAGAAGGTGGCGGCCTGGCACAATACTAGAGTTTCCGTTTTCGCTGTCCTCCACCTGAACAAACGGCCTCTGGATCAAAATTGATGAGTGCTTGCTAGCGCTGACAATGACAGCTACAATATAATATTGCCCCTCCTCTATCTCCGCACATTCGAGTGGATGACACTCGCAACCTTGGAAGGCAGAGTTGCAGCCTTCTTCATTGACCCGGAGAGCGGACGGTAGATAGATCTCGGATGTACGTAAATTGTCGGTGAACCCGACGCGCACGTGAACGTGTAACCGTCGACGCGACGGAGCAACGTGCTAGACCAAGGTTCACCATTCGCGGCACCCAGTCCACGCTGTTGGTATCTCCAGCCTTCATTATCTGACCTTTTCTCTCTTACCATCATCGACTGTGAAAAACTTGACCACTTTCCTACCAATGTCTGACGAGAAGGATAGCGCTCGACCGACGGGTTCACCGACGGAAGAGCCGGACGCTCCCGCAGTGGAAAAAGCAGAGCCGAAACCAGGGTTGAATGGCGTTCCTGTTCGTTGTGAGCTCGCCATGTATCTGTTGTGATAAGCAGAACTGTCTAAGAGGCGTAAACAGGGTTTGATGTGAGCGTCTAATTTCTGAACGAAGCCAGGAGGTGCCAATGACATATCACAGGCGGATAGAACGGAACCGTACACACGGATAACACCTTTCCAAGAGATGCATGATACCAGCGTGGAGTACGTTTGCTTCTACCGTCGAGTGTAGCATCTGATGCGGATGCGTCGTAGATTTTTCTATAAACCAATCACTTTGACCGCGTTGAGTGTGGGTTTGACAGTGTTGGCATACGTGGCGACAACACAAGATGTCTTGCAAGAGGGAAAAGATAAGCGTCGCGTGTATGTGGCTCAGCCGCTCCGTGAAAGAAGTCAACGTTGGTGTTCACTTTGCAAATAGTGGGGCATACGCCGTAATAGCGTCATTCCTATTGTTCTCGATGATTCAGTTCCGAGATGGACCTTTCGTTAGGCCTCATCCTGGTAAGCCTACGTCCATCCCTCATCCCTCATGCAGCAGGGAAGTCAATTGTTTGCAGCATTTTGGCGCATTGTCCTGGGTGTCAACCTCTTGTATGAAATGGCGCTCGTTTTTCTGCTGTTCCAAGATTTGGATTCTGCCAGGGAGATGCTCGTATATCTCGACCCGAGTTTAGGGAGACCTTTACCGGAGAAAAATTACGCGGAGAATTGCGCGTTTACACCACTCAATGTGTGGGTAAGCTACCAACGTGATGCATTTTCTTCGCAGAAGCGGTGACATTGACACACAGAATGCACTTGATATTTTCTGCGTTGCGCATGCCTTGGGATGGTTTGGCAAAGCATTGATCCTACGAGATTATTGGTTTTGCTGGGTGGGCTGACCTCTGCTTCTTTCGCATAGTCAACGCTGAACTCTCGTCCACGCAGATTCTCAGCATAGCGTTCGAATTGGCAGAATATAGTCTGCAACATCAACTCCCAAATTTTGCCGAGGTGCGCATCTCGTGTATAATTTCTCAATGGAAAGACGCTTATAGGGGGTGTAGTGCTGGTGGGATCATGTAAGTGAACATGTAAGTTGCCTGACAGCAGGGTACTGAACGTCCTGCTAGTGGATCCTCGACGTGCTTATTTGCAATTGGCTGGGAACATATCTAGGTTCGTCCACAATACTGTAGCAGTGCATCATTTTACGTCGCCTGTAGGCATGAAAACGTGTCAATATTTTGAGGTCAAAGTAAGGCGTCAAATTAATACCTCCGTGTTCTCGAGGCGTGACAGCGGTTACAGCACTACACGTGGAGGGGTCTCCGACAGACCCACGGGCTGCGTTCGAAGACACAGCGTGTTATCAGCCAGTTCTCCCCTCATGATTGGACAACCTTCAAGTGGGAAGGGACAGCCTCATTCGGGCATTACTTCGCCGTCGTCGTGCTTCTTGCTGTTTTCCTTGCCGCCGAACTCAATCCGTTCTACCTGAAGGTACGTGCGCGGTGATTATCGCTCTATATTTCTGCTGAGCGACGGGACTTAGACCCTGTTGTGGATGGAACCTGATCATCCGTTCGTTATTGCGCGTCTCGCTGGAGTCTTCCTGTGCGCCCTACCCGCTGTGAGAGAGCTGTATCAATATGTGAACGACCCTAGGTACGCGTCTATTTCCTCTGACACATGCTTCGATAACATGTCTCTGATACATTTTGGCCGTGTTACGGTGAACTTGTAGGAAAGCCGTGAGGATGGGGCAGCATGTGTGGTTGCTCCTCGCTACGATTGGCACGGAGCTACTTGCGATCACGAAGTGGAGCCAAGGGCAGTTTCCAGACCCCTTGCCCACAAGCGTCAAGTGGGCGTGGTCCATCGGAGCATTCTTGTTGGTGTTGTATCCCACAGTGCAGGTGCGTACGCTCTGCATACAATATTCCAATATTCTTGATACCTGACTGATGTGATCTCATTTTGATACAGTTCGGAATTCCGAGTCTGAGAGAATGTAAGAAGAGGCGCAAGAGCAAGTGACGGTTCGTGAACGGACAATGACCCTAAGGACGCCTTTGTTAAGAGGGAGAGTTTAATTTGTCAAAAATGTGTACTTTCGTCGGTCTCAGTAGTCCGGCGTATATTGTAATAAATATTCACCCAGTTCCACGCGCTGCTCTCTTCTCCGCGTGCAATCCCGCAGCCGTGGAGGGGTGTGCTCCACGCGAGGTGTAGTTAAAGTGATACTCCTTTATCTGCGTACGTAGACAAGGTGTTGTGCCCGCCCTTGTCCCGCCCACAATCTCGATTCCGCAAGTCATCGTGATCGCGTAGATGTACGTCGCGATCATGAAAGAAGCACGAAGAGAGGCGCGCTGAGCCCGCAGACTTGGCCCGTGGTGCAGATGAGAGTTGCGGAAGATAGCGTGGAGATAGAGAGCCCGTTGCGCACACTACCGTCGGGTAAACGTGATCCCAAGGGTAATTACCAGATCGTACCAGATGCGTAGTGATGTCATACAGATACCAGGAGGAGTAGAGTATTCGATACTCTCAACAGGCCTAGGCCACCAGGAGGAAATCTAGGGGGGGAACAAACATGTCGCAGCCTGCCGAGCCCGAAGGAAGTAACGTCATGCCATGAGGAAGAGGAGGTGCATATAATGATCTCGTTCCTCTTGAGCCTTTTATAGCTTCAAGTTCGACGCGAGCAAGAAGAAATATTTTTTAAAAGTAGCTCACCGCGTTCAAACACATCTCGGAAGTTGGTAACCGGGACAGATGACCGAGATGTTACGACCTATAGCTGTACCTCTTTGGCACGCCGGAATCCCTTCCATGAACTTGGATAGGCCAAGCCATGGACTCATTGTCACCTGGGCTTCAAGCAGCATTACATGGTTATTTCGGTACCTAAGTACAGAACTCGTTAGTCATACAATAGGCAGAACAAGCGAATTTACAAATCGTGATGGCTACCGAAGAACTGCGAGAAGAATACGCGCACTTCATGCTTTAGCTTGCTCACTTGGTGACTTGTCCAAACCAGCAAAAAAATTCAAATCTGGAAACATACTTGAGCTCGTGACGAGGAAAAATGGACACTTCACTGTATTCTAGAGTCCTATTCAGTCGAGAGTCAAGGTCGTGTACTGCGTCTTGTCCTAGACTCCAATTGAACGCACCGGCATGTGAGATCCCAGGAAGGATATATGCTGCTGCAGGAAATTGTTCAGGACTGTGCATGCTGAGATCTAAGATTTATAGCGATGGTGGACTGGACCGAAGATTTGTCAGGAAAGTCCTCTGGAGAATTACCTAGTTTGGGTCGAGCGGGGTCGAATGTTCTGGTGGTTGCTAGAACGCGACTCGCAGCTCATAAGCTCCCGCGCGCCCCCGACCCGCTCTCTCTGTCTTCATCTGACAACCATCACCGACACACGCTTCACGTCGTCATCGACACCTCTTCACCATGGACAACAACCACAACGTTTACAACGGTTTCTTCCAACATCTTCTCGACGCAAACCCTAATATTGGCCAGCAGATAGGCCAAGTATTACAGAACCTCGTTCGCGGCATGGCGCATCACCCTCCACCACCACCACCACCTGCTGCAGACCAGCACCCTCCAGAGGATGACCCCGAACTCGCCGATTTACCCCCTCTAGAGACCGTGTCCGAGGAGGATCCGCAGGACTCTACAGATAGTCCAATGGACGCTACTGAGGAAGCTCTAGCGCATCATGTAAATGGCCTTTCTCTATCGTCGTCGTCCCACTCTACTCATTCTCGGTCACAGGAACAGTCACAGGCGAGCTTCTCGCCGACACCGCTACATCATACACAGCCGGCAGACTCTATGCCGTCTCTAGCTTCCGTCTCGAGTCCCTCCATCAGTGACGTCGATATGCATGACGTGGAGATGACTGTAGATCCAAGCCAGCCTCTGGCTGCGGAGTCTTCTACTCCCGCTGAGCCTGGGCCTTCGACAATCCGCGGCGCGCGTCGTGCAAGGGTCGACGATGAAGAGGACGAGGAGAATATGCGGGAGACCAACCGCCAACGCATGCATTCTCCTGAGGTCCATAATCAGGAGCTTCCCGGTGCTGCACCGCAACCGGCACACCAGGCCCCCAATCCTCACGCTCCCGGCAACGCTCCTAATCCGCCGCCATTGTTCAGTCGGATTGTCTACTCGTTCGACATTATCCCTCCTCCACCACCTCCTACGGACGGTGCTCAACGTGCGGGTGCACAGACGGATCCGCATGCTCCCGCGCAGCTACCAGACCATCTGCCTCCTCCCGCCATTCCCATGATTAACTTATCATTCAACGTTCCTATCACCCCGCCGGGCACTGGTGCGCCAGCAGGGGCTGCTGGGGAGCCTGCTCCCGACGGTGTACGTCCTAATGCACCCCCACATGAAGGGATGGATGCCAACTATATGCGGCAATTCTTACAGCAAATGCTGGGTGGGAACTTTCAAGTAGGTGACCCGACCCTCGTCTTCGGCGGTCCTGGGGACTTTGCTGCATTTCCATTCCCGTTCGGGATGCATCGCGAGGAGCCGGATGATCCTGACCGCGCGAAGAGGCTTGTTGCTGGATTGGACGAAGTACCGCTTGGGCTTGTGCGGAGGATGGAGCGTGTTGGTGGCTCGGGTACCTCGGAGGGAGACTCTCCACTATGTGCCATTTGTTGGGAGAGGTTGACGGACGTGGATGCGGGTGGGTTCGAATTGGAACCCGAGGTAACCGAAGGTTTCGACGCCGCATCTGCTGGTGAGGGTGCCGGCACCGCCGGGTCAAAGGTAGTGGACGTCAAGAAGATCGTTGTACTGCCGTGCTCCCACGTCTTCCACACTTCTTGCCTATTTCCGTGGTTCTCCAAGCCGCATCGTACGACATGCCCCACATGTCGTTTCGATATTGACCCGGATTCGCTGACCTACTCGCCGAGGCGGAGACCTCAACGACCACAAACGCAGCCCCAAACTCCCCTTCCCACTGATGCACAGCCTACTCCTACTGCAGTTGGCTCTGAAGGGCGGGTTCGCCCTCAGCCAGAGGCTCAGGCGGGCGCAGGTGTGCCACCGATTCCTGGCGATGGGCCGAATGCAGCACCTAGACCAAACCAAGGGCGCCCTGCAGGCCAGAGGTTGCCACCATTCATCGCTCTCGACTTCAACGTCTTCGTCCCCGTAGTCACTAACGACGGTGTGCCAGCGCCAATGCCAGTGCCTATGCCTCCGGCTCCTGGTACTACCGCTGCGGGCCTCGGCGCAGGCACGCTTCCTGGCTTCACTCACTTGGAAGAAGAAGCAGCTCGTGGGCTGTTCGAACGTCTGTTCGGTGTTGGCCCTCATCCAGCGGGCGCTGGCGCCCACGGCGGTCCACAGCCTCAACTACATCAGCCCGTGGATACTACTCCCGCTGGCGGTGCTCCTGCTGGTCAGGCCAACCTAGATGGCGGTGCACCAGATGTCCAAGGAGCAGGCCCAAATGGTCCATTCCCCACATTCGAGTCAATGTTCGTGGGCCCTACCCCACATTTCTTCGAGGCGTTCCCTCCGGCGATGATGCATCCGCCCGTGGATGTGCCCGTCAATATAGGCGGTCGTTTCCAGCGAGGTCCACGTCCGCCGAAACCCCAATGGACTTTGCCCGCTGCCCCTGGTCCTACTTTGCGGCAACGCATTGAGCGCAAAGAGCACGAGATGGGGCTACGATGCTCGGACGTGAGCTGTGGGCTCGGCCCCTCCGACGAAGAACCCCTACCTACCGGAGATGCCAATGCTTTGCGCCAACTTTCTATCCATCCCTTCGGCAAAGGCATGGACGAGAAGGTATGTGAACACACGTTCCATCCATCCTGTCTTGTCAGTGCCGAGCGCGTTGCCGGATGGGGCGGCGAGGACAAGAAAGAAGGAGAGGTTGAAGTATCGTGTCCGACCTGCAGGGCCGTCGGCTACATCTCGCGGGCGGACTGGGACGAGGGCGCGTGTGCGCTCGTGTAGACGCACCGACACATCTGGCTTTCGTGCTTTGCAACAAGTTACTTCGTCAGTTGATACCATGCTTTGCTGTCGTCTTGCGCGCTGATCTTCGTTCGCGTGCGCAGATCCCATATGCCGTATACCACCACCGATTCAAGCATCCAGACCATACGTTCGCAGTCTAATCATTTATATTTTGTACACCTTTCGTTTTCTCTCATGATCACGGTGCATATTATTATGGACGCTGAGCATTTACGTTAAACGGTAATTTGTACTGTACTGTATTAGTGCGAATGCATGGCCACGTATTCTTACCTATTTCTTCAGCGGATCGCTCGGCATCCAAATGTAAAGTAGTAATATTATGTTATTGCCCTGACCTTGTCTGGTCAACATAGTCCTCAGAATCCAGGCAAAAAGATCGAGTATCCAGACAGCTCACCAGTGTCAGTTCTGGCGGCGGTGAGCTGCGGCTAGCGACTTATGGACGAGTAATAGAGACCACTACGCTGGAGCTTCAGCAAACAGAGATATCGAGACGTGTGCCTCGCGCGCTCAGGCGCGGCAACGACGACCTAATAGCGTCGACCGTTTCGCCGCCATGGATCCCGAATGTGACAACAAGACGCGGGAGCGTGCGGGGGAGATGGGAGAGGGACTCGTCCACGTGCGCCCAGTCGACTCCCACCGTCCCGAGGAAAGTGAAGATGATCTGCGAGAGGCGCGGTGAGGCAATCGTAGAGAGCAGCGCGGGCACCCACGGGCAGCGCACGCCGGCGAACGTGTTGGAGACAATGTGCAGGGACGCGAGCCGCGTGTTGTGCGCGAGTGTGACGTCGTCTGGGAGCGCAGCTGCGTACAACTGCGGTCAGAAACGCGAGAGTAGTAGCGCTGGCAGAGGCGTACCGTCGGTGTCCAGAGAGTACAGCGCGATTTGGAGCTCTTCAAGGTGCGTCCCGGCCCTGCGTAGTACGTTTTTGAAGCCAGGCCCCCGTGATGCGAACGCGTACACGCCCCAGTGGAGCCTGCGCAGACGCAGGTCGAAGCGGGGACTGAGGAATAGCGACGCCATGGCCTCGACGGCTGTCTGAAACTGGCCCGTGTCCACTATCGTCAGGTCCTCGATTCGGATCGCCTTTTCGCCGGCGCCAAGCTCTGGCACCACAACAGGGGACGGTGCGCCCAACCCCGCGTTGCTGCCCCAGCTCACGTTGGACATGTGCACCGTGCGGAGCTGCGGGTATGCGGAGAGGAAGCGCAGGAGGTCGTGCGGGTTCTCGAAGTCGACGAAGCTGAGGCGAAGGGTGCGCACGGCGGGGGAGAATGTGAGGAAGCACTCTTCTTCCTGCTTGGTGGTGGGGCTGAAGGACGGGTTCCAGAGCACGTTCGCGAGCGCGAGGTGCTGCACGGCGCGGAGGCGGGGAAGGAGCAGCGTGAGCCCCTGGCCGAGGTGGTTGAGGTGCCCGTGCTCGTCCATCCACGGGGTGAGGATGCAGAGCTCGCGAATGTAGCGCGGGATGCCGGTGGAGGCGGCGGCGGAGGCATCGAGGAGGGCATTGAGTTGGGCGCAGTGGTGTGCGCCGCCGAGGGTGACGCTGCGGAAGAGGTGCAAGCGGGTGGTCGGGAGCCAGGTGCGGCACGTGAGACTGCAGGCGGCGAGTGCGCTGGGATCGTCCCAGAGAAAATCGATGATGTGGTCGAAAATTTCGGGCGGGAGGACCACCACGGGTTGGTGCGTCCTGCCGGTTTCGCAGCAGCAGGTAGCGCTACACATGATCTGGGGAGTTGTAATGTCAGCGCATAAATATCAGCGTTGTGGTTTGGTTGTGGCTGCGTCTACATACCACGGCCATCGGGACTTTAGTCGCCCGATCAGAAGTCACTGACGGACGATCAGTATCCGGATAATTAGAACAGCAGTGGTCAGTGGTCTCAACTATTATCACCGCTTTCATCGCTTCTGCCCGATGGACAGAATCACAATTCACCTGCGGAGGCAGTGCTAGGCAGTGGTGGATTGCGGATTGAGCGGACCCGGACGGAGGCTGTGACCAGGACTCGCATGCAGCCGTCACACCAACTCGTGACAAGCGCGTGACGAATCGTTCACGTGATCGCGGTGTCAGTCACAGATGGTTGATTTTCTCGCCCAGCGACGACAATCCCTTCAGGCTGTCGAGCTCTCGTTGAATCTTGATCAGTGTTTAGGTGAGCATGAGCCTCGGCAGTACTGATTCACACTTGCTTTAGATCCACGAGCATCAGGCCACGTCCATCTTCCTGCACACGCTAGTCCCACGAGCTTACTCCGCGTTGAACAGACATTTTCTGCATGTATCGGAGCCTCTTCTGCGCGACTTTCATCTGCGACTCGGCATCCTGCTGCATCCAGCATCTCCGGTCTGGCTGACTGAGCGAGGTTCAAACCCTCGTCTCATCGTCCAATCCCAATGCGGACCGTGGTGCGTGCTGCCTTGCGCAGACATCACTCACACAGTCCTATCGGAAAGTCTTTACTTCTGATTGTGGTGTGGCAGGCTCTTCGACCAAACCTTCTACTCAGGCCTGCCGGGTGATCGAAAACGCGTCCATGTCTCCCCGTCGAAGCTTGCGAAGAGGCTCCTCAGCGTGCACGCGTGAAGATCCTGACTTTCCGGAAAATATACTTGACGGGCAGTATGTATTGAATGTCGCTGGTGCACCAGCCATATCGTGCGTTTACTCTGGCCCGGCCCACGAGGCTGACCCTCCCTTCCATCATCAGAATTATAAACGCTGCCTGGGGCACAACACCTCCTCGAGGCCTCGCGGGCTGATAGTTCTACCACACGGTCATCGCCGCGGGGGAACACGCTACACGGGGGTGCCAAATCGAACGCCTCAGCTGACGCACCACATCGAGCAACTCATCGTTCGGCACGGCTCGCGCACTGGGCATGGCAAAAACTCACGAATGAATTACACGGGGGCTAAATGGGCAGGCACGTGGCACGCCCTGCAGGCGGCAGTAGGTGCTACTGTACAACATACCGAGGGTCCGTATGCGGGGGCGCGACTCACGGCCCGGGCGATTATGGGGAGTGCGGGGTGCAATGGTGGTGCTAATGGTACAGGATGAGGGGAGATGCGTGGGCGGTAGCGACGTTGAAGCGGCCGGAGTGGTATCGTGCGACAAGACGGTGCGCGGGGCGCGAAGAGCGGGGGCTGCGGGGGCGGAACGAACGAATAGCACAGCGAAGGAGGCGAGTATCGGGATCCAGTCCTACAGCCCACGACCAGCTAGCGACGTCAGCCCCTGGCGCGCTGCTGACACTGGAGTTAGGCTCACCGTAACGGGTATCGAAATCACAGCATACGAGGTGCGAGTGCAACGCGATCGTCCAGGACGCGTCACCGTGTCACAGGCTTTGGGAGACCCAGCTGAAGCACCCAGTGGTGATCGGGCTTGTTCAGTTCGTCCGGCCGCGTGAGCCCCATGAAGATCGTGCGCCCCGCCAGCGTATCCACCCGGCGCATACCCTGCTCCATCTCGAACTCGCGGTTGCGACCCTCCCGCTTGCACCGCATCTCAAAGGACTTCCGTATCCGCTCACCGTTCGGCCCGGAGAGGAACTGCGCCTTCTCCTCCTCGGTCAGAAATTCCTTGTACGTCTTCCAGATCTCGTGGAATACATGCATGACGAGTATTCCCTTTCCGCCTTCGGGTATAGGCTCAGGGTGCACCACAAAGTCCCACTGGGGTCTGTCCGGGAAGCGGATCATCATCTTGGAGATGGGGAAATCGGAGACACGCCTGTCAAGCTCGGCCTTGGGCACGGCAATCGGGGCGGGGTATTTGGGGTCGTGGTCGCGGATGTGTTCAACGCGCTGCGAGATGTCGAAGTATATCTTGCGCATGTCTGCCACCCGCTCATTGTACGGACAGAGCAGGCTGTGCAGGCGCACGGGCTGGGGGGGCGGCGCTGCAGGGGGGAACGTGACGTCAAGGCGGCATGCAGAGGACGGTGAGCACGTACCAGGCTTCAGGATGCCCTTGAGCGGCTTGGGATGCGCGAGTGAGGGTGAGGGGCGCAGGTCGGAGGCCCGCTGCGATGAGGCGGGGGACGTCGACGACCTGCTGTGCGCCGACCTGGACTCGGGCCTGGCCGGCGCGAGGGTGGGACGGTGTGCCACTGGCTTGAGCGGTGTTGGCGCCGCCCCGCGATGGACCACGGGATCGGTGCGCGGGGTCGAGGCCCGGCGCGTGGGCTTCCAGTCGTCTTCACGCTGGGGGGTGGACGATCTGAAATGCATCGCGACGGGAGAACTTGGTGAGGACGTGGAGGACTCGCTCTCCGAGTACCATGCCTGGGGTTGCTGGAAGGTGTAGACGGGCTCGTCGTCGTCGTCCCCCACGTCGGGGAGTGGGATCCTGCCGATCTTGGGCGCGGGTGGGGTGAGAACGCGCTTGAAGATGTCCTTGAGCTCGAACATGATCGGCGGGCACGCAGATGGGTGCAACCACTCGATACGAGAGGGCAGGTGGTCTGTGGAATGAAGGGGTGGAGAGAGGGACGAGGCTACGAAACGGCCGCAGCTGGCGAGCGCAGTGGCGATAGTGGAAGATAGCAGGGGGAGGGGAAAGAGCATGCAGTCGTGGCAGGGTCGTGGCAGTGGTCGTGTCGAGCCCTCGGAGCGGGCCCCAGCAGTCGTCTCGCTGCGCGCGCAGATATAGACCGGGAGGCCCTCTGACTAGCGCTTGCGCCAGGAGAGTGAGGGACTGAGGGAGAGTTGGCGGGAGCGGGGGATCCCTCCTCCTCGCCCCCCACACGAGGCCCATGAATGCGAGATCGGGCCGCGAAATCTCTCCTCCATCTACCCGTCACGTGCGTCCTCTATTGACTCTCTGTTGGCTTCTGTGGGTCCGCAGCCGCGCCTCCTAGTCATTCCGCTGACTCGCCGCTGTGCAGCTGCCTGTGCAATGTCATGGAACCCACTGCTTCGCTGGCACGTCTGTCTACCTCACGTAATCATTCTCGTTTGGGTCGTGTCTGCCCTGCATGTGACACGAGGAAACTGTATGGATTAAACACACCGGTTCCGCCCAGAGTACGGCACGAACAACACTATCCCGACATCGATAACTGCTAGCACTTCAGCCCGGTGCTGCAGGCGTCTCTGCCCTTGACATGCGAACCAACGTACGCGGGCGCAGCAGTGCAGCCACCCCTCAATCTCCGCAACACGGACGACACCTGCCTCATCCGGACGTTCGTGTCCATCTACTCAATAGCGGCACATGGCACTAGATCATACGAAGCTCCGGCAGGGCCGTATTTTTCAGCAGACGACCGCTCACGAGAATCATCTGGGAGCCCATCTCGTCCCGGAAGGGCAAGTGTACTTGAGTGCACATGCCTTTTCAGGCCTAAGTCAGCGCCCAAGAATCGTGGCCCTAGGATGATAGGATCGCAGGAGATTGTTGCTGATCACCTTCAAAGTTCTGTGGTCCTGCTGGGGTGTGGCTGCGATAAATATGAGAGCCTTAGGCAAGGAGGAACACATCCCACCATCGTCTCAGCGACTACTCCAATGAACATGCCCAGGGTTCCAGCTGCAGCGCGCGACCCGAAGTCCACCCGGCCGGCGACGGGCCAGCGGCGCCTCTCTCGAGAAGAAGAGCGCTTGCGCTATCGCAGAGAAGTGCTCTGCCTGCCCGGACCTATCGACGCATGGATCCAGGCGAACACGTCCAGCAGCACCTGCGCACGCGCACGCTCAGGCTCAGGCTCAGGCTCAGGCTCAGATCCGCGCTGCCCACTCGCGGCCGAAGAGGTCTGCTGCATGCTGCAGATGCAGCGCACGAGGGTGCGTGTGAACGTGGCTCGCCGTCCGGTTCACGGGAGGCTGATGAGGCCGAACGCCAGCCCCCCGCGCCCGCGGACGGCGGCGTGTTCGAGGATCCCGAGACCTTCACCCTGTATCTGGCGCTCGCGGGCCCGGCGGGGACGGGCGATCACCCAAGCATCGTCCGCAGCCGCAGGATGGTCCTGCAGACCTACGAGGGATGGCCCGAGAGTCTGGATGCCCCCGACTGGGCGGCTTGGCGTCCCGGGCAGACGGTCGCGTTCCGGCAGCGGAGAGTCAATGTCGCTGCGTTTTTGCGTGCTGCCGTACGCTCCGAGGATATCATCGCGGTTTGTGTCCTGGTCTGCTCCAAGCGCCCTGCGACATACTGATGAGGTTCTCAGCCGCTCATTGACGCTTTGGCATTTTTTCACGTTTAATGTCGCTATCCGGATACCATTCGTGTAAATCATCCCCCAGACGGCAATCTTGTATCGGTGGTTTAGTTGAGAGAGATGGTGTGAGCGCGGAGACCACCAATAGACTCATTCATGGCATTGCACAGGCTGAGGCAAGTTCCAAAGCGATGAATTGGAAAGCAGGCACAGACCGGAGGTGGTGCAGATAGTCATGAGAGGCGAAGGTTTACAGGCAGACTCCCTTCCTGCGGTAAATGACGACAGCGTTTCCAGAGATACAGTACCAGAGAGCTGCATACGGATTAGCAGCATTGCTGGGGGAAGGACGCGTGGGTCAGCATCAAGGAACTCAACATACGGTGGTCCGATGCCGATGCACGATGTCATACCTCTATGACGAACATATGCCTATTGGTACTGCGAACTGTATGTCGGCCACCCCGCAAGTTCCTGTCCCAGACGCGCGTCAGTCACACCGCCGAGCGAACCAGATACATCTGTGAGGTGGCCCACAACATTCGGCCCAACGCCCGGCCACCAGGCCACCAACCTTCCAAGACGGAAAGCCACCGGGCGGTGTAGATAACGACATAGCTGCGGCTCATTGCGCGTCCTTGGGATAAGATGGCACGTCCCTGAGATCCCCGAAGTCGTGGGAGGTGTTTGCGTCATCGTTCTGCGTTTAATTTGTGGAGACTCGGAAAGAGTCGCCACTGCCATCGCCATGAAACTGGGTAGACTTAATTGGTGGAGGACGTTGGCGATCGCGTCCGGACGTCCAGCATTCTGCTGGTTCTCCCCTCTCTGCACCGAGATTCTGCTGTACAGCGAGTTTTGCCAATGTTGTTCGGAACAGAGCCTGCGGCTCAACTGGAGCTTCGAGAAGGTGAAAGTAAATGCACGAACCTGGGAAAGCTTCCACACACGGGCAAGACTCGGCAGGCGGCTGCCGGGATGATAACGTGATCGACGCGACTCGTCACTGGTGTCACAGCCCAGCCGTCACAAAGACAAACCTGCAACTTGAACTCGCATTGGTGAGATTGATTATGTCTGCGCACCCGCATCCCTTAGTGTCCAAGCCAGATGTTTTACGGGAGATATTTGGACATCTGGGGGACACTCCTCGTTCGCTCGCAGACTCAGCTCGGGCTTGCCAAGCGTTTTTTCCTCACGCCGTCGATGTCTTGTGGGAGAAACTCGATGATCCGGTGCCCTTATTGAAGACCTTGGGGGAATCTCTTGTTGAGGATAAAAACGAAGACGGTAGAGGAGTTTATGTAGGCCTGTCATTTGTTGTCCTCCGGAAGAGACTGAACGCGCGAGTAGGTTCTGGACGGATACATATCCGAAGAACAATGGCAGCGCTTCCATAGCTACGCTCGTCGCGTACGAATTTTGACAGTTGTCGAGGAGAACCTCACCATCCACCCCTCGGTTTACTCCGAACTCACTTTCCGAGCACGCCGGCAGCCCGTGTTCTCTGCGCTGGTCCACCTCTCGTGGGAATCAGTACATCCGTTCGGCACACACTTGCTAGCTTTCATAAGCTCATCTCTTCATCGTGTGGAGATTATATACGGGCCGCCGTATTCCATGCGAGAAAGGCCTGCCATGAAAGATCGTACGTTGGGGAGGGCGCTGTGCACGCTCAGCTCCGAGGCCCCATTCGTGTATCAACTACATCTGGATGCATCTATCTTTCATTCAGAGTCGCTCTATGCCATCTCCCATTTCACCCGGCTCCGAGAACTGCGAATTGCGAGTGCTGTATCGGCATCCGAGGTTGTGCGTTGCTGCGGCTCGCTGGAGGAGCTTGTCAATTTGCAGCTGTTCAACTTCACGGGAGCCGAGGCTAACGACGCGCCTTTCGTGGGTGGCTTCGATAATCTGGAGGAGTTGTGGGTGACGGGCAGTTCCACGACCCTAGCCAAGCTCTTGCGTGCGGTGACGTCGCCTCGCCTTCGCATGGCGGGCATCTGCTTCACCCCGGAGGGCGGGAATTGGAATGACTGGCGCAAATGCCTTGCGTTACTCAGCTCTCAGTTCGCTGGTTCACTCCGCCAACTCGGGCTCCGATTCCACAATAACGATGAGTCTGACCTGCATCTCATGGATTTCATACATCCTCTCCTCGATATTCACGGACTGCGCGAGGTCGAGCTCGAAGTCGAGCATCCACCGGCGGAGTTGACCGACAGCGATGTCCACGACCTCGCGAGCGCTTGGCGCGATATTGAGAAGCTCACCGTGGAACTGCGCAGCAACAGCATGCCTATGAGTCCGTCCGCGCTCTCCCTCGTGGAATTCGCCCGCTATTGTCCGAGGCTCGTTTGCCTGGAGTTCAACCCCCTCAATGTGCTCCTGCCGCTCCCACCCCCGTCCCCGTCGTGCCCCCTGCCATCTCTTGCCAGCCTGGAGGACTTGTCAATCCCGTATCACCTCATCCCGGACACGAATGAGGAACAGATCGCCCGCTTTCTCGACAGTATCTTCCCGAACTTAGACCTTAGGCTGTGCCGCTACCCGGGCGCCGTGGAAGAGGATCACAATTCAGAATTCCCTGCCATGTCTAGGCTGCGGGCTGCCTGGAAAAGTCAATCATAATGGCCTGCATCGTTCAGGTGCAGCATCTGGCTGTTAAGTGACACCGTCACTGAACTTGATGGGTGTCTATCTGAGGGAAATGCTCCCATCGGACATGATTTATCGCGAATCTCGTACTTGCTCTTGCTCTCCGAGTTATGTTCTGGTTTGCCACATTGTTGTCTACTGTTCGTCGCCGTGCTTTGTCCGACTGGTGTGTTCTTTTTATACATGTACAAGTACAAAATGCGTGTATTAGTGCGTATTCGTCATTTACGATTGCTCTGTCCATTGTCATTCATATACAACTAATTTGATTAAATCCATTGGGAAGGCTGAGTGGCTTTCGTCTCGGCCACTCAGCTGCGCAACCTAGGCTCATAGATACAGCCTCTATTAGTTACCTGTCGTTCCTTCTCACCAACTGTGGCGGCGGACACGCGATCAGTCACGTGGCGCCGCATATTTAAACTACCCGCTTGAAACCGTCATCCACACAACATCCACACGCGTAATTCCGAGTCAAGTTCAGTCTGCATTCATTCACGTTCTAGTTGACCCAAATGTCTTCTCCACCCTCATTATATTCTCTCCTGGACAACAATGACGTTCTCCTGTAGATCTTTGGCCACTTACACCGCAGCCGTCCTGCGCTCATGAATTCGGCCCTAGTTTGCAAAGCGTTCAGTCATGCAGCTCTAGACATCTTGTGGGAGGAAGTAGAGGACTTCCTCCACTTATTGAAGACCATCGGCCCAAATCTCGCACAGGACAGTCCATCGCATTATGTATGTCTGGCGCATTTCGATTATCGGAAGGAATTTAAGTGTGATTCTAGATTCTGCGAGGATGTATACTCCAAGCCCGATGGGAGAGATTTTACAGCTATGCCTCCCGCATTCGGGTATTACACGTTGGTGAACACGAAACGAAGTATACTATCAGTACCTCCGTGTACGATCGGCTCACGTTCCAAGCACGGCACCGTCGCCTCTTTCCCTCATTGGTCGATCTTCATTGGAAGGCGCGGCGTGCGGTTGGTAGTTGCCTGCTGACTTTCATCACTCCATCGCTCCGTCGTGTTCGGGTGACGTATGAGCTGAAGACACGGACGGGAGAGAGGGCCACACCGGATCATTCCTTTCGCGACGCTCTGTACGTCCTGGGCTCTGAGGCTCCTCTTTTTTCTGAACTGGAACTACTTGGAAATGTCTGCTACTCGCGGTCGTTGCCCGCTGTCGCCGATTTTACGTTTCTCAAGGATCTGCGAATCGTGGGTGACGTTTCGGCATCTGCAGTAATCCGTTGCTGCGGTCCCCTGCCGACACTCGTTCACCTCGAGCTTTGTGCCTTGGCCGGAGCAGGGAAATCTGACGGGCCTCTCCTGGATGGTTTCTACGGACTAGAAGAATTCTCGGTCCGCGGTCGTGCGTCGGTGATCGCTCATCTCTTGCATCATATCAAATCACCCAGCCTCTTCAAGGTCTCTGTGACCTTCCAAGACTATAACTGGGATCAATGGACCGAATGTCTCCAGCTGCTCTACCCTTTCAAAGGTTTGCTTCGTCATCTTACATGCAGGGGCTGTCTACTGGTTATTGTAGACAAGCCTCCGCTTGTTCTCAATTTTGGGTTCATTATGAAGCCTCTTTGGACCTTGGACGACTTCGAACCGTCAACCTCAGTTTTCTCAACCCTCTGGTACCAGTTGAGATAGTGGACAGCGACATGCACGCCATGGCGACGTCCTGGCCCGCTTTGGAACAACTTTTCATAGGAAGTCTCTGGCTGTCTAATAACATACGGGAGCCATCGATATACACCCTCGAACACTTTGCCAGTCGCTGTCCGAAGCTGTCATTCCTGTCTTGTGGGGATATCGACGTCGCCGCAGCGCCACAGCAGTCAATTTCAGAGCTGCAACCCTCAACGTGCTCAACCGCCATGCGTCGTTTGGTGATCCCGTACAAAGAGATACCATTGGCGCGAGTAAAACCGCTAGTCCAGTTTCTTACCCAGATCTTCCCGAATGTGGAGCTGCATCGCGGTCATAAACTAAAAGATGAGTGGCCTTTTTTGACCCTCTACGGCCGCTCTATCGACGGCTAGACAAAGACTGAAATAATTGCGCTCCCGTCACTCATATGCTTGTCCGCCTTGACCGGTATCGACCGTGGTTCGTGGATTCATTTCCTTTATCTGGTGGACTCACCGTGAAGAAGCCTAGACTGTCTTCCCGTCTATGCATCTATCCTATCCCTACTTGACCTGACCTATCCATGCTTGTTCATCTTCAAAGTCCTGTCTGCCTCTGTGCATGGTCATTTACTACTCGCTCTGCCTAGTATTACAACGGTTGATCCATTCTTGTATATTATTCGATTGCAACCTTGGTCGTTATTCCCCAAGTATGATGTCTGTACGGCCAGTCAGACTTCCATTTGACCGGGTCGACGATAAAGATGAACATCTTCAATAGGCCGGCGGGGTATCGAAACAACCACTAAGATGCTTCATATCGTCAGATGTGGATATCCTGAGGAACGAAGGCTGAAGCAGAGTATCTACCTGTCTTCAGGAGACTAACCATATCGGGTTGTCTGCAGAGATCCGAATCTTACGAAAATCTTCGAGGACGTCAGTGAAGATCGACTTTGCAGCTGCGTTTCTTCGCCTACGAGCTTGGCACGGGCACGATATCTGGGGAGGGCGCTCGGGATGCTCTTCTGTCCAAATTGTGCGAATTTACTTGTGATCTCTGCCGAGACGGGATACAACAAGTGGGCGTGTAACACATGCGCGTACGAATTCCCGATCACAAAGCAGGTGCGTCCATACTCGATGTGTAAAAGAATGGAAGCAACAATGGAGATTGATGTCTGTGTCTCTCAGATGACCTCGAGAACGAAGCTGAAGCGGAAGGAGGTCGACGATGTGCTCGGTGGCGACGAAATGTGGAAACATGCTGATTCGACGAGTGGTGCGTTTCAGGACATGTTATCCTGCGTTTACGACTCTGACCTCGTTGCGAATGCCGACAAGCGACATGCCCTAAGTGTGACCATGGCCAGGCGTACTTCTACCAACTGCAGATCAGGTCCGCAGATGAACCAATGACGACGTGTACGTTCTGTTGCTTTCTGTACCGGTTAGCAACTGACCTATAACTATGGCTGCAGTCTATCGGTATGATATTCATCGGAATATACGTCTGGAATTGATTTGCGAGCCGCTTTGTCCACAGGTGTGCCGCGTGCGCGCATAATTGGAGAGAAAACTAGGCTGCACACGCTCTACTTGGTTCGTTCCAGGTCTACAGTCTCGCATGCCGATGTATTTGGCAGAATCTGCATACTTCGCCCGTCGTCCAACTCGGGTAGTCGCGCCCCTCCCTCAGAGCTCGGAAATGAGATAATCATTCCTGCGTCGATGGTCAACATTTCGTACATTTCTACGATACAAATGCGGAGGAGAGGACCACGAATTTGAGGGCTGGTGATTGTGTTAAATTTGGTTGCCCGGCTGCAATGGGGGAAGTAGTCATTTGCTGTTCAACTGTATTGTATACTTCAATAAAACCCCTTCAGCTACTACTTACTACCCTTCACGTCGGAGCGTGAAGCGCCAATCCGGGCGCCTAGTGCCTAGTGCGTACTTCAATGCCCAGACTCTCGAAAACTGAGACCGGTCGCGCTGCTCTTTCCCTGGCCTTGCGCAAATGTTTCTGCGCATATCTCAATGCCCTCGGCACCACATCTGCTTCCCTCACAACTAGACCAGATATCATATTCCGGTTAAATTTATAGTACACCACTCGCTTAAGTTCCGAGCCGCTTAGTTCTCTGCTAAAGGTGGCCACATACAGTACCTAACGCTATCGTCTTGCTTCGCGCTACCATCATGGGCGAGTTCTCAACGACTATCCTGGGGATCGCCCGTTCTATATATCGCAAGAGAGCGGTTGCGTCGCAAGTATGGTCATGGCATCATCAGCCAGAGGTCGTAGGCACTGATCCTGATGTCTAGGGTGGCCTGCTGGACGGACAGGACCCTTCGGATTTCAACCCTTCAGATCCATTGCGATTATTCATCATTCAGCTCGGTGAGTGCTGTGTGCATGTTTTTCAACTTCACCACTGATTGCGTTGACAGGAGTAATCCTATTAATGACCCAGCTGCTCTCCTTGTTCCTTCGGAGGATGAAGCAGCCAAGGGTCATCGCGGAGATTATCGGAGGTATTTTGCTGGGTGCGTATCTTTTTTTGGGCGGCTTGGGCACCTTGTAACGTTGCAGACAGGGCCAACTGCATTTGGGCGCATACCTGGTTTTACGCAGCATATCTTTCCCGCCCAGTCCCTGCCATACCTCTCGCTTGTGGCCAATATTGGCCTTTGCATGTTCCTATTCCTGGTCGGCCTGGAAATCGACGGCGCTATTGTCAAGCGCAACGCCCGCATGTCAGCTGTCGTCGCGCTGGCAGGCATGATTCTCCCTTTCGGCGAGTCTACGATTCTTGGGTTTTCCGTGCCCATCTGATCCGATTTGTAGGTCTTGGGGCGGCACTTTCCGTTCCACTGTATCACACATTCATAGATCAGAGCGTCAAGTTCACCAACTTTATGCTTTTCACCGGAGTAGCGTATTCGATCACCGCCTTCCCCGTACTGTGCCGCATCCTCACGGAGCTCAAGCTGCTGGACACCACGGTTGGCATCGTCGTACTCTCTGCTGGCGTAGGAAACGACATCGTTGGCTGGACGCTCCTTGCACTGAGCGTCGCTTTAGTGAACGCTGGGTCGGGGCTGACGGCACTGTGGATCCTACTCTGCTGTTTAGGATGGGCACTCCTTCTCTTATTTCCTGTCAGGAAGATCATATATTGGCTGGCGAGGCGAACAGGTTCTATTGAGAACGGACCCACAATGTTCTTCATGACTATTACGGTACTCCTGCTCTTCGGTTCAGCCTTCTTCACTGATGTCATTGGGGTGCGCACATCTTCGACATCTGTTTTGCTCTTCATTGCGCTGACATTCAATCTACTAGGTCCAAGCTATATTCGGTAATACATTTTTGGTGCGCCCCCCTTGCGCTCAGCTGATATCTGTTCTCAGGTGCTTTTTTGGCGGGTCTCATCGTCCCCCGTGAAGGTGGGTTGGCTATTGCTCTGACGGAGAAGCTGGAAGACATGGTATCGATAGTATTCCTACCCATTGTCAGTGTCTTGCTCCTATGCTTCCCAAATTAATACCTTACACCACTTCAGTACTTCACCCTCTCAGGCTTGAACACAAACTTGGGTCTTTTAAATAACGGTCAGTGTTCTTTTCGCAGTTACGAGCCGCTTTTGCTGAGATCGCAGCTGTTAGGTATCACTTGGGGATATACTATTGCGATTTGCGCACTCGCATATACCGGCAAGTTCGGTGGATGTACACTTGCAGCTAGGTTTGTTGGCTTCTCATGGCGCGAAGCAAGCACTATCGGATCATTGATGAGTTGCAAGGGGTAGGTGCATGTCGCCTCATTGCCGTGATTTTCCATTGATATCTTCGTCTCACTTTAGTTTGGTGGAACTGATTGTCCTGAACGTGGGCCTTTCTGCAGGCGTCCTCTCGCCGCGCGTGTTCTCTATGTTTGTCCTGGAAGCCATCCTTCTTACCTTCTGGACTACACCCGCTGTCCTTAAGCTCTACCCGCCTGAGAAGCGCATCCGTGTCTCCGCTACCGGTGGTCTACATCATCCCATTCCGAAGGGTCCAGAGTCAGCTGCGGAGAGGTCTGAAGCAGCTTCTACTCAGGAGAAGCTTATCGGCAGTGATGAGCTGGATAGAAGGACGCGATTTACAGTCATTTTGGACAGGATCGAGCATCTCCCGGGTATGATGGCGCTCACACAATTGCTCCAGCCGCCGCCTCCGGCGTACGCTGAGAAGGGAGGTTTACAGTCCCTCTCGACATCAGAAACCAATATCACGGTGAGGCCTCTGCGGCACGAGGCATCGCAAGGCGTGTCGGTAGATGCCCTCCGCCTGATCGAGCTCTCCGACCGCACATCCGCAGTGATGAAGTCTTCAAACCCGGATATGGTCAACACGGACCCACTCCTGAACATATACCGCACATTTGGCGACCTGAACGGTATTACCGTCAAACCGGATCTCGCTATCGTCACGTATGACAACCTAGCATCTAGCGTAGCAGAGCACGCGCTGAGGAATAAATCTCAGCTCGTGCTTGTGCCATGGTTTCCCTCGCAGTACAACTCCGACCAAACGCAAGCCGCCGGGTCCGACGCGAACGTGTTGGACACAATGGCGGCGCGTTCCCCTAACCCTTACAATCCGTTTGAGTCGCTCTTCAGAGCGACCTCGCCGGTGGACAAGTCTACGTCCGTACTCCACGCGCAGTTCGTGCGCAGCATATTCTCGCAGTGCAGTACTGACGTTGCCCTGTTCATCGATCGGCACTATCCTCGGGAGCGCACCACCAGCTGCGGGTACCACCTCTTCGTGCCGTTCTTCGGTGGCCCGGACGACCGTGCGGCCCTCGAATTCGTCGTGCAGTTGTGTGCACACCCACGCGTCTCCGCGACCGTCGTACGACTAGTAAGACAAGAGTTGGACCTCGCGCGGTGCAGCTCTATCGAGAAGCCGGAAGCTGCGCATCTTGACGCCGATGGGCGTGCTGCTGAAGCGAATATTCGGGAGAACATGTTGACAGTGAACACGGTATGTCTCATTCATTTCTACCTCACCGGTGCTCAATTTTGTCTCTACAGAGCACCTTGTTTCCTGACACAGTATATGGCAACGCGACGACACAGACACGGCTCCAGTCCGAAACCGCTGACAACGTCTTATGGAATCGGCACGCCAGCCATATACCCGTCCCCGACAGCGTATTCTCTGCAGCACTGTCCCGAGTTGAATTCACCGAACTACGGACGACGACTCCCCTGCGATCTGTCGTAGACTACGCCAGTAATCTCCCGCGGGCAGCTGAGGAGCGCCACCGCAGACCGCTGGTCATTACGGGGCGTTCCCGCAGGCTTGCGGTGGAGAACCATGCTGCGGAGCTGAAGCAGATCACGGACGAACATGGCGGCGTTGGCAACGAGGTCAAGAAGACGCTTGGCGACGTGGCGACGGCACTCATCGTGTCGGGATGCCAGGCCGGTGTTCTCGTTCTGCAGGCGGCGAACGAACCTATCGACTGAGTGGTTGGGTGCGAGGTCGGTGCAGGGATGAGATTTACGACTGTTATGACCGCGACGAATTACAAGTTAGGTGGACCCTTGGATACCCCTCATCACGACATGAATGCGTCGGCCACGACGTGTGTACCATAGCAATATTGTTCTTACCTTTGCCAACGGCTGCAGGTGCTCTAAGGATTTTCTCTGTAAAGTATAGCATAGGTGCTGTAATCATACGTGTAGGATGGCATAAGTAACATGCAAACAGTGTCGAGTAAACCCGAAAGCAAGGAGAAATACAGCCAAGGAATACAACCAACATACCAGCACACCACTGAGAAGAAATCATTCCTTGCTCTTTTTCTCCCTTTTGTCTTTCTTTTCCTTTTTCTCCTTTTTCTCCTTCTTCTCTTTCTTCTCCTTTGGTGGCTCCTCGCCCTATTGCACACAAATGTCAATGGGACTAACCTGCGAAGGGTGCCGATACTTACCTCGGCTGCCTCCTTCTCCTTCAGCTCCTTCTTCTTCTCCTTCTTCAATGCTTTCTTCTCCTCCTTCGACAGCTTCTGCTTCTTGACTGGCGTCCCCTCCTCCTCATCCACGTCCATCTCGTCATCGAGGCTCTTCCGCTTCTTCTTCTTCTCCTTTTTGGGCGTCGGCTCGATGAGGGGGAGCGCCGGCTCCTCATCCGCGGGCAGCATCACCTCATCCTCGTCCTCATCGTTGAGCTGTGCGAGCTGATCGAGCACCTTCTGGATTGTGTCTGCATTTTTGGCAGGCGGTGCACCCGTCTCGAAGAAGTTCAGTCGGTCCTCGACCTGTTGTCGCATGGCTTCGCCAAACAGCGGGGATGGTCTATCTGTTATGTATAGATATTGTACTCCTTAAAGGGATATGCAAATCGGCCAAGTGCGAATACATACCTGAATAGCAGTCTATCCGCGATGCTATTGAGCATTTATTCGCAAGGAACCGAGAGATGCGACCCTTGTGCTTGGGATTTGCTCGGCCGATGAATGATGAGTGATAGATAAGACCGTACTGTGCGCGCATCAGTTGATCGCGTTCTACGATCCAGGTGGGTACGAACCTTCGGTGTGTTCCCTTTCGTCTTCAAAGCGCGGAAGAGCGCTTTCTCCGCACCAAGAATCTGCACAGTGCTCGCGGGGTATTTGCTGAGGTTTGTCAAGCTGCCCGCGTGGCTGATGAGGCGCGCACCGATGCGCTCGCCCAGAAGTGCGGTCAGGCTCGGCGCGACGCTGTTCATCTTCTCCGCGAGATATGACATGAGTGATTTACGGTACTCAGCGAGCGAGACAACGCGTATCGCGAAAGCATTGATATTGAGCATGTCGATCTCGGAAAGGGATGAGCCCATCGAGCCCGAAGCGGCATCAAGCACATTCTGTGCACGCGTCGCGTCGTCATCGAGAAGCACGGCGAGGTCCGGCAATTTCTCCTCCGTGAGCGTCTCCTTCGCGCCGATGAACTGCGCGACGCGCGCGTATTGGTAGTTGTCCGGGACGATGCGGACGAGTTCGGGGAAGTGGTACCCATACCACTCGCGGATACGCATCGAGAAGAGGTTGACGTCCTTGTCGAGCTGGTCGAGCAGCGCGATGGCCTGGATGATCATGTTGTCGATCCGGTTCACGTTAAACTTGAGCTTCGCGCGCGAGTACGAGTGCCCCAGGCCGAGCTGTGCCTTCGTGAGGTCGTCCGCTTGCAGGCCCTTCAGCAGCTTTGGCGCATGCTGGCGGATACCCCGGAGGATGTCCTGTGCGGTCTCGTCGTTGGTGCAACTGATACCAAGCGAGGTGCTGATAGCCCTTCCCAAAGGAGCATCCCATACGGCAAGATTGACGGATGACTTTTTTGAAGGTTTGGACAGATTGAGCTCGAGCAGCGACTTTAGGTAGTCATTCAGGATACCTGGCATATTTCAAGTTCACGATGACCACTGTAGGGGCAAAATTACCCTCACCTTCTGAGACATCATTCGCATTTTCCAAGGCATGAGCGGCATTTTTGAATGGTGAAAAGCTGATCAATGTGACCATTTTTCCAAATTTCGCCAGGTCGTCAATGGAGTCCTGGACTGCCTTGGTCAAGGCGCCGATGCTCTCCTGCAGCTTGACCTCAAAGATAGCATAGCCAGACGCAGTTTCGAACAGAGCGTGTGTGATCATGGTAAGAGCCCGAGTGCGCCGTCGAAGAGCCTACGTCGTTCAGCAATCGAAACTTTTACCGTGCTTAAGACTCGCTGTCACGTGGTCAACACTCGTCGAGATCGGATCTGTGACCCGAGGCTTGACTTGGACTCAGGGCACTGAGACTCAGAATATAGCGCACACCTAGAGCAGGGAGGTCTCTTCTTGCATCGAAAAATGACTGGGCCCTGATTCACGTGGTCTGACATTACTTACAGTGCGATGCTTGGATCCCGGTCTTTGTTTTCTTGCAGACATGCACAGAAAAACACAGCTGCACAGCAAGATCTGCGATGTCCATCGTCCTGGTAATGCAGAGGACCAGAGGTTATGTTCTCTTGGGCTGTAAAATACTGTTTACTTCTTCATTCCAACCAGCAACCACTACTATGTCCTGGTTCACTTCCAAGTTCACTCGTCGCGCACCTACACCAGCCCAAGGTCTGTATGCCCCTCCTCCCGGTCCTCCGCCCCATTGGCAACCAGCACCCGAACGATCACATACATTCGGATTGCTTAACGAGGCAACGAAGGATGAATACGAGGCAGCCTTGGACTTTTGCGCCCGCAACGCTCCCGAGCCACCTCGTCTGCTGCCCTCTCACATTGTCGACCGTATCGACGCCGAAGGGTGCCGCACATGGACTCTCCAGTGGCCGCGCTCACCACGCTTTGTTGGGAACACGCAGAACAGCAGCGAAAAGGGTGGCTCAAGTGTTGTCAAGGTCGTTACCGAGAAGTCATGCATGGACGTGTGTCTCCTGAGCGATCTGCCTCTTCTGGCCGGGCTCTACGACATCCAGGGCAAGTCAGGAGTATACTACGAAATTCTCATCCATAAGATGGACGGGATCATCGCCGTCGGTGAACCCACTTTCCGCTCCTCGCTGTACCATCCCGCTCAATCTCTGAACAGGTACGACGTGCCGCCCTCATCCAGAGTGGCGCCTGCCCGGCTGGGACAGACTCAATGTAGGCCTGCACCTCGACGACTTCCGCAAATTCTTTGAGGACCCCTACGGTGTGCGCGACTACACAGATCGTCTCAAGCACATCACCCCGGGCGACACAATCGGATGCGGCTACCAATTCTCCAATAGTGGTGTATTCTTCACGCACAACGGCGTGCGCCTCCGGGACGCGTTCACAGGCGTGTATCTGCCCCGCGCGCAGCACGACGTGTATGCCGCCATCGGCGTCGAGGGTGCAAACAACTTTGACGTCAACTTTGGAGGTGATTTGTTCCGCTGGAAGGAAGGCAATGAGTGGGCGTGGAGAGTCGAAGGCCACGTCGGACACTTGAGCAGTGGTGACTTTGTTGATCACGATGACCAGTTGCCATCTTATGAAGAGGTCCGCGGTGGCCCGGCAAACAACCTTGATCCTTGAAAGATATCTCCTGTCCAGGTGTATGTATGCATACCTGTATGCACTCGTTGTAGCATGGTAGAGAACATTAAACAATACAGAATACTACTTTCTACGGTCCTTGGTATCGCCCGAGAGATAAATAATAATCCAGCTCAAACGAATGTAGCACGTCGGAAGTCCGTCCAGACTCTATGCTCTACACTCTATACTCTGCACTTGAGCTCCGCGCCTACCATAGCAAGCGTCGCACCGAGGCACCAGCCGAGCTCCGTACCGCCGATCTTCTTCCCAATCTCGACGTCGCGCGTGCCGTCGAGCTCGTACCCGAGGCGGAGCAGAGCATGCATGAACGTCAGGTCGAGGCACCACTCGGGGCGGTCCGCGAGCTCTTCCATTAGAGCCTGGCTGCCTCCCCAGTGCTCCGTCCATGCGGACTTGCCCAGGCAGACCGTCTCCGCGAGCGCGGCGAAGGTGGAGACGTTGATGGGCGCATCCGCCAGTGCTGACGATGCGGCGAGAAACGGCTGGAGGCGGTCATAGAAGTAGGAGAGTAGCATGATCTTGCCCGAAGGGAACGTCTCCATGAGCGAGGGCTGGTATACGCCGTTGAACGAGCACGGCTTCACCTCGCAGATGCTGTGGTGAAGGGGTCAGAATCAGGAGAGAGTAAGAGTGAGAACGGGAAACGTACGCGTCCTTAGCCATGACCAGCTCGATGATGCGGTTGCATGCCTCGAAGGAGCCGACGTCTTGGCCGACCATGGTCACGGAGAACTGGTCATTCAGTCTATCGTCCTGGATCTCAATGGCCTTTTCGGTACCCCGCGCAAGACACGGGTTGGCAATCGTCGCGTTGGCACCGCTGCCTGTGCCCCTCATAGAGCCCATAAACTCTACCAAGCGATGGGCGCTGCTACGCGCACGCATGAGTCCGTAGCCGAGGTACGAATGCTGGTACAGTACATGCGTCTTCCCGCCGAACGCAAGGTCGTACTTGTGCTCGCCCGCCTCGAGTGTCGAGTCCGGTTTCGCAGAGTCGAAAGCAGGCTCGAACACGATCTGCGTCGACGCACCGCCGAGGTCCAGCACTGCGTACGACGGCGTGCCCGCGAGGGAGTCCCCGCGGATCGTATTCAGGAGGTAGTTCGCGGTGATCCACGCATACACGCCTTCATCCTTGCCATCCATGATCACGACGCCGTCCGCATCCTGAAAGCTGAACGGGTACTTCTCATGCAGATGCGAGCGCACTGCGGCGAGGATCGCCGCGCTCTCCTCGCTGCCAAGCAGGCGCAGCCCCGCGGTCGCCTTCACCGCGACGGGCGTGCACGAACGCAACGCCTCGGGCACGACACGCACCGCCTCGTCGAGCAGCACATCGAGGCTCTGCGCGGCGTCTGCAGGTCGACCCGCGAACGCAGACAGCCCCGGCTGCGTCATCTTGAACACCTCGTACTCGTACGTCGGCGACGCCCCGCAGTTGTTGAACTTGTAGATGTGGATGCGCGAGCCCGTCGAGCCCGCGTCGATCATGAGCGCGTACTGCACGAGCGGCAGGGTAGGCTTGTACGGCGCGGCGCAGTGCACCGTCTTGGAGAGGTCGGGATCGCTTGCAGGGTCTGTGGGCAGCACGGCTGGCCGTGGGGGATTGATGTCCTCATCTTCGTCAGTATGAGGTCTCGCAGGGGCCTGTGGTGGTGGCGGTGGCGGCTCGAAGTCAATCATGGACGGGTGAGGCTTGGGGTGGAGGATTGCTGTAGCGTCAACGTTTAGATGTGATTCTCCACACGCAGTGATCGACATAACTCACAAGGCATGTATTTCTCGGGGAGGATGTCACCCTTGCGAGGCCCGAAGGCCCACACAAGCGCGATGAGGACGAGTGCTCCTATAGCGAACTTCTTCCAGGCGAATATCCGCCCGCCGCCCATGCGGCTCGGGCCCATCCCACCCTCCAACCTGTTGTAGTTACTGCTCCGGGGGGAAAACATAAATTTGCGCAGCCTAAGGCCTAGGTGAGAGGAGGTGATAGAGGATGAGTGTCCGAGAGGATGGTCGAGAGTCGAGCGAGGACTTCGCATACAAGCGGAAGTAAAGACTAACGAAAGCGCCAAGCTTCTCGACCTCCTGAGGGTACGCGCGCGCTCTTCCAACTAACAACGAAAAATCTTTTTTCAAACCCCGTTATGCATTAAGGGGGAATCGAACCCCCGGCGGGTCGATGGCAACGACCCAGGTTACCACTACCCCATTAATGCCCAATGTACTGAGACTTTGAATACAATACTATCATTACCCAGTAATGCAATCAGGACTAGTTGTGCAATTTCGCGATCTCACGCCATTCCGCTGCACTAAAAATCGGGAAAAAATATGTAGTGAATTTGCATGATCCCAGATACTTTGACTGCACAACTCGGAGATAAATCACAGAGGGGAAGGGTGTCAAGACAGTGAATTGCAAGTCTGGGTGATTCAGGCGTGACGGCATGGCAATTTAAACTCCGACAAGAGACCAACAAAGGCGCATGATCAGGGGCATGCCGGCAGGCGTGACGATCTGTGATCGATTCGGCGTTCTTGCACGCGAACGAGCCTCTTCGGTGCGTTCCGTCTCGTATTCACGAAAAAAATCAGGAATCACACAGAAGATACTTCATATGTCCTGTATTCAACCTGAAGATGTTTGAGGCAAGACGGGCTCAATTTGAAGGAGTGGTGACAGAGTTGCAATCGTGATTGCATTACTGCGGCAACGATAGTATGGTCAGGTACCTCGCTCCATCCCCTTTCTAGCAAGGGAAAAAATGCCCGTATCATTCATTGCACACCACATAAAATACAACCGTGCGCGAAATTTGGCAGGGCGTCAACAACCCGCGCTATCTGTTCTTCCTTTCCCGATTTTCTTTTTTCTTTTTTCTTTTTCTTGTTCTTTTCACCCAACTCTATCGGTATCGAGCCGAAAATAGAGCACGTTTACCGTCCAACCATGCATTCACCTGCACGATATCCCTACACATATAGTCACTCTCACTGAGCGCACTCGCAGATTGTACAACAACAATGTATTGGGATTCTACCTCTCTTTAGTTCTAGAGGTACGTAGCAACAGGCATAGCCAGTATCGAGACGTAAGGGACCGACGGTGGAGGGGAATGCGAAGTCATGCGCTAACCGCAATGACATTAGGAACGGATGGTAAACATACAGAAATTCTTGCGTGCAGCGTATATGCAACGACTGGGGATGGGGATACGACGATACTCCTGGCAAGTGGGTGGGGAATGGTGATGATGATAACAAGTACACGGAGTACCGAAGGCCACCTGCACTGTTGGTGGCGGCGAAAGATCGAATGGGTCCTAGATAGGTGAAACATAAAACATAAGGTATTGGGGGACAGCGACGACCGCAACGTCAGCACATGAACACGAAAGGAAGACAGACGAAGTGGAAGCGCTCATTGCTCGAACTTGGGGATGTCCAGACCGTGGCTGCGAAGCAGCGCTTCGAACATCTGCGCTCGCGCCTTCCACATCTCCTTCTCCTCTCTCTCCTGCTCCATGCCCATCTCCAACTCCCGCTGGTACTCCAGCTTGCGCTTGCGACTGCGCCGCGCAGCCAGAGTATTTTGACGACGCTTGGCCTCGATGGCATCCATGTCCGACGGCGCGAGCAAGACCTCCTCGTCATCGCCGAACGCCTGCGAGAGTGAACGCTTCTTCGCAAAGACGGCGGGGACTTCCTTTCGGGAGGTAGCCGACGGTGTAACGTACTTGCGTGATTGAATGGGAGCGTCGATAGGCACCAGCAACTCGGGCATGATATTCTTCCGAGTACCCGTAGGCCCGTTCTTCCGACGACCAGGAGCAGGGGTCGACGTCGCGGAAAGAGCCTGAACTCTGGGCGAAGGGTGGAGTGATGATGGATCGAGAGCGGGTGTTGACGGCGAAGGCATCGTGTACATGCCATCGAGATTCAGGAGAGGATTGATAGATGCTGAAGATGCTGACGAAACGGTGGTGGCATTCTTAAAAGCAGTCAGGGAGGCAACGTTCAAGCCTAGCCCGGTATCGCCGCCGAATAGAGAGCCGGAGCCGACGTCGAAGTCATCCGCATCGTCGACAATAGCGGGACTCGTGAGGAGATCAAACGCAATGTCGGAGCTACCCACATCGGGCGTTGTGAGAAACTCGTCAAAAGGTGAGTCATCCATTGGCGACGTCAGGTATTCGCCGAAGTCGTGTCCCATTTGGAACTCGGGGGATGCTGTGTCCGCGTTGCGCAGTCGCGTCAGTTGTCTAGTGATCTCGGAGGGTGCTTGAAACAGACCTTGGAGAACATCCATCAACGCATTGACTGCGACCTCATCCGCAGACATATGGTGTCTAGGTGCTACTGCCTCGGCGGCAGTAGACTCCCTTTCCTCGGGATTTTGTGACAACATGGTCAAGTAATCAGAGCACAAAGAAGGAAAGTCGGGTTCTGAAGACGAAGTAGGAATAGGTTCCGAACTAAGGGGTTGCTGTGGATATCGAGTAGTGCGAGGCACAGGTGGGAGCGATTGGGGGATTCCATGATGAGCAGCGAGAGCTGATGTGGAATTAAAGACCGGGTAGGTCGTCCGAGGACGAGGCTGAGCGGAATTTATCGAGACATTTGGAGAGGAGCTGGAGCTTGAAAGCGAGTAACTTTCAAGAGGCGATTTGCGCAAAGAACCATGGTAGTTTGATGGGCCCGGAATGTCGCTAGATTGCAACACGTTCAAAGGGAAGGACGCTGCATGTTGGCGGCGTTGATAATTGGTAAGGTTCTGGTACGAAAACAAGGCTGGGGCTAGTTGGGGTGTAGGGGGAAGAGCTTCAACCGGCGACAATGGCAACCGGCGATCTGGTCTGGAACACGATGGCGGCGAAATCAGTGATGAGCTCTCAATGCCTTGGCCATGAGGAACGTCCGCCGTCGAATACGACTCGAAATCAGTTCGCGGGACACTTTCTGGCGAATGAAACACTGCCACGGGTGGAGTACCAAGATCGGGACGATGTGCGGCCCAATTTGGCGGCGATGCGCAGTCCGCGTTGCGGAACGAAGCATATGGCTTCGACTCGATACACGGTCCCGACGTGCTCGCAAACATTGTGGTGTGATACGGCACCGCACGCACTTTGGACGGACTGACACGCCAGCGAATACGGCGGACGACACAATTGGGAGGAAATATGGACTCACGATGTTCTGAGTCAGTTCCGCGCCTCAAACAGTGTTGACGCTGCTCGAGGACGTTGGGATGTGGTGGGTGAAAAGCAGAAGGGCGGGGAGATGATCTGACTCGACGCTCTCTTTATCTAGCAACTTTTCACAGCTTTTCAATCTCAGAGGCGCTCGTCCGGGCATCGCCTGTCCGCACTGGAAAACCCAGCCCAACACAGCAAATTTTGCCCTGAGAGGTATCGTAGTAAAATTCGAGGAACATGTCTATCACAGGAAAGAATTCGCAGAATTCCTGTCCCACAGAGTCACTTTCGTCGCAAAGGCATTTGGGACCAGAAAAGATGACTCCCGCCCGGACCCGCCCCTGCGCGCGGAGTCAGGAAATATTCCCCTCCCAAATCCGGCGATCTTCTTCATTCCCGGTATTATTGACCTCGACGACCTGCGCGTAGTGTCCTAACGGCCAGCGCAGCGCGTCGCACCTGTCCGTCATCCCCGCAATTAAACACGTCAACCAACTGCGCAGCGGGTCTGCCAACGTTGCCTGCGCCCGCAGACAGGCCAACACGTATGGTTGGACGACGGTAGCTATCGCGAACGCTTCCAGAGGAATGTCGTGGCGCTCAGCGTCCGGTTGACACTGGGTAGAGGGCACTTGTCCGCCCTTCGCACATCGATATCGATGTTTTCGGCCGTCGCAGCGGACCGAGGACCGCCGCAGCCATCGAACTGCACCCCAAAACCACCGACAGTTACGCGTAGACGAATCAGAGGCGCACGTTTCCCTCGGCCAGGAACTAAGACGGCCGCGGACCGCTGCACACAGACCTTGCTATCGCGCGGCGCAGTGTGCAGCAGGTGCTCAGGGCGCAGAGGAAGGGCAACGACCTCCAGAGCCCAGATTCGCGGGCGGTTAGCTAGGGCCGGCAGCGGAGCGCCGATTCAGACGTTCGACCAGTACCGTGAAAGTTGTCTGATTGCGTGTACACTGTCGCATCGACCAGAGGAGCAGTCGAGCTCCAGAACGAGGGCAATCATGATGTCCGCTGTCCATGGAATAATCACGAAGCTGGGTCTGCACGACGCCATTGGGTGAAGAAAGACAAGAGCCTGCTCACCTCGGAATGTAGATCCGACGTGCAAACTGCGAAGGCGATGATATGATGCATACGCGAGCCGTCTCAGAAAACAAAAGCTTTCCAGAGGCCAGAGGCAGTGCCATAGCGTTTGCTGTCGACGCCGTACGCGAGAAAGGCCGGCGCCTACTATTAAAATTGCCAACAGGCAGTGCGCACCTTATGACAATATTGGCAAACATATCGTATTGAGCTGTACTCAGCGCGCTGACTTCTGTCGAAAGTTTGTCGAACTGAGTTCACAACGCGCTTACCCCGTCGACGCTGTCGGGGACGCCGCCTCAAGTGTCCGCGCCTCCCGAAAGAGGAAGACCGTTTCCACGCCCTATGATTGGTTGTTTCCTGGCAAATAGTAGATCCTGGAGCAGAGAAAACAAGCAAGAGATCCTGAAGAGCAAAAAAAAAATAGACGACAGCAGACATGGGCTAGTTGAGTGACTGCAGAGGATGAGGGAACGGGACAAAGAGTGCATGGAAACCGCGTGTGGTCCCTGCAATATTTTAATACCTTGAGTCACCAACACCTCGCTTGCCTTATTTGGGCTGACAATGACTCCGCCAATCACATCATCGCGCGCTAGCAGCAAGAAACATATTAATAATTAATGGCCGAACAGCAGGTCCACGGAACCGCACATGTACAAGTATGTCAATAAATTCCTTGAAGAGAGAGGAGTAGTAAAGATGAACCAGCAACGGATATGAAGCAAGCCAATAAAGTCCACAGTATGGATACGAGTCTGTCGAAACAACCCGCCACCATCTCATGATCTCCCAGGCAGCGACGGGACCGGCGGAGCCGTCTCTGGCGCGGTGAAAAATCCCGCAGCACTGATCCCGAGGGCCTCAACCCCCGCGCCCGACGACTTCCTCGTCGTCCCTCTCCCAATCGTAATGGAGCCGCTCCGCGCGCTCCCCCCCTTCTCGATGCTGATCATCGAGCGCGCCTTGTTCACGGTGGCATACGCACTACCGTTGCCGTTCGCCCCGTACGTCGTATGCACGGACCGCGTGCCGAAGGTGTCCTTCGCCTGCACCCCGCGAGCCTCGGAACCGCCGTTGCCGCGCGAACCGCCGGATCCGTCGGGACCGATGGGCATCACCAGCATCGCGTCGTCGATCTCCTCGTCGTCGTCATACACGCTGTCGCGGTTCCGACCCGTGCGGGGGCTTGAGGTCGACGATGGGGACGCGTCTCGTTCCACGAATAGGTGGCGGGGCACCGCCTCGCTGCGGTCCTGCACCTCGTCGAAGACCTCGTAGTACCGGTGGATGCAGAGCTTGATCACCATACCGAGGGTAGTTTTGCCTTCCGCCGGCTGCGCTTGTGGGAAAGCAGCCGGGCCGATGGTGGTGGATGTGCTCGGGACCGAGCACATCATGACGTCTCGAAGGGGGTTCGGACTCGACACCAAGTTGGGACTAATGACTACAGACAAATTGTGTGCGTCCATTCGATTGATCTCCGAACGTAGCGACACCTCGTGCAACAGCTCTGTGAGAAATTACACACCTCAGGACGAAACAGCATTAGGAGAAAAATGGACCGGCTACTCACGCAAAACGTTGCTGAGCAAAATATATGCGCAACGCGGCAATCCAGGTAAGACGCTCTCCCTAATGTAGGAGATACTAGAGAGGTCGTTGCTGTCGTCGGTTGGTGCGGGGCATCGCAGAATTATGGGGTAAAAGGGCTCCACAAATATGGGAGTGGGCAGATCCCGAAGGTATTTCTTCAGCAGGACTGCCGCCAAGTGTGGATCCGCAAATGATTCCAGGGAGACCACATGCCCTAAGGACGGGTTTAGAATACGATGGTGAATTGATAAAGACGCCTAACCTCGGTCATAAGCCTGTTGAGCCTGCTTGAGCATGACCGAATTGGGGGACCGTCGGAAGATCCCTTCCTCCTCAAGGCCAGCTTGACGGAGGTATTGGATACAGTCCTTGACGACCCTTGGGATACCGCTCTTTTCACCCTCATATCCCATGAGCTCTTCTAAAGGCACTCCAAAAAGGTCGGCGTGGGAAATCACAGGAAGAGTTATTTGCTTTTCGTGCTTCAAGTTTTCTCTTTGATTAAAATGACGTCAGGTTTTATCCAAGACTCGTCAAAGCACTCTGCGCACCGGTATACCACAGGGTGAATATCGATCTGCGTAAGTGGTACATGGTATGCCAAATCAGAGAGTGTTGTTATATAAGTTATCTTGCGAAAGAATTTAGGGCTGACACTAACATTGAGCTACATTTTTCATCTACCAGTCGGACGAAATATTTACCTGATGATGCTTCCAGCCAGGGAAAATAGCACTGATGGATCTGTGTCAGTCTTGCGTTCCCAAGCGGTGAATGCTGGAAACATACTCTTTGTAAAGAAATTTGAATGGACAATATACTAACCAAGGAATGAGCCTTCGAAGGAAATAAGCGAAGCAAACAGAAACGAACCAGTCGCTTGAGATTCTTGCGGTATTTCCGACTTAGACTCCTGTATGCCTTCCACACCCAATTCCACCCGGGAGTGTGACGGCCACCAGCAGCAAAGAAGACGACTGTGTAGTCGGACTCAACTGCAAGCAGGATCAGAGATGGTTCTGGTGAGGCGAAGGGTTGCTACTCACCGTATAAGTTGAGGTAGGCCATGATGCGACTAAACCACAATCGAAATATGTAAACAATAAGGTGTGGTAATTGTCACTCACTCCAATAGGATATCATACGAAAGTTCCCGTGGATCGGGCAGAGCTGAAGCATTCATGACGACCCTGTTAAGCCGCCGTCACTCTGGCTGTCCTATCACCTTGGCACAATTAACATACATGGGTCTCGTCCTAGGCAGATGCTTGTTCGTGTGTCACAAGCTCGTGAGTAGGCTAGCAGACTCACTCATAGTCTACCCCTGCCTGGAATATCATCCTGCTCATAACCTCCTGCGCTTTCTCGTGTCCATATTGCGAACCCTGGAGAACGTCGACTTGCGCACTGCGCTTTCCCAAAGATTGGCCAAAGAAGGGCCGCCTTTTCGTAGTTGAAGATTGGGGTGCACGGTCAGAATTCGAGCGAGCGTTAGGAATAGTGGCGGATAGTGCTGCAAGTCTCTGCTTGAGCGTAAGGGGATTTGGTGGCATGTCGTGGACGAAGCCTGAAAGGCTGTGTGACTTTATGCCTGGTGTATCCAGATAACCTGGAGGTGCACAAGCTTTCTGAGGCAATGGACACAAAGTACACAATTGAGGTGCGGCAGGCGCGTTCAAGACGCCACGCGAAGCATCGACCTTCTTCAAGTTCACGACTTTCCACCTGCCACCATCACTCGTAGACGACGTTTCCGGTCAGCCTGCATGCTGGATGCATTTCCTCGTCGGCTTTGGCGATTTCGAGGACAGTTCAGGTGCTGACACACTTCGGCAGCAAGTCAAGATGCGCTACTAACACGTCCCACTGGGCGTTTGGCTCGGCACTGGTCAAGCAGGTCGATCTTGCCTGATCAGTATGTGACCGTCCTCCAACCGTTCTCCCTAGTCCGGGTAAATTATCGCAGACAGACAAGCCTGCGCGCATCGGTGGCGCGTACGGAACTCGCCAGAGTCGAAGAACTTTCTTCAGTAGTATTTGGCACCTGCTAGCTGCCTTGCCGATGCTGATGCGCATGGACATTTAGCACTAGCAGGTGCGACGGATAATTTGCGTGAGTCACCCCAAACTGTAAGTATGATTCTCCGGATAACGATGATGGACAATACTCGTCATGACAGCTGAATTGAATTGCCACGGGCGTGTCGTAGGTGCCAGCTCTGGCGATCGCACGGACCCGATACACCAGCAAGCGTGTACCCAGGACTAGCAGAGTGGCAGTTAGAACCACGGTCGTGGTAGACCTCTCTAGACTCTCCCTGTCGTAGCTTATCCTGTTTTCTTCGTCATCCGCGGTTAGTCTGTGTGTTGCGCGAATGCGACGATGTGTAATCATGTTTTCTGCAAAGCTTCGGCTTGTTCGGAGAGCTTTCCTAGCGTGGCTCATCGGCGTCACACGAGTGATAGTCTCAGTATGCAACGTCCATCTTCACGCCCCGGAACCTATACGCAGGAGAGCGCTCTGGATGACCTGCCAGCTATTAAATATGCTATGAGCCTGTTCTTGAACTCAGACATGGTGGAGGCGGAGCAGTATTGCGATGAGTTGGATCCAAACAAGTAAGTTCGCCGACTTCGATCAATTGAACTTTATGCGACATGAGTTGGACATCCACAGGGAGCGTTTATACATCACTGTTGGATATAGCCTCATCCAGTGCTTGAAAGCCTTTATGTCGTATGAGGATAAGGTATTGATTGCCCACAAACTTCGCGTTCGAGACTCGAATCATCTGGTCAGGACCTCGACGAAGCTTCTATCCACGTACAACACGGGAATCAACTCGCAGCTCGACATCGTGCGCCACCTGCTACTATTGTTTCCCAGGTCACCAACTTCGTGAGAGGTGCTCCAAGCCTAGAGGCAATTAAAGCCATGACCGCTACCCAAAGGCATGCAGAGTTACTGTACGCCGAGATGACTTTCGCGAAGGTGCCGTAGCGTTATCGCAACTCTCGGGACTATGATTGGACAGCATCTTTAGGCTATGCTAGCCACCGCACGCACAGGCAGCTGGCTCGCGTTTGTACGAGAAGCGTGAGTACCACTTCACTCTGTCCTCTTTTCGCATTGCAATGACTTGTCTGTTAGCGCGAGGTTCAGAGTAATGATTAATCTCTATCTCCAGCTGGGAAGATATGTAGACCTCATGGACGCAGAGGCGGCAGCACGCGGAGAAGCCGAAGACCGTTCAATTGACAGGGATTTTCGTTCCGGTGTCGAACTTGGGGTCGGCGCGTCGAATCTGATCCTCAGTCTGATGCCAAAAACTGTTATCACCGTCGCTGAGCTGTTTGGATATCAAGGTAATCGTATGGTAGGCCTCTCACTATTGATGAAGTCTGGTGGATGGACGCCGACTTCATCAGAACCAGCGGTCAGCATAGGTCAGTGGTTGCACCGTGCAACTACATCAAAGTGACTGACTTACTTCTATGAGTATAGAAGAGGAAGGGTTGCGCCGCCCATTATGCGACATTGGTCTCCTCGCATTCCACGTCATTCTTTCAGACTTCGTCTTCCAAGGCGTAGACCTCGCTATAGCACGAAATATCCTGCAATGGAATCTGAGGAGGTATCCCAAGGGTGATATCTAGATTTTTTCTTTAGAAATAATGGAGATATGCTGACGTTCTTTTATGCTTAGGCGTGTTCTTCTTATTTGTGGAGGGACGCCTCAGGTTGCAGTGCGCACAACCAGCCCTCGCGCTTGAGAGCCACCACAAGGCGATAGCAGTGCAGAGTCAATACCGCAACTTCCACTACGTATCCTTGTGGGAGATCGCGTTTTGCAATATGTCTCTGTGGGAGATGTCCGCCTCTCTGGACGCTTGGCGCATTTTGCGGGAAGAAGCAACTTGGAGTCGTGCATGTTACTCTTATGGAGCTGCAGTATGTCTCCTGGAACTTGGTGCTCCGGAAAATGTACGAGAGGCGAAGCAATTGCTGGATGGTGTCCCGGGATTGGTGCAAAAGTTGGCTGGTAAATCAATACCTGCCGAGGTTAGCATCTGTCCATCCCGCTTTGTGCTTAACTTAATGTGATGCTGTTACAGAAATTTGTTTCCCGGAAGGCCCGCCAGTTCAAGGCCCAAGGCGGGCGGTTGCTGCTCCCGGCACTTGAGTTCTGTTACATGTTCATGTCCATCGAGCAGGCACCAAGAGCAGTAGTTCGGTATAAGATGCTCCCTGAAGTTGAGAGCGCCCTGGTCAATCTTAAGGCTCATGAGAGTGATCCAGCTTCATATGAAGGAGGTCAGAGGTACTGGGACGATTTTTGCCTCGCGCACTTCCTGGAGGGTGTATGTCTGCGCTATATGGCATATCCAGTAAATCTGCCCCTTTTCTTTTAGTGTCTCTTTAGCTGATATTATCTCAGGATGCGAATGCAATACTCGATCCCAGAGATGACTTCAATATCCCGCGAAATACATTAACTATCCGAGCCATGGATGCGTTCAACAAGGTCCTATCCAACTCTGCTCGCATTCGGCTTGATCACTATCTCATTTACCATACACGTGTGTAGCGTTCATTCGACATTGTTATTGTAACTGACTCTCCGAAGATTATGAGCTTGGACGATTGTTCGCCCGTGTGGGAAATGAAAAGAAAACTCGCGAACATCTCGAACTTGTCGTGTCCCGTAAGTGCAGTCATTTTATGCTGCGGATGGCCTTCCGTTTAATCTTCCTCAGAGAAACCGTTGGAGGCTTCCCCGAAAGTTCGGAAAGTGAGGTCGAGCTTCTCATTTCTACCTTAAGTCGCTGAACAGTGTCCAATTTGCAGGGCAAGTACAGCATGCAAGTGAGTCATACTATTTCAGCTAAGTGAATTGAACTGATAGCGCATGCCCTCACAGACTGTTCTTGTGGTGCGAGCCGCTGCAGAATTGGAGAAATTATATCCAAAGCAGTCTTAAGCCTAGATCGGCGGCCTTCTTAGATCTGTGTGGTTACGGTGCTCCCTGTTGTTCTACACTATGAAAGACTTTGTTATCGGAACTCAAGGACGAGCTTATCGCGTGGATCATCATCTCCGGGCACTTGAATCTTCTCACAAGGTATGTCGCTCGGAGTTTCATCTCTGCCTTCACTTAACCGAATGCCCGGAGATCCGCTATAATAGTTAAATGAATTCGTCAAATCTACATTGCGCCGCCAGAACTCGAACTGCAGCTATGCAGAGGAAACGTAATATGTAAAAGTACAGCTGCCATCAGGTAGGCCCAGCATAAGTTTATGCACAAATCCTACTCGTCTCAGAGTACCTCAGATCTGGCGTACGCGCTGGATCCGTACAGAACTAATCATCCTCGTGCATCTCATACATGCGGACGCTCTCCATGAATTCGTTCGAAGCGGTACGGTCCATGAGACGCAGCTGGGGCCCATATAGGGGCGCGTGCCGGAGGAGCTGCTCTAGCTCCTGCACGGCATCCTCGGAAAGCGCAGGCCGCCCCTCCGCGGTCGTGATGCGTACAAAGCTGCGGACGTCATGGACCTCCCACCCCCCGGGCGCGCAGGGCGCTGCTTCTGGGAACCTACCTGCTCAGCAACAACACACAACGTGAGAAGCGCTTACTGACCGTCGGCATTGAGAAGTGTCGGCACGAGGCGCAGGAAGCACCTGCTGTTCTTCCCCGAGAACCCCGAGAACATGCTCATCTGAAAGAGGAATGCCAAGCCGGGCTCTGCCGCTTGGAGCACGTCCACAGAGAGCGTGGGCACCGCGACAACGCTCCGCGCCCCCCCATGGCACGTCAGGTGCGCGCGGGCGCGCCGTGGCGGCAGCTTGGAACGGCATGCCGCCGTGCATCTGGAAGCTGACGATCCGCGCTCTCCGGAAGCTGCAGAGTGTATCGGTGAGGGCGCCCACCACGCCCGCGGGCGTGAAAAGCGCGAGGGAGCACCCGCGGATCGACGGCGTCACGCTCTCGTGACGCGAAATGAACGCGGTGGGGTACGGCGGCGGCTCTACGGTGCGCAGGAGCGCCGGGTGCATCAGTGCTTCCAGTGAGTAGAACAGCTGTGGCTGCTTGCGCAGGAGGTCGTAGAGTTCCTCGGGCGTGACAGACATGCAGCCCATGAGGACGAGACGCTTGAGTCCCGCGGCTGCGGTGATAATCTCGCGCACTGTTCAGTGGTGATCTGCGTGTTGAATGAAAGGTTAAGTGTCTCGAGCCCCGGCAGCTGGGAGACGACATGGACGACCTGATCCGACGTCAAAGCAAAGTCGGAGACGTCGTTTCCCCCAGCCCGGTCAGCACCTTGAGTAGCAGTGGAACCGCGCAGTCCGGGAAAGGGGACTTTGTGCGAAGGATGGACCTTGTTTCGGCCAGCTTTCCTGTCAGCTAGAGCATCTTCTCGAGCTCACTTGCATCATCCTGCTTAATCGCATAATTAAAAAGCGGGAGCAAGAGCCAACGCGACGAGCGATGGGATCAGTGCACCTCCCTCCGGGGACTCTGAATTTGCATTGACGTTATCCGCGCATTCAGTGGTATTTTCAGCGGCGCATTCACCCGCATCGCTTTGATATTCACCGGGCCATGCTTCAGCCAGCATATCCAGCGTGACCACGTTTTCACCATCAAGCAGGGCTATGGTTTTCAAGATGTCCTTTTCAGTCCGTCTCTTCCTCTCAATGTCCGATTCTTCAGTTAGCACTGCGTAATAGCACCTCATGTACTGCTCCGCGGAGAGTGGGGTATGGGACGTCACGAAGCAATATGCAGGATTCTCCGGGTCCGTGACATCAATGACGGAGATTCCACTGTTCGAATTCAAGGTCCTGTCAGTCTGGAACTGTCAGAAAGGAACAGAATAACCGCTGCCGCCCCAGCTGCCCATATCGGCAGACAGCAGATTGTGTGTGAACGTGATGCCACTGAAATACGCATCCTGGCGGTAGGCAAGGTCGACGTTCCAGCTGACGCCGAGTAGGCAGGAGGTGAAAGGGCAGGGAACGTCGATCATCTCGAGCTGCTCTTTCCAGCGGCCATACTTGCCGTCGATGTTACGGATCTCGGCGCGCACTATAGGAGGCGGTACGCAGCGCGCACGGCGAAGCGGCCGAAGCACCGATGGTGGTGGTAGGCCGCGATGCAGCGATACATTGGTGGCGCATCGGGGGGGGGGGGGGGGCTTTCAAGTTCGTGAGGTCGCACACGGGCGATGACAAAGGCTTGGTGACTCTCATCCATATTCTACTGAGTAGGCTTCAAAAGATCACTGGCCTGGGTTATCCGAAATGGCCACGAAGAGTCTGGTGCTACCAGAGACATTCGACTCCCGCTTGCCGTTTGCTTTTGCGTAACAACAGGTCGAGGCGACAGAAGCCTCAGCAGTGCTGTAAAAATTGCCGAGTACGGTCAACTGAGGCGGAACGCAGGAATATTACCCAGTTTGTTTCCAGCGGGCCTCCGATGAGAAAGGTGTCGAGTCAAAGATGTTCGTATTGCTAGACAGAGTCGGATTGAAAAATACATGGGAGACCAACGGGCACAGACTATTGTCCACCAACTCATCTTCAGATCCGGATCTAAGAACATTGTATGTCGACCTTTTAAGGCAAGTGAGTACGAACAGATGTGAAGGCTTTGGCGCTGGAAACAACAGACGTGACAGTACATTCCTATTACAGTACTTGCCAGTGTGTTCAGTTCGTGTGGACGGAATGTGCACAAAATCATGCTCTCCAGAGAGCAGCGAAAGCCCAATAGCCAGCTGAAATTGCTGTACAAATAAAGGAAAACATGGTTATGAGATGTTACACGTGGCTGCTGCGGGAGAACAACCGAACGAAATTGCTGATTTCAGGAGTCATGTCACGCGGCCAAATATACACAAATTTCCGCCTTGATGACCTTTAAGTTCGAACGTAGATATCTCCTCAACGGCTGGGCCGTTTCTCTCGATTCTTGTATTTTCGGACTCTCCTCGTCAGCACTCAAAACATAGTACAAAGAAATATTCCCTTTCTCCGCTATATCTGTTCGCTTTTTTGGCAGCTTCCTTCTGGCTCAGAAGTGAGTTTGTCATCATTGTATGGGTTGGAGAACGTCAGAAGGTGGTGGAGGTAGTATGGTAGGCAGGGCAGGGATATGCATGTGTGGTCTGGGAGGATCTGGGTTGTATGTGATTTATCTCAGACTGCATAGCATATATCATGGTGTTACAGATCTCACGCTATTGTCAATTATTCTGATGTATTTTGTGTACAGACTACATATAGGACTTATGTGTGCATCAGGAATGAAGGATGACAGTTCTGAAGATGGGGAATAATGGATTTAAGGGCCTGAGTATCATACCAACTGCAGCATGACTCCCACCATCCTGAGTGCCTTCTACCATCTGCTGCTTGCTTAAAACCATCCAGATATCAACATAAAACATGTAAGATATGAAAAATGCAAACAAGTGAATGTTTTTGACCATCTGTCAATGGGGTCCTAGTGCTGTGACCACAGAATTAATCCCACAGCGAGAATGAGGACATGCTTACCTTCAACTTTACACCATGCCCTCTCTATGATCCTAAGATGTCCTCTCAGCAATTTCTCCAGTACTGGGACTGTCTGCCACACAGGAAGTCGGCTCTGAGCTAGCGCGATGACCACCAGAGCCATGAGTACTGAATGGTCTGAATATGTACAGTTCTTGATACTATACCCTGTGTGCTGACAAGGAGAGTCCGAAAATGCAAGAATCGAGAGAAACGGCCCAGCCGTTGAGGAGATATCTGTGTTCGAAGTTAAAGGTCATCGAGGTGGAATTTGTGTATATTTGGCCGCGCGACATGACTTCTGAAATCAGCAATAGTACTACAATCTGCACGGATGATAAGTCGAGAGGCAGCCGCAGTGTGGGCAAGCGGCGTGGAGCATCATGAATAAAGTAAAACATCAAACCTCAGAGCCACTAGAAGCACCACACAAAATAACTCTCTCGTTATATATCCCCACACCAGCTGATCGACTACATCAATCTGAGGACTTTACCACAAGAGGCATCGCGAAGCCGTTGTAATAATTTGGCATTCGCACGACGGGAAGGGGCCTCTGACCCGGACGATGGAAGGGGTTCACGGTGATAGGACGAGACCGAGTCCTAGTCAGAGCTGCATAGTGCGGCGACCCGGGCATGAAGGCGTGAGAAGCCTGGCCTTGCAGCATTGTCTGGACACCTGTTGCGCAGGTCTCCATGGATTGTTCGGCGTAGTCGGTAATCGCGAACGGGATATTGAGGCTGAAAATAATTGTGTTATCTTCGGAATGATGGAGTGAGGTTGCGACAATTCTTACACGGCACTGAAGATCACTGGATCGCTCCACGTCGTGTAATTCAACAAGCCGGCATTGAGGCCAACTAAGGCATCCGGCGGTGATTCCTTGGCCACATCCCGTGTCCAACCTTCACCCTGCGAGTATAGCTTGATAACGACGGACCCTCCACCAGCTTTCTTCGGGGAAGTATAGCTCCAAACGATATCCTGTGTGGCGAGAGAGCCAGGATATTTCTGACGCGCCGAGCGTACGAGATCATACACTGCTTTCCCAAAGAACACCAAAGTAATGTCTACGTGCGGAAGCAAGAGAGCTAGTTCCGAGAATCTGAAGGAAGGTTAAAATAACTTCGTTCGGGATTCTTCTGAAACTTACAGAGGCAAAAAGTTCAATTCGACTTCCGCGCCGATGTAGTGCACCTCCAACGCTTGCCGCTTCTCGACAGTTGCATCGTCATTAACAACATGAAGGATGTCCGTCAGGAGATGGTACACAGTCATGGGATAATCCATAAGCAGTGACGCAGGGGAGGCCATGGACAGCCCGCGCCACTCGTACCAGCTTTTCCAGTCATAAACTTGCCCACGTTCAACCCTCACTGGAGGCATAAACTCGTCGGAAAAGAAAAGGCGTGGCACCAAACTGCCATTCGCATCGACTTTGTCCTTGATTTTCCACATGTCGACATCCGTTGGCCACGCTTCATCACGGAGAACATCCCCATGCACATAACCCTCCGTGCGGCGCACTCTCAACAGTTTCTTCGCTTCGCTATCTGGCTCACCACGCGACGCAGTACTGTCGTCGTGGGGCTGGAGGCCGCCAGGTACAGACCAGTACCCAAACGAAATTCCAGAACCCAGCACACCAAGTCGAGCTTTCAGGACATCATGGGAGCACGTGCCGTCAGGCTCTATACGGGCCCAGGGAAACTGCCTGAGAACTGAGGTGAAGTAAGGTATGCGCTTCATGTGTTCCTGATCAGTTGTTAGCCACAAAGTCGCGAGATAGCCCAACAACGCTCGCCTTATTGCTTGCACAGAGTTCCTTGTGGGTAGGAGCTCGTGGCATTTTCGGAGTTTTCCAGTCCGCTACTTGGCACTAAAATGTGAAGGCAGTGCACTATCAATTCAACATGGCCGACGATACCATAATGGTTCGAAGCACTCACTGCACGGCTGCAATATATCACCGCCTGACATCCAGCTGTAATTATGAGATATAAAGACAATCAGGTATTCAATGCACGATAAACATACCGCATCTCAGGGGCTACAGACGATATCAACCGGTGAGCATCTACGACATAGACAGCGGAAAAGGGAGAATGACCTTCCACTCCTTGGTTGCTCTATCGAGGCAAGGACCGGAGCACCGAATGCACTAGGTTAATAGTGAGAGTCGTGCAGAATGTATTATAACAAGCGTGAAAGTGGAAGAACAATCTCACCATGGGGCCGACGCCAAAATCGAGTTTCTGCAATTTGCGCGTATCACCTGCCTTTTCTGCCTTTTCCCACTCACGCGCATACTTGTAAGCCATAGCAAACGTATCGGCGCTACCGAGTCCAGCAGTAGAGAGGTTTGCCATCATCTGTTGGATGGATGCAGACATCGTTGCCAGTGGTGGCGGGCAGAAACACTTGAACAAAGGCTCGAGACCGCCGCACGCGCGTGCGTAAGTCACGTGGACGCGCCTAGCGCGCATGGCGCTAAATCGCAACTTGCCTCCTCCGCTAATATTACTTCGCTTGATTTTTGAAACCGGTCTATAGCTCCTGGGCAAGGTAGCGGGTTGACATTCGGTGTTCCAGTAACTGCTTCCTACCTTGTCAATGGCTAGTCCAACTCCTATGGATGAAGCTGCCGCACTGGAGGCACTGTCTGACGTCCTGAACCGACTGACCGACAGTCCCTACGACATATCTCTCCATGCCGAGAATGTGCGCATTGCCTATGCAACAGGCATGGACGACCAGATTGAATCTGCGCTGGAGATGGTGACTGCATTTTGGGCAGCGGGAGACCAGATCTGGATGCCTCTCATCGAGCGTAAGCAGCAGTCTGAAGACATGGAGTCGGCAGAGGGCTTGCGAGCCTTGTTGGATCTTTTTGGGCGAGCGGAGCAGGATTATCTATGTGCGTGTACTTTAATTCCGTTTAGTCTCTGATGTTTGAGTCTGTTCAGCGATACCGCTTCTTACCAAGCATCTGGAGTTTCTCGTGGAACGTTACGAACACTTCGCAAGTACTGAGTCTAGGCCAGAGGACCTGGGAGACCTTTTTTCGACAGAGTGGACCCGGGAAGCTATTGCTTGGGTTGTGGCGCAGGGAGCAGGACATCTAACGCAGGTAGGGGAATCTACTACTACGCCACTTCTAGCGCGCTGATATCGTTGACAGAGTCACTTGTTGTGGGATATCCAAAGAGACTGGGAAATGGAAGTTTTGGCGAATGCACCGGACGCTGAGAAGTGAGTGTTCTGGAATCCTTTTATTGAATGTACCTCAACATTTACCAAGGACACCACTGGTTACTCGTGTTGAAACTGTGTTCCTGGAGCGCTTGAAGCAGCCGCATTCAAGTATGGCACTTTCTATTCTTTTCTAATACATCTCTGACCACGGTTCTTACGCAGATCATGCGGACACTCTCCAAGCTTACTCAACATTTACTACTAATTACAAGCCACCAGATCAATACGAGTCGCTTCTCGTCAGGGCCTCTAAATTGCGTTCTCAAGCTGTGAAGGCCTATGAAAAGAGAGAGGATTTTGAGAAGTCCCTCGTACGTAGCTTGGCAATGTTTTCCATATTAGAGCCTATATTCAGGGTCAATTAGGCTCAAGCAAGTTTCTCGCTGGAGGCGTATGCCTACTACCTCTCCATTGAGCGGCGCAAGAAGCCCGATCTTTTCATTCTCAGAACGCTTTATGAACGGGCAATAACGGAAGGAGATAAACGGCGATTCAACGGGGAATCAGATGCGGAGGATGCGTTGCGCTCATTCTGGTCAGGATATATCGACTTCCTGGTGCGTATTCTTTTTCTGTGTATGCATGAGCAGAAGTCCCTTACTCGCAATGCTACTCATCTTTGATAGAGGACACAGGACGTTGACGACGAAGTCCAATTGACCGTGTTGAAAAGAGCTATGAGGAGTGTGCCAGCTTCAGGGGAAGTCTGTGCACGATATCTGCGCTTTCTGGTAAGAGATCTTATTATCCGCTTCTTTCATGACGATTTACCATGTCTTCAGGAACGAGCTGCAGATGTGAACGACGCTCAAATAGAGATTGCTGGTAAGTAAACGCTATCCAATTTACCTTCGTCACACCGTAACCAACATTGATTAGCTGCGTATGACAAGACTCGATCAATAGCACCGTTGCAATACGACGTTGAGCAACTCGTACCTGTGATTGTCGCTCGCGCCGGGTACGAGAAGCGACGCCTGGGAGGTTCTGATGAAGGCACGTCATGCTGTGCAACCTACGCGTTGTGGCTGATCAATGGGTTCTGCAGATGAGAAAACCTACGATAGTTTTGTAGAACTTGTCTTGGATGGTATCAACAGAGTTCGCAAAGGTGCGATATGGTGAAGTCTTACTTGTGGCGGTATTGAATAGATCTTTAGCATCAACCGCCGGTGATCCTAGGCTCAGGCTCGAGAAATATTTCTCCGCAGTGGTAGGTCTTAAGTCAATGTGCCTATCAGGGATTGCTCATTTTTTGTTAGTGTCTGGATTTCGCCGACCTTTCCGAGCACGCAGTGGTCATGTGGGAGGACGCGGCCAAACACTACAAGACTAGTTATATTGCCTGGACGGCTTACACCGACGTGCTCATGTAGGTTGTCTCCTCGCGTGAAGCGCGTCTCTCAACTGAATGTAAATTTTGCCCACCACAGCAAGCAGAAGCTCTACGACGACGCCCGCAAGGTATTCCGAGATATCTCGATGAAAAACCTGGATTGGCCGGAGGCAATGTGGGAAGCGTGGCTGAATTTCGAGCAGCTATGCGGTTCTGTCGAGGATATCGAGGATTGTATCGACCGGATTGACCGTGCACAGGTTCAGGTGAATGCGCGGCGCGCCAAGGTCGGCAACTCCGTCTTCGTGGTGAGTACGTGTTGTTAATCATGCTAATGGAATGCAGGAAGCGGAGAAAGCTGGTTATGCCGCGATGCAGGTTGTAGCGGAACAACAGGCTACTGCAGCGCCCGTTGCAGATATTCCAGTCCCTAGCCAAGCACAAGCTCCTGTTGAGTCTTCTCCTATGGACGTTGATGCCGCTGGGCCAAGCGAGAGTCCATCAAAGAAGCGGAAAGCTGAAGACGACGTCGTTCCGGAAGAAACCAAGAAGGCAAGGATGGGTGAGTCTCGTCCCTTGTCACAGTAATGCTATATATCTGACATCCACGTCGCAGAACAAAAGCCTATGCAGCTCAAACGGTATAACCTATTTTTACTCCAAGTGAAAATATTTTAAGTGTCTTCACAGCGATCGGGAGAATTGTACGGTATTCGTCGCCGATCTTGCGGCGGGCGTGCAGGAGGAAGAGCTAGCCGGCCTTTTCAAAGATGCAAGTATCTTTTTCATGTTAACATGCTCCAGTCGGTTGATTCGTTATTATGCAGTGCGGCGTCATACGAGAGATCAAAGTCACTCAACTACTGAATTCATTCGTTGCCACAGTTGAATTCAATGAGCGGGTCCGTACTACTTTCTATATTTCACTTGGTAGATGGCTAATGACTATTATCTCCTGAAGGATAGTGTGCCTGCTGCGCTCACCAAGGACAAGAAGCGTCTGCGTGGGGAAGAGGTTGCAGTGCATCTTGCGTGGCAGTCAACCTTGTATGTCACCAATTTCCCGGAGAAGGCGGACGATGCCTTCGTCAGGGATCTCTTCTCCAAGGTAGGGTTGGACATAAAGTTCGGATACAATACTAACTCAAACACAGTATGGTACCATATTCGATGTCCGATGGCCCAGCAAGAAGTTCAAGAGCACAAGACGTTTCTGTTATGTTCAATACACTGCCCCAGTCTGTGATCGCATGTCTGTTACTACAATTGGTACTGACGTAGCGACACAGTCGGCAGCTCAGGCAGCATTGGAGTTGCACAGACATGAGCTTGAACCCGGGCTACTCTTGACAGTACTCATCTCTAACCCAGAGCGGAAGAAGGAACGCACAGACAGCGATGCAAACGACAAGGAGATTTATGTCGCTGGTCTTAGCAGATTCGCCACCAAGGAAGATCTTGATAATTTATTTAAGACTGTATGTCCCTCATGCTTGTCCACGACGCATGTCGCCTCTTTTCATTCTCACAAACGTCGTTTGGCAGTACGGAGCAGTGAAGGAAATACGCATGGCTCTAACTGAAGACGGGCACTCGAAGGGCTTTGCGTTCATTGAGTTTGAGCAAGAGGCGCGTTATCATCCGTGTATATCGAGCTCTTCGCTGACCTTTCGTTGTGTGTTCAGAAAGACGCTTTGGCAGCGTTGAGCGCAAACAATCACGAGTTGAAGAAGCGGCGCATGGCTGTTACCCTTGCAGACACCCGTTTTCGCACAAAGCAACGGTGGACAACCATATTTTTCTTTCCTGATAGCTTTCTGATCTTGAACCGTAGCGATGCTGGCCATGGAGCCGATGTCCGCAATCGTTCGTTGCGTATCCGCAATCTGCCTGCGGGTGCTCAGGAAGGGCTGCTGCAACAAGCACTTGAGAAGCATGCTCCGATCAAGAGGGTGGAAGTTTTCACGGACAGAAATGAGGCTGACGTCGAGCTCAAAAATGCCGCGGTATGCTAATTGCAAATGTTGTATTTTATTTGACGAACTGAAACGCTGAACAGGACGCGGGCAAGCTTCTTCTACTTCCTGAACCTATCGTGTTCGATGGTAATGCTTTGGAGCTACTCCCGGAAGACGCCGGTGGTCCGTCTGGCTCTCGTCCAGTAGGGCCTCTTGCAACAGGTGGTGCAATATTTATTCCGCGAACTGCGGTCTCGAGACCAAGAGCAGGGTTGGGCAGCAAAAAACGCACGGGTACTATTACTGCACGAAGTAATGCTACGCCGTCGTCCTCCCAGCCTTCCGAGCCGTCGCAAGGTAAGGGGCAGGATGATTTCAGGAAAATGCTTAGTGGTGGGAAGTGATGATGACTACCGATCTGAGCGATAAACATGACAGCCGTGTGATGTATCTACTGTATGACTTTGCGGTGCAATTTATCGCTGTTTGTGTTACGTTTCCCTCTGAGCAGCCGAATGTTGAGTCTTCAAGCTTCAAGCTTCGAGGATCAATCGCTTTGTTTTTACAGCGGAAGGGTCCCAATCATTTAAGTAGCACGTGGAGAGCGGCGATCGAGCAAAAGGAGAGCCTGTGAACTTGCTGTGAACGCACACAAAGTTTATTGTCAAAAACCATCGCTAAACTGGTCTGGTTGAAGGCCAACGTCAGCATCGACTTCATGGAGTCTCTGTCGCCAGAATATCAGGAGAGCACTACCGTCAAGTTCGAATGGGTTGTCCGCAATCTCAAGAATCTATTTGAGTCTAGGTTGGTACAGATCTACTGGAATACGCTTCACAGAATGAAGGGCAGCCCCTCACCAATGACACAGTAAGGGTGAACAGAAGTCCAAAGTCACCAAGTCGGTCAGGTTTGGTGGTGGACGCTGGCAGGTACGTGAGAACGTTGTATTTTCAACAGAGAGTTGTAGCTCAATGATACGAATAGATATTATTCTACGCCAATTCTGGAAGCGCAAACACCGAGGGACAAACATTCGTTAGCCTATACCTTTCCTGTGAAGTCAGCGAGCGGCTTCGAGTACACCGAATTTCAAACTCATTGTCTATCAATTTTGCAGCCCACGGCGGAGGAAAAAGATAATGCGGTGAATGGAAAGTATGTATTGGTTGCGTGTTTCTCTTTCGACTCATACGCGACTCATGTGGTTACCAGATGGTTCCGAGAAGGCGTATTCAAGTTTGGGTTTGAGCTCCGGAAGTAAGAATTTTCTTCATTAGCGTGAGCTCACTGTGAATATCCTTCATGACAGCCTCCAGAAGAACGTCTTATTCAACTTCAAAGAGGCACATGACCACTCATTTTCCTACAAGGTAGGCTTTTACCCGTACATGGAGAAAGTCTGCATCCCTGATTATAACGCCACTTTTAGACACAAAATTGGGGCTGGGCCCAGTTTGCACGGAGAGACTTGGTTTACTACCAGCCCAACGCAGTAAGGACGCAGGATGCGTTCCTCATAGTTTGCACTATCTCCTCTTCTCCCTCTCCGCCTATTCAGCCTCCCGCAATTCCTCGTCATCCTGTGCCCAGGGATCTGCTGAATGCTATCGGCAGTCTTCTTGACGAGTGCGCTCGACATGTAATAGAGATGATAATTACTGACGTTGTCCTTCAGCCCCGTATACTCCGATGTGGAGTTCGTTTTGCCTAGACGGGGTAAAAGCGGAAGGGGCCCCAGGCGGATATACGCCGCGCGAAGGTTGCTCCGTCGCGTAGATTATTTTGATGCCAGTAAGCTGTGAATACATTCAACTAATTGACTATGGCACTCAAGACATGGCAGTGTTCCACTCTGGATTCGCCGAAGCATCGTCAGACGGGCCGGCGTTTGACTTTGAAAGCGCATCGCTGGATAGTGATCCTGCTGATGACGGCGCAGATACGTCGTCGCTGACGCGCCAATTCGAGGATTCGGATGACGAAGACGACGACGAAGTTCTCGACAATGACCAAGATCAAGACCACGACATCGAAGTCGTCAATCGAGACCCTCCACCGGATGCAGCTCCGGAGGGGGTTCATGAAAACGTGCAGAGTAATTCTTCTGACGTATTTGAGTCATGGCAAGGTATCGGGGATGAACACAGTTCTCAGCAAGGTACAGCTGAATCGGATGAGCAGCCACACCGCAATGTGCGCGCCAAGCTGTCTCACCCATCAAGTCCTAGAACCAGGGAGTTGGCACTGGAGCAGCAAGAGGTGAACGTGCCTCCTGCACCTAATCCACCAGCTGATGCGAACCCATCGAGCACTGTACCCGGCCCACGGAAGACACGGGTTGTTGTGCGAGATGTTGCCTACGCCACATACCGTGCAGTTCTGTACTACGTTGAGCATTTTCCCAGTGTCTCTCCATTTCGATTACTTACCCACTTTCCCATAGATCTATACTGACACTATCATCTTCGCACCTCTCTCCTCCTCTTTTGTGGCATCCTCCAGCTCAGCAGCCAAGCCTAGTGTCGCAGGGCCATCTACCCCCGGCTTAGTCGCCTCAGAAAGCCAATCTACAGCAATGGGCATGCGCTCCGCGCACCAGCAGGCGGATAGCTCCTTCGTGTCCCCGTCGACACTGAGTCCAACCTCGCGCAGAGAGTGGATTGCTGCGTGGGAGAGGAACAATTCTCCTGGCCGGCCCCTGCCTTGCTCTGCAAAAGCGGTCTACAGGTTGGCGGACAGTGAGATCCTCATTATTTCTTCAGTCCTTCCCATGCAAGACTGATTCCTTGGTGTCCATGCAGAGCTGGACCTCCAAGAGCTGAGGGAGCGCGCATTCCAGCACATCGTGAAGTCGTTATCGGTCGATAATGTGGCGTACGAGGTGTTCTCCACGTTCTCTGCAGCATTTGAAGACGTCCGCAAGGTATGTCGCCTGTTTTGAAGACCGTGTTATTCGACTTTTGAGTGTGCTGAATGCATTGTCGTCCGGGGATATAGGTGCAGGTGCACTTCTTCCTGGACCACTGGACCGATATCCGCGGCTCGGACTCGATGCGCAACGTCTGGCAACAGATCCGGCTCGGCAGGCACCCAGGCTTCGAAGAAGGTTCGCCTCAATATAATCTCTACCTCCTCTTGTTTACCTGTTGTAATTGCAGTTTGGCCTGTCATTGCACTTAATTTGGAGTTCAAAGCGCGCTCCACGGAGTCACCGAGTGCAGACGGGAAGGATGGGACCGCTGGAGAAACCTGATCGATTGAGAGGCTATGCCATTTGTTAGTGATTATACCTGTATTTTGATGCTCTCAATAAATGCTGGTCGTAAGAGTATGGTGCTGTTGTCCCGTTCACGACAGTGGTGTCTTGGAACAAACAACAACATCAATTCTCCCGCAAATCTAGCAAGAGAGGACCATACGACATAGAAATACACCCAGATAATACCCAGCGACCACAGCGGAAAATCCATCGCGAAGAATAATCTGAATAGAGCGATCCTAGTCGACGCTGGTGAGACTGCCCCGCGACGTCACCTCGCTGATCTCCGTGGTTCCGGTGACGTCGGTGCCGGCGACGCTAGTCCCATCGCTGCTATGCTCATCCTCTGTGTCCGCCACCGTAATCTCTGCTGCCCGGGCGCTTTCGAACAGACCGATGTCACCACGCCCAAAAGACGAGGCCCGCGGACTGATGCCGATACCTTGGTGCAGTGGAAACGGTAAACGTCAACGTTAAGTGCGCGCTCAGCTCAGGATTGTCGCGGGGAATCACCGTTCATGTACGTCCTCAGTGGACGGCTCGGTGTCGGCGTGGATGCGCGCGGTGACACGGTTGACAGGGTGTTGGAGCGAGAGGAGGCTGCGCGCACGAGAGTAGGAGAGGCAGGCGCAGATACGGGCGCTGGCACAGGGAGCGATGGGCGCGCTGTTCCTGGCGCATCACTCTCCTGCTCATGAGACGTCTGAGCATGAGGTGTTTGGAAACCTTCAGGTGCGCCATTGTATGCGTGATCATAGTCATGGTCGTGTGTATGGTCGTGATCGTGATCGTGGTCGTGGTCGTGGTCGTGGTCGTGGTCGTGGTCGTGGTCGTGGTCGTGGTCGTGGTCGTGGTCGTGGTCGTGGTCGTGGTCACGGCCGCGTTCGTGGGCATATCCCGGATATGTGCCATACTCAGGCTGCGCGTCATAGCCGTGCGTCCGCGCGTAGACCTCCCGCATCCACTCCTCGTGCTCCCACCGCAGCTGTTCTTCTGTGGGTTCCAGGTTCTCCGCCTCCCCGGGGAGATCGGCAGGTACGAACAGCTGCTGTTCCTCGTACTCATTAGAGTCGGGATCCTGAACGAGTTCAGGAGGTATTGAGCCCGGTTCTCTGTCTGCAGGCAGTGGGGGTATACGGTGCAGGAGGCCGAATCTATGAAAAGGTTAGTTGAATCCACGGGAGTCATGCAGATGGGCCGACCCAAATACGCAGCCCAATAGTCCTTCTCCGCCCCACTGACGGTTTGGCACGAGCACCACTTCTCTGATGGTACTGGGTGTCTAAGTTAGTGGGGAATGACAGGATATGCTGGTCATATGAAACGTACTCAAAGTCATATGAATATACGTACACCCTCAGCGGCTTCTCGATGTGCTAGGATTTCTGACGGTCCCAAATTTGCTCAAAACACAATGAATAACGCGTACGCACCGCTTCCACGACATCGTAAAAGTCACCCTCGGCACTCAGCACACCGCCAGACCAGCCGATAATCCAGTCGCCGTAAGGCACAAGTCCAGCGCTCTCCGCCGGACTTCCTTCCAACACATCGAGAACATGCCATACGTTGTCCAGTGCAAACTCGGGCTCGCACATGCGCATGCTTAGACCGAGCAGGGAGGGCTTGCGCTCTGCCTCCGGTTCCTGGGGGTCAGGAATCTTGGGCTGCGGAAGGGACCAGTCTCTGGAGGGAGTAATTGGCACCACTACAGACTAAGTTTGCCAAACTGCTTGTACGATAGCACACTACGCGCACCTCGGGTCTGTTGGCTCTTGCTATTCCAAACGAGTAAGTCTAAGGTGCGACCTTCATGGCTCTCGACAATGCGCTCGAGCTCAGCGGCGTCGATGGACTTGCTGGAGGAAAATGAATCTCCTCTGAAGCCTACAACGAAGTCAAAAAAGGGCTCGATAGACGTCTGTGAGGCGGGGGACGACGGGGTAACGCGTAGGACGTGGAGGGCGCGTGGAGGAGCTTGCGAAGCGGTAGACTGCCCAGCACCCATCCTGAAAATGTCTCCTACAGGTCACTTTCTCCGTGTCGACGCGAGCCGCTTTTCTTAAACACTCCCGAGCAGCAGAGACGGGGAAACTGTGCAAAGTGCAGGAAGGACCGTGTCGCGGACTGCAAGTTCGTGCAGCGTTTACAACTCAGCAGTGGGACATAACTCACTCCGCAATCGGGCTAGGTGTCACGTCTGTGACATACATATCCTTGGAGTAGGTATTTATGTCACGTGTTACCCCACCGGCGTGACCCTCCTTCTTGCCGACAGCGTCAGCGCGGTCCCCTCAAAAAAGTTTGCCAGGTCTCCCGGCGTGCTGGGTCGTGAATCGGATCCTTTTCGCGCCGTCATCCATTCAGACTCCCCGACGACGTGCGGAATGCGGTGAGTTTCAACGTCTCCGGTGCGTGTTCGACACCAGTACACCCCGCCGAAACCCGACGAAGGTCCTGACTCCGTATGCGCTCGCAGTTGACTTTATGTTCATTTGTCGGCACTTACTGCTCCGAGCATATGTACCTCGACGTCTCCCCGCACCTCTTGTTATCCGACGACTCCTGTCAGACTCCTTTCGCGCCCCAGACATACCACAAAATGCGCCCGTCGCTCCACAGACACAAACACAGACGCAGACACAGTTGGCGGACATCTTGGGTCCGGACGACGTTGATGAGGAAACCACACAGCTCTCTGAGAGGAGTGCCCAAGGTGCTGATGGAAGGGAACCGGCAGCGGCGAGACGCCCTGCGCACTTGGGCGGAGGTACATCTACTACCATGCAGACGGAAGCCACGCCACCAGACGAGCAAGACGAGGGTTGGGCAGAGGACACGTATCATATCCGTTCAAAGGATGAGATACTGCAGGACTACTACGCCTCTCGCAACACCGACCGTTCTCCGGTCGCGTCGCGGGACCTTCTCGAGTTCCGCAGATTGCTCTACGTGGCGCGGAACCGGGATCTCAGACACGTCACTCACATGCTCGTCACTGACTTGCGAGGCTCTCTTCTTGAGCCGAGGATGTTTGCCGGGTTCGTCGAAAGCTTACTCTATGCGCTCGTCAAGCACCAGAGGATCGTCACAAAACGTGACGTCCTTTCTCTGTTCCAGGAACTCGAAGCCCGTGGTGGGCTCCATTTATTTCGTGCGCGGCGCAAGCTCCAGATTATCAAGGCAATAATGGGCATGCCACCGGAACCTGAGTTCGACCTGCCGCTCCGCGACTACATGGTTACTCTGCTTGTGGACATGCTCGTGAATCCCAACGAGGAAATACCTGCAGATAAGCGTGCGATGTCGTTTCGGGCACTCTGGCCTCTGTACCGTTTTGTATATGGCTTAGCCAAGATGGGCGAGCGAGAGCGTGCGCATAAGCTCATCCAGACATTGGTGAAGACGGAGAACCTGTCCGGCGAGGCTATCAACAACACAGACCTGGAATCAGGAGACTTCACGTATATTATTCTCTCCGCGACCGTGCGTTCTTGTCTGCTGTGGGGTTGGCGCAGGCGTGCTTCGTGGCTTGTGGTAAACTCCATGCCTACCGAAGAGAAAATCAGTCCTCCGATGGCTGAACTCGCTATCGATCTTCTTTCATGTCTGCTGGAGCCTGCGCAAGCGTGCGACATCGACACCGCTGCCTCGATCGTTATGCAACTTATGGAGCGCGGCACTGCAGGTTGTGTTCCCCACGATATCTTGCAGGAGTTCTACAACGCTGCGCAGGAGCTCGAAAGGCCGGAACTTGTTCAGTCTGTCTACAGTCTATCGCGTAATCGAGCGATTCGAGAGAAGTATTCGTATCCTCCACCTGGGATAAAACTGCAGCTATGGTTCATGCAGCATCTCGCTACGAAGAGCATGAACTCACATCTGGCGCGCGAATTCGCGACGCAGATTGTGGAAGAGGGCATCCCCGTGCACTTGCAGGACCGTGGCGCCTTTATTGCTCTCGTCGCGTCGCAGGGGCTGGCGACGCATGCCCGTACGTTGTGGGACCGTTACTCACAAGGCGAGGATGGGGAATTCGTTGTCGGCAATGCGACAACGATGGTGCGCATGGTCAGTCTTTTTACTAGCTTAGCCAAGCGTAGGGAGCAGCTGCAGGCCAAGACTGCTTCGCTGGAGTCACGGTCACCCGAGTCTGATGCGGACGCAGCTGAACTGTTGCACTCGGAAGCATTACCGGGAGCAGATCCACCCAGACATAGTAACGACGCTCTTTCCCAGCCTCCGCTCCCTCGGGTGGACATCCCAATGGCATCAGCATCGGTAACATCTGAATTGACAGGAGATACTGTCTCCGAGATTGCAGATGCTGTTGCCGCACTCACGCATGCGTCCATGGATGGTGCACCTGGAGAAGCTGCACCGGCGGAAACTTCACGGACATCGGCTGGCCCTGCGCAATCGCACGATCGCGCACGCGACACTGCACCCCACGTCACTCTGCCCCGGGAAGAGCTGGAACCTCCTGAAGAAGAGGCCACCACCATAAACACCGAGTCCACTCCAGAGGAGCTCCGAGCATATGCCGAGCGTGTGCTCTCAGCGTTCCGCGCCAGCCGGCTGCTCAACGCGGCGAGCCATCAGGACCTCAATGCGACCGCGCGCGCGTGCTTCATGCTGAAGCAGATGTCCGAAGGCTTCTCCGCATTCCGGATGTTGCTGAACCGGCGGGAGGTGCCCGACGTGCACGATGTAAACGTCGTGCTCGGCGTGCTGGCAGAGTACAGCCCGCAAGCGGGCGAGCGGATCATCGAGCGGATGCTGCAGAAGGGCATGAAGCCCGACGGGGTGACGTTCGGGACGGTCATCCACCATGCAGTGTTGCACGGGCAGATGGAGGTCGTGTCATCGCTCATTCGGCGGGCGCGCTCGCTTAATGCCGAGCATCTGACGTTCAAGACGGTGGGGACACTGATCCGGGCAATGGTCTCTCAGCAGGCGGAGGAAGGCGAGGTGTCGCCGATCGGGCGGCTGCACCACGCTCAGCGGCTGGTGGACATGCTGCTGCAGGCGCACCAGGTGCCATCGTCGAACATGGGGCGCGACTGCGTCGTCGCGGCGCTGCGGGCGGACGACCCGCGCATGGCGTTCCGGTTCTGGAAGCTGTTGGTGAAGGAGCAGGTGCAGTGGGACGACCCGATGCAGACGGCGACGCGGCGAGTGATAGCTGCGCGGGTGCGGCGACACTTGAACAGCGGGTGGTTGGAGCCGGAGCAGGGGCACGTTATGCTGTCGGAGCTGGGCCAAGAGGTGAAGCGTCAATACCGCCAGATGTCTGCGTCTGTGGCGCTTCCTGCGCAGGAGGACTCGGAGAAGCCCAGTTGACTATCGATGGGGATTTGATTGCATTGTTGCTCAGGTAGCTCGTGCGCGAACTGGCGGGTCACGCGCGAAGCGACCAGGGAGCCGGAGTGTCTGTCTGTCGAATGACGGCCAGACACTTGGCGCACAGATAGGGCAAGGTACTGGAGAGGGCTGCGATTATCAGGGTGGGTCACACATCACTGGCAAGTGTGGGGATGCTGATATGACGATGGCGACGGAAGTAATAAAACATGGAGGGTCGGGGGATGGTGCTGGTGGCCACGGTAGAGTACACTCGGAGGTAATAGATTTAGTGGGCTGGGAGATAATGTTGCAAGATATATTTACGGGGAGAATGGCAGTGCTGTCGGACTGGTTCTAAAGGCAGCGAGGAGGAGGACATGGTCAGGATGCAGTAGACTAGGTGAGGCTCGTGACCGCGTGCCAAAGCGCCCGCCAAACAGGCTGAAACAAGCGCGCTCTTAATGAGGTGACTTGCCACCGCTCCGGCCCTCTTGCCGCTTGCCCACCGTCTCGTTTCACTGGATCTTTCTGCTCGTCGTCGTCGTCGTCGTCGACGTCCGCGATGCCTTTCCCCCGCCCGACAAAATCCTCTTCGTCGCCGACGCCGCCCTCTGGGCCCTCGGACGACGGCGGCCTGAAGGACCATCCCGAAATTAACAAGGTCAAGAGAAAGTGAGTCTTTTCCCGACATTTCCCCGTCCGCCTTCAACGCTTTCGTGCACGATCACCTCCCCGCGTTCCCCCCGTATCCGAGCCTACCCCGCATTTCAGCTCCTCTCTTTCTTCCGGTCCCTCACCACGCCCCATGTCGTATATTCCCTTTCCCTTCTCCATCCAACACTGACAGTCTCTTTCTTCCCTACAGGCGGCAATCTCAGAGTATGTCGACTCCCATTTTCCCGCTTTTTATCCTCATTTTCCCTCAGGTTGCGATGCATGTCGTGCTCGCAAGGTAAGGTGTGCTCGCGAGAACCCGGATGACCCAAAGCAGTTCTGTAAGCATTGTATCGCGCTCGGAATACCGTGCACGTACGATTATCAGCCGAAAAAGAGAGGGCCTCCCAACTTGTGAGTCGATCATCTCGCTTTCTTCCTCTTGCAATGCTCACAGTCCCGAAGGTATCTTCGACGCCTTCAGGAGGCCGCAGCTGCCGCCGCAGCCCAACAGGACAATCAGAATGGCCTCGATATCTCCCATTTACCCGACGCAACAAGTCCGACTCAGTCGATCCTTTCCACCACCTCGCAAGCCACCATGCCGTCCTTCCTGGAGCCCTCTCTTAGCCCAGTGCCATCCATGCACACAACCACCCTCCCGCCCTCGCGATATCCTATCACAGCCGACGGCTTTCACTCATCCTTCTCCCCCATACCCTCAATTGGCTCTTCCTCATACGGCCCATCATCCGCTGGCTTATCGGGTAGACCACCTTCTGGTGACGACTCGCAGCCATTTGCATCCCCAACCGATCAATTCAGCACGTATCCTCTGCATAACTGGTCATTCAAGCAGCACCAGGCACTCTCTATACTTCCGCCTACAGCGATGCCTCCTCTCTCGTACTACTACCGACCGCATCGCCTCGAAGACGTCGCACCCCGTGACACGCTCCTCCTCATTATCGCGCTTTTCTTTGATTTTGTGTACCCGCTGACGCCCTGCGTGCACAAGCCGTCGTTCATGGCGGACGTGCACGGTCACAGAGAGGAGCGCGACCCTCTGTTCTTTGCACTTGTCATGTCTACCGTGGCCTCGACGCTGGTGCAAGTGCCGCGATCGTACGTCCCCATGGAGCGCCATGCCGTGCGCAAGCTCGCGCAAACGTGTCACGAGGCGAGCCGCCATATCTCCGTTGCATCATACGATCCGCCAACGTGCATGCATGTCGTTATTCGTTATTTGTGCGTGCTGCGTTCACCGAACGCCACATCTTCTCGACTCACATCCGCGAATTTCCACAATTTGTTTTAACAGCGATTGTATATACCACTTCTGCGAAGGCCACGATGCGACGCAACACGCAGCGTTCGGCGAAGCGGCACACATTGCCATCACGCTGCGCATGCACGAAGAGTCCTCCTATGAGGGCCTTGATCTAATTGAATGCGAGACGCGCCGGAGGACATTTTGGCTACTCTTTGGAGGTAAGCCGCAACTTTAGTGATGTGATCGCGATGCGAGCAACTGGATTGCAGCGGATAAATCCATGTCCATTCTCCTTGGGCGCCCGATTTCTCTTCGGGATGAGGACACCACGTGCAACTTCCCCCGAGAACTTGACGACGAGTAGTAAGTTCTGCATTGTCTCCACGAACCTCGGGAATCTGAAATGCCATCGCCAGCATCACGCCAAGTGCATACCTTCCCCAGCCCCATGGCAAGACCGCTATCGTCTCAGGGCTCAATTACAGCTCCCGTATCTTTGCGCTCCTGGGAGAGATCCTTGTGCGCATCCGCGTAGACAAACGCTCGCCGCCCCAGGGGCAGTTCCTCACGGCGCGTCTCGATGAGGTGCAGGCGCTGCATGCACGCATCGTATCCGCGCTCTCACACGCGCCCGAGCCGCTCCGGCTGAAGCAGGCGCACCCGCAGTCCAACATACCCCCTGAATATGGCAGTGCGGGGTTCCGGCAGACGACGTTCGCGGAGGTCAAGGACTTTTTCGACAACCCCAATGCGTCGCGCGCGAACGCACTCAACCCGTTCTTGGTGATGCAGGCGAATGTGTACGTCACGCAGGTTGGTAGTTGCTGAGTGATGCTACTATCGGCCGAGTTACTAACGTCTACCCGTGCCCTTCCCATTATTTCCGACTGCGTCTCTAGCAACTGGTCCGATTTGTGATAGAGCAGTACCGCGACGAGCTGATCACTTCGCTCCAAGGGAGCATCGATGAGCAATGTGTTGCTCAGGACAGGGAAGCCGTAGCAAGTGACCTCCTCAATATCCTACACAGGTGTGTGGTCCCCTTTCTCTCTGCCGGTCTGCCTGCCGAGGTGGGTGACAGGCAGGCAGATTCGGTGTCTGTACTCGGTGGCTATATCTGAGTACTCACGCTTCCCGAATACCTGCAGCATACCTATCCAGTCCATCGCAACGAACGGACCCTCACTGGTGAGCACATGCACCCTGCGATGCTCGGTTGAAAGATGCTGACAGGCCAACGTGGTATCTGCGGGACCATTATGCTATTTTATCGTACGACTGCAGGTACACAAAGTGCGCTTCGTCGCGTCGACGCTCCTCGATGCTGTGCGCAAGGCGGAGACCGCACCGGCGTCCGCTGCGCGTGCGCACGCCTACTTGTGTAAGTGTCCCACCGTCCCTTCTTCATTCAGTTGCGTGCCCTTTCCATCGTCGCTGCGGTTGCTTTTGCGTTTCTGAGTCTACTCGAGCGTGCTCGCTGACGTACGTCTCGGTGCTTTTAGGGGACTTTTTGTCGATTCTATCAGAGATCGAGCGCAACTATTTGTGAGTGACGCGTGTTGGGGTTTCTTCGGCGGTTTACTCACTGGCCGCTCCCCTCCTCTTCCTCGCTATGTGTCGTGTCGATGCGACCTGGACTGGAATTGCCTTGCCTGGCGAGGATGCAGATTGGACGACGAGAGAGACGTGGCATCATCCAGCGCGGACGGCATGCCACTCATGGGTGCAAGTTGACCCGTGCGTCTCGTCGCACACGGCTTTCGTGGCGTACGGCGCTCACATACCGTCACTTTCTGTCCTTCCCTCCGCCTTTGTATTGTAATGGAACCCGGGACTGGCTGCGCTCACCTATCGATATTTCTATATTCGTATCTGCTGCTCTTACCCTCCCCACGCTGCGCGGGCTGTTACCCTCACCTACACTATTTCTGTATTCTTACTGGATAGTTACTGTCCTACTGTTGTGTGCCACGGGGTTGGCGATAGGTGTCCATTGCGCGTTAGTTGTATTGTACACATATTTTACCCGCTGCTATCGAGTTCGTGTTGTTATGGTCTCTCCTCGCCAATCCTTCTGTGGTGCGGCAAACCGCGAGTTTCCGGATATGGAAGGAGCAGTAAGAACACAACGGTTCTGTGGCCCTCGCCAAACCGCTGCCACTCTTTCCATCTTATTGTGAGGTTGATCACTACTACTCACTCGGCTGTTAGGCCATGGGTCACAAGCGCATGAGGGGCTCATGCGGTTGGGGCCATATATTTATACTACACAGTAATTCTAGGAGATTCCAGTATGTTCTCCGACATACCTATGTGCTGACTAATATATGTTTCCTGATTGGGAAACCACCAGCCCTAACACATCTTCCTCGACACACACACTTTGTCCAGAGCGAAATCTCATAAATACATGGCTACGAATGACTCGAGCGCGAAGACCGAGCCCCTCCAGATAACTGAAGGTCAGTCGCATGTCGGCGTATGCAGAGACCACACAGAGAGACTGCACCAAGGCGGGTAGTCTCCCAGTGGAGGTTATGGCCACGCGAATGCTCGAAACCCTAGTTGGTGGATTGAATAACTGACTGACGCGCAGATGAGGCGGCGGTGTACGACAGGCAGATCCGGCTCTGGGGACTCGAGGCACAGCAGAGGTCAGCGCAGCCCAACTCGGACATGCGCGCCGACCAACACTCACGATGACTTCCTTACGCGTTTTTGGCGCATTCCTGGACATACTGTGTGCGTGAAACTACTTCCTGCCTGCGCTGTGTGGTGCGGACGCGACTGCACAGAATGCGCAACGCGACGATCCTCGTCGTGCGCCTGCGCGGCGTCGCGACGGAGGCGATCAAGAACATTGTTCTAGCAGGCATCGGCCGACTTGTCGTAGTCGACGGCGACCCCGTCACCCCGGCGGACCTCGGCGCTGGCTTCTTCTTCCGCGACGAGGACGTCGGCGCGAGGGTGCGTGCTTCCCCTTCCAGTTCAGTTATTTCTTTGCGTCGTGCCGAGTGGATATGGCCGAGCTGCGGGGCTGGACACTGGGGCCGGAATCTGGAATGGAGGAAGGTGGACAATTGGTGTATGGAAGAGCTGAAGACGGGTCAGCGGTTAGAAGCACCGCGCTCGCATCCTATAATCGTGACAACTTTGCCTGGGCAATCTCCTTGATAGGCCACAGAGCGGATACGCATCACGCCTGGCGCTCGTCTCCTTCCAACCCCAGTTCCATCCCCACGGTGGATTGAATATGAGGATTTGATGGAAGCGTGTACGTACACTGGTGTTCTCCAGCATGCCAGAACAGAGAATCGCCGGCATGCCGGCAGATCATCATAAATCGTATACTAATGCAACTCCCACTATACTACTCTTTTGTTATTTGTCGTCTATTCGTCGTAGTGTTGGGACTGACTCAATGAATTTTAACAGAAAGCGGAAGCGGCGAAGACACGCATCGAAAGTCTTAATCCACTGGTAACAGTTGATGCGGTATCATCGAAGGCTCCCCTCGATGGCGACGCACTGGAAGCACTTGTCAACGATGTCGACCTGGTCTGCGTGACCGATAGCGACCGTGCCACGTTAGTGCGTCTACCACACTGGCTTTGCGATCCGGTAGCTCACCTCCTGCAGATCCGCGTGAATGACGCATGTCGGCGTGCGGGGAAGCCCTTCTACGCTGGCGGGACATACGGCCTGCTTGGCTACATCTTCTGTGACCTGCTGACACACGACTACATCGCACCGTACGCCCTCTTCTTCCACGATATATGTTTCCACTGACTAGCGCATGCGAGCTAGAGACCGTACTGCACCCAAAGACACAGCGAAGAATATACGGAATACAACAAAGTATTGCCCCCTCAGCACAGCACTACAGCACCGCTGGACGGGCATGACGCGCAAGCAGACGAAGGAGCTGAACCCCGCTGCTGTTTTCTCTATGCTAGGTGAGTCGGCGGCTAATGCGGACGCCGCCTCTGGCTGATGCTCGTGCAGCACTATGGGAATACCAGGCAACTCATGGGGGGGTGCTCCCCGACAGTCAGAGCGAGGCGGTACCTCTGGAGAGCGTTGCGAACGCACTTTTGACCAAGGCAGATGTGAACAAGCAGACGCTGCCCAGTATACCTCGGGCAACAATCGAGTGCGTACCTACTACCTTCGGCCGCTCTTCACATTCGATCGGCATCTGGATCTGTGTCTCACTCCGATCGCGCAAACAGGTCAGTAGCAACGACGGCAGCACACGAGCTCTCTCCAGTGTGCGCCGTTGTAGGCGGGATGCTGGCGCAAGATATACTCAAAGCACTCGCAGCTCGCGAGTCGCCGATTGTCAACTTCTTTGTGTTTGATGGCAGCCTGGGCAGCGGCACGGTCTGTCGGCTGGGCATCGCATAGGTCCTAGCCTGTAAGATGTAATTCACCCACCCACTATCGCTGGTCCTCGGTTGTGGAAGTACCATGCTCTATACAATCTGTCAGGTGGGCATTGTTATGTGTTATCGGCAAGAAGTCGCCCTAAAAATGATAGGGATGCCGCCGCAATTTGCAATTGTTCGAGTGCTCGAACTCAGCTAGGTTCGGAAGTTGTGTGGTTTGCCATCAACGTTCACCATGTCACGGCGATACCGCTGTGGATACTACACAGATACCACCGAGAACGCCCTTTCAATACAATTCCTGTCCAGCTTCTACGGACGTACGTATTCGCGGCGGTCCGGGGTCAGGGCTTTCGTGAATGAATGAGTGAGTGAATGCTCGTTGCCTATCATGTCTGGGAAGATGTGAGATGCGGCTTCGAATTGGCCCGTCCGGTGACGGACTTGACATCACATCTCGCACTCGCCATAGCACGTTATAGCGATCTCTACAGTAGGTAGGGCAGAGATATCGTTTGCATATCGCGGACGTAAACAAAGTTCGATATACGAGTGGGGAAACGAGCTCGTCGAGCGTCTCAGAGTGAAGTAAGGCTTTATTCGAGCTTTGCAGTCATACTGCGAGAGGCGGGAACCGTTCACGGTTCAACAAAAGCTCAGCTCCAAAGTTGATCCTCATCCAGCGGCCTGAATTCCCTCCAACAACCGGTAGAAGTCCCCAACGAGGTACAAACTTCCGGCGACGACGATGAGCCCTCCCTCGCGCTGCTGCCGCTGCGCGGCCCAGGTCAGCGCCTCGGAGAGCTGAGCCTGGGGCATCGCGCGCGCGTCGGGCTCGTACACCTCTGCTTGCGGTGCGAGCTCGTTCACCGTAGCGCGCAGCTCGGCAAACGGTTCAGGATGCACCCAGGGCATCTTTTCCGGCGGCGAGAACGGCAGAAGGGCGACCGCGAGGCGGGGAATTGAGAGCCCGAGTAGCGGTGCGAGCGTCTCGTGGGGCCTCTTTGGCGGAGAGTGAGAGAGCGCGAGAAGAAATGTAATGGCAGGCGCAGGCGTGCGGGCAAGGTGCGGCGAGAGATATGCAGCGAGCGTGTGCGCGGAAGCGGGGTTGTGTGCGCCGTCGGCGAGAACGAGGCAGGAAAGCCCTGAGGGAGGCGCGAGCGTCACCTTGCGGAAGGAGAGTCTGCCTGTCCAAGTTGTGTTGCGAATGCCCTGTGCGATGCTAGCTGGAGTTATGTGAAGGTGCTCACGCAGGCACGTACTTGAGGGATGCGTAAGTAGCGCGGAGACTACCCCAAGCGCGGTGCTGAGGTTCGCGAGCTGGTGCGCGCCGTGCAGGGGTAGAAGTGCCCGAAGGGGTTCTGCGAAGCACGACAGATGCGCTTCGATAGGCTGTGGGACTGGCGGCACGAATTCTCCAGTCGCGGCGGGGTATGGTCCGTCAATACTCTCGTCCCACCCTCGCAATTCGACTTCCGGAGCAATCAGGACATCGCCTCCGATGCGTTCCACTACCTCGCGCATGACGGGCTCGACTTCTGGGTGACTTTGCTGCCCGAGCACGAAAGGCTTTCCCGGACGCGCAATAGACGCCTTCTCGCGCGCGATAGCGGAAATGCTTGTGCCTAGAAAGGCCTGGTGGTCAAGATCCACTGCAGTGAGGGCAGAAGCCAGAATGCAGTCGTCTGGGACGATGTTAGTCGCGTCAAGGCGGCCGCCCATGCCGACTTCGAGGACAACGACATCGGCACGGGCACGCTCAAAGAGGTAAAGTGCAGTACAGGTGAGTAGCTCGAAGTTACTTGCGCCGATGCCGTGTGAGGAATCGACGTTTTCGACGTGATTCCGGGCCTGGTTGTAGGCGGCCGGGGAGACGGGAGCGTCGTTCAAGATGATAGAGTCGCGTATGGTCACGAGGTGGGGGCTGTTGAAGCGGCCGACCGTGAGCGGCACGGAGGATCCTGATGCACGCAAGATAGAGTGCAGGAGGGCAGAGACGCTTCCCTTGCCGTTGGTGCCGGCGATATGACAGGTTGGACGGGTGTAAGGCGGAAGCTGAGCCTGGAGGAGCCGTATGCGATCCAGAGAAAGGTCAATAGCAGGCATCGTGTGCGAACGTCGATAGTTCACGAGAGGTGGTGTGGGTTTACGGCGTAGATGAGAGGCAAGAGATGCCCATGTCTGCATTCACGCGTCGAGGTGTGGCTATCAGATGAGATAAGCTGGAAGCTTAGCTGGATATTCAAAAGAGGTGGAACTAGACAGCGAATATTTGAGAGGAACTATTGGGAGCTATTTCTTGTGAGAAAGACGGAAAGTAATTTCGTCGCACAGAGGATGTGATGCTTACAGAAGTTGTGGCCGAATTGACTATTGTCCCCGGAACCCGAGACTCCCACCCGAGAAGTTCTTCGCGAGGTATAGAGACGACAGGTTAAACGGAATGATTCAGTCTGGGATCAAGTCCGTAAGAGTCCGTCCCATGTGATGTACTGCACCTGGGGAGAGGCTGTGGTACGTGGGTTTTTCTTGTCACCCTGCCGTATTTTTGGAGAGCTGCGGGGTGTTGATCTGTTCTGCCACACGGAGGCTGCAAATCTGTTGGTGAGTTTGAACTTTCAAGCTTTCTTCTGGGAGATCAACGGAGTGAATTGGGTAATTTCCGCCCGGTGTAGTAGGACTTGGAAGACACTATTCCAGGAGAGCTACTGGTCGCGTTCAATACAATCTTCAGACGTTGTGAAGACCTCGACCAATTGCAAAGTCGAAAGCAGAAGTACTAGTCATGCACAGAATTATTGCTGCGCTCTCGATCAACGGCGTGAATGTTGGAGGCAGAATCGTAGACGCGCGGTCACTCGGCCGACTTGACACCAGCTGAGACACACCGATATATATAAAATTGACTCCGAATTCGTTGCAGAAGCTCGTACAGTATATAAGTGTCCAAGGTTGATTCGTCATCTCTCTGCAGAGCTCCTGCGTAGTTCGAAGCCAAAAAAATCTGTCACGTAATTGTTCAGAAAAGGTGCACGACTATGGACCACCTTTCGAAATAGGATCTAGTTGGGCAGTCGGGGGTCAGCAGTTCTACTTATGTCTGCTGGAGAGGTTGGGGGCACCAGCTATGACTCATCCTGAAGTATGATATATGACAGTCGTTCTGACGGCGTCGGATGGCTTGACTGTGAGGAACCGCTCTCATCTACTATAGAAGAAATAAAAATTGAAACACTGAGAGGATTGGAAATGAAAGTACGAGAAACAGTTGATGCTGTGCGTTAATTTCTCGCCGGCACATACTTACTGAAGCTGAAGGCTCTCAGCTGAAGTTCGCTGGTGGTCCTTCCACCAATAACGATATACTATAGTATGTGCACCTTATCTCCGCTCTCATCAAGAGCTGGCTTGTATATCTAGTAGTATTCGAACGTTGGTCACACAAAATCATTCTTGCCTTCTACGGTATATGACGCACCAAAATTGGTAGGTCGCTGTACCAAGGCGTTGACTACGTCATTGTCCTCATTGACATATTAATTCATTTCTGAAAGCAGAAGGATCGGAGAGTCAAAAACACCGCATTTTCAATGCCAGAATAGCTGAGCACGTAGTTAGACTGTCTTTACTGGGAGACCACCAGGGAAGGTCATCAGCTTGAACATTTCGAGGTTTCGAAGTCTTTTCCCCCTTTTCTTCGTCGCGACCGTTGGCCGTCTGCAGCAGTTAGGAGAACACACGACGCGTGCTCAGATACGTCGAGAATAATAGCCCTTTCGGCCTCTCCATTTCACACATCCATGCATACCTATCACCCCTGCCCCGCGATCCTATTATTTTCTGAATGATTTCAGAAACCAGACGTTGTCGACGCCGGGAATATTATCAGGATAGCCGCCTTGCAGGTCAAACCTCCCCAGTTTATTCCCGTCAAATAATACTTCAAGAGGCCTATAGGATGTCGAGCTTAATGACTAGCTCACTAGATCTTCGGTGACTCGTGCGTAAACTGCACAGTTCACGACCGTTCGCTTTCTCACCACTGTATGTTGTGCCACAACCGATATTATAATATGTACTAGTACCCGCCGCGTGGTCCAGCATCCCAGTTACGCCTGCGCTATGACTGTACAATGACGATATCGTCTCCTAGTAGGCCCAGGCGCACAAAAATGAGTAGCAGCGAAACACACTCCACTGTAGTTATGGTGTTCCCATCCGCCCGACCTGAAATCAAGATGGCCATCTCGGAATATATTCGACGTGATCCGCTGTCGATAAATTGAAGAACCGACTCGGAGTGGCACCATCCTTAAGCCTGAGATATAGGCGCATAGAAGAAGTGAGTCGCTCATTCCAAGGAAAACACGGAAAAAAGCTGATGCATGCATGCAAGTTTAGAACTGAAGTTTGCAGCTGCGGATCAATGGGACGGGCGGCTGGCGAACGGCTGTGTGCGGCCATACGCGAGGTCGCTCCCACGTTGTTATCCACATTCACCAGTGCGCAGGGCGCGACGGCTCCCACTGCTCTTTCTTCATGGCCCACTCCCATATTCCCAACCCGTCCTACTCACAGACACAACCGATGCTGCACCCATCGCAGGCGACAAGCTACTCCCAACCAGGAGCGAGCGAGACTACACGTGGTGTCGCGACGGGTAACATTGGCGGGGGTTATGGCCCGTACTCGGTGAGTTCTCACCGATTCTTGTCCGGAGTTGTACTGACCTCGTCTCAGTACAATCCGAACGTATACAATAACCGCTATGCCTCCTCCCGATTCAGTGCTGCTTCTGAGCTCTCAGTAAGCTCGAATGAGGACAAGACACCGAACACTACGTCACATCTCGTCACCTCTGCAACGATGGCAAATGCATCCCACATGTGGGATCTGCGGGACGAGGACCTTGACGATCCGCTGCACAGCCCAGACCCTGTGCGCGACGCCAAAATGGACCGCTCATGCACGCCCTTCTCTGCGCGTGGTTGGCTGAATGTGTCCGCCATTACTGTGGTCATTCTCGGCTTGCTAACACTCTTTGCCGGCTACCCAATCATCACATACTATAAAAACCCTACGCCCGTAACGCCAGGATTCAATCTTGGAGGAATCAATTCGTCGGGGCAAATTCCAGATTTGCCCAACATGCCGAAGTTGATCGATAAGGATACCAACGAGGAGTTTTATACCCGCACAGGGTCAGACGGTACGACGTACAATCTGATGTTCAGTGATGAGTTCGAAACCGCTGGTCGGACATTCTGGCCGGGAGATGACCCATACTGGGAGGCGGTAAACTTCAACTACTGGGCGACGGGTGACCTTGAATGGTACAGTCCAGAGGTATGTATCCATCTGTGTCTTCCGGCACAGTATGTGACACTGCCCGCAGGCGATCACTACGAAGGATGGGAAATTGGTAATCACAATGACGGAGGAGGAGACGCACAATTTAAATTTCCAGAGTGGGATGTTGCAGTCTTGGAACAAGCTATGCTTCACAACCGGCTATATCGAGATGTCTGTCAGTCTGGCTGGAAGTCCCACGGCTCCTGGACTCTGGCCAGGTGAGCTTCCTTCTCACTGTGCTCGTTCCCATTGGTACTAACAGAGGGCTTAGCCGCCTGGACCATGGGTAACCTTGTAAGTCGTAATAACTTAGCTCATTATTATTAGTACTCAGGGCGTATTAGGGCCGTGCTGGTTATGGCGCTACAACTGACGGTGGATGGCCATTCAGCTACGATACCTGCGACGTGGGTACATTCCCCAATCAGACAACTGCTAGTGGATCTCCCGCTGCCGCAGCCACTGGGGGTACGGGAGGCGGACCGATTAGCTACCTGCCAGGACAAAAGCTTTCCGCGTGCACATGTCCGGGTGGGGACCACCCTGGCCCATCGGTCAATGTGGGCCGCGGAGTGCCCGAAGTGGACGTATTCGAGGTCCAGATCGATGTTGCCGATTTTCATGCGCAGGCGTCGCAGAGTATGCAGGTCGCACCGTACAACTACCAGTACCAGTATGACGACTCGGCGACTGCGTCACCCATCAATGACTCGCAGATCACCTCATTCAACACGTACAAGGGTGGCCCCTACCAGCAAGCGGTGTCGGCGCTCACATTCGTCAGCAATTCGAATTACGACAACCAGAGCTACGCGACATATGGTTACGAGTGGTACTCGAACCCAAACGATCGCGGTGCTGGCTACATTCAGTGGTATGCAGGTGGAGCAGAGACTTGGAGGTTGACTCCGCAGACGATCGGCCCGGACAACCAAACACAGATCAGCCAGCGTATCGTCCCTGAGGAGCCTATGGTACGCGGTCGTCTTTTCTGCAACCCTGCTCACCCAGTGTTGACCATGCATGTAGTATATTATCCTCAATCTGGGCATGTCGCGTGAGTAGTCTACTCATGTCAAGTGGAGATACGTTGACGGATTGTTTTCTGCCTGTAGCATCCTTCCAGCAGCAAGACTTCAAGCATATGCAGTTCCCTGCCTCCATGTATATTGACTACGTCCGCGTGTACCAGCGTTCGGACGTGTCCTCCGATGGTCTGACGTGTGACCCTCCCAACTACCCTACTGCGGATTACATTAACAAGTGAGCGCAATCCTAATACCTCGTCAGATACTGACATTATTATCCAATAGCCACCTGAACGCGTATTCAAACCCGAATCTTACCACTTGGGCGCAAGCAGGATACACCTTCCCTAAGAACAAACTCTACAACGGGTGTTGAGGACGCAGGCCATCCTCTCGTCCTCACATATTATCTGCATCCACCATCGCATCTCATCGTCACGCCCATCTACGAAACAATCTATAGCATCTTCGGACTCACTCGCATTCGGATACACTACGCCTCTCCTCCGATAGGATTGGCATACACCCATGGATACTCACCATCATAACCCCGCGTGGCTGCGATTGTACACTCATTCAGTGCATACCCTCTGGATCTCTGGATCAGAGTTGAAAGGTCCCCCTCATACCTACTAAATACCTACGTGCATGCAGTAGTGCTGTTTGGGACACACGTTTCTTTTGTCACATTGCTCTCTACTTATGCTTTCCGCCTAGTACAATGTCATCTCGTCCCTGGCTAACGGACCCTCCAAGTCAGATATGTCCTACAGTCCCCACACGCCACCAAACAAATGAGAGTAAGTTTGAATTTATAGTCGTTTCGTCTCGGAGGGCTATTTGTTCGGGTTAATTATTGCCTATAACCGTGGAAGTTATACCGGGTGGCGGGCCAAAAGTTGCGCCCTCCTGTACACGCTGGCCTCTGAGCATACCGCTGCTGTGTTGAACATACTCAAGGCGGCGTTAGCTCATTTCGGAGTTCGGTAAACCGGATGGAAGGATTGATATTTTGCACCACTTAAGAAATGGGGTGTGTAGCTCCTGCGCAGTGGGGATCACATTTTTGGACCCGTCAAGCAGTTCCTGCTTTCTGATCCATATGGAAAATGGGTCGAAGACTCGGACATGGATGAGTACATGCTCGACTTCCGCACCGGTGAGCCCAGATTGGATACAGATTGCAGTCAGGTAATTAAGCAACTATCTGGTATGTTAGAGTTGTAGCTTATCGGAATTGTGCCACTCAGGACGGCGGAATGCATACAGTGTTGTGTCTGCGGATGGCTGGCTCTCAGTTCGCATCTTGGACTCTGCCGGGCAGATCGTCCCAGATCAGATGGTGAAGTGTTGCTTGTATGATTGATGTAGGGCAGATTGTTTCGAACCGTGAATTTGTGGTATACTGTAGCAAAACGATCAAAACAGATGAATGCTGCTTATTGATGCCTGAATTTTTTACTGGATGTTAGTTATAGCCACGTTTCCGATTCTTCGCACTAGCACTAGTACTCGGGGGGGCGCGCATCATAGCAGACCTGAAGAACCCCTCCCCACAGTAACATACAGGATTATTTTGTAGCCTGATTACAGGAGTCAAAGGAAGGAAATTCCGGTGGGGTCTACCACATTCACGTCGTAATAATTTCCGCGGACAGCGGCACATTTCTGACGAACGTTGTGAGCTGCTTCGACGTCAATTTTTGCAGAAGTTGCCTGCCCTGAGGAGACACTGTGCAGCGCATAGAGGGGATACCGAGTCCTTTGGGGTCGAAGAAATACAGTAGTTACAACAAGATCGGGTGCGCAGAGTTGACGGAGACCTTCCTGATTTGGACGCGTCACGCGCGTCTTGAGCGCCTGACCTTGGCTGCAAAGTGCACCCGGCGGAGGGGAGGGAACTCACATCTCGCTCAGCATTCTTCGACTAACATTTCTCCCAGCGAGAAGTGACCCCTGCAACCTCAGATTTCGCTGGGAACACGACGGACATCCACGGCCACCCACGAAGCACTCGCATGAGCCACGGCTTGGCCCGCGGCCGCGAGCAGCCTGGGCGGGCGACTTTCGACAGTATGGTTTATGGCACCAACTTACCGAGTAATCACAGAGACGCGTCAAGCTCAAGCTCCAGGATGGATCCACAGTATGTGCTGCTTGTCGTGATTCTCATTCCTTTCAGTGGTACTCATGTTTGCAGGCGGTGGAAGGAGAAACAAGCTACACCTATTATACCCCCCGTGCCGGTGAGTTGTCCGTTATCTCTTATATCCTCCCGAAATGACTTCTTTGTATGGTGTTAGGGCTCATCTGGACACTCTCGTTCGTCTAACCCCTGGTCAGGTAGAATGGGGAGCAATCTACATGGTCCTAAGACAGGAAACCACACTGCCACTCGCACCGTACTCGACATTCCTTCTGCGCACAATCATACGAGCTTTCGGCCCGCGAAGCGTCCTCGCTTGGACAGCACTGCTAGATACTGTGGCAGAGGAGACCATGAGCTCGATGCCCCCGTAGCGGCGTCGAAGTTCTTCGGTAATCCAGGTGAGTTTCGCATTTACCAGGAGAATATTATTTGACTGACGACTGGCCATGCTTTGTTTGCGGTTCCTAGCGAAGAATGAGAATATTCCAACCAATCGGAATGCTTACTGCGTACCAAACCTTGCCGCCTCCCGCCGTTCAGAACCCACCCTCCAAACGGTCTACGTCGTTGACGACGACGACGACATTGGGTTACGGAAAGACCAAAAGGAGGATATTGGCGTCGTCATGAAACGTCCACTACATTCTCAAGCGGACTACCGGCGGAGAACATCCAGCCCGGACCCGCTAAACGTCATAGACCTCTGTGAACCAGGACCTTCGAGCATACACCCTGACGGCCTGCATGATTTTGACACTGATACACAACAACCCCGAAACCGTGGTGCACGAGATGGCGTTGCAACAAAGCGCCTACAGCGTAGACTGCACAACAAACAGACATCAGCAGATATAGCACCCGCAGAAGAGGTCGTCGTAGATGGGGACGACGATGTGGAAGTGGAGTCCATTGAATCAGCGTCTGGATTCGGTGATCAACCAGGCCGAGAAACTTCTCCTAGTGGGCTCACAAAGGTACCTGCGGGCACTGTTCGGGAAATGATTGCACGTTTCGAACCGACGCGGTCGGAGCAACTGCCACCCACAGTCGATTTCGATAACCTTCCTATAAAACAAGCCACACGCAAGAGCAAGATGAAGTCTAGAGTGAGTGACATGTTGCGCGTCCATACACACCACGCTCAAATGGATCTCTTGTGCGCTACGACAGACGGGACTCAACATACAACCTATCAAACAGAATCAGTTGGACGCAGTCGCTACTGCACCGTCTGGGTTCGATTCTACGGCGAAGAAGAAGGGTACGAAAAGGTCTCAGTCACAGTCGCCTCTGCTTGCATTACCTGTTGAAGCATTCCTACTTGGCTTGGAGATGAACGAGGCGGGACTTGATCCCTATTGGTTGATTTTTGATCCAAACACTAAGGTTCTATCCTCGAGGCCCACCATATCGGGAGCAGCGACGTTCTTTGAACTCAATGCTGACTCCGATATTGAAGCCATGACGGTAAGTTGAAGGATCACTTCTACCTTTCCCTTCTGACCGTCCACCAATAGTACAGTAAATCACCAGTACCTGATGGGTCACCTGCAGTTCTGAAGCTGGAGTTATCGACGCGTTGCAGAAAGATTCGAGAATTGCAAACAGGTGTGGATTTTACTTGTGGGTCGTTCATCGACCTTTCGCTCATCTCTTACGTCAGGATCTAGAGGATCAAACGTTGTGACGTTCAAATTCTTAAAGGGACACGCAAATTGGTCAAATGGCCACCTCTTCTCGCAGCTTATTGAGAATTTGAAGACCAAAATCAAGAACTCGAATATGCTGGAGTGAGTCGTGCAAATCGTTTCCAGAAAATCTGTTAACTCATGATCTGCTGCAGCGAACATGGCTCCTACTCCTGCTGGAATATTGCCGAAACCATAGCCAAACACAAGGTAGCGGAGTTGGAAAGGAAGCGTGCATCTGTTCCTGCCAGTAAGAAGATAGAAGGCCTATCCTCTACTTTGCCCATATCCGAAACTACAACAGCGAATAGTGTCAAGCCGAGGCCGCAACCGAGACTCCGCAAGTTCGTCTGGCTATTGTTACTTCACCCGTTCTGAAGTCTATTGACCTATGCCTTGCTACAGCAGAGGCGAACCTGATGTGGATGCTATCCAGGAGTTGAGACCTACTCGCATCACACGACAAATGGCCCTCCGCAACACCCGTTCCAGTCCCTCTGCAGTGGTCGAAGCGGAAGAACTGTAAGTACGGTCAGCCTGCGTTATGAATGCTCATCGTGACCGTTGGCATAGTATCTTGGTTTATCCACCCGCAGGTGCTGGAGCTATCTATATCAAGAGTAGCGACCTTAATCGCTTGGAACCAGAGAAATATCTGAATGATACTCTCATTGAGTTTGGTCTGAAGTATGTCGCCATATGGTCACTATGAGGATTGTGATTATGATACTTCTCTAGACTGTGGTTAAACGAACTTCGCGAGAATCATCCTGAGCTCGCAGAAGACGTCTACGTGTTCAGTTCGTTCTTTTACAAGAAGCTTAACATCAAGAAGTGCGTAATTTATCGTCTCGACTGGGTGCGATACTGACTTGTACTCTGCCGGCAGCAAAGCAGAAGGATACCAGAGCGTGCGGAAATGGACATCCAAATTCGATATTTTCAAGAAGAAATATGTCATCGTGCCTATCAACGAACAGTACGCCGAGATTTTTCTTTATATCCCTTACGTAGTGATCACCATGTTTGCAGTTTTCACTGGTGGTTAGCCATTATTTACAACCCTGAGCACATTCTGAACCCTCCGCCCCCAACCCCCATTAAATCTGTTACACGCAAACGCAAGCGCGAACAGTCTCAAGCCAAAGCAGCGGAAGCGTCAACTAGCATAGAGAACGAATCTGCTTCTCGTCATGCTAGCCCTTCGGTGGATGCGATCACCGTCGACGACAGCGAGGCCGAACAGGAGGTGGTGGAGGTATTGTTCGAAAGAACCTCTATTAGCGACAGAGCCGATCAGCCTCAGCGTTTCCCAAGCGAGACTTCTCGTGAAGAATTGGGGAAGGAAACCCACTTCGAGATTGGTGATTTGATGTACCCTGGGAGCGATGATGCCGTTCCTATGGACGTCGACGAGCCGTCACCTCAGCCACATCCGCTCGAGGATATACCTGTCACCGAGGTCGTTGTTGATGACGACGTTGAAATCAAATCGGCCGACAGTTCAACATTTGTGGCGGACAATGATGAAAGGAGTGTCCCCCCTTCCAGGTTCTACGGCGGAGCCTCCGGATCAACCAAGGCGAAAGAGAAGGCTGCTGGTCCATCGGCTATTGATCTGGAAGAGGAACAACAGACTGAGGAAGGCGAGGACGACAATCTTGGGACTGAACAACTGTGAGTACCCTTCAGTTCATTGAGTACGAATGATAATGACATGGTGCGGCAGGACGTATATCTTCACGTTCGACTCGCTAGGCGGACGACATCCGCAAGCTGCCAATACGCTGAGCACATATCTCCAAATGGAAGCAAAGGATAAAAAGGGCTTAGAGAACACAAGTCGAGCGAAGGGGAAGGTCGCACATGTGCATAATTCATTTCATATGGCTCTTCACCGGACTAGCTGACATCTAAGCCCATTGACAGGTGCCTGATCAGAAAAACTTCTCTGACTGTGGGGGATATCTTTTGCATTTTGTGCGGACATTCATGTCAGACCCCGTTCATTTTGCCGAGATCATCATTGTGAGTTGCACCGTTATGAGAGGTATACTTCGTCCTGAACTCTCCTTACTCGTAGAACGGGCGACCAAGGGATTTTTCTGCCGATATGCGTAAAGAAATCTGGCACGCCAAGGAGGCTGGAAATTTCCGGGAGAACCTCAAGGATCGAATCTTGGCTCTGTCGGAGACCTGGAAGGAGGATAGGGTAGCGAAGGAGGACCAGAAGGCCAAAGGCTCTGCAGAAGGTATCACTACGCCTGCGGAGTCGGTGATACCAGAGTCGGACGATGAAATCGAAGTCGGGGAAGTGGAGGTGGTCTCGAGACCCCCGCCATCCAAGACAAAGTCTGGCGGCCGCGGTCGCGGCAAGGGCGGCGTGGAGAAGGATGATGTGCAGACAGGGCCGGCAGCTCGCCTGCGATGAACTCTATTTGTTGAGTCGATGTCTATTGCTTTGCTTATTCCTTTGCATGAAACTTGACGTGCTTGCATTTATATCCTAATCTGTGCGGCTAATCGGAGTACATACTGTACATTCGTCACTCTTGCAGTGCTATTTGTCGGACCTGCGCTAGTCGTTGCAGCTTGTTTTGCTAGACGTTCTGTATCTTTGTATGGTCGTGGTCGTTTCATACTTCATACCTTTCCCGTAATGCAATATTCGTCCATGTCATGTGGGATGAGTCTGTACCTTCTTGGATGATAATCGTATGGACTGGAAAGCTGGGCACAATTGCCCGCGCTACGGACAATTAGGTTGCAATACCAAACAATGAATGCACTCGTAAGTATGTGATTATCAGATACACGGGCGTGACATGGTATATATCTGTCCAGCTGAGTCTAAACAAAACGTGTGCAGCTGGATAACAAGGGCAGAAGCATCCGAAGAGCGACAGAGAATCGTGAGGGGTACTGTAAGGGCCGAGCGCAACCGCAGTCCGCGTGAAATCCTCCAAGAAAGCCGAAATAGAAGTGGATAGTGAAACGGGTGGGTATCCGTGCGTGAGAGAAGGAGCAGCAATGCGATAAACAGAGCATGGCGCGTGAGAACTGGAACACTAACGAGCGGACGGGAGGCGGGTCGAAGACACCAGTCCCACGGACGACGCAGAAACCCACGGTGGGAGAGACGCGATCACGCGTGTCAGCCCACCGTGCGATTGAGATAGCTGCGTCTGCGGTGCCGAGAAGGCGGGAAGGCGCGCAGCAGATGCGCGTGCCCCCCGAACTCGGCAGGCGGATACGGTACTGGGAGCGCGAACGACGTGGGGACGGGAGGGACTAGAGAATCGCGACGAGCGACGGTGTTAGTGGGAGTGACATGTAAAGATGTCGCGCTTGATCCATGAACACCGGCTATAGCTGCAGCGGTGGTTGCGATGTGACCGGTCTCGTCTGCACTGCCGCCGATCGCGGTCGGTGTGGAGGGCGAGGTGCTTTTGTGCGCGACGTACACGCCGAGGCAGATGGCGCCGATGATGACCTGGGGCAGGGTTTACCATCTGCACAGAGACGAGGAGCGGAAGACGTACCACAAGCAGGATCATACCCATAATGAGGACCCACCGAGACATGCGAGAAGAACCGGTCACGGTCTTCTTTAACCACGCACTGATGCGAGACATTGAGCGGGAGGTGGAAGAGTAAGGTGAGCGGAAACGGGGGGGCATACCTTTGCTTCTGGGCGTACGGTTTCCGGTTGTCCTCCTTAGCAATCATGCTGAACCGTCTCCAGAATTCTTCGCCCTGGCGAGCGCCGCGCCTGGGGAGGAGAGTCTCTTCCCCATTGCCACGGAGGATGGGCTGGACTTCGGCGAACTTGACGTCGCGGGTAGCGGGAGCGTTGAAAGGACGGATGAAGGCGGGTTCGATGGGCGTCATGGGTGGCTGAAGCGGATGGGGAGTGCTGGGTATGCTGGGGGTGCCCTGACGGGCGACGAGGGTGAGGGGCTTGGGGAACTGGAGCTGGGACATCTCCGGGGAGGCTGTCTGGCGGCCGTCTGGGGCGGCAACGCGACTGGGCTGAGCGAGGTTGAGGGCGGCTATGGGCGCAGCGTATCCGGGCTTGGGTGAGGCGAGCGGGATGGGCTGCTGCTGGGGCTGCATCTGCATTCTGGGGCCTTTATACTCCATGCTGTCGTCGAACGGGTTCTGTCCGCTCACTCCGGGCCCCCTGCTGTCATCCAGGTAATGGTCATACCTGAGAGACGCATCGGTTGGAGACATGAAGCGTTACTCTGGGGAGAATACGCACATGTTGTATGCCGATGTCCTCGCATTCGGATCTGGAGGGGGCTGCTGTCTGACACGGACCGTGGCAGGATGTTGCTGGTACATCGAGTCGGGCTCGTCAGTCGCGAATGGGGGTCGACCCGCGATGGGAGGAGTACGGTAGATAATGGGCTGCGCCATGTCAATAAAAGAGAGCGACGAAAGAACGCTAAAGAGAATGGATGCCTCAGAATACCAAGGCTGGTCTTGCGTCTGTCGCAAGAGCCGAGAAAATGAAAGATGGAAGGAGAAGGCAAGCAACGCACTCAACACTCGCTTATCAGTTTTGCCAACGTCGGCTATTTTCCGCCGGTTACGGCGTAGCGACAACTACTCCTAGGGACACTACGGCTGCTCAGAATTCTTCGGACATGTACATTTCTCTGTTTGTTTTATTCACACCCGCTAGCACAAATTTGCACGCTGGGCTGGAGGAGTAGAACTGACGAAATTTCGCCGCCAGACCCCGTGACTGTCGCGTGGCGACCGGTGTTGCTGAAGTCGAGACAGTAACAATGATTTGTATCTTGTGCATAAAGAGCAGCAAGGAACAGCATAAGCGAACTTGCGGTTGTGTTCTTACCGAGAGGAATTGAGGGATATGTCAACAATACTATATCTGATTGTGTCAGGCGCGGCGCCTGGTCAACTGGGACAAGAATAATTTACACTCAGCGGTGTACTGTAATACAGTAGGCAGTTTGGGCGAGGCTATTTTTTCGCTGTCAAAAAGTGGCGCCAAATTCCCGAATTTTGTGGTGCGCCACTGTCAAAATTACGTCGACCGCGGCGGAGATTTGTTGAAAAGTGGCCGTATAGCCTAATGGCGGTGAATGGGGAGAATTTATTCTCGTGCGGGGCCCTAGAGAGCTAGGCGAGTCCGAGAGAGAGAGAGAGAGAGAGAGAGAGAGAGAGAGAGAGAGAGAGAGAGAGAGAGAGAGAGAGTTGCGGGGGGAAAACCTGGCCGATCGCTCCTTAAATACAATTCTGCCCACCCCGACGTCTTCTCTCTCGGAACATTCCTCGGGCCCTGATTCGTTCGTTCGCGTGCGTACGTAGAGGGAGCAAAAATGAGATGACATCGATGACGGATGCGCTAAGTGGTCCTACCGAGAGAAGGAGACATACTAAGAAAGGAAACTATGCAACGGATGCTTTTTCCGCGGCGAACTCACCGTTCTGCGCAACCTCCAGTTAACGTTATAACCTCTCGTCAACGGTGACAGAAAAATCCCAAGAGGCGTTCCGGGCCTCTTGCAACGGAAGCGGGGAGCTGAGCCTCGACCAGCCCTTGCGCCATAGCCGCCTACAGTGTCCGAGAGGTCCTTCCGCCTAGCGACCGCGTGAGGTAGAGTCGGAGGGATACAAGTACAGAGAAAGCAGAAATTGTAAAGAGAAATTTGAATTCAATTTTAGGCAGGACAGGGCCCACTCGTTATTGTAGACTTGCGTGCAGCCTGCAAGCGCCGACATACCCGCGATAGCTGTAGGGAATAAAGTTTTCCTAGTGTTCACACGGTTCTAAGCATGTATTAATTTTCTTTACCACGCCACAATTAAATTTGCCTTGGTTCAGAAGGAATAATCCTGTGGCAGGTGCTCTTGCAGATTTAGTTGCGGTCCTTGAAGTCTAAGTTTTGCTGGACATTCTTAAGTGCCAGTGCATTGTATCTACCAAGGTTGAAGAAAGAATTTTCACAGTGATTTAATTTCTGAGTGTCCATATTATTTGCCTGTGTTGGGGATTGGTGGGGGATTTGTTGTGCAACGGACGATCCTTCTAAACCGTTTATGGGAGCAGACACAAACACTGCCAAATATACCCGTCCGACGGGAACGCGTCGCGTCACGGTCGCGTCGTTTGGTAACACTTTTACAACCACCATGCCGCCCAAGCGCGCCATTACCATACACAGCGACGACGAAGGGTCCGCACCAGAGAGCTCCCCAGCCTCCAAGCGCGCGCGCACCCAGGAGGATAGCGACACCGGGCTCGCGTCCCGGCCTAAGCGGGCCACCAAGGGCAAGGGAAAGTCCAGGCAGCGCACAGAGGAGGCCGTGGATCTGGTAGACGAGGAGGAGGACGCCGTTGAGCAGACTGCACCAGACGAAGATGAGGAGAAGAGATTTGAGGAAGAGCATGAGGAGGAGATCCGGGAGAACCTCATGTCGAAGGGCAAGGCACAGGGGGTAAGCGTCAGCCCTGTACTTGCTTTCTGCTAACTTAAATTTCGTGTAGGGCATCGCGGAGATGGGTATCATCGAGTCTATTGAAATGCACCAGTTCATGTGTCACAAGTACTTGACGTTCCAATTTGGGCCTCAAATTAACTTCATTATCGGTGAGTGCATATATGCTCAACGCGAAGACCGACTGTCTTATCCCTTATGCAGGCCATAACGGAAGTAAGCTCTATTCATGATGCCCCGAGTGATATACGATGCCAATGATCGCGTTGTACAGGCGGCAAGAGCGCTGTACTTTCTGCGCTTACCGTGGCTCTTGGAGGCAAAGCAAACTCTACCGGACGTGGGAGCGGTTTGAAGTCATTTATTCGCGAAGGACAATCGTGCGTCGTACTAAAATCAACTTACGTGCTGACGCAGTCCTCAATCGGTGTTATTAAGGGTGGCCGAAGTTACTGTTTGTCTCAAGAATCAGGGCGAAGAAGCTTACAAGCCCAAAGATTATGGCAAGACTATCGTTATTACTCGCCGTTTCACCAGGGAAGGATCTTCTAGTTATAAAATTAAAAGCAAGGAAGGGAAGGTCGTCTCTACCAAACGAGAGGAGTTGTCCGCTATCTGTGATCACATGAATATTCAGGTTGACAATCCCATGAACATTCTCACTCAAGGTGCATATAACCGTTTCTTCTCCTTTCGTCTTCACTAACGTTTGCCGACAGATGCTGCCAGGTGATTAGGTCGCGCTGGTATTGCCTCGTAGTTCTCTAATCGGTTCTTCAGGCAGTTTTTGAGCGCATCACAGCCTGCCGACAAATACAAGGTAAAAAGTTCTTGTCGATGTTTCTGACAGCACGCTAAAATTATCCGTTCGCACAGTTCTTCCTCCGTGGCACGCAACTCAGCCAGCTGAGCGAGGAATACCAAACGTGTCTGGAGAACATCAGTCAAACCCAGAAGGTTTTGAAGCGCAAATCGGAAGTCATTCCGGATTTGCAAGATGCGTTGGAAGAAGCGACTGCGCGCTTTCGGGAGGCCAACAAGGCCCGTGAGCAGAGGCACAAGGCCGACGAGTTGAAGAAGGAGCTTGCGTGGGCCCATGTCCAGACCAAGCAGGATGTAAGTCTGTATCACGTTCTCATGTATCATGTTCCTGATGGCTACTTTTTAATCAGGAACTGCAAGAGAAGCTCGAAGAAGCAGCCAAACTATCTCGTCGCTTGCCGAAAATCCGAGAGCAGATCGCTGCTGCCAATGTACGCTTCCTTGCGCTGCAATGCACGTATCTTCATCAATGGACTTCCTACAGAAAGAGTTCGAAGAGAGTTCACAACTGGTTCAGGCTTACGAGGAGGAAAATCACAATCTTGGTTCCATTGGGCACCTCCATGAGATGAGGAACGAGATAAATTCCAAATTGAAGACAAACAAGCAGAAGCTGGCGACCATGAACGTGTGTTGTGTCCACCTTCTCCCATGACTTTTCCACGCTAACCCTGTAACGGAATCTCTGCAGAATGAGGAAAAGGAGATGCTTAGGGGCTTGAAAAGGGTGAACGACGCGATTGCAAACCTTGATGCCAGGATCCAGGAAGAAGTGAAGAAGGACGAGGATGCTAGCAAGGAAAGGCGGGACGATCTGAACCGTCGACTGGAAGAGGCGAAAGTCTCGTGTGACCAGGCTGAACGGCAGCTTCAAGATCTCAAGGACGAGCGCCAGCAGAGGGGTCCAGAGACCGAGAAAATCAAGCAGGACATACAGAAGCTCAATCAAGAACGCGAGCAGCTCAAACGTAGCATCGTAGAGTGCCAGGAGCAAGTGCGGATGTGCGTTGAGCGCGAGCGCAACAAAGTAGCGAGGTTTGGCACGAACATGGACAGAGTGATGGCAGATATCCAACGAACGAGATGGCATGGGAATAAACCTGTCGGGCCATTTGGATTGTTCGTTGGCGTCAAGGATCCGGCTCAATGGGCTCCGATTATACGCGTTCAACTGGGGGCCCTTATGAGTGGATTTGCGGTAACTGACGCTCGGGATCGCAAAACACTCGAAAAGTTGTTAAAGGGCCATGGCAAGTGAGTGTTACTTCATCCTGGAGGCGAGAACATGCTGATGGAGTTGAATCAAAGCCGGAACCCGTCCATTGTCATCTCCGAGGTTGACTTGTTCGACTATAGTCGAGGAGAGCCACCAGAGGGATACCTCACTGTTTTGCGCGCTCTAGAGGTATAAATTCTCGAATAACTTGGTGTAGTATATGCTCTGACTGATCATCCTACATGTTAGATCTCTGACGAGTACATCCTGCGTGTCTTGATTAATCAAGCGCACGTCGAGGGCACGTTCCTTGCTCCTACCCGTTCGGATGCAGACAGCGTCTTGTTACAGTATGGACGCGGTGGGACGGCTTGGTCAGGCGATCTGTACAACGTCCGCCGTTTCCCGTGAGTGCTCTATATATTTTTTTTCGTGGACATCGACTGAGCCCTGCACAGTGAGGGGGGTGGACAGTCATCTGTCATTCATGCGCTTAGCATGGGCGACCCAAGGCAGCAGCTGTTCACCGGCAATGATGCCACAGCGGATAAGCAGTGAGTCACGATAGGTGCCATTCATCGATGTTCGTCTAAATATGACCCGTCTAGACGTTGGCAAGAACGTGGGATGAAGCTCGAGCAGCAGTACAACTTGCTGAGTCAGCAGATAGATCAGCTCAAGCAGACGGAGACGCAGAAGGATAGGGAAGCCCGGAGTCTTGCTGTTTGTGCCCAGTTAATGCAACCAGCATTGTCGCGTACTCACTCGCGTTGTGCAGAAACAAGAGAGCGACATGTTGCGACGATCCAGAGGACTGAAGGACCAGCGTGACTCCCTCCAAATCCAAGTCAACAATGATATGCCCGTTGGAATTTCTGGACTCCAGGATTCCAGAGCTGTGCGTAGCTGTCTGCTGAACTTCGCTTATTCGTTCTGACACGTTCTACTGGAACTAGGACATGGTGAAGGAAAAGGAGGCTTATGAAAGCCAGTGGCAGACTCTCGACAAAGAGAGGAAGGAAGTCAACGAAGCGCAGCGTCCCTTGTTGGAGGAAGCCAACGTTATTAAGAAGCAGATAGAGGAGTTTTCGGAGCTACAAGTTGGCATACAGGTCCATGCTTCTGACACCGCCCATACGAAGCATACGCTAACGACGGCTACCTCTAGAACAAAATTAGTGTTGAGGCGGTGAGACGGCTGAATGCGCAGAACACGGCAACGCATTTCAGCGAGAAACTTCAGGCTGAGGAGGCCAAGGTCACCACTGCTGAGGACGTGGTGAAGACTTTACAGACAGAGTTTGAGGTAATCTGTAACCTGTTTCAACGACTCGTCATGTCTCACTGAATGACTGTCGCAGCAATGGACAGCCAAGGCGACGGAGTACTGTGAACGCTTCGAGAACCCTCGTAAGGCTGAAGACGTACAGAAGAATTTGGAAGCCGTTCAGACAGCCCTTCGCGAGCGTGAGAAGAAGTGAGTTGGCTCCGCTCACTACTTTGTCTACCTTGCAAACGTGTGTGATGCAGGCAAGGCGCTACAGTCGAAGATATGACGATAGAAGTCAACAAGAAGAAGGCTGCGCTGGAGACTGCCAAGAAGGACTTGAAAAACATGCTATCTTTGAACAGGGTATTTTGTTATCAGTAGCCTTGCAGTCCACCGCTGACTCTTGCGCTTCAAGGCCCTTCGGAGATCTGTGAAAGTCCGTCTTGCTAAGTGGCATGAGTTTCGCCGTCACATCGCCCTCCGTTGCAAAGTGTACTTCTCGTACCATCTCTCGAACCGTGGCTACTACGGCAAAGTTTTGTTTGACCATGTCAACGGCTCTCTACAGCTGAAGGTAGGCGCCGAGTTCTATGCCAATAGTTATTGGCTAACCATGTTTTGTCCGCAGGTGCAAACGGACGATCAGACATCCACGCAAAATTCGAGGGAGAAGGATCCGCGCTCGCTCTCTGGTGGAGAGAAGTCGTTTTCCACCATTTGTCTCCTGCTGTCACTCTGGGAGTCCATCGGTTGTCCTATTCGGTGCCTTGGTCAGTGTCCCATCATGATCCTAACAGGATCACCTGCTAATGGCTACCCGCAGATGAGTTCGATGTGTTCATGGATGCTGTGAATCGCCGTATCAGTATGAGGATGATGGTGGGTCATCAGGTCCGTTTACTGTAGTGCAACTACTGAGTTGTCGTCGCCAGATCGACACTGCCAACTCGTCCAACAACAAGCAGTACGTCCTGATCACCCCGCAAGATATGACCAACATCCACGTCTCACCCTCCGTGCGCGTGCACCGCATGACCGACCCCGAGCGCGGCCAGGGTGTGCTGGCATTCCAGTGAGCGTAGTCGTAAATCAGTTTTCTGAAGAGATGGTGTTGTGGTGGTGATACCTTAGCTCGTGCTGAATGCGCTTTGTTTTCATATTCTACTCCCCGTTACCCTTATTTCTTGCAGTATCTTAGAAGTTGGTGTAGTATAATAGAGTTGAGAAGATTCGAAGCTGCTTTCCTCACCGGCCTCACCGGTCAAGGGATGCCACTTCATGGCCACGTGATCGCGTTCTTCTACGGACATTTCCGCGGTTGACCTCCTCTATCCGTGATCACCTCATACGCGCGACATATTCTTGGAATTTTTGCACATACGCAGCTTGTACGCACTGAAACATTTTGCGAGCGATCTTTTGAAGTTGTAGCAGCGCGTCATTTTCTTAGATGTGAGTGCTTCGCAGTCGCGACGCGTTCTTCGCCGCTGAGATTTGGGCCAGGACGAGCAGGCCACCCAAAGCATTTTCAGCTGCATGTCCTCATGAGGGATGCACGTACCAGACAAACTCCAGGGATAAGAAGGCCCTCCATAACAATCTCAGCTCTCACAGTTCCAATTACCACAACTCGAAGACTTCGATACGGTACGAAGGTGTGGATATCTCTGTCACGCGTTTTCGCGTTAGTGCATGATATGGCGCTCACGTCATGCGCAGGCAAACTGGTTTTTATGCATCGGGACCCCGCTACGCAGAGGATGAATTGTCTCTGTGGGCGGTTCTCCTCCAGAAGCACTCAGGACCTCCGTGCTCACGTGGCGAAGGAACATAAGAGGCCTGGTGCCTCTGACACAAATGAGAGCAGCAACGGCAGACACAGCATTTTCACCCCCACAGACGTCGCCTTGCTCCCCGTCACGCGCCTGTCTGACTCACCATCTTCAGGCTCCATCAGGATGTCTGTCGACTCTGTCCAGTCGCCTGAACCTTCACCCCCGTGTGAAGTCGTTCGTCTGCCCAGACCTCATCAGAAGCATAGGCCTGCGTACGCGAAAAGCGCCAGCAATGCTACTGATCAGTCATCTTCCGGGAGGAAGTACCGGATGGAGAAATCATCAAGCATACAGGCTGCTCCCACCGCTCGTCCCTTCAAGGATCTCGCTGGCCGCATTGATCATCCATTAATGTCCTCGAAAACTGTGAGGAAACAAGCGGGGCCTTCCAGATCAAATGCCGGCGCCGCTAGCTCCTCGAAATTATCTGCTCGTGCCCCGTCTCCCACCCCATCGTATGAATACCTTAGTGATCATGATATGCCATACGACATTGCATCCCAGCCATCTCCAGATAATCGCAAGATTCCTGGCAAGGTGATGGCCAGGCTCAGTTCCTTTGTTCCACCTCCGCATCCTGGCCTGTCTTCGAAGAAACGCAAGTCTGAAACGCATCCCAGTGCCTCCGAGTCCAAGGCTAGAGTGAAGCACACGATGCCTACGTTCGGAGAGAGCATCAGTGCAGGTCGACACACCCCTTATTTGGTCAGCGCTTCGAAACACAAGCATGATGTGTCGTCGTCCACGCGTCCATCGATCGCTCCAAGGGCCTTCGCTAGTCACTCGGTTCTGAAGGCTGTCGAACGAGAGCTTCCTCCTCCACTTCGAGACTTGAATAAGGCTAAGAGCACAGCCACCCGCGGTTCCCCTACGTTCGGTTCTTCCTCCGCAAGAGTATCCATGCCCGCCCCACGCGTTGTCGAACCGTCATCATCTCCTATACCTACGAGAGCATCTATGGTGGTACCACATGTGGTTGGCCCATCATCATCTCCTCCGCCTGCGCCTCCACGAGTCGTGGTCGACGTCTCGACGTCTACCACAGCACCCAGAGTGCCTCCAAATACCAGCTCCAAGTCGCGCGTGGACAACCAAGCAGTTGCCACCACAGCCATCTGTAATTCTTGCCACAAACCGGTTGTTCGCGCGCAGTTCGAGCGTGCTTACAAGCTGTGCGCCTCGTGCCGTGAGAAGGCGCGCGAGTACCAGAAGAAGAGGAAGGAATGCAAGCATCAGAATGGATTCCAGGAGTTCATCGCACAGTTTCGAGAGGCGCACAGTGTGCAACGTCCTGTCCAGCCACGCGTTGACGAAAACGGGCACGCTGTGAGCATGTTGGGGAAGAGGAAGGCGGAGAGCGAGGATACTCTACTTGCGCGGAAGAAGCGCGTGGATACCTGGAGAGACGTCGTAGAATACCAAACCGAGGACGCGTTCTACGCTGCCGTGGAGCTAAAGCTCAAAGAATGCCAACTGAACGATGGGGACGTCGACTTGCTGGACATGCATATCGGATTCGCGAGGGTCAAGCCCCCCAGCACAACAGTGCAGAATACTTTCGACGCAGTGGAAGCGAGGCTCAAAGGATTGGGCTTCCCGTGAGTATCTTTCAATATCTTCCTCTATAGTTTACTCACGCTTGCGAAGGCTCACAGGTAGGGGAACCATGATGGTAACCGACAAGATGCAGGTTTCTAAGCGTCGTTGTAGATGCAAAGGGATGCCTAAGATTAACGTTACAGGGGACGACATTGTCCGAGGGAAGTGCGGGGGAACGATTGAACTGAAAGTCGACCTGGACGAAGAGCATCAGGCGGACCTGGGCATCGTAGGAATAAATGTCATATTGAAGGTTGTGCATCGGTAGGTCTGCAGTGTCGGGCGTGGAGGTCTTCTACCTGACCAGTCTATTTACGTAATATGCGATCCTTCCTCTCACCTTTGTTCTTCAATACATAGTTATGTTTGAGGAGACTGTATGCAGCTGTACATATGTTTCAAGGAAGTCCTTTCAGGCGCTTGTTAGACCTAACCCTAGACTCTGTCTTTGAGCGAAGGGAACGCGTAGCGGGCGCTTCATTACCTCCTTCACGCCAGCCCAAGTGCACGCAACTCTCTTATTTCATCTCTTTCACATACCTTTCTCTTACCATTATTTCATTTCGGGTTCCAGCTAGAAACGCATCTGTTATTATACTTGAAATTGTGGGTAGCAACATCATCTACTGGAGGGTGTTGCACGGAAGGGACGAGGTGTGTGTATATACTGTGCGGGAATGGCTTTCACGCTGTGCGAATTTCATCCGGACCTTTTCAGGAATAACTGTTTCCACTGCTTCACGGTGAACAACCGTGTCAGGTCTGTGTCACGTTGAACAGCCTGTGGTGAACCCGACAGATGGCTCAACCATTGCGCCCAAGGCCACTGCCGCCAGTGCTGCTGGTTGTACTAGTACCCGTCGCAGCTTGGTTCCTACTCCGACCCCTTCTTGATCCATTACCTCAATTACCCGCTCTGTATGCGTGCGTGGGCTTCTCGCTGTTCGCCCTTCTCGCAACCTTGTATCTCGTGCCCGCGCTCGGGGACACCTTCTTGCGAGCCAACCTCAAAGGGAGAGACTTATTGAAAACTTATGATACGCCCATGTCAGTTTTCCAGTATGTTTATCGCCTATATGAGGTACTGAGGCCTTTGTCATAGTCCAGAGAGTCTCGGACTCGTCTGCGCATCCATTTATGTACTCCTCTTAATTCTTTTCATTCCGTTTGCATTCTCAGATTCTTTTGGAAACCACAACAATGCTATCAAGGGCAGGAAACACAGAGAAGGGCTGGTACTCACCGAGTTCCCGCACCACCAGGTCAGCGGTACCGGTGGCTATCTGTTACTACGCTGTGAATTCATGTTTCTCCCAGCTATCCGTATATCTGTCTTCACTACTTGCGCTCCTATTAGCGACGATGCTAGGCTTTCTAGACGATGTATTCGATATACGATGGCGACACAAGATACCCATTCCGATCATCGCGTCTATCCCGCTCTTGATCATCTACTATTCCGAGCACGGAACCACTGATGTCGTCGTCCCAATCCCTCTAAGATGGCTAATAGGTTCACTCATACACCTAGGCGCGTTTCTGTCCTTCAATTCTCTCTTGCTGATGCTGATCAGGATTGTAGGCCCTTTATATTACGTTTACATGTCTCTGCTCTCCATCTTCTGCACAAACAGTATCAATATTCTTGCGGGGATCAACGGCTCGGAGGTCAGCCAGGCTTTCATCATCACGCTCTCGGTCATCCTCAACGACCTGCTCTACCTCCCCTGGCCAGTCGGTTTCCGCGTAGTGCTGCCGCTGCATGTCCTCGGCCACCCTGCGGAGGTCGAGGTTGGCGGAGTGTGGAGCGCAGGCATGGCGTATGGCAGCAGAATATTGGTTGAACGCCATCTGTTCAGCTTATACTTTATGCTTCCGCTCCTGGCCGTGTGCGCGGGCTTCATGTATCACAATTGGTGAGCGAAGAGCAGCCTATTTCCCGAAATATGGCGGGTAGATAGACGTTGACGCCGCGTGCACAGGTACCCCGCACGCGTCTTCCCCGGGGACACACTCTGCTACGTGACGGGCATGGCATTCGCCGTCGTGGGGATCCAGGCGCACTTCTCCAAGACGCTCCTGCTGTTCTTCCTCCCGCAGATCTTCAACTTCGTTCTCTCGTGCCCACAACTTTTCGGACTTGTTCCGTGTCCGCGACATCGCGTGCCTAGGTACGCCTCACCTATCATGCATGCACCGCAACCCCTACTATTAGTCGGGATGCAATCGCCGAATACTGATCTGCCTACGGTAGGTTCGACCCCGACTCGGGTCTGCTCACGCCCTCGCACGCCGAGTTCAAGGATCGCCCGCCGTCGCGCATCGCAACGCTCGTTCTACGCGTCTTCGCCGCGCTGGGGCTCGTGGAGCTCACGACGGACACGAAGACGGGCGCCGTCTCGCGCACGACTAACCTCACGATCTTGAACGTATTTCTCCTCCGGCTCGGGCCGATGAGGGAGGACGCGCTGGTCAAGGTGCTGATGTGCTCGCAGGTGCGTCTCCGTGCGTGTGTAGCTGCCCAGGCGTGGTCTGGCCTCTGGGCTGCGCTGCTTCGACGGAGCTGACGGATGTGTTTGGCTTTTTACTTCCAGGTGGGTGGGAGCGTGCTGGCGTTTGTGGTGCGGTACGGCCTCGCGTGGCTGGTGTACGACGGGAACCGGAGGTAGACTTGTAATGCTAGCGCAGTCCAGAACCGAGGGGCGGGGCACGCCGCCGGGTGTGGGGTATCGGAGCCCCGCACTGCTCGTCCGTCGCCCGGAAGTCTGCTTGAAAGATTCCGCGCGCCAGCCCGCATCCGCCGCCCTTGCAGCGAAATGGAAGCTGGCGCTCCGGTTATAGACGATGCCGAGGCAACTGCGGTGCGTGCATGTTCCCTTTCCCTCATTTTCAGTGCCTTCGGAGGCGTTCGGACTGAGACTCCTTGCATCACATCTGATGGAATTGACGATTCCGGGATGTGACTCCGCGACGGAGTCAAGGAAAGTCAAATTGGATGCTGCATCCTGCAATGCGTGCACCCGCTCAATGTCCGAAGAGTTCATATGGTGCCCGCTCTGAGTTATGGAGGAGGCAGACATTTGTCGGTCGCACCCACTACTCGACGTGAAAAACTGGTAGAGATTGAAAACGAAATCCGAGTAAGAACTTCAGGAGTATGTTGTGGTGTAAAAACATAAGATGACTGCTCCGCGACACTCATATCCACCAATCAAGCATTCTGACCGAGAAGAGAGCGCAATGAAATTCTCGAGTCGGCCGAAAGGCTTGAGGGAGGCCGAGCCACGACGCCGCTGCATCGGGATCCGCCGTGGCTCATTTAGGGCAATCCAATCACATGTACGCCTGGACTGGGACCAAGACGTGGGTTCTAGCCAAGCGAGCAGTGAAATAACAGAACGTCCTCGTTTTCTCGAGTATCCATTCCCTTTCTCTCCACCACCGACATTCCCGCCGACTTCGAGCTCACCATGTCCTACAACGAGCGCGCTGCTTTTCAGGCCGAGGTCGCCAGCGTCGAGCGATGGTGGAAGGTCAGTGTTTTCGTATATCCCGTTGCGCTCCCCCCTGAACCCGGTCGTCTGCAGGAGCCCCGCTTCGCAAAGGCGAAGCGGCCATACACCGCCGCACAGGTCGTCTCGAAGCGCGGGACGCTCCCCATCTCCTACCCCTCCGATGTGCAGGGCAAGAAGCTCTGGGCTATCCTTTCGGAGCGTTTCAAGCAGGGTACACCCTCACATACCTATGGAGCGTGAGTCATTCAATGTCCGATTCTTTTCTAGTCAAGTAGCTCAACGTACTCGCCGTGTTCTCTAGCCTGGATCCAGTGCAGGTGACCCAGATGGCCAAGTATCTTGAGTCCGTTTACGTCTCCGGCTGGCAATCTTCCAGCACGGCGTCCTCCACCAACGAGCCCGGTCCTGATCTCGCAGGTGCGCATATACCCAGTGTATGCCTTCGAATTGACCTTAATACAACAATACGCAGATTATCCTTCAAACACTGTTCCGAACAAGGTCGAGCATCTTTTCATGGCTCAGCTGTTCCACGACCGCAAGCAGCGGGAGGCGCGTTCCAGCCTGACGGAGGAACAACTGGCAAAGACACCATACATTGACTATCTTCGCCCTATAGTCGCAGACGCAGACACTGGTCACGGTGGTCTCACAGCGACCATGAAGCTTGCGAAGATGTTCGTCGAGAAGGGTGCCGCTGGAATCCACATTGAGGATCAGGCACCTGGTACGAAGAAGTGCGGGCACATGGCTGGGAAAGTGCTTGTGCCCATCTCGGAGCACATAAACCGTCTGGTCGCGATCCGTTTGCAGTTCGACATCATGGGCGTGAGCAACCTCGTCATCGCGCGCACGGACTCGGAGGCGGCGACGCTCATCACGACGAATGTCGATGAGCGCGATCACCCCTTCATTCTCGGGTCCACGAACTCGAGCCTTCCCCCGCTGGTTGCTGTGCTGAGCGAGGCCGAGCGCGCAGGCAAGACGGGCGAAGAACTTGAGGCAGTTGAGGAGCAGTGGATGGCCGCCGCGCAGATCCAGCTCTTCTCCACGACGCTCGCGAACGCACTCAAGGCGCAGACAAACGCATCGCCGGCGACCCTCCAGCGCTTCGCGAGCCGCGTTGTGCACGTGTCGTACCCCACGGCCGTTGAGATCGCTAAGAAGGAGTTCGGCTTGCGCACCGTGCCCCACTGGGACTGGGATGCACCCCGCACGCGCGAGGGCTTCTACCGCTACCAGGGCGGCACCCAGTGCGCGATCAACCGCGCGGTCGCGTTCGCGCCTTACGCCGACTTGCTGTGGATGGAGACGAAGTCGCCGATCCTTGCGCAGGCGAGGGAGTTCGCGGAGGGCGTGCACGCGGTGTACCCCCAGCAGTGGCTCGCGTACAACCTCAGCCCGTCATTCAACTGGGACGCCGCGGGCCTAGGCCCGGACGATATGAAGAACTATGTCTGGGAGCTCGGAAAGCTTGGATTCGTGTGGCAGTTCATTACGGTGCGTGCTCGTTGATCCCAGTGTGGAATGGAAACAGTTCTTGACGTTTCCTGCGTACAGCTTGCTGGACTCCACTCGAACGCCTACATCAGCGATCTATTCGCGCGGGCGTTCGCGACCGAGGGCATGAAGGCCTACGTGGAGCTCATTCAGCGCCGCGAGCGTGACATTGGATGTGATGTGCTCACTCATCAGAAGGTACGTCGCTGCCGCTGGTGTTTTGATGGAGACTTATATTATCTTGCTTGCAGTGGAGCGGGGCAGACTACATGGACAACCTCATGAAGACCGTCACCGGAGGCGTGTCGTCCACCGCGGCTATGGGCAAGGGCGTCACGGAGTCGCAGTTCGGTCAGGGCCCGAAGAGCAAACTGTGAAGCGGTTTGAGTGCGGATCTGTATTCGTATCTTTTGAGTAGCTTTCATCTGCCTGTTATCAGTTCACGATCGTCAGTGTAAAAACGGATTTCTGATGCAGGGGACAACGTGCCAGGACTCTCACCTTAGCACCATTCCCTCCTTTCAACAAGTGCGAATTTCGCAAGAACGACGACAGTCAAGACTTTGGTGGAGGCTGTTGGCGTTGGCAAAATACAGCATGAGTAGTAACGACTCGGATTGAGAACGACCGTCGACGTGGGCATTTCGTGGGCATTTCATGTGGGAGTGAGGCGGCCCGTATTCCTGGCGCTCGCACCTGCGAATATGCTCTGCCATCGACTGTTATAGAGCTCCAAACTTGACTTTGTACTACGTGGTGCACGTATCCACCTTACAATAGTCTGGTCCACCCGGTGGTGTACTAGTAGTACTGCAGTGCGCGCAGCAGCGTCTCGATGGTAAGGTTCGTGTAGTCTCCCGAAGGCGAATGGTGGACACTCTACTTCAACCTTTGTATCTCAGGATATCCGTGTCTGACTCATGGACAGGTTGATGTTGTCCCAACCATCATGGTTTCTCGTACGGTGGTTGTCAGATGGATGCTAGCTATTTCAGAGGCAAAGGTGCGAGCGTTCGAACATCGATACCGGACATGGTCTGAGGTCTCACTGATGCGATGGTGGTCTGATTACTCGCCTGTAGAAATGTCGCATGCAGTGCAGCCATCGCCTCGCACTGACAGAGTGCTATCCTCGCATTAGTGAACCTTGAGTGAACCTTCATGAAGACTGGTGCGCGGCTGCGGCCTACCATGTCATGCTGGTGTCCGATCTCTGTTCCGATCACCCTGCCTCCGCGAAAGTTCTCGGTTTCAATTGCAACTTGACACAGTACATGCCAATTGAAGTTTTGGGCAGAGATAGGGACGTGGGTCCGTCTTCTTGGGATTCTCGCGCGCGTACGCTTGTCAGGACGTCCATACTTAATCTGCAAGGTAAGCTCACTTGGAACCGTGTTTCAGGATGACGTGCTGACTTCGGCGATACGCTTAGGCGCACCCAAATTGGTCGACGAGTCTTCATCTCCGGGACTCAATTAAACAATTGAATTTGCTTTGCAAAACAGATTGCGCGTAATGGTTGCGCCGCGATAGCACGGTATGTAGCATCCGTGCGAGTCAACAAATCCGGGTTGGTCTCGAGTGAGGTAATGTACAGCAGGTTTCGTCCCTGTGTCTCCGCAGAGAACTCGGCTCCCTGCCATGAGCGTTCGCTTCCTCGTCCAAGCATGGTGAAATTGGTCCGTTACCGTCAACGACAACTTTGCAACCAACTACTTAGCGTTGCAATTGGGGCCTAGTACAATGTCACATAAGCTCAGGGTTCGATACTTACTCGAGCACAACTTTTAGAGCTTAAAGCCTCGTGGGTGAGGCGCTCTGCTCTTGCGCCCCAGACTGTCCGACCCATCTCTGATATCGCACCTCTAACCACTGTTTACAACTAGGGTTGAAGAACCTGGGTCTGTTAACAAGGTACGTTCTCAAATTTATCGGTAGTGAGCTAGGTTGTATCTCAAGTCCATGAGAACAGATGGGCAACGCTCCATCCTCGGTTTCTAGTGTCGTAAACACCATATGAGAAGCCATCGTATCGTTTGTTATTCGTCCCAATCCAATTGTCCAGGCATTGCGGAAGCACGCAGGTGAGGTGAAATCCGACGCTGCGAAGACATAATCATGACACTTGAGGTGCAGAACAAAGCGTAGCAGAAGAGCCCCCGAAAGCGACTCATCAGGAGATGATTGAAGTTGCAGGCCATACACAAGAAACCGACCAGCGGTTGATAGCACGGATCAATCCTGAGATCTGGCCAACGCAGGAGGAGATCCACTCAGCTATGAAGCGGATTGACTATCAGGACGGCGTTTTCCACTGCGCTGTGGCAGGCATCGCCGGGAGCGGCAAATCCTCACTGATTAATGCCATCCGCGGTCTCTCCAACTCAAAATCGAAGCATCCTGACGCAGCTGAAGTCGGGAGTACCGAGACCACCAGACATGTAACCCGATATCCCGACCCCAACCCGAAGAAACCAGTGGTCTGGTATGACATTCCTGGTGCAGGCACTTTGACTGTCCCTTCCCCGCAATACTTCAATGCACAAGGGCTCTTCCTCTTTGACTGCATCATCGTCCTTTTTGACAACCGATTCACCGAAACCGATGTATCACTCCTACACAATTGCAGTCGCTTCAACATCCCATCGTACATTGTCCGCTCCAAATCCAACCAAGGCATTAAAAACACGGTGGAGGAGATGAGGGAGGATGATGAAGAGTGCGAAGACAGCTTGTTGTATGAGCGGGCGCGGGAGAGGTTTACCGCAAGGGCGAAGGAAAGCGTGAGGGAGAATTTGAGCCGGGCGGGACTGCTTGATCAAAGGGTTTACATTGTATGCCGGGACGGACTGCGAAAAGTCGTCAAGCCGGAGGAGAATTCCCAAGTGAACATCAAGGTGGTCATTGACGAAGAGGTACTGTTGCAGGATTTGCTCAAGGAAGCTTACGATAGACGAGTGGAAGACGCAGGTGAGCATTACACGCTACTTGTGGCAGCGTATTTGATCCGATTGGTTGTATTCGTCGATGTTCTTCTTTGTAGCCGTAGCGAAATCCGCTCTGGCCGAGCGGATAAAACAACTCTGGGCAAGATGTCAATTAGCAGCTCCGCAGTGGGTACCCCACGCGAGCTAATGTGGTCCGCCTACGGAAGACTTTCCATCGGGATGGGTCCTTAAGATTTGAATGGTGGACAGAACGATGCTATCACACTGCGGTGGCGATCGAACTAGATATAGTTTGCTTCATTTTTCTCTCTTTATAGATCACCCCTCAGCTTAACCTCGGAAATTGTAGAATATTGTCGTCTGTGCCAATCTGGTAACCTTGTAACGATGCACGAAGACAAGCGAACTTTACTGAGTCGACTGTAACACTCAGGGTGGAACCGCGCGGAAGTATGGTGGAAGTACGTCGCGGTGATTTTCTGCTGCGAGGGCCGGCGTCTGGGGCTAGGACTGGAAACACCTCTTAACTTTGGATTACCCATTGTAACTTGGGGTGTCTTCGCTGCTGTCCGCTCCTTTGAACAAACTGTGCACGGCGTGAGCAAGGTTGAGGCCTATGTCTTTGTGTCCTTCTATACCATCAAGTTTTGCTGGCTAGGTCGGAAACTTCATCGTAGGGAGGCTTTCTGTCCGGCTACCCACCCCACGATGTTAGGCAGACTGCGACGTCATTTCGGTCGCGCTCGGCTGCCAGCTGCAGGGTTAAACGTCGTACATCCAGTTTTCTCACGCCCGAAGTTATCTGTGGTCGAAGTGAATCTTACATGTTTGGCACAAAGGAGTATCACACCATCCGTCCTCGCCTTCGCGGGGGTTATCACATCCGTCGTCGCTGGTGCAGGTATCGCCCCTGTTGCAGGATGTATCGGACCCGTCGTCTCCAGTGTGGTGGCACCGTGGATAATAGCCAGCTTGTTGACGACCTTCATGTCGTTCTTCATTCGTCCTGATCCAGTTATCGAGGAATTGCAACGGCACGCGCGTAAGGCGAAACTCGACACGGTGAAGACATGATACTCACCTTTGAGCACAGGGCAAGCTGTCGCGGATACATACGAGAAAGAGGAACATTACAACGCAGTAGATCAGCCCTTGATAGCTAAAATTAGTCCAGAAATCTGGCCAACGCAGGCCGAGATTGACATAGCTGAGAATCGGGTCGTATACAAGTATGGTCTTTCCACTACGCGGTTGCGCGCGTCGCTGGGAGGGGAAAATCTCCATTCATCAATGCTAACCAGAGTCTCTCCAACTCGAAATTACAGAGCCTCTATGCTGGGTTTGGCAGTACCGAGACTACCAGAGATGTGACTCGGTATCCCGATCCCATGGAGGATTTATGCACTCCACCCCCCAAGTTCTGTTTTGGGTATCTGTTGTACAAATTGCGATGGCTCAACTTCGTTTTCTCGTCTTCGGGATCTTCCAAGTTGTTAGTGAGCTCTGATGTCAGCTTATCTGTTTGGTCGTTCTTATAGGACCTGAACAGGACGCCGAGTTTCTTCCAGCAGCGAACCATACTGAACACAGCCAACCCGTGTTCGCGCTTCAGTGATCACCGCTTTCATAAGTTTGATTCGTATGATGTGACTTGCATTAATGTTCTAGGAACACCAACCTAATTCCCTCCAGAATTTGGACAACGTCCAAACTGCACTGGATGGATTGATGTGCCTTGCCACAAAGCTGATCTTCTGCATACTCCGTTCCTGCTACCGGAACACCGTCTTGAAGTTTCTAAGGTAGTCCCAAATCTTTGCTTACGTATCTTCCTCTGTTGCTTCATGGCGCAAGTCTCGCCCCCAGCTAGATCTTTCACTCAGCCTCCATATCGCCGTGTTCAAGACGACAATGCTCCTCCGAAGTCCATGGATTATGTTGCAACTGCACCATCTGCTGCGACTTGTACTAGCCTTCTCTGGAGTCGTCTCGCTCCTCGATGTCTCGGAGTATTGCCGCAAGTAGTGGCTCGTTGCAACGATGCGCTACCACAAAGCCGGAAGCTGATGGTTATACATTGTGTCCATTCTAAAGCTGCACTCTCACACGGCTATTGTGCCCTTCCGGTCAAGCACAATCTCCATGATTGTTTCGGATGAGCGTTTACTTATGCCTTCCCCATTGAAAAGCTGTCGGTGACACACAGGAACGCGCTTCACACCATCTTTCACGTCAACCCCTTGCGCTATCATGTCCTTGCGTCGAGATTGATCTAGGCGCATATGAATCTTAGTCACCGGCGTCATCGTCGAAATATTCAGACGTGGCTCTTGCCCGTTTCCAAGAAATTCGAATTACACGACGAGGTATAAAAGCTTCAGTTAGTAATCAATTCATTCCACCCATCCTCTCTTTGCGGTACCAGCAGCTCTCAATATGCGTTTCCAACCTCTCGTCGTTCTCTCCACCTTGGTCGCTCTCGCAGGACATGCTGCCAGCAGCCCTACTAAGCGCCAGACGATCTACAACTACGGGACGATCGACGAACCAGTCGTAGGCACCGCCATCGCTCCGGGAGAGACATTTCCTTTCGAATTCACTTCTGTGAACCTATGCGAATCTGGATACAACCCAGTATCAGTCTGGCTACTTGCTGAGCCGCCATCGGACGAGACCTTCGCAGTCAGCGGGAACTATGGCGGGTTCGCCTCCGGCGACTATCTGTACCAGTTTGGCGACTACCTGATTCCGAACTTTGGTAGGCACATCGTCATGCGAGGACATCTTCGAGGCTCGGAAAGCTGATTCTCGTGTCCTCTCAGGCCTCCCCCCGATGAACACTCCAGTTCCTTCCTCCCTCGTCATGCCTGATCTGTCGGCCTTGGGTGAGGGTGTGTACAGCAATGCTACGCTGTACCTCGCCGTTGTGGAGACCTATCTCGATTGCCCGGTATGTGTACTGATTGCGGATAATTGCATTTCTACTAAAGATTTATTTGCTCCATGAACAGCCCGATATCCCGGCGGAGTATGGCGTCACTAGCAATGCGATCATCTATAACACCTCTAGCTCCTAACGGTTTCGTCAAAGTTATGCGAGATACCGTAAGGGTTTGGGGGTTCGTAAAGCACAATTATTGAGGCCAATATTATAATACTTCTAGAACTTGGGTTGGTTCATGCGTGTGGTTCTCAAGACAGAGACCCTAGCTCTGTAGATGCACGGTTGCAGATAGACTTTCTTGTTCTCCGTAGACATCATCATGTTCTAACGCCACACGGAAATGAAAAAGGAAGTTGATCTTCCGACCACACATGTGGTTCAATTTGAAGATGTCCACTGCAGGAAACTAAATCCTGGATAATTGCAAAACCACATCAACGCAGCGCGCGCCCGCACTATCGTAAGTATGTGTACCAACAGGAAAAGATACCCCGAAGCACAGATCTCACAGATACGGGCTTCCTATAATGCCATAGCATATGCCCAGCTCTACGAATCCTGGTATATTGGTGGAGGTTCCATTCGTTCTGAGTGTAGCCTACAACGGCCAGCGCGCTTCCTCATCTTCCACAACAACCCTGAATCTGCAGTAACGGTACATGAGTACAATTCTGTTGAATAGTTGGTTGCACTACCAGCTTTAATTGGATCGTTGTCAGGGCACCATCCGATGCAGTAACCGTCAAGCGTTTTTTGGTAAGCGCAATTGATCCACCGATTTATGTTCTGCGCTGTAAGTACAACATCTTTGCATGGCGATGGCACAACACCTGGTGTTGGTTGAGTTCGGGGAGATGATTGTGACAATTGTCTAACATGTGAGAGCAACACTGTAGTCGGAATATTGGTAGTACTTGTGACACAGCTTACCTCTATGTTGGATACATCGTAGATATTGTATTATTCGAGTTTCCTATCAACGTCGGGAATTTCCTTTCTGGTCAACCACATGATGGGTCCATAATATTACTTGGTTGACAAGCGACGCCTGACACAGTTTCTACAGTGCCTTCCATTCACTCGCTGTAACCACTCTCGATCTCAGCTGATGGACTCCATAGAGCGCATACACGCTGCTTCACGCTTTCTCCTACAGTCACCTCCAGGGGAAATTAACGACGTGCTCAATGGTACGAATATCGTATATTTATCATCGCCGGGACTGATGGCATGACTCTGTCAGATGTCCGGAACATCATCTCGGACGATGATTCACTACAGGAGGGCGTGCTTCCTGCTCTGCGAGAGTACAACCTTGCTCAGTTTATGACAGTAGACGTGCCTGGTCATCAGCATCAGGTGAGTCGGACAACTGGATCCAAAGAATACCGTGGGCTGTGGATTGACGTCCGTTCTCGCATTTCTTTGTGTCAGTCAATTGTGAGCGAAGCAGCCAGGCTTCCAAAGGCAGAGGAAGATAATGCGGAGGATAGATTCTGGGATCCTCGCTCAAGAACGAGTTTCCAGTTCGACCATTTGAGTCTCGTGCGTACTCACTACTCGTGGACTGAGCTGCATTGAGTGACAAAACAACCGTGTCATGTCTTCTTAGGAAGCATCAGATCCACAGCCTACTGATCCGGACGCGGAATCGGAGCCCTTCCGGTATGGGCCATAGTCAAACGGTGTCTCCTCTTGTCTCACCCGCAGACCAGAGCAGCGCTAGAGAGCGCATCACTTAAATATCTGGCCGCGCATTTCCATGACGGTGTTGCGTCAGTATTCCCAACGCCAGGATCTTCGACGCGTTTTGCAGTGCAGATTGTGGCCAACAAATATAATCCCGCAAATTTCTGGTGCGCATGTCACCTCCCGCTTTGTGTGTATGGTGGATGATGTCGCGTAGGTCCGGTAGATGGCGCTCGGAATACCTGGTCGATCTGGAGGAGAGGCTGTTGCAAGGAAAGATCCTCGTGAATGTACATTACTACGAACAAGGCAATGTCTGTCCTCATTGTCACTCAGACTTCCTGGTGACAAAACTTATATCTCACTCCTGTTTCTTCAATCAGGTACAACTATCCACCACTCATTCCATCACACTTGCCCTACCTCCGACAATCACGCCCTTATCAGCACAATCGTCTGCGTCGAAATTGTTCGCGCTCATCGAGGCAGAAGAAGGGAAATACCAGACCTCTCTAAGTGATGCATACACCGAGATGAGTGAGAAGACTTTCAAAGGCTTACGACGCGCGTTGCCCATGACGCGCTCAAAACTGGATTGGGATAAGGTTTGACTACGCTGTGCACCCTGACTCTCCATAGTTGATCGTCTTGGTCTGCAGGTCTTGGGCTACAAACTCGGGGCAGAGTTGACGTCGAGCAGGGGCGGATTTGGGGCATCTTAGTTGGGTCGACTACGCGTATTCGGAGGTTTGCGTATGGCGCGCCTCCATGGAAACGGTGAAGGAGATGTAGGCTAGTAGACGTGCACCCGTCCAATGCACGGCAGTAGAAGCGCTGTCATTTGTCACTTCCGCCCAAGACACCGTACGATGTTGTTATACATGGAGGTTTTCTTGTTCTATGACTTAGAGGCCCAGCTGATTGCACTTCAGAACCTGCTGCCACACCGGCGCGACACCATCCTCCTCGCATCCGACCTGCATACCGTTATCCCGCAAAATGACGTACTCCCTGTGAGGTGTCTGAACGACTGCTAGTGCAGCATGTAATGGCTGGCCGTCCGAAGTGGTGAAGTGCACGCTCTCGACGTGGTGGTGTCTGCAATGAGACGTTTGAGATTGGTCCCGCCGCCTATTATGAAGATACAATCGCACTCACTCTGGCAAATATAAATTGACAAGTTGTGTCTTAGACTTCGTATTCCCCGGAGGAACTCGCGTAGGGAGCCCGGCAAAGTCTTGGGCCATCTCCGCCGCTGACATCCATTGTCCACTAACACTGCGGAAACCGCTGTAAATATGCAGACGGAAAACAAACCGAACATGACTTACCTATTGCCAACCACACACGCCAAGACATAACGCTCCGCCACGACACGTTTCGCAGCACCGAGATCGCCTTCCCGTGCAATACGCGCCTGCCAGAGCTTGCTGACGCCGCGTGTGTACTCTTCATGATTTGTCCATCTGATATGCGAGAGGAGGGAGTCGTCCGGACGACCATCCGGATACGTCAGGCATTCTGAGATATATGCTGACCAGTCAGCACGCAGAGGGACGACGCTGTCAATGACTCTTGCAGCAGGGTCGTCTTTAGGTAGCGTATGCCCTACAACTTCGCATGTCGCCTCCAGAACATGGAAAGATACCTTCTGTGGGACTACTCCATCGGACGGTCGAGACAAGACTGTAACACTCCAGATCTCGCCCTTGATGACCTCTTGAGCATCGACGACAGTACCGCATAGCCACAACCGAGAATCGTTCTTGCCATTGTACGTTCCGAGCGACAGCGCGAACCAAAGTCTTGTCATGACAAATCTACCACGGATATACAAGTCAGGTAAGTAATTGCACCGGACTGGATACCGACGATCTTTGAGCAGCATATATGCGCACCTTAATATCACAACGATCTGGCGCTCACTATCAGGACTGGCCCATATGCGATCTGCAATTGGATTTGGCAAGCCATTGGACTCGAAGAACTCAGCAAGAAATGAATGCTTGTACGCCTTCCGGCGCTGCAGGACTTCCGCCTCCCGCAGACGGAGGTAGGGCCACATATTCGTCATCGCCTGCGAGTACCGCTGAGTAACATCCTGCACGAAGCGTTGGCCGCTATAGTTGTTGTTGAGGAGGTGGGAGGCAGAAAGATAGACTGACGCATAGTGGAACAGACACAGATATCATCAGCATGTAGCGAGAGGCACCGTCCTTCATATCCCACAAAATGACGAAAGCGGCAGAAACTCACTTGCATATCGGAACATGCGTGAGACTAGCACACATCGCCGGCGCTCTTCGTTCGAAAGTCCACTTAGGATGATCGCCCAACGATGAACGCGCTTCCGCTGCGATAAGGAGGGCGGGAGCGTTATAGGAACAAGACTGGGCACAGCAGCAGCGCGTGGAAAGTCCAGATAGCAGAACACAGAACGTATATGCCGCTGATCAGCTTGTACATCGGTTATATGCTGAGTAAGACCGTCCACTGAGTGGTCAGAAAGTACCGCAGGAGGAGGTTGAGGCGCTGTGTCCTTGGCGGGTGGTCTGCTGACTATAAGCGGCTTAAAGCGGTTGGCAGATACGATGGAAGGAGGTACAGGTTGTTCATCCAGTATTCGAACACGACCACAAGGTGCTGCTCTAGGAGTCGTTGGGATGGCGTCTTGGAACGAGATAATAGCAGGTGATTGTACGGGTGCTGATGACAGAGGTGAGCGAGGGGCAGGAAGACCAGGAACCTTGAATGTAGTTGATGAAGGATGAATTGGCAGTACTGAAATAGGCTTGGAGGCGGTGACTGTATGCTGCAACTTCTGTCTCTTAGAAGGTGCCAGAGAAGTATCTTGGAGTCTCTTTGTCCCAGTTTTCGAATTTGGAAGTCGCAAGGAGGCATCAGAAGCAGAAGCAGCAGAAGAAGCACAACTTGTAGAGGAGGAGGAGATGACAGAACGCTCCTTCTGCCCTTGAGATATAGGTAGAATTTCAGGTTGTAATGAAAGCTGACTGTCTTTTTCCAACGACTGCTCACTACCAGAGAGCAAAACAGGAGTATCCTGTGCAGTAGCGGAAGATCTGACAGAGAGAGCTGGTACACACGAAGCTATTCGCAGAGGAGAGTCTGCAGTGGTAGAAGCTGGACCATGGGATGGCAATGCGGTAGTTATTCCATGCCCCGAGTCGGAGGTTGAAAGAGAAGAAGTACTAATAAGGGGAACAGGTGCAGTCGACGAATAAGCTGAAGGAGGGCCATCTTTGGGATTCTGTTTGCGTGGTTTGGTCTTCTTCTTGCGAGCCAGCTGAGTGTCCTTCGCCGCACTAGCAAGCGACGCTGTAGCTGGAGAATTTCCAGTGGCGGTGAAATTAGATGTACCAGCAAGAGGTGTGATCTGCGCGTTCGTCGACGGACTTTCTGCCACTGGTCGAGGAATAGCAGCTCCACCAGCGGCGGTATTCGACACATATCCAGAGTCTGTCAGCTTCTGTATTAGCACGCTTTTCCCCAGCTTCGAGTATCCTGTAATATTGCGCTCCTTGCATATGGCCTTCAGTTGCGGAACAGTGAGTTTCTGCAAGCTCATAGCGGTCGAATCAGCCATCGTAAACTCTACTGAATCAAGTAAATGAACAGTAAAAAATATAAGCAGAACGCCTGCGTACGTGCCTTGTTATGGCAACTTTTGGATTGTATGAGTGGGTTGGCGGTCAAGATCCACGGCCCGGGCGCTTGCAACCGTGACAGCCTCAGTCTGGAGGCGTCGGACAATCACGATCACGTGCACAGTCTCCGGAAAACCCGTTGTAAAGTGCTGTATATAATAATGGATGCCTTCCCGTAGCCGTTTAGAAACGTTCTAAACTAAATTTCGTCTCTAAATCAGGCCGGCACGTCGGCAAATTGATCTCCGCATACCGTGAGAGCAAAGTGAGCTCTTTCTAAACCTTATATCTGGAAGGGTCGACCCCCTCCAGATTCTAAACGTCTCTCTAAACGATGATTTCGATCTCCGCCCACTCGCAATGCCCATCTTTGCCTATATTTGGTGCTGCATATTGCTTACATCATGCTGCCGCTCGTCCTCCGACCCTCTAGAACTTGGTTTGATCATCATCATGTTGCGACGCTACGGTTTCACAAATCCTGCTGTTCCGACACAGTGGGGTGTTTCGCAGTCCGCTTTGTGATTTAGAAGTGCTCCAAATCCTACGGGAAGGCATCCAATCTCCGGAATAGCTACCTATAATTATAAGCCTACATGAACAAGCTGGAATATATTACATGTGAGTAAATGGAACTGTATACGAAATTTAATGGCCAACATAGTCTGCTATCCTCAGGCTGCTCCCGCTACTATTGGAAGTTGGCTGGAGACAGTACTTGTCTTGTTTGTTTCTGCCGCGATATACTCGCTTTCATGACACGGTCGTGTTTCAAATTTCATCTCTCATTTACTGTTACAGTACTTCCTCCAGGCTAAGCAAACTACAGCACAGTAGCATCAACTCGGGCTGCCACACTGCAGCGCAGGTCCTTCACCTCCATAAATCGGGTCCCTCTCCAGCCAGCTTAGCTTCCTGATTCTCCCCCAAATTTCTTCCTGGTCTTCTCCCTTTCTTCCATCTCCATAGCACATGTCCCATTCCTCCGCATTCAGGGGGTATGAACCCACCATCTCGAAACTCTGCTCCAGGCCATGACCTGAGGACAGATCCTCCAGGAGACGATGAGCAACACCTGCAGGTAAAAGCATAGCATCCCCCCTCTGAACATCAACTATAACTGCCCCTGGGTTATCGTCACCACCAAAGAGCAGCCGTGCACATCCGGAAGATATTACGAGCAGCTCGTGCGTCGTGCTGTGGAAGTGCGATGTCTGGTACATCAGATATCGCCACTGAGGTGCCATTATGCCGACCTGGTTCAGGTGCTTCTCGATTTGCGAAGCATTGAGAGTGGGTGAGGTGAACGCAGAATGGTAGATCAAGAGTGGACGATTGTGCAGGGTAGTGTTGGGAATGTGCTTATGTGCAGGGATTAGATATCGGGTGGTGCGGAGAGATGTGAGAGGAGTGAGGGGAGTAGTCGAAGTCATATGGATGTTCGTCGAATCTACAATGGCTGTCAGTGGGTGAGTTGTGTTGAAAGGAGGTGTTGGAGTATGATGACATCCTGTTCCGATTTATCAGATAAGATATTATAAAAATCGACCATATGTGGATTTTTACAACAGCTGCTTATCTGGGGGACATGAAATAACGAGAAACGTCCAAGATCAAGTACTAAGTACGTGCTATAGAGACGGTAATTATAATTTCGTCGGCGGACGCGTCGACGCGTCCGTGAGCACGTGATGAATTGCCAGCCAATCACAGTTTGTCTCTGACGCGAGCTCTAACAGACTCACATTGTACATTCTCTCGTCATCTCTGTAATCCAGCCATTGATATTCTACCCAGGAAGAAGATGGCTATCATGGAAACCGCCAACGGAGACTCGGATGTCCTGCGCATATGGTCCTTGCTCACAGAAGTCTCCGAGCAACTCTCTCAGAACCGCAACCTCTCTATCTCGCTGAATTCCGTGGCCGGTGGTATCAAGGTACATATAGCTTATGCTTCTCAGTGCTGTGGCTGCCTTTGAATCAACATTGTTGCGAGTTAGAACCAAGCAATGCATTCTCAGACTGGTTTCGTGCTAAGGAGGTATGTTCCATCAAAGTAATGTTGCGGTCCGTATCTCACGTTGCGTGACATGAAGGTTTAACCTGGACAAGTCAAAAGGTATTCGTGACTCTGTCAATCTTTCGGGAGATATCCTTTGTCACAGAGACGCATACCATCCTTCCTAACTCAGTTTCACAGAGGCATACGAAGCTGAGCTTGAACGCATGAACACCTCAATGTCACAAGAGAACCAGACATTGCAGAACGATAACAGGCAACTCAATACGCTTATTCGCGAATACGAGCAGACATTGGAGAGCGTCATGAGCACCTTCCGTACCCGCGCCGTAAGCATTCTTCCTCCATGTACTCCGTGCGCAGCAGAAATTAACACTGTCATATGTACAGCACGAGGTACAACAGCATGAACTTGCACGCATGCGTTCGTACGAGCGCGCCATCGTCCAGCGTGAGACGGAGGCGTTGGCTGCGGCACTCTCCGCAAGTAATGTGCGCTCTGCGAGCCTCGCCCGTGTTGGACGCTTACTTCGAGCGATTATGCGCAAATTGAACGGAGAGGATGTGCAGGTATGTGAGGCGCTCGCACTCGCGGAGGGTTCAGAAATTGGACATCACTTCGCATCGTCGTCCTCATCCACATCCATGGCACGGGGTAATGTAGACGAGGAGAAGGATGGGGAAGACGTCAATGGGAGAGAAGAGTGCAATGCCGAGGACGAGGGCGAGGGTTTGGAGACTAAGAGATACGCGAAAGACGAGTGTGCAGAGCTTGAAGCAGAGTTGGTGGAGGACGAAGACCCAGAGCACAGGCTTGCAGCCGCCGAGTGGGCGCTTGAGCGGGATAGCGAACTGGCGCGACTCGAGCGGGAGAACGAGGAGTTGCGCAGGCTCCTGAATGGTGTTCTGAACGCGGACTCTGCTGCTACCATGCCGCGCCCTCCACCCGTGTCTCACCCCGTCACGAACGGGGAAAAGGCTCGCGAGACTAGCCCGGAAGGGTCGGAAGGATCATCGAGGTCGTCAAGTCCGACACTCGTGGATGCTCCGAGCTCCAGAACCCTGAGGTTACTGGGTGGGCCGCCAGGGACAGTGGGTCCCTTTGGGACGTACAAGAAGCATGCCTCAGGTTGAATATAGATTTAGTTGATGTACTGGTGAGGTTCGTCTTCTCGAGCTCAAATTATGCCATCTCATGCTGAGGAAGTTTGTCCAGAATGTCGAGCCTTCCACTCATGCTGCCAACCTCATGCCACCTACCACAACCTCCATTGTCCAGCGGATGGGGAGGAGATGCCTACTGTTCACACACCTCGTTGCGGCCAGGTTTGCATGCAAGCTTCATGCGCTTCCCGGTGTATATCCAGGTAAACCCTATAAGACGTCGTTTAACACCTTGCAGTCGTTGTGCAGAACCGGGTTTGGCAGATGTGGCTCTTGGGTATTGGAAACTGGGAGTGAGACGACGGTTCAGGCGATGTCAACAATTATCTAGCTGTGTATATCTCGAAGCTAGAGGTTTCGTACTTACATCGAGTAGCGACTGTGTCTGCCGATCGATCGCCCGATATAATCTTCGCGCCAATATGATGGATGCTTGTGAGCTCGAGTACATGCACCGCCACAACAAATACAAAACACCAAATATATTTCGGTAGAGTTATACATAGCACTCACAAAAAACACCGAGAGCACCACATTTGCCGAGGATCATGACCGGGTATGGGTATGCAATATCTGAGGCGTGTTAGCGAGGCGGACAAATGGGTGTATTGGCGATAGCCATGCAGTAGACCCTCCTGTACAAGCGTGCACATTCAAGTACTGTATGTCCTAGCGGTCAGCGCAGGAACTCAAGCCCCCCAGCAATGGCATCCCCAGCGTGAAGGATCGAACGTAGCGCCATAGAAGTAGGGTAGAGTCGGGAGGTCAGGCATCGTATTGTATCGTCCAATGGCCGAGAGTGCCACATTATTGCTAGGCTGCTAGCATAGAGGTCGCGACGGGAGACTCACACGGAGTGTCCCAATAGGTGTCGGACGGGTCTGCATATGGTGGCTCAACCCAGTTTGTATCCTCGCAACACACGAGAGCGACGAAAACAGCGCCAACCTTGCACCTTCGGATCCAGCCACAGCATTCACACCATCACGAAAATCCGATGCAATGTCTCAAAATCGTTGGCATTCATGTAGCGTACCATGACTCGCCCGAGCTTCTTCGCCGCGGAGTCCCAGAGACCCTGGAGGTTGCATTACCAGACACATCTGGGCTCCACGAGAATAAGGTGCACCACAATATGCACAATCTATGGAAATTTCTGCACACATAACTGTCAGTAAAAAGTCAAATCCCCCAACATTGACACGGTGTACACCATGGAGCAAAACCAGCTCGAGGATGACAACAGTACGCATATGAGTCTCCGCACAGCGACACAGAATTAAAACTGGGGAGCAAACAGCTCGAGAGTTTCGGAAAAAAATAACCCGTGCTCCACGGTGAGAGGGAGATGCAAGGGAGATCGTATCGATGGTGAAAAGCGAACGTGTGTTAGTTTAGGGCGGGCTGACGAAGACTTCAAACAGCACCTTCTTAATCCGGGATCCGGAAAGCCGATGAAACAAGACTTGTGCACTAACAAGCCATGCGCAAGAACGTCGGGAACTCTATCAAGTCAAAGACTTACTAGATAGCCTGAGCGCCAAGGATCGTGGAGGTTCGTAAGATGTGACAAGCTATCATCAGCTTCGGTCACAGTGGTGTGACTCTGGTCAGCGCTAAGGTAAAACCAGATCACGCCCCGATGCACCGTGAATTGTTGGTGTCTTCAATTTGCTTCTCGACGACTTACACAAAGTACTGTCCACACATCGGTCCAAATCCCCAGTACCTGACAGTCTCAAAACACATACTCTAGCCGATGCACGTCGAGAGCTACAAGAATTATCTCGCAAATGGGGTACCTCCAATCCAGGCTGGCTCAGATGACTCGTTCGCCCTCTACGATCTCCGTGTAGAGGTCATCTGCCCACTCGGCAAGCGCATCATGTGCGGAGCGAAGGAGGGAGACTACTTCACCCTCGAGGGAGAGATGCTGAAACTCCCGCCGGGCCAGGGAATCTCTATTTACTCGCTAGGTGCTTCTTCTTCCCCGTCATTTGGTCACTTAGTTTTCGCCAACCTGTTGCTGATCGCCAGGATCCGTGCTCCCTCTACTGGCGGCGAAACAGCGAGTCACATCGTCGAATGACTGGATGTCCACGGATGCGGAGATAGCCTGTCCTGATCCCCATTGCCCGAGCAGGTTACGGATCATCCGGACGGGGATGCGCACTTTCAGACATGGAGATGTTACAGTTGTGCCTCTCCCATGCGAAGGGACTGCAACAGCAATGGAAAAATCTGCCCCACGTCTCGATGTGTCATCCGAACCCCCGTTACGAAATGATGATACAAAACAGCTGATCGCCATGCCATCTCCGTAGAGATCTACTGCAAGATCCAGAGGTGTTGGCTACTGCTTTACAGTCTATGCATGAAAGTCAGGGTCACTTCTCCTGGACAGTCTCCTCGAGTAGGGACAATGTGGGTACCATTGTAACCTATGCGTCAACGGCTTGGTCGATCGCCAAGTCGTGCTTCTCTGCCCACTCTCGAGTTACCTTCCATCTACCAATACCGAACCGATGATTCACTCCGTGCAACATTGGCACGCAAGCAGCGCCCTCACAACCGCCGGTTCCCGCCATCGGCACGAGGTATAATATCTCCTCAGCACCGACCCTTCTTTTACTCGAGTCGTCAAAAAATTGGTAGTGCATTCGTACACGGGCGCAGGACCAGCTATCTTCGAGCGACGTTAGTTAATTTCTATAGTCTCTCCGGAGTTCTGATTTCCTCCCGTCTGCGTGTAGGTTGTCTCATGGAAGCCCTCAGAACGCTTCGTCACCTTCGCGGCTTCGTGTGGCGCGGGATGTATCCCAAGCTGCCGGAAGATGTTGTGATGACCCTAGTTGAATCCTGTCCATCACTGGAGATCTTTGATGTCTCGTGAGTACTTCCTGGAATCGTTGGCCCATACTTAACCATCAGTGTCACAGTATTCCACCGTCACACGTGAATGCATTAGGGCGATACTGCACATTACACACGGCTCGTGCGTTATGAACAATGTAAGCGATGTGAGCAGATAATGTGCGCCGTTCTGCGGTGCAGAGTCGGTTAGATCGGAGTCCGAGTCAAGTCCTGCATCTGACGGAGTTTCGTTGACTGGGGTGGTAGAGGTACAGTCAGCCGGATATTATCTGATCGGACGTCTTCGAGTAGCGCGCATCCTTTGACATAACCTACGATATCGCGGGCATGACTATCAGGCTTGGACAAATACGCGGCACTAACTGCTTGGATAATATGGGAGTCAGCGACAGGTCAGCAAGTCGAACGTTGGATTGTATTTCGACCGGTATCATGTGTGGCCGTTACGAGTACTTACATATTCAAATTGACATGGTCGTTGGAGATTGAACTTCGGCGCACGGATAAGCCACTTCATTTGTCCGGCTGCTTACGGTCGGCACCTCACCTGACCAATATCTGCCAGATACAATCTTAGTGATACAATGTGGCGGAATACGCTTGGAAGCCCTGCGAGTCGCCACATCATTTACTTCCGAACCAATTAGAAAGTTTTTGGAAGCATCTCAAAAAATTTAGACCTTGTGACGGTTCTTGTGGAGGTAATCAACGATCCGGAAGGAGAGGGGGTAGATATAAATACGAGAGCGTACCCCTTCGTACCTCTCCAACCCACCTACATCTCTTTGTCTCTTGCACGTCTTTCCAACGCCTAAGAAGAAAATGTCGCACGCCAAGCAGTTCACGCTCTATACCCACAAGGGTGGGCCGAATGGTTGGTGAGTGACTTGGTTTGGTTGCAATCATCCAGCGATGCCGACTATGTATACGATACATTAGGAAAGTCGCGATCGTCCTCGCCGAGCTTGGCCTTACTTATGAGAGTGTTTACCTCGATTTTAACTCGGCCGAGCACAAGGGAGCAGCGTATACGAAGTACAATCCCAACGGCCGCATTCCCACAATTATTGACCACCACAACAATGATTTTGTGGTCTGGTATGAATGCGTTGCCACCCTTACGACCGGGCCATGTGCTAACACTCGCTGGTGTAGGGAATCCGATGCCATCCTCATTTATCTAGTGGAGCGGTATGACAAGGGGAACAAGATTTCTGTCAGCGGCGCGGATGACAAGATCATTCAGCTGCAGTGGCTGTTCTTCCAGGCCAGCGGACAAGGGTACGGCCAGTTGTTTTCTGCCGATGTCCCAGATTCTCACTTACTGTTTCTAATTTCTAGTCCGTACTACGGTCAGGGCATATGGTTTAAGCGCTTCCACGCGGAGAAGATCCCCAGTGCTATCGAGCGATACCAGAAGGAAACCATCCGCGTCCTCAATGTGCTTGAGAGCGTGCTCTCCAAACAAGAATGGCTCGTCGGCGGCAAGCCCACCATTGCGGACCTGTCTTTCATTCCGTAGTTTAACACTGTCTATCATTCAGTGTGGTGTCTGACTATTCATCGTGCCTAGGTGGAACAAGTTAGCTTTCGACGCACTGCTCGGCGATTACGAGGACTTTGAGCTTAGGGACTTCACTGCGGTTGCTGCGTAAGTGCGACTCATCGTGGACTTGCAGCTTATTCGCTTATCCCTGCATCACACAGTTGGCACGAGAAGCTCTTGGCTAGACCTGCCGTCGCTAGCGTCTATGCCATCAGGGATTCTCTCTGAGTCTGCAGCAGAATAAGAATCGAGTATATAATATTTCAGAGATTGTGAATGGTTCGTATCAGCGCCCTGGGATCGTCTTGTTCAGCTCCAGAACCCGCGATTTGTTACGCAGGAAATGCGGTACACTGATACCTTCGGCATCTGTGTGACGACGTATGTATAGTACAGGGAGATCGTCAACACGGGCCATATATGTGGTGCCGAGTGGGTAAAAGCGGCGTACAAGGTCTGGTCGGCACTTGCGCGCTACTGAAAGGCACTGTATCCCTCGAACGGTCATCCGCCGGACGTCGTAAATGCAGTTCAATGCCACGGCCCCTATACACATCCCATCAGGTTCTTCAGGTTGTAGAGGTATCTAAGTCATGCGCGGCCATCGTTGCGAATCCAATCCTGGATGGTGAAAGTCAACGCTGCACGATCCTTCTTGCAACGTTCTTTCCTGGTTAAGAAATTGGCATGCGACTTGTAACGGACATGATTCGCGCCCTTCGTATTTTGATCACAAATGCGCAGGCGCTGCTGCCACTTCGCAAGTAGGTGATCAAGATCGTCTCGCTGGCCCTTGTTTGCATCGGAATAACGCTGCATCTGCCATGAGAAGGCTAGCTCGGGAGGTACCTGAGCAGCTCCATTTTTAAGGACTGTGGTACGAGCATTGGTGTCACTTGGGCGGTCTACTGATCCCATTGGTAATTCTGGGACGTGACTCGAGGCCGCTGCTGTTGAATTTGTATATTGAGGTGCAACAGGTCCATACATGTCATCTATGTCGTGCATATCGACATGCATATCGACAAAGTCCTGTTCGACAGCAGACAAGCCGCCGCTGCTCGCTCCAGTGGCGGTCTCTTTCTGTAACGTCTGCGGGAAAGGACCGACCAAGGCAGTTCCGGAGGATCCGCGAGCAACCAAAGGGACGGGCTTTCCAAGAGCTCGAGAGTCTGTACCGTGAGCATAGAGATTTGGAGTGCGCGTTGCTTGGGTTCCAGGAGACAGAGGCGGAGAATTTCGGTCTGCGACAGTAACTCTACTAGATTTCGCTGAGATAGCATCAACACATGTGGAGAACGAGGACGGCGGACAGAGCGCTACTGGCGAAACACTCTGAGTCAAACACTGAGAAGGGCAGTAGGATTAGTTGCCTATGTAATTCATACAACAAGGAGAACTGTACTTCTGTGTTCTTGTTTTTATCGGTATAACTGATAGGGACACTTGTGCCGTCCTTGGGCATTCGATTTTGAGACCCTGCATTGCTCGATAATTGTTTGATTGAAATTCTCAACGACCCCGGAGGAGGATCCGCGATTGGCGAATATGTTGAAACAATACGCGATTGGGAGTGTTTCGACTTAACTTCGACTGATGCTGATGGCTGGGCATCTTGGGGGTCACCAGAACCTAGAGGAGCAGCCTGAGGTTCCGTGAGATCTACCGGGGAATCTACCCGTGAATGAACGTCTCCGACGGGTCTCCCTGGTGCTGAACGTTTGTCCGTGGAAGATGGAACTACATTTTCTGTTGAAATCCGTGATGGTAGACCTCAAAGGATTAGAAACGATTGGCCAAATACCTTGGTGTGTCAATGCATTTGTCACCATCAGCGCGTTAGATGGAAGTGACTGAGTACTCTTAATGTGTACTAGCTTCTCTTTCGTCGTTCCTTCACTGGTACTCTCGACATTCGCACCTGTGGGCTTCTTCGAACATCGTCTGCATTGCCATGCTCCAAGGCCATCCGTCCATTTTTGATTTTCATCCGCCTCGATCCGCCTTAGAATATCTTGTTCAGTCACTGGAGGAATATGACAGGCTGCAGGGGAAGGTGCGTATGTCAAGCGTCTTCAAATAGGCGAGGACTCCAACATACAGTGATGCCAGGATCGTTGACACTTGCAACAATCAAGGAGAAACGCTCGAGGACTATTATGCGATTTGTTACATCGCACACATTGCTTCTGTAAAGTGCTCATACTACTGACGATGCTGAGTGGCAAATGCTGATGCTGGCCATAGCCGTAATTATGTCAAGTGAGTCAGAATAATTTTGGTTGCAAGTCTAAATAACGTGCACATACATATTATGTAATAATGACGTCGTTCCAGATCATCTATTGAGTGCAGTAACATCCACTGGCAGAGGCTAATCACGGTTGTCTTGTGCTGTAATATTCATCATACTCTCTCTTTTACCATCATCCTCGCTGTCTTGTGCTTAGGATAATAGCCTTATGGCCTCAGTTGCTCAACCGCCCCAGAAATTGGGAGACCTTGTGCAACACCTCGTTGAACAGCATCGCACCGACATTCACGTTGACTCAGACACCCAACATCCTCAAACCCCTCCAATCCCAAACGCAAGCCACTTCACCCGCAGTTCTGGCGACTCCCATCATGGATGGAGGCTTCCAGCTGAACAAAGGACTCCGCCACCTAACACACCATCTGGGCGAACTGGTCCTCCGCGTTCTATCACCGGCAACTATTCATTCGCAGCATCCAATATTGTTGGCAGCGAATCCAGGGATGACTCTGCGCAGAGACGCGGCAAATCTCTCCTCTCTCTTGCTCAGATCCGGAGCGGTGAAGCTTCGGATTTTACTACTGCTACCACATCATTCCGAGGGGCACTCGAGTACGCGGACCCGGTGCAGAGAGAACGGGAAAGAGAGCTTGCGGAGAAGAAGGCTAGAAGACGAGACAGCGTGTTTCAAGATTCTCTAAATTTCAGGAGATGGATATCTGACTCGCCAAAGGAGGATTCCCCTCCTATCAGTTTGGAGAACGCGTCGACTCACGCCAACGATGAAGATATTGCTCAACAGACTCCGCAACAAGACTCTGGCACGTCTCGTATCCAAGTGAGCCGTACGCTCTCAACGCATATTCAAGACGAAGCGCGACGTAGTGCCGCTCCCAAGTGGGGCCGCTTACGTTCCCTGCTACCACATATCACTGGCCACTACAAGGGTGCTGAGAAAGCACCATCTACTGTCGTTCCTTATTCTGTGAATATCACAGACGAGTTGATCACCGGCGGCTTGTCTACGCTGATGCTACGTCTGTGGTTCGAGCGAGACGAAAAGGATCATCGAAGAGTCCCCATTATGTTTCACCGTCTTCGAATTCGCGTCAGCGACAGTCTTCACCCCCTGCATGGTCACAAGGCTGTATTCCGGATCGAATGCGAATACGCTAATGGCGCTGTGCGCTGGGTAGTATATCGCCAATTGCGCGAGTTCCTGTCGTTGCACACCCATTATGCACTGTCCAATGCATATAATCGAAATGTAGAGACTTTGCCCGAGTTTCCTCTCACAAGTAAGCAAATTCACGCTTCCGCCACTCGACGCACGACGATGTACGTTCCACAGGTCTTCCCTACTTCAAGTTCTTGAAAGAAGGAGGGAGGGATGTGGGACGAGCTGATTTTGCTCGTTTACAGCGAGAAGCGCTGGAGAACTATCTTATTGGCCTGATTCGCGCTGTTGTGAGTCTATCACGGCTGTATGTCTTAGTGGTGATATCCAATGATTTTTAACAGATGTTCCATCCCGCGTCCAATCGTTTAGCAGGATTTTTGGAGATAAGTGCCCTATCGATATCACTTGCCCAGTCTGGTGGTGCTCAGTACAAGGCGGGACTCTTAAGAATTGACGCGGTTGGAAGCAAGGGTGGTTTTGGGCGCAAAGGTACTCCCTGGAGGGAGCGGAAGGCCCAAAAGTGGTGTTCGGTTAGGGAAAGTTATCTGGTGGTTCACGAAGAAATGGGAGAGGCGAGTCATTTTTTCGATATTTTTCGTCTGAGCTCAACGCTGATACTTTTGAACTTTTGAACCTTAGCTTGCTGTTTGGGACGTCTTTTTGATCGATTCAGAATTCAAGATAGAACGTCCCACGAGATACTATCGACAAGGTCTCAATCTGTTTCACCAGTTCGAGGACGATCACGAAGAGGAAGTCCAGGATGATGGTCGAAACAAGCAGGTTGTTCAGAATGATGCACGCAGTGGCCATCTCAGCCTCGGCGTCTCTTCTCTGAGAAGTCGTATCTCCAGGGTGTTCCATGTCGGACATCGTGGACATCGCCGCAGTGACTCCCATCAGACGACAAGTGCTCATGCTGCAAAGGAATCGGCCGGTCATCAAATGGGTTCTGCTTCTTCTCGTTCATCTAACCTCTCCGCTGCGTATCCCTCTGATCGTCCGCTGACGCCTATGCTCGACCCGTCCACGAACACCAATCCGCTTTTGGCTCCGGATGACGAAGCGGAGCATGGGTATGATGCAACAGGAGACCAGAAGGACCAGAAGAAGCAAAGCCAGAAGGATGTTTCCAAGCATACTTTCTACATTGAGAACTCACAGATGAAGTTAAAGCTCTTCGCTCGCAATGAGGTTTGTGTCCCGCTTCTCTATGGTGGATCGGAGCTAATATCCAGATCTCTGGTTAGCGTCAGATGCTGCAGTGGATGGCAGGCTTGGAGAAAGTGGCGCGTGAATCCCATTATACGGGGAAGAACAGGTTCGACAGCTTCGCTCCAATACGATTGAATGTCGCCGCCCAGTGGCTAGTGGACGGTGTAAGTACGGTCAGCCGCCCTATGCACAAATAATTAATGTTTTTTCCCTCTAGCGAGATTATTTCTGGAATCTATCTCGTGCAATTCTGTTGGCGAAGGAGTCCATATATATCCATGACTGGTGGTTATCGCCTGGTCAGTGGCGCAGCGGCAGGTTGAATGTTCGTTCTTATACTCTTACAATGTTTCTAGAACTCCAGTTGCGACGTCCTAATAAGCCCAGGTATCGTCTAGACCACCTGTTGGAACGGAAGGCGAAGGCGGGTGTGAAGATTTATATTATCCTCTAGTATGTCGCGACCTTAGTGAACGATCCAATGCTCTGATGCTCCCTTCAGTCAGGAGGTGTCAAATAGAACAACCCCTACGGATAGCAAGCGAGTTTTTTTCCTCTTTAGATTGAAGATCATAGCTGATGGCACAAATCCTACAGCTACGCCAAACAAAGACTTACAGCTCTACATCCGAACATCATCGTGCAGCGCTCACCATCCCATTTACAGACAGGAACATTCTACTGGGCACATGTGAGTGGTCGGACTTGTACGCAAACAAGGAGAGACAAACAGAGATTTACCACCGTCAGCACGAGAAGTTGTGCGTTATTGACCAAGCAATTGCATTCATGGGCGGGCTTGATCTTTGCTTTGGAAGGCATGGTTTCTGACTGCAGTACCTAATTGTCCGACGTGCACTCATGGTTTGTACAGATGGGATACACCACAGCATGTCCTTGTCGATGACCCCGACCCTGTATCGGGAGGTTCAGAACATATTTGGACAGGTATGCGCACCGCAATTTCGTGTTTGAATTCCTTTTGACTCTGGTCCAAGGCAAGGATTACAGTAATCCTCGGATCCAAGACTTCCATTCTCTTAACAAACCTGACGAAGACATGTATGATAGGACCAAGGTTCCCAGGATGCCCTGGTAGGTTGGTGTCTTGCAATTTGTGCGCTGCTAATGATGGTTAGGCACGACGTTTCAATGCAACTCGTCGGACAACCTGCTCGTGATCTGTGTCGTCATTTTGTTCAGAGGTATTCACATTATATCATATGTGTCACACCTGGACTAACGCTCTGATACTTCAAAGGTGGAACCATCTCTTAAGAATCAAGGTACGTCTTTACGATGTCTGATTCGCGATATCGAAAATGTCTGACTTATCGTATGTGATCCCTGGTGTAGAACCACTCCCGCATTATGCCGTTTCTTCTGCCCCCTCCGGAGTTTAGACCGGGGGAGCTCCAGCAGTTGGGATTAACTGGCACATGCGAGCTGCAGATATGTCGATCTGCCGGTCCATGGTCTCTTGGCACACCTGATCGAATCGAACATTCTATTCAAAACGCGTATTTGAAGGGTGCGTACCGGATGCAGTCGTGCAGACATGCATTAATGGCGAAGACAGCTATTCAAATGTCCGAACATTTTGTTTATATTGAAAATCAGTTCTTCATCACGTCGTAAGTCATTAAGTCATCACCACTCGTCTATGGCATCTCAATTTATACGTTGACAGGACCGTTGTGAACGAGGTCAAGATTGAGAACAGAATAGGAGATGCCCTTGTTCATCGTATCATCCGTGCACACCGCGAGTGTACTCCATGGAAATGCTGCATCTTGATACCGCTTCTTCCCGGGTTCAGTTTTCCTGTCGACCACAGTGATGCGAGTGCGGTGAGCCCAACTTATCGACTACGTATATTTCCAGTTACTGACGCCAATTCAGATACGCATCATCATGGAGTGCCAAAATCGTACTATCTGTCGCGGACCCAACTCTATATTTGGCCGACTTAGAAAGGAGGGTATCGACGTACGTTCATTGCCATTCACTGAGGTTCGTAAGTTCTCATCGTCATATATAGCCCGACGAGTATATCGCTGTCTTTTCTTTACGTAACTGGGCAAAGATGAGAGGAGACGTTCTGACCACAGAAGAGGTACGTGGGTGCGTCATACCAGGGTTTGTCGGTCATCTTGACTCCGTTTTCTCCAGGTGTACATACATGGCAAGGTCATATAATGATTTGATCACATTGATCTCTATACTGACACCATCGCCAGGTCTGTATTGTCGATGATCGCCTTGCCATAATTGGTAGCGCAAATATCAACGAACGCTCTCAAAGAGGAGATAGAGATTCCGAGATAGCAGCTGTGGTTCGGGATACGGACATGATCGACTGGTAGGTGCTATAATATAATGATGGAATGTTCGCTCATTCGTAGTCTAGTACTATGGCCGGTAAGCCATTCAAAGTCGGTCGCTTCGCGCATACCCTCCGAGTGCGCCTGATGAGGGAGCACATTGGCGTGGACGTGGATGCCATGTATGAAGATGATCTTATGGCGTGTGAACCGGTGAAGCCGCCGTATGAACAACAGGAATGGGATCCTGATGTTGAACAAGAGTATGGCAAGGAGAGTGGTGTGACTCATTTGGGGAAAGGTGAACGGCGGACTGCGGTTAGAAACCTCTTGCATGATACAATTGACGAACTAGAACAGAGTGAGTCTACCCAAGCTCGATATACCTCCTCGGTCTGAGATACATTTGTCAGCTATTCACGGAACTGGAGATACTGAACCGAAAGACATCGCGGCTACATTGCAGAAGACTAGCGTTAACTCTAAAGGACTTGACAATACTGCTGGTGAAAGGAGCCTCCGCGAAGAGCCGCAGATGTTCAGCCGAGATGGAGGCAGGGTGCTTGGATTTCCCAGCGCAATTGTCCCGACGGTGGAAGAGAAGATAGAGGTTGGTTCTTCACAGTCACAGTTCCAAAATGGGGACGGTCACCAGTTGACCGACCGGGGACACCAGGATTATCCCCCCGAAGCGCGATTACAAAATGGTGAACTGTATGGAGCTCCCGCCGCTCCGGATACTCAGCGCGACACTGAGCAGCAACAAGCACAGGAGGTTAAGGGCGATGCTGACGAGGAGGAACAGAAAGCCCTAGGAGCTCGTGCAACGTTGCGGAGACATCAAGCTGCCAGATTGGGTTCTAAGCCTTGGTCGTTACCTACATCTGCTCCACGTGTAGACCCGCACGGATTTGAGGACCCTATCTGTGACACGTTCTGGAAGAACGTGTGGTTGGCGTGTGCAGTGCATAACGTGAATTGTTCTCGCATAGGCAATATTCGTTACTAACCCACACATACAGACTGAAATTTACCGCAAAGTGTTCCATGCCGTCCCTGACGATCTCGTCACGACATGGAAGCTGTACAAGGAGTTTGTTATACATCATGAGCGGTTGAACAAACCAGTATGACCCTCGTATATTTATGTGCCTTGAGGAGACTAATTTTGGTCAGGTCAAGGAGCACCACACTGCTGAACCGCTTGCTCGGTTGCCTTCTGAAACTGCAGACGAAGAGATGCTCGGTCAGCCACATACTGTAGAAAATACAGTGCATGCGGAAGATGCTGTTTCAAACAGAGTTAGGAAAGAGGGCTGTGATCAGACAGACCATCATCTCTCGTCGAGCCCGCATCCTCCCACTCCTCCGCCTCCCGTGGGGGCTGCTGAGAAGGAAGCGCGCGAACGCAAGACTACCAAAGGTACTGAACCGTTTGACCAGACTGATCAAGAGGAAATGGAACAGTTGTTGGGAGAGCTTCGTGGACATCTGGGTACGTACGATTTTCGGCTATACGTTCCCGCTTTGCACTAACCTGATTAACAGTGCTATATCCGACTCGTTTCTTGGAAGGCGAGGACGCCGCCAACAACTTCATCTTCAATGCTGATAGGTCAGTTCGAGGGGCCAATTTTTCTGTGTCTGTTACTAACGACATGTTGTCCAGATTATTGCCTTTACCTATCTACGATTGAAGCTGATGTTTTCATAGTTTTTGGATCCGGACCTTCATTCGGAGTTTTAGGACTTAGCTATCGGTTTGCGTAGGTACTCCTCTGGATTTTTGTACGCGTTGGAATGGTTACTGTACAGTTTGTTTGCATAGTTCGTTTGGTGCACTAGTTGTACTTGGACCTAAGACTTGAACTTGGGAACCGCGCCGAAAGTTGCCAATTCGGCGGAGCCTGAAGCTCAAGGGTTTCTTAATGGCAAGAAATGTGATCGGAGTTTGATTGATCGTACTTCAAAGCCTCATGCTAAGTCATCCTTTCTTTAATTGTAGCGGAGTTGTAATGTTGTAACCCGAGTGTTCGATAGGTTTGTCAGCGAGTCGTAGCGCTTGTTCTCACTGTCGACCATGAGCTACCCTCCAGGAATGCCCCTCCCGCCTCCGGGCATGTCAATGTCGATGTCCCTACCTCCTGGCATACCACCTCCACCTCCTGGTATGCCGTTGCCCGCAGGGCCGAGCGAGCAGAACTTCCGCATGCCCCCAGAAGTCATTGCGCAGAAGTCACAGAAGTGGATTCAAATGCAGAAAAAGCGGTATGGCGAAAAGCGCAAGGGTGGGTTCGTTGACATGGGTAAACAGGTGCGAATTTTTGTATTCCCGCCGCGTGCGCTGAAGTTCACGTTTCCTCAGGATCTCCCTCCGGAGCATGTCCGAAAAATCATTAAGGATCATGGCGACATGAGCAATCGCAAATTCAGAAATGACAAGCGCGTGCACCTTGGTGCTTTGAAGTATGTTCCACACGCGGTGATGAAGTTGCTCGAAAACATTCCCTATCCTTGGGAGCAAGTGCGCGAAGTGCCGGTTCTTTACCACATAACTGGCGCCATTACCTTCGTGAACGAGATCCCGCGCGTCATAGAACCGGTCTATCATGCCCAGTGGAGCAGTATGTGGCTTGCTATGCGTCGGGAGAAACGCGACCGGAGACATTTCAAACGTATGCGTTTCCCACCTTTTGACGACGAAGAGCCTCCCCTTGACTATGGCGACAACGTGTTGGATGTGGAACCATTGGAAGCTATTCAACTGGAGCTTGACGAAGAGGAGGACGCAGCAATCTCCAACTGGTTCTATGATCCGAAGCCGTTGGTGGATACGCCTTTCGTCAATGGTGCCTCATACCGCTACTGGTCGCTAACTCTTCCTGTCATGGCCAATTTATATCGCCTTGGCCGGACGTTGTTGTCAGATCACGCAGACGGCAACTCTAGCTATCTCTTCGACAAGAGGTCTTTCTTCACTGCAAAGGCTTTGAACATGGCGATCCCTGGTGGCCCGAAGTTCGAGCCGCTGTATAGGGATATGGACACTTTTGACGAGGATTGGAACGAGTTCAACGACATCAACAAGGTCATCATTCGTCAACAGATTAGAACCGAATATAAGGTCGCATTTCCTCATCTCTACAACTCTCTTCCTCGTTCCGTCCATATCTCTCCTTACCACAGTCCGAAAAACGTGTATATTCGCACGGATGATCCCGACTTGCCCGCCTTCTACTTCGATCCCCTCATCAATCCAATATCACTTCGTGGATTTACCCCCAAGAATGCACCGTTAGAAAGCCACGAAGACATGATATTCGGGCCGAACGATGCTGACGACGACGATTTCGAGCTCGCACAAGATCTTGAGCCATTCCTTGAGGAGAAGCTGCTGGAGAATGATCTTACCGCTGACGCCATTGCCCTCTGGTGGGCGCCTGATCCCTACAGCCGTCGTTCGGGACGTATGCGACGAGCGCAGGATATACCACTCGTCAAGAACTGGTACCTCGAGCATTGCCCTCCCGGTCAGCCCGTGAAAGTTCGCGTCTCATACCAGAAGCTGCTGAAGTGTTACGTGTTGAACGAGTTGAAGACGCGGCCGGAAAGGGCCATGACGAAGAAGAACCTCTTCAGACAGCTGAAGGCGACCAAGTTCTTCCAAACGACGCGTCTTGATTGGGTTGAAGCTGGCCTGCAAGTGTGCAGACAAGGCTACAATATGTTAAACCTCCTTATTCACCGTAAAGTCAGTAAGTTTGATATGCACGCTACCGCTCAAGCTAACAACGGCCCTTCCAGAATCTAAACTATCTTCATCTGGATTACAACATGAATCTCAAGCCGGTCAAGTAATGTCATCCTATCTGTAAACTGAGTCTTTACTTACAAGTCACCCCAGGACGCTGACAACAAAGGAACGCAAGAAGTCTCGCTTCGGAAATGCCTTCCACCTGTGTCGCGAGATCCTGCGTCTCACCAAGCTCGTGGTCGACGCACATGTACAGTTTCGTCTTGGCAACGTTGACGCGTTCCAACTCGCGGACGCGCTGCAGTATATTTTCGCACATATCGGTGCATTGACGGGCATGTATAGATATAAGTACAAGGTGAGCTTGGAATCATTGTGGAGTCCTTCTCTCTCCTCCCCTCGTCCTCGAAAACACTTGCTTATGCGGTATGCAGTTGATGCGTCAAGTGCGAATGACGAAAGATCTGAAGCATCTGATCTATTATCGTTTCAACACCGGTCCAGTCGGTAAGGGTCCTGGCTGTGGTTTCTGGGCGCCAGGATGGCGCGTGTGGCTTTTTTTCATGCGAGGTATTGTGCCGCTGCTGGAGAGGTGGCTTGGCAACCTTTTGGCTCGTCAGTTTGAGGGCCGAAACAGCAAGGGTATTGCGAAGACCGTGACGAAGCAGCGTGTCGAATCACACTATGATCTGGAACTCCGTGCGGCAGTCATGCACGACATTCTGGACATGATGCCGGAATCCATCAAGCAGAACAAATCCAAGACGATCTTGCAGCATCTTTCGGAGGCGTGGCGTTGCTGGAAGGCCAACATTCCTTGGAAGGTTCCCGGTATGCCGACTGCGATCGAGAATATCATTCTGCGGTATATCAAGAGCAAGGCCGATTGGTGGTGCTCAGTAGCCCACTACAACCGCGAGCGTATTAGACGTGGTGCTACTGTCGACAAGGCGGTGGTGAAGAAGAACTTGGGACGGCTGACTCGCCTTTATCTAAAGGCTGAGCAGGAGAGACAGCATGGATATCTGAAGGATGGACCGTATATCAGTGCTGAAGAGGCCGTAGCAATCTACACGGCAACCGTGCATTGGTTGGAAAGTCGCAAGTTCTCACCCATCCCTTTCCCTCCACTCAATTACAAGCATGATACCAAGCTGCTTGTTCTTGCTCTCGAGAAACTGAAGGAGGCATACTCAGTGAAAGGTGAGTGATCAGTTTTCTGTGCCATCATCATCATTAAATTTGCATAAGGACGTTTGAACCAATCCCAACGAGAGGAGCTTGCACTCATTGAGCAGGCGTATGATAATCCACACGAATGTAGGTTTGGCGCGATTACCTCTTTGATCTGTTCTTACCCGGCATTACAAGGTCTTTCTCGTATCAAACGACTTCTATTGACGCAGCGTGCATTTAAGGAGGCTGGTATCGAGTTCTTCGATACATATGACAAGCTCATCCCTTGCTATGACATTGAGCCCGTCGAGAAGATTACAGACGCTGTAAGTCTAAATCTTCGTCTGATTTGCTAAAACGACTGACCACTTCTCTCAGTACTTAGACCAATTCCTGTTCTTTGAGTGCGTACACCTAGAGTTGTTACATTTTTCTTTGTTGACCGTCCATGACAGGGCGGATAAGCGAGGACTCTTCCCGGCATGGATCAAGCCGGCAGTAAGTTTTTATTAGCCTTGTAGCTCGCGTTAGTACTAATCTATTCATAGGACACTGAACCGCCGCCATTGCTTGTATACAAGGTAATGTTTGCTCTTAGCGAACGCGTAGTGTCGAAGATTGACAACACGTCTTCTAGTGGTGTCAAGGAATCAACAACTTGACAGACATATGGGAGACCAGCGACGGCGAATGCAACGTTCTAATGGAGACTGTCTTGTCGAAAGTCTATGAGAAGATTGACTTGACGCTCCTCAACCGGCTGTTGCGACTTATCTTGGACCACAATCTTGCGGATTACATCACCGCGAAGAATAACACAGGTGAGTGTCTGGTCGAAGATGCTGTGTACATATGTACTGACGCTGATTACTCCATTCAGTTCTCACGTACAAGGGTAGGGATTCACGTCTTGCGCATTGCCTCGTCGTCTTATCTCTTATTCGTAGATATGGCACACACGAACGCATATGGAATGATCCGCGGCTTGCAATTCTCTGCCTTTGTATTCCAGTACTACGGCTTGGTCCTCGACCTGTTAATTCTTGGTCTCCAGCGTGCGAGCGAAATGGCGGGGCCTCCGCAGATGCCAAACAATTTCTTACAGTATCGCGACTCTGCAACTGAGACCCGTCATCCGATCCGGTTGTACTCGCGTTACGTCGATCGTCTTCATATACTCTTCCGCTTCACCGCAGAAGAGTCCCGGGACCTCATCCAGCGGTATCTCAGTGCAAATCCCGACCCAACCAACAATAACGTCATCGGCTACAATAACAAGCGGTGCTGGCCTCGAGACTGTCGTATGCGATTGATCAAGCACGACGTCAATCTGGGACGTGCCGTGTTCTGGAATGTCAAGCAGAGTCTTCCGCGTTCCTTGACGACGATTGAATGGGAGGAGACTTTTGTTAGCGTTTATTCGAAGGACAACCCTCAGCTTCTGTTCTCGATGTGTGGGTTCGAGGTTCGTATTCTGCCGAAAATCCGAACGATGAGCGGGGAACAGTTCTCGCTGAAGGACGCAGTATGGAACTTGACAAACGAGCAGTCGAAGGAGCGCACTGCTCAGGCGTTCCTTCGAGTATCGGACGAAGGTACGAGAAGAAGGGTCGGGCGTATCTGCAGAGCTAATGTTTCCCACTGCAGGTGTCCAGCAGTTCAACAATAGGATCCGGCAAGTGTTGATGAGTTCCGGTTCTACCACTTTTTCGAAAATCGTCAATAAGTGGAACACTGCACTTATCGGATTGATGACATATTACCGTGAAGCTGTCATCCATACCAATGAACTACTCGATTCTCTTGTTAAGGCAGAGAACAAGATTCAAACTCGCGTCAAGATTGGTTTGAACAGCAAGATGCCATCGCGTTTTCCGCCAGTAGTGTTTTATACGCCGAAGGTGCGTTCGACTTTTTTCGATCCCGACAGAGGGCACTGACGTTGTCTCCCAGGAACTTGGGGGCTTAGGTATGCTTTCCATGGGCCATGTGCTTATCCCTCAGAGTGACCTTCGGTGGTCGAAGCAAACTGACGTTGGAGGTATTTCGCCTTTGTTACTCGCCTGGTACCAGCTTTTAATTACTGTGTTTCCTTAGTTACCCACTTTCGAGCGGGGATGTCGCACGAAGAGGATCAGCTTATCCCGAACCTCTACAGATACCTCCAGCCGTGGGAGGCCGAGTTCCTGGATTCCGCTCGCGTGTGGTCCGAATATTCGATGAAGCGCAAAGAAGCCAACGCGCAGAATCGTCGTCTGACGTTGGAAGATCTTGAGGATAGTTGGGACCGCGGCATCCCTCGGATCAACACCTTGTTCCAGAAGGATCGTCATACGTACGTTCACGATATCCTCTGCGCCTTTCCAGGGACTTTATTCATTCTCTCATCAGGTTGGCTTACGATCGTGGTTGGCGTGTACGCACAGACTGGAAGCAGTATCAACTGCTGAAGCAGTAAGTGAATGCACGCTCGTCGTCAATGTCCGCTCTAATTGTATGCACCCGGAAATAGCAACCCTTTCTGGTGGACTTCTCAAAGACATGACGGCAAGTTGTGGCAATTGAACAATTATCGCGTTGATGTCATCGCCGCGCTCGGTGGTGTCGAGGGTATACTTGAACACACTCTGTTCAAGGGAACCTATTTTCCGACGTGGGAAGGTACGCTCTTTTCACTTACTGCTGAATACGTGCTCATAGTGTAAATGTAGGTCTCTTCTGGGAGAAGGCATCCGGTTTCGAGGAGTCGATGCGCTACAAGAAATTGACAAATGCGCAACGTTCCGGTCTCAATCAAATTCCGAACCGTCGATTCACACTCTGGTGGAGCCCGACCATCAACCGCGCTAACGTCTACGTCGGTTTCCAGGTGCAACTGGATCTCACCGGAATCTTCATGTATGTATTTTCCGTAGTTCGCATGGTCATGTCTTACTGACCGTTTTCTCAGGCACGGTAAAATCCCCACGTTGAAGATCAGTTTGATCCAAATATTCCGTGCGCACTTGTGGCAGAAAAGTAAGTCCCATGTCTTGCAGTATGTTTTGTGCTCAGAATTGATCGCATTTTGTTTCAAGTCCATGAGAGTGTTGTCATGGATTTGGTGAGTTCCCTGTTCGCTATCGTGTCTCGGATGTGGCTTACTCCATGCATGAACTAGTGTCAAGTTTTCGATCAAGAGCTTGAGCCGTTGCAAATTGAGACTGTTCAGAAAGAAACTATTCATCCTCGCAAAAGTTACAAGATGAATTCCTCGTGCGCTGATATTCTGTTATTCTCTGCGTACAAGGTGAGATGTTTCGCTACAATCTTATCGCGCATTGTTCTCAATTCTCCTTCCATCAGTGGAACATATCGAGACCTTCGCTTGTCACCGATGTGCGTTTACAAATTTCGATGCTTTCGATGTTCCGTTAATATTTGTTTCTTTTCAGAGTAAAGATGTGCTAGACGGCACTACCAGTAACAAGTATTGGATTGACGTGCAACTACGGTGGGGTGATTTCGACACCCACGATATTGAGCGATATACTCGCGCGAAGTTCCTGGACTACGTAAGTGTTTATCGCGGGATTAAAGCTGTGTCTTAACATTCCCCCAGATCTCTGACTCTATGAGCATCTATCCCTCGCCGACAGGTGTCATGATTGGCATGGATCTTGCATATAACCTTTGGTCCGCTTACGGTAACTGGTTCCCGGGGATGAAGCCTCTCGTCCAGCAAGCCATGGCAAAAATCATGAAAGCAAACCCCGCCTGTCACGTCTTGCGAGAACGCATTCGGAAGGGTTTGCAGCTGTATTCTTCAGAGCCGACTGAGCCGTACCTGAACAGTCAGGTGCGTTTAGTGACATTACGTCGTTTGTCGTATGCTGATCTTCTTTCGCTGTATTAGAACTATTCTGAGCTGTTCTCCAACCAGATCATTTGTGAGTATCTGGCTACCTTCCACGTTGCTGTTCTCTAATGAAACTCTTAGGGTTTGTCGACGATACGAACGTGTACCGCGTCACCATGTGAATAGAAATCGTTTAATTAGATTTCGACTTGTACTGACCATTCAATTTAGACACAAGACCTTTGAAGGTAACTTGACAACGAAACCAATCAGTAGGTCCCCTTGTCGATTGAGTGATTTTGAATATTAAATGGCTTATTTGTTCAGATGGTGCTATCTTCATCTTTAACCCTCGTTCCGGCCAACTCTTCTTGAAAATCATCCACACCAGTGTATGGGCTGGTCAGAAGCGTCTAGGTCAGCTTGCGAAGTGGAAGACTGCAGAGGAAGTGGCTGCACTGGTTAGGTCTTTGCCGGTGGAGGAGCAGCCGAAGCAGGTGATCGTCACTCGGAAGGGCATGCTTGGTACGTATTTGCAGCTCTCTGTAGGTGATGATAAACTTAAGAGCATATGTGTTAGATCCCCTCGAGGTTCACTTGCTCGACTTCCCCAACATCGTCATCAAGGGTAGTGAATTGCAGCTGCCTTTCCAGGCGTGCATGAAGATGGAGAAGTTCGGTGATCTTATCTTGGTCTGTCGTTTGGTTTCGTCACATCATCTCAACTTACTGAAGATCTCATTGGATACAGCGCGCGACTCAACCGCAGATGGTTCTCTTCAATTTGTATGGTGAGTTGTTACACCACATTCTCCAAGAGTCCGATATTGACCGGAAATCATACAGACGATTGGTTGAAATCCATTTCTAGTTACACAGCGTTCTCGCGTCTTATCCTGCTACTCCGTGGTCTTCATGTCAACAATGAAAAGGCGAAGATTGTTCTTAGACCGGACAAGAACACAATCACTGAGCCTCACTTTGTCTGGCCGTCTCTGAGCGACGAAGATTGGATCAAAGTGGAAGTTGCATTGAAGGACCTTATTCTCGCTGTATGCAGCTAATCATCCTATCATAGCCGTCTCGTTGCTTATTTGTGGTTCTCCGCAGGACTTTGGTAAAAGGAACAGCGTCAACATTGCTTCCCTCACAGCAAGTGAAATTAGGGACATTATTCTGGGACAAGAGATTGCTGCGCCTTCCGTGCAGCGACAGCAGATGGCGGAGTTGGAGAAGAGCTCCGAGGCACAAGGCCAGGTCACGGCAGTACAAACGTATGTTTGCCAAGTGTCTCACACGCATGTAACTACTGATCCTCATATCGCCTAGTCAAACGACAAATATCCATGGCGATGCCATCCAAACCGTTACAAGTAGGTTTCATTTTGACATTCATGTTTCGCACGTCTGATTGCGTCGACGAACAGCTACGAACTATGAACAGCAGGTGTTCAGTAGCAAGTCCGATTGGCGGGTGCGAGCTATCTCTGCGACACACCTACCCCTCCGACTTCAGCACATCTACGTCTCCAATGACGATGTTAGGGACGACGCTGCATCTTTCACTTATGTCCTTCCGAAGAATATCTTGCGCGCGTTTGTTACTGCAGCTGACCTTCGCACACAAGTCGCTGCATTCCTATATGGCGTTTCCCCTCCTGACAACAAGCAAGTGAAGGAGATTAGAGCCGTCGCATGGGTTCCACAGCGTGGCAATAACAACAGCGTTGAGTTGCCATCGCAGCTGCCAAGGGACGACTTCTTACTGAAGGATCTGGAACCTCTTGGTTGGATCAAAACGCAAGCATTGGAACTGTCGCATCTATCGCCGACGGACGTCACGACTCAAGCAAAGCTGATGGCTGACCATCCAGAGTGGGGCTCGTCATCCATTTGTTTGACTTGCGCCTTCACACCTGGTTCCGTATCGTTGTCCTCGCATTCTCTGACTGTCGCTGGATTTGAATGGGGGAGGAAAAATGCAGATACTTCACCCAACCCACCGGTGAGCCTTCCGTCGCATGTGTGCCCCAGCGTTTTGTTCACACGTTTTACCAGGGTTTCAATCCTAACATGTCGGAACGTGTGCAGCTCTTGTTGTCCGATCGTATACTTGGCATGACACTGGTCCCCGAGGGTCGTGTGTGGAACTACGGTATTGGTCTCACGCAGTTGTGGTCACCTACTCTCAGCTACTCAATGACGCTTGACACCCCATTACTGTTCTGGGCGGAGGAGCATCGACCCGCCGCTTTCCTTTCGGTGAGTATAAGGCTCTACAAAATCCATGAGGTTTTGTCTCATGTACTTTTTCAACAGTTTGCCAACCTTGAGGCCGGAGACGACAGCGCTGATGTCGAGAATAGCTTTGCATAATTATCCCCTCCGCTTTCATCGTACTGCTTTGACTGTTTGCTGTATCATGAGCACGAATTGTAATAACAGAAACTATTGTACACATGCACAATGCCCGATCCGAGATAAGTAAATGTTAGCAAGGGGAAAAGGTACATGGGCCGGGTACGAACTTCAACAACTAAATGCGAATATCTACCAGAGATACCGCCGAAGGAGAAAGTGACATTGACAGCTGATGGCCGTCGGGAGTGTCTGCTCCGTCAGCTGTAGACGGTCGACGACGTAAGACTCTTTCTTCTTGACCAGACAAACGTCGAGAACCGCGGCGAGGTGGAGGGGACAGCGATGTGATACCATACACAGGTGACGGTTCAGGCGATGGTGGCCGTACAGGGCAGAGCGGCGGCGTGGGAGGTGAGGTTACGACGAAAGTGGGATCATTTGGGAATGGGGTAATGGGCTCGCCGATCTGTGTCGGAGGGAAAGTATATGGGTTAATGGTGGATGGAGCGGGAGAAGGGGGGTTTGTTGAGGACAATAAGGCCGTCGCTAAAGGAGGCGGGGTCGCTGGAGCACTCATCATACGTAGACGTTGCCTGATAGACGTTGCCCGCGGGGGAGGCTGCGAGACTGGAGTTGGAGGAAGAGGGCCTGTGGGGGGAGGATGTGGGGAGACTAGCGGTTTTGAGGAGCTAGGGAGAGGCCAGAAAGATACATTGCCGTTGCTGGAACTCCGCCGGTGCGTACGCACGCCCACCTCATCCGGACGAGGCGGAAGCGAGGACGATGGAGGAAGCGTGGGCGGTGCGAGGGAGAATCGCTGTGACCGCAATGCAAGAGATTCGCGAAACGATATCTTGGAGACGGGGGCTGTCGCAGCAGGAATTGAGGTAGGCGATTCCTCTGGTACACCTTCCGCTGGTGTTGGGGGAAGCGCTGTCACTGGCGCTGGACGCTGGGGAGGTGGTATTGACATCCTGTGGGACGACATTGGACGATGAGGACCAAACAGGCTGCCGCCTCCTCCACCTCGGGAATAGGAATGTGTAGTGCTAACGGTGCTGTTACTATGATTGGAGGAACTAGATGTGCGCTTAGAGAAATTTTGCAAGCTCACGACAAGACTCCGAGGGCTGGATTGCGGAGACGCTGGCTGTTCGGGTGAGCCGTCAGATGCATACGGATGGCGCTGTATCGATGACCGGAAGCTGGCAGGAGATCGAGAAACGGGAATGGCAGGAGGAGGGCCACTCGGCGGGGTGAGCCTGTGTGGCAGCATGCCCTGGCGAGACCAGCGCTTGCTCCCGCCGAACTCGGATGAAGTTCTCTCGCCCGACGCAAACGAAGACACAGAAGATGATGAGGTACGCGGACGCCCTTCCTGCTCGGGAGGTGAAGTTTCAACAGTGCACCCCTTCGACGAAGACGGAGTAGTAGAAGATTGTAAGTCGTCGTTGGGCCTACGCACGCCGAAACTCTCCACTGTGCTACCATTGTTATGGGTATAGGGCGCACCATCAGGACGAGCTCTGGGACCCATCGGTGCACTACTCGCTGTCCACGCACGCCGCCGCGGAGGGGGCTGCAACGACGGTGAGCCGACTCTCTCCATCGTGCGCGTATGATGGAGATGCGATATTGGGCCAGTCACGCCATTGCCGCTTCCGTTTGCGGTCACACTGGGTTCGATCAGCTCTCTATCTTGGTCCTGCACAATTTTGCGGTCGAGGTGCGTCGCAAACAGCGGCGCATCCATAACTCGCGGTGTGGAGGGCGTCGATGGCACGGGCGTACTAGAAAGCACAGGGGACAACGGGCGCTCGACGGATATGCTGTTCGACCTGAGCATGTGCATCAGGTTCGAACCAGTCCGCCCGAATGACTCATCCTGCTCGCTCTCCACTTTCCGGCCTGCGACGCTCGACGCGACGGAAGGAGACCGCGGACGCGAGTTCGCTCCCGAGAACAATCCTTTCAAAGCAGACACCGCAGTCGACGGCGTCCGCGTGACGGCGGCAGAACGCTGCGTGCTGTGCGAGCTCGTGACATCGGGGGAGAACGTGCTCGACGTTGGCGAGGCGATCATGCCTTGCGCTCGCATCGAGAGCATGACGTCCATGTCGCCGCGCGGAGCGAAGCCGCCGGTGTGGTGCGCCATGATCCCAAGTCCTGCACGTACAGACCTGGGCACCCATCAGTATAACGCAATAATAACAGACGGAAGGACAAACCTCTGCGTGAGTACAGCGTGCTTGATGGCAGTTATCCAGCTCTGCGCCTCGGCTGGGTCGACGATGTGAAGGGTCATCTCGGCACCAAGTCCGCCAACTTTGACGACACTGCGGCGCCCGCCGACCTCCTCTTCCGCGACGAAGACGACGCCGTCTGGACCGATTTCGAGGCGCTCCAGTTCGCGCTCCTCCGCGGTGTGGTTTTTGAACACATGCAAACATGCCGCGCCAGCGCCTTTACCCGTCGCAGTGGACGTCAACATGACGGTACGCATCTTCCACTGCCGGGAGAGCGCGAACATAAGTAAGGACGGTGGGGGATAATGCTTGGGGATGCGGGCAGAGAGAAGCACGAATGGCTCGAGCGAAGCATGGGTGGACGGAAACGGTGGCAGATGAGGGACGGGCGTCGCTGAGGGGGTGCGCTCCTCTGGTGCTGGCTCTGCCGCCTCGGTGTCGGAGTCTGGCTCGAGTGCAGCGGGTGGGCTGCGCTGTTCTTCGAGCAGGCCCGGGTCGAGCCCGATGGACTGCGCCGCGGCGTCACGGAGGCGCTCGCGCTCCTCATCCTCATTGTCTCGCGGCGGGGGGGCACTGATCTCGATGACTTCGGAGAAGAGGAAGGGCGTGGGCTTGGTGGGCACAGGCTTTTTCTTGCTTCTGCTCTTGGGCCGCCCGAATGGCAGTCCGGAGGTAGACAGGAGGAAGCTGCCACGAGTGCGCTTGGGATGGCTGGCAAGCGCCTGGGAAGAAAAGGCGGGAGATGAGAATAGGCTGTCGTGCGTGGCGGAGGAACTCGATCCATTTGACTGTGATATGAAGGGGTTGGTGACTGTGGAGTGATGCGTTAGCTGAGCAAGATGTTGACAACGAGAACGGGGGAGATTGCACATCAGAATGAGTAGCAAAGGTCAGTCGTAGTATGACGAGCGTGAGCGCACAAACTGTGAGCGAACTTCGGGGAGATAACTATATCTCGACCCAGTATAGGTAATGCATGGGTGAAATACAAGGGCTCTATGCCTACGGCGACGGTGGTGCTCGTCAGGCAACAGACCTTGACTACGGACGCTATGATGGTACATGAAACCATGGAAGGGCTCTCACAACATCCAAGAGTGTCCGTCCGAGCTGAGCTGACTTTGCAGTTCTGCTGGACAGGATCGTGCATGCTAGCGCCTAGTTCGTTTTGATATTCCCACAATCATGGTCGGTGAACAAGACAAGAAATGCGACACTCACACGTCGGTGAACTCGCAGAGCCCTCTTCAGTAGGAACAGACCTTAGGGATGATGATCGCGTGCGAACGAGAGGTTCCGGAGACTTGACGGCCTGGCGACGGGGATGTGGGTCGTGCTGGGGCTGTGGTTGTTGCTGGGTGGAGAAACGGAAGGCACGCACAAATGGCGCAGTTGCAGGTGACGTCGAACGAGAACTCGTCGCCATCGTTGGCAATGTACACGTTTGCTGAAAGCGATGCTGAGAAGAGAAGACAGGCGCCAGAAGGAGGTGCGAGCGCGCGTTGGTGAATAGATCTGATACATACACCGCCACCGGGGTCAATGCATAATTGAAGGCCACTCGACGTAGTGAGCAGGGATTCTCGACGTCTGAGAAGTCGTCCTTGTCCTCGTCGTGCTCGTTGTCCTCGGATGAGTACGATCGGGGGTAATTTGTTAATTATGCCAACACGTGATCAATTCATTAAGCCGTTCCCCCTGGTCGGTTGGCTCAAGCTGTCGACAGAAAATATTCGTGCATGCACATCCACTTCGCAGGAAAGATGGTTATCGCAGGGCCTTAATGTACACGGAATAACAGCCATGAAAAGGGATGATGACAAAACGAACATTATGGAGCAACACTGGGCATCATTGCAGGGATCCAAAATTCAAAAGCGTACAAAATATTGTCCGTCGACGTTCATAAATTTGAGTGTTCTGACAGTCGATATTCACTAAATTTCTTATGAGCTCTTGCAGTTTTGAGCTGTGAATTTAGGATGAGATTTAAGGTTGTAGCGGTGTGCAAGAGATACGTGTACGTACATTCGTCTTCAAGTTCCATCATTTATGAACTGGATTGTAGCTGCGCAAGCGTCAACCCCGACTCCGCAAATACTTTCTCTCAAGAGCGCAAATTTCTCTCGAGTACAGAATCAATGAGTGTATCCAAACACTGCGTTTAAGAATGACAGACGGATAGTACTAGTACGTGTACAGGTCAAATTCAGCACCCGCACATCACACGGTAGACAGCAATTATGCCTGCTTGAAACAATACCCATGCGTCTATGACGTGCTTTAGTAAACTGTTTGCACCAACTTCCCTCAGATTTGACTTGTTAGGTATGGGGGTGGCCTAATTGTGATATGTCTGGCTTGGATTCTTGCACTGTATGCTGTTGACTCTGCAAATATGAGACTGAGAAAACTGGTATGGGATTAATATGACTCACTCCCGGGCCTGCGACCTTCATCTTCAATGAAACCAGTTCTCCTTAGAATACGCACTGAGTCTACGAAATCCCTATGAGTATAAACACATTTGTGACCATGGCGTTATGACAACCTACGAGATGGTTAGGCACAATGAAGCAAATATTGCAGTATGTGAGTGGGATTCAATGACAAGGATTGAGAAGAAGAAAGAAAAAGGCTCCTAGGTCTTGCCTAGGTCACATGAAATGAATTAACCAGTCTTGGGCAAGCCCGACTGAACTTAGATCTCCTTCCCGAGCAGCAATGACGATGCATCGGTCCCCACTGTAAATTTTAATTCATGAACTGATCACTGTTGACCGATTCGAAAAGAGATGACTTACACGGGATCGTTGTGGCGTCGTCCACGCGGAGGTACCTGATCTCAGATACTCGCGGAGTGCAAATGTTCTCGATAGCGGCGAGAATTTACTATTAGCGCCCGGGAAAAAATGCGATCAATGACTTCAACCCAAGGTCAAGCCAAATATTGTCATTTATCGTGCCCGCTCGGTGGATATCCTACCGCGAGGATTCCATTGACGTCTGGAGGGACGTCTCAACTTGACTTGTCGCTAACTCCAGATTGGCACAGTAGCTCATTCGCAGAATTAAATTACACTGTGAAGACAATGAGAAGTATTATCACCACTTCTGCCTACGCAATGCTTTCTTCTGCGCAAGAGTGCCTCTCCCTCTCGCGCCCCGCACAGTCTGTAATTCCTTGAATTTCTTCTTCGCGTAGCTCTTGGCCTCCGCATCGTCCACTAACTCATCGACAAGGGTTCTCTTTCGGCTCGCCCGGTTGAGATTGTCTGCACTGGCAGTGCCGAAAGGTGTGCTGGACGGTATAATCGTACCAATCTGCGGTGTATTGCAATCAATATAATAAATACAAGACAAAAGAGTGATAAATACATACTGCGAAGTATTTGGGCAGACCTTTGATACCCCTCCCTTCGCCCTCGTCTTTGCGGTAAAAACGCTTGGGATCTAGCTGGTTTCGGAGACGCAATGCTTCTACTTCACGGTACAGACGGGGAAGATCGGCTTCCGCAGGGGCAGGAAGATCATACCACGAGCGTCCCGCTGTTCTATCTTTCAGCTGTGTGTTGAATGTATTTTAGCATCACAGACAGGAAGTGTCGGGTGAACTACTCACTGCCTTTTTCTCCTTCTTTGTCAATGGCTTCCCAGACTTTGATAGCTCCGGAGGTGGAAGAGGTCGTGCCGGTGCATTCGAAGATGACGCTTGTTCAACTTGCTCGATATCTGGATGGCGTATGGCGGAAGGAGCAGCTTTGCGGGCGTCGCCGAGTGTGATATATGGTGCAGGTAAAACTCCAGGGTCTAACGGAGGCAACGGTCTACGGAATGAGCACAAGCACAGGTTTCTACTGCATCCTGGAGAGCTTACTGTTCCTCAGGATCCTTTAGGTCATCTAGGCGAATTTCCTCCTCTTCGTGCAAATTTTCTCCCGACCTGTCTCCTTCGGGCAATGTCTTCGCAGTGACATTGTGTCTTGCCCTCACCAGAAGCGCGTTAAGAAACTCTTGGGTTACCTCTTCATCTCCTGTGTCACTGTCCGTGTCTGACTCGCTCTCAGAGTCCGAGTCCGAGTCCGAGTCCGCCGACCTCGATGCACTCGAGGATGTGCCGTCAGAAATGAGATGCTCCGCTGAGTCCTCTAGTGCAGCTTTTGACTTTCCTTTCTGCAGAGCCGTTAAAGCCATAGGCGAGAAACCTTTGCAAGCAGTTCTGAAGAAAAGGATGGATAGATAGTATGCAGAACTCAGCGCTCAGCTCAGAGAGAAGATCGCAATGTTTGGGGTCCGCCCAACCAAATGCGGAATGAGCAACCTGAAGGCCCCAGTCACCGTTTGTTTCTGAACCATGCACTGTTGCAAACATACTGTTCTGCGCAGAGTATGTCCTTCCCCCGCTCCTAGACTCTTCCGTTTCAATCACAGCGAAGCAAGTGGCAACAACGCTCAGAATCTTCAAACTCCTCCACGAACGACTCACTTTGGCTTCCGAACCGTACCGGAGGAGACAAAAGAATCTCTTGTGAAGAATGTCTTCGACTCTGTGGCCTCGTCATACGACCTAATGAACGATGCAATGTCGCTAGGCGTGCACCGTCTCTGGAAGGACGACTTTGTCTCTCAGCTAAAGCCGGGATCGACAGGGCCCACGAAGTGCATAGATCTCGCAGGGGGGACCGGGGACATTGCACTGCGCATACTGGACTTTGCGCGGGAGCGTTACGCAGACAGAGAGACGAGCGTAGACGTCGTGGACATTAACGGAGAGATGCTGAAGGAGGGGCACAAGCGATTCAAAAAGACAATGTATCATAACAGTACGTGTTCTCGAGTACTTCACTCTTTTCGGTCTGATAGATCACAATGACTTAGCACCACAAATTGCCTTCATCGAGGCCAACGCTCAGGAGCTGCCCGAGTCGCAGTTTCCTTCCAATGCATACGATCTTTATACTATCGCCTTTGGCATTCGTAATTGCACGTCCGTTCCGGACGTCCTCAAGGAGGCTTATCGGGTACTTAAACCTGGCGGTACTTTTGCATGCTTGGAATTCAGCAAAGTGAACAATCCACTGTTCAACGCGTGAGTTCTCTTCTTATCGCTGTCTGCACGAGCCTGATGCGCGAAAAGCGTCTACGATCAGTACTCTTTCTCGATTATTCCTCTGCTTGGTACCATCTTGGCTGGAGATAGGGAGTCCTACCAATATCTCGTCGAGTCAATCCGAAAATTCCCTTCTCAACCAGACTTTGTGGCGATGATTGCAGATGCTGGGTTCGCGACCGGTGGCAATCATGAGGGTAAGGGTGGTGCTTGGCGAGACTTGTGGGGCGGTATTGCCGCCATACATACAGGTGTCAAGGTCTGACCGCGTTTATATTTCTTGTCGGGTTGTCTTTCGAATCATACACGGTGCGATGGTGGACAGTAGAGCAGCAGCGTTTTCAGAGTAAAAATAAGAGAACGTGGAACTGGATTTTGTCCGAAACCAGAGAGTAAGAAGCGTGGCGATGGCCGCGTGCGCGCCTACAGCGCGTTCACCCGTGTCGTACCTTGCACTCTTACCACCACCATCCACCACGCCATCCAACACCCGTTCAGCCATGGCAAGTACGTCTGCTGCTGGTGGCTCTTACCCCATGCCACCACCTACTGCTGACCTGGCCACAACTTGGGCGTACCTTGAGGAGGGTGTCGACCATATCATGACCAAGCTCCAGACTGGTGTTTCGTACTCGAAGTACATGAGCCTGTATACCGTGTCCTACAACTATTGTACATCTTCCAAGATGCACGGCAATGGCGATCAGCCTGGCCTCGGTCACCGCAGTAAGTACAACGCCATCTCAAACCATAGAAGTGCATGTTGATAACCCTTAGCGGGAGCCAATCTAATGGGATCTGACCTGTATAATAACCTCATCCGCTATTTCGTGAATCATCTAAAGACTTTGAGAACCGTCCGTGCCAATGCTCGTGTCTTGTGACCTACCGACTGACCTGCTCTACGCAGCAATCCGACGCCGTTCAGGAAGAGGCCCTATTGCGCTACTACGCGGGAGAGTGGGACCGTTACACAACTGGTGCCAACTACATCAACCGTCTCTTCACGTATCTAAATCGACATTGGGTCAAGCGCGAGCGAGACGAAGGCAGGAAAGGAGTCTACCCCGTCTACACAGTGAGCATTTCGTTCTCTGCTCCTTCTATATACCTTCCTCATGCGCAGAGACAGCTTGCATTAGTGCAGTGGAAGTCGAACTTCTTTCTGCATGTCCAGAGCAAGCACCAGAAGCTTGCTGGGGCAATTCTCCGGCTCATCGAGCGACAGCGAAACGGCGAGACGATCGACCAGGGGCTGGTCAAGAAGGTCGTTGATTCCTTCGTCTCACTTGGTCTGGATGAGGGCGACATCAACAAGGTGTCCTTCGAGGTCTACAAGGAGCACTTCGAGGCGCCCTTCATCGAGGCTACCGAAAAGTACTACCGGCAGGAGTCCGAGGCGTTCCTGGCCGAGAACAGCGTGGCCGATTACCTCAAGAAGGCCGAAGAGCGTCTACGCGAGGAAGAGGACCGCGTCGAGCGCTACCTGAACACGAACACCCGCAAAAGCCTCATCAGCAAATGCGAGCACGTCCTTATCCGCGAGCACTCAGAGCTCATGTGGGAGAACTTCCAGAGCCTGCTCGACTTCGACAAGGACGAGGACCTGCAGCGCATGTACGCCCTGCTCGCGCGCATACCAGAGGGTCTCGAGCCACTTCGTAAGAGGTTCGAGGACCATGTTAAGCGGGCGGGTTTGTCTGCGGTGTCGAAGCTGGTTGGTGAGGACGGATCGGGTGCTGACACACTCGATCCCAAGGCCTACGTGGATGCGCTCCTTGAAGTACACCAGAAGAATTCGGAAACTGTCACGAGAAGCTTCCGCGGCGAAGCTGGCTTCGTCGCTAGTCTGGACAAGGCATGCAGAGAATTTGTTAATAGGAATGGGGCAACTGGGACATCGACAACGAAGTCCCCTGAACTGTTGGCGAAGCATGCTGACGCGCTGCTCCGTAAGAGCAACAAGATGTCGGAGGAAGAGAATTTAGAAGGTGCTCTCAACAAAGTGGTATGTAGCTTCTTGGGATTCACTGTCCATAGTTTGCTGATAAGTACTTTCCAGATGATATTGTTCAAGTATATCGACGACAAGGATGTGTTCCAGCAATACTACACTACGAAGCTGTCCAAGCGTCTCATCCACGGAGTATCTGCATCGGATGAAGCGGAGGCTAGCATGATCTCCAAGTTAAAGGAGGCTTGTGGTTTCGAATACACCAACAAGTTACAGCGTATGTTCACGGGTATGTTGTTTATCCCCAACATGTCTATCCACTTTCTAAGCTTACTTTGCAGATATGAGTCTCAGCAAGGACCTCACTGATCAGTTCAAGGAGAGAATGCAGCAGAACCACGACGACATGGATATCACCTTCAGTATCATGGTCCTTGGGACGAACTTCTGGCCTCTCACAGCGCCTCACAACCAGTTTGTCATTCCAGCCGACATCCTGCCTACATACGAACGCTTCCAGAAGTACTACCAGCAGAAGCACTCCGGTCGTAAGCTGACGTGGTTGTGGAACTACTCCAAGAACGAGCTGCGGACGAATTACCTCAACCAGAAGTATATCTTGATGACGAGTTCCTGGCAAATGGCCGTCCTTTTGCAATACAATAGCAATGACACACTTTCGCTCGATGAGCTCGTGTCTGCGACCTCTATCAACAAGGATATCCTGAAGCAGGTGCTAGCTGTACTCGTGAAGGCGAAGATCCTTATTAACGAAGAGACCGACCAATACGACTTGAATCCGAGTGCGTATCGTCATTTCTAACGCAAGTCCCAAGTATGCTCATCTTTGAACAGACTTTAAGTCGAAGAAAATCCGTATCAATTTGAACACCCCCATCAAGGCGGAGCAGAAGGCTGAGTCGGCGGATGTCCAGAAGATGGTTGATGAGGATCGTAAATACGTGATTCAAGCCACAATCGTTCGGTATGTCCCTGCAGATCTTGGACGAATATACGTGCTAATGCTTGCTCTGCAGTATCATGAAGGCGAGGAAGACCATGAAGAACCAGCCTTTGATCCAGGAAGTCATTTCTCAGATCTCGCAACGGTTCTCGCCTAAGATTCCCGACATTAAGAAGGTTTGTGAATTCGTATTTGTCGCATGTTCTTGCCACTCACCGCCAGTACACAGGCAATAGAACATCTACTCGAGAAGGAGTATATTGAACGAGTGGAAGGCACCAGGGATACTTTTGCCTATGTCGCGTGATGTCGTCATTTTCTCTCCACGTCGTCGCCTTGCTTTGTGATGCACCAAGTTTCGTACGTAGAACAGTACGTTGTAGCGTATAGTACATCAATCATTTTCTCGTCGAGCAGTAGCACTGGAATAATCGACTACAGTGGTTTACAGTAAATTCTGTGGACAGTACTTAATAATGTTGGCACCAGAGCAGCCTAACTTAGTACGGACATTTGGCCGCCAGCTGCCCTACCGTCAACGCATTGCGAGTCCGTGTCGCAGCCTAATAGTATCTAGTGTTCCTCACGTAATCTCTTGAAGCTTGTTGCCGGCGCAAGCGCTTTTACTACCGCTATCGAGTCGGAGGTCCAGGGTTCCCTGAAGAATGAGTAAGTGGAGGTCCTTCATCTTGAGATCCCACAGAGTATACATATCCGAGCATCATCAGACTGTACAACTGTCAGAACCAGAGTGAAATGTAGTACACAACATCAAGAGTAATTCATATGTACGACTTTCAGTAGGACATCGGGTGCGGACAAGTCATGGCGACATTGAACAAAGCAGGAAATCCTGCTGGCAAGTCGCGAAAGAGATCTGTTGAGCTACGTAGACGTCCCGCGCTGCTTGACCAAATTGACAAGGCGCTGTTCCGCTCGAATAAGTCTTCAGTACTCTCCTCGACTGCCTGGGCCAAGCCGTCGTCCACGGCCACTTCTATCTGTTTCTGGCATTCCGATGGACGAACAGAGCGGCCCAAACTGCTCTTCACCGACTGGTGCACGTCAAGAAGGTGCACCAGACGGCGCTGCCGAGAGTCTGCACGAGCGGCAGCCTCGATAAGACATTCCAAAGTCTTTGTCGGACTGACGCTGTCTGTCTTCAATTGGGACGCTTCAGCGGGTTCCTGGTCGGCCTTCGCAGATTCTCCGACCTGAGCTTCGGGCTTTCTTTCGACCAGTCTGGCTTCCATATTGTCGGCAAATGAGATCAACTCGGTGGCCAACTTCGTACCGTTTCTAAGACGGCCCTCCTGCAACAGCTGCTGAACCGTGGCTCGCAGATGTGAAACTTTATCGTCTTGAGTATAGGGAAGCAGCTTGCTGTTCGGCTTCCTGTCGATAGTCGAACCGAAGTCCTCCGATAACGTAGCTGGGGAATAGACATTGCCAATGAAGCCATTTGCAACTTTATGCTGAAGTACAATCTGACAAGCAGTCTCGAGTGGCGTGCAACCAACACTATCCTCCGTAAAGAGCGCTTCAGGCGGACCAGCCTCAAGGAGAATGCGAGTTATCTTCGGAGAACTTTGCTTGACAGCAACGTGCAGGACAGTAGACCCGCCGTCATCACGGAGGACGAGTGGGGATGCTTTGACGGAGAGCAGGAGGCCTACATGATCAAGCCTGCGTAATTTGACTGCAAGATGAAGAGGCTGCACAATCACTGCGTAAGACACAACCGCTGCACACAAATGGCAGTAATCCGACTCACAGTATTTTTAACGCCCTTTGATTGCTGAACAAGTAAGCATTCCGCGACATCGTGCGGTAACTTGTGCAGTACATGATCAAGGAGTTTGAAGTGAGCCACCGTGTCTTGAGAACATAATAGATGGAGGACATTCCATCTATTCAATTCGTGATTAGGATACAAAAGTCATATTGGGCCACATTTTACGCACCCGCGGTGATCCACTACATCCACAGGAACACCCTGTTCCAGCAAATAGTCGAACACTTCAGGGCTGCATCCCCAATTTGCAGCCACTAGGATGAGGTTGAAATCAACATATCTGATCCTGCAAGTAACGCCTTTTCAGTAAGTCAGCCTTTGATTATCCCTGTAAAGTGTCACATACCTGGCGGGCAGCGCGCTTCTCATTTGTTCAGGCTGAAGTGAAACCAAAGTTTCAATCACTTTGAGGCGATCTCCAATGACTGCAGCAGTTAGCACAGATTCGTTCATAGCATTCATCGTCCATCCCAGCCAACGTGGGAGGACGCCTGCAAGATCTCGGACTTGCCGAAGATGTTGGGCACGTTCATCGCTGTGAGTAGAAGCGTAGTAGCGATACGCAGACACAGGGCGATCTCCCGCAAGATACTTGATAATGTTTAAGGCCCCTGCTCGAGCTGCCATCCACAAAATTGGAATAGTGGGGGTTTCGGTAGCGGGCGGGGCGTTGGGATCGCCCTTCGTGGCGAGATCCTTTCTCTTCTTCCCATGCACATTGAGTCCCAAGTAAACTTTGGAGACCTTCTTCTGTACAGTCTCAGCCTGCCCATCCTCACTGACGGAGACTTCGATGTTGACACCCAGGCCCGTGCGACGTAAAAGCTCGTCCAACATATCGGGTCGATCGGATACAATGATGTCGCCCAATACGGAGGAAGTAAGAGGAACGGGTACCGGGAACCCATTGTGCATATCTACGATCTGAGCGAAAGCTTCGAAGTCATCATTGACTATGGCTCTCTTCAGAACAGATCCAACTTGTTCCTGCTCCCCATCTGCGCTGAACCAGTGAACGCTCATATCCTGCAAGAGGCACCTGGCGGTGGTTGGTGTTTGAACAGTGGAAGGTCTCTTCGCCACGTCAATGAAGTCTATGGCCTCGTCATCGGAATCCATGTCTTCATCGTCGTCTTCGGAGTCTTCGTCATCGTTATCTGCAATGCCGATAAATTCAAACCCACCAAACACAGGCAGTGTACGCACCCAAGACAATATCTCGCGTCTGGAATTTCTGAGCTTTGGACTCATCGGGCTGATGCTGAGCATGGGCAATTGCAAGTACCAGGCGTGCGGTATCCCAGTGACCGCGCTCGAGAGCTATGGACAAGGGTGTATCAACTGAAGCATACTATTAGTATCTAGGACGAAATGTGAGCAGGTTCCATTCACATGAATCACCGAACCAAACCACAATCTGCAGCGGAGTTTCTTCTGATCTTCCTCTCCTGCCTTCGGGAGACAAAATTGCTGTATGTTTGCGTTATCTCCGTTCCAGCACGCCTCGAATAGTTCATCATAACGCGCAACCAAATGAGGAAGCACCGGACTTGTGTTATAGCATTCTCCAACCACGCGAAGATACCCCAGCAGCTTCATGCTTTTACGCTCTGTTGGACGATGTCGGATTAGATAGTCTTTGGCCTCGCTATCGGCTTTGTCATCGGGATGGAGGTCGTCCCATGTCTTTGCACCGTGAGAGGACAAAAGGGTTTCAACGGCACTGAAGTAACCCTTCGCCTCCAGCAAGATCTGCTTCTCTTGCTGGGTGAGCAGAGAAAGATGGTATTGCAGTTCCCCCTCCCTGCGATTGCGGAAAAACTGTGCTCGGCTCCCCTTCCATCCAGAGTTCGTGGCAAATGCGTGTAGGTCGTCGTCATCATTATCAGGGGCGTCTGCCCACTGCAGTCTGGCATCCAAGGCTGAGATTGCGCACCGTACCCAGTCCAGAATGTTGTGATGGTATTTATTCGTATAATTCCTCTTCACAGCCTCCATTGTCGGCGCGTTGACGTCGGCCCCCAATGCAACCACTAGATCAACGACGTCGTCACACTTTGCAAGCGCCGTTTCGATGGGCATAAGAACTCTGCCCTCATAGGTATTAGAAACATGCCCGCGAGAGTTCTTATTGCTGCTGAATTGTCAGATGGACATCCATGACTGTTGAACGGACTACTTACCTCATCTCCCGTGCTCGATAAAAGTCTTCCTCTGTGAGCGTGAGTTTCGCGTTGAACGCGAGAAGGATTGCAAGAGTGGACCAGTTGCCTCTGGTGATGGTGGAAATAATAGGGCTCGTAATGGTACCGAATGGCGCGACGTGAGGGGTATTTATGACGACCTTCGCATTGGGATCGGAGCTAAGGAAGGTTGCGACCAGCTGGGGCCTTCCAGCAGCAACAACGCGGTGGAACACCGTAACCAATTCATCATCCGCCTCAGATGAGACTGCTCCAGCAGCAAAGAGTTTCTTTGCGATCTGGCAGGCGACATCTTGATCCTCTGTCAAGATGGTAGCAGTCAGTTGATGCAAACGGGGAGCATCATACCGATTCGCTGTGGTAACCACTTTGACGTCCGCGCCTGCAGCAATTAGCTCGTCCACGATGGACACGGATCCGGACGCAATAGCGTATTGGAGGGGAGTGAACGCCATGTCCCAATCCGCGGCGTTGAGGTCGAAGACGTCAGGTTCCTCTGTCTCATCTTCGGGTATCTGACCATTGTCAACTTGCGGCTGTTCTTCGATCTTCTGGCCTTTCGCGCCATCTTCTGACGACCAGTCGTTTTTGCTGTTCTCGTCGTCACTTCCAGACTCGTCGTCACCTCCAGACCCGTCGTCAACATCCATCTCGTCTTTGCTGCGTCCCTTCTTCTTTTGCTTCTCCTCGGCATCCTCTTTCGCTTTTTCGGCATTAACAACGCTTCGCTCGAGGAGCTTGCGAACAACGGCAGGTAGGTCGAGCTGAGCAGCCAAGTGCAGCGAGGTCCTTCCATCTGCAACGCGAGCGGTTATCCGAGCGCCAGCATCAACGAGGTCACAAGCGATATCGGAAGCTTTGCACACGATGGCCAGTTGAAGTGCGGTTCTGCCCACATGGTCACGACGGTTTACGTCCGTCTCTTCTTGTTGTAATAAGTGGGCAACTGCGGGTCTATCAAGCTTAGCAATTGCGTTGAAAAACTTTTCGACTGGCCCCACGTAGGCCTGCTCGGCCCATTCTCCAACATCGATGGGGTTGAAGCTTCCCGAGATACTCTGGCGACCGGGGTCCTGCTGGATGAACCTGTCCCGCACGTAAGTGCTATGTCGAGCTTGAATGGAGCATGGAACCTTACTCTACACGGCCTCTGATGTAAGCCTTGTTTTCGTCTTCCTGCTGCGTCTTTTCTTCCTCGTTCTTTGGTTCTATACAATGCTGAATGTAGGATAAGCTTGCTGCTTCATGTCGAAATACGAATTGTGAATACCTCACAACAGTCGTTAAGACACTCTTCCATCGTGCCAAAGAAGGCCGGGTGGCGATGGAGTCGTCGATCTTTATTCTTCGGATTGAAAGGAGCTGTTATGGTGGATGAGGATGGGATACCTTGTAGCGTGAACTTTTGACTTACAATTCATGCCCAGGTCCTGTTACGTTGGCAGATATGGTTCGAGTTAGCTGTCAATGAGGATAGCACAACGCGAACCACTGACCGTTTGATAAATCAATTTCTCTATACGTCTGGCATCCCAGCCTGGACCATACGGGATATGAAGCGAGACCACGTCATAGTCGTTCATCTCTAGGCCGCTGAATTCTACATTCGTCTTCAAGTCGCCCTTGTACCGTTTCCTATACTTGCGCCTCCGGTCTTGCTCCACACTCTGTCGGCCACGAAGGTTACGACGCTCGGTAAGGTATCTCGTGCGCGTCTCCGTGTCCTTGAGCTTTTCCAGGACGAGTAATCTTGCAAGGCCCTGGATACGAAGAATGGAGCGCTCGAATATCTGCGATTACACGTCAGGCGAATAACGATGAAAGTGGAATGTGTATCTGACCGTGGGATCAATCTCTTCGCGCCTGAGAGTAGGCACGTAGACTTCGAAAGCGCGTTCAGAGTACTTCGCCAGCCGGACTTCGTATGAAGGCGACCTGCGCGTCGTGTCAACGGTATTGCATTGACGCATCATGGCTACGATCGCCCGGGGGTTCGCCCACACGCGTTTCCCATCGTACGCGCAGCACGGCGCGTCGATATCAAATCCAGCTAAGATCTCAGCGGGCGAGCGGTACAAGCGCAACACGATCTGGATGGCCCTATAGGGGTACTGGGAGTGAATGGACACAGTGTGCTTCGTGCGCACACACGTCACATCCCAGGGGACAGAATCGCGTACGGCCTCATAGATCGCGTTGATCTTGACTTCAGCTTGTTCGAGAGTCATACCATACAGGAATAAGTCCACGTCAGAGGTGGGGTACTCGTTGGTGTGGAAATGCTTTCGCAACGCGCGCTTGGAGACCTTGGCATACTCGGGAACCGGATTGAGACACGCTTGGACGGCACCTCCAGCGGCGATGACGTTGTTCCAGTCCAACAGCTGAGACAGCGAACCCTCGCTGAAGATAGCCCAATTCTTCTTGAAGTCTTCGAGAGTCGCAACCATGGCAGGCGCGCCCTCTTTGCGCCTCCGACCTTCGGACAAAGGCATAACATACTTGGCTGAGAGATCAATCTCGTCCTTCACGACGCGGGCTCGAGTCGTCCTTATGACGTCCGGCGCGTCAAACACGTCGACAAGTCCGACATACAAATTGTCCAGACGGGCATTGGCCTTGTCCATCGCAAAGAGCTTGCGCAAGGCAGCCTCGTCATCAAGTGACGGCTGTAAAACATCAGACAGCTTCCCAGCAGCGCCAGGACCGGACGGCAGCACAGCGATGCGAGATAGAAATGCTTCTGCTTCAAGAGTTTGCGGCATTGTCAAGAGGGATGGTAAGAGTTCGACGAAGGATATACTCGAGGGTCAGTCCTGCGTGGATACAAGTCCCTTTTATACTCCTCAGGCGCCTACACTCATGATGGATAAGAGGCCCCGAGGCCATGACAGCTCACACTGTGAGTCAAGACAAGCGTACCGGTGATCGCAGAAACAGGCGCAGCGGCATGTTTTCCTATTTTGGTGAGGCGCGTCGGTATCTGCGTTTGGCAATTCCCGCTTCCGCCCCTTATCAACAGTGACCGATGCTGCCTCGACATCGGCTGAGTCAATGGTTCAGTTGCCCTGTTCAATTATGTCCCTCCTTACTTTCCCTACTCTCGGCTTGGCACTTGTCGTGATCTTCGGCATTATGTAAAAGATGTGCCAAAAATACCTCAACACTTTGCATGCAAGATCGTGCATGCATTCTTCATAGAAAATGTTCCAGTGTTCTTTGGGGCATGATTAGCTTTCAAACCATCCAAAATTCAAGCAAAATGAGGGAAGCCCGCATCCACAGAGCAGAGCGCGAGCAACTGCAAACTCCGATCTAGCCGAGATGCGGGTCTAAAATAAGGCACCTGCCGAGGCGATCAAAGTGGCACTCAGGCCATAGATGTAGTGTTCTTCTGTACCCATCAAAGTAGGGAAATTAGGGAGGGACATAATTGAACAAGGCAAGTACAGGTAAGTAATCTGACTCGACGCGAGTGACAACTTAAAATTCCCAATCGTGGATGTCTGTCCCGAGGTTGTGTGAGCTCGAGGCCTCCACGGCATGATTAATATTGTTCGCACTCGCAGTCATTTCAACCAGATTTGTCGGGTGCTCACGGTCGATAGCTCTGTAAGATGTGGAGGAATGACCAATTCTTGGGTGGTCGGTCAGTCTAAGCCAACATACTCAACGAGATGCTGCATCAATCATAGACAGAACTGTATTCGTTGGTCAAATAGTGACCGTTCTCGATGATCCACCCTTATGTACACCTCGAAATTTTCCCACTGTAAGAATCGCTCACCTTGCGGATGGCGATATCAGGGAGTTGACGCGTGATGAATGCTCCTACAACACGTGTAGTCATGAGAGTTGAGAGAATTCATAGAAAGCGCTAGTCTTCTGTAATAGACTCATAGGTTATCCTCATGTGGTTGGTTGTCAACTTTGCTTGTAAGCTGTGCAAGTATTTGGCTAGTCAGTTCCCAGAATAATCACAAACTACTCATCTAGTCCTCTAACATGGCTATGGCATTGTGAATACCTTGTGCAGGTAACCTCCCCCGGTCCAGGCTGGTTTGAGAAGGGTCTCTCCCGGTCGTTACAAACTTGCCGAAGTCGGTTCACGGTCAATGATACTGATTCTAGACTTACCACATTGCCGTTCTCTTGCACCTTGACATCGATGTTCGCATGTCCCAACGGCCTCCATGCGCTGAATTCTGTCTCATATGGCGTTTACGTCTTCACTTGTACGTAGAGCTCGTCGTGGGTATTCCTCACAGGATAACGGAGATATGATTGAAGTCGCTGTGCGAAAACCACGCGAGGCAAGGATGCAATATTTTGAGTGAATATGCAACCCTGTCCCTTATACGAAGCACTGGAATAATACTTCAAATATATGAGCGTTGGAAAACAATATGATCGTCGAGAGTAACGTACTCGAAGGATCTCCGCCTACCAGAAATCTCTCCGCTTCTTCGCAATTTCTCTGAACAGCGACTTCTTCTCTCCCCACAAGCCGCGCGCCTTCTCGTGTTCTTCGTCCCGCTGAGCCAGTACCTTCTTCCTATCCCGCACCTTCATGGCCGCGGCCCTGCCAATGAAATTTGGTGTGCAGTTGAACTCTTTCGCGAGCTTCGAGCGTGTCCACGTGAGGGGATCCTCTACACGCAATTTACGGATCTTCAGCAAGTCCTCTTGCGACAAACGTGGCGACTGGGGCTTGTCGGTGCGCAAAAGGGGTGGGAGTGAGGAGCTTGACGACGGCTCCGGATGCAGCAATGGTGATGCCGGTGAAGTAGTGTATGAAAGCGGGGAAGGGGCAGATGGAGGAGATCGGTGGATAAATGTCAGGTCTTCAGGAAGAGACACGGCATTTGGATTATTTTTGAGAGGATCTGGTGCTCTGTATGGTGGTCGTTGTGGAAGACGAGTCGCGTACGTGCGACAAAGCTTTCGCCTCAGCACCAACTGAAGTTTCATGGTGAGCGGCGAGGAACGCTGCCTTCCGGAGCAGCTCCGTGTTGTCAGGCTGGAATTTCCGGCTCAGGCCGAGCTCTGGCCGGTTCGGCCTCTCCCGCGAGTCTCTCGAGGTTCACCATTTGTTTTCTTTTTGGAGTAAATTGGGTCATACTTTTCGCGAAGTACAATCACTGCCGAGTACTGTCTCAACTGGAAGAATCATATTTCCTCCTGGGCTGTTTCGCCCTCGCGACCCCTTCTCGAGTCCCGATGGTCGATCTTGATTCGTGAGTAGCTTCTTTCTTAACGATGGCGTTCCAACTTGGGCAACTCCAGTAGTTGCTCTCAGAAACATCAATTCTCCTAACAGAACTCTTACAGGAACCTCGGGAAAATGTGGAGCGGCGCCAATACCGGGTCACCGCTATTGGTTCATCAATCGCCCTCCATAATCGCAGATGAGTCTGCGAGTTTTGGCTGTCCGTTTCGGCACAGCTGGTATCAAGATTGTGGCAAAGTGAGTGAAGCAATTTCCTACAGGTCAGCTGTTGGCAGGACGTTCTGATTGATAACGATCTTAGTTGCAACCCATGCATCACGAGCCATTCCAATCCGCCTTTCCCAATTTAACCCTGAGACCTTTTTATGTTCTCTTGCTGAAGGAGCGGGAACGGGCCTAAATATTGTTTGGCGACGTATCCACTGGCATGCGCTCAGCCAATCTGACCGTGTATTACACGCAATCGGCGATGTCACTGCAAACTCATGCAGAGGAAACCCTTTTTCTGGATTTTCGTCGGTAGATGTGCTCTAGATGGGTGTGGCTGAAGCCGACCGAGATCGATCGGCGTCGCCGAATGGAATATCGGCGGCATCCATGACGACATGCAGGGCGTTGGAGCTGAAAAACGTTGGCTCGACATTCTCACCGTGCTCGCTATGTAAGTCGATGAGGTCATTGCTGATAATCGTGTTCCCTTGTCTCGAACAGAAAGAACATCACTCACCCTACCCCCGCCCCCGCTCCTTCCCCGGACTCCCCACACGTTCTTGTCCTGCATTCTTGGCGGATATTTCACCATGCACGCGAAGGCTCTGAAGAAGGAAGAGCTCCAGCAGGCCCTTGTACATTATGCGGAGGAAATGCACGCCTACACGCTCCAGCTGGTCGCTGAGGTGAGGAAGCAGAGGGGGAAGGAAAGCGGCACAGATGCAGGAGCTGAAGAACAGTCGCTGGACTTGTCCAAGCTGCAGATATCCTCTCCCAAAAGCCCTGCAAAATAGTCATCTACCACGCCGTTCGAAGCTGATATCGTCTGTCCAAAGCTCCCGTCCTAACGCTGCTCATAGCCATACCTACACTCCCAGATCATGCACGTTCCTTTATCGTTTCCGTTACTCAAACCTGATTGCAATCAACTTTCTGTTTCCTTGTGAGTATCCTTTTAAATGGTTATGATTAGATACCGATCATTGTCGACCACTCAGTTATTTTACCTTCGCTTCACTGGATTCGCTGGCGAAACTCTATTTTGCTTGAAGGCCCAATGCTGATTTCTGCTTTGGCATACGGGTGCGTCTGGGATTTCGCCTGTGAATTGACCGATGCGAGAAGGCGCTTTGAACTGCAAATTTAGAATAAATGCTACGCAGTACTCTCACGCGTTTGTCACCAAGAGTACTATGGGTTTACAATCGATGTACCATCAGCACGGGAAACGAAGCAGACATGCCGCCCTCTAATGCTCACCCGAATCGTCGCAATTGTTGTATTTCTAGGCTGGGTCACAGTTCTCGTCATAATGTAAACCCACCTGTTCTTTCCATGATGTTCTGTCTCAAGGGGCGACTGATTCTGTGTGGGATAAGAGATCCGAATCATACGTAGAAACGCATTGTGCACGAAAGCTACAGGACGGTGTGCGGGGACTACTCTAAGACATCGCGAATCCTGCCTTAACCCCTGGTCGATCGAGCATTCGCGCACTCCACGCCTAGGAACCACAATCAGCATCCGGTATAAGTGAAGCGCAAAAGAGAAGTTTGTACCTTAACGTGTCCCCACTCGTCGAGTGTTTCAATCCCGGTGGCGGCATGAAAGTTGACCCTGAGAAGTGGGTGTGAGTGTGAACGCGAACTCTGCGCAGAAGTAAACGGCTATCCACCAAGTGAATGCATTTATATCCGCGATGCTGTATATTCCGCGGCCAGGGCCAGCCAGCCAGTCACGGTCAGTAAGACGGATGTCAAGAACGCCATAGAGACGCTTCGTTTCGTCGACGTAGCCTTCATGCATAGAACGAGTCATTGTCGGAACGCCGACTGGTACTAATACACTCACGCTTCTTCGCATAGGGTACGTCTTCTGTTGCAAACATGTAATAATAAGCCGCTTCGAAATATTGAAATGATGAGATGCCATAAGACTGGGGACGACGGATATACCTTGTGCTTGCATAGGCCCAATTCCTCCATGCTACGCGAGTTCTAGGAGGTCAAAACAACTCCACTCGAATTGGAATGTCATCAGAATCCACTCACAGCAAAACATACCCACTGCAGCATCTCGCTGTAGTCATTGGGCTGCGTCACTGGATCGAAGGTGAATTTGTTCTCTGGGTCGTAATGCTGCTCAAGGTAGAGCAGAATCGCAGCAGACTCGAATATGGGAAAGTCCCCGCGTTCTCGGTCGACTAGCGTGGGTACAACTCCGCTAGGGTTCAGCTTGAGGTACCACGGTTCCTTCTGCTCATTTTTGGAATTGTTAATCTGATTCACACTACAAATTGTGTGCGCGGGATGTAGTAGTTAGTTCGCAAGCTCGGACTTGGCTAGACATTTGCCAAGGCGATGAACTGCAGCGTTACTCACTCGTAGTCAAAATTTCTGTATGCTGCCTTGAGATCCTCAAGCAAAACGGATGCCTTCCTTCCATAGGGCGAGAGGGTTGTAGTATAGAGCAGAAGTGGTGAATGCCAGCCTGGGGAAGGCATCGCGTTATATGTACGTAAATCTGTAAGGCGAGGGATGAATGCTCAGCTGGTGGTAAGCCATACTTTGATTTATATTGCGGAGTGGGAGGCAGACGGTCAGACACGAATATCCTGGGCCACGAAGATTACGGAGCAGTGTGTCAATCAGTCCGTTTGAGATTATGTAGACGCTGCCCGGGCAGGATGACAGACTGCCATAGCCTCGGTAGTTTGCAAAATGGGCACTCAATGTCCGAGCTAGCATTGAATGGGGTGGTGATTCCTCAGTTTCGTCATTGTCGACGCGCTGAGGAATGTAAGTACCAGAGAGCCGCTGATCTCCCACAAATGTCAAGGCCTGGTAACGTGATCCGAAGCCGATTGAGATGGGCAGAGATATTGGAGATGAACATGGAAGGATTGATTGACTACTCCAAGAAGATACATATGACGACGTAAGTGATTGTTCTGTGTAACGGCTGGAACGGTACCTTCAGGGAGCGCGCACGAAAACCAGAGAGTCGCGATCACGATCATTCCAATCATGCTCAGACAACGTTGAACCCTAAATAGGCGCGAGCAATCCTCGACGACAACATTACTAGCACAGGCAGTATCGTCGCACAACAGAGAAGTATCTTAAGGCACTGCGAGTCCTGCTCTCACACAGGGTCGCTCCTTATTTCTGGTGATCCACGACTAAGATGAAGGATGAATATCAATTGTCCTGGGAAACGGATGGCACCTGCCTTGACGTTGGGCCATTCGTCGAGTGATTCGATACCGCAGAATCCGTGAAGATTGACCCTGATGAGTGACTGTCAGTAGGAATGGATGCCAGACAATGGGAAGGAACTCACCAAGGGAAGGCGTTTATATCGGCAATGCTGTATGCGCCACGTCCTGGTCCAGCAAGCCAGTCACGGTTGGCGAGACGAATGTTCAGGACGTTGTAGAGACGCTTGGTTTCGTCGACATAACCTGCTTGCGCAAATGTAACATTGTTAGGGAAGTTCATCAACTCTGCACTAACGCTTCTTTGCGTAGGGTATGTCTTCCTGCAAAAAGCGGGTGTAATGAGCCGCTAGGAGGTATGAGATAGGGTCACTTGACTGTGAGATATATGCATACGTACCCTGTCCCTGCATAGGTCCAATTCCACCGTGCTATAGTGCAATAAAGTGGTCAGTGTAACTCCATGTATGCAGCTCTAGGTCAAGTCGGCCGCGATTCACTCACAGCGAAGAACATCCACTGCAGCATCTCGCTGTGATCGTTCGGCTGTGTGGCTGGGTTAAAAGAGAACTTGTATTGAAGGTCGTAGTGTTGCTCGAGGTACAGCAGTATCGCAGCGGTTTCGAAAACGGCGAAATCCCCGCGCTGTCTATCGACAAGCACGGGTACCTTTCCATTAGGGTTCAGTTTGATGTACCACGGCTCCTTCTGCTCGTCATTCGACATGTTGACGTTGTACACGCTATGCAACACAGGACGTGGCTGTTAGCTCGAAAGCTCAGATCTGACCGGCGAAGTCTGAACGAGGAGCCCAGTACGACTGTATCACTCACTCATAGTCGATATTATCATACATAGCTTTGAGTTCCTCAAGCAAGATAGACACTTTTCGCCCATTGGGCGTGACACCAGTGTAAAGCAGAAGCGGTTTTTTTGAGCTGGCAGAAGACATAGCGCGGTATGTGAGAGACAAATTTGCAAAATGACGGCAGGCTACGTTCAGGCGAAGATGAGGAATCATACCACATCTTGCTTTCTGCTTGAATTTGTACTCTGGGGAATACGCAGACGTTATCCGAGCTGCATTATGATTTATTGCCATCATAGCTGCTTACCCGAAGTCCGAGACCGCGATTTATCAACCCGCAGAAGTCGGTGATTGCTCAGCTTCATCCACGTTGATCCCCCGAACGCCCAAAATTCAACGAGTCATTAAATTTCGGCGTTCACGGAATCAACGTGGGCAGCTCAACAACAAGCATTGAACTCTCGCGGATGTTGCCGTCTGTCGATGTTGTGAGAAAATATTTCAGATGGACTTGAAAACACTGCAGGATAACTATAGCAGATACACACAAAAGGATTGAAAGCTCCGGGAATTTCGAGGAAGTAAGTGATGGTTCAACACTATGCATGATAGCATGAACTGTACCTTGAGGGACTAGGGACAAACCAGAGAGTTATGATTGTTCCATTTCTGAGTAAACTAACATGACAGGCAACGGTGGCTTACAACCAGCTGCTACAGGCGAATAACAGAGAAGTATTTGTCTTAAAGGCACGTTGCTGAGCATCCGGATGCACATTCGAAAGATAGTTTTTCAGACATATATTCGGCCTACGACACGGCATCGGGGAATTCGCCTGGATCTTGTTTGAGCTTGCAGCGCTGACAAGCGTGACCAAGTGTGACGCGAGTTTGTAACCGCGTGTAAGAGCTTACAATCGACGCGTCGTGCTGGTACACATCTTGTGGGTCTTCGTCACTATGGTATAACTATGCCCAGAACATGCGCACGGGCCATTGCTGTTCTGTTTCGATCTCCGGAGCTACTCTGCATTCTACACATCTTGTAACACCTTCCCGGCCGCGGCCCAGCTTGATGTTCGGCTTGCAACGTCTTGTCAGAGTGTTCCCACCTTGACTCCTCTGGACAAGAGATAGCTGATAACGCGACGCGCCGTGCCTTTCCCCTGTGCCCTATCATAGCTATCATACGAGTTCCTGCTGCTGGCCCTAAAGTGATCGGTACGCATGTTGAACTTTCGGCGCATCCGTCCTTTGGTGCATCGTCTCTCTTCTTCTCCACTCACCACCTCCTGCATGTTGTGATGTGACTCCCGAGCTGTATGGTGCTCCGCAGACATGTTTGTCTGTGTCAATGTATGGGGAGATATTTGTGTGCCTATATTCATCATCCTTGAGCTGAGAAGCTCCGTGGGTACTCCCATGTAGTTGTGTGAAGGGGATGGATGCCGTGTTTGACTACCATATTCACATCTCATTCTCCACAGATTTTAATGGTTACTCACAGTGTCTGCGGACATGCGCAACAATTTCCTCCTTCATCACCCATATTTGGCCGCGACCCATCATGGCTTTCAGCGAATCCGGTGCCAGGGTATCCCTAGCGCGTGTGCGCGCGAATATTCGATGGTCATTGGTCGCACTGGTGGTCTGGCAGTTTTCGCGGTGGATTGGGGTGATTCAGTGTATGTGCGCATATTTGGAACAGTTGGCGTTGGTATGGTTGAATATATTTGTTGACTTAGGTATCTCATGTCCGATATGGTGGTGAGTACTGGGGCTAGTGATATGACTGTGATTTGCTGCACTCGAATGGATGCTGTCGCACCTGGTGGTGAAATGTAAGATCTTACAGGACACACAAGAGCTATTATCCTGCCTGAGTCCTGGAAGAACTCCAACCTTTCGCAATGCTTATTGTTCTTGGCAAAGGCTGCATAGTCTTACCTTTGATTATACTTGTGACTACAAGCCTTCTACACCTTCTATATATGTTATACCTTGTAATGACTTACAATCGCTCATAAGACCCATACCAGAAAGATGCAAATTCCCCGATGCACCAGCACGCCACGCTAATTGCCATATATGGAAATTATCCACCATCATGGCCAGACAGATAATTATCGCAGTCAAACGTTAAACCTTCGTCGCGCCATTCAGCAGCAAGGACAATCAATATGGATTAAGACAACTACATCCCTGCAATCCACCTGCACCGACAGGTTGTCAGAAGCCATTGATGATCAACAGATGTTACTGTTACAGGACAATTGAGGAGCATTCTAGGGTACCGCGATCCCTGCTCTCACACCTGGTCTCTCCAAGTTTCGTGCAATCCAAGCCTGAGATCAAGCATGATCAATCATCGTGGCAAGCCAATGAGGGTTGCATTACCTTGACGTTCGGCCATTCGTCAAGCGACTCGATCCCGCAGAATGAATAACCGTTCACCCTGTGGAATATTCATGAATATGGACGGGACTCGAAAAGCCTGGAAACCTCGGTGGCAACTTACCAAGGGAATGCGTTCATGTCCGCGATGCTATATACGCCACGTTCGGGACCTGCAAGCCAGTCACGGTCGGTGAGACGGATGTTGAGGACATTGTAGAGACGTTTTGTCTCATCAAGGTACCCTGCCCACAAAGATGTCACGGATGGGTAGACTTGGGTGATTTAGTACTTACGCTTCTTTGCGTAAGGTATATCTTCTGGCGCAAAGCGAATGAAGTGGTTTGCTGAGAGGATGAGATGCCATTAATTCGCTGCTGATGACGTCATGACATGAGTGCGCACCTTGTCCCTGCATAGGGCCTATCCCTCCATGCTAACCAAACAAGCAGTCATATCAACTATTTGCATTGCGCTAGGACCAACGAAGACTTACGGTAAAGAACATCCACTGCAGCATCTCACTGTAATCATTCGGCTGCGCAGCTGGGTCAAATCCAAACTTCTGGGCCGTGTCATAGTGCTGCTCGAGGTACAGCAGTATCGCGGCAGTCTCGAAGACGGAGAAATCCGCTCGCTGCCTGTCGACGAGCACCGGTATGCGTCCGTTCGGATTCAGCTTGATAAACCACGGCTCCTTCTGCTCGTTCGTCGAGATGTCGATGCTGTGCACGCTACGGGGAGACCATGCGTTTGTGATATCATTGGTATCACAGGGGAAAGCGCTGCTTACTCGTAATCGATGCCATACGTAGCCTTGAGCTCCTCAAGCATTATCGAGACCTTGCGCCCGTTTGGTGTGCCCGCAGTGTAGAGCAGAAGGGGTCGTTTGGTGCTCGCAGAAGACATTGCGCGGTGCGAACTCGCGAGGTGACGAGTGACTGAGTTCAGACGGCTAAACATCGTACCTATTCGACCCCTTTTGCCTTTATACTGGGACTTACTGGGTCAGAAGGTATCTTGAAAGTGACGCAGATGTCTCGGTCTGTATGGCCATGGCGCCTGAGTAACAGCTGACAAACTGCACACAGAGTAGCCGATGAGTCCGAACACATAGGTATCAGACCGCGGAACTTCATGATTGCTAAGCTGGATCGATGTAACACTTCTGCTGACTCGGACAGAAGAGATCAAAATAAATTGCTGTCGAACGTAGAGCCAGGGATCTCCGAGTCCGTATCACCGAGTCTCCTCGCCGATCGCGAGTCTGATAGGATGAACGGCCTGTTGGATGATAAAGGAGCCATTGCAGAGACGATGTTGCGTACTGTACAATGTTATGCGGTACACAGTAAACGAGGGGGAAAGTCAAGGGAGAGACAGGGCAGACGTCCGGGTCAGATAGCAAGAAGGTACATGTGTGATGGAAAAGATCGGACCGTCGCACGGAAAGAGAGACGCTGAAACAAAGTACAACAAAGAGACTTGAAGTACAACAGATCAGCTCCAAAACAAATAACACAACACTGGCACAGATACATACGTATGTACTGTGTGTGCCAACTAAAACCCCAAAGATATGAACATGAAGCAGAAACGTTTATGAACATATGTACGTGCAATGCACACAAGCCGCTCAGTCTTCCTCATCCAGCGGTGACAGTCCACGATTCCTTGGAGAGCCATACCGGACTGACTCTCTATGAGATGCAGCAACACTCCCCTCGGACCTTTCGTCGCCGCCGGCCTCGGCTGCGACTCGCTGCGATGACGTCCGGCGATGAAGATTCGATGAAGACGGAATAGCCTTCGAGTCCCTGGAAGAAGTCCGCTCGCCCGCCGTAATATACCGAAAGGGTATTGAGAAGCTAGGGGCCTGAAGTTCTGATCTCTCACCCTGGCTATGGTTATGACTATGGAGATTGGAACCCGAAGGCAGCTTTCGCGACGACGACGACACCTCCGCGCTGACTGCTGCAGGAGAACGAGGATCGAGGCGCATCGCCGAGACGGAGACACGTTTACTGACATCAAAGGGGATGGGCGACGGCGCCAGTGAGCCAGGAAAACTGTGAGTACCACTCCGGCCGTCCCTCTCTGGTGGCTCCGGCGAGGGTGCCCGCCTCGTAAACTCCGGTACCTTGGCAAGCGGGTTGACGGGCGGGAATGTGTACGACTCTGGTGCCACTGGCACGGAGCTCGCGCCGTTCAAAGTTCCCTTACCCTGAGCCGAGGTAGATCCCGGACTGTGGACCGAGTGCCCGCCTCTGGCGACATGTAGCGCAAGCTCCAGATCTTCCACCCGTCGATGAAGGCCGTATATCTCTTCCCTCATAGCCAACGCCTTCTTCTCTACGGCCTTATTGACCATCTCATCCAGCTGATCTTGCTGACGTTGTAACGACGCCGTCAAGTTCTGCGACTTCTGCAGCTGCTCCCCAAGCCAGTTCTTCAACTGCTTTGAGTCCGCGAGCGCATCGTAGAATGTCTCAAACGGTGCCAGGAAGGCGGATTTCTCTCCCGAATAACCAGGTCGGTGCAAGGCCGAGGGTGTGGGGGGCACAAGCGACGTGGCAATAGGAACGGAGGCACTCAGAGGTGATCGCCGACTCAGGATACTACCACTCGGTTGGGCTACATGCCCTGGGGCTTGTGCACTGCGGGAGATGCTCAAGCGCGTCGGCGTAGGAGGCACCCGGCCCACCGTTTGTCGCTGAGAGGTGCCAGTAAGCGGCGGCGGCAGCCGAGGAAGCGCCATGGGAGGGAATCTGCCTGGCACGCCTTGATCTGCGCGTGGTACCGGCGGGGCGCTCTGTATGGCAGGCTGAGACTGAGGATCTCGCGGACTGATCATGATATCCGCCGGTTTGCTCTTGGCGCCGCCTAGCTGCCGCCCTGCACGCCGGCGGGCAAAGCTGATTGGGGGCGGGGGGAGCGCGTGCGTGTGCGAAGAAGCAGGAGGATTTGTGGTGTAAACAAATGTGTGGGTCCCTGACGGCGCGTGCGGGGGCGGGGGCTGCAGCTGTGGGCCTGGAGCGATAACGGTGTTGGGACTAGGGTGTCGGGCACTCGATGAAGATGTCCCTTGGCCCTGCGGAGGTGCCGAAGATATCACGGCAATCGAGCGTCTGCGGTCTACCGTATTTGCAGGTGGGAAATTTGGACTACGCGCTGGTGTCCTCGCAGGCGCAATAGGCTTGAGGGGATTTGGACGCTCGTCGGATGGAGGGAGATGATTCACCACGTTTACTGCAGGCGGTGCACCTGTAGAGACAATAGAAGCCGTACTCCCTCGTCTTTGTTCGATAAGCTCCTTTTGCTGCTGCTTTACCGTGAGCATGGAGCGCACTTGTTCCAACGCGACAGGATCGTCTCGCTTGATAGTAAAACCCATGACGACAGGGGATATAGATTTGTTGACATTGTCCGAGGGAGTTCTCACGTCGGTATTGATAGGACTGAGGTTGCCACTGATTGTCACTCGCCGTCGCTTTGACGTTGGTGGCTTGCTATAGGACGGGGAAGGTGCAACGGCAGAGTCTGTCTCATGCGTCTGTGACATTGTCTTCAACTGCGAGGAGGATGGAAAAGTGTCGTAATCTGCTTCCACTTTTATCCGCACAATCCGTGGGGATCGGCGTCCACTGTACCGAAAATAACGCGGAATTGGCAGTAGCAGACACAAAGACACGGACCACGTACTCTGAATCAGAACCTTCATCATTGCTCTTCGGGGAAGACGTCTCAGCATGCAATCGTTTCTTGTTATTCGCGTTATTCACATAAGGTTCGTCGGGTGGCTGTGGAGGATCCTGCGCAGACGGTGAACCATGACTATCGTGAGGTGACAGACGCCGCTGTATCGGTGGGAGAGCATTACTGCTGCTGGATATCCGGCTCAGGGAAGGGGTGCTGAATGCCTGGGCAAAAGATGGGAGAGATTGAGTAGGTTGAGTACCCATTTCGTCCCAATTAGACAAAGCCTTCGCGAAAGGGGGTAAGGAAATTGGACTAGCAGTTCACGACTAAAGAGACCAAGAGAGGTGTGGGCATTTGGAAAGAGAGACAAGGGGAAGACGGAGTGGAGATGGAGGAGAACGAGAGAGTACGTAGTTGTTGATCAGGAAGAAATGGAATGCATCGGCGGACAGGATGCCGTCAACTATACTCGCTTATGTAGTAGCTCCCGGCCTATCGTACTCTCCCTCTACTCGCTTCCCCGCCCGCGACTTTGTTGCAAACTCCATCTGTAACCCTTCCAAGAGCTCGCCGGTCGTCGTCCACCGCACACCGATTTTTTAAATGCAACACACAGCATCTCTGCACAGCGCGCTGCACCTGCAGATTTATCGTTTCATGATGACATGCGCCCCCGGACACATCACACGTCTGCCCTTTCGCAACTTGCATGAGTCTGACAATGGCATTCAATCAGATAGAACGATAGAAAGTGGTCCGGACTACTACCGGAGAGCTCCAAGCTCTCCTTCACGCGTGGAGTACTTCACCCTTGCCTTTTCGTGCCCTTTGGACGTGGAAAGCTTCCCGGCGTTGGACCCTACGCGTCCTGAAGAGCGAACTCTGATACTGATGAGATTGGGTCGGGTGCTGATTCTACTGCCTGGCCTAGGTCCACGAAGCATGCCAAGATGGGAGTTCGACATCAGATCCGACAAAGAGCTTTTGGGGAAGATTTTGCAATTGACGCCATGGGCACTAAAATATTCAAATTGCCCCTACTCACGACATCGATCCGTAAATGGTCGCTATCCAAGTTCGTCCGTTCATCTGCTCATCCTGGGAATGCCGGCATTCACTTGCAGATCGTGACAAGTGCGCAGGCCGGCTACCCACTTGGTGACTTCTAACTCTCCCAGAGCAACTCCACACGAGACCTGCTGCGCTTTAACCGTCACCAAGAACGAAAGTAGATTCCCAAGTGTGTCACATACCTGTCAAACAAGACTCGTGCCAATTCTACCAACCAGTCGTTGAACGACGATGTGGAAAAGCACGGCAAACCAGAGTAAATATCCGTCGCGAAGCTGTTGCCGTGGCTGCACGATAGGTCGCGTCGACGAGCCTCTTTCGCACAAGTTTAGAGAGGGTGACGGAATCCCGACATCCGTGCCGACTTTCACCGAACGTACTGACCAGTCAGCAATTCAATGCACCCAAGACAAAGGCCTGCAACGGCGTGTCATTTCGCACGTACTGATTACACTTGTCACCCTGCATAATTGAGCGAAGTTCCCTGTAAGGAAAGCGTTGTTGAGTGCAACCAACGAGTTTTCTCTCGGAAAAATATTCAGGCCGCGATAGCACAACGGTCTTGCACGTCATTGGACCTGACAAACAAGGAGCAGGAACGACGGAAGCCAACGTCTTTTGATACCGTTTTGATACCGTTCTCTACAAGGAACGCTGGCGCATGCATGCGCCAGATCCCGGACGCAAGAAATACAACAACATCCACAACGGAACGAGAAACTGCCACCTATGCACTTAGCCCGGTGAAATATCTTTAAATCGGGAACAACGCACCGTCAAATTCAAGAAGCCACCTTCCGCTTCTTACGCACCGCTAAAACAGTTACAGTCTGCGCCGGAGCCTCCTTCGTGTCTCGACCTGCGACGTCGCCTCTGTCCTTGGGAAGAAGAGAAGCATTGCTGACTGAGATCGTGCCGTAGATGTACGAGCGATAAGTCTCCAGCGATGCCACGGGTTCATCGAACGGGTTCGGCGAGACATCGGCGATGGACGGGTAACCGCCTACCCGGCGCGGGGGTGTGCGAGGCACTTCGAGGGTTACGCTCGTAGTCTCCCGCTCTGGTGTCACAGTGCGGTGGGACTGCAATGGAGCGGCCGCGGACTTGAGGTCCTCGCAAAGACCCTTGACAGCCTCTTCTAGCGTCTCTGTTGCACGCACTGCGCGCTCCGTCGTGGAGAATTCATGATGATTCAGAAGTGTAGCCACGACGCGCCGAACCATCCGGGGAGCGACTTGACCAGGTTGCGGTGCCAGTGGGGATGAAGCGGGGACACTCCTGCCTGCAATAGGTGTCGATAGGCCCATAGCAAAGAAAGCTGTCACGACGCCTGCAATACATTCCTGGCGGAAAGACATGCGCTCCCAGAACTCGTCCGGTGAGACCCGCTCAATCTCGCCGTGCCGTGCCTCGTGTGCGTCATCTTCGTCGTCTTTGTCGTCCCGCGACGCGCCGCTCGGATGGTGGCTGGTTTTAGGGCGCTTCGTCTTGGGGGACTTGACACCTTCACTGTCTGTGGTGTGTGCAATCTCATCCATGAAACGAGACTTGGGATCGTCATCGAAGGATGGGATCAAATGGCCAAGACTTGACCGTTCATCGACCGTCTTCCCGACGGGGCATGGTAGGGGAATTTCCATCTGGGAGTACGGATGCCCATAAGTCCACGGGCAGTCAGTCGCGAGGGGACGAGTACGGGCTGCATCCAGCGAATGTACCGCCTCCACCTCGCTTAAACCAGGTAGAACGTAGTATAGGCCAAGCTTTAGCTGTTGATTCTGCGCCATGAGTTGAGTCGCTACATCCGACAATACACGCTGCCACCAAGCGCACAGTTGTATGCCAGTCAGAGGACTCTTTCCAGAGAACTCGGCAGAGTTCGGGAAGAGGTATTGGCCCTGCGCTCGCGCGAACAACTGGATCCAAAAGTGGTCGGCAGTCAACGGTCGCGTTGTGGGATCACCGTAGAATGCAAGCAACGCGCGCACGAGACTCGTAGTGGGCGATGGCAAGGTGGCGTGCCCCGACGAATCAACTTTTGAGATGTACAGTACGCCACTAGACGTCACAGGAACGTTGTATATGGACGCCTCAATTGCAGTTACCAACACACGAGGCGAGTTTGGCTGCTGCTCAGATAGCAGGACGAGCAGGTCCTGAAGGTACGCTCGAGGCCGAGGGTGGGCATAGGGAAAGAGACCGGAGTGTTTTCTGGGAGATGAGAGGAGAACGTGTATATGGAACTCACGCGTCCCGGGCAGCCTCGAGAGAGAAGCCAACAGAGCGTCCCGTAAGATCATGGTCTCGATGTTGACGAGTGAATATGTGAGTGGGACTAATCGCACCCTCTTCGGTGGGGCGCTTCAGTGTAACTCTTCAACGACTGTAAGAAAAACTAAGTGCTCGTACGCGGTTCAAAGGTTCACGATTAGAACCGAACAGGCTTACAAGACACCCGCATGAACGGTCAAACGTTCTCTTTGATGATCCCTAGTCCAGTCTAAGACGAGCGCTCTGCCTTTGGCTGACTTTAAGTGTCCACGATAATGCTGTCTCCGTGTTCTATGATGTCGAGGGCCTGGGAGGTGGTGTACGACCAAGGATGAGCATGAGAGCGCAGCGCAAGAAATTCCTAGACGCCAGACATGGGCGCTTGCATGTCAAATTTGTCGACAAACAAAAAGATTAAAATCTCGGTTTTGAATTGCGCAAACGTCGTAGGAGTACTGCATTGAAGCGGGAAAGTTTGTTTTCAGTCGCCGTCCTGCAGCAAAAAGGTGGCGGTGAGTTTCCAGCTCAAACTAGTGACGGAGGATCTGGTGATCGGCCCGTTATAGGAACTGAGTAAGAAAGAGACTGCACGTATATTGAAGAAATGGCTAGGACCATCGTTTCTCACTCATTATCAGAGTGGAATTTTTCGAGCAAGCACTGGCAGCAGCAGAGTTGCAGAATCCTTTAAGCGCTCGATTGCCTCTTCACGGTGGAAGCAACGCTGCCGACACTACCACCGCATCATCTGTAGTTGGGCCACCAGGTTGCAGCGGTATTCCTCGAGTACGAAGAGTCCAATGTGGGACAAACGGTCATCATGATTCATAATACAGAACACATATACAGAAAACAGTGAAGCTTGTGGTGTACCGTAATAACACCGAGTCTCAATGTTCAACGTCTGCCATCGGGTCCATCTCATGGTTCGAGCAAATCTCCAACCAATAGCAGTGTCAAGGTGGTAGTTTTCCAACTGCCTTCACGTTAACTGTTCCATACATGTATCCTGGGTTTCCCCGACATTCTGGCAGCTCAAAGGCGGGCGCAAAGGCAATATTGGGATCAACTGGTACTCAAAAACGCAAGAAATAATTCTGCAAGTGGATGTGTTGCCGAGTACTTCAGAGTGCCTCGAACCTTGGGAAAGAGTAGCGTCCTGCGGGTTGCAGTCGTTCCTTTGCGAGCATGACAACGGAGGTATCCCTCCAGGACGGAAGATAAGAAGATCAGGAGGCGCTGAACGGAACTGCGGCCGTAATACCCAAAGTTAATATTTCACATGCACTGACTCTGTGTCTAAGCATAGTGGTACGCACGTTGAAAGATGTCGGACTTAACGCTGAATGAACTTGAAGGAATCTGCGGCAGTATCCTTTTGGCCGACGTGTTCTGCGCCTTGCTGAGGTGAGAAGACTGAGCTGGTGAGCATCCGCTCACGGTCGACCGCACACGGAGAGAAATGCCATACGAAACTCTCATAAGCTGTGGCGTGTGCGTCCCACACTGGTATGAAAAGCTTCAGAAACAGAATGACGAAGTGAGTCGAATAGACTCACATGTCATGAGATTTAGGAGGAGTTGCGGCAGTAGTTCTGAGGGATGAGCTCAAGCATCATTAACCATGGATCACTCTTACTGTCGCGTGTCAGATCGACTACAATTAGGCTCAAGCAATGCGCACTTCTGAGGGTACATCTTCGGTATTCTGGCGGAGAATGCGCAAGACCTCTAATTCTTCATGTGCCCCATAGACAGGCATTGAAATAAATCGCGATGCGCAACGCTCGTGATGAAGCGATTTGGCATTTATTCCTGGGAGTCGACGTAGTAGTCCCAGTCATAGTCGTCTTCGTCACACCCACTGAGGGCGCATCCAGATCTACTGGGAGGGATATCGTGATCACAAAAATCTTGCTCTGCGAGTACTTGTCGTCGCTCTTGGTGACTAACTTGAGTGTCGTTTCTACCTACCGAGTGTTGCCGAAGAGACAAGAGGGTGCGACTCGTGTTCCGAACGGCGAACAAGAGTCTTGAGATCTAATCTGATAATCACGTGCTCACGGTGTGCCATCATACTGTTCCAGTGAAAAACTGAAATTACACTCATGTCTCGCCGACGTTCTGGCAAGTCAAAAAGTGCTCATTCGAAACCTCGTGCGTTTGATCCGCGCGAAGGAAAATTGAAAAGGTGGGAGAAACTGTCTGACATTCCTCTTGACGAGGAAGACCAATGTGAGTCTGCGAAGTTCTCTCATAACTGCTTTTTGGTGACCTGTCACAGTCCATGTATCGCGGGACAAAATTCTGCTAGAAGATGAGGATCTCGGCGATGATGACGAAGGTGACGACGACGAGGTCTTCGCGTTGAAGGGCATTCCCGATGACGAGGAAGAAGATGAGGACGAGGACGAAGTTGATGCGGTAGAAGAACCAGACCACATACGCACACCGCCTAAGAAGAGCGCGAAATCGAAACAAAAGAAAGGCAAGACCTCGCCTTCGTCCTCGGAGGCGGAATCCGAATCAGAGGAGGAAGGTTGGGGCAACAAGAAATCTGCGTATTATTCCTCAAATGCCGCGCAGCTGGAGTCGGACGACGAAGAGGCTAATGAGCTAGAGGAACAGGAAGCGAAGCGGCTGCAGGCTAAGGCTAGAGATGGCATGGCAGAAGGAGACTTTGGGCTGGAAGATGCTATTGAAGGAGCTGTGGAATCAGACGAGTATGCCTCTCCTGCTCAAGTTTGATTATCATCTCATGTCCGCACGTCAGCTTGATCGTAGAGGCACCCGCGGTTGTCGCACAACCTCTGCCAAAGGACAAACAATCTCTGCTCCGGCACCTCGAGAAGACCAGCCCAGAAACACTGGCACTCGCCCGTGACTGGGATGATATCGCTCATAGCTTAGTCAAGACACAACAGAAACTCGCCTCGTTCGTGTGCTCTTTGTGTCACATCCCGCGCAACCGCTTATCCCTGTTGCAGGCTGGAAACCGAAGAACCTGACCCTCTCAGTCTTGGCATGATCCACATGTACTACCGTACGTCCGTGTCTCAATACACGTATTTCCCACTGACCTCTCCCCACCACTAGAGGCATTACTAACGTACAGCACCGTACTTGCCTTCTACCTGCACCTTGCCGCGAGTGAGAAGTACGCCCAGCACCCAGAGCTGCTTCGCGCGCACCCGGTCCTTCCGCGCCTGCTGACGCTCAAGCAGTCCGTCACGACCCTCGAGGATCTGAATTTCGGGCTCTCCGATGGTGAGGATGAAGATGACGAGGACGAGGACGACTTGGACGTGGAGCAACTTTGGTCGGTAGACCAGCTGAAAGGGCTTGATGAAGACGAGCTAGATCAGCTTATCAAAGAAGCTACACAGGCTGTCCCCGATGTAAATGACTCCAAGGCGGAAAGCAAAGGCGAGGCCAAGAAGATCAAGGCTAAGCGTCCAAAGTCGGACTCTACAGAACAGCCCCCGCCAAAGAAAAAGCGCAAGACTGAGTCAGAATCCAAGGTCATCGTCCCCGTCTTCGACCTCGTCGAGCCAGACTTCACCATTAAGTCCTCCACATCCCGGCGGTCATACGAATCTGCCGTCACAGACGTCTACGGTGAGGCGACCGCGCTGCAAAGTGCTGACGCCGCGGACAAGAGGGCACGGCAGAAGTCCCTGCGCTTCCACACCTCGCGGATCGAGAGCACGAGCGCGCGGCGGCAAAGTGCACGGAACAACGCGCTCGGCGGGGACGACGACATCCCGTATCGGGAGCGCAAGAAGCAGAAGGAGGAGCGACTTGTACGCGAGGCAGCTAAGACGCGCGGTGCGGGCGGCGACGACCTGGACGATGCGGAGCCAGAGCCGCAGAGTACGCTGAAGAAACGCGCGCGGGAGGGCGAGGACGAGGATAAAGAGGATACTGGGGACGATGGGTACTACGAGCTTGTGCAGCGCAAGTCGAAGGCCGACAAAGAAAAGAAGAAGGCTGAGTACGACGCAGCGAAGCTGGCTGCCAGGTATTGTCTAATCTTCTCTGCGATCTTCACGCCATCTCATTGTCTATTTTCAACCAGACCCAACGTTGACGACGGTGCAGACGGTCCACGAGCTCTCACGCGTGCGATACTGAAGAACAAGGGCCTGACGCCCCATCGCGGAAAGAGCGTGCGCAACCCACGCGTCAAGAAACGGCAAAAGTATGAGAAGGCGAAGAAGAAGCTCGCGTCGCAGAAGGCCATCTACAAGGGCGGGCTGCGGGAGACGGGCAAGTACGAGGGCGAAAAGTCGGGCATCTCGCGCGTAATCAAGAGTGTCCGTCTGTGAGTTAATGTGCGTACATTACACGACTTAGGCTTCGTATCCTATATCATAGCAGCTGAGATATGAGAATCGGAATGTCTGTCCGTCAGAAAACAATGTCCGCTTCCGCTGCCACTAGATCGTCTCCAATAGATAAGGGATAGCAATGCGAAACAGAGATGGGGTGTAAGGGCAACCAGAATGTACAACATGGCTGACAAGTGCGAGGAAGTCCATGAACCATGAGCAGTCCTCACGACTCCATAAAAATACAAACACGAAGAGATTGATGCGAAAACAAAATAATATCATACACTCATCAGCCTCGATATCCACTGGCAAAAGCAGACTGATCGACATTCATGGCATTCACGTCGGCGATGGGACTCATCCGCGGGGCGACGGACGCCATGTGGTTGAGCTCCACCCCAAGAGTTGCCTGGCCGTAGATGCGCCGGATTTCCGCTGCCTGGTCGGAGCACTCTTCGTATGCATAGCTGTATTGCTGCAGGCCGTTGATACAGTTCGCAACCTCCGGGCGGCCAAGGCGTGCGAGTAAGTTGCCAGCCTGTATGCAGCTGACATGCATGACCGCCGAGTCCAACCGCTGCAAGGAGGCATCAGATTGAAGTCTCCAGTGAATGCAGCTCAACAAACCAAGTAGCCATTGGATGTCAAGACACCAGCCTGCAAATTGAGCGGTTAGTAGGTCCCGACCACTTGCACGACGACACCCACCAATCCCGCGATTCGCAGGGCTCCATGGAGCGCCTCTTCCATGACTTTCTTCTTGGTGGCTTCGATCTGGGCAGCATTGGGTAGCAGGTTTCCCGGACTTCCCGTGCGCAACAGATCATTGACTTCCCTGATGCCAAAGTCGTCGCAGGCGTTGAACAGGATGATCCACATAATGTGGTACGTCGCATCGCTCGCGCCTACTCCGTAGTCAGCATAATGTTAACAAACACCACAGGTTATCACAGAAATGCTTACAAGCAGTTACGGCACTGACGAAGTCCCACTCCGCTTCGAAGTTGCTGGGCACGCCAACATGGTGCAGGTGCTCGTCGCGCCAGTCGCCGAGGAGGTTCATGAAGTTACACAGGACGTCCAGCGGGATTCCGTCCGACTCCGTCGCGGGCCGCCATAGCTGGCGCGACATCTGGCGGGCGACGCGGGCGAGCGCGTGAGAGGCGCGGTAGTATCCCTGCGAAGAGACGCAGGCCCGTCAGCTAGTGCGCATGGGAACGCGCGCCTATTAAACCAAGGCTTACCAGAAACTGTGCGTGTTCGCGCGCGGTGGCATATGTCATGTGTACATAGGCATGAGGGGGATCGAAACCTCTCACCTCCAACTGCTCTCTGGGGGACGGCTGTGGCGCGTGACTCTCGATCTCGTCCGGCGGGATCGGGCCTACGGTGTAGAAGTCGATGTCGTAGTCGTCATCGTCCCTTATCGAGCGAACTCACTGTTATACGGGACGTTCGGACATGAGAGGAAGGTAGGGGCACTCACAACATCGGCTTGCGTCTGTAGTACACGCTGCGGTATGCGTCGGCGAGGCAGGCCATCCACCATGCGAAGATCATGGTGCCGCGCGCTTCTGGATCTTGGATATTGGCCATCACAGATTTATGGTTGATCTATAGTGCGAAGGCAGGCCCCTGATGTCAGTGCTACAACCGGGGGAAGAGCAATGCCGCAAACGTAACAGAGCAGCTCACCTGTAAATCAAGCAGTAGACGAATGGCCGACCCAAGCCAGAAGCCATGGAAGCCTGTCACAAACAGACGTCACTGTCGCAGTAATTTACTTTTTGCAGGAGCACCGACCATTAGAATCCTCCATGCTCTCTAGAACGGCAATATGCCAAAAAAATCAATGTACTGAAGACACTCCTTGCGTAAAGAACATTTCCACATACGACTCTGCATAGGCTCTATTAATAGAGCGATTACTACATGGTCAGCGCTGGGAATTCGGTGGACCTTCAGATCCTCAGCGAGATCTCGTGCACGGTTAATCAACGCCTTCGCGAGCAAACTTTGTTGATTGTTGCGTGCGCGATCCGCAATGAGTAGTGGATGTTCAGAGAATTTCGCGCCCCACGCGATGACAGTCGCGATCAATCTGCAGGATCAGTTGATATTGCAAGAGAAATGTACTTAGTAGAGGCATGACGCACGCTGGATGGATAGGCTTCGGCGCTCCATTTGGCAGCAAATCGCTCTTCGGGCTGGGGAATCTCGATGTCGTCGCAGGGGGTGTATTAGGTTGCTGTTGAGGACCGTACAGATTGACGCGCATGCGCGCGCGGAAGTGCGCAGGATTAAGGAGCGGGAGTCGCGTGTGCACTATCTGAAAGAACACCTCGACTAGATCCAGTGCAAATCTGTTTCAGAGTACAGCATCAGTAACGATCGGGTTTGACGTGCTGTACAGACGAACTCCATCCTGAACGACTCCTCTGATAACCGACTTGCCATCTCCCCCCAATCGCCGTACGGGGAAGCCACCGGGGCATATCCCCTGGCAAAACTGAAGATGATGATTAACCACAATGGAGATAATTATGGCGTTAAGAGCTCATGCCTGGAGGTTGGCGGAGAAAACAGGTAGGTAAGAAGGTCCCTGGTAGGCGTTTGCAGCGTGATCGGATGTGGTGGCGGGTAATAAATGCCATTTCCAAACGCCGTTGTCTGATAAGGCGGTGAGATCGGAGGATGTGGTGGAGAGGGCGCCTGTTCTGGACTCCTGCATCGCATCGGTATCAGTTAGGCATCTGATTGCAGGTAAGCACGCCTCACGTCCGGCTTGAACCAGGAAGTGACGAGCTGGAGGGACGATAAGTCAAATTGTACGAGAAAAATAGAACCGTCACATACTGCGGGTTATGGACGCTCAAGGTACGGGGTCGCTTGGTTGCAGCAGCATTACGCTTCTTCTCGCTCGTTGCTTGTTGAACATAGTGTCTGGTAGGTGCGTGAGAATGCGCATAGATAGGGATGATAGGGAAAAATCTGGAGACGAACGTGCAAGGATAATTCTTCGACAGACAGTGCTAACGAGGGGTTGCTATGACTAGGCTGCGCACTTCAGGGGAAAGGCCGGTAGCATACCTGACACTGCATGACAACATATCAGTACCAGGCCGAGCAAACAATAATAAGTACGGTACCTTGTCTTGCCCAGGAAGCTGGTTACATTTCACTTTGCGCGCCCTGTATTTATCCAAGTAATTTGAGCACAGATAGGAAGAGGGGACAGCATATAGTCGTTATGGGAGCGAAACGCGAATTACGGACCTGCAAGCATCACACGCCGTATTCTGCTTCCGGGGAGGAGGTAACGTTTTGGCAAGTTCGTGAATCTGATTTTGCATTGAGGTAGAAGTAAGATTGAAAACTAATATGCGGTTCCGGTAAGGCGAGGTGAGCCAACGACGATACACGGGTCGTGGGTGACCCCTACGACGACGTACCCTGTGAAGCGGACCCAGAAGACTCAGCAGCGCTCTGCGCAGGGTCCATTGCGGACAAGATGGTGGTAGAGGGGAAAAGGAGAGGTGAGTGAAGGCTCCAGCGTTCAGAGCGAGCAGGGATCTCAGACTATCTTACGATTCCCGCCGTGTCCGGTGCCGATCCCGTCGCCGATTTCCGCATCCCCCATTTGGCCGAATTCCTCGGGTTGGTCACCGGGAGCCAATTGCAATTTCTCCCTTCCCGTTTATTCGCAAATCCCCGAAGGCACACCGTGGGACTTCGTGACGCACCATGAATGTCACTCATGCACATGACTGTCACGTAAGCCAAAATTGCCCGCGTTGTCACCGCCCGCGTCGTCGCCGTCCTCTGCAACCATGGTCAAAGTCGAAATCGTCGAAGAGCGCGACGCTCAGGAGTCCAACTCTCCCTACGCCTCCTCCTCCTCATCCCGCACATCATCCTCCGTCTCCCTCTCGTCCGTTGGCTCCGAAGTTGATGGCGAAGAGTCCTTCTACGAACGTATCGTCGCCCTCGCCGACATCGTACCCCCAACCACCCGGCATAAAATATCCACCCGTCTCTCGAAGGTGACAGGTGGTCTGAAAACAACCACGAAGGTGGTGGGGAACCTAATTTGGGTAGTTACGACAAGCGCATTGTTGGTGGGCTTGCCGCTCGCCCTCGTTCTGGAGGACGAGGCAAAGATTATCGCACAGGAGAAGGAAATGCTCGCGCAGCAGCAGGGTGCTCAGCAGGTACGCCTTCCGCACAAGCATTGCCGACCGAGTACCTCCGTTTCTTCTGTTATGCTCATATATCATCCGCTAGATGATGGCACCTTCGATGTACCCTCCGCCAGGTCAAGGCCAGGCACCGAAGGGTGTCGTCCCACCCGGATTCTGACCTGCTAGTGCTAGCAGTCACATGTATTATATATTACAGCCCCATTCATGCCTCTATAATCTCACCGCTCTGCACCCAAAGGGCGCAGCGCACTCCGCGCCGGCTCGTAATGACGCTCATGTTCCCGAGCGTTTAGGGTTGCGCAGCACCAATATCGAAACACTGTTTTACTCGGGATGTCCAGATCCATTGAGATGCACCTACTGCGCCGGCTTTACTCAGGTAGGACGCAATTCAATATATGCCATTCGCCAAATTACTGTTATTGCGCTCCGGACCAAGTATTTGCTCCCTCCGGGCAATCCAACGCATATCGGAACCGAGCTCCACCACGAAGCTATGGCAGATCATACTAACTCACCGATAGGAAGCAAAAGGGCCGCCGCAAGCGTCAGCGCGAGCGAGTCATAAACTCAAACACAGGGTGACTCACAGTCGTGTCCCGAGAGGCAGGGAATACCACCGGGCGCGAATAGTTCTCGCTATCGCATGAGTCAGTACACATGGCTACTTCGGAAGCAGAAACAGCACTAACGCAGAGCGAAAGCGGCGCAGGTAGGTGATGGCGCAGTCCTCGATCTCATCGGGGGTGATCCCGACTTTTTCCCAGTCGCCGGGAACGTCGACGTCGTCGATGTAGCGGCGCAGGACTTCGTCAGGTGAGATGATCGGCCACCACAGGCTCTGCGCGCTCCGAGAGAGTAAGAGGGCGACGACCTTGGGCAGCGGCAACGCGCGCGACGGCGGTTTGTACGTGACGGTCGAGACGAGATTCAGCAGATACTCATACGTGAGCGTGGACGGACCGGGCAGGTTCAGCACACCAGTGAGAGACGGCATCGAGAGGATGTTTGTGAGCGCTTGTGCGACGTCCAACACCTAGGCACATCATTTCAGCGAGAGAACCGCAGAGTAAATGCGGTTCCGGAGCTTACGTGCACGGGGCGCATCTTCGTCTGCATATGGTTGAACTTCCACCACACGGGCCACACTGTGGCACTGATGAGAACATGGCAGAATTGGCGTCGAAGTAAATCGGGACATACCAGCCATATTATTGAGTAGCTTGTCCTCGTAGCCGAACATACTGGAAGGGCGGACAATCGTGGCGGTGGGGAACGCCTCCTTCACCAGGTCCTCGCCCAGTGCTTTCGACCGGTAGAACGCGGACTTTGACTCATGCGACGCATTAAGGTGCGAGACGTGGACGAAACGCGGGACACCGGCCTGCGCGGCAATGCTCGCGATGCTTTCCGCCCCTTTCGCATTGACGAGGTCGAAGCTGAAATTCCTGTACAGAGGGAGGGTTAATCGCACTACCCCAAACAGGCAAATACAGGCAATAGCAGACTTAGTCTCATAGTCTCTCCCGACGAGGTTGTACACGATATCGGAATGTCGCAAGCACTCCTCAATCTGATCTGGTCTCCGGAGGTCCCATTCCTGCTCGCCAAAAACACTCAGGACAACCGCCCCATTGAAAGTGAAATAAATACGGACCATAGACACGATCTGGCCCAAATCTCCAGTCACCCTCAAGTGCCTCTTCTCGTCCTCGTCGCGGTAAGGAATGACAACCTGCGTGCCCGCCTTGGCTACAAACCCGACGCGCGTTGCCGTCACACCCTACACCCAGATGTAAACATAACCGCAAAACACGTACCAAGCTTCGCGACAAGGTACCGCCCCAGGAATCCCGTGCAGCCAAACACTGTAGCGATGTGCCCCGTTGTCGCGCTGCGCCCGGGTGGGCCCTGCGCGATGAAGGGCTTGTGCCCAGGTACGGTGACGAGATCATGTAGAGCGCGCTGAACCCATCGTAATTCGCCAACACAAATCGGTCAACTTACTCACCGAGGGAAGAAGGTGAAGCGGGGACGAACCTTTCGCTGCTGAGCGACGATACGCTGTATGCGCACGCAGTGCGAGGTGGCCAACATCGCCGTTGGCCTTGCAGTCGGACGTTGCGGACGGTAGGCGACGAACGGGTGCTCTCGGTCTGTGACCGGAGGACGCCGGCCGTATGGACGGCTGATCTCCTCCTGGATCTCATCTGTCTGCAGATCTCCGTATTGAAAGGCTCTCAGCCTTCCGTACGTAGCCCTCATACAGTTACGATGGTCCAAGGTCAAACCAAAGGCTTGAAAAAGCACAAGTCTTCCACTTCGCGACACGCTGCAAAGGCGGCAGCAGCCCCAAAGAAGGGCAAGCGCTACATCGCACCGAAGAAAGCTGCCGCCGTGAAGCACGCAGCAATACACCGCGTGCGCGTACACCCGCGTTCGTGATTCCGAACACATGTTTACTGACAGCTGGGTCGCAGGAGTTGAGCGCGAAGATAAACAAGAGCATCGAGCACCAGGTTGCGACCGCTGCGTCGTCCGGGAAGCTCACGATCATGAAGAACGTGGCGCTGGAGGGGTGTGTATCCTCTACTTCCATTGTACGCTCTGTAGATCTGACGAAATTATTTGTCCCCTAGTGTCGCGAAGGCAGCCAAAAGCAAGAAAAAGTCGTGATAATGATCATGTCTCGTCCGCGTCGTTGATTTTGGCACAACCAGTATTTGTGAGTATCCGACTTTGTGTGGGTTAATGTAATCTACCCAACCAGTCACTTTTACTCTAGAACATCTCCGATCTCTTGCAGCGTGGATGTAGCTGGCGATAGCGTTGCCGACATATCTATTCACCTACCCTCGCGCCATATTGCACCACACACCGTACCCCAACTCCATTCATCAGCAACTTCACGCCAAACTACGGCAATCCCGCAAGCCAACCGCAGTCAGGTTATAGGAGGGCGATGCCCGACACAACATACATTCTCTACATGGTAGATACAAAAATTGCAGGGTATTCAACCGATGTACATGTACAGTGTACGGATTGCAATGCGATGTATGTATGAACGTCACGACTTGATGCAGATGCAGATGCCCTTGGGCGAGTGAGGCAAACACAGGATAAAAACACAAGGCCATAGAAGAACGAAGTGGCAGGGAGGAGGTAATCATGGGGAGGTGAAATTAACTGGCACGAACGAAAACCGTATACACACGTGCGGACACGCGGAAGAATTGCCAGGAGAAAATTGGATGGACAGGATATGATATACGACATGGTCAATGACGATCACAATGCGAGGCAGTCATGATGGGGATGAGGATGAATGATGCATGATGATGGTAGTCCGAGTGCAAGAATCGAAATGAGGATACAGCTGCAGAATCGTGCAAAGAAAACAGCTTGATACAAACTGATGCATAGAACAGCCCACGCCGGGCGCCCAGATAGCCCGAACGGACGACCAGGGCGCCACGCGCTCGGCCGGGGCGCGGCCCTAGAGTATGGTCGAACGGTCATACGGCACGCCGACATTCCTCTGGAAGAGGTTGCACTTGACGGCGTACAGTGCACGGCGCTCAGGCTCCGTGATCGCGTCATCGTTCACCTCGTGTTCGATGTACGTGAGAACCTTGTCGAAGTACATTTCAGCCTCCTCGGCTGTCGGGCACTGCCCGTCCGAGTATATGGCGATTTTGGGTACCACCTCAACGACCTTTCCCTGGTCGGGGCCGTCGGGAACGGTGATCGGCATGGGCTCAGTTGGGAGGGGCGGGGGAGAGGGGGAAGGCTCAATGACGGGCGAATGGGAAGATGGCAACTGGAGGTGCATGCCACTGTCGGTGGTCCACGCGGGACGCAATATCGGGTCGACCGTATGACCATCTTGTTCGAGGCGCATGCTGTACCCCTCATGCTGAACCTGAGCGGGTTGGTCGGGGAGATACTCCGGGACGCCCGCATTATTATCCTCTCGAGGAGCCACTCTTGACGCTTTCTTTTGCTGTGGATAACCGTTGAAGATCCCCTTGCGGATGCCATGACGGTTCTTGAAGTTCTCCACCCATCCAGAGCTAGCCTTGAATTTCTCCTCGGTGATGCCCATGTCGAGCGCATACTGCTTGGCTGTATTGCGGATGAGGGCGTCTGTAATGATTGTCTTATTCTTCTTGCACTCCTTAAGCCAATCCAGAAGACGGAACTCAAGCCAGGGGAACTTGGTGGGTCTACGTAACGACCCAAGGAAGTCAGTAACAACGAGAGCAGAATGAACAGGAAAACTACCTCGTCCTGGACGACCTATCGGTCACCTCGTCGTCCGCCTTGTTCAACCAGTTCTGTTTTGCTTTCAAGATTTTGCTGACCGTGCTGCGTTCGACACCGAAGTGAGCAGCGATCTGATCCTGCTTCATGGTAGGATTTTCTTCCTGGTACCTGCATATTTGCTTGCGGTCGGCGTTGGTCAGTTTCTGTTTGCGATTCTTTCGCAGAACAGTATCTGGCACGACCAGCGGAGCTGCAGGGAGAGACGAAGTATTGTGCGAGCCTGATGCAGAGGCGGATGATGCTGAAGTGAGAGCAGACGCTACGCTGAGCGCGGGAGACGCAGAACGAGGGTTGGTGGAGGCCGAACCCGAGCCCGATCCGGATCCGGAAGTTGAACGTGAATGGGATGGCACGAACGTGTACGGAGAATAGGCATGACCAGTATTAAGCATGTAGGGAGGTATCCCGCCGCGCATACCAAAAACAGGCTCGGGTTGGGCATCAGCCGGAGTCGCAGCGCGAGACATCTGCTGGGGGTGGCCACTGAATGCTGAGGACTGCTGCGGTCTCTGCAGCTGCCGTGACCGCATTACAACAAAGAAAGGACGTCGAGATATGAATTACGCACCTCGTAAGAGTAGTTTGACGCGTGATTTTGATCATCTGGAGAATGTTGGCTTTGTTCTGCAGCACGAGCACGGCGACGAGTGAGAATACGGCTAGGGCCGATGCTGCTTTCTACCTGCGGCGAGTGAAATGCGAGAGAATCGTTGGGTTGATGATGGTTGATTGGGGGAAGGTGAGGATGGCGATGTGCGAATGAGTCAGGCTGCGAGGGAGGAACAAAGGGGTTTGCGTCTGGGTGTGGATGGTGGTGGTATTCAACATGATTCGGCGCAGGATTCATCATTGTATAGACGTTTGTGGGGTGCCTCGTGGAGACCGGGCCATTGGATGTGTTGTTGTGCCAGTCCATGGGTGGAGGAGGAGAGGTGGGCGAGAAATGTACGTGACCGTCGGAGGAAGGTGGCTGAGTCGGTTGATGGTACATGAGGCCCGCATAGTCCATTATCTCGGGCGCGGTGCGCTGAGCAGAAATTTTGGATCCCGGGAGGGATTGCTGTGAGCAGATTGTGCAGTCGGAAGATGCGTCAGAGGACGACGTCTTATGAAGATGGATATTTCGTGGAATCAGCTCCAGCTGTCGGCAGCATGTATACTCGGAAGTCGATCGGCTGCGATCCGAGTTGCAGGCGTCACGGTGGTCTTTATTCCGCTCTCTCTAGTTAATCGCATCTTTCATTTCCCTCTTCCCATGTTATCCTGCAGTATCCAGACACATGTTCTTGTCGTCTGGTTCACGAAACACAGCAGCTCGTTCGAGCAGATACTTGGTCGCGTGCACGGTTCGTTCAAACTTTGTACATTTCCTTTTTGGCCACGCGTTCTTGACGCGTCTGACAGCGGAAGATCTTCTGCTGCCACTGAAATACGCGCTTCGGGACGCGCCCAGCGTGGTTCTTACTCTGGATAATACTAATAACATACAGTTCCGCTCACCTACACATACCGGGTCGAGTGTTGCTGGAAGCCTGCAATAAGCTTTACCCAGAATTCAATATCGAGAATTATAATCGTAGGAAAGAAATAGCCCTCCAATCCGGTGATACCTATCCCTTCTGAATCTTCATCGAATTAACTCTCAAGAAATCCATCAATTTCGCCGTCATTCAGGCCTGGCGTCGATTATTTCACTGTCCGTCTCTGGGAGTCTGGACAGCGGCGATTTCACACTTGTGTTCAACGGCGCTTCCGCACATTTCGTCAGCTTGAACGGAGGCCTTGCATTCTCGTGCAAAGGAGGTTTAGGAATAGAAGTCGTCGCAGCCCTGTCCTGCGCTCTGATCCTGCAGGTCTCTCCCTGATGTGGCAGGACTTCGCATTCAGGACAGCCACACGAATTCTTAGCCCGGACCCACTATCAGCCTTCTCGGAAATTACCAGTTCGTTCTCCTGGAGACGAGGTCTGCTGGTGTGGACTCGTCAACCCATTAGTATACTATCCGCCTATAGACCATGTATGAGCAAGCATATAGTTCGTCTTCATTTTAGCCGAGATAGGATCAAGCTAAAGACGAAATCCTTCTTCAACAGATATTCTTCCTGAGATCATTCAGGTTCAGCAGGAAATTGACATGCCATCCGACCACCTCACCATGGATACACGCAGCTCCGCACATCGGTCCTAAGTCTCAGGCCTCATCTCCCCGTGCATCATCCCTATCCAGGCGCAGTGCAGAAGCTTCAAGTCCCCACGCCGAGCCCTACTCAATTACCTCTGCCACGTTGCGCCAACGCACGCACCATGCGTGCAGGACGTCAGCAGCCAGCAGCGCCCCAGGCGAGCATCTACCTCCGCGTATTGGGGCAGCCTGCTGGCTGCGTGTACGCAACAACGTTCCCGGACTGCTTCGCGCCCACGGGAGACCCTTAAGCTTCCGCGGGCCCGGCGAATTTTGAAACACGCCCGCTTGTGCGTTGGCGCCGTAGACGCATGGAATTACCCTAGACTATCTTGAGAAGCCCGCAGATCAACTTGGGTATTGAGTCTTAGAGCTTGGGCTCGTCCTCTGGCCAGGCATTTTTACTCGCATTTCATCCACTGAATGGAAGACATTTTTCTCTCTCCGTTACGGTTAGAACACGCCAATTTTGTCCCCCGTGATTTCCCTGGACCATCAACAAACATCCCGCACACGCGACGGATCGGCGAGCCGCTCTGAGTGATCGTGCGATGGACTTTGATAGGAGTACACGGCATCCCATCCCTGATTCGCGTGTAGCCAGCACATCAACGAGCGGCAGCACCCCACGAGACCTCACACTCGTTCCCAGAACCGGACATCCAAGATGAACGGCGAATAGCAAAATCTAAACCCTTTTGGCTGGTGTACAATCACTCTGCAAAGACGACAACGGAAAAAAGGTAATAAGACGGTAACTCGATACAACTTCATAATTACAGAGCACACGACGGTCCTTGCGATATCAACGCACATCCGACCCAGCGCGCACAGCGCGCACGACCCTCCGTAGCGGCGGCAATGACGGGATAAGAGGCTACCGCCCCCCACCCACAATCGCCGTCCGAATATATGGCCCATTCGTACCTATCGGGCCATACGGTGTTCCTGGAGGGAGCGGCGCAGGCATCGCGCCGGTCATCGCGGACGTCGGGAGGGGCCCGGCCATGCCCATGACGCTGTGGCTCTGCGGCGGTCCGGGTGTCTGCGTGTGCTCTCGTGGGGGGCCACGGTCCTCGCGCTCCGCAATCGTCGCGGCGGTACCGCGCACAGGCTCGGCCATGCCGTTCGTTGTCGTGAACGTCTGCCCGAGCCCGTACAACTTCCCATTGTACTCCGTGTCGTCGATGTGGTCGCCGAAGTAGATCTCGCGCATTTTGAAGAAGATAAGCATGGTGAGGAGCGAGTCGGACCCTGCCTGGTGAGAGGGCCCTATCCGCATTACCTAGTACATGAATGCGTTAACATCGAATCGCGGCGAAAAGACTCGGAGACATTACCCCAAGGTCATCGGCGACGTCTTGCAAGCCACCTTTGAGCACCTTGCAGGCGCGCATGACGAACTTGACGTCGTAGATGGTCGGGAACCATGTTCGAAGTACGTCGAAGAATTTCTCTTCTGTTGTTGGTAATGATTCCGCGGTGAGGAGTTTGACGAAATACCCGAAGTCATAACCGCTATGTGGGAGAAAGAATTTCAGTTTGTAAAACACAAATGTAGGAACGTGAACAGGGAGCAAGGGGTAGTTGATATGCACGTAGCGCGAGCATCCCTCATCTGAACGAACGGCATCACTTCCGCAATCAGAATGACAACGTCTTTGCAGGAAATCGTGTTTCCAACTTATCCACTCATGATCAATCAGGGCCACACACAATGTTTCTGACAATACCATCGACTATAGCAGTGATGTGAACACACCTATGGAAAGATATCCACTTCGTCTCCGGTACAAGCACCAACCCTGACGTGATCATGAGCTCCGCAAAGTCATTGGGCTCAATCCCCATCTCCTCATGCCGTTGCAGGTCAATGCCAGACTTCTCCAGGAGTTCGATGGATTCCGGAGCGTACATATCGTCGCTGAAGCACATATCAGCGAAGTACACAGCCGGACCCCGCACGAGCACGCACTTGGCACTGAACTGAAAGTTAAACTGCCATGTAGAGACGTCCTGCGGATAGTTGCCCTCCTCGTCAGCGAGTGTGAGCCCCACCTGGATGATCTTGAGCAGGTCGACGTTACACCTCATGGTCTGGTAGTGGTAGTCTGACGACGTCTTGAACGTGCCTATTGGCCGAGCGACGACGCCTGGGAACTCGGTGTCCTGGGGCAGGACGAGTCAGAAGATTGCGCGGTGCGGAAGTGGCGCGAAAGCGGACCATTGCAACATAGCAATACTTGTCGATGAGATCGCGTATGTTGTTCATTTCTGTCTCGAGGTTTGGTGCCCATACTTCTCGTATTCGAGACATCCTGCGCTACGGAAACCGTTGAAGGCTGTGAGTGATGGTGCAGATCCAAGTCACTTGACTCCGACTGAACGCGTCAGAAGCCGAAAAAGGCAATAAGCGCACGCATTAATTGTGACGGGGCAAACCTTCGCGGGAAGCTTTCTGAAAATCATATTGCGCACGAGTCACCGAACTCCTCTGTTCTTTCTCTGGCTGTGGGCACTATGTTCACAGGAACATACTTTACCTGAGCCCTGTCTACTACCTTCAGCTGGTTGTCTGAGTCATACTTCTCTGACTGGGCTCCACCTTCACACCACCATCACCACTTCCCTCGAGGCTACATGACGTGAGATCCACTGCCCTAGAAAAAGTAGAGACTAATCTATGCCGATATATATGTCCCTGTTTTCGGTCGCATAGGAATGTTGGGTATCCCGCCTGCACGTTTGATTCTCTGACGTCTTAGAATCTCCAACGGAGACCGACCCTAGTGCGTATGGTATTAATTACTAAGTCATCTCCACAAGAGCATTTCTCTCTGGACTTCTCCGGTTACTAAATATTTGCAATTTCGAAGCCTACGTCAAGGAGATAGCAGACGCGTTCAATAGTCGCTAAATTCTCCGCTGCACGCCTTCTCTCCATAGAGCAAGTTTCTGGCAGATTTCTATCCCTACAGAGGCGTTGCAGAATCAGCAACAGTATGCGTAATGGCAGCTCGGCGAGAGCCTCGTATATAGCGACGTGATGCATCTGAACTTCGATCCCCACCTACGGGATCGTCGTCGCAGTCATCCATCGCAATAGCATCGTCCCCGGCCTGCACGCACTCGCACAAGTCCAGCCGACACAGCTAGTGCGACGAGTACTGCGAACGGCGATGCCTCGACGGAGTGACGTAGATGACATCCACGACTTACTGACATACCCGTGTTTCGCGCAGCTGTCGGCCTATCACATCTCCGCACATTGCCTGGCTTGTCTGTGTCCTGAAATAGGTACGGCGAGAAACGGTGATCCATCCATCGACGCACTATGTCCGCTCCGTCTCAGCTTGCATAATGGATGCACAGGCCCTACTACGTTCGATCTTTCAATAGGTGGTGAGTTCGCAGAGCCAAGTGTCTGCGGCAGTCCATGCATAATATAACCACGTACCGGCGACCTTTCGGTGAGTTTGTGGGTAGAGGGGACTACTAGGGGAGGTGGATGATGTTCCCCCTCTAATCTGACAGATTTTTATATGGAGTGGTTGATTCTCAGATAGAAACCTTGTTGCCTCCGCACGAACTGCGCGCGAGTAGCCAGACTTCATGTCTTTCGCCCCAAAGCACCGGGACCCACGATGCAAGCGGGCCTTATGGCAGCATGTTACCGGTGAAATTTCTTTTACATCCAACGGATGTCCTGTTTCGTGTTTGTGATGCTCACGGCGTGTATATACCCTCTTCGGGATGCGGCTGATCTTCCATACCAGACTTTCTGTCGCGGACACGATGCAGCACTCATGGGCCCTTGGTGTTCTGCATGGAACTTTGTGTTAGCCGAATCCTGCGAGGTTTCCGTCAAAAGTCTTCAAGGTGAAAACACTAAGCAAATTTCTATGTACCAGACGACTTATCAGTGCCGGAGGCAGTAAAGGCATCACAGAACGCTGCTACTCGGACATCTAGGCCCATCGAATTTCCTGAAGCGCGCTAGGCTATGATCTACCACGTTGGTCTCTTATGTTGCGGACAGTGTGCATGTTGAATCCAAAAGACATGGTGATATGCAGTAAGTGTGAACACGTATATCAACCTTGCTCACCTACGGCGGTGCTAACTACTCAGGGTGTTTACCTGAGGTCGCCGTCGGAGGTGACGATGTCGTAAGTGATGTTTTACCCCGTCAGATATCTCACGGATAGCAGACAATTTCTGTTCCGGTACGCACGCCGTTCCTGCGGTTTCCGGCGCCCCTAAATCAATCCACAAGTAGGAACGCGCGGAACCTCGCTTGTCCGAATTTTCATTCCACATGCGTCCCTTTCGCATATAATTTGCGATACCTGGCGACACACCTCTTCACCACTAGTCTGCCAATTGTCCTCACTGCGCAATGAATGACGCCGGACTAACCATGTGCGCATATTCGTACATACTCGCCAACTGCAGACGGATGAGTTCTCCCGCCTTTATCCGTTCACAAAGATGCACCTTCGTATCCGATGGTCGTGTTCATTCTGATACACGCCCTGTGAACCCTTACAGTTTCTCACGCGCTAGCACATAGTTGACGGAGCATTCTTCAATTTGTTCACTCCTCACTGAGGTTTTGCTCGCACTACTGAGCAAATTATTTCCTTCACCATCCACTATGAGATACAATTATGGTATTATTATACCCGGATCGGTGTCGTGATCAATAGCAATCTATCGCACAAACTCGACCTAAAGTTATCGCTGATCAGAATCTCCAGAGTCCTGGTAGCGGAGTGATTTCTTACGTAGTTGCTCGGGAAGATGCCCTTCTTACCGCTGGCATCGATACCTAGACCAACACGTTCAGCCCAAGCCTTGCCTGTTTGGAAGTATGGTTGTCACTCACCCTCCCACCAGCCGTCGCCGTAATCCGTACCCCCCGTGGGACCGCCCGTGAGTTCTATCAGCCCTCCCTCCTCCACGTCCAATTCGTCGGGGCCTTGCGCTTCGTACGCATAGATGCCCCTCACTGATCAACACGGGTTCATCGTCAGCAACATCATTGAATTTAATTAAGGACACCGGACCATATTTTCCAGAGCCTTGCTGTGGCATGGAAGTCGGAACCGAGATTTTCATTTTCGCCGGTGCAGAGGCGCCATCTTCAAGTTCCAAGTAAGATGCCGGTACGAGTCCCTTGCCTCCAGAGTTATCTGAGACTTTTACCCAGCCTGAACCGTCATCTTCCTCTAGCACGTGGACGAAGTTTCCCCCTGTACAGATGAGCTCGGATAAAGACGGAGGCGAATATTACAGATGAATTTTCTTACCAGAAATCGCGAGTTCGAAGGGCGATGTCGGAGAGAAGTCGAAAAGGACTCGTGCACTTTGCAAGGCTTCTTCTGGGGCTCGTGAAGTACGAGCGAATGATGACGGAGTTGGTGCTGTCAGGGATGGCGCTGCAGAAGCATAAGACATAAGGCCAACACACAGCAGGACTGGAAACGTAGGAAACACCATACTTAGAGAATCAGCCCCAGAAATGACAGAAGATGATCGAGAGATGGAAGACACGGAGTCTGACGTGGAATAACTGCGTCCCCCACGAGAGTCTGAACAGTCCGCAGGAACCTATCGATAACAGTTCGTTCGTACGTAAAAAGTCAGAGCGATACCTTTAGCCAAAGCCGCCAGTGATCACAAGGGACTTGGCTAACCTTAAGTTCACATTTGGAATGGACAGAGATTCCGCACGACTTGCAGGTCTTTCCTTGCTTGCTCAGTCCCCAGATCGACGACTAAAGATATGTTCACAGGAAAGCAGGAGTGAACCAACGACAACGACCCCTGTAAACGGCGGCACTGACCTTGCAGTAAGCACACTGGGTAGGAATCGAGAACGCGGAGCTCTTGAACGTATGTGGGCTCTCTCCACCTTCATCACCTGATAGGTACCAATAAGAACGATGATTCGATAGAGTCTTAGATCTGCTTTGTGTCGGAGAAGAAATAGAAATGCAGGAGACACGCTTACACAAGTCAAGCGTGGTGTAACAGGAAAGAAAGACCATATAAGACAATAAGACGTACCAGCTACAGCGGCTGTAATGGTATCTATCTCGCCAGTCAGAATCGTTTCGGACGTAGCATAGAACGCGAACTGGTGTTGCGCGTCTAGGAAGTTCTGCCCGGTATCATTGTTTGTTGCCAGGCATGAGAGCGACATGCAAAAAATATCAGCACACGTTTACTTTTTGCCATGCGCCCACATTCCAATGAATGGCTGGACTTACATCGGACACTTCGTCAACATCGCCGAGGCCACGCTCCGCAGAATATGTGCTGACCAACTTGGCGAACTGTTCCATCTCCTTGCCTGGATTTTCGACACGGGGAACAAACATGAGTCACGGCAGCAACACAACATGGTTAACAGGATCTGCGTGAGTACGACTCTAGGTCAGGGGATATACCCGCGCACGTTTAGCATCAAGGACTGGGCGCAACTCCTGTAGTTTGGCCCTGCATCGATGTAGTCGATTCTGAAGGAAGACTTTGGGCGCAGGTGCCACGCTCACGTCTCCCTGCAACGACGAAGTAAGCCACTACCCTGCTGAGTCAAAAAAATCTTTACACTCACAGTATCATAATGGGTGGCGCAAGGCTCGAAACTCCAATCAGTCGGTAACGTGAACGAACTGATGTTGTGTTCGATGAACAAAACCTGGTCCGCTTGCGGGTCTACAGCCCCCAGAACAGCTTCTGTTGTTGTGATGTGTGACTTAAGCTCGTCAAGATTGCGGGTCTGGACGGCCTGCGCTTGGAGCATGACCTTCGCGAACTTGGTGATGAGCTGTGTCTGGAGATCCTCTGGGAACCCGTGTTGGTAATATTGTATGTCTGTACTTCCATTGAGAATCGAACAGTATACGCACGAAATTGCTGTTTTGCGAACACTTGTCAACAAAGAAGGATCAGAGCAGGTGTCACTCACGTCCTGAAGCATGGGGATATCTTCACTGTAGAACTTCTTCTTGACCTTGTTGCTAATGGCAGTGGATATGAGGTAAACACTGCGCTGACGTTGATGAGTCAATATAGCTTCTCCATAAAATTCACACATACTTCTTGCTATTCAACATGTCTGTATATTGCTGTTCGTACTGTCTTGTAGCACGATCCGCATGTCGATCATCAGTAGAGCGTTCCTAGGGTGTCTTTTAGTTGTATAAAATGTGAAGGGCGTAGATAACTGACCTGTTTTTGGCGGTACGTCTCTACTTCAGCACACTCCTCGTCATACTGCTCATGGGACAGTCAGAAATGCGTACGTGAGGTGTTTCCGCGCGGAACTACCTTCTGTTTATTCTAGAAATTGACAATCTATGAGCACGGCGCCATGACTAAGAGTAAGAACATACGAACCTTGAGGCGTTCGGAATAGACACGGTCTCGTTCTGATAAAAGCTTTTGGAAATATTGGATTTGTTTCTTCTTCGCCTCGTCATGCCTTCGTTCTGTGCTCTTCAGTGCGTCGACAACCTGTGAATTGAATGCGTCCGAGAGATCCAGATGATCCTGGGCTGACTCATGTAACGACAGAATAAGCTGGCTATATGCGTTGTTGATCGTACTGTAATATATTATTCAACAAGAACCACTAATCCGTGTGCACGTATTACAAACCTCTGCAGAAGGACATCCTCTTCACATGCCTTGGTGGGTTCATTGCCGACGACTAACGCAGCAATCTTCTTATTCTTTTTTTCCGTTGCCTTACGAGCCAGCACTTGTAACTTTGTAGCGTATTCGCGCTCTATGGCAGCACGCTCACGAAATAACTCGCGTACCTGCCGCGTACAGTTCGAATTAATGCGAAGAGATGATTGACATAGAGATACTGACATCTACCACGAGCTCAAGCTGTGCATCTGACAAGCTCGAGATACGGTCTACTTGGTCCTGTTAAGGATGAGTAACAGAGTTTTATGTCTGAACGCACGACTTCACCGGAAGGCTCTTCCCGTAGGTCTGTCCACCGCTCATCCTGTCCCTATGAGCTGAGCAAGATTCCCAACGATAAGATGAATCAACATACTGTGGATAGCTTCAGCAACTCTTGCGACTACACCTATAGTTAGAGACTTAGAGTGCCATTGCCGGTCCCCACATTCAGTGGTGTCGTGTTTATTGATCATGTGACCAATATGCCACTGAGCCTTTAATTTCTAATAGTATTTCTGCTAGACTACTATGCTATGCTGCAAGGTGGTATGCTATGCTGAATTATTGTTGTGCTATGCTGTATGCTATGCGAAAAAATAAATGTACAATATGGCGTACCATTTGTACATTAATTATTTCACCGCATAGCATATAGCATAGCATAAAGCATAGCATAACATAAATCAGCATAGCATGTAGGCACATTAGTATTGTAATCTTATGTCAATAGCATTCAATCGGTGCACCTATCTTTAATCCTAAATAAACAGACAATAAAAGAATGTGTTTTGAATGAACCACATAGTGCGCATAGTGCGCATCAAGCTCGACTCTTAGAAGTATACATTTTGTACGATGATGGCCTACATATCAAGCCCAATCCCAGGGCATCTCTTTCGTCTTTGTAAGGTCCTGGGATAGTTTCAGGAAAGGCTCCGATGCCTTACTCAGCCTGATGAATTCTGCATCCGCATTGCAGCTGCTGTCATTGAACCCATAAACCTAAATCATAGATCAGAGATGTAGATGTTAAATAGATGATGTACTCACAGAAGTTGAAGTCCCAGTAGAAGAAGGTCCAGCGGCAGCAGATGGAGTCCCGGTGATTGATGATGGACCGGCAATAGCAGTCTCAGACTCGGGTGGAGGAGTATCAAACATTCTTGGATCATAGAAGAAGGGGCTGTTCTCACGCTCTGTAAGATCGATAATATCAGAGGTAGCTAGTCAAAATGAAATGCGATTTTTTAGCAATATAAAACGGCGACCAGAAATTCTAAGTCGAAGTTAACTCACCGGGTACTAAGTCCATTTCTTGTGCACGTCCCTTCTCCTTGGCACATTTCTTCTCCTTGGCGGCATATTTAGTCGTCACAGCTAGATTGTCATAGTAATGAATTGCCTGACTGACAACATGCAATAGTCTAGACTTACTAGGTATGCCAGTAGCTATGGACAGTGCGCCTGCAGTGGGAGAACCAACTAGAGCGTCTACAAGTATCCAAGTTCAGTACAAAGCTACACTCTTACAAACTGGACTCACCTTCGTCGTCAGAAAGAAATAAAGAGCTTTTTTCTGAGGGTTTGGCACCATCCTTCTTAATCTTGGGCCTGGTGTACGAGGTGTATGAGTAGTGGATTACATGGATTACATGTCAGTACTATGGCCAAAATAACAAACAGATGTACTCAAAGTCAGGCGATGCAGAATCAGAATCCTGTGAACCAGACAGAGTAGAATCCTCCCAGCCATTCAAATAAATGGCGACCGGGATCTCCATCTTTGATGCTGTACCATAATTATAATTATCGCATTAGCAGTGGTTGATGGCCTATCAATGGAAGACTTACCAATATAGATTTTCCGATCCTTCACTGGTCGACCAACTCCACCCTTATACTTATCCAAAGTAGCTCCAACAATCTTCTTCTGTTGCACTACCTTTGTACTATACTGGCCATCTCGAGCACAAAGAACCGATCCACGATTACCTGGTTCACCGTTCTCACGGATATACTTGAATGCATCAGGTAGCAGAGACTCAAGCCAAGTCTCAACCTGCGTCTCATTCCAGCCATCCCTAAATTGAAGCTTCTTATCATCTTCTGGAACGTAGGCAAGACCTTGCTCGGCCATTGAATCCAGCTTGACACGAGACACCTTAGGTCCGGCAGAGTCATTAAGATCTCCATGCTCATCCTGACAATTTTATTTAGATAGATGACGAGGTGGAATATGATGTAAGAGTGTACATACCAGACCACTGGGGATAAGTATAACTGATCCCACCGTCACAGCCTTTCCATTACTAGACAATGTCGGCTTCTTCTGAATTATTAAACTTTGAGTATTGCATACCAAAGGAACTTTCTGATTGTACTTACCTTCGCCTTTTTGGGTGCTTCCTCATTAGCTGCGGCAGTGCTATCCTTGTGAGTCCTCTTCAATCCTGAGTTCGTCTCCTTGATGGCATCCTCTGCAGTAACTTTAAGGGCTGCCAAGGTAGCAATACCTAAGCCAGGTAAACTAGGGACCCCAAGTTTACCTGGGGTTATGTTAGTGGTAGAATTTTTTATTTACGATCAGATCCATCCAAAATACCTAAGATTTGAGTCAATGAAGGAGGAGAGTCAACCCCTCGAGCTGGCAAGGTCTCCGGATGGGCAGTCTCCATATGACCACAGTTGCGACATAATTCGGGTTCGTCGTCCTTCTGGTTGATATGTCTAGAAAATCGACGACATGGACAGTCGCCGACTGCACACTTTGATTGGGCAGCCATAGGTATAGATAATGAGAGTACTGGTTTGATAATGATTGTCAGAGTAAATGAAGGATGTTGACTTTAAGTGAAAAGCGAATGGTGAGTCACTAGTGGAGAGAACAGTAGGAATGGTCGGTCATGGCTCACAAAGTATGACATGCAGGTGCGCTCATGCCCGTCTCGAGCCCAACATGGCAACTGTATAGAAGAACTCACTGGACTACACCACATATGTTAGAGTACCAGATGCATTGAATATAGCCTCAGATTAAATATACCATGTATTAATAGATAGGGCGATGACTAGATGCAATACAACTTGTGAATGTGAACATGAATGCCGTGAAAGTTGTCGGCATATAATTTTCATCTAGGGTGAACCATTATACTAAGGAGAGTTTGTCAAAGACTCAGAGGCAGAGAAACTCCAGATTGGCACCAATATTCCAGTAGGCCATAGGACATTGATGTATACAGCAGTCAGTCTGATAGGTTGGAGAATGTCACGTCGTCATTGCATAAGTAATAAGTAATCTAGACAAGGGAACGAAGTGAGCCATAGTCGACTAAATTTGCATCAAGACATGCCATAAGATGGCTGGAGGCAAGTGGTAGGTGAATGCCAAACATCTACGTGTGAGATCTCAACAACACATACCATATGTGGAAGGCTTCGGCAAAGTGATCAGTGTTCACCAACTCCAAGTCGCATCATAATGTCCAAAGCTTGCACCCAGAGAATTGCCCTTGGCAGCCAAATTTCCGATGGGAGGGTGACGATGAGTTCCTTTTTCTTTTTGCTGAACTTAATAGACTCCTCCAGATACTGACCACCTTCCCATTCTTCTGCACGTGCACCATATCCGGCAGGAATCAGGCCTGCATTGCGAACTTCCTGCAGTATGGTTAGAAAGAGATTCTTATGATTAGGATTAGGAAAGGGATCTTGGTGAGTGGCCACCTTGATAGGCTTATGTCGGATATGTTGTTCTTGGTCGCCTTCAATTTGATTCTCTAGTTCCTCAATTGCATGGTCAGTTTCATCAGCTTCTTCATCACTACTATCCTCCTCCATAGGTTCATCGTCAGGGTGACCTGCACCGGTCTGTCCAACAGGTCGGTTACGAATACTGCCCATTACACCATAATACTGCTTGAGAGTATCTGGATGCACGTTATCCATAGGATCTTCAGCATAGATACCATGCTGTGTCTGGCCAAGAAGACGCATGTCCTATATACAAGTACTCAGTAAGCATGGTATATTTGGGTTTAAAATAGATACAATTACCAGTGGACTCATATTCTTAGTTTCTGGGCCAGACACTGGGTGACGATTCCATTCACTCTGAAAATCACCACAGTCTTGATTGATCATATCCAGAAAGAGTAGATGCAGGAGCCCGAGATGATATGATTTCTTGCGGTCAAGATAATGCAGTCTTTCTAGTCTTTTAAAGAATGCACGCCACCGTCGAACGAGTTGTGTGCCGACATCGACCCATAATCGTTCGATGCGAGAATTATGTGTAGACCTATATATGTAAGTTTACACAATGATGGCACATTCAATGCAGTAGAACTTACGATACCCACATAAAGGATGCACGATTGGGTCCTCGGTGCATAATCATCCAAACTGATACTTTCACATTCTCACCACCTCTATCATCTCTGACTCTAAAGGGCGTGCCAACGTGGCGAATGGCCTCTAGGAATACTTCAAGCACAGTAGTAGCCTTATTATTAGTACTAGCATGAAGGCCAGTCACCTTGGGCATAACGGTGTGAGCATGGTTCCAAATGATCTGACTGCACATTTACCACTCGATCATAGCCATCAATAAATCCATGGATCACTATCCCATATGCTATAAGCTTGTGGTGTCCATCTCCATGCCACAGGTAGTTTGGCCTAGGTACACTATACCTGCGACGTTGTATCCTATCATGGCGACGTAAAATCTGACCAAGCCCATCTACTCTTCCTAGAGAGTCTTGAATTCACTTCCGCTGTATATGTAGACCATGGTGATGCAAGAAACCCATGACAAAGCGGAGGCCAGAGTTAGGCTTCTTGGCTTTGTATATGCATAGGAGTAGGTCGAGTTTATCATTGGTAATTTGACTGTACCGCTGATATAGACCCAGTGTCCTGAGTCGTTTCTTGACAGTATGTCGATGCAGATGCAAGATAGATGCCAGAGTGGTCATAGAAATGCACCAATGTGAAGACATAGCCTCGGTTAAATATGCTGGATCGATGTACTTGGATGGTCGTCCTCTTTTCTTGCCTCTGTATATAAGGGTAGGGTGCGGGTAAAGAATGGAATTTTGCTCCCTACAGCATGCTATTGATTCAGTGATATAGACGGCCAGGTTCAACTAAATGAGTACCTTCCAGTGGCGGCATCCGAAGCCAGGTTCAACTTATTGACAAGCTGTCGCATTTTGTCCACAGCTAAGTGTATCCACTGTGCAGTCAACTCTTCAGAAATCATGGCTTCCAGGAGAGGTGCAGATGTCTGTTCTGTGTGTTCAGCCAGTATGCGAAGGTGAACAGGGTCACCATCTTCCTGATGGAGTATTGTGTGTGCATGGGCATAGCACTCATGTAGCAATCTGTGGGCCACTTGGACATTAGGATTCCAGCCTTCAGGTTTATCAGGAAGGTCAGGAAAGTCAGATATGGACAATATAACAGGCATGATGGCTTTATTCCAGTGGTACAGGTATGCTCTCGATACACGCTCTTCCTATACAGGCAGGCAGGCGATGACTGATTGCCTTTTACAGACTATCTCAATCGTTCTTTCACCTTTCACCCAACCTCCCTTCCATCCAATCTGCTCAATATATCCGTCTATGGATAGGCTATCAGTTCACCATCCTGAATATTGGTTTGCAGAAGGGACAATTTATCTGCAAGTAAGTGGATCCTTCTCTATTTGGGCGGTGGAGAACACCGAAACAAGGATCTTTTATCAGGTTGAGAACGTCATATACAAGGTGTATCAAGACCTTCTGGAGCGCAAGTCTGGGTTTTTCAAGGACATACTTGCTATGCCTTCCTTTCAACCGAACAGTTCACACGGAGCTACAGTAGAGTATGAGGATGGACGCTCCGAAAATCTGGCCTTACGTCTTGATCGTTCATATGCAATCTCTGTGATTCAATTTGACACGCTGTTGTCATTTATATTCTCACCGTAAGCGTGATTATGGTGAGATTACTCTGAATAGTACGATAACATCATACCAAACTTCAATCCATGCAAAATGTCTCTCTTGAAGCCCTCTCCGATGTTCTCTGCCACAGTGTCTTTTTTCAGATGGACGAGATTCATGCCTATGTTAAAAAGGCCCTCACCAATCATCCAGACCTTGCACCTGCATTACAACTGAACCTCACCCGAAAGTGCTTCATTAGAGAGTGGGTTGATCTGGCCGTTCGAGCTTTGATTCGGACTTCTTGGCATCAGCTGTTGAGAGAGGATTGGGATCTTATAGGCATAGATGCATTATTCCTCATTCAAACGGCCAAAGCTAGCATCGACGCTCACCGCATGACTTGTGCGATCAACCCACCACCTGTCATTCACACACTGTGGTGCCTCGATGAAGAGGATTGTACAAAGGCATGGAAGGACGCATGGTTTGGAACCTGGGATCGTCCAAGCATCATGCTGGCTTTGATACATCCTGATATCCACGTTCCTGGGGCTGATATTGTTGCACGTCTGGAGAAGTTGAATACAGGAGAGATGTCCAAGGATTGTCGAGAATGCACCATTGCACGTGTCATTGGGTCGGCATTGCAGAAGAGCATTCTGCGCAAGGAGGAGGATATAATTTCATGGGTAATTGCAGAGGTTGGACACACTTTGCTCTGAATGGTTGGTTGGTTGAACGGTGCGAATTAGCAAGCTTTTGGTCCGCCATGGAGCTGAACCATTCTGTGCAGCATGCCATATTGGACTATGCCCCTAATCCTTGCTGCAGCTGCGAGCCCACCCTGCACCTCATCGCCTATCCCTATCCAAACATGTTCAACTCAGCTGAATGAGCTACAAGACATGAGCTATGATGATGTTGTCAGTCAATACCGACTAGTTCCGCACCTCCATCTTCCATGTCCTAGGTTGGACATTCTAGTCTAGCTCACGATGTTTACCATTTATTCCCATACTTATCGCTGTCTGGTCCATGTGCCCATGGCATTGTGGTTTAGACTGTGACCTTTTGCTTGACGGGCTTCACTATGCTCTTGGAATCAATATGTGTTGATGTCCTGGATCCTGAATGCTGTACGAGGATCGCAACAGCCTGACAGGCCATGTTTCTCCCTTTTCTTTGGGCTCCCTCAGATAAACTGTTTATGCAATGGTACTGCATCCCATTGAATGTTTAGTATGTGTACATTTCACACATACAGTACCATGTTGTGTCTGTACATGCATAGTATATTATTGAAAAAAAAAAGAGTACGTCAGAGCTAACTCTCTCGTGCACTCGTTCTATACACTGAGGTAATAATTTCACATTGCCATGTCATGAACCTGAGGTCTGGTATAGTGACCAAACACATATCATGCTTTCATGATTTTTGGACTGTTACTTCTTGACCTACGTTGCGAGGATTTCACTGGGAGGGCTTTTGTGTGGGAGTTTGGAATGTAATACTGGCTTGCAATGAAATAGAGTACACCCATGATAGCTCATTCATCCATTCATGTGGCGACTGTCCCTGTGAAATAAATTGCTAGGGCCATACATAGATGCGACCTACAGAATTTCTCTGTCTACATGAATCGGCGGGGTTCTCAAAGGATTAAGTGGCAGTAGATCTGTTAGATCTAGATCTAACAACTCGACTTAATTGGGTGCGCGCTTCCTGGTTTTGTATATGACTGTCCAACCATCCATCCTCTCTCACAGCCTCTACCTCCCATTCTCCGAGTACCTGGCCATTCTGAAGCCGGTCTTCAAGTTTTGTTGCGCAAGGACACGCCATGCGCCGACAGCATGGGCTGCCTCCCCGCCCTAGTTTCGGGGCACAGTGGGCGGGAGAACATGAACACGCGCATGTTGAGGACATTGGACCAACCAGTAGATGAGTCCCATCATCATGACGGGGCCAACAGTGCTATACACAAGACAAACCCGGACAACGATGAAGAGAGCGAGACAAGCAGAGACGATCAGCAAGACGAAATCAGCAGATGCGGTTGCGACAATGGTGTGACAATCAGAGAGAACAATGGCACGTCGGGGAAACAAGTAGGCAAGCCGATGTCGAGGGCGAGACAAGCAGTGACAACAATGCCGAGTACGATGCAAGTGAGTTACTCAGATTCTCACGATCTTTCAAGATTCAAGCAGTGTACTCAGCCAGCAGTTTCGCTATGTCCATTTGCTTCAGACAATTCAGCAGTGTGCGGACCTCGCGGGCATGACATCGAGCTCCAGACCCTCTGCCACTTCCATGGCGTCACTTAGGGTCAGTATATATGTCGCACAAGGACACGCCATGCACGGACATCGTGGGCTGCCACCCCGCCCTAGTTTCAGAGCACCACGGGTGGGAGAATGCGCGCATTGGAGATGACAATTTCGATTTCGTGAAGAACATGTCATGCAAGGACACATCGTGTGTGGACATCGCGGGCACGACATTGAGCTCCAGACCCTCCGCCACTTCCACGGCGTCACCTAGGGTCCGTACACATATTCTCCTTGTGTCAACGGCCCACCCACTGCAAGATTTCGCGTTAATTTGCGCAACGATACCAAATACATTACCTCCTGGATCTCAGCGGGATGGTGTGCATCCCTTCAATGTCTATCCTATTATCACTCATGCTCATCCGCCCTTACAGCGAACGACGTCATGAACTACGCTAATCTGATATATGTGGGATCCATCATCAACCCGACCCCATCATCGCCATGTTCACTCCTTCTCACATCGGCGGCGACGCTGCAACCATCGGCTCGAGGTCTTCGACGTGCAGTGCTTCAACAAAGAATCGGGCATCCAGATTATCAGACGAGGTCAAGGATCGCAATGGTAGCGCATGTTGTATGAAGACATACAACACGCGCTGTTCTCCCGCCCGCTTCATCACAACAGTATGTTCATGTCGTGCCAAGGACATGCCGCACAACATCATCGGCTCCCCGCCCACATTCCGAGCCATCATGCAGATCGGGCTGACATCGAGCTCGAGATCCTCCCCCCACTTCCACAGTGCGGCCATGTTCATTGAGAAGGTGGCTGCGACATGGCCCAGCAGTGAGATCGAGAGGTGTTCAAGGTTTGCCAAGCAGACTGGCATCGCCATGTTCATGTCATGCAAGGACACACTGCATGCGGACATCGTTGAACATCGTCGGCTCCCCGCCCATGTTCCGAGGCACCATGCAGACCGGGCGCGACATCGAGCTCGAGATCCTCCGCCACTTTCACGGCATCGCCATGTTCATCGAGAAGGCGGCTGTGAACAGGCCTAGCAGTGAGATCGATGAGGCGTTCTGGCTTCAAACTGGAGGTCTGCCAGAAGATGCAGATCACCACGATGACATAGAGGCAACAACGTGCATAAACTGACCGTATGAGTTCCTGCGCAGCTGACATCATTTATAAGTCTTTGTCCATGAGAACTGGGAAGGGCGCAACAGCTGGCACACCAACTATTGCCCGGATGCTGGTGTGGACCTGGTCTTCAATTCCATGTACACTCCCAAGGAGACGGACCGCACGGACTCGCTCGACAAGGCGAAGAAGTACGTCAACGCCTCGGCCACGCCACTTTTCTACACGCTTGACTTGGTTCACGAACTCTACTACCGTCATGGCTTCGACAAGGTGTCGGGCAACATCCAGCAGCACAATTTCGGCCATGGCGGTGAGGAGAGTGATGCTGTCATCATCAACACGTGGGACGGCAGCGGATATAACAATGGTCAGTACCGCCGTGGACTGACCATTACCTTATACTGACTGTTCACACCTTCAGCCAACTTCCCTACACCACCTGATGGTCAGAACGGACGCTGCAGGATGTAATGCACTCGTGCAAAACTGCGAGCCCTTACCGTGATGGCGGCCTCGATGCGGGCATCGTGGTCCACGAGCTCAGCCACGGATTGAGCACGCATGCATCTGACAGGTGGACCTGCACACTCTGGCTGTCTCAGCTGGGGTTAGTCATGTGGAATGGGTGAGGGCTGGGGAGGTGAGTATTGCCATTCATATCATCACCCTCGATGCTGACTTATGCAGACATATTCACTACGACGATCCAGAGCACTAGAAACTACTCAGAGTACGTGAAGGACTCTTGGGCTGTGAACCGGAAGATCAGCATCAGGAATTTTCCGTACTCACCGGATCAGCATTCTCGGTCTCTAGTCATCCCATCCGGCTCGCCATGGCCTCCTTCTCTGCCTCCAGTTCTTCAATCCTGCACTGGAGCTTCTTCCTACCATCCTCAGAGATACGTTTCGTAAAATCGTCTTGAATACAGAGAATTGATGCGGCCGCCGCTAGCAGGTGAAGTTGGATCACTCTGCCCATCTCAGCAAGCACCACCATCGCTGCGCACCTGATCCTGCACACTCTGCATCTGATACTCTTACCGCTGAACTGCCAATGATGGTGAAACTTCTTATCGACATCCATACACGTCTATCTACCACGCTATGTGTCGTTTCTACATGCTCGTTCATCTGTACCGCATATTTTCTCACAAAATACTGCAGAGGGAAAGACAGAGGAATGTCTAGGTACCACGAAATGCCTCTAGGAGTTCGGACTACTCACCCGTGTACCAGACGTGCTGACCATGTCTCTCGTGGACACAGTCAAGCTGATTACCCTTTAGAGCATCTAAAGGGTATCATACTTGGCACACACGGAGTTGGAAAAGGCCTCGACGACGATGCGCTTGAGCCGGTATGGTCCGCCATCGTGGAGGCAGGGCTCATCGGTTCCTCCATCCGCATTACAGTGTGGACAGCAAGGAATGGGGTGAGAAGGACAATGGACATGTCCTTCCTCTAGCCTTGGGCTTCCCCTTTGAAATCACGATTGTGAGGGCGCCTTTAGATTGTCAATTCTCACTCACTGACCATCATGCAGGCAGCCACGCGACTGATCCTGTCCGGCGTCTTCGACTGACACCCCGACCTGCGCATCTTGCTCGCACACTCGGGCGGGATGCTCCCACAGCTCTCATCACGCCTCGCGTCGTGCATCGATCATGACCCCATTGTCACGTTGCAACTGCAGCACGATGCGCGATACTACCTCGGGAAGCTCTACTTCGACGCGGTCGCATATGGCACAGAGGAGCTCGGGTTCGTGAGTGACGCGATCAGGCACGCAGAGTAGTTTGCAGCTCGTCCATCCTCAGCTGCCACTGCACAGTGTCAAAAGAACAGGGACTCGCATTACGTGCACTAGGCAGCAAACGGATGCTGTTCGGGACGGACCACCTGTTCTTCCCACTCTTGAGCAGCACGGAGAAGTGGAAGAGCACTTCATCGACACGCTCTTCCCTCCTGCGCTGCTGGAGAATGGCACGGTACCTGAGGGCGACTTTTACCGCCCCACGGAGTTCACTGCTATGGACGACCGCAAGCCGTTGGTGCCCAAGCATGGGAACTCGCTCATCATGCAGCTCATCCTGAATGGGATGAAGATTCAGGCGTGCCGCCCCTCATTCCTCGATGCACGCGACGCGATTCTCAATGTGGACAAGGTACTCACATGTTCTCTGTCTCATCTGGCATCATGTTCAGTGAGCCGTACATGTATATTGCTGCAGATCAAGTGTTCAAACAAGTGTCCTGTCAAATGATAATGGAATGTAGAGGATAGGTCAATCTATTGTAGTCCCTCCCGTGCCATTCTGCGAATCACTTTCACCGGTGGGTGAAATCTTGATGGTTGACCCATTCTGCCACCATATACCTGGGTGCAAACATTCATCAGTCTTGTTAGTCAACAATGTAAGACAACCTTACCAACCCTCTTTATTCTTCCTCTCCTACCCACCCCAAAGGCCCTTAAATCATGTTTGTTGCTTTTGAATTCTCAAACCTCTGCTGGACCCACTGTGGTCTTAAATCCAGCCTGCCTAATGTCTTGAAAATTATGCTGGAATAGACTCTGTTAGTAAAGAACTATGCCAAGATGGTGAAACCTACAGAAACCACACCATGAATCCAACCACTAGGTCGACACGCTCTAATGATAGTGTAGACCACTCCAACAGCATGACTAGAAAAGAACCAATGGTAAACTCGGCAGATCTTGTATTTGCAATCCTCAGGAAGCAATGCTTTTGTAGAGACATCATAAGGTTGCCCTGACTACTATTCAGGACATGGGTGGATTAATGTGAACAGATTACATACCAATTACATGTTGAGGATCAAATAGACCTTGAACTAGCATTTCATTGTATAATTGACATGGAACTTTGCACCAATGTTTCCGGAAAATCTTGACATACATAGAAATGTAGTTGCGACCAGACTTGTAATTGTAAGCCAGAGGATTGGTGGAGTTAACCTCCCCAGCTACATTTCGAAAGAAAGTTCTTGTGCAGAACTGATCAACATAGGCAGTCAGTCCAGAAGCAAATGCTTGAAAGCAATCCTTATCTGCAAAGATATGTGATGCTGGAGTGGTGGGGAAGATTTTCAACCAGAATAGTACATCATTAGCAGTATGGCGGCCAAAGCCATTGAAGAGATGTTGGTTGTGAAACAGTAGGGCAATAATAGGGACATCACTATAAAGATTATCCATGCCAAATTGCTGGAGAAGCTCCAAAGCTTGGGTATGTTCAAAGATCCAGCATGGACCATGATCATCAGCCCACAGATGTTTCCATTGCTATGATATTATACTCATTAATCTGCAGGGAATCACCAATAAATAATCAAAATCACATACTGAGGACCCTGGCTGAAGATCTTTGGCATGCCAGATACGATTGCAAGATATTACATGCATTCTTGCCAGACGATTGAAGTCAACAAATGCCCAGACAGAGTCTTCACTGACAAATGCTGCCAATATAACAATATAACGAGGTCGTAGAGGTAAGAAAGATTGGGGGGTGGTCATAGATGATGGCAGATCAAAGTGATGATTAACTGATGCTGCCAAAAGCTTTGGGTTGAGATCATCATTGGTCAGACCAACAATCTGCTCAAAGTCTCGTCGATGGAAATGAACCAAGTTTCCTTCTAACTTGAAGTCCAGACGTAAAGCATGCTAATAATGATGTGTTAGTATGACCATGGATGGCACAATGACAGGACTAACATAGCCAGAAGCCATTACAAGCTCCTTGCCTCTCATAGCAACATGAAGATGACCAGATCTTGTTGGACCCAGAAGATATGTCCAAGGTTGATGTCCAAACCCAGTCCGATGAAAAACAGGGCCATGATCACTATGATCTCGAAATGGCTGATACGAATCAGAGTCGACTGTCATTGTGGTGTAGTTCTGTGCAAAACATTCAGGGAAAATATAGAGACAATCTCCAAGACAAAAATTGGATATGCTTAAGTCCGCAAGGAATAAGGTCCACTCACAGTGGCCATTGGTACGATCAGATTGGACTTTGTGCAAAAAGGATCTCAACTCTGGGAATTCAGGCATGATGTTGTCTGACCAAACCAAGGTAATGATTCAAATCTGTGGGTATGAATGCCGCAGAGCCTTTAATTTTTAATTAATAGTATTTCCGCTAGGCTACTATGCTATGCTGCAAGGTGGTATGCTATGCTGAAGTATTGTTATGCTATGCTATATGCTATGCGGTGAAATAATTAATGTACAAACGGTACGCCATAGTACAAACGGTACGCCATACGTTTCCGCGGCTTTCCGCACACCTCTTCGCCACGGCAAGGCTGTGTTCAAGGCGTCAGTGCCACTTCCTGGAAATTCATAGGGCCAACCATCATATGCTGGGTCGCGTTCTATCTCGAGCCACTTTGTACAAATCACGACTCGCCCTTACTTCCCGTACTTTCATTCTTCAGAGGCGTCTACTTTGCAAACCTCTGGATCAGACTCAAATGGATGTCACCGGGAACAAGTCCTTATCCGAGGGCGATACGTCGACCGACGCTGTCGAGAACGTCGAGCTGACCTTCATCGAAGAGCCGCTTGGTCTACGAGCAGACCAGGGATACGGGTACCTGCAGGTCGAGTTTGGCCAGAGGATTGGTCCCGGCGATCGGTACGAGGTCCTTAGAAAGCTGGGTTGGGGCATGAACGTTCGTCGTGCTCATGTTTCAAGCAAAAGGCTTCCTACTAACCGCTCATCCACATAGGCAAGTGTATGGCTCGCGCGAGATCATGAGTGCGCTGTGTTTTTCTGCACATTTCCACGGGCTTTCTCATCTTTCGCATCTCAGGGAGGAGTGCTACGTGGCTATTAAAGCACTCAAAGGCATGGCCACCGACCTCCACTTTCAAGGATATATGCAAGAGCTCCCTATCATGGAATGCATCACGGAACACATCCAACAGTCCGGTCGACCAGCGTACTGCGCCACACTCCGCTCTCACTTCATCCATCCCGGCAAACCTAACGATGGCGAACATCTATGTCTAGTCATGGACGTGCTGGCCGGCGATATTGAGGCTCTTCAGACGGTGTCGAAGGCGTTCCCTGTCCCATTGGCGAAGCGTATTTTACGCGACACGCTTCGTGGCCTGGCGGAGCTGCATGCCTCGGGTTGCGTGCACACAGGTGCGTGCGTCTTCCGGCGTGTCCGTGCGTTCAGACTCTTGACCTCCCGGTAGATTTGAAAGCTGCGAACATTATGTGTAACGTCCCGGAAGCTACGTCCGAGGCCAACCTGCGCCTGCTTCTTGAAAGCAGTCCTTCTCGCCGACACCCACCCGAACAAAGCTGGGACTACTTTGTCGAAGCGGCCGTATCTCAGCCTTTACCGCCGCCGTCCATAGACCAGGCTCTTTCCGCATCATTCGTCATCGGTGACTTCGGAAGTGGTAAGTGAGCGTGTTTTATACTCTGTCGATCGCATGCCGTAATACCACTCACTCCCTCGTGTTTCTAGCTCAGTTTGTTGACCATCAGGTTATATCGCATATCACTCCGGACACCTTGCGTGCACCCGAGAGTATACTGCAAGGTCCGTGGGACTCCAAAGTCGACATCTGGACCTTTGGCTGCCTGGTTTGTCCCCTGTCTTTGCATTTCGCTTTCCCGGTACTCGCTTTGCTGACTCTGCCCGGGATACAGGTCTATGAGTTCATGCTTGGCATACCACTCTTTCCTCGTAAACACCCTGTGATGGAGCCCGATGTTTACCACTTGGTTCAAATACTCAAGTTTACCGGCGAGGAATTTTCACCGAATCTGATCAAGACGTACAAGTATGCGCCAGATTTTCTTGACATGGAAACCGGTACGCCTGATTTCCGTGCTCCCGGCGTACGATACTCATCGACGTCTCCTCTGCCGTCAGGCTACCTTGCTCGTGTCTGTAAACCCGTCACTAAGGTCCATTTCTCTCTCCTTTTCAGACGAAATGCTGCGGTTCTCGCACTTCCTGAGCACGACGTCGCCGGTGCGATCGATCTCATGTCTCGGTGCTTGCGCATCGATCCTGCAGATCGGCCGACCGCGATTGAACTGGTACGCGAGAGTCCATGGATGCAGGAGCTGGGCGATGATTTTTGAGGCCGTCAAAAACCGGTGTTCGAGCTTCCACCCCTGCGCACATTCACAGCATAAGGCCGCAGGATTGTGGCATGGTTAAAACTGACATAACTTCAATATTTTGCTCACATTATACCGAGGATACATTTTCTTCGATAGTATCTTGGTGGATAGAATATATACATTTCCCTGTGCTTTGCCTTCTCGATACCATCAACTCGACTAGTCACACATCATGGCAATTTTAGACACCTCAGGAGGTGTCGTCAACCTGAGGACAAAGCGGGATGGAGATTGGAACTGAATATCCTGGGAGCGTGGCGTACTGTTCATGAAATTATCAGACAATCTAGCTCTAAAGAAGGGAATAATCTGCACTTTTGTCACCCGGTACCCGACCTCGACAACCATTGTCAGTCCTAGGGAACTCGTATACGTACGATATGTTACGTGTACCGACGTCCCACCCACTGAAATCCCGAATGCGTCCTACCATAACAAGGTACTGTGTAGCAGAATACTTGTGCCGAAGCTCGGGAGCTGGCTCGAGCTGAGGAACCTGAGAGCGATGGTGAGCACACTTCCAGCGGTCGCCTCAAGCACTTCGCTTGCTTCTGAGACAATCACGGGGGTGGCAGACCTACCTGATCAAGTCAAGACCTGCAGCATCAAGAGCAAACTTCACACTTACCAGCCATGACAAACATGTCTCCGGAGTGCTCTTTCTCGTCTTTGGTGACAAGACCGATAATCTTTTTTGAATCGCCCGAGCCCTTAAATTTGAACGAACCGAAGGTACCCAGCTATTGCCCAGTTATAGCCCGCAGACGTATCCAGTACAGCTTCGTAATGCTCCCCCCGTTCCGTCCCGGGAATCGCGAACTTGCACAACTTGCCGCTCCAGCCGTTATCGGCGGCCTTGCGCATGTCCTACGAATCCTTCAGCCCCTCGTTCGCTATGTTCGCCTGCATCTTACGCTCAACGTCGTCAAGCGGGCTGGAGCTTACCTAGAGCCCGCGCTCCACCTTTCACCACTTCCAGACGTCGCGCGCCAGCGTATCAAAGACCACACTGTGAAGGCTCAAGGAGGTGAGAGTCATCCGTTTGCTGGGTGAAAAAAGTCAATCACCCGGAGTCCGAGTGATGTTCGGGTACGGGTGACCTTCACCATGCTAAAAATCACCCATTAAGTGGGTGAATTGCTTCATACAGAGTGAACATCACCCTGAAGTTGCCCGGAATGTAGTCCTCGGAGAACGGGTGATTCTACCCTAGATCACCCGCCGAACGGGGGAGTGTCAACCAAACGGCGAGTGATTTTACTGTTGATTTTCACCCAGTTTGGCATCCGCAGTGCCAGCGATATCATCTCGCCGGGGCTTCTCTAGACCCAGTAACTTCGAAACAAGCACGGGACCGAACAGCTGATATGAATGCGATATCATCCTGATTGCTCTGGTGATAGAACTGCCTTGACACTGCTCAGATCTAAAAGCGCGCCAATGTTCAACACCCTAATGGGATCCTGGACAGCCGTGTGGGTGCTCTGCAGAGACGGTCACGCTGGAAGGCGTACCGTACGTACCTCTCTCCCTGTTCAGACCGACTTTCTGCTCCGGCGCGGACTTTCTAGGGCGGACTTTCCAATTCCCGGTCGTCCCCCCCAAGCGCAGACGGCGGAATTTCCGACTTTCTGAGTACCCCGCCCCTGATCTTGCTCCCCTCCTGGTCACGGAATGGCAACAAAGGCCACATCATGGTCAATATTTCCTTGATCAATTCTGACCAAAAAGCATCGAATTCAACATTTCAGCGCTTATACATGTTTGCCTCCGCTGGATATGGTCCTGTTTTGAGATGTAGGTCCTCATCTCTTCGGCATGCAGGAGGTGAGCGGCCCATGCGGAACCCCGTGGTGCTCACCCAATCGTTCGATTTCGCAATCCGAACTGTCGCCTGATTTTGAGAAGGGGCCTATATATACTGAAAGGGATTTCTTGACCGCCGCTCGTTCCCCACCCTCGCCCACTAGACAGACACCTCCACGTCTTAACTATGGCCTCTCTTAGGCAACTCACCAGGGTCACACTCGCGCGCACCGTGACCACTCCCACCATCGACATCCCTCGTGATATCTCGACCCATGAATTCAAGGGCATTGTGACCTTGAAAGAAGCAGACAAGAAAGAGGTCATCGAGAACGCCTTAGATTATTGTGTCGAGGCTGGTTTTGATGACATGGGCGCTGACCACGCCATCATTGCGTACGTGACAAGCTTAGATTTACAGTTATCGTTTGATAACGTTGGCATCACACACATTCACAGCGCCGGCGGAAACCATGTTAATCCGAATGACAAGGTTGACACGTTCAGGCGCGCTACGGTGCAGCTCTTTGACAAGCAGAGGCAGCCTATGCGGTTCCAGGGCTCTGATGGGCGCATCTATGATCGCATTCATATCCCAGCGGACCGCGCTCTGTGGCCTCGGTTCTGCAACGGCTACTACACTCGTATTAAATAGCGGTGAGCATTCATCATGACTCATTTGTTATGTTGTCCTGAACAAGTACTGCGTGCACTGTATCCCTGCAGGCCAAATGATGAGTGGTAACTCTTCAGAGAGTGATCGAGTTCGGGCTTTGTGGGTTGGCTGCTATATGATTGTCTCATGCTTGCTCCTCGGATGTACAATAAATAGACATAAATTTACGGAGCAGACAAATAGTCATGAGGAAAAAGGCCCGCGTGAGGTAGCCACAGCCAAAGACGCATATAGGAGTAGCCGTGGGTGGTCCAAGTAGTGTCAAGTAGTTTGGTCTCGTGTTTCTGTAATACCAGGAAGCGACGATTCCAGCTACACGGCGGAAGATATTTTTAATTAGTCCTGGTCGCACATTGAATACACCATCCGTGGCCAATCTTAATTACATCGCGAAATCTACACATCATTCTTCTCTCGCCTGATGCTCAGCATGCCCATTTCTCCGGCCTCTGCCGTCCCGTATTGACAGACGACGATTACTGACCAGGGTGCTTCGTGGACCTGGTGAACAGGACAACAGAGTGTGGTGTGATGCGTGACTGAACTTACAGTATGGTCGAAACGTTACAGTATTGCCCCCGCGAGGACGTTGTGCCGAGCAAGTCTCGGAGTCTCTCTGCCCGTAGCGCGACCGCCGTAAACTTCATTCCTCTCAGTTGGAGTGCTCAGGCTTGACAGCCGTTTGCTAGTCAATAGGCGGCTGCTGAAAACGATCACACAGTCGGAACCTGGAACCGATATCGGCCCCGTTCTGGCGGGCTTGAGCGGCAAGCAGCGCGCTTCCCCTGGCACTATGGTGAGGCGCCGCAGGAGGAGCACCCAACCACCACAGCCAAAGAATGCCAAACGACCCTCTGTGACCATCTTTGCTATCGGATAGTAGAGATGTGCAGGAAAATTTGACAAATCTTTTGTAATGTCTCGATCTCGAAATCACTCCCCGATCACGCGTGACGGTGCACATGGAATATCGATCGCTGCCATGCGCAAAACACGCAGATGTCAGTCGTGCGGTGTAGCACCAAGGGAGACACAGACAAACTTGAAGAGGCAGCCCTGGACCCTCTTCGTAATCGCAGTCCGCCATGCCCGCTCGAAAGGTAATATCGCAGCAGGCCGCAGCGCGTCCAGCCTCCAGACCCGCTTGTAGGTAATGCACATGACGTCGAAGTCGGACGTCTTACAGGGTACACACAGGGTGAGCCTCATGGCTTGTGAGCGAACCTTGTGGTCAGCACTCGTTCCTGCAGTCGTATCTGAGTCCTACTGGCTCAAGTCTCCTTGTTCATGCAGGTGAGTGCACAACCAGGAGAGCGAGTTGCTCAGTCCAGAACCCATGCTGCTGACTTTCCGCGGCCTTGGAAAAACCTCGCAGGTCCCTGCGATGGATTTGCCCAATTGCAGAGTTAGAACTTCGCTGCCCAGATGCTGGGCCCGGATTCAGGTCGAAGCACAAGGTATGTAGGTACTATCGTGGGCGCCAATCCGGTGCGTCGCAATGTTGTATCTCTTCTCCTCCGAGTTTCTGGGCGTTTATCTGCGCGTGTGCGGACAGATCCGCTGTATGCCCTTGTGCGCGGGATCGAGTCATGTTATCCCACTGTAGGCGGGACATTGGACATTTAGATGCTGTTACTAGTGCCTTGGATTATCGACTTTTACGGCCGCAATTTATCTCAGAATGTGTCGCTCACAGTAAATTGCACCGGGGAGTTCCGCCCACCTCTGGATTTTGGAGATGTCTTCGACAGAGTCTGGAGTTCCTTCACGTTCCTTGGGGAGTATTCAATCCTGGCAATATTTGTGCCGCAATGAGTCGTACCTTACAGACAATTACTGAACTCACCGCCAAATGTCCGCTGGGACATAAACACCATCCACACTAGCCCGTCAGGCCTATATGTCATATTGATATATCAAAGAATGAAAGGTTTAACTCATACCTGATACAACAGCAGCAGTAGCCACAATGGGCTCGAGCTTACAGGTGCTGATATATCAGCCTGCGCATATGACAAATCAATCTGCTCTTCGATAGCTTGGGCCGCAAGAGGGGGGCGAGATTGGAATCGGGGATACCTACCTCTTAGCAGGGGGGATAGGAAACTGGTGTACGGGGTCCATTTTCAGCCACCCGCGTGTTATCCTCCCGGAGCTCGTCATTTTCCATCTCTCTCCTAAACTTCCTCACATTTGTTGGTCAAAACACTAGAGATGCCTTTTTACATGTGTATTCGTAGTTTCTGTGTACTCAAACCTGCGCTTTCCGTGCTGTGTGAGCTTCAGGGCGAGATGTGTGCAAAGTCAAGTGCACGTGATATAACGCGGCTTGTTGAACGCAGACACAGCATGCTCTGGACATTAGTTACTGGATGTGTCGCATTTCGCACTCTTCATCTTAATGTTATCTTAATCCTACTTAAGCATGCTTAATGGTTCTGACATCTGGTATCCCAATACCGCAGGATTGCTAGGTCGAGCTCGAGAACCCAGTGCTAACCATTCCAATCCATCTCCGAAGGAAGGATTGCACCCTTTGACATTCCTCGACACGTCGATATTGTCCTGTGGGCTTCCGTCTTCATCCAGGTCATCTACTCCATTATGTTACACCTCTCCACTACAACTTGAAGCGACACTCGGGCAATGGCACTCACCCCAGGAATCAATGCCGCATTTGCGTTTGCGTGAGACATCTCCTTCGTTGCTCACCCGGACTTCATTTACTACCTCCACACGGGTGTCTCCAGTACAACCGTTAGAAAATATGTATAATTTCAGTCATCTACACTCTCCTATTCCTGGTCCCGTCAGTGCCGGTCCGGCAACCTCTCTCAAAGGATGTTTACTGAACTCGGACGAGCAGAATGCATTGCCCCACTCAGCATCATCTGCACCGGCTTCGAGGCCTATTTTGGCACTCATCCAGCAATGTGCCCCTATATACCATACATCGCGGCCTCCACTGCATGATTTATTCATCCCATCAGCATCACTCGCACACTCAGTCACACATCAAGAGCCAGCGCTCAAATTGGGCGTCGAAAACCTGTCTTGGGCATTGGATGCTGATGGGAGGACACATGTGCAGTGCCCGAACTGTGCAAAGTGGATCGGTACAGGGTCTCGTGGCCAGAACACAGGGCCTCTGGTGGCTCACATGCAAGGCCGGCATTGCAAACCATATAACCAGAGTACTGAGATGCGTTGTGCGCAGGAGGCACAACATGCTCTGTTTCCAATCATCGCCCCTCATCAGAATGGCACTCTTGCGGCAGAACCAACACCCTCTCTCAATGGGTCTGGACCATGTCTCAAGTTCAAGGTCATGACGGCAACCGATTTTCAAGAATATGATGTGTATGATAATTGGTGAGCAACAATGTCATGCATGCAGTGTGCTTCGTGACGTGATTGTATGCAACAGCTCTTCCGACTCTGATTGTGATTCACATGTCGGTTTGCCCACATGGGAATTTTCCAGCCATGACCCTGCATTGTTATCTTCAAATCATCCTGTGTCCATTCCCTTAGAGTGAGAGTTCTCGCTAGTAGCAGCACCTTTTGTCACAACTTTGCAAGTGTCAGTGCAACCTCAGCATGTCGATGCTTCCATGGCTGCAGCAAATCTATGCACAGGGGTACCTCTGGAATGGCCAAAGGATCGATTTTTTGAAAGCTATCCTTTCCAGCATTATGCACTCAACATTGGGTACGATTCTGTTCCGTGGACCAAGATGGAATCAGTTTTTGTGTCCGATCGGATGACTGCACCTCCACTGTGGCATCTCCAGGTCAACCTTGCCATGAATGCGCAAATGCACATGACAAGATTTCCCACCTTGGAGCCTTAGCCATGCACGCAGAGCCTCACATGAATCACAAGTACCTTATGCATGAGCAACTGCGTACAATGCTTCAGGAACGAGATGACACTATTAACAAGCTGAAGTTGCAGGCAAGTGGTCTCATATGAGTGCAGAACAGAAATTGATGATCAACAAAGGCACTCAATTTTGCTCGCCGCATCCCTCAGTACTAAGGAAGTTAGATGATGCCCGCCATCTAACTATGGCTATTGCTACTGGCGATGTCCCACGTATCCAACATCTGGTCCGACAAGGACTGAAGGAGAAGATGAGCATGAGTGCTCTTGTCGGTCGAATTCAAGAGGCACTTGAGCACGTATATCATGCTCGTGCCAACGATGACACTGGGATGGACATAGCATTGCTTGTCCTGCATCTCGGAGGCCACAAACTTCTGTATGCCCTTAACCATCACTTCGGGCTCCCCTCAATTAGGGCCATTCATCGCGTGAAACACTTTACATGCCTAATGCCATCGTTAGGTTTTCCGACAGAGCAGGAGATCAACTTTAATATGCAGAAGATCTTTGCTGTACACATGGAGCGTGTCAATGACATTCGACCTCACAGTGGTATGTCTGTGATGTGGGATGAAGTGAACCAAGAGGAGGTTGCCTGTTACTTTCCTCATGTGGACACAGTTGGTGGGTTCTGTAGGGAACACTCCTCATCTGTCAATACATGTCTGACGACATTCAAGAGTGCAGTCAACTTGGCTACCACTCTCGATGAAGGCACGGTCCACTATGGGAAGGAAGTGTCAGTTATTGCGATCAGCTCCTTTAGTACGGAGCTCAGGGGAGCCTTTCCAGTGGTAGTATTGTCTACCTGCAAGCAGGAGACTCCAGATGAGTCAGGGGTTCTTCTGATGTGTGTGGTTGGGTGCTGGGAAGAGCAGTACGTGAGTATGTTTGGGCAGATCTGGACCTTTGCATCTGATGGGGATGCTGGCTGATGGGCAATGGTACACCGTTTATTCATAAAGCACGAGATTGACATGAAACACAAGCTATACAAGTACCTCAGTAATATGTCTGAGTTTAATCTGTATGTAGGCGATGGTGATATCACTGGGGATTTTGACTGGAAGCATGAGATCAAGCATGAGCCAAGTCACTGTCGCAGCCATGACGTACTTACAATGATACTTTCTAGGAATGGCCCATCTCCTGCGGACAAATGAGGGCATGGTGGTCAGTGACACTATTGTCAATCACGACACACTCGTACACCACTTGCGACACAATAGTGCTTTGTCCAAACATACTATTCAGCTTTTGATGAATCCTGCGGATGCTCAGGATGTGCCGCGGGCCATTGACCTCATCCGGGCAGTCGCTACAATAGCTACTCTCCCTGCTGATGGATGTACACCTTCTGAGCTCAAGGATATCCAGGTCATTGCAGTAATAGGAGAGCTGTTCACAGCTTTTGTAGATGCCTACATTCAGCTGCACTGGAGCATCACTCAAGAGGTTACATCGCTGAGCAAATTCTGCCACATATCAGTCATCCTTTTCCGCGAGTACCGAGTCAATTTTATGCCACCCCAGCTCTACAGTGACACTCAGATGACTGTGAAAAGTGGGATTGTTTGCATTGCAAAACAACAGGACACTAATGGCACTCGGCCATTTTATCTGTTCTTGACAGGAGATGATCATCTAGAAACTCTGTTTGGTTATACATGCATGCAAGGTGGCCATCATCCCAACTTTAATATCAAAGAATTGTCAGAGCACCTAGCTGCAAGCCTTGACATATCTGCGGTCCTCACTGCCCACCCCGAACTGGATCCTGGCCATCGGCAATTGAAAGTAACATGCACAGAGAAGGCAGATCACCTTAATCCTGAGTCATGGACCAGCGACGTGACTGCAAACAGCGTCAATCTCTAATCTGCTTGGCGCGATGGCCACTTGGCCGCTGTAGAGATTCTGGTGAAAGTCAATATTAAGCCTGACTTTGGTTCTCTGTTTGATGCTGATCGGAACCTCGACATGCTTAAGCCATTCGGTGATGGCAAATATCCTGATGTCTCAGATGAGCCTGACAGATCCATGGATCCTGAGCCGACCGCGGGAGCTCTGAGTCATTCTCCTGAACCCACCATGCCTCAGACCCTTGATCCCTTCACAATTCCTCCTGATAGTGCTGCCAGCTCTGTGCCCTGCGACTCTACGATATTACAACCAGTGAGCCATTGAGCCACTTGAAGATGACTCGGAAGCCATTGCGATTCTGGAGATGGAGTTGAGCTTGAAGACATCCTGGATGAGCCACCCGAAGGCTGCCTTCCCTCTCCTGCTAATACCATCAATCCATCCCCTTGGCTGGAAGTTGATGGTAGGAAGATACACAAAGCATCGATCTGTCGTCTAGTTATCACACCGGAATACGCACGCAAATCTCACGAGCGCATCCTGCGTGTACATGGATATACATCAGATATCAAGCCTATGAGTTTGAACTCGAACAATATAACATCCCCAGATGCATTCATCCTCGGTGACCTGTTTTCCACCATGATCACTTGTGGGGATCATGTCGCACTGGTAATATTGAAATGCATCGCTATCGAGGAGAAGAGCATGCGCACCACTAGTGTGGACGATCAAAGTCTATCGTTCCCTGCATCTGGCATCAAACTCATCGGACAGGTACTTGAGATGGTTGAAGTGGGTTTGTGTCTGCCTGCCAGTGAGAAGATGGGTCCTGCGTCAAACGAGGATCCCAATTTCTCACAGACATCGACACTAACAGATACTCCTGCCCCTGACAATTCGTCTTTGGCGGGTCCCGATTGGCTGTGGAATGGGAATTTTGTCAAGCTCGATCTTGTCATGGCAAAGACTGCACCAACGGGGAAATTTGCATGTAAGATGATAGTAATAAAAGTATGCAGCTACCTCTGTGAGCCCATCAGTCCACACATTTTCACGGCAGTCCACCGCCTTCCTTCCACTGAGCTTGTCAAGCTGAACGGTCTTTCTCTCACTTGGGAGCTTTCCAATGAAGAACTCTACACCATTATTACAGCACTGTGGGGCACCATTCAGTCACACCAGGCACTGGCATTGCTCCCGAAGTTCAAAAGCAGCAACTCATTTCCATATCGGAATGCCCAAGGTAACTCTCATTGCAGTCATTTACCTACATGCATGCTGACTATACATGCCAGGTGAAGCCACATTGATATCAGACCAGGCATCAGCGGAGGTCGAAGCTACATGCATGCACAAGAATCAAAAGTTCAGGTGCTACCAGTGCTTGAGCATTGTCGAGCAGAGGAAGATCTGTTCACACATCGGGAAGCACATTCTCAAGATGCTACGTGGTATTCCCGAAGTCCTCCAAGGATCGCCAGTGAGTTTGCGCACGTTCTGTGGCTGCCTGCACTACAATCTCATGTTCATGTAGATCGGGTCCATGCCGTGTGGATTCTGTGGCTGTTCCGGTATTATTGATTGCTCCGAAGTGTTTGTCACAAAGGGCAAAAACCCGCAAGCACAGAGTCAATGCCAACATGCTTTCAAATTCAAGTATCAACCTGCCCTCTTGTCTTCGGGCTCAACACCGTCAACGAACATTCCTATTCTCTGTACCATTCCGGGCTGTACTGCAACCCAGGGCAGTCTATTGACGGCAGTCTGGAAGTACAACATGCCTGAACACATTTGCACTCATCACCCTGGGTTCTCGGAGGATGGCATATCACATGGAGCCCCTTTGCCACATAAATTGGTATGCTCCATGACCATTACACATGAAGAGGAAGAGAGGCTTGGAATACCACCGGATAAAATTTCAGTGAAACCTTCCTTGTCTGTGCTGAAATCAACCACGTCGGCCTCTGGACCCCAACACGCAACTACTAGTGTTCTAAAGTGCGGACGCTCAGACACAATCACAGCTGCTACTGTGGGACAGGGTTCAGTCAAGAAACAGAAATGATGGGCTGATCTTATATATATGTATTATAGAATATTCACAAGTAACAGCCACTCCTATTATATAGCTGTATACCAGCTGTAACCGCCTGCTATGTAGCTAATGGTCGAACGCGTCATGCTTGAATGCGTCGGCCCCAGTGCTCCCAATCCGAGGACATGGAGTTTGAGGTGGCGCCCGTGTGCCATCCATTGGTGGAAGGTGGCTCTCCCTACCCCAGTTCTCGGGGTCCTCGAATTTTAGAGAGGACGGTGTCGATGATTCTCCCATCGCCCCCCTCTTGTTGGGCCGCGTGAACCCAGTCCCCTGGATCTATCGATGATCTGATCTGACAATGAGGCATCTGTAATCTTAGATATGGATCTGGTCCTGCCGGTTCCTTTGTGCTGCCGCCTCTTACTATAATTGGCCACCGCCTCTTCTCATAATTGGCCACCACTTTTTGCTCCTGCTCGTTGCCTCCACTATCCTGTTCCTAAACTGTAGCCTCACTGTCTCTCTTGTATGCTATGTGCCTGTCATTTGTTCTTAGGTGTGTTTACTGTGTTTGTTCCTGCCGGACCATAGGCAGTCTGCTCAATGCCGGCTATGTAATGTCATTCATAATTTACAGTTTGAAGTTTGTAAACAAGTTATGGTACAAAGGATGAAGTATCAGCTAGTGGTAGTCAATATATTTTGATGTATCACAAGTGGTCTGCCATGCTAAGTGTCCTGTGCCTGTTGTATCTACCGAAGATTGATACATCAGCCTCCTGAGAATTCTACTAAGTACGACTGTAAGCACGTCTGCCTTGCATGAATTACACAGAGTTGCATGTTTTTTTACAATGAGCACAATCTGCAAATGTATATATTCTTTCTTAAAAGTATCTACTTCAAGGCTTACTAAACTACGAATAGTAATGAAATCACTAAGAAACACTGTTACTATCAGTCGCCAAAGCTACGCCACTTGCACTCGCTATCTCACTTTTGTCATGCATTAGTACCTTTTCCTGTTTATTGCCGGCCTACTGAGACATGTCAGTATCATCAATGCTATGAATAATCATCTGTACATACCTTTGCTGCCCATCTGCAACCTGTTTCCCTCTACGCAACGTTGCGGGCTCAGACTCTCTATTCTCCCATCCCAAAGCAATGATGGGTTGCTTCTTCCCGCTGCAGGACCAATTGGCATCGGCCTGCTTGGGTGCAACATGTGTTCAAGCAGGATGGCCTGATTTAGAAGACGGAGTACCAGACTCCATGTCCACATTTGCTGCTTCCATTAGTGCTGGAAGGACAGGGTTGAGGCACTTCTGAGTTGCTGGATAATGTTTGTGCACCAGTACTGGAGCTGCATCTTCATCTGCAGCCGAGCTGACCATGTCTATGCGTGCCGATGGAGATGACACAGCTGTTATCATTACAGGGAGGACAGTTGATGGTGTGGGTGCAGATTCAACTGAAAAAGAGGACAAGTCCGCATCCGGAGACAACAAACATGCAGTTGGTTCAGCCAGAGACGGTGATGTCGAAGATGATCCACGCAGTGACAAGGATGGGATCCAGCTCCTGGAGATGAGGCGGCCAGAGATGGTGATGTTGATAAGGGTGTGGATTGAACTAGAGAGGAAGATGGGGCTTCAGGCACTAACTGAGGGTTTGAGGGAGAGTGCAATGCAGACACAAGAGAGCAGCTTGGCTCTGTTGCGAGTACGCGGTGAGGTGGAAAGGTGTCCAACGGCATCATTGTCAGTTATTGAGGATAATCTTTAGTGCTAATAAGCACGAAAAAAGAATTAACTTCTCCATCTCAAACTGGAGATGATCTTTTTGGATTATCTTTGAAGAATTTTTAAGATAATCCTAAGGATAATCCAAAAGATTATCTGAGTTTAAAAGATATTTTTAAACTTGCCACCAGCCAGGATTGAACTCTCAACCTTGAGAGATAATCACATGATCATGTGACACCAGACACTTTAGCCATTACACCATATGTTCTTGCAAGCTTACACTCATGTGTGATATATATAAGAGATTTTGCTAAAGGGACTTAGGCAAATTCTTTCTACATGAGCATAACTAAGTAAAACTCAAGACAAAGAATGTTATAGTGACATTTCATACAGTCTATACTATTGTTTATATTACAATACCTATATATTAATTTTGCATATATATTTTAAACTACTGTTCACCTTATGGATACTGTTAAAGATTCATTTTCTGAACTTGAAATTGATAATCACAGTCTTTTAAGATGAAATAACAATGTGATTGCATTATAAAGTATGTACTAAAGATGTTATTATAACCAAAGCTTTGCCTTGAGTTCCACTTAGTTATGCTCATGTAGAAAGAATTTGCCTAAGTCCCTTTAGCAAAATCTCTTATATATATCACACATGAGTGTAAGCTTGCAAGAACATATGGTGTAATGGCTAAAGTGTCTGGTGTCACATGATCATGTGATTATCTCTCAAGGTTGAGAGTTCAATCCTGGCTGGTGGCAAGTTTAAAAATATCTTTTAAACTCAGATAATCTTTTGGATTATCCTTAGGATTATCTTAAAAATTCTTCAAAGATAATCCAAAAAGATCATCTCCAGTTTGAGATGGAGAAGTTAATTCTTTTTTCGTGCTTATTAGCACTAAAGATTATCCTCAATAACTGACATCACCGCTGTGCCATCTCGGTCTCAAAGGTGCTGGTGTCTGGAAATGGACCCTTGCTACTGACCTTGCACTGAAAAACAGAAATGGTGATCACAAGAACCTCCTGCATAAAATTGTCAAAATCCTTGACCCTCGGGCACTTCGGGCCATCAGTTGACTTCTGATATTTGGGGCTCAAAAGACCATCGTCATTGTCGTTGTCTTCATCCTCATCATCGCAAGGATGCTTCTTGGCCATGCACATGGCGACAGGAGTGATGGTGGTAGCATTCTCAGTATCATCAATGAGTGCGCGCATTACCTTCTTCCTTGGCAAGATGCAGCGGGGAATGACAGGCACAACATCATTGTCCTCATCACTTGAGGACACAAGCATGGGAACATCTTCAGGTAAATAAATGCAATCATTAGTAACGTCCAAATAGCTAACGTGCAAAATATACCACCACGCTTGGGTCCCTTATTGTTAACTGAAGCAAGAGGGACTTTCTCAAAGCAGTAGGCCAAGGACTTCTTTGCTGACAGCTTAGTAGTCACAGTCCTTTTGGTAAACTCAAAAGAAAAATCAGGTGGTAAACCAGCTGGATGCAATGAATTAATTACCATATTGTCTTCGGTGCCATCAATATCACTCACAATCAATTTCTCTTTGTCGACCTCTTCGCTGTCTGCCTCCTGTTGACATAGGTGAGCACGACAGTCAGCCTTGTCACTCTTCTTGAACTTGTCAGCCTTGCAGCAAATGGTGTCTTCCCTTTCGGTCACTATGACAAAAATGAGAGGTAATTATGGATGAACATAGTACTACACTCACTGCGCTGGTTCTCCTTCTCCGTCAGATGATGATGACATCCGGAAGTTACATGAGTGGTCTGAGTAGACATATAGAGAGTCAATGGTGGATTTGAGATGGGGCAGAGGTGTAAAGGATCATTTTTTTGTGACTGCGAGTGGTCCTGAGGATGGAGGAGTAGATGGAGATTAGAGAACTCATGCAAGTACTTATCCGAAATGAACATACAAAGAATGCGTAAACAATACATTGAGTATAAACCTTATTGCGCTCTGTTGAATGTGGTTCAACAAAGTCACATCATTGCAAATTGGACTCCAAGGCATTTGTCACCATGGCTCGGCCCACCATATCAACAGGGGGGACAATAGGGCACAGGGTGAGGCTCCTGTCGGAGCATCCTCTAGGCCATGTACATTGCCCTCTGCTCTTGTTCTGGCCTTGCATCCAGTAGCTTCCTATGCAAAAATGTCAGGTTCTCACCGCTGTAATTTCTGCTTGAAGGAGTTACTGATCTTGGCTGGTGTGAAAAAACATATCATGAACTGCACTGCGTGTCGCTGCAAGTGGGAACAAACAATCATGCAAAGAGCAGGTGTCTCTGTATTGAACATGGAGGAGGAGGGGGGAGGGGACGAGGATGAGGAGAGTATGATGCCCAGTGTGCACAGGCTGGGGGCAGCTGACATAGCGGAAAAATCTGTGAATGCTATCGGCAATGAACCTGCTTCTTTTGACACCTTCATCCCTCCTCTGGCTCGTGAGCCTTCTCTGCAGGCCTGTGATGATCTGGCACCAGAACCACCTTCAAAGTGTGCACGGGTTGAAGACACAGTTGATGAAGATAACATACTATCAGGGCGCTTCTATGAGGAGTACACACACCATGCTGTGGTGACTGCCCATGCACATGGCCAGATGGTGTTTGCAACTTATCATGAGCGAGTACACGAAGCCAACGCAAGTGAATACGCACCTTTCAAGGATCAGGAAGAATGGGAATTGGCTGAATGGTTGATGAAGAATCTTGGTCAGAATAGAATTGATGAATATCTGGCGCTGCCCATTGTGAGTGCTTCAAATTACCCTGGGTTGCTGTCGATGCTTAAAATGGTCGCCAGATGCAGAAGCGCTGAAGGGATGCATAGCATGCTGAGACGGGAATCACACCCACGAAGTGGTCTCACATTTCAGAGATACCACAGGGTGCTACACAATGGACTCTAGTCCGACAGCAATTGGAAGCTGGTTATCAGAGGAGGGAATGCTATGAGCCCGAATGCTATTTCTAACTCCTCAAATATGATCTGTAACCGCCTCAAAGTACCATCTGCCAACTCGCATCTACCGGTGATCCCGCGCATGACATCATACAGTTCGTGAGCCGTGTTGCACAATGTCTCAACCCGAAGGTGCAAGGTTCCTGAAGGCAATAAAGCAAAACTAAGGAACACGATTCCAGGGAAATGGGGGTAGGACGACTGCGCATCAATGTCAGGGAGACCATCCGGTGGGTGACCCAAACCAAAGTCCTCGCGGACAGCGGGGTCATTGTACAGAATGCGTGCAGTCAAACCATGAGGAATGACAGCAGAAAGGTGGTCAGCAATCCAAGAAACCATCCGACGACCAGCTTCCACAGTGCGAGCCATCACAAGATGTATTTCCACTTGGGCAAGGACAGGAATATCGTGTAGGATGATCCTCACGCTGGCCGCTTCAGACTGGGCTTGGACCATGAAGACCTGAGGGCAGCTGTGGTTCCCACCATTGTATTACAATTGCCCACAACACTGGGCAGGCCATTGTGCACAACTCACCAGCCATTGTAATTGTAATAACACTGGGCACATTGTAATACAATGGCAATTACAATGCTGGCCACATTGTAATTGGAAAAAGAACTGTTCACAGTAAGAGTTGAACCCCTGACCTCATGGCCGGAGTTTTGCTTATATAAGCTACACAAGACACATGCTTTAACCACTACACTATTGATGCTTGCTGTTACTTCAACCTCAATTGTAAATAATGAGACTGTCCACTACAATATAATATACAAGCTTCTATTACAAATACTAACACTTGTTACTGTTCCTTTCTTAACTCTTTGTTAAATACTATTATAGTGTCTATTTATGTTCTCTTACTTGTTTATCTCTTTTTCTAATTCTTTAAAGTAATAGTATTAGATATAATATTAAAATGTGCATTAGAAGCTTGTATATTATATTGTAGTGGACAGACTCATTATTTACAATTGAGGTTGAAGTAACAGCAAGCATCAATAGTGTAGTGGTTAAAGCATGTGTCTTGTGTAGCTTATATAAGCAAAACTCCGGTCATGAGGTCAGGAGTTCAACTCTTACTGTGAACAGTTCTTTTTCCAATTACAATGTGGCCAGCATTGTAATTGCCATTGTATTACAATGTGCCCAGTGTTATTACAATTACAATGGCTGGTGAGTTGTGCACAATGGCCTGCCCAGTGTTGTGGGCAATTGTAATACAATGGTGGCCACCACTGGTGCTGAGGGACGTGTGAGGACCAGACAGTGAAGGAACATATGCTCACAGGAGCCTCACCAGCAGGACATGCATCCGGACTGCCCATGCCTTCCACAGTATCGGATCGAAGGGCTCAGTAAAGATCTCAATGCGAAGAAGCACTTCCGCAAGGGTGTATTGCGAAGAATGATGCTGGCATCCATGGATGAGAGATTGATTTTGGGATGGGAGATGCCTCCGAGGCAGGCAGATCCTTATTAGGTGCTCGGGTGAGTTCGGTGATGGAGGATCACTTGGAATGAGTAGGAGCATTGATGAATGCACAGACACAAACACCTAAACCCCACTAAAACAAACAAGAAGCAGGGGCAATCTGTGTGTGAGGGATGGGCGTCGCAACTGTAAAATAAAGCAAGTGGGTCCCAGAACCTCGACCTAAGCCAAAGGGGGATGCAACCCATGAAGAAATGATGGTTCACGATGTACATGCAAAGTCGGGCGACAATCTATGACAAAGTCGCGAAAGTCGAAGGTAGGAAGCTAAAGTGGCGATGTAATTGCCAAACTCGTAGGCAAAGATGAACTAAATCGCAAAGGGCAAGGAAACTATCTGTGGGGGTAGAACGCTATGGGGGAATGCAGTATTCGTCATCTTGATGAAGTCGCAGTCAGTCTAACGCAAAAGTCGGATTTAAAACTAATGCAGGTCGCTATCGCTATATCGCTATGTCGCTATCGCAGTGTCGCAGTTCGCTATCACAGTCGCAGTATGCAGTCTCGAAGTATAGCAGTCTCACTATGTCACTATGTCGCAGTGGGGTATATCGCAGTTCAAAGTTGCTATCACAGTAAACGCAGTTTTCTCAGTGATCTGAAGTGAAGGGGGAAGTCTTCTACTGGTTTTCGAGGATAATCGACTTAGATACAGCAGGTATTTATAGAGGGGAAAATGGGGAAGTGAAATGCAAAAGTCACGAAATGTTGAAAGATGGATCTTAACATCGGAGAGAGTCACAATGGTCTAGGACCAATGGAAAAATAGGTAAAGAGAGTGGAGACGTAAATGTCATACATTAGCGACAAAGAAGAACGGTAAAGTAGAGGAAAATCAAAAGAAAACATATGTTACTTGTCCTGGACCACATGGAACACTCTAACAGCATCTCCGGTCCAGCACAAAGGTAGAGGTCTTGAAGGGGGAAAGTCGAACGATAAAAGGAATGAGATTTGCAAAACAAGGGGTTGCGACCATCATGCGACACCGATAAGTCGGCGCGATGAACCAGCGAGTTGGCGCGATATCCACTAGTAGGCAGCCCCAATGTATACAATATCCCCATGAAGTGCCAGCTTTATTGTGCACGCAGTGGTCAGTATTGTATTGTACACAAAGTAACCAGATTGTATATATTATTGTACACATTATAACCAGATTGTGTACATTGTTGTACACATTATAACCAGATTGTGTACATTGTTGTACACATTATAATCAGATTGTACATTGTAAATGATATTGTAATTGTAAATGAAGAAGGGCAGATTGTATACAATTACAATTGTACAAAATAAACTACACTCAGCCAGAATTGAACTCTTAACCTCCCGGCACATGCTTACATAAGCACATGTGACATGCACACATCCAACTAAGCCATTTGTCCTTATCTGTCTTTCAAACTCAATTCTATATAAGGCTCTTGCCTCTACTAAAAAATGTTATAGTGTTTTGTAAGAACTACTACATTATACTTATTACTGATGATCTAACCATCTACAAATATGTAGTTCATTTTTATTATAGCTTTATTACAATATTATAACATTTTTTAGTAGAGGCAATAGCCTTATATAGAATTGAGTTTAAAAGACAGATAAGGATTTGGATGTGTGCATGTCACATGTGCTTATGTAAGCATGTGCTGGGAGGTCAAGGGTTCAATCCTGGCTGAGTGCAGTTTATTTTGTACAATTGTAATTGTATACAATCTGCCCTTCTTCATTTACAATTACAATATCATTTACAATTACAATATCATTTACAATGTACAATCTGGTTACGTTGTGTACAATACAATACAGACCATGGCGTGCACAATAAAACTGGCACTTCGTGGGGATATTATATACAAAAGTGCTGCCCACAACTGAACTGTCCGCAGATCGAGGACTACATCAGGGTGCGGAAGATTAATCACGATGCACTCAGTAGGATCATTCTCCTGAATGGACAGTTCATTCCTCGTGACCTACCAGGACGTAGCATGGCGGAGCATGTTGATGCGTGGCACGATATGTATCCTGGGAACCTTTTCAGCAATGGTCCGGGGCTGTCCGCAGCGCCTCCACCCAATGCTTCCAGGGATGAGCGTGACCAGCCTCTGCATATGGTCAGCCTATGGGAGATTGCGAAGGAGGCACTTAACCCCAAAGAAATGTCCTCTGCATACATTGAGAAATGTCTCGACGACTCTGTGATGTCAGTACTAGAAGCCGGCGTGGCTCCGAAGAAAAAGACTGTTCGGTTCGATGACAATGCTGCAGGGAAGTCTGCAAAGTGTCCTCCCAGTGTTCCGGCCTCCCAGGTCCCGGCATCAATTGTCAAGCCGGCGTCGGATCTGTCTGTGGTGCTGAAAGGAGGTGTGAAGGCATCTCTGGCATCTCCAGGAAGCCGGGCTATGCAGTACAGCTATAAGATGCCAGTGAAAGACAAGGTGAATGTGCAGGATATATTTGAGCACATCCAAAATGAAGTCCACATCTCGCTAATGCATCGGGAACTGATGGCATTGTGCCCGAAGATCTGCAAGCTTGAAAAGGAGGAGATTACTGCGAAGCGAGTAGTGACGATGGGAAGCTTCGAGGCTGCGGATGGCGAGGAGGTTGCAGAGGCTCTCTTAGTGGATGTGAGCAATGGCAGCAGACCACTCGTGGTGGCCGATGATTCTCTTCCATTGCGAGCAATTGACGCCCTGATTGAAGGCAAGGAATCGGTGAAATGTATCCTTGAGCAAGGCTCACAGATCATCACAATGCGACGGGACATCTGGAAATACATCGGGTCAGTGCTGCAGTCTGAGAAAACACTCAACATGGAATCGGCTAACATGGGTATCAACCAGATGCTCAGACACCTCGCTAACATTCAGTTCGGGTTTGGTGAGATGGATCTGTATCTTCCGGCCCATGTTCTAAATGATGCTCCATTCGAGGTACTCTTGGGCCGGCCGTTCTTTACCTTGACAGCATGCAAGACGCTCGATTTCACCAATGGCAAACAACACATTACTCTGCGTGACCCTAACATGCGTCAAGTAGTCACACTTCCCACTCACGAGCATCGCCCGAGGCCACGGCCGATGCCACCTCCAGGAATGGGTTTTTAAGACTCGAGGAGTCGGGCTTGATCTGAGGAGGGTCCACAATGAACAGGCACCAGCGTGCTAGCGATACCCTTAAAATGACAGGACACATCGGGGAGTGGTTCCTTGTGGATGGTAGAGTTCTCCATGTGTCAGAATTAGCGTCTTTGGTTTCCTCTCTCTCTTCTTCTAGGGCTTCGGTTCCCTCTCTCTCTTCCTCTATGGCTCCAATTTCCTCTCTCTCTTCCTCTGCAGCTTCAGTTTCCTCTCTCTCTTCCTCTCAAGAATTATTTCCTCGCATCGTCTCATTGCAAATCGAAGAGCCCCACATTCTTTATACCCTTTCCTCATCTTTTTGTGATATTGGAATGGTCAGCAGTGTGACTGCACCTGCAGTGGCCCCTGGTGCATTCCAGATAGAGCACAAGGCCGTAGTCCATGGTTATGGATATAAAAAGGTTGACAAGCATGTCAAGTCTGTTCCAGGAATACTGGCTGACGAGTTTCGGATCATGCAGTGCATTCCCCATAACCCCATGCAGAACCTCCCATCACTCCCCTTTCACTCACCGGACTTCATTAGTGGATCATGTTATATGGAGGAATGACAGCAAGACCTTAACATCAACAGGGATGGGTTTCTCTGGGAGGAGGAGGTGAAGCTGTTCAATCACATCCTCCTTCTCCATGAGCAAGCATTTGCTTGGGATGAATCCGAAAAAGGCAAATTTAGTGACAAATATTTCGAGCCAATTTGAATTCCCTATCAGCAGCATGTCCCTTGGGCATTGCGCAACATTCCTATTCCTCCGGGAATCCACGAGCAAGTCATTCAAGTCATTCATGATAAAATTGCATCAGCTGTATATGAGCTGTTGAACTCATCCTACCGATCACACTGGTTGTGTGTCCTGAAGAAGGACAGGAAGTCACTATGTTTGGTACATGATCTCCAGCCACTAAATGCTGTTGTGATTTGGGATTCGGCAGCACCGCTGCAGATCGAGGATATAGCGGAGGCATTTGGCGGATGCTTTTGCTATGCGAGCTTCGACCTGTTCATTGCGTTCGATCAAAGGACTCTTCATCTGGACTCTTGTGACCTCATGACCTTTCAGAGCTCGCTCGGAGTGCTTCGCCTGACCACCATTCTGATGGGATATACCAACTCAGTCCAGATCATGCATGGCGGTGTGACCTTCATCTTGCAAGAAGAGCTACCACATATCATGATTCCCGACATCGACAACGTCCCTGTAAAGAATGGGACAATATGATATGAGACATCTGATGGAGGATACGAAGTCATCTCTCAGAACTCCGGAATCTGTCGCTGCATCTGGGAGCATGCAGAAAATGTCAACCGTGTGATTCATTGTCTGGAGATGGCTGGTGCGACACTGTCAGGAAAGAAATGCAACATCTGTGGACTGGAACTTGAATACCTTGACGGGTTGTACAACTATGAAGGTCGGTGGCCTTTGCCATCTCGCATACAGAAGATCGTCGATTGGCCAGCATGTACCACTGTCACAGAGGTTCGCGGATTTCTAGAGACTTGCGGTCTCGTTCAGGTCCATCTTTGTCAGTTATAAAGGATAATCTTTAGTGCTAATAAGCACAAAAAAAGGATTAACTTCCTGCTAATTAGGCAGGCCCTTCTGGGGAGGGTTTATCTACGGATAATCCCTCTCACTGAGAAGAGTGTATCAACCATAGATCATGCAGGATTATCCTCAGATCATCCACTTCTTATCCCAAGATAATCCCCTGAGTGATTGTGTAATCCCTTGAGATCATTCAGGATTATCTTCACTTATCTCTCAGAGTTATCACACAATAGAGATCATCCATATATAAAGTATGGATTATCCATCATATTAAGCAACATAAAGGAGGGTGAATCTAAAGGATCAACTGAGGATTAACTAGGGATAATCCTAGCATGAAGATCAAAACAGAGACAAAATGTGAGTAAAGGTACAAAGAATTAGACAAGGATATCACAGTAATAAGGATTCATGAAGGATCAAGGAGAGATTAATAAAAGATAATAGTGACAGACATAGGGATTAAGGAACAGTTGAGATCAGCATAGGGATTAAGGAAACATAGGGATCAGCATAGGGATCAAGGAAACATAGGGATTAACATAGGGATCAATGCATAGGTATCAGAAACAGATCAAGAGGAAAATCAAGTATAACAGAAACATAGCCACAAAAAGGAAGGTGGTTTGTGATAGAAGACTGATTACATGAGCCAAGCAAACATGTAAACAAAATTTACTTGCAGGTGCGAAGAGACTTCCGTGGTTGAGCAGTAGCGCAGGTGCACCGCTTCTCCACGACACTGACCGCGACACTGTAGAATAGTGAGCTCACTTGCAAGGGAAGTAATGATAAAATACAACATACCACACTTTTTGTTAACCGCCCGTCCCATAGCCTTGGTGTTCGACGTAGATGTAGATGCACTGTGGAATATATGTTGCTATCAATCAAGAGGTGTTCAGCTAAAGAGACAACATACTGCGGGCCTTGTTTCCATTTTCTACCCCTCATCACCTTCACCACCTCTTTAATGCTTCCGCCATCCTCCTTGTCATCGTCCTCTCCTTCCGCATCTGCATCGCTCTCATCATCGCGTTTGCGCACACTGTCTGCGCACTGCTCGTCAACCGCATCCTCACAGTCTGCGACGACCTTGTCACCCTCACGCCTGACCTCCACACCGACAGCATCACCCACAGCGGCAACCTCTTTCCCCTTGTTGACCAGCCCATTCAGTCATGTTTGTGAACTGGACTCCCATTTACCCTGACATTGTCATGAACTGGACAGCCAGCGGATGTCGGCCCATCGGTCTGTGTAAGGAGCTGTCAGCGATCGGCTCATGGCGATGAAGGGAATGCTGAAGCGATGGGCCCACTGCCATAGGAGTATTTCTGAGCGATCGGCCCACCACCATGATGCTACTATTATACAGGCATGGGCCCACCGCCGCGGTGATAGTTCTGAGCGATGGGCCCACCACCATGATGCTACTAGCCCACCGCCATAGGTAGTGTTCTGAGCGATCGGCCCCTCGCCATGGGGCTATTACACAGCCATTGGCCCACCGCCATAGGTAGTGTTCTGAGCGATCGGCCCACCGCCACTAGGGCTATTATACAGCCATTGGCCCACCGCCATAGGTAGTGTTCTGAGCGGTGGGCCGACCGCCATAGGTAGTGTTCTGAGCGATCGGCCCACCACCATAGGTAGTGTTCTGAGCGGTGGGCCGACCGCCATAGGTAGTGTTCTGAGCGATCGGCCCACCACCATAGGTAGTGTTCTGAGCGATGGGCCGACCTCCATAGGTAGTGTTCTGAGCGATCGGCCCACCGCCATAGGTAGTGTTCTGAGCGATCGGCCCATCACCACGGGGCTATTATACAGCCATCGGCCCACCGCCATAGGTATATTTCTGAGCCCATAAGCATGGGTCGCCTGAAATATCTGACTAGCCTGGGCATAGCTGAGTTATTTGCCTTGCCCTAGGTTGTCAACTGGGCTCGTATCGTGTCCGTGTCGTCTTGGTGAAGCATGGGTGGGTGAAGGAACATACCGGATGATTCATCAGGGAGTAGCATAGGTGGATGTATGAAACATGGAGATTGGTCGGGGGGAAGCATGGGCGGATGTATGAAACGTGGAGATTGGTCAGGGGGAAGCATGGGCGGATGCCACACCTGGTTGCCCGAGCCAAGAAGTAGACCATACGAAGTGAACGGATTGTACCCGAAGTCAACCGAAGAGCACGAAGTAGACGAGGATGCGGACATGTGCAAATCAGCGTACGAGCCGAAGGACACCACAGAAGAAGGGGGCTCCGACGCTGAGTCATTGCTCATGCGGCACCTCTTGCTCAGACCTATCGGCCCACCACCATAGGTGTAGTTCTCAGTGATCAGTCAACCGCCATGGGCATATTTTTCAGTGATTGATCCACCGCCTAACAGGGCAATGATGGAGCTACCGCCGGCCAATAATTTCCACGTAATCCACCCATCATTCCCTCCAATTCTGGTTAGCTCACTATCAGCTCTCCTTGCAGTATCACACTCTCTCCCACTGTGGGAAGGGTTGGTGAACTGTGGCGAATATCCTTTGCCATCTGAACATGGAGTTCAAAATGACTTCGCCAAACTCTCCCAATTGGCATCGGCATTTCGAGACATGCATCAGATACAATTTGGGATGTGCCCTTCTGGGTAGAGTATGTGGAGACGAATGGCGGTCCTTTCCACTGTGAGTAGGGTTGGCGAACTGTGGTGGATATCACTCGCCATCTGAACATGCAGTCCAAAATGACTTCGCCAAACTCTCCCATGTGGCATTGGCTTTCGAGCCATGCATCAGATACCATTGGGGATGTGCCCTCCTGAGGAGAGTATGTGGCTACTATGTTTCGCCTTACCACACCAGGTACATTGCCCAGGTTCAAAGACATGACAACCTTATATTCGATGCACTACAGCACGAACGGACGCCTGGCATTGGGCGATTACATTCCTAACTCACGCAGCTGCCGCGTCGCCTCCTGCAGCTCTTCCAGCACCACATCCAGGTTCTGATCTGTCCTCTCGTGCAACCAACTAGTGAGGTTCGCGACGCGAACATGCAGCTGTTCAAGCTGCACCAGTGTAGACTCGGAGACGGTGTACACCTTCTCCTATGTTCTCGAGGTTCAGCAAGACTGTAAGGTGCTGGAATGTACCACTCACCCAGGGATCACCAAGTTTGTACCACCAGGCCTCCATAGGGCTCCCCGCTGGCCCAACCTGACGATCCCATTTCTACCAGTAGTCGGGTGAATCCTCGAGTAGGTTCTTAGGATGAGGAACGAGGGTGGTGGGGCGTGGAATCGCCTTGATGTCAATGCTGATGGGGTGCAGAACTTCGCGATTGAAAGTGCAGACGGTGAGGACACTGGCGATAACTCCGCCATGGTCAATATGGTCAGCATGACCCGCCAACGCGAGGTCGTCACAGATACCCCTGACGGCAAACTGCACAGGACTCAGCAGGGTCAGGTGATATCAGCAAGAAAGGCGTACCATCTCCCGGCGCAAGCCTTCCTCCCAACGGACCTTGGTGAAGTGATCTGGGTCAGGCTCCAGTGCCAGAACAGCTTCTTGGATCCTCCAAGTGTAGACTTCCAACTGCAACCTCCCTCTGGAGAACAGGCAGGGGCGCGCATCTGATGTTGAAGACTGGGCAGACATGATGGTGAGTGGATGAGCTGAGGTTGATATCTGATCGACCTTATCTGATGTCTGATGTCATGCGATTGGAGAGCACATGCCGAGATGAAGCCCTCAGGCGAGGATGGAGGTCACTTCGCCAAATGTGATATTGGTGAGTAGGAATTACATACATGACGATCACTACATCGATATAGCAAACATGAATATGTGTACACCCCAGTGAACCCTGACTCAAAGCACATTTTCATCGCCCGCCCTTTCGTCCTCAATGTCCAGGGCGAGGATGTGGCTGAAGGCGTCAGTGGCGTGGCTGGCGAAGGTCCGCCACATACTCACTTGCCTGGCGGCATAGCAAACATGACCCCGCCAGGAAGGATCCATCATCTCGAGCCAGTGAGCCCATCGTTCCATATTCCGCTTGAAGGTGGCTATGGTTCAGGCCATTTCAGAGTGGACCAAGACACGCTCCTCCCTCCATCTCTCATATTGAGCTCTGGCACGCAGCCAATTGACTCTATAGACTGGAGGGTAAATTAGCAGGAGGCCTAGAGATCGATCGGACAATGACGAACACTCGTCCATCCATTCTGATGAACCTCGATCTTCAGTGACATCCACGGTCCAGAACCAAGCCAGGTTGATGTTCCTGAGCTCAAAGGTGCTAGCCTCAATGACGGCAGTCTTCACATGCAGATCCTTCTTATCCAAAGGGCGATAGAGGGCCAAGTCTTCATCGGTGGTGTCCAAGCGCATAATGGCGCGTCGGTTGGCAGAATAGAGCCTGGCGCAGGCCAAGACGGTCTGATCAGCAGCATGAACCTTCGCCTGTGCACGGGTCATGGTTCCGATGCTGTTGGTGGGACGAACCCTCTTGCGGTAGAGGTAAGACTTCAGTCCAAGCGCCATGTGAAGCTCGTGGAGGATGTCATTCATCAGGCCTTTGCGCAACTCCAACTCTTGGGCCGCCAGGGTCTGGAGCCCGTTGGCGACGGCGGCCACGAATCCTATCTGCGAAGGTAAATTCAAGGAAGCTCGCTCAGGAGGAATCGCATCCTCGCCATACTCAGCGTCCTCCGGGTGTATTTGAAAAGGATTCTCATCCAAGGAATCCCAGAGCGCACCATCGTCACGATCTTCCATGGCGGGAACGTCCTCCAACCTTCCCATGAACTTCTCAGAGCGACGTTGGAATGTGAGAATGCTGACTTCGAGGCGCTGACAGCGCTCGAGAGTCTTGAGGTCCTCCGCCACACTCGGATTTTGACCCGCCTTGCGGATATCATTCGCAAGCTTAAGCCTGAAGGCCGTCAGAGCTGTATTTTTGTTAAGATGAGGCAAACTCACTGTGCTTCTTGAATTTTGAGGCCAGTCGACAACCATCCGGCGGTGCCCTTCTCCAAGCCCTTGGCGGACTCCTCGCCCGCCAGTCTGAGTTGGGTGAGGTCTTTACCCGGGGCTTGCATTCATGTCAACTACATGCCACACGATGATGGAAGGATACTCACCCTTCATGAGCTGGACATTGAAGGTGTCCATGATCTTCGGATCATTTTGGCGAGCCTCCATAGCGTCGTCGTACTCCTTCTGCCATGCCTCAAGGACATCCTCATCTGTGGATGCAGATAAAGCTTCAAAGGACTCCTTGCTTCGTGGGAAGCCCAGGAGCATGCGTTTCCACTTTGTCATCAAGGTTGGCACTATAGGCAGCATAAGGCAGGTGGCAAATAGGGAAGGAGGAACCAGGCTCACCCATGCGAGTCGTCTTCTTCCAGTTGGAGTCATTCATGTGATCGTCAAGGACTTCTTGGCGGTGAGCTCGGGTCATGCCCCTGGTACTGCCTGAGACCTCATTTGTCGGCGCCCACAGGGTCTCGATGACCTTGCCATCGACCATACCAGCGCCAACTATAAAGTTGGGCGAGAACTGTTGGAAGCAGCAATCTTGGTGTCCGTGCACATGAAACAAGCCGATGCCTTGGTCTATGTTGAGCTCGAAGGGCATCCTCAGATAGGCGCTGTGGCGGAAAAATTTGCGGACATGGACGCCATACTGGCACATGATGTCGTACATGATGAGGACGAGGGTGATACCGGTGAGGGTCAGGAGCGCATTGCTGAGAGAGTAATCCATATTCATTTGTCTGCAGAGGGTGCATCGGTGAGAATGAATCATGACAAGAGACATATGCGAACCTTTCTCCCTTCTGGAAATCGACGACAGTATGAGGGACGAAGAAACCATGTCTGGCGCAAGCAGTGGCCCCGATTCCTGTGGCGTCGAGGTTGGCGCGATCCACATTGGCCTGATTGACAGTGCGGTGCTCATGACAAGTGGAGCGCTGGTGAGCTTAGGAGTCAAGGGCAGAAGAAGAACGTGCAGCCAGACACGCACCTGATGCGACTCCATGGCCACCGTCAGATGAGCCTTGTAATCCTCTTGGCCAACCATGAATGCCTGGCCGTCACTGAGGGCGACGTCCTCCTCGGGGTGCTTCATCTTCATGTGCTCTGCACTGAAATTTCCATCCATGACAAAGCCGCGTTTGAACTTCCACTGCACTGGATCCGCTTGCCAATCGAAAGGCAGGTTGAGCCCAGGCTGGGGACAGGCGGGACAAAAGATGGCGAGGCCACCCTTCTCCACAGGATGGAGGGCATCGTGTGAGAAGCCGTGCCACTTGCGATATTTGAGTTGGCGCCATTGGCGGGACACCCGCATCAGCTCACGATAACGGTCCTGGCGAGGAACTGGCATGAACAGTTGGGCCATGGGAATGCATGTGAACACTTATGGGAACGGTGCCAGGGAAGGTATTGCTCGTGACCCATTTGAGCTTGCTGTAGTAGTTCAATGCCGCTGTCTTGCACTCCTTGTTCTCCAGAAGGAAATCGTTGAGGACGGCGAATGTGAAGGTGGTATGGGGATCCTTGACGGTACCAGGGTAAAGTCCCATTTGAAGAAGCTGCATGTCACGCTCCACCGCCATCTCACACTGGCACCAGTCAACGCCGATATGGTGAATGCCAGAGATGTCGACAATGACTATGATCTGATTCCCGTAACTATCACGGCGAGGTGGCCAGGAGAGCACCGGTGGCACATCTTCCTCCCAAGTGGGATCGGGAGCATCGTCGGTTTGCCTTGCTTCACCGTCAAGGGTGCCTGCCAGAGGTGCAAAGTTGAATGGGACCTCGCCATCATCTGAGACCTCGCCATCATGTGCATTTAGGTCTTCATTGGAGGCATTCCAGAAATTGGACCCCGGGGCCACCACTGGCGCAGGGTTGTTATGTGCTGTGAAGGCGCCCAGAGGGCAGGGATCTCCGCCATGCCCCAAATGGATGCAGATGCCAACCCGATACAGTGATGCCGGCTCAAAATACTGACCCTGCCAATGCTCTATCCGATGGAAAGGAGCACGCTGATGGCCATTACGACAGCAGTCGGTACAGGTGAGCGGTCTGCCCATACAGTCCAGGCATCGCCACCGTCCCTCGCCAACCTTGCATTCCGCACAGTTTCTGGGCTCAGGCGGGGCTTCCATCTCGACAATGGCATGAAGATAGTCATCACGGTGGGGTATCCAGTCCCTCATGAAGTCATTCTGAGTCTATCGCACATGGTCAGACCGTCAGATGGTCATGGCGGGAGTGCCCACCTTTGTCTTCCAAGCCGCCGGATCCAGCTGAATCGGTACACCTATGTTGCCCAGGATGTCGCCATCATCCAAGTTAAACAAGGAGCCTGAAGCTGGAGCCTTCGATGGACTTTTGGAAGGTGATGGCACGTTTGAACCTGTGGGCATGGGCAAAGGTACGTCCACATAGCGTACTCCCCTAGTGGTCTGCTTAGCTACCTTGGTCACAAACTCAACCTTGTCATCCAGGTCTACAACGAGCCTGCTTTTGTTGCATCTGCTCATGGTTCAGGTCAGTGGGGAGTCGTATTCCAAGCCAATCGATGAGCATTGTGTCCCTATCGCACAACACGTGCAAATCACACACGGTCTTGCTGCCCACCAGACTACTCATCAAGGTGGTTAAGAATGGCTGCAATGCCTGGGCCTTATCACCTCATGGTCTCTTTAGGCACCATATCAGCGTTATGCAGATAAGGATGCCATGTTGGCGAGAGGTCCGCCAATTGTATGTCGCTCTCAGTGCTAACTTTGCCTTGACTCGGAGTAGCATAATGTTCAAAAGGGAAATGTGCACTTGCACCGCGCGCTCGCCAACACTGCTGCCATCTGCCCCACTAGCACTCACAACTTCTCGACCGAACACATTTCGCCACCATCTCCTCCGCCAACTTCGAGGTCCGCCAACCATACGCTGCCATCAGTGATAACTACACCTTGAGCTGAACACTGTCGAGATGTGAAATGCGCACTCGTACCACGCGCTCGCCAACCTTCAGCTAGGATTCGGAAATTTGTGACTCCATACATTTCGCCATCACCTCCGCCAACTTTGTCCCGCCAATGAAGCTGCCATCGACAGTCTCCATCCCCTGCATAGTGTTCTCGTCTCCATCAGTCTTTGGCATGATGTCCCTCTAATAAGCAAGCCAGTTAGGACCTGTTCTGAGTTAGGAATGCAGACTCGGTGATGAACTGTGCACATGCCAATGTGTGAGGCGTAATATGAAGCTTGCATCCAGTGGGGCGCCGGAATGCCTAGCCTGTTCTGGACACCCTCTCACATGAAGTATGCATAGACGAGCCTTTCGCCATCTGCTCGAGTGATGCCATGACGAATCGCCTTTCCACAGAAGGCTACGACAGTTCCAGGACTATAATTGATGGCGACACGCATGGCAGGGAACTTCAACCATGCGCAAGTGTAGTTGCCCAACGTCGCCAACAGGTCGTAGAACGTGTATCTTGTCTTGCTATCTCGGTAGAAAGGAGTTTCCCGGTTGGCGATCACCTGGAGTGCATTGAATGGTGACGACCAGTTCAGCACCATCTCTCGCAATTCTGGGTCTTGCTGGATCAAACCCAAGCACTGGCATCCTGCGGCATATAGTGTTGGGTGAACGACGGCCAGGATGGCGCCCAGCAATGCGGAGGAGTCATGAATATCACGCAGCCAACTTCTTCTGCCCTCAAGCTTCAGGCTGGCGGAGGTCTCCAGCCTCCCAGACTCCATATGCTGCAAAGGCTGTCCAGACGCAAGGCAAATGGCGTGGCGAGGAGACCCACCTCTCTTACTTGTTGGAACCAACCTGGTGAGAGACACAAGGAGCCCGCTGGGAATTGGGCACACTCCTTAGGAGGCAAGAAGTACAACGAGTTGTGTCGCCAACTGGCGGTGGTGCTGGAAGGCTTACTGGCTGCTATTGCTGGGTGTAGGGCCCTGGTCGCTTGGAGCATCTTCATCTGACAAATTTGTCAGATCACAGTGCAAGGCTGGGCAAGCCACTCACCTGGCGGTCTAGTATCAACACTCTTGGAAGTATCCAAGCCAAGATGCGTCCGTGCATGTCCACGAGGGTGGCGGGCTGGTCTATGCATATTTCGCTCTCACCAAATGGAGGAGGCCACTTCCGTTCCAGTTCTGCCTCGAGGACTTCATTCTGCCCCGTGGGCTGAATCGAAAGGCTGTCGCAATATCTATCAATGTCCCACTGCAGCCTTACTATTACAATGGCGTGATCAGTGTGATCAGACCTGCGGCAAGACTAATGACTACCAGGATTACGGATGGCCTTCACAAGAGCATCTGCAATGCCATTGCACTCCAATAGGAGGGCGGATGGCATGGACGGAGGCACTTCTATAGATGGCGCAGAATGGGCTGCATGAGTGGCCAGATGGAGCTTTCGGCAGAACATGAGCTCCAAGACTCCTGCTATCTGATCGGTCAGTGGCATGGGTGGCAGATTGCTCATCTTGATACTGTCTGCCAATCAATGGGACGATTACAGCATGCATCGGTTGAAGGAACGCACAGGTGTATGGCAGGCTCAGGCGGTTGGCTTGCAGATGCAGGGGAGAATGTAGGAGGGGCCAGAATGACAAAGAACAGTATGCATTCATCTGCCTGCATATTGCTTGCAAGCACGTCCCTTGCACATCTCACATGTTCATCATGCCGCCGAGCCGGACTTAATGCCGCCATGCCAGATCACGGGCCGGGTGGTCCGCCATGTCTGGGCCCTTCGTCACCGCCATCTAATTGGCCGAGCCTAACTCCGAGGAAGCCCTTTATCCCACAGATTGGCATGCAGATGATCGCCAGATTGCCTCCACCCAGCATTCGCGAGATGAAGTTGGCGTGGTGTGCTCTGCCATAGAAGCGGCGTTCAACATTGCCTTTCACCAGGCATGAATGCTAGTGCATACCTACTATCACCTCCCGCCACTGCGAAAAATACACATACAATGCTTCAGCAGTCACCACACACCATGGCGATGAGGGTAATTGGTGTAAGCCCAAATGGGCCATCAGCACGTGCATGTTGAGTTGTGGGCGGCTGACAATGAAATAGACAGAGCGCTGCCTGTTGAACTATCGACCCCCTTCACTGCCCCAACACAAAAATCTCATCCTCGACATTGAGAAAGCATGCCGGCGAGATTTGTGATTTTGACAGAGCATCAGCCCATACTCTCTGAGAAGCTGCGGTCTTATGACACGGCAGATGCCAAGGGTTGCAAGACTCTGGTTCAGAGCTTGCTCCAGAAGCTGAAGACACAGTTTGTCGACGTGTCAAATTATGATGACATCATTGTGGAAACTGTGAGCAGTGTTTCATGTCTGTGAGGTCCCCACTAACTCTCATCACAGAAAATCCGAGAGTGGCTCAATAACCACGACCGCCATGTGCAGGAGAAAGCGACGAAAAAGCGTATGCATGTTTCTGGCAAGCCCAATGTCTTCAAGGTGTGGGATGCACTGGAGAGGGACAAGGTGACTGAGGCAGTGAGAGCACTTGCGGCAGAAAAGGGTTGCAATGTCTCCAAGGTGTGGAGAGTCGCACGGAGTGCTGAATGGGCAAAACTGTCCGAGGAGGAGCAGAAGGTGTATGAGGAAAAGGCAGAGAGTTGGCGCAATGGCACTCTAGATGATAAGACAAAAATGAAGTGCGTACCTCCTGTCACGTAGCATAAGGCAAATCCTGACCTAAGACAGGCTGAGGGAGCAGCGAATGATGCAATATCTGAAGAAGTTTGCCAAGACTATGTGGGACACCATGGGCATTTGCATGGCATTCATGCTAGCATATCCGAAGGAAGCGGGGAGTCTGAAGGTAGAGATGTGAGCGTAGACCGTCCGACTGTCGCCATCTGCTAACCCCCGAGTGAAGGGTGGAGGTTAACCATGCCATCACCAATGGAACTCCATTCGGGGTCTATCCTGGGTGGCTGCGTGCTTACCAGCCTCTAGCAAAGGTGTTCTCTGAGTGGGCCAAAGGCGAATACGGTAAGAAGACCTCAGTTGCATTGTCGCTGGCACACTGACCTGATTCCTTAGGTGTGACTGAGACTACAGTGACGGTGAAGAAGACACCTGCTGATTGCATGCGGGCCATGGACAAGATTCGGTTGACGGCCAACGGTTTTCCTCTGCTCCCGTCGGTGCCCGAAGGTATGGCGGAAGCGCCTCTCAAGGTGATGAAGGTACAAGTTCGAGACTTCATGAATCATCACTACGGTATGACACTCCCACTCGGTGTTGAGAGATGCTGACCAGTTTACAGCATTGGTGAAGGGTGTTCGGAACTGCAAGTCGCCTTGGACGAAGCTGAACAGCATAGACGACATCAATGAGGTTATTCCAGCGGAGATGCTACCTGAGAACTTCCAGTGGATCGATCCCTCAAAGTTGACAAGTGTTCCCGTTTGTGCCCTCCTCGACCACTGGCGGGCATGCCAAGAGGAACATGGACCTGAGCAGACCATGCGATTCACCCAGTACTTCGACAAGGATGGCGAAGCTGCTCCCGCCAAGTATGATCCTCTTCCACCACTTGACGGATCAGCACAGGCATTAGAAGAAGGATCTGAACATGAGGTCCAAGAAGCACTCACACCTAAGAAGGCGGGGAAGGCGAAGAAGAAGGGTAAACCTGTGCGCAAGGTCACGGGAAAGGCGGCATTGAAGGCGACAAAGGGCAAAGCGGCCCCTGGCAGAGCCAAAGGCGGTGGGCGTAAACGCAAGACAAAAGATGCATACGACTCGGAAGATGATGCCAGAAGCAGCCAAGACTCTGATCAGAGTTCGCCAGATATACCCAGCATGGCTTCCGAAGAAGATACGGCCAGCGATGAAGATTCAGGGGATGGCGAGAGCGTGATTGCAAATAAAGCGAAGGGCAAGGCAGTCGCCACCACCAATGGACGTAAGGCTAACAATGGTGGTGCACCTCAAGTGAGTGGTAGCGGCGGTGCCAAGATGAAGGCAAAGCGAGGTCTCCAAGACCTTCCTCTGGGCGAACTGCACAGATTTGACACAGAGGAGACCGATGAAGCATGGAGTGAACTGGAGCCCAGTACAAAGGAGCTCAGGCTTATGCTTCAAGGCCGAGCCCCGCGTCTCACTGGCGGGAGTACTGTGGGGAGTACTGTGCCCCACCTCATCAAAAGGAGAGACGTGTTTCTCGCCACCCTTTCCGTCAAAACGCGATACCAGGATATGCTGAAGCAAGTCAAGATTGCGACTGTGGTGAGCTCCTTTCGTGGGGATTCATAGCCACTATTGATCATCCGTCATATAGCCCCAGGTGTATCGTTTCGCCAGGTATGATCCGATTCCCTGGAGCGAATGGTCGTATGGCCAGTGCTACCTCCCGCCGTCATGAAGACAGCTCTGGCGAAGACAATCTGCCACCTTGGAAGCGTGGACATGGTACTTGGGACGAGTTGGTAGTGGCCTAAGAATGTGAGGGCTGAGGACTCGGATGATGGTGACAAGCCTCCCACAAAGTGAAGACGAGCTCTGCCTCAGACCCCGGAGGTCAAGGACAAGGGAGAAACCAAGCTGAAGCCGGTGCATCTGGGGAAAGCAGCCGCCAAAGTGAAAGAGAGTGGCCAAGTTGGCACAGGTCGCAAGACCCGCAGTGGCGGCACCAGACCTTGACAATATAACTCCAGTTCAAAGTAGACTCGTAGGCTTCCACATTGTTTAATGTGACCCATAGATCTACATAGGTAAAGCCATGGAGATGGTGGCAATGGCGAGGGGAGTTGGCGAGAACTTCAGCAGGCATTCAGTTGACTTGGAGTGGCAGTGGTGAATCGAGTGCATGGAGATTCCATGCTAGGTTAAAACGCATGTATATCAATACTCTAATGACTACACATTGTGTCTATCTGGGCGAAAGGCAGTGAAGACCATGGCGGAGTCGACCTTCTCTCGGAATGCGTCCAGAGACTTCGCCACCAGTGAGGTTTCCTCTCTCGCCGTCGCCACCTCCTTCCCCACCTTCTTCGCTTCATCCAAAGCGGACATCGCCACCGCCATCGAATCCTCTTTGGCGAGTGCCAATTCCATCTCCAGCTTGCTCGCTTGAGCGATCGCCTCTGCTGCCGAAGACCTGAGCTCCTTCTCCATGCTGTCTGACCGCGCTGCCTGGAGCTCCATCAAATGACGGAGGTCAGCCAATTCGCCCTGCAGCTTGTCGACGTCCGCTTGGCTCACCGTCTGGTTCGCGCCTTGCTCCAACCTGTTGACCTTCTCCTTGAGCTCTGGCAGGCAATGTCGCTTGGCGACGAGGTCCGCCACCGCCAACTTCACGCTCTCCTGAAGCTCGATGGTGACCGGCCTGCAAAACTCCTCCATTGCCAACTTGACCTCTTCGCGAATGCTCCGGGCATTTTCTTGAAATGCGGATGGCGGGTTGATTTGCTGGAGCACCGCTGTGATCTCTGCCTTGACGGTGTTGAGGTCCGCCATCCTCTCCTGGAATTGGACTTCCATCCCATCCTTGTGCACCAGGAACTCCTGTCGCAACTCGGCACAATTCGCGCAGTCATCGTTGGATGACTGTGAGGTTTCTTCGCCACTGGGGGTGTCGCCTTCATTCACCGGAGCGGCACTTCCTGTAGACACTCGTTGGACGTCGCACAAGTGGGGTGCTGTATCCCTGGTCAGCGCTGCATGGATTCGAAGCTGTGGCGGGCGCACTTACCCTTGCTGGTCAGAGGCACTGCTCTGAGGCGGTTCACCTTCGCATCCCTTTTCACCTCCGCCTCCTTCTTCGCTGCCTTGCGGTCCAGTGGGGTGCCCCTCTTAGCTGGCCTTCACCCTTCATCGAGATGTCCTGCCTTCGCCAATGTGGAGGACTTTGCTCCCTTCGACGCCTTGGATATCTCCAGGGAGGGCGTCACCTCCTGTGCCACCTCGGCAGCTCCTGCGCTCGTCTCGTGGGGCATCAGCAGCGAACGCCGCCGATTGCCGTGTGGCCGCTCCAAGGACGCGTGCTGTTTCATGGTTACATTGACTCCAGCTGCGACAAGATGTCCTGCTTACCTCATCCTCTGCCACCTCTGCCTGATACTCTGGCGCATCCTCTGGTTCGTCGGCGACTGGTGTCAGCATGCGCTTGCTGCTGCTAGCTTGCGGCGGAGCAGCTGGCCCTGTTTGGAAGGCCATAGCCCGCACCGCCTCCATTGCCAGCCTGGCGGCTTCCTCCATGCCATCACCTTTCGCCAGAGGCATCTTGGCTGCTGCCTTGGGAGCACTCGCCTTCACCTTCCTGGTGATCACGGGCACCATTGGGCCCGAGCAACCTCCCATCGCCACCCTTGTCATCTGCCCGCCCTCCTTCGCAACAGACTTGGCAGGCGGGACCTCATCCGGCTCACGTACTGAGGTCCTGGTGACCTCGCCACCATCTTGCGCACCTGAGTTTTGGCTCCCCCATCCTTCAGGTTACACTCTGGGCGATCAGCCCACTGCTCATTCGTCATACTCTGGTGATGGGCCGATTGCTCAGACAAACATGCTCTGGCCATGGCCAATACTCTGACCTTTGGTGGTGGGCCCATCCGTCATCTCATTCGTCATACTCTGGCGGTGGGCCGATTGCTCAGACAAACATGCTCTGGCCATGGCCAACACTCTGACCTTTGGCGGTGGGCCCATCCGTCATCTTACACTCGTGACGATGGGCCCACTGCTCATTGATCATACTTTGGCAGTGGGCCCATCGATGGCGATAACATGCTCTGGCGTCGGCCCACCCTCTGACCTGTGGCGGTGGGCCCATTGCTTAACGGTTACAACACTGTAATATGCCCTGCTAGTGGGCCGAGCACTGGGAGAAGAACACTAGCGGTGGGCCCACTGCTAGTATCCCACACATGAAAGATATGGGCCCACTGCTGGTAAAGGTCAACATGGTGACAATGGGCCGACGTCCGCTGGCTGTCTAGTTCATGACAATGTCAGGGTAAATGGGAGTTCAGTTCAGGTAACATGACTGAAAGGTGTGTGTTGACTGTGTGCTCACCATGAGCGACCGCAGTCTGCACGGCACTATGCTTGAGAGCGCGCATCGAAATATTGTCCGGGTCCAACAGCTCGCCATCATCATCAACATGAGTCTACACCGTGATGTCACCATCAGCGTCACTATCACACTTATTGGCAGGACATGGGAGCTCACCGATGTGCTCACAACCACCCGCTTCCGTGAAGGTGTCTGGGCAATGACATCGTCATCATCCTCCTCCTCCTCCTCCTCCTCCTCCTCCTCCTCCTCCTTCTCCTTGTCAGTGGCATCACCATCACGAGCGATGACATCACTGTCAGGAGTGATGGCATTACCATCAGCAATGACAGCGTCACCGTCAGGAGCGATGGCCATCTCGTCGACACTTGGCCCTTCGAGGATGTTGCCGTTATCGAGTATTGTGCATCTTCGAATAGCAGCCAGGTCGACCACAAAGCGGAATGACCCGTCAGTGTCTTGCACGTCATACATTCAGAGGTATAGTGCCATGACCTGTGCAGGCTTCATCTTCACTGGGTCGCCTACAGATCCTCGCCAATCCGCAGCAACTAATTTGCATGCGATATCACCGAGTGCATCCCACGGGGGTTCAGGGAGATCCTCAACATCGGTGTGTGTGTAGACTGATGAAAGTAATTAGTACGAGAATGAATTTATAAACAAAATATGTACGCCATAACTCTTCCATGTATTCCTTCAAGGTCTTCCCTACATGCATCGGAGTCCAGTCTTCCTCCATCTGCAGGAGGACAGGCTTGCCAACGTCATCGCGTGCCCTGGGAGAATCACGGTTCATCACTGTTGATCGTATTGTAAGTATGAGAGTCCTGCGTGAAGCAACAAAACTTACTGAACGCTTGCACACCGTTCAGCAAAGAACAGCTAAGAACCCACCAGAATCTGGACCAACAGATTGGTGACGAGTGCCCAGATTTTGGACAAGCCTATTTCGGCTGATCGAGATCCCATACTGCAGATTCTGGAATAGGCCGATAGCCTCCTAGTACTAGAGGTTTTTCCCATAGGCCCATTGCGCACCATCGCTGAGTTCATTGACTGGGCCCATGAGATTCTGGGATGTCCCTGTTCTTCAACTGGGCCCACAGGCATAGCAATCTGCAGTGGTCTTTGACTGGGCCCATAAGCATGGGTCGCCTGAAATATCTGACTAGCCCGGGCATAGCTGAGTTATTTGCTGTGCCCTAGGTTGTCAACTGGGCTCGTAACTGTAGGGCTTAGCTCCAGGCTGCAGCATGGGTGTTGTGGATGGAATTTATGACTTGTTGGTGAGCAGTTTTCGTGATTTACACAACAATTGGAAGACGTTGGCTCTCCCGTGTCGGTTTTGCTGTGCGAAAAGTGTCACAACTGTGCTTGTTCAGCGAAGTATCTCATTCTTTATGAACACTGTGTTAGATATCTTTACAAGGTGGTGTCCGTTGAGAGCGCCCCCGGACGAGCAACTCCACTGTCAGTAGAGCGATTGAGGCTGAGGGCACAAAATATGAACAAAAAGCCTGTAAAGAATCCTTCAGACTCAGATTTATGCCGTTCAAATTGAGGTGCTAGGGTTTGGGCGACAAATGAAGCTGATAATACAGGGTAACTTGAGAGATTGCACTAGTCGACACAATTTGGTCCCTCATTCATGGGTGGCCGAGGTCGCAATATGGCGAGACCTTGATGGTGGTGTAATGGGGGGCGAGGCCTTATCACACCAAACCTCAGATACAGTGCACCAAGCTCTATTCTGGAGCGTTGTGCGTGTATCAAGGTCGTGGTGTGTTAAGTCTCTGACTTCAACACTCCGACGCGTGCTCGATACATGCAGAGTGCATACAAACAGTACACAACAATTACATAATACATGATGAGATTAGATAAGATTAGGGCACAAGTACCACTTGGTACTTGTGCCCTGCAATACAACAGCGGCACGTTACACCCTCCCCCACTGGACACGTTCCATGGGACCATAACACCGACTGCGCCATCGAATAGATGATGCAGGCGGCGACGCAAGGCAGTATGGTAGGGCGAGGCAAGGCGACGGGCGAAGGCAACAACAGACACGGCCAGAACACACAGGCAGGTTGTGGGCACATGGAGGGTACACATCACGTCCCCAGCCGTGGTGCACAGTGGCACGTCAATGGGGGGCATGCCAGCGTGAGCTAGTGGCCGCCCATGTCGTGGTCAGGGTCACCAGCCTCGGGGGTCACTCCAGGGTTGGGGCCCAGCTGACTGCTGCCAGCAGAGGCATTGCCAGCGCCGGGTGTGGGTGGTTCGGGGTCTGGCGGCTGCATCGCCACGTCCTCATCAATGAGTGATAACAACTCGTGGGTCGGGGGTACCGGCCGAGCGCGTCCGTGATGAAGGTCTGCCAGGAAGTGCCCCTCAAATGGGGTCACATCTTCGAGAATCCGTCCGAGGATGTAGTTGCAGTGTCGATGGTGGAACTCCTCGAGGAATCCAATCTGCATGGGATGGAATCCGCGGGCAGCGTACCATTGTGCGACATCGTATATGGACGAGTTTTGGGCGGACGAGCGGGGAAATGGGGCCGGCTCATTGTTGTTTGCCACGGGGTAATGCCTGACCTGTACGATCCACGTGTACAGTCTGGGGATGGAGAACAGCTCCGCAGTGTGCTCAATGAACACATTGTGGGCCGTCACTGGTACACCGAGTGGGATGATGGGGGCCATGCGATGTGCAAGCCACATCGCCTCCAGGTCCTGGTATAGTGGGGCCTCCGAGCGATCATTGTTCAAGTGCCTGATGACCCAGTGAACCTGTCTCGGGTTCTGTGCGTACCACGCCACCCACTCGTCGAATGTCGATGAGCTGGTGAGGTTGGTCATCCAGCAGGGAGGCGGAACCGTCAGCGGGTATATCACTCCGGAGCTGCCGTGATGTCGCCATGACATGAGCAGGTTCATCATGCCGTGGGATGCAGTTAAGTGTCCATCTTGCTGCATCTGCTGGATGAGGTCAGTTGCCCGGGTGCGCACGCCATCGTTGCCACTGTGGGCTGCATCGATGATGCACTGGGAGTCGCAGATGTACCAGGGTACAAAGTTGTACCACTCAGTCGCCTTCCATGGCTGCATGTCGACCGGGAGAGGGAACGTATTGGGCCAGTTGTGCGAGGCCAATGAGACATCGTTATCGGTGTCTGATGGCCGCGGCACTGTCTTCCCTTTGTCGTCACTCCTCGATGCTCCTTGCCTGGGCAAGTTCATCAGGCCGCAGTTCCTCTGGCACTGCTTGTTGAGCCGCTGGACCTCGGCGTCGTCAGGCTCATTGTCACCATCTGTTGTGGATGGCTCCGACTCTGACTCATTGTTGTCAAGGTGCTCATAGGCCCACTGCGCACACGACTTTACAGGGGCAGGAGCGGGACCAACTGGAGGTCACAGAACGTAGCCAGCCGGCGGTCCCGAGGTAGGACCGATCAGTGGTCCAGGGGCACCACTCCTTGGTGGTGGCCCTGGGGGCATGTGTCTCAGTGGCGGGGGCATTCCCGGAGTGTGGTGTGTGGCCGAGCTTGGCCTACTCACCACGGCGTAGGGCACGTACTGCTGTGCTTCCTCGGTCGAGTATCATGCCGGGGATCGACGTCGCAATCTGCTCGCATTCGACGGTGATGAGTACCGGCGTGAGCTGCTGTTTGTTAATAGGGGGGAATACCTTCGCTCTCTCAAGGGAGGTAGGTATTCCAGTGGAGATGGTTGTCTCCATGGAGCCCTGCTTGGTCGCCCGCGATAGTCCGGGGGTGATTGAGGTCGGGAACTTGACGCGATCTGCCTGAGGAGGCGTTCACGCTCCCTTAGTAGGTCGTCGACCTATCGTCGCTGTGTGGTTGCTTCTGTTTCTGCCGCACGGAGTTGCACTTGCAGCTCCATATTGCATTGCTGCATGGGAACATCACCACATCCTCCCCCTTCTGAGGCCGTGTAGGTCTGGAAGTGCTTCCAGAACAGGTGCTGCTCGGCATTGAGCACATCTGTGTGGGCTTCCTGGTAGGGGGCCATGTTGCGTGCCATCGCGATGTGTTGGAGGTAGCTGTAGCACACGGCGCACGCCTCCGTGTGGTATAGCATGAACTGGTGGGTCCCAAAGGAGACCCACCATTCCACCACTGTCGGGATCGGTGGTGGTGGCAGCATCACTGCTGCGTTCCCAGCACCCATTGGTGCTGTGGTTGTCGATGTAGTTGCGATCGCTGGGGCCGCCATCGATCGTATCGCGATCAGTGGCGGTGGTGGTTGCAGTATGGCCTGTGGCATCACCGTGGTTCCAAATTGGAGCTGCGGGGATGTCGACCTTGGTCGGCCTTGCTATTGCACTAGTAGGCAGCCCCAATGTATACAATATCCCCACAAAGAGCCAGCTTTATTGTGCATGCAGTGGTCAGTATTGTATTGTACATAAAGTAACCAGATTGTATACATTGTTGTACACAAAGTAACCAGATTGTGTACATAGAGTATATTACGGGTCACCGCTCCACCCTGGTGACCACGGTGGTGACCCTCCATAAAAGGAATTGAAGGGTCACCAGCCCTGTACACGCCGGTCGTCAGGACTCGGCTGTGTGGAACCCTACCCCTAAAGGCCCACAAGCACGCTTGGGTGAACCCGGCACGACAGCCAGCCAGGGCGCGCGTGGCGTGATGGGCGGCTTGTGGGTGCCTAGCCCGATGTTCGTCATCGTCACCTGCTGCCACCACCACCGTCACCCCACCGCTGTCGCCCCCGCACCCCCGCAGCGCTACCCTGGCCCGCGTGCATCTCTCACCAGCCGGCCCACCCTCAGGCAGTGAACGAACGAACAAACAAACACGTTCTGTGCCCGCGCTGGCCCTCGCGCCCCGCGCACCAGCCAGCAAGCCCTGCGCCTGAGCTCATCGCACTGACCGCATCGCAGTCACTCTTGCCCTGCGTGTTGCGGCCCCACCGCTGTCGTGCCCTCCCTGAACGCGAACGAGAAAACACGCGAAAAAAGCGGACATGCCGCCTCCGCCTCACTAGGCCTGTTGTCACAGCCCGCCCTGCTGCGCAGCCACTCTTCTTCTTCCTGTGTGTATCCTACTCGAAATTTTTACTTCCTTTCTTCACTTTTTTATTTTAAAGAATCTCCTTCTGCCCCACGCTTGAAGAGGATGAGGACGGAGCATAACTCGTTCACTCGCGGTCGCCTGCAATGCCGGCTGCTCGCCGCTGTAACATACACAAGAATCTAATACATTTTTTTTTCTCTCTGCCGTCCGTCCCGCACCAACCGTTCACGGCATGCCTCATGTCATTTCACGTCGCGACCCTTGCCCTGTCCCGCTCTGATCGTGCCCCACCACCCTCACATTTCTGATCGCGGCCTCTTCCCACCGCTACTGTGGGTCCACCACCATCCTCCCTGTAAAACAAAGGCCTAACCCCATCTTGCTTGTGCACTCCAACGACGCACATTTGCATCCGCGTGCCATCTCTGGTGAGTGTCCTTTCTTTTTTTTCGCAGTCCTCTCTGTCTGCCGCCATATATGCGGCCCCTTGGAGCGATCACACGATGTTCGAACGGGCCTGTTCGTGATGTGTCTGTGACGCTGAGGCCAGCCGCCCTCGCTCCGTGATTTCTGGTTTATACTCCGTGCTGACCCACACACTTTTTTTTCGGTCAGACCTCGTCACCACCAGCCATCCTTCTGTGGCAGTGGCACACCGAAGGTGTTTGCCAGTGGAACAGAGCAACGTGCGGCTCGATCTGTGGTGCCTGCCTTTGGCACAGCACCCTCCACGCGACATCTCGCTGCTCGTGCGGCCTCCCTCAGCTCATCTCGCCGTCCTCATCACCACCCGGGTCACACCATGGGCCGGTCGACACAGCAAGAACAATTTTGAATGGTCTCCTATGACTCGCCACTGCTGCCAATCTCGAAGAAGCGGCGGTGGGAAGATGATGCTGGCAATCTCGCCGGACAGCACTCCACTGATGATGGTGCCATTGCGGGCAGCAAGCTGGCGGCGGGTGGCCCCGTGCCCACCGTTGCTTCGACTTATGTGCACTACAAGCCACTGCAGGCCCCCGCACTCATGCCCGAGGTGTCGGGCCTGCTCACCATGCTCCCACTTTGAGCTACGGTCCGGCCTCAGCACGGGAGCCCACCTGGCAACCTCTGATGAACCCTCTGGCAGCTGTGGCAGCCACAGGCTCACTGCGGCACTCGCTCGCCCGGCTGGAGCTTGAGTCTCACGACACACGTGTCAAAAAGGTGCGGTTGGATCAAGATAACAACCAGACCAGTTCAAGCTATGACTGCCACGTGAAGAACTACATGACATACTGGGCGACGTTCCAGGCCGAGCGCTGCCAGCGCGCACTGGGGGAAGTGCCTGTTTCGGCATTCCCTGTCACCGCCCTCAAGGCCTCCTTCTTCCTGGAGTATGAGATGACGCGCGAAAAGGTACGGCAGCACTCCTCTGCACCATGCCATGCCACTGCTCTCCTGCTGACACACACCTTGTTACAGCGCCGCCAGGGCAAGAACGAGACCATCACGGGGTCGAACGTGGGCAAATCCCACATCTCGCAGGTCATCAATGCGCTCGAGAGCTGGCGTCACAACAATGCCTACCTGTACAAGGATGACCCCGATGCGCAGATGTCGTTGTGCACTGACATCTGCATCTGCACTGCAGAGTCATTGGCCAAGCACCAGGAGCCGAAATGCATAGAGAAGGCACAAGCCTTGAAGGCCATGGGGAGCTCTGGGGGTAAGTGTCGCACTCCCCCTGCCCTGCTGCTGCACAATTCGACTGATGCTCTCGCCTTCCAGACACTTACACACCCGACGAGCTGAAGAGGTGCTCGATTTGGTGCCTGATGGACGTGTCGGGTGTCAAGTCAATCTGGATCGGCCTGCGCGACCGTGCGATGCTCCTCCTTTCATCCACGATGGCTTTCCGTGGGGAAAGCTCATGCATCCTCAAGTGGTTGGACCTCTTTCTGTCGTCCATCCCCATAGATGATGTCCGCCTTGGGTACAGAGTCCCGGTGAGTGAAGAGGGTGTGGACGATGCCTCAGTGGCTCACGGTGTGCTTTGCAGGTGCTCGCCGCACTGGCAGACAATGCCAAGCATAATCAGCAGGGCCGCCTGGATGAGCATGAAGCCATCTGTCACCGTGAAGTCGAGCTGTGCCCAGTCGGGGCACTGGCATTTCTCTTCTTCGGGTTCTTCCATGTCCTTCACCTGCCACTCCCTAACCTGCTCCCGGACTTTGAGGACAATGCGTGCGGTGAGTACGGCCGCGGCGACTGGTATGGCTATCACGTCTTCTGGGGAAAACAACCTGCGGCAGCTATGTCATATGACAGTGAGTGCCCTGATCTCTTCTTCATTGTTACAGCACACCTAATCCAGTGCCCGTCTCCAGATCACTGCGACCGGCTGCGGGGTATTCACGAGGAGAACAACATCTCAATCATGAAGGTCACGCATGCCGGCAGGGCTTATGCTGCACAGACGGCGCGTGCGCATGATGCCACAGTCAGCGGGACGAAAGCGCTCGGCGGATGGAACGAAAATGGCTCCTTTTGTCAGTGCTACGAGCGGACCTTCCCTGTCAATGCCCTCCTCGGTGCTGCGATGTTCAATGGCTGCAAGCCTGAAATGTATTCACTCCCACGTGATGCTCTCGGTGAGTGGCCATGCTGCGTGCATGCCTCGGAGTGCTGACAAACCCACACGATTGACAGAGCCACCATCTGAACTCCTCGCACAAGTGTTCCTGTGGATTGAGCAAAAGCAGGCTGCCCTTGAGACATGCATTCAAGACAACCCATTGGCTCAGGACTATGCCCTTTGCCACTTCCTCCGGCTCATGCTGTGGTTGCACCGGGTGCTGCTGCAGGACACGGCGATCCTGTGCACGATGCAGCCCTCTGCCCCTGTGTTTGCATTTGCACCCTTCAACACTCCCACCTTTCATACCTTTGCCAGCCAGGCAATGCCCGCCATCTGGGAAGCCGAGGAGCAGGCCCGCGTGGCCTATCAGAATCTCCCCGAGCACCTGATACGCAGCCTGCGTGGTGCCACCACCAATGTGCTCATGGAGCAAAAGAGGCAGCATGAAGAGAGCAACAGGCAGATGTCTGACATGTCGGAGTGGATCCTCAAGATGGAGGGCATGATCGGCACGCTCCTGAACTCCAGGTCCACTCGAAGGTCCAAGATAAGTATGCGCCAGTTTTCCGTCATCACACGTGCAGTGCTGACAACAACGTGATTGTCAATGACAGCTTTCGTGCCTCCCAAGCAAAGTCCGGCGGCCCCGGTGACAGCCCCTGCATCAGTGCCTGCAGCAGCAGCCCTGCCAGTCATCACAATCAACTTCAACGGCAGCGACGGGCCTGTAAGCACTTCCGCAGTGCCTTCGGTCTCCACATTGGTCAGTGCCATAGCGAACGGTGCAGCATCGTCCGACTCGACTGCCGCGTTGGATGGCTCCAGTCGCCATGTCGCTGCTGCGCCTGCACTGCCATCAGTGTCGGGGATGGTAGCGCCTTCTGTGGCACCCACTCATGCAGATCCACGCTCGGCCAGGCAGGATGAGCTCCGGCAGAAGTATGGTGAAGTCATCTTCCAGAAGCATGAGCCGTGGGTTTGGAAGCAGGGTGAGCTTCTTCCATGCTATAGGTACCAGCCAGTGAATGCGATCGTGGATGTCTGAATAGAGTGGACGGATGGGCTCGGTGGACATATCTCGGTGCGTGAACTGACAGAGAAGTGGGGCAACTGCTGGCGTCTCAATGATGCGGGACTCAAGACTGAAGGCGGGCACCGCAAAAAGATCATCGACCTCATCACGGAGCTTTTGCAGAAGCCACGCTGGTCAATCCAGCTGGTGCTTCGGTTCTTCAACGAGAAGTATGGCCACTACAGGGTGCGCTCGTTTGCCGACTACCTCACCAAGCATGGGGGTGCGGGTCGCCGCGAGGTGCTCCAAGTTGCGACACACTATCCATAGTGCGATGTGAAGCCAACTTCATATTCTGGTTAATTTTTCAGTCTCTGTCTTCTTGTCGCTTCATGCTATATGGTACTGATGGCTCCATGTCCTAATTTACGGTACTGCTTCACCTGTGTATATGAAACACAATTTAATGTACATGTTTTGGAAACCTCAATGAGGGCCCAGAATTTTTGGTTTTGCATGATCGAGAGGAGCAGATGCACCCACTCAGTAGTGCTGCCAGCTCCACTGCATCATCGCCATCGCCATCGTGTCCTCGTGGTCTACTGCTGTTCGAACCCCGCATGGAAACTTGTTGCGGATTTACGATTTGCAGGCCACGCCCACCCTGAGATTCATGATCATGTTGACTCTGTGTGCTGGGGGGGGCAGGTCAATATAAAATATATTTTGTGCATGTCGCCACATCGACGGGTCGGCATGCCACACGCGCGGTAGACAGGTAGTCGGTGTATACACTGCAACTCAAAGTTCGGGCGTGCAAGAATGCCACACATGCAAGCAAGCGCAGTGTTGGTCTCACCGCATCTCGGGCAGTGGACCTGGCGCATGGTGAAAGCACGTCCGAGTAGTTTGAGTTGGGCGGTCGGAGGGCATCATGCAGGCACCGTGCGGCATGCCAGCCGACAGCGAGCGGCGAGCTCGTCGTCGGACTTGGCGCCTCGCATTCTCTCTCGGTCTCAGTTTCGCGAAGGGGGCCGCAATAACGTGGCACTGCACACCGTGCGCCACACGACACAGCGACGATCGACGCGCAAATGTGTCGCGCATGCAGAGAGGTGGCTGGCGGCGAATTGAGATTGGCAACTGTTGCTGGATCCGGCATTTACTGCCCGAACGGGCGGCATGGCATACACGGCATGTTAAGGTCACCAGTGGCATATACCGAGGGGCACCAGCCTGCACGTGGGAAGGTACCACAGGTCGGTCACCGGCCAAGCGCGGTGACCACCACAGCCCAGGGACATTGTTGTACACATTAGTAACCAAATTGTACATTGTAAATGATATTGTAATTGTAAACAAAGAAGGGCAGATTGCATACAATTGTACAAAATAAACTGCACTCAGCCAGGATTGAACTCTTGACCTTCCGGCACATGCTTATATAAGAACATGTGATATGCACATATTCAACTAAGCCATTTGTCCTTATCTGTCCTTCAAACTCAATTCTATATAAGGCTATTGCCTCTACTAAAAAATATTATAGTGTTTTGTAAGAACTATTACATTATACTTATTACTGATGATCTAACCATCTACAAATATGTAGTTCATTTTTATTATAGCTTTATTACAACATTATAACATTTCTTAGTAGAGGCAATAGCCTTATATAGAATTGAGTTTAAAGGACAGATAAGGACAAATGGCTCAGTTGGATATGTGCATGTCACATGTGCTTATATAAGCATGTGCCAGAAGGTCAAGGGTTTAATCCTGGCTGAGTGCAGTTTATTTTGTACAATTGTATACAATTTGCCCTTCTTTGTTTACAATTACAATATCATTTACAATGTACAATCTGGTTACTTTGTGTACAATACAATACTGACCACTGCGTGCACAATAAAGCTGGCTCTTCGTGGGGATATTGTATACAGAAGTGTTGCCCACAACTGGCTGTTGTGTGGCGGGGCGGCTTGTTGTCGCCTCGTCGTCGTCAGTTTCCATTGGCAAGGTTGGTTGGGACATGGTGGTAGGAGTGTGAGAGCGGTGGCCTTGCCACACATGTAGTTACACAGGCAAGTGCCGGCATCTCACGTGATCTGTCACGTGGACACGATGCATACATCCTTTGATGTTATGCGCATCCGGTCCTCCACTTGTGGTTATTTTTTCTTGCATTTCACAGGTGGCGCGGTCTTGCACAGCAGCGCTCTCCAGTCCTTCACACCCATTAGTGTGAAGTACTTGTCGAGTGCGGCCAATTCCTTGCAGTGGGCATATGGCTCCCATGTATGGTCACCTAGCGTCCATCGCACATGAAATTCAATCTTATTGCCATCCCAGCGATGGCCTACAATTTCATCCACTAGCCATTCTGTTTCCGCATCATCACCAAAGTCGTAGTACGACTTTGCCTCACAGTGCGGAAACAACACGTCGTCATTGGACTCGTGTCATCGGAGTAGTGAAACGTGGAATGTAGGTAGGATACGCTGGTCCTTTAGTTCTTGTGGCAACTCTAACGTTTAGTTAGAGGTTGTCGCATGAACGTCGGTGATCTCGTATGGTCCAATAAATTTAGGCATCAGCTTCCTCGCACGACCTTTAGGTAGTGCGAGGTTCTGCATGGATAGATACACCTTCGATCCAGTTGTAAACTCCAGCTCCTCCTGCCGTAGTTTATTGGCTTGGAATGTTTGGTGTGTATGGCTCTCGATGATGGCGTCATGCGCCATCTCAAGGTTGGCCAATGCTCGTTGGGCAAATTCCTGCACGTCCACGAATTTCGTGGTTCCATGCAGGCCTCCAATCATTCGCGGCAAGTATCCATAATTAAGTTCGAATGGGGCAAATCCTGTGGTTGCGCTCATGGCTGAGTTCAACGCGAACTCAACCATCGGGATCTTGTCTATCCAATCTAATTGATTGGGAGACACAATTGACCATAGGATTTGGGATACCGATCGGATGGTCCGCTCAGACAGCCCATCAGTTTGCGGATGGAACAACGTCGACATGAGTAGCTTCGCACCCAGGAGTCGATGTAGTTCACGCCAAAATTTCGACGTGAACTTCGAGTCCCGGTCCGAGACGATGGACTCGGGCATCCCATGCAGTCGCACAATTTCTCGGACATAGAGCTCAGCTATGTCCGAGGCCGTGCTCATCGTATTCACGGGGACCAGATGTACCATTGATGTAAGGCGGCATATGACTACCCATAGGTAGTCATACCCCTTTGATCGTGAAAACGGACTGACGAAGTCCATTGCTATCGAATTCCACGGAAACCGTGAAATCGGCAAGGAATGAAGTAGTCCTGCTTGCAAGTGATTGCGAGGCTTTGCCGTTTGGCAGGCCCCGCACGTCACGCAGAATTTTTCAATGTCGCGTCCGATCCTAGGCCACCAGAACCACTGTCGGATGTATTCCGACATCTTCTGTGGGCCGTAGTGTCCTATGGTCATGTGCCCTCTATCGATGATGATCTCAGTCATCATTCGATGACGGTACAGGACCCTTGGGATGCAGATAACTTCTTCATCCTGGCAGTTTTTTGTATATATTGTCTTGTCCCGGATTACGAAGGCGCTGAATTCCGTTGGGGATTCAACGACCTTCCTAAATAATGGGTCCTCACCATAGCCCTTTTGGACTGCGGCCAGGAATGGGGTATCCTGTTCCAAATGGGCCTTCAGTGGAGGTCTGTTGGTGTGTGATTCAGCAATCGTCAGATCCTCGTCCTTTGCGCCTGAGGTTGGCGTTACTAGGGGCAGGTGGGAGGCCATTTCACTGGCCTCCTGACCCCTTGACTCCTGCACATCCTTGGGCAGCTGTGCTGAGCACTGGATCATTCCGGCGCACAGCTCAGCAATACGGTTGGAGGGTAGGTCATCCCACTCAGGGTCTAGACGAGCGTCTGCATTCGCATAGTACTGGATGGGTGCAAATTCATCCGCATTGTCATTCTCGTAGTACCTCAATAGACAGTCCACGACCTTATTGGTCGCGCCTTCTACGTACTGGATTTTGTATTGAAATTGAGACATGTACTCATTCCAACGAATCTGTCGATTCATTGGATTGGTTACGCCTTTGAAGTACTTCAATGCCTAATGGTCGGTCGCGGTCATTATCGGTCAGCCAAGTAGTTTATCCTCCCATTTGAGGAGAGCTTCCAGTATCGCGAGTGCCTCGTGCTCATATGTCTTATAAGCACGTTGCGCACTCGTGAATTTCTTCGACAGGAAGCCAGCTGGGCGACAGGTTCGCCAGTCTGGTCCCTGTCCATACATCGCTCCAACACCATATAACGATGCATCAGATATCAGCCAGATGGGTTCTGGTTGATGTGGGTCAATTGGCTTCAGGATGGGTGCCTTGCACACCAAAGCTTTGATCATTTCAAAGCATTTGGTGTGCATTGGGCGCCACATGAATGCTCGGTCATTGTGAGCCATGTCCGACAATGGCGAGGTGTACGCCGTCACATCGGGCATGAAGTGTCCTAGGTAGTTCACAAGCCCTAGGAAGCATTGTACTTCTTTGTAAGATCGAGGTATTCGCCATTTGCGAATACAGCTCATCTTGTCTGAGTCTGCATGGAGTCCTTGGTCATCGATTAGATGACCTACACAGTTCATGCTCCGTGAATATAGGTCGCACTTCATCTCACTGAGGTAGAGCTTTGCCTCCCTCAGCTTACAGAATATGATTTCCAAGTGACATTCGTGTTCTTCGATTGTATCGGAGAACACGAGTATGTCATCGAGGTATACGTGAACGTATCGTCCAATGCAGTTATGGAATATCAACGTCATGAGGCTTTGGAATGTCGCTGGGGCATTGAAATCGCCTTGTTGCATGATGTGACTTACAAATGTACCGTATGAGGTGGAGAACACTGTTTTCTACACGTCCTCCACTGCCACCCATATTTGTTCATACGCATCGGACGAGTCAATCTTTGACTGGTATTTGGCATGAGACACGTCCATGCGTATCTGGTCCTGGTCCGGGAATGGAGTTACGTCCTTTACGGTGTTGTCGTTGCGTTTACGCGCATCGACAACCGTCTGTAATTTTTCACTCTTCTTCATAATGCATATCATGGGCGCTGCCTGGGGAGCCTGCTTGGACTCCCACCAGCCAGCGTCCTGGTATCATTGGATCTTCGTTAGGAGCAATGGCTTCATTGCGTCGGCACATCCACCAGTGGTGGTCAGCATTGTATAACAATACTGCAGGTAGCTGGGCAAGGTGTTGTTCACTACTCACCAGTTCTTGTCAATTGTCAAAGTTATTGTTAACAACAGTCTGAGAGGATTGTAATACAATAACAACTTGTACAAAACAACTTGCACTCAGCCAGGCTTAAACCCTGGTCTTCCGGACACATGATTACATAAGCACATGCCGCACACACAATTTACCAACTGCTCCATTGGGCCATGCATTTCTCTCAGCCTCAATTCTATATAAGGCTACTGCCTTCTCTAATATACATTAGAATCTTTTGTAATAACTACTATATCCTGTTGTTACTGTTGCCTCTAATAGTTATTTGCTTACATTTTTCTATTTATTTCACCCTTCTAATAGCTTTATTACATCTATAAATTTTGATATTACAGTTTTAATCTTATTTGAATATTTACTGAACTAAAAAGGAAATGCTTAATATTAGGCACTCAAAGACTTATTAACAGAGACATCAATCACTGTTAGAAGTAACAGTAACAACAGGATGTAGTAGTTATTACAAAAGATTCTAATGTATATTAGAGAAGGCAGTAGCCTTATATAGAATTGAGGCTGAGAGAAATGCATGGCCTAATGGATCAGTTGGTAGACTGTGTGTGTGGCATGCGCTTATGTAATCATGTGTCCGGAAGACCAGGGTTTAAGCCTGGCTGAGTGCAAGTTGTTTTGTACAAGTTGTTATTGTATTACAATCCTCTCAGACTGTTGTTAACAATAACTTTGACAATTGACAAGAACTGGTGAGTAGTGAACAACACCTTGCCCAGCTACCTGGGCCATTGTTATACAAAAGTGGGAACCACAGCTGGCACATCTCGGTAATCGCAGTCGATACTGCTCATCATCATTGATGAACAGTATTCAATAGTTGATCTCACGGAACGGTGGAAGGATTGGGGGCGGGGTACACATTATGTCCCTCATCTTCTCAGTCCAAGCTTTTCGGCATTCTTGTAGTTTCTCCTCAGATGCTGTTGCGTCTGAGGGTTCTACAAGCGTAGCGCGAATTTCTTCGTCTTTACGATGTTCGTTCAGTGCGAACACCATTAAGTCATTTAGACCTAATGAGTTTGGCTGACCGAACTGGTCCCGTCGTGGTTCATCCATCGAGTGTCTAGTCGGTGCGAACTTCTCTGAGATGCCAGGGAAACAGTCCTTTTTCGGCTGTTTCCTGTTTCTCGTGGGTGATTTTTCTTTCGCCTTGACATTTCCATCATTCCCCTCCCCTCTTAGGACTGTCCCTGGTTTTGCACCCCGAGACTGGGGCAGCTTTGCGGCCATTGGTCTCATTGCGGGGTCCTATTGCGGGTTGTCTGAGGTGATGGCGGTAACGGTACCGACATTGTTGTGCATGCGGTAGTGTGAGTGCAACATATCCTTGTGATTCACAATGATTGTGGCCTCGTCCACTTCCACGTAGGTCAGTATTTTTTTGCCATTGGATCGATGTGGTGCAGTTCTCGAAGTCAAGGACCACACCATATTTATGCATGAACACTGTGCCTAGTACAGCATCGTATCTATCGATATCGATGACGTCTAGGTAGTATTGTGCCTTTACTGGGCCTATGGAGATTGTGGGTCATGCACCATAATTGATGCGCATCCTGCTTCCCTTGGTGCCCAGTTGGAGACCTATTTGGTCATCCAGGTCGATTCGGTCCGCCTTCGCGATGTATGCCATTTCCGGAGAAATGGAGTCTGTTGTGCGCCCCGAGTCAAATAGTGTATAGGTCTTGATCCCATTGATCAAGACCTCTGCACATAGTGTTCGTTGTATCTGCGGGTTTCGCTGAGGCTGCATGGCTGGATTGGTCAGGAGTCATACAGCCATGCATTCCTCGAGGATCATGCGTCTGTTGTGTGTTCACTAGCGTGGAGGTGTATGGTCTGCGTACACTTTCCAGGCTTGTGTTGATGCATGGCGCTGAATCTCATTGATCCCAGGCGAACGTTGTAGTCATCATTCCATCCATCATCTCCAGATGGGGGTTCACGCTCATCTGCTGATGAGTACTGTGATCCCTCTGGGGCCCAGTCTGACTCAGGATATGTCTGATATCCTGTGTCGTTCTGGTAGGGCCCTTCATTTCCGTCAGTTTCAGGAGTCATCTCCTGTGGAGCCGGCTCCTGAACTGTAGCCTTCGGTTCCACCGGTTCTTGGTTTGCCTGTTCCTCATCCTCGAAGTGGTCATCGACTACACGTTGTGCGTGTAGTCATGCTGGCCGAGGTTTGCTGTAGTTCGGGCATGTCGGGTCTGTCGAGAAGTGGCCCTTGCCGCCGCAAGAATAACAAGTGACGTTTGCATTCATCGCCTTGTTATTCGCTGATGGTCTCAATCCCGAGACTGCCGGGTTTGTAGTAGGACGACCGCCCCCATGACGTTGTCCATCGCGTGGGTTCGTCATTCTATGGCCAGCATTACCGGCCTGCTGTGCATGTCCTGGGTGTGCCCCTCCTCATCCTTGTCCTTGCGGGCGGTAGCTAGGTCGTGTATCTCTCATCGATGATATCATCGATGCAAGGAATGACATGGCCTTGCTTGAAGTCCGGGTCCCGTATGGTCCCCAGTCTTCTGAGGCTGTCGGCGGTCCTTGTATGTACGATATTGATCCAGCCATCTGTTGCCCTGTTTGATCGCCAATGCTGATCGATACAGTGCATCAATGGTGTGTTTCTCAGGTCATAGTAGGTGAGCTAGATGCATTACTTCTACCATCAGTAGTGGTAACGCGTCCATAAACCTCTTCCGGAATGCATATTCCATTGGGTATTGCACCATGTGATCTGTGTGGTGTAATAGCCTGTCGTATAGCTTGCTCACACCTCTGCGTGATAAGCTGTATGTCGCCTTGTCGTACTTCTCGGATGCTATCAGCTCCGAGTCCTTGTGTAGGAATCGTCGGTGGAGGTGCGTCACCGCATCCTCAAAGTACCATTGTTGTACTTCGCGGTTCGGTGACTGCACGTTCAGAAAGAACCAGTTGGCGGCATCATCTTTAAGACTTTGCCCCAATATCCGCAGGCGATCTGCATCCATGGCATCGCCAGTGATGCGGAGAGTCTTGAAGTATTCCAGCAATTTCTGTAGCCAGACCTCGAATGCATCAAGATCGTCATTCCCGTCATATTGCGGCAGTGGAGGCATCTTGGTGACTCTAAGGTATGCTGGTGGTTCGTCGATGGGATCTCTTGATACCATCTCGTCCACCATTGTATGGATCCCCTCGATTGCGGGAGACGTATCCGGAGGTATCACTCCTGGGTCATGTGATCGTTGTACGGTCGCGTGGCCTGCATGCATACCTGGTGCGGCTGTTGTATTCATTCCCGGGAATTGAGGGGGTCGGTTCACTGCGATAGTGACTGCCGGGTTTGGCTGTGTCACTCCCAATTGGAATGTTACATTCCGAGCAACGTTGGGCTGTTGCGTAGCTGTCATTGTGTTCACTGCAGGACCGTATGTCGGTCCTGCAGATTGTGTGTTCATTCCCACTATGGGCTGCCCTTGCAGCCCACGGGGGTATCCAGGTCCTGCAGGTCATGTTGGTCGAGGAGGCAGTGGCGATGAAGTTGATCCATTGGATCGCGGTAGCCGTTGTCCTCCAGGTCGGTGTCCCCGGGGTGGTGTTGCGGGCCTTCGACCATTTCTTCTGAAATGGTCGAAGTCGTTCCTGTCATCTCTGGGGTATGGACTGGAGTCGTCTGAATCATCACTTCTGGGGTCGCCTTCAGGAGCTGCTACTGGAGCTGTTCCGGATTGGAGTGATCCCCACATTGCGCGAGGTGTCGATGATACCGGCGGTTGTACTCTGAATGCCCTCAACGCCCTTTCGGACTCTGAGGCCATCCGGTCCAAGTATCTGGTGTATATTAACACCCTTCGATTGTATTCCTCTTCTGGCTCTCCCTCTTGCTGCGGTCGGGCTAACCGATGGTACGCGCTCTCGATAATTATATCGGGAGCACCTGCCATTGGGTCCTCGACCTCTGAGGGGTATAATCCTCGCTCTACTGCTATCTCCTCAATGGAGTTCCTCATTCCTGAGGGGACGGGTTGGTCCATTGGGTCAACTTCGTCTCCTGAGAAATTTTCGACTTCGTCCATTATTCTTTCAAACCACTCATTCTGTGCGTGGCAGGTCCATTTGTGTGCCTCACGAATGGCCTGCATCTCGCGTTCTTGTTTTTCTTGTAGTTTATCAAGTTTGCAATTCGCTTCTTCTCGAGCCCACTGGAGTGCCTCTCGGGCTCTCTCTCTGCGCACACGTTCAGATGAACTCGTGCTTGCAGTGCTTCCTGGGTCTCTATCCTTAGTGCGACATATTTCGTCCGCTAAGGAAGATGTCGGTTACACTGGCAGGGCCGGGGACGGAAATCTCTGCGAGTAATGCGAAGGATGTCGTGGCATTCTTCCCGTTCTCATTGTTTCCATTTTTTCGCTGGCCTGATGAGATCCAGTGGATCTCACCGGCATTCTGACGTTACAGCCAGAGGCGGATTCCTGCCGCTGCTCGTCCGTTCGGCCTCCTCGTGTTGAGCGTGGGGGTTCGACGTACGACAGTGTAGGGGATTGTGGGGCTGGTGATGCCAGTTCTTGCCCATGGTCCATTATTTCTGGAGCTGGTGTGCCAGTGTCCGCGTGTATGCCATCATTGGGTACGCTCTCGGCCATGTCTGCCAGAGCTGCGTGCTCTGCCTGTCTTGACTGAGAGCGTGTTATCCGTGTGTTTTTGGGGCCTTGACTTGCCATTGGGTGGCAAGTTAAGGTTCTTGATTTCTTGATGAGGGTCTTCGCTGTCAAATAGAATTTTTTGCAGGGCGAAATAGACTGTAAAAAAGTGTAATGGGGGGGAAGGCCTTATCACACTGAACCTCAGATACAGTGCACCAAGCTCTATTCTGGAGCGTCGTGCGTGTATCAAGGTCGTGGTGTGTTAAGTCTCTGACTTCAACACACCGACGCGCGCTCGATACATGCAGAGCATGTACAAACAGTACACAATAATTACATAATACACGATGAGATTAGATAAGATTAGGGCACAAGTACCGCTTGGTACTTGTGCCTTGCAATACAACAGCGGCACGTTACAGGTGGGCTGGGCATACAGCCACAGTTGGGCCAACATGAAAAAATTTGGTACAGCCTCATGCTCCGGCATGATGGATGGTTGATGCCGTGGCCGATATCATTCACTGGGTGTAAGATAGTGGATGCAACACATGCAGCCCCACAACACATGGCGAGCCTTTGGGACTTCGGCCGCATCATTCAGACTTTGCAGGTGAGTATCGTGGTGTATGTGCACAATGCTACACCTGAAGTACTGGACTTCACCAGACCGTTCATGTGAACTGGTAGTGCATCACGAATTGCAGGCCTGAGACCTGAGGTGCCATAATATTCTGTTCCTACCGCATGCTGTGGTTACCGAATGTTGTGTGTGGCATCTTAGTGGATTTTTATCTCGGACATAACACACCTGCAGACTATTCTTTCGGATTTTTCTGAGATGTGTCCAACAATTTGGAGATGTGCCGAAGTGCGACCTGGGCGAAATGGACTGATTGTCAGACCAATTAGCCTGGCTTGTTGTGAGGGCTGTAGCTGGGAATGCCACAGCCAGTAATCCTGACCTTGTACTGATCTGGCCACTGATGAAATAATGCCACCATCCTGCAATCCCTACTTTACTAGGAGTTGACTTGGCCCCATTTAATCCTGAAACTTTTACAATGTTTTAGGTTCGAAAACATCTATGAAACTTTCAGGCACTTGATGGAGTGCACCAAATGCCAGAAACATTCCTGACATCCAATGGTGGCATATCCAGGTCACTGATAGTATTAGGCCATTTCAGCAAGCCTTGCCATTTTTCTGCCATCAAATAGTGGCCCAGAATTCCACTGTGTCAGCCGCAGTGGAACTTTGTTGAAAAAAGTACTGTGCCCTGTGTCTTGTCATATGTAGCATGCATGCAGCATGGAGTTCAGGACAGCGGAACCATGGTACTATGCTGGAGTACTCCGAATCAACTGAGACTCAAGAATGTTCCTCGAGGAACACAGCAGATGAGAAAGTTCCGCCTGGCATGGCCTCATGCTAAAGACCAGGGTTGACCTCTTCAAGTGTTTGTGTCATTGGTGCACAGAGGGTGGGCGGACATGAGAACACCAGGTACACTGATTTGCTGACCGCTTGACGGTGGGCCGAGAGTAAAGTACTGAATACAGCCAAGGATCGACCAACACAAAAACTCGAGGTACACACTTGACGGTGGGCCGAGTCTAATGTATCGAATACAGCCAGGGATGGGCTGGCAGGAATGCTATGCCGACACGGCGACCGAGTCTAAAATGTGGGATACAGTCACACATGGGCTGACAGGAGAACTCAAGGTACACGCTTGATGGTGGGCCAGATGCGGGTTTCCACGTCAGACGGTTGCTTGGCAGGCGTCCCTCGTAAGTCTGCCCATTACTCCTTACCGTTATCGAATACAGCCAGGGATGGGCCGGCATGAACATCTTGGGTATGGAATGCTATGCCGATGCAGTGGCCGAGTCTAGAATGTGGGATACAGTCATACATGGGCCGACAGGAGAACTCTAGGTACATGCCTGATAGTGGGCCGAGTCTATCAAATACAGCCAAGGATCGGCCGACACAAAAACTCGAGGTACACGCCTGACGGTGGGCTAGTGCAGAGCAGGGGTATACCCCTGGGTACTTTGACCTGTACCCCTACCCTTACCCTCCAAGGGTACATACCCTTCACCAGGGGTAAGGGTATGGGTAAGGGTACCAAACCCTGAGGGTATACCCTTCGATATCTGCCTTACTTGAGGAAATAACATCATAGACATTAAGTTTAAGGCTTGTAATAGCCTTTTTTTCTCTTTGAAGCTTCTGTAGACATAGTTTAAGGCTGTATCTAGGCTGCACTTAGGCTTTAGTCACCCTATAGTTACTGCTTACATGATATATATTATATGCAGTGATACCCTCCAGGGGTATAAGGGTCTGAAAGTTCATACCTCTACCCTTACCCTCCAATACCCTTACCCCTTACCCTTGAGGGTTATCCATACCCCTGCTCTGCACTACGGTGGGCCGAGTCTAATGCATCAAAGCGAGTCTAATCTATCGAATACAGCCAGGGATGGGCTGACATGAAAATCATGGATACAGAATGCTACGGCCATGTGTAAAGTATAAGACACAGCCAAGGATTAGCCGACATGAAAACTCAATGTACACACTTGACGGTGGGCCCAGAGTAAAGTACCGAAAACAGCCAAGGATCGGCCGACATGAGAACACTCGATCATTTGCCTTGTCCGTGGGCCAAGTCAGGTATGTCAATGTGCAACTTTGCCTACAGGCATGTATGCCTGTATCAACTGTCGGCCAAGTAGAAGATCTGAGGCCTTACTTCTGTAGGCCTCTGAGTGAGCTGAACCGAAAGTTTTCTAACGATGCTGCCTGGGCTCATCCAACAATAGACTTCGAGTGTATCTGCAAACTCACCGGGCTAATCCACGAACGTATCGGCAGAAGCAATAAATGGGCCGACCAGAGGTAAAGAAGTACAGCACAGATGGCCCATCCAAGCAATGGGCATATGAGGGTCTCATCGGCCCATGTTGGCTTGTCGAGGGCACATGTCACTGGTCGGCTTGTCCAGATTCAGGGAGATTTTTCCTGAGCGGGATCTTATGCGAACCTGATGACTGTGATCCTGCAGACATCGCAACTGTGAGTTAGAATTATGCAGACTGCTAAGATAATGGGACAGGAGTCGACGTATCGTCATTGCTCTCCTCATACTCTCCGTCCCCCACCTGACCCTTCGTCCTGCCCAGTCAACACATGCTCATGCAGTATGTTAAAGTAGGAGCCCATTCAGCCAATATATACCTAAACTTCCATATAACCGAGGTGGAACATTATGTGTAAATTTCCATAAAACCAAGTGTTGGCCAAGAATATAATATAGGATGGAGATATAGGGTTGGCCAAGATAATTAGGCTATATAGGCTGAGTTGCATATTTGGGAGTTAGCCAAGGGAGGCGCGATTTGAAGTCTATATAGGTTGTCGAGCATTTTGGGTTGGCCGCCATGTCTCTATATAGATTGTAGCTGAAATAGTGCCATTGGCCAAGAGTCATAAAATTCCAATCCTATATAGAGTTTGCAGACAGTTGGGCTTGGCCAAGTGGACCTATATAGAATCTTTGTGTAAATGGTCCACTTGGCCAAGACACATGAAATTTTGATCCTATATAGCATCTCCTGAAATTTGGCCTTGGCCAAGAGTACCCTATATAGATTTTGTGAAAATAATGCCTGCGGCCAAGGGTCGAGAAATTTGCATTTTATATAGGATTGTCTGAAATTTGGCCTTGGCTAAAAAGATCCTATATAGTTCTTGTGGAAATGGTGGCCTCGGCCGAGTGTCCTGGAATTTCTGTTCTATATAAGGTCTGCTGAACTTTGGCATTGGCCAAGGATGCTCTATATAGTGTTTGTGAAAATGGTGGCCTCGGCTGAGGATCTAGAAATTTTCATTCTATAAAGAGTTTTCCACACTCTGGCCATGGTCATATAACTTTCTACACAAATGGTGCTCCAGGCTGAGGCATCTAAACTTAATGGTCTTGCTGACACCATGCTTCTTTAAGGTCCCGGAGGATACACTCGTCCAAATCTACATAGCCAGTCACACACATTTATTGGCTAATTTTGCATATCTACCTTTGCAACTCACAGACTACCTGACAATCATTTGACCATTGAATGCCTGCTGTGATTGAAGTGCAAAGTCCTTCCACATTGCACCTTGCTTTGCTGCATAGGATGTACGACCACGTAGACCTGCATTCACTGCCTCCATCTCCCTGGTCTGCCACTCATGCTGCTTGTGTTCAAACCACAGGACAGTCCATAACATCTCATGTCGCACCTTCGGTACCTCCTACTTGTACCTTGTGTATCGTGCCTTTGCTCTCAGCCAGTTAACTCGATCAACTGACATGGTGATTACCATCTGTGAATAAGTTTGACCAGGCATAAACAGATAGTCACTCACCCTCCTTCATGGCATTTCGACCGACATCTTTCATATTATTGTCCACACTTTCCCCCCATGCATTTCGAGCATTCTCACCTCCAAGTTTCCAAAACCACGCCAATCTATCATTCCTCTGCCCAACTCTATTCTCCTCCACAATTTCTCCAGGCATCTTCGTGTCTTCCTTTTGAATGTCAAGATATCGTGTCAACAACTGTTCACTTGCTCCTAAACAGATCAGGGCTTTCCTAGCATGCTTGTATCGTCTAATGATTTTGCGCTCTTGCTGACCAATCTTCCTGAGCTCAGCTGCATTTCGGGTTTTGTGCCATTGAGACTTATTGTGCCTGAATTTGGTCCGGAAAAGCAAAGACTTGTGACCTAACAAGAGTCGCAAGTCTTCAAGACAGTCATTGGCTTGGCCAACCCGTAGCTGTAACTCCTGCTGTGCAATGCTCTCTTATCCCACCATCTTGTATTGCTCAATGCCAAGTGAGGAGGGAAGCAGGAGAGTGATGTTCTCTGGCAATACCTCCTCTTCAATATCTTCTGGGTTCTCCTCCATATCCTCCATGATCCAACCCTCTTCATCTGCCACCTCATTAGAGGAGATTTCTAAGTGCTCAATGTCTTCACCATCTAATAGCACCATTGCACAATTGTGAAATCCATCAATTTTTTTCTGCAGCAAATTTCACTTCATCTCCACCGAATTTTTGTCCGTGGTGAAGCTTCGCTTGGTGAGGTGTTTTGCCATTACTTGTATGTCATCTCTGAAGCACAGACTGAGCAAAGAGACCAAAGTGAATGTCAACTGGCTCACTGTGTCTTTTCGATATTTATTCCAGTGCTCAACCAGGTTACTGTTCCACTTTCCACGACTCTACCCTTCTCATTGGGTGACTGTCTTTCTTCTGTCATGAGCAGAAGGCGAATATCACCCATGGATGGAGCTATGGCTCAGTTTGCTCAATCAGATGAAATCTGGCTTGGAGAATGCACATACCCTTCTCCAAGTTGACATTGTATATGTTCAACTTATCACCACACTCTCGCATAGCCACGGTCTCCTGCTCAGTCCACACTTTGATATCATCCTCGGTCATCGTGATTGAGAGATCAACAAACTCTTGCTTCATTTCAGATTCACCTTTGACAGCCTTGGACTACTTGGTTCGGAGCATGTTCACTGAAGTACTGTTAACCCTCATCAGCGCAACAGCAAAAGAACAGTGCCCACCAATACCCAGCAGCTTCATCCAGTTCCAGTCTCGAAAATGATCATCCACAACCTCTCATCGGTGTGCCTTGGTCATTGCACGTGTTGAAGGACCTGTGCCATTCATTTTGGACCACAGCGTCTCCACAACCTCACCCTCAATCTCACCCATGTCTTTTCCAAAATTTGAGAAGAACTTGGCAAAACACTCTGCAATGTGGGCCCCAAGGTGGAACTTCCCCACATAGGCAATGATCTTTATCTTGTCTGCGACCTTCAGATATTTGCTATTCACAACGCGCTCCAGAAAGTGAATCCACCACTGACATGCGACATCGTAGCACACATCCATGAACTGGAGCCCTTCAGTGTTATATAGAAGTGCCTGGCAGATGGAGTAGTCTATGTTCATCTGTCTGACAGTCGTGCAGAGATGGAATGTTTGGCAAAGGAGATGTGATCGGTTGAAATACGCTTACCTCTCTCCTTTTTGGAAGTCAACCACTGAATGGGGTATGACACACCCATGGCGAGCACAGACACATGCTCCAACACCTGTGGCCTCTAGATTATGGTGATTAGCATTGGCCTGATTCACAGTGTGGTGATTTGCACATCTAGATTTCTGCAGATATCTCCCAGAGCTCAATTGCAGTTCCAACTCATCTTATTGCACGCACCTCAATAGTTTCTTTACTGCACTTCAAATGATCTTGATACTCCACATCATCAACCATGAATCCTTGACCATTAGTCAGAGGCACATCATTCTCAGGCTGATGCATCTTCATATGCTCCAAGGTGAAGTTTCCATCTGCCACTATTGTGCGATGATACACACCGCTTTATCTTGAATTTCGGTCAGAGCTCTGAAATCATTTATTATCACACTCACATTTCAGGATCTTCTTGCCAATTCTCAGGTAAATTAAGACATGGTTGGGGGCAAGCCAGACAAAAATAAGCCAACTCCCCATGACCTGGGCTCTTAAGAAGGTCATGACCAAAGCCAAACCATTTCCGAACTGCAATATCTCGCCACTGGCGGGAAACCCTCATGAGTTCCCTATAACGGTCCTAAAACAGGCAGATTACCTCCAAGAGACTTATCATATAACTAAGATTACTCACAGGAACAGTTTGGGGTGCAGCATTATTGGTTAACTGTCACATCTTGGTGTAGAACCTGGATGCCGAGGTGTTGCAAACTATGGCATCAATACTAAAATATTTGAGGACATCAAAGGTGAACGCTGTTCTGGGGCGAAGCTGACTGGCAGGATAAAGGGCCATTCGAAGCATCTGAATGTGGTGAGGAGTGGCATCAGAACATATACACCATTTTACCTTTTGCACATAGACTCCATTGCATGAAGCAATAACCACCTCTCCCTCCTGTCGATCATCTACGACATCTTTACCCAAAAAATGTACCTGGCCTTCATCTTTCAGCTGCGGCCCGAGATCTCCCCCAAGATTAATGACATCCTCCCATCCATCTTGAACACCAAATCCACATGGACATACATTTCCGCCATGCCCCAGGTGAAGGATGAACCCCATTGAAGCCAGAGAAATTTTGACAAACCGATTCTGAACCCAGCGTTCGAGACGATAAAATGGTTGTCAGCGATGTGAATCAAGGCAACATCGGAGACATTCAAAATGATCCCCCCAGCAGTCTCGACAATGAAACTGGCCATCAGGTGCATTGCAATTAGTGCATCCACGATCCTCCGGAGGTGCCTCCATGCCCAATATCTCCGACAGATAATCAGCCCGATAGGGAAGCCATGAACGCATCAGGTCCTGTTGTGACTACAATGTGGAAAAAGTGAGCAAACATCATCTCCATCATTCTTCACTCACCTTGCCACTACGTGTCCTAGTTGACAGCAGTTCCAGAGCAAACGGATCCAGGCCATTATCACCAATAATGTGATTTTCAGAGGGCGCAGCTAAAGTCTGGCTTGGTCCTTCTACAGCTGTACCTTTCCTCCTTCCTGTCCCAGGACTTGACTTTGGTGTACCTTGCACAGCTCCCATCACCCACTTTCTGCCCCGGCATGCCCGGACCTCTACAAGGTCAACATTCTCAATTGAACTGTGATGGCACTTCGATTTCCTGGACTGCTTTTGACTTCTTGGAGAAATTGTGATGCCGGTGAAAGTGGTGGAGATAAAGCAAGGGAGAAGAAAGTGGCGGGCAATCTCTTTATCAACATGTGCAGGCCGCATGCTCCATGAAATACAAATTATGTGATGAATGAGTAATCATTTTGCTGGCTGCCTGGTGTTGGTCATATGATTTTCTACCTCGTGCAAATCATAAAAAATGCGATTCTCATATTGCATAACATGACAAGGTTATAACAATGCGCAAATTATATCTACTTCTGAGATCCCTTCTTTTTCCATGCAGGAGCCTTGGCCTTTGCCGCCTGAGCAGGTGTCGCATCTGTCACTGCTGTCACCCCAGCTGCAGCTGCTTGAGCCTTCCTTGTTGCTACAGTCACTCGGCCAGTGCGACGTGGAATGACAGCACTGGAGGTACTGGGAGCAGTGCCTCCATCTTTGGCCTGTGCCCGAGTTCTCTTCTTTTCAGCAGATCTATTGTGATTAAACAATGAACACGATTAGCAAATATGAAGACGATAAAAAACCATGCCAACAAAACCTGGCGGGTTCCTCTTGCAATTGATCCTCCTCTGGAGGCTCTCTGGCTGCAACAGGAGGAGCCTGCTGACGATGTTGTCACTGGCGAGTTTTCGGACATTCCTGAGGTGCCAGTTCATCATCACTATTAGCTAAAAACTCTACCGGTGGAGGAGTGGGCTGGGCTCGGCGACGTTGCAGCTGAGACGAGGCCTGTTTAACTTCAGCACTATGATCAAGGAGATGGATGGATGTCCTCACCTGTGGCTGCACAGCAGTGCTATCAGCCGTGGCTGCTTGAGAATCGGCAGGTGCTGATGTAGTCTTGATCAACTGTTAGGAGATCAGCCATGCAGCTTCTGCTGTTCGCACAGGACCTGACTCTACCTTTTCCCGATAGTGTCACATGTAGTCATCAGTCAGATATTCGTTAACATCGTTAAGAGTTGCATCAGCGGAGAGCATGACCACAACATCCCTCACAGAACATCGGATCCTTTTGCACCTATGAGGTTGACCTTGCCTGATCCACCTACTGGCCTTATCCATTTGCTTTCACAGCATACACACCATCCAATGCTCTACGATCACTGGCTCCTCCACGAGGCCTGTCATCGCTGAGTATGCTGAGAATTCATCTGCTGTCAGGCCACCCTCTGCATATGCGATCTTCGTATATGCATGAATCTGCCGTGCAAAGAGCCAACATAGTCGACGAAGCTGCAACACAAGGGTGTCATCAAGGCCAAGTGCAACTGTCTGTGGATCATTATGCTCGGCGATGAATCGCAGTACCAAGCCAATTGCCAATGTCATGAGTGAGAGCTCCAAAGCTGAGGTCAGCATCTCAAATCCCTGATATGGTCGTGCCTCAATATAAGCACAGAAGGTCTCAATTCCCTTCGGTGTGCAGAAGTCGGGAGGGAGTTCACGGTGTGCGAGTTCCCATGATGCCCATGCTGGGCGAGGATATTCTTTGAGCATCAGTGTGACACACTACATCTCTGATCAGATGAATAATCTATCGGAAATCAAAATTGACTTACAGGAGTGAGTCGACAGACTTTGACAAGAAGCCTGTACTCCTTGAAGGTAGACAGAGATAAAAGAAATTCAGATCGCTGAGTTGCCGAAGCAGGCGATCCATCTTCTGGATTATTGCTAATAACAAGCATGAGACCCGATCAGTTGGACCAAAACAGTAACCGCTTACATCAGAGGGGAATTTCATTGCAGAAAGGCTTTATAGGATGGCACAATGCATGGAAGACCACTAACCCAATTGCCTGCAAGCGTCCATTGCTCTCGAAGAGGATGCTCGATAGCTTGCCATACTCCAGGCTCATATTTCCACACCTTTACATATTCTTCAGGAATAGCAGCGGTGTCGTCAGCCAGCAACTGCAGAGCGAAACATCCCGGATTATCCAACCATGCCATTGATAGTTGCTGAATGATATGTTCGAGGTCGAGTATCCTGAAGCCTTGGAATCGGGCAGATGTTGTCAGTAAAATCGCCTTCTGGCAGTCAACCCACTCTAGCTCTGCCGCATCATTTTCAGTGGGATCTGGAAGTGAAAATGCTGGCGGAGGGATCACAATTCTGCTAACATCATGCTTATACCAGTCAGCATCAACCATCATTGACCTGGGCCACAGAATAATATCTTCCAGGTGATTGGCGATCCTCGGATAGAGTTTCCTTGCATGTGCAGTTGCTGCCGGAGCACCAGCAACTCCAGATGAACTCGTGTCTCCCGTCCGAGGAACATCGACAAGATTCTGTGCAGAAAATGGCTGCCATCCCTCCTCATCATAGGCAGTATTGGCAGTGTGCATCGACTTGGCCTTGTTCATCGCAGCCTTCATCTTTACCCCCACTGAGTCATCCTCACCGCTGGAAACATTATCCAAGTCGAACTCCTCCTCAGAATGTGGGGGAACATGCTTCTTCCTCATGGCAGGCTGCTTGCCTTTGCCCTTTGTGTGACGATTGACTCCGACCTCCACCTCATTATCGTTGTCGTCCTGGTCCCCTTCATCTGCTGAATCGCCAACATTCATATCAGTGACATCTTTCTGCTTTTTTCCCCTGGGCTTCACGGCATCACCTCCATCAGCTGCTACCAGAAATTGGAAAGCAACTGAGCCAATAGCCTGCCGATTCACCCAGTGCTTGAGGAGCAAATCGATGTTGTCAACACCGATGTTCCAAGGTTCGGCAAAGACCACGCTGTCTGGCCAACATGCCTCATCAATGTACTTATGGACATCTTCACTGATCTTCTTCCAAGGGCACTTTGCACGCTTGGAATCAACAATCTTTCCTGCATGTATATCATCAGCATGGATACAGATTCACTTTTGAGAATGAAGCTTACGATGCTGGTGAGTCACAATGGCCCAGACCAAATGACGCTTTTGAGTCAGCTTCCACGTCTCCTCAAATGCAGGAATGATGGCATTGCCATCATCATCGATCTCGTGCTGCACGTCAGTAAGTGCAATTTCATCCTCTTCTTCAGCATCATTATCCTTAAGCTCATCGGGAACTAGTCATTGATTAGTGCATGTTGCTTCATATTCCATGGGTATGACTTACTCATAACATTCATTGCCCACATCCTCCACTTCTTCCACGAATCTTTCTGCCAGTCATCGACAGAGTCAGTGAACTTCAGAAAGCCACCAGTATCGGGTGACTGAAGCCTAGGATGGCGGTGAATAAAATAATGCAAATAATGATGGCCGAGACTTACTTGGTGCGCCGAATCTGCGTGAGCTTCTCTGTCAGCAAGGCCAGGAGGATGAGAACCTTTCCTCCCATCTTTGTCTCCACAGTCTGGATGAAGTCTTCACCCATTCTGCCAAGATGCTTTTGAGCATAGGCAATTTGCCCAGCTCGATCCATCTGCGACTCCTCCATCTTCTTCGCAGCAAGCACTTTCAGTTCATCTCGCTCCTTGTCGGTCAGGTCATGCCATTTATCTACAAATGCCTTGGTATACCAGACCAATTTCTCAACTTGATCCTTCGCATCAGGATGCTCCTGGCCAACCCTTTCCAACAGCTCCTCTTGCCATGCCCAGTGTGCAGTCTTTCGCAAAGACCACTTCTGCCCCGTCATCTTCTTTCGCACATCAGCTGCATCTTCCTCCACCGAGAATGGCTCTACATCATCATTGTCCACAGCAGCGGGATCAGCCCCACCTTCACCTTCAGTCGGATCAGGATAATCATCATCCTTGGCCATGCGTTCAGCATCTGCGAGAGAGAACTTGTGATCTGTCGTGCCGGGAATGATTCTGAGATCCAATGCAGCCTTATTATTTGCGAACCAGTTGCCGATTTGCTATGCAGGAAGTGAGAAGATGTAGACTGAAAAAATTTACCATGTCGACGTACTTGAGTGTTGACCTTGGGCCTGTCCCATCCCTTTGCATTCGCCCTTGCTGTAATCGCCTCTGAGACCTTTGTCACAACAGCTGCATGTGCACCATGCTTGCTGTCTCTCCACTTAGGGTAGTACAACACCATCATGGAGCCATTGTTACGCGGCAGCGAAACACGAGCGTCTAGTCGAGTCATCACGAGACAAGGTCTTAGTCTAAGACACAAGTCCGTTCAAGTGACACTTCTGGCGATGTCCTCGCACTGAAGGTCGATCAGAGTTCGTTCTTATGACTCGTAGTAGCTGTCTGCTACTGACGGTCGATCTCAGTCAAAGGCAAGTGAAAAGCTGGTTTAATGGTAACCAGGTCGAGATGGGGATCCAGCTCGACAAGGTCGTCTACTTATACAAAAGGTATCCGCAGTACTACGCAGTAATGCGAGATCGTTCATTGGCTAGATAAGGTGAAACGATATCTGGGCAAGGTAACAGCGAGGAAGTAATATGTATGAGAAAGCTGAGTAAGGTCGTGAGAGATAATCAGTACTAATGGGGATAACTGTTACAAAGCTCCTCTCTGAGGAACACGTGGACGACTTCCGCCTCTACCTTTACCGATCACGTGACAATAACATCACAGAGCCTAGACTGACCATGTGACAATGACGTCACTGACCACATGACCATGATGTCATCATGGTCATCGCCCTTATCTATCCGGCACGGATCTACCTGATCATCTGATGATATGTGCCTTGTGCTCAAGGCATGTTCACCTCATGTGCGAGATCCAGACCTAGGACGCACTTCCTATCACACATGCGACAAAGGCATGTTTGCCTCACCTTTGCCTTACCCTTACGATACAGATACCGAACCTCATGGGCACGGCCCTAGACCCTGATACATGCGCTAGACGCACGACGACCTCGCTGCTGCCTTGTCTTTGCAGCACGACCTTATCTCCATATGGACAGATTGTCTCTCACGCAGAGTCATGACTGACTCAGCATTCTCACGACCGTGGGACAGGTATACGAACCCTGTGCCCTTATATTGATACCGATGGACCAATCGTAGTTCTAGTATTACAGGTAGACAGACGCCTGTATTTGTATATAAGACCGACAGGACAAGCTGGAGTCCCCATCTTGTCCTGGTTACACATCAACCAGTTTTACCATCTACATCTGTGCGACGAATCGACCTTGGTCCGCAGACAGCGGCCAAGTGTTCATAAGACTGCTCCACTGGGCCGACCTCTGGTCATCGCTATGACTGGAGGTCGGACCCCTCTCGATTGACTTGAGACCTTGCAAAGGCCCAGTCACTGACGACGATGAACCGGATGTACGGTGGCGCGACTGGCCCCCGTGACATTAGGACAAGATGATATTTCTTTGGCTCAAGCTCCTATGCTTTAGAGCCTGACGACCCCGACTTCGACCAGTTCACAGACAGCGACTGTGTCCTTTGACCTCTTGACCGAACAAGGCGACGGATACCTTGCACCTCCTGAGCAGACAGCTCATACGACTGAACAAGGCGACGGTTACCTTGCACTTGATTCCTCGTCTTGTCCGAATTGACATTAGGACGACACTACCCGACCTCGACTCGTCCATGTTCGCAGACAGCATAACATTAGGACACCCATGACTACAGAGATGGAGATACCGTGATTTGACACTCCATTCTCTTGACTTCGACCTTGTCCATTGACATTAGGACACCTGTGACGACAGAGATGGAGATACCGCGATTGACACTCCATTCTCCTGAAATCCAACTTTGGAACGACAAAGAAGACCCTTGTCTGGTCATTCCTAGGTGAGACCAGATTTTCATAAGACAATTGATTGGCACCTTGTCCGAGACGAACTCTCAAGAGTTTACCCTTCATTGGGTGACTCTCAGGGGTCGAATCCCCTCATGCGAGGAAAGCTACGACATGTGTAATAATCAAAGACATGTACGAGCCGCATGTGACTGCGAATCGGAAAGGTTTGGCCACCGTAGAATTAGTACCAATTCTATGGACCGTGATGAACTGAGGATGGTGCGCAGCCTTTGACGAAGGACTTAAGTCGCACACTTGATGATCATGGCTGACAACACCGAGTGTGGCGAGATACCCACGGTGCAGATTGATCCCGGGAACGGCAACCCGTATAAACTGTAGACTCTTAATTGAGTCCGATCTGATGACCATTTGATGATTGTGATCCCTGAATGGGAGCTCGGACTGAGCAAGTGGACACTCGCTCTCCACTATAAACAAACGATAGATCTTGGCTGAGAACACCCTGCATGGCGAGTTACCTGGGGTGCAGAAAGATTGACAACTCGATGCCATTACGAGTTGATGACCATGGAATGTTTGAAGATACCGCGAGTTGACACTTCAAAACCATTCCCTGTCGAAGAGGCTCTCGACGTTAAAAGAAACCGACAATCTGAAGAAGATCCTGATGTAACAAAAGGATCTGAACGACGACCGTCGATCACAGCTCTCGACGATAAAGAAACTGAACCTGGATGAACCTTGAATGACATAGTAAAAGGTTCTGACGGAAGACGGATCCTGGCTCTCCGTATAAACCAATGATCCATACCGAATCTAGGCCGAAGGTTCGACGAGGCGACGATTAGCCTGATGATTGAACTTAACAAGAGATTACATCACCGAGGAACGACTTGGAGTTAACAGTACACGACACTCCAATCCCCGATAACGACACCTGATATTAGGAAACCCCTAATGGTCCTTTGTTGACCACCACGATAACGACTCGAGCATGATCAGACAGACATGACTCATTCGATGATGTCTGGAAGTCCCAGACGGTCCTTTGTTGACCACCACGATGACGACACCCGATGCTAGATGCCTAAATAGGTCTAGCAACCCTCGACGATCAGACAGATCTCGATGGGCGAAACTACTATGAACGACAGCCTTCGATATGGCACTTTTGATGACATGCGCGGGGTAGTTCCCCATGGATAGAAAGGATACTGGGTCACGGCCGATCCTTGGATTTGATGTAGACTGTTGTCTCATCATCTGAAAGAATAAACTTGACAAACAGACGAAATTCGATATACGACACAGCGACGAATAGGGCATCCATGGAATATGGATGGAGGAAGTCGATTTCATTCGACACCAACACACGACAAGACCCGACATGAAATATTCGATGAAGTATCACGCTAGGCCGGGGTAGTTCAAACCTAGGCCGGGGTACTTTAATGATGAAGACATGAAACTGGACATGAAACGTGAATGGGAGCTATCGCTTACCATTGGATATTCGATCTGAACCTTTGCTGAGAACACCTAGTAGGGCGAGATACCCGGGGTGCAGAAAGGTTATCAGAAGGACGAACGACCTTGATGAAAGCTGAAAGGCAGGATTATGGCATTCACGGAATGTGAAGGGAGATAACCGACAAAGTGCGGTATCAACCCAAGATAAGGCCACGATTATCCCGATGATTAGAAACATCGAAGACATGAAACCTGAATGGGAGCTATCGCTCACCAGAAGACGACATTTGTCCGTAATGACTTAAAACTACACGATACTTGTCCGCAATGACTTGAAACTAGAAGACGATACTTGTCCGCAATGACTTAAAACTAGAAGACGATATTTGTCCGCAATGACTCGAAACTAGAAGACCCTTGCTGCCCACCCTCTTTTTCCCTTTACGATTTGTTACCTGTTTTTATCGGTTTCAGATCCAGGGTATCTGGTTTTTTTGAATGGGAGCTGATAGGGGATAGTAGGCGAGGATGCATATCCGAGCCAAAGGAATGAGCCCGAGTGCCCGGGTGACGAGGAACGAGTGGAATCGAGGAGTGACGAGTGGAATCGAGGAACGACAAGAGTAATCGAGGACGAGGAACCCTCCCACAAGGGCAAATTTTTTCCCCCCCTCCTCCCTTCCACCACACTCTCTTTCCATCTTGCGAATTTTTGAAGACATCGCTACACTATGAGCCCTCCTGATTTTTAGGCCGGGGTAGTAGTAGGGAAGAATGGGCAACGCGAGTTAACCATTCACTGTGCGAAAGCACAAAGAAACAAGACTAATGGAAGACGACGGGCAACACGAGTTGACCGGTCACTGTGCGAAAGCACAAAGAAACAAGACTAATGGAAGACGATGAACATAGCTGAATAGCTTATGAGAAGAAGACGAACAGAAGACTTGCAGTTGGAGCGAGCAATCCTAAAGGGATGCGAGCGACAAGCAAAACGAAGTTTGCGAAGCTGGATTAACACCCAGGTCAATTTTTTCATTTTCCGCCTCTGATTTACCCAGAATCATGCGATGACATGACACGATGAACAACGATACATGGAATTTCTCCATTCCATTTCCCGACCGACTTTCTTGACGACTTCAATCCAGGGAATTGAAGACCTGAATGGGAGCTGATGCTACAAAGCTCCTCTCTGAGGAACACGTGGACGACTTCCGCCTCTACCTTTACCGATCACGTGACAATAACATCACAGAGCCTAGACTGACCATGTGACAATGACGTCACTGACCACATGACCATGATGTCATCATGGTCATCGCCCTTATCTATCCGGCACGGATCTACCTGATCATCTGATGATATGTGCCTTGTGCTCAAGGCATGTTCACCTCATGTGCGAGATCCAGACCTAGGACGCACTTCCTATCACACATGCGACAAAGGCATGTTTGCCTCACCTTTGCCTTACCCTTACGATACAGATACCGAACCTCATGGGCACGGCCCTAGACCCTGATACATGCGCTAGACGCACGACGACCTCGCTGCTGCCTTGTCTTTGCAGCACGACCTTATCTCCATATGGACAGATTGTCTCTCACGCAGAGTCATGACTGACTCAGCATTCTCACGACCGTGGGACAGGTATACGAACCCTGTGCCCTTATATTGATACCGATGGACCAATCGTAGTTCTAGTATTACAGGTAGACAGACGCCTGTATTTGTATATAAGACCGACAGGACAAGCTGGAGTCCCCATCTTGTCCTGGTTGCACATCAACCAGTTTTACCATCTACATCTGTGCGACGAATCGACCTTGGTCCGCAGACAGCGGCCAAGTGTTCATAAGACTGCTCCACTGGGCCGACCTCTGGTCATCGCTATGACTGGAGGTCGGACCCCTCTCGATTGACTTGAGACCTTGCAAAGGCCCAGTCACTGACGACGATGAACCGGATGTACGGTGGCGCGACTGGCCCCCGTAACAATAACGAGTCGTGTATCAGAACGAGGTAAAGATGAGGCATACATGCACGTCTTGCATGCGCGATAAGAAGAAGGTCCGGAGTTGGATCCGGTGTAACCCTAGACTAGGGGTTCTGGGCATCTGGGTAAAGAATCGGAGGTTGCGCTCCGATGAGTCACGTGTTGGATCACATGGTCTGGTAACGTAAAGGGAACAAGGAAAAGAAAAAGAAAAGACGCGCCACAAGTGGGGAGCGTTGTAACATCAGCTCCCGTCTAACGTTTCTTGTCCCACAAGAAATATTGTGATCTTCATCGTCGTCGGGGGCAGTCGCGAACATAATGATCTCCTCCACATCTGTAGCATGTCCGCCGGCTGGTTCGTGATCCTTGTTCGGGGATACGTCCATTCCTGTAGGGGTGACCGCGATGCGAGGAAGTGGATGCAGTCGAGAAAGATGGTTGGGATAATGAAGATCGTCCACTGGGTACGTGCGAACGAGGAGGGCGAGGTCGAACGGGAATTGGTTCTGGTGACGAGTGAGGAGTGGATGCGGGTATTCCATTAGTGGTGTATCCGAGGATGTGTCCGATGTCTTCGTCCCCATGCTCCCTCCAAATCTCCTGTGCTGTACGAGTGACCGTACTGCGCATCAACGACCAGACTTGGTCGACTCTGGTCCGAGCTCTACTCGTCCTTTCTTCTGCTGCGATGAGCTCTTGTCTGGCCGTCTGCATCCACTCGACCATTTCTAATGCTCGTTGCATGGAAACCACCGCTTGTCGATCTTGCGGGCGATTTCGTAAGGCGACGAGGATATCTGTGAAGTCGACAGGAACACGGATAGCCGAGATCAGACGTGTGGCAAATTCCTGTTCGTCCGATGCATGACTGAGTTCGATAGAAGGTGAGGGCGATGAGGTGCGGATAAAGGGTGTCTGTGCTCGAGAGGGTACTCCATTGACAAGCGTAGGCGATGCGGGTATGCTCATAATTGTGGAGGCGACTTCAGCGAGTATATTGTGAACAAGGTCGTCTATAGCGGAAGTGGGCATTGATGATATGTCGTTTTCTCCTCCTTTTATACCTTTCGGTCGTTAAGGGGGTCGCGGTTATCTGTGATGTGAAATAGAATGTCGTGGATCCGGGTAATAATCAAATAGATGAAAATCCATTGGACGATAAAGAGTATTCCCACAGAGATAAGAACTGCCTGATCAGTTCCAGGCATCGTTCTGATCACCCCAGCCGTTAGCGTGCGGGCTGTCTCGCGTGAAGAGTGTGTGTTCGACAAGTCGTCTGATAAGGATTCGGTGGATGATCCAAAGAAAGGCGAGGGTTGTGCAGTGGAGGACGATTAGGAAGATGACGAGGAAAACCGTCGTGGTAGTCATTCCGGGTTTCTTCTCCTCTACTGGATTCCCCTGGTCCTTTCATATGCATCGAGGATTGGCTTGGCATTGTGTAAATTGTGGGTAGGTTCCCACGAGTTTTCTGCTGAAGAATATCCCTTCCACTTGACTAAGTACCTCAGATGACCTCGGTACATCTTGTGATTCAGGATGGCTTCGACTTCGTACTCTTCCTCGTTATCAACGACATCAGGTGGTGGGTTCATGTAATTCGGACCATGTATGTCGTTTTCGCGATAAGGAGATAGAAGGGCGGCGTGGAATACGGAATGAACTCGCCAGGTCTTCGGGAGTTTGAGACGATAGTTGGCCGGTCCGATGACTTCGACAATTTCGAATGGCCCCTCACGCTTTGGAGCTATCTTGCGCGAGGCATAATTGACCTTCAGGTTCCTCGAGTCTAGCCAGACCTTCTGTCCTAGTGTAAACTTCGGCGATCCTTGTCTGACTCGGTCCGCCATCTGTTGTCGGGCTAACTCGTGCATGGCTAGTGCTTCTAGTCTTATCTTCTGCAACATGTCAAGCCTGGATTCAACCGATGGAATGTTCGTGGACGGAAATACGGAAGGGAGTCCACGTGGTTCGTATCCCATCATGATGCGGAATGGGCTCATCTTCCGTGCTGAGTGTTCCCTTGTGTTATGACAAAACTCGAGGTCTGGCAGGCGGTCGGCCCATGTTTCAGGGTTGTTTCCGCAATAGAGTCGAAGATAGATTTCCAGCTCCTGGTTGACTCGCTCAGTTTCTCCGTCCATCTGAGGGTGATAAGCAGTGCTCATTGATGATCTGATCTGGAGTAGTCGATTTAACTCTTGGAAGACCTTAGATGCGTATTGAGGTCCTCTATCCGAGATGATTCGGTCGGGTAATCCAAATCGCGAGTATACTTTGTCATGAAAAATCTTGGCTGTTCCTTCGGCTGTGATCGTTTTGAGGCAGGGCGTAAGAATCACCCCCTTCGTAAGGTCATGGTCTACTACGACCATAATTGAATCAAAACCATTGGAAATGGGAAGGTCGGTAATAAAATCGGTGGTGCAACAGGAAAATGGTAATGCGTGTGGGTCGGCGGGAATTGGTTCCAAAGGAATACGCGTTGGATGAGTGTTCGGTTTCATTTGTTGACAGGCGGCACAGCCTTCAACATAATTGTAGACAAATGTATACATGCCGGGCCACCAGAATTCACGACGTAACAGTTCAAGAGTGTTGAACTTTCCAGGGTGACCCATGGCAGGGGAGTCGTGATGTAGTCGAACGAGGTCACGACGAAGAGTTTCAGATGGTGGAACGTAGATCTTTCCCTTGTAAAGGATGACCCCATCGCGAACTTCCCAGTCGGAAAGCGATGATTTCATGGGGAATGGCCCTTTGTGCGCAATCGCTTCGAGGGCTTCGTGAACAATGAGGTCTTTTGCTGCGTGATTCCTGATTTCATCGAATAGTGTCGGGGAAATGGATCGCATGAATAGTGTGTTGGGTAAAAGAATGCGATCTTCGTTGTCACTTTCACTGTCATCGAGTCCGTTACGACGAGATAGCGCATCAGATTGGATCATCTGAGTGCCAGGGACATGGATGAGGTGAAGATCAAATTGTGATAATTTGAGACTCCATCGTGCTTGTCGGCGGTTTAACTTCTGAGCTGTACGGAAGTACGTGAGGTTCTTGTGATCACTGCGAACTTCGACGGGATGGGGAGAGCCTTCAAGATAATGGCGCCATTCAGTGAGGGCTCGAATGATTCCGAGGAGTTCGCGGTCGTAGATTTCGTAGTTCCGTTCAGCTGGATTGAGCATCTGTGAAATGTAGGCACAAGGATGGAGGTCTCCATTGATATCGGCTTGGCGTAAAACTGCACCCGTAGCAAACTTGGAAGCGTCGGATTCAACAATAAAGGGTTTTGCCTTGTCAGGCAGTAACATACTGGGGCGGTACTGAATCGTTGCTTCAATGTGTCGAAAGCTGTCTGACATTCTGTTGTCCATTCAAAAGGTGGGGATCCAGCGGCAGTGCACGTAAGATTCGTCAATGGTTTGGCAATATCCGAGAAGTTGGCAATAAACTTCCGATAGAAGTTTCCAAACCCTAGGAAAGAGCGAACACCTTTTACCGTGCTTGGTTCAGGCCATTCTGCAATTCCTTTAAGTTTGATAGGGTCCATGCCAATGTAGTTTTCTCGAATGATCATGCCTAGAAATTCGACTTCTTTAACATCAAAGAAACACTTTTCCGGTTTAAGGAATAAGTCGTTGTCTTTGAGTCGTTGGAGTACGTGTCGGGTTCGAACGTGATGTTCTTCCAAATCGTTTGAGAAGATGAGGATATCATCCATGTAAATGACTATCCATCCCTCATCGATCATGTCCTTGAAGAGTGCGTTCATCATCATTTGGAAAGTCGCCGGGGAGTTGCAGAGTCCAAAGAACATGACCATAGGTTCGAAAAGTCCGCGATTTGTCTTAAATGCGCCCTTCCATTGGTCACCATCTTTGATTCTGACATTGTTATATCCGGAGCGTAAATCCATTTTCGTAAAGATCGATGCGCCTTTGAATTGATCCATAAGGTCAGAGATGAGCGGAAGAGGATAGGCGTTTTTCACCGTCCCTTCATTCAGGTATCGGTAATCCTGACAAGGACGTAGTGCTCCGTCTTTCTTTCCTACGAAGAAAAATGGTGAAGCCATGGGAGATTTCGACGGTCGGATGTATCCTTTTCGCAGATTTTCTTCCAGGAAGTCATCCATCGCTCCTTGTTCTTTGAGCGATAATGGATAGACTTTACAGTCGTGTGGAATAAAATCGGGTTTCAAGTCAATGGCGTGGTCCCACGGCCTGGTTTCTGGAAAGCGTTCAGCTGCTTTCTTTTCAAAGACGGACTTCAAATCGTGGAGGTAGTTGGGGACCAACTCCTCGACAGTTTTGGGTTTGTCTACAGCTGATGCTTCTTTGTGTGCCTGTTGTGCCAATTCTTGTGATTTACCGGATGGTTTGTAAAAGACCGTATTCTGTGCGTTACAGAATAATGGGGATCGAGTACTGTGTGTCATTCTTCCAATGGCGGGGCCTCTTCGTATGGTGAAGACTGCGGTTTCAGTCTCTTCATTCGTCAAAGGTGACTCCTTCCTGATGGGTTCAAATATCCCAATGACTGGCTCTCCTGCGATATAGGATATAACTAGATCGTCATCATCGAGCTGATCCATAGGGGATTCTGATGGTAGGTCATCTAGTTCGGTATCATTCCGCACTGCGGGTAACTCGCCACGCTCAGTGTTATCGGTCATGATTTCTCTGATAGATTCCGAATGCCCAAATGAGGTAGGGGAAGTTTCGGTGGTGATTAGCTCTGGGAGTCCATCTCCCTTGAAAATCGAAACTTCTTCATTTGGTGCATCTTCGACGGTGGGTTTCGGTGGCCATTTGGCATCTTTACCAAACCAAAAGTCACCGGTTTCCCAGTTGATCATCGGATTGAGGCGTTTAAGCCACGGCATGCCGAGAAGTATGTTTTCTTTGCCAATGCCGGTCAAGAGGAAACGAGTAAGTGTCTTCCTTCCTCCAATTTTCATCATCTTCCAGGTGCAATGAGTAATGGTACCCATTTGATTTGGTGTGCCATCTGCATTCATGACCGTAATCGGTTTCGGTAATTCCCACCTGATGAAATCGTTTTCTTCCGCAAAACGAATGTTCATGAACGTTTCGGCTGCACCGGAATCGATCAAGGCTTCTGTTGTAACGTCTTCCTTCTCTCCCAACGAAATATTCACAGTGATTGAATTTCCGCTAGTGTTACAAATAACGAGGGGAGATACGGTAAGATGCGACGGTCCATGCATTACTAGTGGCCGTCGTCTCAAAAACCCAATTGGGTTCGTTCTTCGTCAGTCATGTCGTTGAAGACGTTTCGCACATAGGCGATCTGTTCCTCTCTGGTTTCTTCCTTCAATGTCTCCTTCTTCTGTGCGAGGTCTTCTCGCATCTTCTTGATCCATGTGATCGTGTCTGTGTCTAACCCGGGCTGTATCGTTCTAGCACGGGTGAAACTTCCAGACTGGGGGTGAAATTGTCTGTCGTTGGCTATATGGCCCTTCTTTCCGCATAGGAAACATAATCCTTCTTTCATTCTCTTCTGTCGCTCGTCTGGGGATAAGCGCGAGATATTGACACGATCAACATCCATCGCGTTTGGATCCTTTGCAGAAGCCGAGTAGTAGGGACGATGGACAGATCGGCCCTTTCCTCGCGTCGTCGTAGTGGCTCCTCGCTTGAAGATCTGAGCAGATCTCCATTGGTTATCAAACCGCGAGGCGTATTCGTACCACTTGTCAAGTGTCTTGGGCATGCTTTCCATCCCATATATCCTTTGTCGGAGTGGGTCGTTAAGTCCCCACTTGAAATACTCGATATTTCCGGCATCTTCTAGTTTCGCCTTGGATTCAAGCGATCGGAATTCAGCAATGTAGTCGTCCGCAGTACGAGTTCCTTGCTTGATGTTACGCAGCAAGGTACGAGCGGTTTCTTCAATATTTTCATCGCCAAATGCTTTGTTCACACTTGCAATGAAGTCTCTCCAACTCCCATAAGAAAGGAAGTCATCATTGGTGAGTTCCGTTTCTATGAAGCTCTGTGCCCATGATCCTGCTGTTCCTCCTTGCATGTGCGATAGCACGAATGCGATCTTCTGATTGTCCTCCTGGTAGACATGGCTATTTCCGGCCATGTAGTTCTTGCATTGGTTTATAAATTCCCTAAGCTTCGAACGGTCTGAACCGTTGAAGATCTCGGGTTTTCTAAAACCAAGTTCCTTCTGGCTAGCATGGTGACGTCCTTCATCCATGGTAACTGTAGCCATCGGTGGTATGTAATCGGGTACGATTGGTGCAAGAGTCGGTTGGGGTACAGGATTCTGGGCAGGGGGGTTCCAAGGGGCGTCTGGTCTTTCTCCTGGATAGGAGGTCGTTATACCGCTGTCTGCGATGTGCTGGAGCACTATTCCACCAAGATTATGGGGAAGTGTCCTTTCAAATTCCTCTGGGGAGTAGTCGAAGTTGTGATTGTCTGGCCTGATGAATACAGGCCTTCCTCCTATGAAATGTGCGTTTCGTTCTGTGCTCCACTCCGCTTGGGATGGGAGGTGCTCGCGGTACTGCTCTGGAAGAGCGGTCGGGTTGATGTAGTTAAAATCCAGCGTGGATAAATTCTTCTGTGTGGCCTATGTCTACACGTAGACTGCACACCGTCCTTAACTAAGTGGGTTCGTTCGTCGTCGGCTAACAAGCCCGTAGAGTGTCTTCTGTCTTCAAACTGATACACCTATTTGCTGATTGCTCGAGTGATTACCTCAGCCTCCTCGGCCTATTGGTCTCTCGGACAGACCCCTCTCCGAAGATGAGTGATCAGTCTATCCCTTCAGCTACCTCGATTACAGAATAATCTCAAACGGTGCTTTAGCAATCGAATCGGGTGTATCGTTCAGTCTTCAAGGTTCGGTCCGGTCGGTAGTTCGTTGTTAGACTCTAGGAAGTCACAGAGAGTAATAAGATCTCGACCTAATGTTACGCGGCAGCGAAACACGAGCGTCTAGTCGAGTCGTCACGAGACAAGGTCTTAGTCTAAGACACAAGTCCGTTCAAGTGACACTTCTGGCGATGTTCTCGCACTGAAGGTCGATCAGAGTTCATTCTTATGACTCGTAGTAGCTGTCTGCTACTGACGGTCGATCTCAGTCAAAGGCAAGTGAAAAGCTGGTTTAATGGTAACCAGGTCGAGATGGGGATCCAGCTCGACAAGGTCGTCTACTTATACAAAAGGTATCCGCAGTACTACGCAGTAATGCGAGATCGTTCATTGGCTAGATAAGGTGAAACGATATCTGGGCAAGGTAACAGCGAGGAAGTAATATGTATGAGAAAGCTGAGTAAGGTCGTGAGAGATAATCAGTACTAATGGGGATAACGAGTCGTGTATCAGAACGAGGTAAAGATGAGGCGTACATGCACGTCTTGCATGCGCGATAAGAAGAAGGTCCGGAGTTGGATCCGGTGTAACCCTAGACTAGGGGTTCTGGGCATCTGGGTAAAGAATCGGAGGTTGCGCTCCGATGAGTCACGTGTTGGATCACATGGTCTGGTAACGTAAAGGGAACAAGGAAAAGAAAAAGAAAAGACGCGCCACAAGTGGGGAGCGTTGTAACAGCCATAGGGCTTCGACCAACGAGCTTTGCCAGCCATGGTTGATAGTAGGGCTTTTGAAAGGATGAAAGTACTGGAATTGCTGTTGTAGCAGATGGTGGGAAGAGGCAAGATGGAAATTTGGGCAGGGCCAAGGGTGCCAAAAGTGCACATGGTGGTGTGTGATGTGATCATGTGACTTAAGCGCCCGTGCATCGTCTGGCATACCGGCATGGCTTCGCCTTATTCATGCTTCATGGATACAAACTCAAGTATTACAATTTTTTCTAACTACAAAGATGGAAAACAAAAGGTGACTTGTGATGACTGAGGGCAGGCCCTCCCTCATTCGCCACAAGCACCAGGAAGAAGGGAAAAATGAAAGAAAATAGACTACAAGGAAAGTACAAATACAATCTGAAAAACACTAAAAGGAAGTCAGAAAACGGTCGGAAAACATTAGAAAATGCTCACCTTGTGCGCTGCATTGCTCGAGCTGCAGTGACCGTGGTCAATTTTCAGTACATGTGTAAGAGGCTGTGGAAACATCAAGAGGTCAGTATTCTTCAAAATGCAAGGAAAAAAACTCACCGGTTCTTTCAATCCACTATAGGATTTGGCCTGGTCTTCACCACTGCCATAAAACCCACCATATGCTGAAGAACCCTTGTCAGTATCTGTATGACGTGCTGTGGAGTACTTACCACATCTTCCTTACACTTCCTGTACTCGCACCATACCATGCAAAAAGAAACAAACAAGTAAAAAAGACTGACCTTGTGGAGCAGGCCAATGGCGGCTCCACGCATGACTCGCACAGCACAAGGCTGATGGCTGGCGACAATGTAATGTGCAGAGCACATATGCGCCTAGACGCAAGTACGCCGAAGCGCATTGACACTGAAGTGCAAAATCCCCCAATTCTCATATATACCGGGTGAGAGGCGCGAGTGGGTCGCCCCCGCAACGCGGAGCCCTCTGCAGCTCGTCGCCACACGCCCAGTGATCCCCCAAATCTCAAGTACCAGGTGAGGAATGCGAGTGGGTCGCCCCCACAATGTGGAGCCCTCTGCAGCTCGCCACCGCATGCCCAGTGATCCCCCAAAACTCAAGTACCAGGTGAGGGACGCGAGTGGGTTTCCCCCACAACGCGGAGCCCTCTGCAGCTCACCGTCGCATGCCCAGTGATCCCCAAAAACCCACATGTACCCCATGACTGGCCAAAGACCAGCCATGGGATGATGTCAGTAAAGTGCATATTACATAATACTATCTACAGGAAAAGAAACAGTTACCTTACAAAGGCACGCGCAAATAACTAAGCTTTGACACTGCATGCCTATGGCAATATGCAGCAACAAAGCTCAGCCACTTGTGGCCAGCTTGCTGGAAGGGGATGGTGGCACACCTTTTAGTCATGTTACCTGAACTGAACTCCCATTTACCCTGACATTTTCATGAACTGGACAGCCAGCGAACGTCGGCCCATTGTCACCATGTTGACCTCTACCAGCAGTGGACCCATATCTTTCATGTGTGGGATACTAGCAGTGGGCCCACCCCTAGTGTTCTTCTCCCAGTGCTTGGCCCACTAGTAGGGCATATTACAGTGTTGTAACCATTAAGCAATGGGCCCACCGCCACAGGTCAGAGGGTGGGCCGACGCCAGAGCATGTTATCACCATCAATGGGCCCATTGCCACGAGTGTAAGATGATGGATGGGCCCACCGCCAAAGGTCGGAGTGTTGGCCATGGCCAGAGCATGTTTGTCTGAGCAATGGGCCCACCACCAGAGTATGACGAATGAGCAGTGGGCCGATCGCCAAGAGTGTAACCTGAAGGATGGGTCCACCGCCAAAGGTTAGAGGGTTGACGATTGCCAGAGCATGTTATCGCCAGCAATCGGCCCATCGCCAAAGCACCTTCAGTGAGGGCCTTACTGCAAGCACCCATGGGATAGGTCATCGCCAGGACATGTTTCCACCAGCAATCGGCCCACCGCCAAAGGTCAGAGGGTTGGCCATCACCAGAGCATGTTACCGCCATCAATGAGCCCACCGCCAAAGTGTGATCAATGAGCAGTGGGCCCATCGCCACGAGTGTAAGGTGAAGTGTTGGCCAATGCCAGAGCATGTTTCTCTGAGCAATGGGCCCACCACCAGAGTATGATGAATGAGCAGTGGGCCCATTGCCAAGAGTGTAAGATGACCGATGGGCCCACTGCTAAAGGTCAGAGGGTTGGCCAATGTCAGAGCATGTTATCACCAGCAATCAGCCCATCGCCAAAGCACCCTCAGTGAGGGCCTTACTGCAAGCACCCATGGGATAGGTCATCGCCAGGACATGTTTCTGCCAGCAATCGGCCCACTGCCAAAAGCCAGTGGGTTGACGATCACCAGGATATATCATCGCCACCAATGGGCCCATTGTCACATACAGCCCTGCAGTTTCCGGACGCATTGGTGGTGATGACGTGCTCTGGTGATCGTCAACGCTCTGACCTTTGGCGGTGGGCCCATCACTTACCAGCACTCATGGCGAAGGGCCAATTTGTGGCGAAAACACGGCTTGGCGATGGCCAACCCTCTGACCCTTGACGGTGGGCCCTTTGCTGGTGGAGCAATATTCCTATACAGTGAAGCTCTCACTCAGGTCCTTTGGCGATGGGCTAATTGCTGGCAACAACATGCCTTGGTGATGGCGAGCGCAGTCTGCCCATCTCAAGAGTACACTGGAGGAGCGATGGGCTTTAGAGCTTAGTGATGCAGAAGTGAATGTATCCATTTTGTACTGGTATACGAGCTGTTACATAGCAGTCATATATTGCTAACACCAGAACGCTCGAAGAAACTAGTTCAGTTGCTGTGATATGCCTCACCATGAATGTCCCTCAGAATGTACCCCATTTGGAGCACGGTCGAGCTGGCATTGAGGTTCACAACATGCATATTCTCAGTGAGGTTGAGCTCACACTGAAGATGTACAATGCGCTCCTGCAACATGGTGCAACGACGACTAACCGCAAAGCTATCACCTTCATCATCGTCCACTATGAATAAGGTCAACATCAGACTGAAGGTTGCCAGGGATGTACTCACTGGAACTGTCTGCCTCTGCTGCGATCTGCGCAAACGATCTACTGAGGCAGGCCACTTGTGAGCCAGAAGCGGCATTCATCTCTCCAGGAACTGCCATTGGCAGCAGCTGTGTGGTATCTGGGAATAAGCCTGGAATCTGTTCCCAATGGGTGGGACGATGGATCAGCAGCTCATCTGGAAGTGCTGCCAGACTTGGCATCCTGGAAGTAACAGTGACTGGCTCGATGCTGCCTTTCATATAGTGAATGACAGGTGCATCATGGCAGAAATTGCTGTCATCGAAAGTGCGAGCTGGCGAGTGAGAGGGCACCGATGGCGGAGGCGGTGGACTTAAAACATCGTCCAACAAAGGTCGCCTCTTTAGAGGCGAAGCACTGGGACTATTTAGCCACCGGACCTGGCTATGCACAGGCGTCGTGCCAGGGCTGTCTATCACCAGAGCTTGCCATCGTCCTGGCATGGTGGGAGGACTATTGTCAAAGTCCAACAGTTTCGGCACTGGTTTCACATCAAGTGTCTCATCCACCAGCATGCACCTTGCCATCGGCATACTTGCTTCACTATCGAAGTGGATGGACGTACGTGGCATAGCGTCAAGGGGCTCAGCGATGAGCGATCGTCGAGGGAGTGGTGAGGTATCAGGAGTGCAAAAGTCGAAAGTGTGAGCTGGCGGAGGAAGGGGAGTAGCTTCCAACAGGACACGTCGAGGAATTGGCGAGATGCCAGGAGTGTCGAAGTCGAACATTCCACCGGGTGCAGTGGGGGTGGAATCTAGGATGAGTGCATGCCTATGGATTGGCGAAGTGCCACGACTTCCCTCCACAGGCGCCACAGATCCAGATGATGCCTGTACCTTTGGCAAGGTGTGGCGGTGGAGATGCTCATGTGGCGAGTTGGATGGCACAAAGGGAGCCGCCATGGATGGGGTAGTGTGGCGGGGCGTGAGGGGTGTCTGAGAAGCAGAGTGGAGAGGCAAGGAGATCTGAGCAGCTCCAGGAGAGTCAAGGAGATCTGAAATGAGTGGACGACGGGGCTCAATGATACTATTCTCCTCATCCAACTTGCCCATCATAATGTCCAGCATGTCAGGAGGTTCCGCATCACTGGCCATGACAGGTAGATTGTGGCGAGCAGACAAGTCTTCGATCAGTCCTGGATCGCGGGAGATCAGTTGTAGAAAAAGGATTGATATGACATAGAAAGGTCAGATAACGTCACAAAGGAGTCAGATTCCACAAGGAGAGCAATAGAACTTACTGTTGGGAGCCATGAGAACTTGCGGCAGGTCACACTGACCTTGAGAGACTTGAGAAATTGCACAAGTCCAGTGATTATGTGCAAAGCACGTGGTCGCATGGCGTGTGAAGTTGAACTTGGTGCAGATCGTCTCTGCCAGCTCATAGTGTCGTCTGCTCTGCCTCTGCTATGCTGCAACCTCTGCTTTTGAAACACCCTCACGCTTTCTTCTGCCAAGCTCACCATGCCTCTGGATATCGACCCTAACTATGTTCTGCAGGCCGCGCGACTGACGGCCATTGTTGCAGCGGCACCTCGCCAGGACGATCCTCGCTATCCAGACTGGGAGATGAGGATTTACCTCGAAGTGGTAAGTCATTGGTTGAAGGTCTGGCATGCACTCACCGAATATGCCACACAGAGTCGGCTTGAAAAGAGTTTCCCGCAGCCCTTGAAGTCGTTGAGGATGCCTGGGATCGTCATCAGCGCGTTGCTGGAATTCACCCGGGCATACCAGCAGAAGGCCCTGGCGCGGCTGGACCACATATTGAATGATGACGAGAGGATATACAAGAGGTACCCTCTGGCTGTGCACGAGTATGGGGAGTGTGAGGACCTGGGAAGGCAGTGGTGGACTGAAGGTGAGTAACAAGCGTTGTGAGGCATCGAGTGACAAACTGACTGCACCAGATCCATATTGCAAGCTGCCACCAGTGAAGAGTATGCCAGCAGCTGGCTCGGGCAATGTGCCAGCTGATGACGACACCCAGGGACGTGGCGCAGAGGACCTGGGGACCGGGGACCTTATCACCAAGGGCAAAGGCAAGAAGAGAGCTGACAAGGATGCTGGGACAGGCACAGTGGGTGAGCGTATGGTCCACGTGGAGGTGGTGGAGGACAAGGGAAAGGGAAAGACCAAGGAGAAGGCACAGGGTAAGGCGGTGCATGCGATGAGCGAGGAAGAGGATGGGGGAGAGGGAGAGGGAGAGGGAGAGGGAGAGGGAGAGGGAGAGGGAGAGGGAGAGGGAGAGGGAGAGGGAGAGGGAGAGGGAGAGGGAGAGGGAGAGGGAGAGGGAGAGGGAGAGGGAGAGGGAGAGGGAGAGGGAGAGGGAGAGGGAGAGGGAGAGGGAGAGGAGCAGGAGGGGGAGGATGACGACAATACCGACAACGACAATGGTGATGAGGACGATGACAATGAGATGGTGGAAGACATGCTGGGTGCAGGCCAGCCCAAACCCATCGAGGTCGATGCGGCGTCGCCCCCTCCGCCAATGGCCAGACCAATATTGATCTCGCCAGCTGCCCCACCACTCTGAAAGCGCAAGGCGGTCATCACGGAGTCAAGTGAGGAGAGTGAGAACGAGGAGGCGGCTCTGAAGGTGAAGCGGATGAAGCCGATCAAGATCGCAAAGGAGAAAGGTGAGGCCCTGACCACCTCTGCTCGAGCGCAGCATGCCCAGAACAGGATGGCGCAGACCGAGGTTAAGGGCTCGAAGGTGAGCATGAAGAGTGGGAAGAGGAAGGTGAAGGAGTCGAGCGATGAAGAGGAAGTACCGACCATCAAGCCGCCAAAGAAGAAGCATGCGATGAAGGAATACAAGAGCAAGGAGTTCATCGAAAGTGAAGACGAGACTCCGGCGCCGCATTCCAATCTACTCGCCAAGACCGCAGGGGACTCTAACGCTGGTGTTGTGAAGATGAACGCCCCTGCCAAACCTGTCAAACAGACAATGAGGATGACGGTGTCACCTCATGTCGCACCGAAGGCGAAGGTGAAGGTGAAGGTGAAGGTGAAGGTGAAGGTGAAGGCAAAGGCAAAGGTGAAGGTGAAGGCAAAGGCGATGGCGTCACAGAAGGACATGTGGAAAAAGACGTCCACCCGCATGACTGACTTCATGTGGGCACATGCCATGGATTCAGTGAGTAATGATCTTGTGAGAAATTGACCTGTGCTAATGTTCCTGCAGCTCGTCCCTTGTGTCGGCTGCAAGGAGAAAGAGTGGCCATGCAAGCTCAACACTGCCAACTTCAGTCAGTGTCTCGAATGTGCAGCACAAGGCATCAGTTGCAGCATCGCGCCGAGGAACAGAGATGGCATGCCCCTGCGAGAAAACTCACACACCACACAGCGTGAGTTCCAAGAGATGTGCGCAGCCCTGGTGTTAGAGCGCAAGCTGCTGCTGATGTCGCCACCTCCATACGACGTCCACGTCGACTCCGATGAGCCCGATGGTGCAGAACCACTGGTCATGGGAGCGTCGAAGCGCAAGCCGCTGAAGAAGACCAAGATGCGCAATGCTGCGGCATCCAGCTCCAAGGTTAAGGGTGGTGAGGAGGTCGAGGCGATGAAGCAGAAGGTGACCATCATGCCCGATGAAGCCAACGCTGAAGGTGAGGCCTCGGTGGAGAAATCGTCGAAGTCCAAGCACACCACCAAGTCCACCACCGCCACTGGAGCTGTGGCTCCATCAAACTCTGGCGAGGTCACCAACTCTGGTGAGGTCTCCAAGTCTGGCGCGCCTGCCAAGTCTGGTGCGGTCGCCAAACCTGGTGAAGGTAAGAAGTCAGGACCCAAGCCAAAGCCAGTGAGGAGCCAAAACTCCGGTGCGCAAGATGGTGGCGAGGTCACCAGGACCTCAGTATGTGAGGTGAATGAGGTCCCACCTGCCAAGTCTGTTGCAAAGGAGGGCAGGCAGATGACAACGGTGGCGATGGGAGGTCGCTCGGGCCCAATGGTGCCCGTGATCACCAGGAAGGCGAAGGCGAGTGCTCCGAAGGCAGCAGCCAAGATGCCTCTGGCAGAAGGCGATGGCATGGAGGAAGCCGCCAGGCTGACAATGGAGACGGTGCAGGCTATGGCCTTCCAAACAGGGCCAGCTGCTCCGCTGCAAGCTAGCAGCAGTAAGCGCATGCTGACACCAGTCACCGATGAACCAGAGGATGCACCAGAGTATCAGGCAGAGGTGGCAGAGGATGAGGTAAGCAGGACATCTTGTCGCAGCTGGAGTCGATGTAACCATGAAACAGCATGCGTCCTTGGAGCGGCCACACGACGATCAGCGGCATTCGCTGCTGATGCCCCACGAGACGAGCGCAGGAGCTGCTGAGGTGGCACAGGAGGTGACGCCCTCCCTGGAGATATCCAAGACGTCGAAGGGAGCGAAGTCCTCCGCATTGGCGAAGGTGGGACACGTCGATGAAGGGTGAAGGCCAGCAAAGAAGGGTGCCACACTGGACCGCAAGGCAGCGAAGAAGGAGGCGGAGGTGAAAAGGGATGTGAAGGCAAATCGCCTCATAGCAGTGCCTCCGACCAGCAAGGGTGAGTGCGCCCGCCACAGAGTCGAATCCATGCAGCACTGACCTGGGATACAGCACCCCACTTGCGCGACATCCAGCAAGTGTCTACAGGAAGTCCCGCTCCATCAAACAAAGGCAACACCCCCAGTGGCGAAGAAACCTCGCAGTCATCCAACGATGACTGCGTGAATTGTGCCGAGTTGCGACAGGAGTTCCTGGTGCACAAGGATGGGATGGAAGTCCAATTCCAGGAGAGGATGGTGGACCTCAACACTGTCAAGGCGGAGATCACAGCGGCGCTCCAGCGAATCAACCCGCCATCCGCGCTTCAAGAAAATGCCTGAAGCATTTGCAAAGAGGTCAAGTTGGCGATGGAGGAGTTTCGCAGGCCGGTCACCATCGAGCTACAGGAGAGCATGAAGTTGGCAGTGGCGGACCTCGTTGCCAAGCGACATTGCCTGCCAGAGCTCAAGGAGAAGGTCAACAGGTTGGAGCAAGGCGCAAACCAGATGGTGAGCCAGGTGAATGTCGAGAAGCTGCAGGGTGAATTGGCCGACCTTCGTCATTCGATGGAGCTCCAGGCAGCGTGGTCAGACAGCATGGAGAAGGAGCTCAGGTCTTCAGTGGCAGAGGCGATCGCTCAAGCGAGCAAGCTGGAGATGGAATTGGCGCTCGCCAAAGAGGATTCGATGGCAGTGGCGACGTCCACTTTGGATAAAGTGAAGAAGGTGGGGAAGGAGGTGGCGACGGTGAGAGAGGAAACCTCGCTGGTGGTGAAGTCTTTGGACGCATTCTGAGAGAAGGTCGACTCTGCCATGGTCTTCACTGCCTTTCGCCCAGATAGCCACAATGTGTAGTCATTAGAGTATTGATATACATGCTTTTTAACCTAGCATGGAATCTCCATGCACTCAACTCACCACTGCCACTCCAAGTCAACTGAATGCCTGCTGAAGTTCTTGCCCACTCCCCTCGCCATTGCCACCATCTCCATGGCTTTACCTATGTAGATCTATGGGTCACATTAAACAATGTGGAAGCCTACGAGTCTACTTTGAACTGGAGTTATATTGTCAAGGTCTGGTGCCGCCACTGCGGGTCTTGCGACCTGTGCCAACTTGGCCACTCTCTTTCACTTTGGCGGCTGCTTTCCCCAGATGCACCGGCTTCAGCTTGGTTTCTCCCTTGTCCTTGACCTCCGGGGTCTGAGGCAGAGCTCGTCTTCACTTTGTGGGAGGCTTGTCACCATCATCCGAGTCCTCGGCCCTCACATTCTTAGGCCACTACCAACTCGTCCCAAGTACCATGTCCACGCTTCCAAGGTGGCAGATTGTCTTCGCCAGAGCTGTCTTCGCCATCAGGCTCGGGACATGCTGGTTGACATTTCTGCTTTGGATCAGGAAGCTTCTTCAAATCTTTAACAGCTCCTAGTGGATGCTGACTGCGGGTATTCTTGGCGGGCAACTCATCCATCGCTTGACGCTGACTGCGAGTGATCCTGCTGGGGATATTACTCTGAAGGGCATCGGTGATCTACCTTCCCTGGAGCGCTTTGGCTTGACCTGACGGACGGCCTTCCATGGCTGACACCTTCCTCGTCTTAGGTATAAACGGAGGCAGTGGCAGTCGTTCAGCACCACTGCTAGGTACGGACAAGTGTGCATCGTTCTCTTTGCCATCATCAGAGGCCCCGCCACCGGTCTCCTGGTGCGGCCCTTCATCTCCTCCACTTGGAATGATTGGGTTGTCAGCCATGGGGGCAGGCTGGTGAGCCTTGTGAACTTTGGCAGTGGTAGCAGTGCCATCGTGAGTTCTTGCAGAGGCATCACCTTCCTGCTCCTCCTGGCCCCCAAGGCCATCGCCACCTTGTGGGGCACCAGGTATGGCAGGCTTGCTCACTGGCTTCACCATGGCATGGGTGACGTTCCCTTCCACCCTGTCCAAGGTAATGATCTCGTAACAGTGAAGCAGCTGCTCTACTGCATCAAGTGAGATCGCCGAGTTCACCACATAGTCGGGAAGGTTGGTCGGTTCGCCCTCCTCAATAAACTGAGATCGTGTGAGGTCCCTCAGCACCATACCAATCACGAGTGCAGATTGTTGTACGCCCTGTGGATGTAAGAACCAATATTTTGTGAGCCATGGTTTGTCGCCCAACCAGTTCTTGACGATGTCAAAGTTGTCCACTGCATGGAATGAAGGCGGGAGGTAGCACTGGCTATATGACCATTCGCTCCAGGGAATCGGATCATACCTGGCAAAATGATACACCTGGGGCTATATGACGGATGATCAATGGTGGCTATGAATCCCCACGAGAGGAGCTCACCACAGTCGCAATCTTGACTTGCTTCAGCATATCCTGGTATCGCGTTTTGACGGAAAGGGTGGCGAGAAACACGTCTCTCCTTTTGATGAGGTGGGGCACAGTACTCCCCACAGTACTCCCGCCAGTGAGACGTGGGGCTCGGCCTTGAAGCATAAGCCTGAGCTCCTTTGTACTGGGCTCCAGTTCACTCCATGCTTCATCGGTCTCCTCTGTGTCAAATCTGTGCAGTTCGCCCAGAGGAAGGTCTTGGAGACCTCGCTTTGCCTTCATCTTGGCACCGCCGCTACCACTCGCTTGAGGTGCACCACCATTGTTAGCCTTACGTCCATTGGTGGTGGCGACTGCCTTGCCCTTCGCTTTATTTGCAATCACGCTCTCGCCATCCCCTGAATCTTCATCGCTGGCCGTATCTTCTTCGGAAGCCATGCTGGGTATATCTGGCGAACTCTGATCAGAGTCTTGGCTGCTTCTGGCATCATCTTCCGAGTCGTATGCATCTTTTGTCTTGCGTTTACGCCCACCGCCTTTGGCTCCGCCAGGGGCCGCTTTGCCCTTTGTCGCCTTCAATGCCGCCTTTCCCGTGACCTTGCGCACAGGTTTACCCTTCTTCTTCGCCTTCCCCGCCTTCTTAGGTGTGAGTGCTTCTTGGACCTCATGTTCAGATCCTTCTTCTAATGCCTGTGCTGATCCGTCAAGTGGTGGAAGAGGATCATACTTGGCGGGAGCAGCTTCGCCATCCTTGTCGAAGTACTGGGTGAATCGCATGGTCTGCTCAGGTCCATGTTCCTCTTGGCATGCCCGCCAGTGGTCGAGGAGGGCACAAACGGGAACACTTGTCAACTTTGAGGGATCGATCCACTGGAAGTTCTCAGGTAGCATCTCCGCTGGAATAAACTCATTGATGTCGTCTATGCTGTTCAGCTTCGTCCATGGCGACTTGCAGTTCCAAACACCCTTTGCCAATGCTGTAAACTGGTCAGCATCTCTCAACACCCGGTGAGAGTGTCATACCATAGTGATGATTCATGAAGTCTCGAACTTGTACCTTCATCACCTTGAGAGGCCTTCCACCATACCTTCGGGCACTGACGGGAGCAGAGGAAAACCATTGGCAGTCAACCAAATCTTGTCCATGGCCTGCATGCAATCGGCAGGTGTCTTCTTCACCGTCACCATAGTCTCAGTCACAGCTAAGGAATCAGGTCAGTGTGCCAGCGACAATGCAACTGAGGTCTTCTTACCGTATTCGCCTTTGGCCCACTCAGAGAACACCTTTGCTAGAGGCTGGTAAGCACGCAGCCACCCAGGATAGACCCCGAATGGAGTTCCATTGGTGATGGCATGGTTAACCTCCACCCTTCACTCGGGGGTTAGCAGATGGCGACAGTCGGACGGTCTACGCTCACATCTCTACCTTCAGACTCCCCGCTTCCTTCGGATATGCTAGCATGAATGCCATGCGAATGCCCATGGTGTCCCACATAGTCTTGGCAAACTTCTTCAGATATTGCATCATTCGCTGCTCCCTCAGCCTGTCTTAGGTCAGGATTTGCCTTATGCTACGTGACAGGAGGTACGCACTTCATTTTTGTCTTATCATCTAGAGTGCCATTGCGCCAACTCTCTGCCTTTTCCTCATACACCTTCTGCTCCTCCTCGGACAGTTTTGCCCATTCGGCACTCCGTGCGACTCTCCACACCTTGGAGACATTGCAACCCTTTTCTGCCATGAGTGCTCTTGCTGCCTCAGTCACCTTGTCCCTCTCCAGCGCATCCCACACCTTGAAGGCATTGGGCTTGCCAGAAACATGCATACGCTTTTTCGTCGCTTTCTCCTGCGCATGGCGGGCGTGGTTATTGAGCCACTCTCGGATTTTCTGCGGTGAGAGTTAGTGGGGACCTCACAGACATGAAACACTGCTCACAGTTTCCACAATGATGTCGTCATAATTTGACGTGTCGACAAACTGTGTCTTCAGCTTCTGGCGCAAGCTCTGAACCAGAGTCTTGCAACCCTTGGCATCTGCCGTGTCATAAGACCGCAGCTTCTCAGAGAGTATGGGCTGATGCTCCGTCAAAATTACAAATCTCGCCGGCATGCTTTCTCAATGTCGAGGATGAGATTTTTGTGTTAGGGCAGTGAAGGGGGTCGATAGTTCAACAGGCAGCGCTCTGTCTATTTCATTGTCAGCCGCCCACAACTCAACATGCACGTGCTGATGGCCCATTTGGGCTTACACCAATTACCCTCATCGCCATGGTGTGTGGTGACTGCTGAAGCATTGTATGTGTATTTTTCGCAGTGGCGGGAGGTGGTAGTAGGTATGCACTAGCATTCATGCCTGGTGAAAGGCAATGTTGAACGCCGCTTCTATGGCAGAGCACACCACGCCAACTCTATCTCGCGAATGCTGGGTGGAGGCAATCTGGCGATCATCTGCATGCCAATCTGTGGGATAAAGGGCTTCCTCGGAGTTAGGCTCGGCCAATTAGATGGCAGTGACGAAGGGCCCAGACATGGCGGACCACCCGGCCCGTGATCCGGCATGGCGGCATTAAGTCCGGCTCGGCGGCATGATGAACATGTGAGATGTGCAAGGGACGTGCTTGCAAGCAATATGCAGGCAGATGAATGCATACTGTTCTTTGCCATTCTGGCCCCTCCTACATTCTCCCCTGCATCTGCAAGCCAACCGCCTGAGCCCGCCATACACCTGTGCGTTCCTTCAACCGATGCATGCTGTAATCATCCCATTGATTGGCAGACAGTATCAAGATGAGCAATCTGTCACCCATGCCACTGACCGATCAGATAGCAGGAGTCTTGGAGCTCATGTTCCGCCAAAAGCTCCATCTGGCCACTCATGCAGCCCATTCTGCGCCATCTATAGAAGTGCCTCCGTCCATGCCATCTGCCCTCCTATTAGAGTGCAATGGCATTGCAGATGCTCTTGTGAAGGCCATCCGTAATCCTGGTAGTCATTAGTCTTGCCGCAGGTCTGATCACACTGATCACGCCATTGTAATAGTAAGGCTGCAGTGGGACATTGATAGATATTGCGACAGCCTTTCAATTCAGCCCACGGGGCAGAATGAAGTTCTCGAGGCAGAACTGGAACGGAAGTGGCCTCCTCCATTTGGTGAGAGCAAAATACGCATAGACCAGCCCGCCACCCTCGTGGACATGCATGGACACATCTTGGCTTGGATACTTCCAAGAGTGTTGATACCAGACCGCCAGGTGAGTGGCTTGCCCAGCCTTGCACTGTGATCTGACAAATTTGTCAGACGAAGATGCTCCAAGCGACCAGGGCCCTACACCTAGCAATAGCAGCCAGTAAGCCTTCCAGCACCACCGCCAGTTGGCGACACAACCCGTTGTACTTCTTGCCTCCTGAGGAGTGTGCCCAATTCCCAGCGGGCTCCTTGTGTCTCTCGCCAGGTTGGTTCCAACAAGTAAGAGAGGTGGGTCTCCTCGCCATGCCATTTGCCTTGCATCTGAACAGCCTTTGCAGCATATGGAGTCTGGGAGGCTGGAGACCTCCGCCAGCCTGAAGCTTGAGGGCGGAAGAAGTTGGCTGCGTGATATTCATGACTCCTCTGCATTGCTGGGCGCCATCCTGGCCGTCGTTCACCCAACACTATATGCCGCAGGACGCCAGTACTTGGGTTTGATCCAGCAAGACCCAGAATTGCGAGAGATGGTGCTGAACTGGTCGTCACCATTCAATGCACTCCAGGTGATCGCCAACCGGGAAACTCCTTTCCACCGAGATAGCAAGACAAGATACACGTTCTATGACCTGTTGGCGACGTTGGGCAACTACACTTGCACGTGGTTGAAGTTCCCCGCCATGCGTGTCGCCATCGATTATAGTCCTGGAACTGTCATAGCCTTCTGTGGAAAGGCGATTCATCATGGCGTCACTCGAGCAGATGGCGAAAGGCTCATCTATGCATACTTCATGCGAGAGGGTGTCCAGAACAGACTAGGCATTCTGGCACCCCACTGGATGCAAGCTTCATATTACGCCTCACACATTGGCATGTGCACAGTTCATCACCGAGTCTGCATTCCTAACTCAGAACAGGTCCTAACTGGCTCGCTTATTAGAGGGACATCATGCCAAAGACTGATGGAGATGAGAACACTATGCAGGGGATGGAGACTGTCGATGGCAGCTTCATTGGCAGGACAAAGTTGGCGGAGGTGATGGCGAAATGTATGGAGTCACAAATTTCCGAATCCTAGCTGAAGGTTGGCGAGCGCGCGGTACGAGTGCGCATTTCACATCTCGACAGTGTTCAGCTCAAGGTGTAGTTATCACTGATGGCAGCGTATGGTTGGCGGACCTCAAAGTTGGCAGAGATGGTGGCGAAATGTGTTCGGTCGAGAAGTTGTGAGTGCTAGTGGGGCAGATGGCGGCAGCGTTGGCGAGCGCGCGGTGCAAGTGCATGTTTCCCTTTTGAACATTATGCTACTCCGAGTCAAGGCAAAGTTAGCACTGAGAGCGACATACAATTGGCGGACCTCTCGCCAACATGACATCCTTATCTGCATAACGCTGATATGGTGCCTAAAGAGACCATGAGGTGATAAGGCCCAGGCATTGCAGCCATTCTTAACCACCTTGATGAGTAGTCTGGTGGGCAGCAAGACCGTGTGTGATTTGCACGTGTTGTGCGATAGGGACACAATGCTCATCGATTGGCTTGGAATACGACTCCCCACTGACCTGAGCCATGAGCAGATGCAACAAAAGCAGGCTCGTTGTAGACCTGGATGACAAGGTTGAGTTTGTGACCAAGGTAGCTAAGCAGACCACTAGGGGAGTACGCTATGTGGACGTACCTTTGCCCATGCCCACAGGTTCAAACGTGCCATCGCCTTCCAAAAGTCCATCGAAGGCTCCAGCTTCAGGCTCCTTGTTTAACTTGGATGATGGTGACGTCCTGGGCAACATAGGTGTGCCGATTCAGCTGGATCCGGCGGCTCGGAAGACAAAGGTGGGCTTCATGAGGGACTGGATACCCCACCGTGATGACTATCTTCATGCCATTGTCGAGATGGAAGCCCCGCCTGAGCCCAGAAATTGTGCGGAATGCAAGGTTGGCGAGGGACGGTGGCGATGCCTGGACTGTATGGGCAGACCGCTCACCTGTACCGACTGCTGTCGTAATGGCCATCAGCGTGCTCCTTTCCATCGGATAGAGCATTGGCAGGGTCAGTATTTTGAGCCGGCATCACTGTATCGGGTTGGCATCTGCATCCATTTGGGGCATGGCGGAGATCCCTGCCCTCTGGGCGCCTTCACAGCACATAACAACCCTGCACCGGTGGTGGCCCCGGGGTCCAATTTCTGGAATGCCTCCAATGAAGACCTAAATGCACATGATGGCGAGGTCTCAGATGATGGCGAGGTCCCATTCAACTTTGCACCTCTGGCAGGCACCCTTGACGGTGAAGCAAGGCAAACCGACGATGCTCCCGATCCCACTTGGGAGGAAGATGTGCCACCGGTGCTCTCCTGGCCACCTCGCCATGATAGTTACAGGAATCAGATCATAGTCATTGTCGACATCTCTGGCATTCACCATATCGGCGTTGACTGGTGCCAGTGTGAGATGGCGGTGGAGCGTGACATGCAGCTTCTTCAAATGGGACTTTACCCTGGTACCGTCAAGGATCCCCATACCACCTTCACATTCGCCGTCCTCAACGATTTCCTTCTGGAGAACAAGGAGTGCAAGACAGCGGCATTGAACTACTACAGCAAGCTCAAATGGGTCACGAGCAATACCTTCCCTGGCACCGTTCCCATAAGTGTTCACATGCATTCCCATGGCCCAACTGTTCATGCCAGTTCCTCGCTAGGACCGTTATCGTGAGCTGATGCGGGTGTCCCGCCAATGGCGCCAACTCAAATATCGCAAGTGGCACGGCTTCTCACATGATGCCCTCCGTCCTGTGGAGAAGGGTGGCCTCGCCATCTTTTGTCCCGCCTGTCCCCAGCCTGGGCTCAACCTGCCTTTCGATTGGCAAGCGGATCCAGTGCAGTGGAAGTTCAAACGCGGCTTTGTCATGGATGGAAATTTCAGTGCAGAGCACATGAAGATGAAGCACCCCGAGGAGGACGTCGCCCTCAGTGACGGCCAGGCATTCATGGTCGGCCAAGAGGATTACAAGGCTCATCTGGCAGTGGCCATGGAGTCGCATCAGGTGCGTGTCTGGCTGCACGTTCTTCTTCCGCCCTTGACTCCTAAGCCCACCAGCGCTCCACTTGTCATGAGCACCGCGCTGTCAATCAGGCCAATGTGGATTGCGCCAACCTCGACGCCACAGGAATTGGGGCCACTGCTTGCGTCAGACATGGTTTCTTCGTCCCTCATACTGTCGTCGATTTCCAGAAGGGAGAAAGGTTCGCATATGTCTCTTGTCATGATCCATTCTCACCGATGCACCCTCTGCAGACAAATGAATATGGATTACTCTCTCAGCAATGTGCTCCTGACCCTCACCGGTATCACTCTCGTCCTTGTCATGTACGACATCATGTGCCAGTATGGCGTCCATGTCCGCAAATTTTTCCGCCACAGCGCCTATCTGAGGATGCCCTTCGAGCTCAACATAGACCAAGGCATCGGCTTGTTTCATGTGCACGGACACCAAGATTGCTGCTTCCAACGGTTCTCGCCCAACTTTATAGTTGGCGCTGGTATGGTCGATGGCGAGGTCATCGAGACCCTGTGGGCGCCGACAAATGAGGTCTCAGGCAGTACCAGGGGCATGACCCGAGCTCACTGCCAAGAAGTCCTTGACGATCACATGAATGACTCCAACTGGAAGAAGACGACTCGCATGGGTGAGCCTGGTTCCTCCTTCCCTATTTGCCACCTGCCTTATGCTGCCTATAGTGCCAACCTTGATGACCAAGTGGAAATGCGTGCTCCTGGGCTTCCCACGAAGCAAGGAGTCCTTTGAAGCTTTATCTGCATTCACAGATGAGGAGGTCCTTGAGGCATGGCAGAAGGAGTACGATGACGCTATGGAGGCTCGCCAAAATGATCTGAAGATCATGGACACCTTCAATGTCCAGCTCAGGAAGGGTGCATATCCTTCCATCATCATGTGGCATGTAGTTGACATGAATGAAAGCCCCGGGTAAAGACCTCACCCAACTTAGACTGGCGGGCGAGGAGTCCGCCAAGGGCTTGGAGAAGGGCACCGCCAGATGGTTGTCGACTGGCCTCAAAATCCAAGAAGCACAGTGAGTTTGCCTCATCTTAACAAAAATACAGCTCTGACGGCCTTCAGGCTTAAGCTTGCGAATGATATCCGCAAGGCGGGTCAAGATCTGAGCGTGGCGGAGGACCTCAAGACTCTCGAGCGCCGTCAGCGCCTCGAAGTCAGCATTCTCACATTCCAACGTCACTCTGAGAAGTTCATGGGAAGGTTGGAGGACGTTCCCGCCATGGAAGATCATGATGATGGTGCGCTCTGGGATTCCTTGGATGAGAATCCTTTTCAAATACACCCGGAGGATGCTGAGTATGGTGAGGATGCGATTCCACCCGAGCGAGCTTCCTTGAATTTACCTTCGCAGATCGGATTCGTGGCCGCCATCGCCAATGGGCTCCAGACCCTGGCGGCCCAAGAGTTGGAGTTGCGCAAAGGCCTGATGAATGACATCCTCCACGAGCTTCACATGGCACTTGGACTGAAGTCTTACCTCTACCGCAAGAGGGTTCGTCCCGCCAACAGCGTCGGAACCATGACCCATGCACAGGCGAAGGTTCATGCTGCTGATCAGACCGTCTTGGCCTGCGCCAGGCTCTATTCTGCCAACCGACGCGCCATTATGCGCTTGGACACCACCGATGAAGACTTGGCCCTCTATTGCCCTTTGGATAAGAAGGATCTGCATGTGAAGACTGCCGTCATTGAGGCTAGCACCTTTGGGCTCAGGAACATCAACCTGGCTTGGTTCTGGACCGTGGATGTCGCTGGAGATCGAGGTTCATCAGAATGGATGGACGAGTGTTCGTCATTGTCTGATCGATCTCTAGGCCTCCTGCTAATTTACCCTCCAGTCTATAGAGTCAATTGGCTGCGTGCCAGAGCTCAATATGAGAGATGGAGGGAGGAGCGTGTCTTGGTCCACTCCGAAATGGCCTGGACCATAGCCACCTTCAAGCGGAATATGAAACGATGGGCTCACTGGCTCGAGATGACGGATCCTTCCTGGCGGGGTCATGTTTGCTATGCCGCCAGGCAAGTGAGTATGTGGCGGACCTTTGCCAGCCACGCCACTGACGCCTTCAGCCACATCCTCACCCTGGACGTTGAGGACGAAAGGGCGGGCGATGAAAATGTGCTTTGAGTCAGGGTTCACTGGGGTGTACGCATATTCATGTTTGCTATATCGATGTAGTGATCGTCATGTATGTAATTCCTACTCATCAATATCACATTTGGCGAAGTGACCTCCATCCTCACCTGAGGGCTTCATCTCGGCATGTGCTCTCCAATCGCATGACATCAGACATCAGATAAGGTCGATCAGATATCAACCTCAGCTCATCCACTCACCATCATGTCTGCCCAGTCTTCAACATCAGATACGCGCCCCTGCCTGTTCTCCAGAGGGAGGTTGCAGTTGGAAGTCTACACTTGGAGGATCCAAGAAGCTGTTCTGGCACTGGAGCCTGACCCAGATCACTTCACCAAGGTCCGTTGGGAGGAAGGCTTGCGCCGGGAGATGGTACGCCTTTCTTGCTGATATCGCCTGACCCTGCTGAGTCCTGTGCAGTTTGCCGTCAGGGGTATCTGTGACGACCTCGCGTTGGCGGGTCATGCTGACCATATTGACCATGGCGGAGTTATCGCCAGTGTCCTCACTGTCTGCACTTTCAATCGCGAAGTTCTGCGCCCCATCAGCATTGACATCAAGGCGATTCCATGCCCCACCACCCTCGTTCCTCGTTCCTCGTCCTAAGAACCTACTTGAGGATTCACCCGACTACTGGTGGAAATGAGATCGTCAGGTTGGGCCGGCGGGGAGCCCTATGGAGGCCTGGTGGTACAAACTTGGTGATCCCTGGGTGAGTGGTACGTTCCAGCACCTTACAGTCTTGCTGAACCTCGAGAACGTAGGAGAAGGTGTACACCGTCTCCGAGTCTACACTGGTGCAGCTTGAACAGCTGCATGTTCGCGTCGCGAACCTCACTAGTTGGTTGCACGAGAGGACAGATCAGAACCTGGATGTGGTGCTGGAAGAGCTGCAGGAGGCGACGCGGCAGCTGCGTGAGTTAGGAATGTAATCGCCCAATGCCAGGCGTCCATTCGTGCTGTAGTGTGTCGAATATAAGGTTGTCATGTCTTTGAACCTGGGCAATGTACCTGGTGTGGTAAGGCAAAACATAGTAGCCACATACTCTCCTCAGGAGGGCACATCCCCAATGGTATCTGATGCATGGCTCGAAAGCCAATGCCACATGGGAGAATTTGGCGAAGTCATTCTGGACTGCATGTTCAGATGGCGAGTGATATCCACCACAGTTCGCCAACCCTACTCACGGTGGAAAGGACCGCCATTCATCTCCACATACTCTACCCAGAAGGGCACATCCCCAATTGTATCTGATGCATGTCTCGAAATGCCGATGCCAATTGGGAGAGTTTGGCGAAGTCATTCTGAACTCCATGTTCAGATGGCGAAGGATATTCGCCACAGTTCGCCAACCCTTCCTAGCAAAGCACCTTGGTCACTATGGAAGGTCAACACACTGCTAGGGCGGAAAGTGATCTCTGTTGGATGGAAGGCCAAGCAGATGGCCCCATTCCATCCAACATGTGAGCTCATCTTGCGACTAGCCCTGCCCGCCAACATCCTTGATGGATTTCGCCTGTACTGCGGCGAGAGAAGTCTGGCCACTTGGGTGCAGAATGTCTCAAATATTGCATCAGTGACGAAAGTTGCAGAGAAGATCCGCAATGAGCTATGCTCCTCTCGACGTGTCTCACAACTACGAGCTATGGTGCCAAGTGCCAGAGATGTGCCTCTCGAGAATATTATTCTCTTCAATCGCGATGCTCTGATGCTGCGCGAGTTCAGTTCAGCAATTAAACACGGCGATGTTGGAAGTGTTGTCAATGTGCTCTCTTATTGGATGCTCGAGTTTCATGGCAGCGGCTCAATGCCAAAGTATGCCGATGCCCTCTTCCACGTTCTGCTCAGTTTGAAGAAGATGGATCCTAAACTGAGGTCAGATATACTGCTGGTGTATACAGGCTCTGGTCCAAATCAACACTGACTAATGTGCTTCACAGGCGAGCATTCATGATGAATTGGCTGGTGAATCTCACAGGTCATGATGACGGCTTTAAGGAGGTGGACTTACTACAAGAACATCAGAACTTTTGGGCAAAGGTAAAGATGGCGAGCGATCCTGGCCATCTTCAACTGTACTAACTGTTGAATATTTCTATCAGATATAGGTGATCTACACGGCGCGCGGTTCTAACAGAAGCTGGGAATGGCTCAGCATGATCGCTGTATCTATCTTTACCCTACGCGATGTCATCAAGCGCGTTCAGACAAGCTACAAAACTCCGCATAATGGCAAGTCACACACTAGCCTGGATTCTCACAAGGAAGTGTCTGTTCTATGTGAATACCTTAAAGAACAATCCCTACAGACTTTCACACCTCGCCGCGACCAGAATGACCAAGCCAAGGCAGTGCGCGATCTTCTCCTCAAAGGTGTGGCATATGCGAACACTGCATGGGCCTACACCATCTTCCGGAAGCAGTCATGCAAGGTGTCCCTGAAGTCGCCTCCAGGACGAGGCCAGCACGACATAGATGCAGTCGCATCGGCAATACCAATGATGATGGCTGATGATGAGAAGGACGACGAGGGTGACATGGATGTGAAATACGATCTTGGCGCCCCATGTGAAGGCGACTTGATGGAAGCGAGGGGACACGTTTTGCAACACTGCAACTGCAGCCTTCAAGATTGCTGCTCGCTCTTCACTACCTGGCTTGTGACTCAAGTATTCGGCATGTTTCTCGTCCAGCACAGTGAGCTCCACGGGGTGCCAGCTTATGTGCTTCTGCGAGATGACTTCAATGGAGGGATCTGCCATAGTGAAAGCTACTGCAGGTGCACGTAACGTAGGGAGACTCACCAAATTTTCACTCTTATCATCTGTCTCCTGAGATGCATAAGCCAATTGGTATTGTATGTTTAGCCTCGCGTAGTCTCGCAGAAAAACTATTTTGTGATGCTGTCACTCCGACGGTAAAAGTACAATCTTCAGACCATATACAGATATGTGAGATCTCACCAGGATCGGATTTAGCGTTGCAGAAGCATCCCCATCTGAACGACAAAAGACAGTGTTAGCGGGTAATATTTGTTAACTGTGGCAGAGCGCACTATTCCAAACCAGTCTACATAATGTAGTAATATTCCTTGCCATCCACAATCTCGATGCTCTCACCCGGGACATCGTCATTAGGTATGATCTCTGCTTCCACCTCATTGTCTGTAAGCTCAATGTCACACTCTATCACCTCATGCGCCTTCCCCTTATCCATCCGTCTGAATTTTCTACCCTCCGTCCTCACATCGGGTGACAGTGAACGCTTGGCCACGCATCTGCTCGAGCTTGAACTGCTAGCAGCATCGCAAACTGGGCTGAATGAGGGCGTCGAAGGCGTCGAAAGCATGCTCTGAGATCCACCGGAAGATGAGGATGGGGTGGTGAGAACGTTCTTCGCAAATGTTTTGATAGCGGCCATGAGCACAGGCAGATGCGCAGTTGCCGAAACCTGTATGTTAGCAATCTGAGCAGCGCTCGTATTCCAAGTGCTGCCCTTTTTGCGGTAAACAGGAGTGTCACCCAGAAGTAAATACTGCTTATCCGTGTGCTTTGGATAGTCGACAAACTTCTTCAAATGAGGGCAGTACCGCTGGTATGGCGATAAGCCTTGGGAGTCATCGATAAGCACTGTCTCGATGAAGGACTGCTTGAACTTGAATTCAAGATAGTCCTCATGCCATATTCCCCATGTGGGAATAATGAGAGGAATATCTGAACCCTGCACACCACATTAGCAAGCTCACCAGTGGTCACACGTGAATGTTACTTACCTTGCACACCATGAGCACCGACACAGTGGCAGAATTCAAGAGAGGGCGACCGCGGCGGCAAAAAACTGGTGAGGTGCTAGGAGAACTCGAGAGTGGGCTGCTCGAGGGCAGGCTGCTTGGAGGCAAGCTGGTGTTGATCATAGGACTGGTGGGCAGTGGCATGGCCTCGGATTGAGGTTCATCAGAGCGCAAATAGCCCGCGTCGCCTAGTACAGGGGGCAGACAGAGAGCAGCAACATCCTTATGGCACTGGGCCATATTACCCCATGTCATTTGTGCTCGAAGCCTTTTGAGATGGTGCCCACACATTGGAGTAGTGCGACACTGAATGAGATCAGAAAGAATGTAGGTGTATGAGTACAAAGTGGACTTACAATCTCGAAGAGCACCCCAAGGTTCTCAGTATTGGTCACACCGTAGCTGGCCACAATGAGGTGACACTGCTCCAGTTGCACCGAGCATGTTATCAATGAAAACAGCAAGACGTCACATCGAGGGAGAAGGCCGTCGACAATGGCCTTAATGCGGGGGTCAGTGCGAGCCATGTTCAAGTGTGAATGCTGCAGTTTAATGCATTCGCAGCACGGCTTTTATACCAGAAACAGTGCAAATAAATGCACACAAAATTCAGGCATATATGACACATTGTACTGTTCGAGATCCATCGTGAAATTACCAGTGTGAATCAGCCTGCAAACAGAAGTCGTCAGTTATTGAATTAACTATACATGGTGACCACTTAGCTGAATTTGAGTGTAGCTGCTCTGAACCGATGTTGGTGATCTTCGAGACAAGGCAGCACTGTCACCCGTGTAGATAGTGCATTCCAATCAAGTCGGGCATGTCATTGCTGTACAACAATACATAAATTGCAGAATGAATGGCCAAGCACTACGCGAATCGGATGGGCGCAATGGGGAGATGGTGAAACTGGTGCACAAACATCTGCATATACAAGCAGATGATGCTATCCTGCAAGCGATTGTATTCATCTGCCTCGCAGATGAGCAAAGTGTCCACATCTATTCGCAAGTCTTCTGGGACATCTGGCCACTGTTGCACGACTGCGAGGAATGCACTCAGACGGGAACGGCTCCACTTCCATCTTGGCGCAGGCGCACGAACTCCATGGAAAGCAACATTGTCTTCACTCCAGCACGGTGCGACTGTCAGACATGACCTGGTGGCACGTCTATCCCACACCTTGGCCACTTGTGCCTCACGTTCCCACCAATGTAAAGAGCCCCATTTGCTCATGTCCAAGAGATGAGCATCCAATGCACGCAACTCGCAGTGCCAGTTGGTCTCATGCAGCTCCCACAAGATCTGCTCACAGATGTCGACCACATTATCCAGCGAGATCGGGTCCTCGCCCCAGGAGGGTTCCATTGTCTCATCGTACGAGCTCATCCGGCCAGTGGCAGCAAAGAGCTGACGAATATTTTGTTGCCACTCATGTTTATCCTTGGCTTTCTTCACTGTGCTCAATTTGCTGGTGACAAGACTTCCAGCGTTCGTGTCTGATAGCCCATCACTACTTGATGTTAATGCACCCTCACACGCCGCTGCCTCACCCTCACCCGATATCAAGGTGGCTGATGGCCCCAGGGTCCAATTTCTGGAATGCCTCCAATGAAGACCTAAATGCATATGATGGTGAGGTCCCATTCAACTTTGCACCTCTGGCAGGCACCCTTGATGGTGAAGCAAGGCAAACTGACGATGCTCCCGATCTCACTTGGGAGGAAGATGTGCCACCGGTGCTCTCCCGGCCACCTCGCCGTGATAGTTACAGGAATCGCATCATGGTCATTGTTGACATCTCTGGCGTTCACTAGACTCGTGACCAGTCTCTATAATGCACCAATGCAATGCTATACTATTGGGATGGGAAAGTCGCGATCATGTGATGTAGTAAATGCTGTCAAGTCGCGCACCTGGTATACTGCTACTGAAGCTTGCACTCATGTCTTCGCGTAAACACAAAAGTATGGTGCCTAATGAAAACTTTCCGATCATATTTGCTACGCCCGACCAACTTCCAGCAAAGAGACAGCGCAGGACTCTTGTTGCATTCAATACTGAGGCTGACTTTCAGGCCGAGTGGCAGCGACTCATAGACGAACGACGACAAGCCGAGACTGAAATTACAGATGCACGAAAAAAGGACCAGGAAGAAGCAACTCGCATTTCTGCAGCAGAGAAGGCAGCAGAATCTGCATTGCACCTCAAGATCGTCCTCTCATCTGCTGTGGCTGCCAGTTTTCCCACTCTGTTTGACTTCCTCTCGGAGCTCTGGCAAACCAAGGACACTGCCATGTCTTCTCGTACGTCTAAAATGTTGGACCGTCACAGATATGAGCTGCTGGAGATGATGAGAGAGAGGAGGTCCGAGGTGGTGGAAGGCTGGGCCACTGAGCTTGCAATGGCCAGCATTGCTAAGGAGGGGAAGAGGCTCGCAGATTTTCTGCGGCCACAGGAAGGAGCTGGTATTGGCGACCTTCTGAAGAGCTGGTCCTTACGAAACATCTTGGATGAGGCAAGGGAGATGGCACCTATGTTGTGTGAGGTTCTTCGCAGAGCTGGCATGCAGCACAAGCAGGATACAGATGGGAGGGAGTCACGGCGTGATCGGGATCTGGTGCATACAATTCCTCCGTGACACTGCAACATTACTAACTTGGGTACAGATTTTCTCCACCGTTATATGCATGCTCGCACAGGTGTACAGTGAACACTCCAATGAGACGCAGACTGTACTGTGCCTCTACCTTCTAGCGTGCAGCACCTCACGATTGCAATTCGAAGTCCTCCATCATGCTGGTCTCACCTCATCCTATACAAAGGCTGTTCGTGATATCAAAGCCCTCGGAGAAGAGCAACTAAAGAAGATCAAGGCGATTGTGAAGACCTGAGCATTCATGGTCATTTGGGACTACCTGAATATACCGTTCAAGGTTGGGGAGCAGCGTCTTGATAACAAAGATCACTTTGACAATGGCACCACTGCCACCCTGATTCCATTATACGACGTCACTTTCGGTGAACTCAGTTTAGAGCTAAACCCAATGCACCAGTCGCACTTGCCAATACTGGATTTCACTTACAAGGACCTGCTTCCTTCAGCAGAGCAGATAGAACAGCTCGAGAAATCAATGGTCTGGCACATCCAGGATGTCCTGTTCGACAACTTTCCGGAGTTGCGTCATCGCCTTGACACTGAGATCCCACCTCTGCCATTAGTACTTCCCATCCCTGTCCACAAGACTGAGCAGTTTCCTCTTCTCGCGATGCACATCGACGAATCCAGTCTTGACGGCACAGTGGAGGTTTTGGACACGATTGTGCACAAGACGCTCAAGATGACGGAGGACGATGTGAAGAGGCATGGCATTATCCTCTGTGCAGGTGACCAGTTGACAATCTCATTATTGGACAAGGTGCATTTGGTGCAGCACTGGACCATGTACATAATAACAATTATATCGTCTTCCAGATCTCGGCATCACGTCGCAAAGATTCAGAGCTTCTGGACAATATTGGACGCTGGACAAGAGGACAACTGGGACTATTCCATGTCAAGATTGCAGTGGATCGCATGATTGCAAATGAGCACTGGGGTACCCCTCCACCAGCGCAGGGTTATGTGCTGTGAAGGCGCCCAGAGGGCAGGGATCTCCACCATGCCTCAAATGGATGCAGACGCCAACCCGATACAGTGATGCCAGCTCAAAATACTGACCCTGCCAATGCTCTATCCGATGGAAAGGAGCACGCTGATGGCTGTTACGACAGCAGTCGGTACAGGTGAGCGGTCTGCCCATACAGTCCAGGCATCGCCACTTTCCCTCACCAACCTTGCATTCTGCACAGTTTCTGGGCTCAGGCGAGGCTTCCATCTCGACAATGGCATGAAGATAGTCATCACGGTAGGGTATCCAGTCCCTCATAAAGTCATTCTGGGTCTATCGGGCATGGTCAGACTGTTAGATGGTCATGGCGGGAGTGCCCACCTTTGTCTTCCGAGCCGCCGGATCCAGCTGAATCGGTACACCTATGTTGCCCAGGATGTCGCCATCATCCAAGTTAAACAAGGAGCCTGAAGCTGGAGCCTTCAATGGACTTTTGGAAGGTGATGGCATGTTTGAACCCATGGGCATGGGCAAAGGTACGTCCACATAGTGTACTCCCCTAGTGGTCTGCTTAGCTACCTTGGTCACAAACTCAACCTCATCATCCAGGTCTACAACGAGCCTGCTTTTGTTGCATCTGCTCATGGCTCAGGTCAGTGGGGAGTCGTATTCCAAACCCATCGATGAGCATTGTGTCCCTATCGCACAACACGTGCAAATCACACACGGCCTTGCTGCCCACCAGACTACCCATCAAGAAGGTGGTTACGAATGGCTGCAATGCCTGGGCCCTATCACCTCATGGTCTCTTTAGGCACCATATCGGCATTATGCAGATAAGGATGCCATGTTGGCAAGAGGTCCACCAATCATATGTCGCCCTCAGTGCTAACTTTGCATTGACTCGGAGTAGCATAATTTTCAAAAGGGAAACTTGCACTTGCACCGCGTGCTCACCAACACTGCCGCCATCTGCCCCACTAGCACTCACAACTTCTCGACTGAATACATTTCACCACCACCTCTGCCAACTTCGAGGTCTGCCAACCATATGCTGCCATCAGTGATAACTACACCTTGAGCTGAACACTGTCGAGATGTGAAATGCACACTCATACCGCACGCTCGCCAACACCGCCGCCAACACCACCGCCAACCTTCAGCTAGCATTCGGAACTTCTCGACTCCATACATTTCGCCATCACCTCTGCCAACTTTGTCCTGCCAACAAAGCTGCCATCGACAGTCTCCATCCCCTGCATAGTGTTCTCGTCACCATCAGTCTTTAGCATGATGTCCCTCTAATAAGCGAGCCAGTTAGGACCTGTTCTGAGTTAGGAATGCAGACTCGGTGATGAACTGTGCACATGCCAATGTGTGAGGCGTAATATGAAGCTTGCATCCAGTGGGGCGCCAAAATGCCCAGTCTGTTCTGGATGCCCTCTCGCATGAAGTATGCATAGACAAGCCTTTTGCCATCTGCTCGAGTAACACCATGATGAATCGCCTTTCCGCAGAAGGCTACGACAGTTCCAGGACTATAATCAATGGTGACACGCATGGTGGGGAAGTTCAACCACGTGCAAGTGTAGTTGCCCAACATCACCAACAGGTCGTAGAACATGTATCTTGTCTTGCTATCTCAGTGGAAAGGAGTTTCCCAGTTGGCGATCACCTGGAGCGCATTGAATGGCGACGATCAGTTCAGCACCATCTCTCGCAATTCTGGGTCTTGCTGGATCAAACCCAAGTACTGGCATCCTGCGGCATATAGCGTTGGGTGAATGACGGCCAGGATGGCACCCAGCAATGTGGAGGAGTCATGAATATCACGCAGCCAACGTCTTCCGCCCTCAAGCTTCAGGCTGGCAGAGGTCTCCAGCCTCCCAGACTCCATATGCTGCAAAGCCTTTCCAGACACAAGGCAAATGGCATGGCGAGAAGACCCACCTCTCTTACTTGTTGGAACCAACCTGGCGAGAGACACAAGGAGCCCGCTGGGAATTGGGCACACTCCTCAGGAGGCAAGAAGTACAATGGGTTGTGTCGCCAACTGGCGGTGGTGCTGGAAGGCTTACTGGCTGCTATTGCTGGGTGTAGGGCCCTGGTCGCTTGGAGCATCTTCATCTGACAAATTTGTCAGATCACAGTGCAAGGCTGGGCAAGCCACTCACCTGGCGGTCTAGTATCAACACTCTTGGAAGTATCCAAGCCAAGATGCGTCTGTGCATGTCCACGAGGGTGGTGGGCTGGTCTATGCGTATTTCGCTCTCACCAAATGGAGGAGGCCACTTCCGTTCCAGTTCTGCCTCGAGAACTTCATTCTGCCCCGTGGGCTGAATTGAAAGGCTGTCGCAATATCTATCAATGTCCCACTGCAGCCTTACTATTACAACGGCATGATCAGTGTGATCAGACCTGCGGCAAGACTAATGACTATCAGGATTACGGATGACCTTCACAAGAGCATCTGCAATGCCATTGCACTCCAATAGGAGGGTGGATGGCATGGACGGAGGCACTTCTATGGATGGCGCAGAATGGGCTGCATGAGTGGCCAGATGGAGCTTTTGGCAGAACATGAGCTCCAAAACTCCTGCTATCTGATCAGTCAGTGGCATGGGTGACAGATCGCTCATCTTGATGCTGTCTGCCAATCAATGGGACAATTACAGCATGCGTCAGTTAAAGGAATGCACAGGTGTATGACGGGCTCAGGCGGTTGGCTTGCAGATGCAGGGGAGAATGTAGGAGGGGCAATGGCAAAGAACAGTATGCATTCATCTGCCTGCATGTTGCTTGCAAGCATGTTCCTTGCACATCTCACATGTTCATCATGCCACTGAGCTGGACTTGATGCCGCCATGCCGGATCACAGGCTGGGTGGTCTGCCATGTCTGGGCCCTTCGTCACCGCCATGTCTGGGCCCTTCGTCACCACCATGTCTGGGCCCTTCATCACCGCCATCTAATTGGCTGAGCCTAACTCCGAGGAAGCCCTTTATCCCACAGATTGGCATGCAGATGATCGCCAGATTGCCTCCGCCTAGCATTCACGAGATAGAGTTGGCATGGTGTGCTCTGCCATAGAAGCGGCGTTCAACATTGCCTTTCACCAGGCATGAATGCTAGTGCATACCTACTACCACCTCCCGCCACTGCGAAAAATACACATACAATGCTTCAGCAGTCACCACACACCATGGCGATGAGGGTAATTGGTGTAAGCCCAAATGGGCCATCAGCACGTGCATGTTGAGTTGTGGGCGGCTGACAATGAAATAGACAGAGCGCTGCCTGTTGAACTATCGACCCCCTTCACTGCCCTAACACAAAAATCTCATCCTCGACATTGAGAAAGCATGCCGGCGAGATTTGTAATTTTGACGGAGCATCAGCCCATACTCTCTGAGAAGCTGCGGTCTTATGACACGGCAGATGCCAAGGGTTGCAAGACTCTGGTTCAGAGCTTGCGCCAGAAGCTGAAGACACAGTTTGTCGACACGTCAAATTATGACGACATCATTGTGGAAACTGTGAGCAGTGTTTCATGTCTGTGAGGTCCCCACTAACTCTCACCGCAGAAAATCCGAGAGTGGCTCAATAACCACGCCCGCCATGCGCAGGAGAAAGCGACGAAAAAGCGTATGCATGTTTCTGGCAAGCCCAATGCCTTCAAGGTGTGGGATGCGCTGGAGAGGGACAAGGTGACTGAGGCAGCAAGAGCACTCATGGCAGAAAAGGGTTGCAATGTCTCCAAGGTGTGGAGAGTCGCACGGAGTGCCGAATGGGCAAAACTGTCCGAGGAGGAGCAGAAGGTGTATGAGGAAAAGGCAGAGAGTTGGCGCAATGGCACTCTAGATGATAAGACAAAAATGAAGTGCGTACCTCCTGTCACGTAGCATAAGGCAAATCCTGACCTAAGACAGGCTGAGGGAGCAGCGAATGATGCAATATCTGAAGAAGTTTGCCAAGACTATGTGGGACACCATGGGCATTCGCATGGCATTCATGCTAGCATATCCGAAGGAAGCGGGGAGTCTGAAGGTAGAGATGTGAGCGTAGACCGTCCGACTGTCGCCATCTGCTAACCCCCGAGTGAAGGGTGGAGGTTAACCATGCCATCACCAATGGAACTCCATTCGGGGTCTATCCTGGGTGGCTGCGTGCTTACCAGCCTCTAGCAAAGGTGTTCTCTGAGTGGGCCAAAGGCGAATACGGTAAGAAGACCTCAGTTGCATTGTCGCTGGCACACTGACCTGATTCCTTAGCTGTGACTGAGACTATGGTGACGGTGAAGAAGACACCTGCCGATTGCATGCAGGCCATGGACAAGATTTGGTTGACTGCCAATGGTTTTCCTCTGCTCCCGTCAGTGCCCGAAGGTATGGTGGAAGGCCTCTCAAGGTGATGAAGGTACAAGTTCGAGACTTCATGAATCATCACTATGGTATGACACTCTCACCGGGTGTTGAGAGATGCTGACCAGTTTACAGCATTGGCAAAGGGTGTTTGGAACTGCAAGTCGCCATGGACGAAGCTGAACAGCATAGACGACATCAATGAGTTTATTCCAGCGGAGATGCTACCTGAGAACTTCCAGTGGATCGATCCCTCAAAGTTGACAAGTGTTCCCGTTTGTGCCCTCCTCGACCACTGGCGGGCATGCCAAGAGGAACATGGACCTGAGCAGACCATGCGATTCACCCAGTACTTCGACAAGGATGGCGAAGCTGCTCCCGCCAAGTATGATCCTCTTCCACCACTTGACGGATCAGCACAGGCATTAGAAGAAGGATCTGAACATGAGGTCCAAGAAGCACTCACACCTAAGAAGGCGGGGAAGGCGAAGAAGAAGGGTAAACCTGTGCGCAAGGTCACGGGAAAGGCGGCATTGAAGGCGACAAAGGGCAAAGCGGCCCCTGGCGGAGCCAAAGGCGGTGGGCGTAAACGCAAGACAAAAGATGCATACGACTCGGAAGATGATGCCAGAAGCAGCCAAGACTCTGATCAGAGTTCGCCAGATATACCCAGCATGGCTTCCGAAGAAGATACGGCCAGCGATGAAGATTCAGGGGATGGCGAGAGCGTGATTGCAAATAAAGCGAAGGGCAAGGCAGTCGCCACCACCAATGGACGTAAGGCTAACAATGGTGGTGCACCTCAAGCGAGTGGTAGCGGCGGTGCCAAGATGAAGGCAAAGCGAGGTCTCCAAGACCTTCCTCTGGGCGAACTGCACAGATTTGACACAGAGGAGACCGATGAAGCATGGAGTGAACTGGAGCCCAGTACAAAGGAGCTCAGGCTTATGCTTCAAGGCCGAGCCCCACGTCTCACTGGCGGGAGTACTGTGGGGAGTACTGTGCCCCACCTCATCAAAAGGAGAGACGTGTTTCTCGCCACCCTTTCCGTCAAAACGCGATACCAGGATATGCTGAAGCAAGTCAAGATTGCGACTGTGGTGAGCTCCTCTCGTGGGGATTCATAGCCACCATTGATCATCCGTCATATAGCCCCAGGTGTATCATTTTGCCAGGTATGATCCGATTCCCTGGAGCGAATGGTCATATAGCCAGTGCTACCTCCCGCCTTCATTCCATGCAGTGGACAACTTTGACATCGTCAAGAACTGGTTGGGCGACAAACCATGGCTCACAAAATATTGGTTCTTACATCCACAGGGCGTACAACAATCTGCACTCGTGATTGGTATGGTGCTGAGGGACCTCACACGATCTCAGTTTATTGAGGAGGGCGAACCGACCAACCTTCCCGACTATGTGGTGAACTCGGCGATCTCACTTGATGCAGTAGAGCAGCTGCTTCACTGTTACGAGATCATTACCTTGGACAGGGTGGAAGGGAACGTCACCCATGCCATGGTGAAGCCAGTGAGCAAGCCTGCCATACCTGGTGCCCCACAAGGTGGCGATGGCCTTGGGGGCCAGGAGGAGCAGGAAGGTGATGCCTCTGCAAGAACTCACGATGGCACTGCTACCACTGCCAAAGTTCACAAGGCTCACCAGCCTGCCCCCATGGCTGACAACCCAATCATTCCAAGTGGAGGAGATGAAGGGCCGCACCAGGAGACCGGTGGCGGGGCCTCTGATGATGGCAAAGAGAACGATGCACACTTGTCCGTACCTAGCAGTGGTGCTGAACGACTGCCACTGCCTCCGTTTATACCTAAGACGAGGAAGGTGTCAGCCATGGAAGGCCGTCCGTCAGGTCAAGCCAAAGCGCTCCAGGGAAGGTAGATCACCGATGCCCTTCAGAGTAATATCCCCAGCAGGATCACTCGCAGTCAGCGTCAAGCGATGGATGAGTTGCCCGCCAAGAATACCCGCAGTCAGCATCCACTAGGAGCTGTTAAAGATTTGAAGAAGCTTCCTGATCCAAAGCAGAAATGTCAACCAGCATGTCCCGAGCCTGATGGCGAAGACAGCTCTGGCGAAGACAATCTGCCACCTTGGAAGCGTGGACATGGTACTTGGGACGAGTTGGTAGTGGCCTAAGAATGTGAGGGCCGAGGACTCGGATGATGGTGACAAGCCTCCCACAAAGTGAAGACGAGCTCTGCCTCAGACCCCGGAGGTCAAGGACAAGGGAGAAACCAAGCTGAAGCCGGTGCATCTGGGGAAAGCAGCCGCCAAAGTGAAAGAGAGTGGCCAAGTTGGCACAGGTCGCAAGACCCGCAGTGGCGGCACCAGACCTTGACAATATAACTCCAGTTCAAAGTAGACTCGTAGGCTTCCACATTGTTTAATGTGACCCATAGATCTACATAGGTAAAGCCATGGAGATGGTGGCAATGGCGAGGGGAGTGGGCAAGAACTTCAGCAGGCATTCAGTTGACTTGGAGTGGCAGTGGTGAGTTGAGTGCATGGAGATTCCATGCTAGGTTAAAAAGCATGTATATCAATACTCTAATGACTACACATTGTGGCTATCTGGGCGAAAGGCAGTGAAGACCATGGCAGAGTCGACCTTCTCTCAGAATGCGTCCAAAGACTTCACCACCAGTGAGGTTTCCTCTCTCACCGTCGCCACCTCCTTCCCCACCTTCTTCACTTTATCCAAAGTGGACGTCGCCACTGCCATCGAATCCTCTTTGGCGAGCGCCAATTCCATCTCCAGCTTGCTCGCTTGAGCGATCGCCTCTGCCACTGAAGACCTGAGCTTTTTCTCCATGCTGTCTGACCACGCTGCCTGGAGCTCCATCGAATGACGAAGGTCGGCCAATTCACCCTGCAGCTTCTCGACATTCACCTGGCTCACCGTCTGGTTCACACCTTGCTCCAACCTGTTGACCTTCTCTTTGAGCTCTGGCAGGCAATGTCGCTTGGCAACGAGGTCCGCCACTGCCAACTTCACGCTCTCCTGTAGCTCGATGGTGACCGGCCTGTGAAACTCCTCCATCACCAACTTGACCTCTTCGCAAATGCTCCAGGCATTTTCTTGAAGCGCAAATGGCAGGTTGATTCGCTGGAGCGCCGCTGTGATCTCTGCCTTGACGGTGTTGAGGTCCGCCATCCTCTCCTGGAATTGGACTTCCATCCCGTCCTTGTGTGCCAGGAACTCCTGTTGCAACTCGGCACAATTCACGCAGTCATTGTTGGATGACTGCGAGGTTTCTTCGCCACTGGGGGTGTTGCCTTCGTTCACCGGAGCGGGACTTCCTGTAGACACTCACTGGATGTCGCGCAAGTGGGGTGCTGTATCCCTGGTCAGCGCTGCATGGATTCGAAGCTGTGGCGGGCGCACTTACCCTTGCTGGTCGGAGGCACTGCTCTGAGGCGGTTCGCCTTCACATCCCTTTTCGCCTCTGCCTCCTTCTTCGCTGCCTTGCGGTCCAGTGGGGTGCCCCTCTTAGCTGGCCTTCGCCCTTCATCGAGATGTCCTGCCTTCGCCAATGTGGAGGACTTCGCTCCCTTCGATGCCTTGGATATCTCCAGGGAGGGCGTCACCTCCTGTGCCACCTCGGCAGCTCCTGCGCTCGTCTCGTGGGGCATCAGCAGCGAATGCCGCCAATCGTCGTGTGGCCGCTCCAAGGACGCACGCTGTTTCATGGTTACATCGACTCTAGCTGCGACAAGATGTCCTGCTTACCTCATCCTCCGCCACCTCTGCCTGATACTCTGGTGCATCCTCTGGTTCATCGGTGACTGGTGTCAGCATGCGCTTACTGCTGCTAGCTTGCAGCGGAGCAGCTGGCCCTGTTTGGAAGGCCATAGCCTGCACCGTCTCCATTGTCAGCCTGGCGGCTTCCTCCATGCCATCGCCTTCTGCCAGAGGCATCTTGGCTGCTGCCTTGGGAGCACTCGCCTTTGCCTTCCTGGTGATCACGGGCACCATTGGGCCCGAGTGACCTCCCATCGCCACCGTTGTCGTCTGCCTGCCCTCCTTCACAACAGACTTGGCAGGCGGGACCTCATCCGGCTCACATACTGAGGTCCTGGTGACCTCGCCACCATCTTGCGCACCTGAGTTTTGGCTCCTCACCGGCTTTGGCTTGGGTCCTGATTTCTTACCTTCGCCAGGTTTGGCGACCGCACCAGACTTGGCAGGCGCGCCAGACTTGGAGACCTCGCCAGAGTTGGCGACCTCGCCAGAGTCGGCGACCTCGCCAGAGTTGGACAGAGCCACAGCTCCAGTGGCGGTGGCGGACTTGGTGGCGCGCTTGGACTTCGACGATTTCTCCACTGAGGCCTCGCCTTCAGCGTTGGCTTCATAGGGTGTGATGGTCACCTTCTGCTTCGTCGCCTCGACCTCCTCGCCACCCTTGACCTTGGAGCTGGATGTCGCAGCATTGCACGTCTTGGTCTTCTTCGGCAGCTTGCACTTCGATGCTTCTATGACCAGTGGTTCTGCACCGTCGGGCTCATCGGAGTCGACCTTGACGCCGTATGGAGGTGGCGACATGGGCAGTGGCTTGCCCTCTACCACCAGCGCTGCGCACATCTCTTGGAACTCACGCTGTGCGGTGTGTGAGTTTCCTCGCAGGGGCACGCCATCCGTGTTCCTCGGCGCAATGCTGCAACTGATGCCTCGTGCTGCACATTCGAGGCAGCGACCGAAGTTGGTGGTGTGGAGCTTGCATGGCCACTCTTTCTCCTGGCAGCCAATGCAAGGGACGAGCTGCAGGAACATTAGCACAGGTCAATGTCTCACAAGATCGTTACTCACCGAATCTGTTGCGTGTGCCCACATGAAGTCAGACACGCGGGTGGACGTCTTTTTCCACATGTCCTTCTGCGACACCATCACCTTCGCCTTCGCCTTCGCTGTCGCCTTCCCCTTCGCCATCGCCTTTGCCTTCCCCTTTGCCTTCACCTTCGGTGCGACATGAGGCGTCGCCGTCATCCTTGTTGTCTGTTTGACAGGTTTGGCAGGGGCGTTCATCTTCGCAACACCGTCGTTAGAGTCCCCTGCGGTCTTGGCGGGTAGATTGGAAGGCGGTGCTGGAGTCTCGTCTTCGCTTTCGATGAACTCCTTGCTCTTGTATTCCTTCGTCGCATGCTTCTTCTTTGGCGGCTTGACGGTCGGTACTTCCTCTTCATCGCTTGACTCCTTCGCCTTCCTCTTCCCACTCTTCTTCGTGCTCACCTTCGAGCCCTCCACCTCGGTCTGCGCCATCCTCTTCTGTGCACGCTGCGCTCGGCCAGAGGTGGTCGGGGCCTCGCCTTTCTCCTTTGCGACCTCGATCGGCTTCATCGGCTTCGCCTTCAGAGCCGCCTCCTCGTTCTCACTCTCCTCACTCAACTCTGTGATGACCGCCTTGCGCTTTTGGAGTGATGGGGCAGCTGGCGAGATCGATATTGGTCTGGCAGTTGGCGGAGGGGGCGACGCCGCATCGACCTCGATGGATTCGGGCTGGCCTGCACCCGGCACGTCTTCCGCCATCTCATCGTCGTCATCTTTGTCGACATCGTCGTCCTCGTCACTGTCGGCATCGTCGTCATCCTCGCCCTCCTGCTCCTCTCCCTCTCCCTCTCCCTCTCCCCCATCCTCTTCCTCGCTCATCGCATGCGCTGCCTTCCCCTGCGCCTTCTCCTTGCTCTTGCCCTTTCCCTTGTCCTCCCCTGCCTCCACGTGGATGATACGCTCACCCACCATGCCTGTCCCGACGTCATTGTCAGCTCTCTCCTTGCCTTTCCCCTTGGTGACGAGGTCCCCAGTAGCCAGGTCCTCCTCGCCACATCCCTAGGTGTCGTCATCGGCTGGCACATTGCCCCAGCCCTCTGCTGGCGTACTCTTCACCGGTGGCAGCTTGCAATATGGATCTGGTGCAGTCAGTGTGTCGCTTGACGCCTCACAATGCTTGTGACTCACCTTCAGTCCACCACTGCCTTCCCAGGTCCTCACACTCCCCATACTCGCGCACAGCCAGAGGGTACCTCTTGTATATCCTCTCATCGTCGTTCGATATGTGGTCCAGCCGTGCCAGGGCCTTCTGCTGGTATGCCCGGGTGAATTCCAGCAACGCGCTGATGACGATCCCAGGCATCCTCAACGACTTCAAGGGCTGCGGGAAACTCTTTTCAAGCTGACTCTGTGTGGCATATTCGGTAAGTGCATGCCAGACCTTCAACCAATGACTTACCACTTCGAGGTAAATCCTCGCCTCCCAGTCCGGATAGCGAGGGTCGTCCTGGCGAGGCGCCGCTGCAACAATGGCCGTCAGTCGCCCGGCCTGCAGAACATAGTTGGGGTCGATATCCAGAGGCATGGCAAGCTTGGCAGAAGAAAGCGTGAGAGTGTTTCAAAAGCAGAGATTGCAGTACAGCGAAGGCGGAGCAGACGATGCTATGAGCTGGCAGACGCGATCTGCACCAAGTTCAACTTCACACGCCATGCGACCACGTGCTTTGCACGTGATCGCTGGACTTGCGCGATTTCTCAAGTCTCTCAAGGTCAGTGTGACCTGCCGCAAGTTCTCATGGCTCCCAACAGTAAGTTCTATTGCTCTCCTTGTGGAATCTGACTCCTTTGTGATGTTATCTGACCTTTCTATGTCATATCAATCCCCTTTCTACAACTGATCTCCCGCGATCCAGGACTGATCGAAGACTTGTCTGCTCACCACAATCTACCTGCCATGGCCAGTGACGCGGAACCTCCTGACACGCTGGACATTATGATGGGCGAGTCGGATGAGGAGGATAGTATCGCTGAGCCCCGTCGTCCACTCATTTCGGATCTCCTTGACTCTTCTGGATCTGCCCAGATCTCCTTGCCTCTCCACTCTGCTTCTCAGACACCCCTCGCGCCCCGCCACACTACCCCGTCCCTGGCGGTTCCATTTGTGCCATCTAACTCACCACATGCGCATCTCCACCGCCATGCCTCGCCAAAGGTACAGGCATCATCTGGATCTGTGGCGCCTGTGGAGGGAAGTCGCGCACTTATTCCTGACCCTCTGGCACCAGCTTGGGATGAAAGTCGTGGCAGTTCGCCAATCCATAGGCGTGCACTCATCTCAGATTCCACCCCCACTGCGCCCGGTGGAATGTTCGACTTCGACACTCCTGGCATCTCGCCAATCCCTCGACGCACCCTGTTGGAAGCTACTCCCCTTCCTCCACCAGCTCACACTTTCGACTTTCGCACTCCTGACACCTCCCAACTCCCTCGATGATCGCTCATCGCTGAGCCCCTTGACGCTACGCCACGTACATCCATCCACTTCGATAGTCAAGCAAGTATGCCGATGGCGAGGGGCATGCTGGTGGACGAGACACTTGACGCGGAACCAGTGCCGAAACTGCTGGACTTTGACAATAGTCCTCCTGCCACGCCAGGACGATAGCGAGCTCTGGTGATAGACAGCCCTGGCACGACGCCTGTGCGTAGCCAGGTCCGGTGGCTAAATAGTCCCAGCACTTCGCCTCCAAAGAGGCGGCCTTTGTTGGATGATGTTTTAAGTCCACCGCCTCTGCCATCGGCGCCCTCTCACTCGCCAGCTCGCACTTTCGATGACAGCAATTTCCGCCACGATGCACCTGTCATTCACTATATGAAAGGCAGCATCGAGCCAGTCACTGTTACTTCCAGGATGCCAAGTCTGGCAGCACTTCCAGATGAGCTGCTGATCCATCGTCCCACCCATTGGGAACAGGTTCCAGGCTTATTCCCAGATACCACGCAGCTGCTGCCAATGGCAGTCCCTGGAGAGACGAATGCCGCTTCTGGCTCACAAGTGGCCTGCCTCGGTAGATCGTTTGCACAGATCGCAGCAGAGGCAGACAGTTCCGGTGAGTACATCCCTGGCAACCTTCAGTCTGATGTTGACCTTATTCATAGTGGACGATGACGAAGGTGATAGCTTTGCGGTTAGTCATCGTCGTGCCATGTTGCGAGAGCGCATTGTACGTCTTCAGCATGAGCTCAACCTCACTGAGGATATGCACGTTGCGAACCTCAATGCCAGCTCGACCGTGTTCCAAATGGGGTACATTCTGAGGGACATTCGTGGCGAGGCGTATCGCAGGAACTGAACTAGTGTCTTTGAGCGTTCTGGTGTTAGCAATATATGACCGCTATGTAACAGCTTGTATACCAGTACAAAATGGATACATTCACTTCTGCATCACTAAGCTCTAAAGCCCATCGCTCCTCCAGTGTACTCTTGAGATGGGCGAACTGCGCTCGCCATCACCAAGGCATGTTGTTGCCAGCAATTGGCCCATCGCCAAAGGACCTGAGTGAAAGCTTCACTGCATGGGAATATCGCTCCGCCAGCAAAGGGCCCACTGCCAAGGGTCAGAGGGTTGGCCATCGCCAAGCCGTGTTTTCGCCACCAATTGGCCCTCCGCCATGAGTGCTGGTGAGTGATGGGCCCACCGGCAAAGGTCAGAGGATTGGCGATCACCAGAGCACGTCATCACCACCAATGCACCCGGAAACTGCAGGGCTGTATGTGACAATGGGCCCATTGGTGGCGATGACATATCCTGGTGATCGTCAACCCACTGGCCTTTGGCGGTGGGCCGATTGCTGGCGATAACATGCTCTGGCGTTAGCCAACCCTCTGACCTTTGGCGGTGGGCCGATTGCTGGCGGAAACATGTCCTGGCGATGACCTATCCCATGGGTGCTTGCAGTAAGGCCCTCACTGAGGGTGCTTTGGCGATGGGCCGACTGCTGGCGATAACATGCTCTGGCAATCGTCAACCCTCTAACCTTTGGCGGTGGGCCCATCCTTCAGGTTACACTCTGGGCGATCGGCCCACTGCTCATTCGTCATACTCTGACGGTGGGCCGATTGCTCAGACAAACATGCTCTGGCCATGGCCAACACTCTGACCTTTGGCGGTGGGCCCATCCGTCATCTTACACTCGTGGCGATGGGCCCACTGCTCATTGATCATACTTTGGCAGTGGGCCCATCGATGGCGATAATATGCTCTGGCGTCGGCCCACCCTCTGACCTGTGGCGGTGGGCCCATTGCTTAACGGTTACAACACTGTAATATGCCCTGCTAGTGGGCCGAGCACTGGGAGAAGAACACTAGCGGTGGGCCCACTGCTAGTATCCCACACATGAAAGATATGGGCCCACTGCTGGTAGAGGTCAACATGGTGACAATGGGCTGATGTCCGCTGGCTGTCCAGTTCATGACAATGTCAGGGTAAATGGGAGTTCAGTTCAGGTAACATGACTGAAAGGTGTGGCCAAGAGTGTAAGATGACCGATGGGCCCACCACCAAAGGTCAGAGGGTTGGCCAATGCCAGAGCATGTTATCGCCAGCAATCGGCCCATCGCCAAAGCACCCTCAGTGAGGGCCTTACTGCAAGCACCCATGAGATAGGTCATCGCCAGGACATGTTTCCACCAGCAATCGGCCCACCGCCAAAAGCCAGTGGGTTGACGATTACCAGGATATGTCATCGCCACCAATGGGCCCATTGTCACATACAGCCCTGCAGTTTCCGGGTGCATTGGTGGTGATGACATGCTCTGGTGATTGCCAATCCTCTGACCTTTGGCGGTGGGCCCATCACTCACCAGCACTCATGGCGGAGAGGGCTCGAAGGTGAGCACGAAGAAGAGTGGGAAGAGGAAGGTGAAGGAGTCAAGCGATAAAGAGGAAGTACCGACTGTCAAGCTGCCAAAGAAGAAGTGCGCGACGAAGGAATACAAGAGCAAGGAGTTCATCGAAAGTGAAGATGAGACTCTGGCGCCGCCTTCCAATCTACCTGCCAAGACCGCAGGGGACTCTAACGCCGGTGTTGTAAAGATGAACGCCCCTGCCAAACCTGTCAGACAGACAACAGGGATGACGGTGTCGCCTCATGTCGCACCGAAGGTGAAGGTGAAGGTGACGGTGTCACAGAAGGACATGTGGAAAAAGACGTCCACCCGCGTGTCTGACTTCATGTGGGCACATGCAACGGATTTGGTGAGTAACGATCTTGTGAGAAATTGACCTGTGCTAATGTTCCTGCAGCTCGTTCCTTGCATCGGCTGCAAGGAGAAAGGGTGGCCATGCAAGCTCCACACCACCAACTTCAGTCAGTGCCTCGAAGGTGCAGCACGAGGCATCAGTTACAGCATCGCGCCGAGGAACAGGGATGGCATGCCCCTGCGAGAAAACTCACACACCACACAGCGTGAGTTCCAAGAGATGTGCGCAGCCCTGGTGTTAGAGTGCAAGCTGCTGCCGATGTCGCCACCTCCATACGACGTCCACGTCGACTCCGATGAGCCCGACAGTGCAGAACCACTGGTCATAGAAGCATCGAAGTGCAAGCTGCCGAAGAAGACCAAGACGTGCAATGCTGCGACATCCAGCTCCAAGGTCAAGGGTGGTGAGGAGGTCGAGGTGATGAAGCAGAAGGTGACCGTCACGCCCGATGAAGCCAACGCTGAAGACAAGGCCTCAGTGGAGAAATTGTTGAAGTTCAAGCGCCCCACCAAGTCCGCCACTGTCACTGGAGCTGTGGCTCCGTCAAACTCTGGCGAGGTCACCAACTCTGGTGAGGTCTCCAAGTCTGGCGCGCCTGCCAAGTCTGGTGCAGTCACCAAACCTGGCGAAGGTAAGAAGTCAGGACCCAAGCCAAAGCCGGTGAGGAGCCAAAACTCAGGTGCGCAAGATGGTGGCGAGGTCACCAGGACCTCAGTACATGAGGCGGATGAGGTCCTGCCTGCCAAGTCTGTTGCGAAGGAGGGCGAGCAGACAACAAGGGTGGCAATGGGAGGTCGCTCAGGCCCAATGGTGCCCGTGATCACCAGGAAGGCGAAGGCGAGTGCTCCGAAGGCAGCAGCCAAGATGCCTCTGGCGGAAGGCGATGGCATGGAGGAAGCCGCCAGGCTGGCAATGGAGGCGGTGCAGGCTATGGCCTTCCAAACAGGGCCAGCTGTTCCGCCGCAAGCTAGCAGCAGCAAGCGCATGCTGACACCAGTCGCCAACGAATCAGAGGATGCGCCAGAGTATCAGGCAGAGGTGGCGGAGGATGAGGTAAGCAGGACATCTTGTCGCAGCTGGAGTCGATGTAACTATGAAACAGCACGTGTCCTTGGAGCGGCCACACGACGATCGGCAGTGTTCGCTGCTGATGCCCCATGAGATGAGCGCAGGAGCTGCCGAGGTGGCACAGGAGGTGACGCCCTGCCTGGAGATATCCAAGGCGTCGAAGGGAGCGAAGTCCTCTGCATTGGCGAAGGCGGGACATGTCGATGAAGGGCGAAGGCCAGCAAAGAAGGGCACCACACTGGACCACAAGGCAGCGAAGAAGGAGGCGAAGGCGAATCACCTTAGAGCAGTGCCTCCGACCAGCAAGGGTAAGTGCGCCCGCCACAGCTTCGAATCCATGCAGCGCTGACCAGGGATACAGCACCCCACTTGCGCGACATCCAGTGAGTGTCTACAGGAAGTCCCGCTCCATCGAACAAAGGCGACACCCCCAGTGGCGAAGAAACCTCACAGTCATCCAACAATGACTGCGTGAATTGTGCCGAGTTGCAACAGGAGTTCCTGGCACACAAGGACGGGATGGAAGTCCAATTCCAGGAGAGGATGGCGGACCTCAACACCGTCAAGGCAGAGATCACAGCGGCGCTCCAGCGAATCAACCTGCCATTTGCGCTTCAAGAAAATGCCTGGAGCATTTGCGAAGAGGTCAAGTTGGTGATGGAGGAGTTTCACAGGCCGGTCACCATCGAGCTACAGGAGAGCGTGAAGTTGGCAGTGGCGGACCTCGTTGCCAAGCGACATTGCCTGCCAGAGCTCAAAGAGAAGGTCAACAGGTTGGAGCAAGGTGTGAACCAGACGGTGAGCCAGGTGAATGTCGAGAAGCTGCAGGGTGAATTGGCCGACCTTCGTCATTCGATGGAGCTCCAGGCAGCGTGGTCAGACAGCATGGAGAAAAAGCTCAGGTCTTCAGTGGCAGAGGCGATCGCTCAAGCGAGCAAGCTGGAGATGGAATTGGCGCTCGCCAAAGAGGATTCGATGGCAGTGGCGACGTCCACTTTGGATAAAGTGAAGAAGGTGGGGAAGGAGGTGGCGACGGTGAGAGAGGAAACCTCACTGGTGGTGAAGTCTTTGGACGCATTCTGAGAGAAGGTCGACTCTGCCATGGTCTTCACTGCCTTTCGCCCAGATAGCCACAATGTGTAGTCATTAGAGTATTGATATACATGCTTTTTAACCTAGCATGGAATCTCCATGCACTCAACTCACCACTGCCACTCCAAGTCAACTGAATGCCTGCTGAAGTTCTTGCCCACTCCCCTCGCCATTGCCACCATCTCCATGGCTTTACCTATGTAGATCTATGGGTCACATTAAACAATGTGGAAGCCTACGAGTCTACTTTGAACTGGAGTTATATTGTCAAGGTCTGGTGCCGCCACTGCGGGTCTTGCGACCTGTGCCAACTTGGCCACTCTCTTTCACTTTGGCGGCTGCTTTCCCCAGATGCACCGGCTTCAGCTTGGTTTCTCCCTTGTCCTTGACCTCCGGGGTCTGAGGCAGAGCTCGTCTTCACTTTGTGGGAGGCTTGTCACCATCATCCGAGTCCTCGGCCCTCACATTCTTAGGCCACTACCAACTCGTCCCAAGTACCATGTCCACGCTTCCAAGGTGGCAGATTGTCTTCGCCAGAGCTGTCTTCGCCATCAGGCTCGGGACATGCTGGTTGACATTTCTGCTTTGGATCAGGAAGCTTCTTCAAATCTTTAACAGCTCCTAGTGGATGCTGACTGCGGGTATTCTTGGCGGGCAACTCATCCATCGCTTGACGCTGACTGCGAGTGATCCTGCTGGGGATATTACTCTGAAGGGCATCGGTGATCTACCTTCCCTGGAGCGCTTTGGCTTGACCTGACGGACGGCCTTCCATGGCTGACACCTTCCTCGTCTTAGGTATAAACGGAGGCAGTGGCAGTCGTTCAGCACCACTGCTAGGTACGGACAAGTGTGCATCGTTCTCTTTGCCATCATCAGAGGCCCCGCCACCGGTCTCCTGGTGCGGCCCTTCATCTCCTCCACTTGGAATGATTGGGTTGTCAGCCATGGGGGCAGGCTGGTGAGCCTTGTGAACTTTGGCAGTGGTAGCAGTGCCATCGTGAGTTCTTGCAGAGGCATCACCTTCCTGCTCCTCCTGGCCCCCAAGGCCATCGCCACCTTGTGGGGCACCAGGTATGGCAGGCTTGCTCACTGGCTTCACCATGGCATGGGTGACGTTCCCTTCCACCCTGTCCAAGGTAATGATCTCGTAACAGTGAAGCAGCTGCTCTACTGCATCAAGTGAGATCGCCGAGTTCACCACATAGTCGGGAAGGTTGGTCGGTTCGCCCTCCTCAATAAACTGAGATCGTGTGAGGTCCCTCAGCACCATACCAATCACGAGTGCAGATTGTTGTACGCCCTGTGGATGTAAGAACCAATATTTTGTGAGCCATGGTTTGTCGCCCAACCAGTTCTTGACGATGTCAAAGTTGTCCACTGCATGGAATGAAGGCGGGAGGTAGCACTGGCTATATGACCATTCGCTCCAGGGAATCGGATCATACCTGGCAAAATGATACACCTGGGGCTATATGACGGATGATCAATGGTGGCTATGAATCCCCACGAGAGGAGCTCACCACAGTCGCAATCTTGACTTGCTTCAGCATATCCTGGTATCGCGTTTTGACGGAAAGGGTGGCGAGAAACACGTCTCTCCTTTTGATGAGGTGGGGCACAGTACTCCCCACAGTACTCCCGCCAGTGAGACGTGGGGCTCGGCCTTGAAGCATAAGCCTGAGCTCCTTTGTACTGGGCTCCAGTTCACTCCATGCTTCATCGGTCTCCTCTGTGTCAAATCTGTGCAGTTCGCCCAGAGGAAGGTCTTGGAGACCTCGCTTTGCCTTCATCTTGGCACCGCCGCTACCACTCGCTTGAGGTGCACCACCATTGTTAGCCTTACGTCCATTGGTGGTGGCGACTGCCTTGCCCTTCGCTTTATTTGCAATCACGCTCTCGCCATCCCCTGAATCTTCATCGCTGGCCGTATCTTCTTCGGAAGCCATGCTGGGTATATCTGGCGAACTCTGATCAGAGTCTTGGCTGCTTCTGGCATCATCTTCCGAGTCGTATGCATCTTTTGTCTTGCGTTTACGCCCACCGCCTTTGGCTCCGCCAGGGGCCGCTTTGCCCTTTGTCGCCTTCAATGCCGCCTTTCCCGTGACCTTGCGCACAGGTTTACCCTTCTTCTTCGCCTTCCCCGCCTTCTTAGGTGTGAGTGCTTCTTGGACCTCATGTTCAGATCCTTCTTCTAATGCCTGTGCTGATCCGTCAAGTGGTGGAAGAGGATCATACTTGGCGGGAGCAGCTTCGCCATCCTTGTCGAAGTACTGGGTGAATCGCATGGTCTGCTCAGGTCCATGTTCCTCTTGGCATGCCCGCCAGTGGTCGAGGAGGGCACAAACGGGAACACTTGTCAACTTTGAGGGATCGATCCACTGGAAGTTCTCAGGTAGCATCTCCGCTGGAATAAACTCATTGATGTCGTCTATGCTGTTCAGCTTCGTCCATGGCGACTTGCAGTTCCAAACACCCTTTGCCAATGCTGTAAACTGGTCAGCATCTCTCAACACCCGGTGAGAGTGTCATACCATAGTGATGATTCATGAAGTCTCGAACTTGTACCTTCATCACCTTGAGAGGCCTTCCACCATACCTTCGGGCACTGACGGGAGCAGAGGAAAACCATTGGCAGTCAACCAAATCTTGTCCATGGCCTGCATGCAATCGGCAGGTGTCTTCTTCACCGTCACCATAGTCTCAGTCACAGCTAAGGAATCAGGTCAGTGTGCCAGCGACAATGCAACTGAGGTCTTCTTACCGTATTCGCCTTTGGCCCACTCAGAGAACACCTTTGCTAGAGGCTGGTAAGCACGCAGCCACCCAGGATAGACCCCGAATGGAGTTCCATTGGTGATGGCATGGTTAACCTCCACCCTTCACTCGGGGGTTAGCAGATGGCGACAGTCGGACGGTCTACGCTCACATCTCTACCTTCAGACTCCCCGCTTCCTTCGGATATGCTAGCATGAATGCCATGCGAATGCCCATGGTGTCCCACATAGTCTTGGCAAACTTCTTCAGATATTGCATCATTCGCTGCTCCCTCAGCCTGTCTTAGGTCAGGATTTGCCTTATGCTACGTGACAGGAGGTACGCACTTCATTTTTGTCTTATCATCTAGAGTGCCATTGCGCCAACTCTCTGCCTTTTCCTCATACACCTTCTGCTCCTCCTCGGACAGTTTTGCCCATTCGGCACTCCGTGCGACTCTCCACACCTTGGAGACATTGCAACCCTTTTCTGCCATGAGTGCTCTTGCTGCCTCAGTCACCTTGTCCCTCTCCAGCGCATCCCACACCTTGAAGGCATTGGGCTTGCCAGAAACATGCATACGCTTTTTCGTCGCTTTCTCCTGCGCATGGCGGGCGTGGTTATTGAGCCACTCTCGGATTTTCTGCGGTGAGAGTTAGTGGGGACCTCACAGACATGAAACACTGCTCACAGTTTCCACAATGATGTCGTCATAATTTGACGTGTCGACAAACTGTGTCTTCAGCTTCTGGCGCAAGCTCTGAACCAGAGTCTTGCAACCCTTGGCATCTGCCGTGTCATAAGACCGCAGCTTCTCAGAGAGTATGGGCTGATGCTCCGTCAAAATTACAAATCTCGCCGGCATGCTTTCTCAATGTCGAGGATGAGATTTTTGTGTTAGGGCAGTGAAGGGGGTCGATAGTTCAACAGGCAGCGCTCTGTCTATTTCATTGTCAGCCGCCCACAACTCAACATGCACGTGCTGATGGCCCATTTGGGCTTACACCAATTACCCTCATCGCCATGGTGTGTGGTGACTGCTGAAGCATTGTATGTGTATTTTTCGCAGTGGCGGGAGGTGGTAGTAGGTATGCACTAGCATTCATGCCTGGTGAAAGGCAATGTTGAACGCCGCTTCTATGGCAGAGCACACCACGCCAACTCTATCTCGCGAATGCTGGGTGGAGGCAATCTGGCGATCATCTGCATGCCAATCTGTGGGATAAAGGGCTTCCTCGGAGTTAGGCTCGGCCAATTAGATGGCAGTGACGAAGGGCCCAGACATGGCGGACCACCCGGCCCGTGATCCGGCATGGCGGCATTAAGTCCGGCTCGGCGGCATGATGAACATGTGAGATGTGCAAGGGACGTGCTTGCAAGCAATATGCAGGCAGATGAATGCATACTGTTCTTTGCCATTCTGGCCCCTCCTACATTCTCCCCTGCATCTGCAAGCCAACCGCCTGAGCCCGCCATACACCTGTGCGTTCCTTCAACCGATGCATGCTGTAATCATCCCATTGATTGGCAGACAGTATCAAGATGAGCAATCTGTCACCCATGCCACTGACCGATCAGATAGCAGGAGTCTTGGAGCTCATGTTCCGCCAAAAGCTCCATCTGGCCACTCATGCAGCCCATTCTGCGCCATCTATAGAAGTGCCTCCGTCCATGCCATCTGCCCTCCTATTAGAGTGCAATGGCATTGCAGATGCTCTTGTGAAGGCCATCCGTAATCCTGGTAGTCATTAGTCTTGCCGCAGGTCTGATCACACTGATCACGCCATTGTAATAGTAAGGCTGCAGTGGGACATTGATAGATATTGCGACAGCCTTTCAATTCAGCCCACGGGGCAGAATGAAGTTCTCGAGGCAGAACTGGAACGGAAGTGGCCTCCTCCATTTGGTGAGAGCAAAATACGCATAGACCAGCCCGCCACCCTCGTGGACATGCATGGACACATCTTGGCTTGGATACTTCCAAGAGTGTTGATACCAGACCGCCAGGTGAGTGGCTTGCCCAGCCTTGCACTGTGATCTGACAAATTTGTCAGACGAAGATGCTCCAAGCGACCAGGGCCCTACACCTAGCAATAGCAGCCAGTAAGCCTTCCAGCACCACCGCCAGTTGGCGACACAACCCGTTGTACTTCTTGCCTCCTGAGGAGTGTGCCCAATTCCCAGCGGGCTCCTTGTGTCTCTCGCCAGGTTGGTTCCAACAAGTAAGAGAGGTGGGTCTCCTCGCCATGCCATTTGCCTTGCATCTGAACAGCCTTTGCAGCATATGGAGTCTGGGAGGCTGGAGACCTCCGCCAGCCTGAAGCTTGAGGGCGGAAGAAGTTGGCTGCGTGATATTCATGACTCCTCTGCATTGCTGGGCGCCATCCTGGCCGTCGTTCACCCAACACTATATGCCGCAGGACGCCAGTACTTGGGTTTGATCCAGCAAGACCCAGAATTGCGAGAGATGGTGCTGAACTGGTCGTCACCATTCAATGCACTCCAGGTGATCGCCAACCGGGAAACTCCTTTCCACCGAGATAGCAAGACAAGATACACGTTCTATGACCTGTTGGCGACGTTGGGCAACTACACTTGCACGTGGTTGAAGTTCCCCGCCATGCGTGTCGCCATCGATTATAGTCCTGGAACTGTCATAGCCTTCTGTGGAAAGGCGATTCATCATGGCGTCACTCGAGCAGATGGCGAAAGGCTCATCTATGCATACTTCATGCGAGAGGGTGTCCAGAACAGACTAGGCATTCTGGCACCCCACTGGATGCAAGCTTCATATTACGCCTCACACATTGGCATGTGCACAGTTCATCACCGAGTCTGCATTCCTAACTCAGAACAGGTCCTAACTGGCTCGCTTATTAGAGGGACATCATGCCAAAGACTGATGGAGATGAGAACACTATGCAGGGGATGGAGACTGTCGATGGCAGCTTCATTGGCAGGACAAAGTTGGCGGAGGTGATGGCGAAATGTATGGAGTCACAAATTTCCGAATCCTAGCTGAAGGTTGGCGAGCGCGCGGTACGAGTGCGCATTTCACATCTCGACAGTGTTCAGCTCAAGGTGTAGTTATCACTGATGGCAGCGTATGGTTGGCGGACCTCAAAGTTGGCAGAGATGGTGGCGAAATGTGTTCGGTCGAGAAGTTGTGAGTGCTAGTGGGGCAGATGGCGGCAGCGTTGGCGAGCGCGCGGTGCAAGTGCATGTTTCCCTTTTGAACATTATGCTACTCCGAGTCAAGGCAAAGTTAGCACTGAGAGCGACATACAATTGGCGGACCTCTCGCCAACATGACATCCTTATCTGCATAACGCTGATATGGTGCCTAAAGAGACCATGAGGTGATAAGGCCCAGGCATTGCAGCCATTCTTAACCACCTTGATGAGTAGTCTGGTGGGCAGCAAGACCGTGTGTGATTTGCACGTGTTGTGCGATAGGGACACAATGCTCATCGATTGGCTTGGAATACGACTCCCCACTGACCTGAGCCATGAGCAGATGCAACAAAAGCAGGCTCGTTGTAGACCTGGATGACAAGGTTGAGTTTGTGACCAAGGTAGCTAAGCAGACCACTAGGGGAGTACGCTATGTGGACGTACCTTTGCCCATGCCCACAGGTTCAAACGTGCCATCGCCTTCCAAAAGTCCATCGAAGGCTCCAGCTTCAGGCTCCTTGTTTAACTTGGATGATGGTGACGTCCTGGGCAACATAGGTGTGCCGATTCAGCTGGATCCGGCGGCTCGGAAGACAAAGGTGGGCTTCATGAGGGACTGGATACCCCACCGTGATGACTATCTTCATGCCATTGTCGAGATGGAAGCCCCGCCTGAGCCCAGAAATTGTGCGGAATGCAAGGTTGGCGAGGGACGGTGGCGATGCCTGGACTGTATGGGCAGACCGCTCACCTGTACCGACTGCTGTCGTAATGGCCATCAGCGTGCTCCTTTCCATCGGATAGAGCATTGGCAGGGTCAGTATTTTGAGCCGGCATCACTGTATCGGGTTGGCATCTGCATCCATTTGGGGCATGGCGGAGATCCCTGCCCTCTGGGCGCCTTCACAGCACATAACAACCCTGCACCGGTGGTGGCCCCGGGGTCCAATTTCTGGAATGCCTCCAATGAAGACCTAAATGCACATGATGGCGAGGTCTCAGATGATGGCGAGGTCCCATTCAACTTTGCACCTCTGGCAGGCACCCTTGACGGTGAAGCAAGGCAAACCGACGATGCTCCCGATCCCACTTGGGAGGAAGATGTGCCACCGGTGCTCTCCTGGCCACCTCGCCATGATAGTTACAGGAATCAGATCATAGTCATTGTCGACATCTCTGGCATTCACCATATCGGCGTTGACTGGTGCCAGTGTGAGATGGCGGTGGAGCGTGACATGCAGCTTCTTCAAATGGGACTTTACCCTGGTACCGTCAAGGATCCCCATACCACCTTCACATTCGCCGTCCTCAACGATTTCCTTCTGGAGAACAAGGAGTGCAAGACAGCGGCATTGAACTACTACAGCAAGCTCAAATGGGTCACGAGCAATACCTTCCCTGGCACCGTTCCCATAAGTGTTCACATGCATTCCCATGGCCCAACTGTTCATGCCAGTTCCTCGCTAGGACCGTTATCGTGAGCTGATGCGGGTGTCCCGCCAATGGCGCCAACTCAAATATCGCAAGTGGCACGGCTTCTCACATGATGCCCTCCGTCCTGTGGAGAAGGGTGGCCTCGCCATCTTTTGTCCCGCCTGTCCCCAGCCTGGGCTCAACCTGCCTTTCGATTGGCAAGCGGATCCAGTGCAGTGGAAGTTCAAACGCGGCTTTGTCATGGATGGAAATTTCAGTGCAGAGCACATGAAGATGAAGCACCCCGAGGAGGACGTCGCCCTCAGTGACGGCCAGGCATTCATGGTCGGCCAAGAGGATTACAAGGCTCATCTGGCAGTGGCCATGGAGTCGCATCAGGTGCGTGTCTGGCTGCACGTTCTTCTTCCGCCCTTGACTCCTAAGCCCACCAGCGCTCCACTTGTCATGAGCACCGCGCTGTCAATCAGGCCAATGTGGATTGCGCCAACCTCGACGCCACAGGAATTGGGGCCACTGCTTGCGTCAGACATGGTTTCTTCGTCCCTCATACTGTCGTCGATTTCCAGAAGGGAGAAAGGTTCGCATATGTCTCTTGTCATGATCCATTCTCACCGATGCACCCTCTGCAGACAAATGAATATGGATTACTCTCTCAGCAATGTGCTCCTGACCCTCACCGGTATCACTCTCATCCTTGTCATGTACGACATCATGTGCCAGTATGGCGTCCATGTCCGCAAATTTTTCCGCCACAGCGCCTATCTGAGGATGCCCTTCGAGCTCAACATAGACCAAGGCATCGGCTTGTTTCATGTGCACGGACACCAAGATTGCTGCTTCCAACGGTTCTCGCCCAACTTTATAGTTGGCGCTGGTATGGTCGATGGCGAGGTCATCGAGACCCTGTGGGCGCCGACAAATGAGGTCTCAGGCAGTACCAGGGGCATGACCCGAGCTCACTGCCAAGAAGTCCTTGACGATCACATGAATGACTCCAACTGGAAGAAGACGACTCGCATGGGTGAGCCTGGTTCCTCCTTCCCTATTTGCCACCTGCCTTATGCTGCCTATAGTGCCAACCTTGATGACCAAGTGGAAATGCGTGCTCCTGGGCTTCCCACGAAGCAAGGAGTCCTTTGAAGCTTTATCTGCATTCACAGATGAGGAGGTCCTTGAGGCATGGCAGAAGGAGTACGATGACGCTATGGAGGCTCGCCAAAATGATCTGAAGATCATGGACACCTTCAATGTCCAGCTCAGGAAGGGTGCATATCCTTCCATCATCATGTGGCATGTAGTTGACATGAATGCAAGCCCAGGGTAAAGACCTCACCCAACTCAGACTGGCGGGCGAGGAGTCCGCCAAGGGCTTGGAGAAGGGCACCGCCAGATGGTTGTCCACCGGCCTCAAAATCCAAGAAGCACAGTGAGTTTGCCTCATCTTAACAAAAATACAGCTCTGACGGCCTTCAGGCTTAAGCTTGTGAATGATATCCACAAGGCGGGTCAAAATACGAGTGTGGCAGAGGACCTCACTCTCGAGTGCCATCAGCGCCTCGAAGTCAGCATTCTCACATTCCAACGTCGCTCTGAGAAGTTCATGGGAAGGTTGGAGGACGTTCCCGCCATGGAAGATCGTGATGATGGTGCGCTCTGGGATTCCTTGGATGAGAATCCTTTTCAAATACACCCGGAGGATGCTGAGTATGGTGAGGATGCGATTCCACCCGAGCGAGCTTCCTTGAATTTACCTTCGCAGATCGGATTCGTGGCCGCCATCGCCAATGGGCTCCAGACCCTGGTGGCCCAAGAGTTGGAGTTGCGCAAAGGCCTGATGAATGACATTCTCCACGAGCTTCGCATGGCGCTTGGACTGAAGTCTTACCTCTACCGCAAGAGGGTTCGTCCCGCCAACAGCATTGGAACCATGACCCGTGCACAGGCGGAGGTTCATGCTGCCGATCAGACCATCTTGGCCTGCACCTGCGCCAGGCTCTATTCCGCCAACTGACGCACCATTATGCGCTTGGGCACCACCGATGAAGACTTCGCCCTCTATCGCCCTTTGGATAAGAAGGACCTGCACGTGAAGACTGCCGTCATTGAGGCTAGCACCTCTGGGCTCAGGAACATCAACCTGGCTTGGTTCTGGACCGTGGATGTCGCTGGAGATCGAGGTTCATCAGAATGGATGGACGAGTGTTCGTCATTGTCCGATCGATCTCTAGGCCTCCTGCTAATTTACCCTCCAGTCTATAGAGTCAATTGGCTGCGTGCCAGAGCTCAATATGAGAGATGGAGGGAGGAGCGTGTCTTGGTCCACTCCGAAATGGCCTGGACCATAGCCACCTTCAAGCGGAATATGGAACGATGGGCTCACTGGCTCGAGATGACGGATCCTTCCTGGCGGGGTCATGTTTGCTATGCCGCCAGGCAAGTGAGTATGTGGCGGACCTTTGCCAGCCACACCACTGATGCCTTCAGCCACATCCTCACCCTGGACGTTGAGGACGAAAGGGCGGGCCATGAAAATGTGCTTTGAGTTAGGAGTCAATGGGGTGTACGCATATTCATGTTTGCTATATAGATGTAGTGATTGTCATGTATGTAATTCCTTCTCACCAATATCATGTTTGGCGAAGTGACCTCCATCCTCACCTGAGGGCTTCATCTTGGCATGTGCTCTCCAATCGCATGACATCAGACATCAGATAAGGTCGATCAGATATCAATCTCAGCTCATCCACTTACCGTCATGTCTGCCCAGTCTTCAACATCAGATGCGCGCCCCTGCCTGTTCTCCAGAGGGAGGTTGCAGTTGGAAGTCTACACTTGGAGGATCCAAAAAGCTGTTCTGGCACTGGAGCCTGACCCAGATCACTTCACCAAGGTTCGTTGGGAGGAAGGCTTGCGCCGGGAGATGGTACACCTTTCTTTCTGATATCGCCTGACCCTGCTGAGTCCTGTGCAGTTCGCCATCAGGGGTATCTGTGGCGACCTCGCATTGGCGGGTCATGCTGACCATATTGACCATGGCGGAGTTATCACCAGTGTCCTCAGCGTCTGCACTTTCAATCGCGAAGTTCTGCGCCCCATCAGCATTGACATCAAGGCGATTCCACGCCCCACCACCCTCGTTCCTCATTCCTCATCCTAAGAACCTACTCCAGGATTCACCCGACTACTGGTGGAAATGAGATCGTCAGGTTGGGCCGGCGGGGAGCCCTATGGAGGCCTGGTGGTACAAACTTGGTGATCCCTGGGTGAGTGGTACATTTCAGCATCTTCCAGTCTTGCTGAACCTCGAGAACTTAGGAGAAGGTGTACACCATCTCCGAGTCTACACTGGTGCAGCTTGAACAGCTGCATGTTCGCGTCGCGCACCTCACTAGTTGGTTGCAGGAGAGGATGGATCAGAACCTGGATGTGGTGCTGGAAGAGCTGCAGCAGGCGACGTGGCAGCTGTGTGAGTTAGGAATGTAATCGCCCAATGCCATGCGTCCGTGCTGTAGTGTGTCGAATATAAGGTTGTCATGTCTTTGAACCTGGGCAATGTACCTGGTGTGGTAAGGCAAAACATAGTAGCCACATACTCTCCTCAGGAGGGCACATCCCCAATGGTATCTGATGCATGTCCCGAAAGCCAATGCCACATGGGAGAGTTTGGCGAAGTCATTCTGGACTGCATGTTCAGATGGCGAGTGATATCCCCACAGTTCGCCAACCCTACTCACGGTGGAAAGGACCGCCATTCATCTCCACATACTCTACCCAGAAGGGCACATCCCCAATTGTATCTGATGCATGTCTCGAAATGCCGATGCCAATTGGGAGAGTTTGGCGAAGTCATTCTGAACTCCATGTTCAGATGGCGAAGGATATTCGCCACAGTTCGCCAACCCTTCCCACAGTGGGAGAGAGTGCGATACTGCAAGGAGAGCTGATAGTGAGCTAACCAGAATGGGAGGGAATGATGGGTGGATTACGTGAAAATTATTGGCCGGCGGTAGCTCCATCATCACCCTGTTAGGCGGTGGATCAATCACTGAAAAATATGCCCATGGCGGTGGACTGATCGCTGAGAACTACACCTATGGTGGTGGGCCGATAGGTCTGAGCAAGAGGTGCTGCATGGGCAATGACTCAGTGTCGGAGCCCCCTTCTTCTGTGGTGTCCTTCAGCTCGTACGCTGATTTGCACACGTCCGCATCCTCGTCTACTTTGTGCTCTTCGGTTGACTTCGGGTACAATCCCTTCACTTCATATGGTCTACTTCTCAGCTCGGGCAACCAGGCATGGCATCCGCCCATGCTTCCCCCCAACCAATCTCCAGGTTTCATACATCCGCCCATGCTTCTCCCTGACCAATCTCCACATTTCATACATCCACCTATGCTACTCCCTGATGAATCATCCAGTATGTTCCTTCACTCACCCATGCTCCACCAAGATGACATGGACATGATACGAGCCCAGTTGACAACCTAGGGCAAGGCAAATAACTCAGCTATGCCCGGGCTAGTCAGATATTTCAGGCGACCCATGCCTATGGGCTCAGAAATATACCTATGGCGGTGGGCCGATGGCTGTATAATAGCCCTGTGACAGTGGGCCGATCGCTCAGACGCCTACCTATGGCGGTGGGCCCATCGCTCAGAACACTACCTATGGGGGTGGGCTGATCACTCAGAACACTACCTATGATGGTGGGCCCATCACTCAGAATGGCTCCTATGGCAGTGGGCCGATGGCTGTATAATAGCCCCCTGGCAGTGGGCTGATCGCTCAGAAATATACCTATGGCGGTGGGCCAATGGCTCAGAACACTACCTATGGCAGTGGGCCCATCGCTCAGAACACTACCTATGACGGTGGGCCCATCACTCAGAACACTACCTATGGCGGTGGGCCGATGGCTGTATAATAGCCCCCTGGCAGTGGGCCGATCGCTCAGAAATATACCTATGGCGGTGGGCCAATGGCTGTATAATAGCCCCGTGGTGGTCAGCCGATCGCTCAGAAATACACCTATGGTGGTGGGCCCATTGCTCAGAACTATCACTGTGGCGGTGGGCCCATGCCTGTATAATAGTAGCACCATGGCGGTGGGCCCATGCCTGTATAATAGTAGCACCATGGCAGTGGGCCGATCACTCAGAAATACTCCTATGGCGGTGGGCCCATCGCTCCAGCCTTCCCTTTGTCACCATGAGCCAATCACTGACAGCTCCTTACACAGACTGATGGGCCGACGTCCGCTGGCAGTCCAGTTCATGACAATGTCAGGGTAAATGGGAGTCCAGTTCACAAACATGACTGAATGGGCTGATAGTACAGGTTTATCTTTTATAAACCTGTGACCCTCATAGACCTGTACTATATGCAGGTCTATGTACCTGTATGTATAGTCAGGGTCAGGCCTTTGTACTATAAAGGTAGACCTGTGTCCCTGCCTATACCCCGCAGTCTGGTGTTAGGCAATCTACCTTCAATCTGCACTCAATCCCGGAGAATCCTGCATCTGTGGGTACAAGTCAGGACCAGCATCAAGGTTTCAATCTCGATCAGGCTGATCAGCCAATTAGAGGAGGCATCTCGTACTGTAGATCTGTGCCACCAGCTTACTACCATGGCCAACCTTTGCAAAAGGACAGACCAGGTATGTTTTCATGTTTCTAATAGTGAATATGTTTGTCAAGTAAGCAACATTTCATTTGATATTGTAATGACAGACTCTACCCTGCATTCGCTGACACCTCACATGACCCCTCAAGCAGATACTATGTCGCAATTGACTCTGAGTGTGGATGAGATGAAGGACATGGATAATTAGAAGCAGTTCCAGTTGAGAGAAAGCAGAGATGACAGGGGGAGCATTGTGTATAGAGGTTTGTATGAAGATGTCAATGAAGATGGTCAGTTGAAGGGGGAGTTTCTGGATGATGACTCGGACAGAGGTGAGACATTTCTAGTAAATCACAATCACACCGGTAGCCCACCTCTGTCCAATGATGAATCAAAGGAGAGTGATAAATTGGACAATACCAAGGAGGAACATAAGGAGACAATCCACCAGCCACTAAGCTATGTGCCTGTGTCAAATGTCGAGGAGGATATCAAGGAGAATGTTGAGGAGGAGAGCAAGGCCGAGGCCAAGGATGAGGATGAGGATGAGGCAAGTGTTCCTGCTCTGCCCTCATGTGTTTTCAGAGCCACCCATTTGTCGAAGTCATATGCAGGCCGAAAGGATGTGCATCTGCTGCTAAAATGGATGTCCCTCGATGCCGAAGCAGTCAACTTATACATGATCCTGCAGTATCTATCACTGCTGCTGTTCATGAACATGAGAACAGCTTACTCACCTCCAATCCAACTATACCTCCTTCTGCTCATGCTCCTAAGCATCAACATCATAAGATCTTCCAGATGACATAGAAGTCTGTGATATGGTGTTGTTTCTCTCTTCAACATATGCATCTTGCTAACACCATGCACCTAGTATTGCTTTCTCTGGCAATAAGGCAGAAACTTGGTCAACTGTGACCGTCCAAACTGCAGCAGAGCTGTTTGCTTGCATTGTATTCCAGATCTCTGACAGTGGAATATGACTGAGCAGATGCAGTTTGAATGTCTGGCCTGCACCATAAAGTGTGACAGAGGTGCAATGCAGGTATACCATGTAGGTTTAATATGAATTCTTTACTCGCACAAAAGCTGATATTTGAGGGATATCAGGGCCTGTATAGTGTCCCATCCACTGAAAAATCTTAGGTACCATTGATGAAGGGTCTTTGGATTGTCAGCAAGAGGGAGATAGCACTGATCACAAGGTTGAATACCACCTCTTTGGTTTTGGTTCATCTGCATCTGCACTTGCTGCCTGTGCATGATACCATCGCC